AACTCGTCGGCGGAGTGGATCTCACAAGCCACCTTGCCCTTCAATTGCACTCTGGATTGCTCGTCAACGAATCCGAGCTCTCTGAGAACGTGAATACGCTGTTCGTAGTCGGGAAGCAATTGAAGATTTTGGTCGGACATGAGCTGCTTCAGCTGCGAGATGTTCGCCTTGATTTGCCACTCGTCATTTTGCATTTCGAACTATGAAAAAGAATGAGCAATTGACCTCGTCATCGGCAAAGGGTAAAATCCACTTACATGTTTCAGGAAGTTCGGACACGAGAGGCAGTGGCACGACTGGATGATTTGCACCTGGGCTTCTCGCTGAGCGAGAATATCGCGCACTTGCAACTCTTTAACCTTGGACCAGTCTACCTCATCCCATGCCGAATTAAGCCATGATTTGGTGTATTTGGTCAATTCCTTTTCTGCGAACTTGGAAGACTCTGTTTAAGTTTTTGGTCAGTGCAGTCCTGGGGTTTTCATGCGCGTGGGTGGTGCTATCTACCTTTCTTGATGTTCAGGTACCAAATAGGTCCGCCGATTTTGACCTGTGTGTTTGTAACGCATTCGACGTTTTCTAAAGGAACCTTGACGGCCTTGAGATGCATAGAAGCAGCGCTCGAAGGCAGTGGCTGGAGGTGTGGTCGGAAAACGGGCAGGAATGGTAGAATGTCGCTGGGGTGACGTTTGCTGCTGATTGTGCCGATTTCAAGCACCTGGATGCAAGGCAAAGGGCCACCCGATGAACCACCTGATATCCCCTCTTTCACGAGGACACCAGCAGTTCGTAATCCATCCTAAAACAGGTCAGCGTGTGGTTAGATAATTTTCATCTTTGCAACTTACCTTTCTGTATACGACTAGGCTTTTCATGGAAAATAGTCGTTTGCCGATGGGAGATGCCATTAGCCCCGTGTGCAGCTCAGTCGTAAGCCTCTGGTATTCCATTGCGGCATCATGACACGCTTGGAGATCCAAGTCACAGATTTCGCAAGGCTCCCGCTTAATTTTTTCCAGACTAGCCTCCGAGAGTTGGACTTGCTTCTCGTGTTCCGGAAGCAGAGCTTGGGTGGCATTTTCACTGAAACTCCGTTTGATCATCTCTTCAATCTTGAGCGCTTCAACACGAAGAAGGTTCAGAATCATGTTGTATGTAAGTCGGAACTGTGACCTGAGCTTTGTGGGATCTCCAAGAATCATATTCTTCAAAGAACCAGCCGGTGGGGCTTCGTCTCTCCCAGTAGTGACAAGAATCACGTACCCCACCGTGTCAAGACCACGACGTCCTGCACGTCCCGCCATCTGGGTGTACTCACCGGGTAGAAGATCCCGGAAAGACTTGCCGTCATGTTTGCGGAATCCAGAGAAAACAACCGTTCTAGTTGGCAAGTTCAGCCCCATCGCGAAAGTCTCTGTCGCGAAGAGGACCTTAACCAAGCCCCTAGCAAACAGAATCTCGACAATCTCCTTCATGATCGGAAGAAGACCACCATGGTGCACAGCAACTCCTCTACCCAGGAGCTCTCGAAGCCGAAGAATTTGGGGGAGCGTTCGGTCCTCAGGTTTAAGTCGGGTCAGTGACTTTTCGATCATCATATGAATCTGACTCTTGTCGTTGGCAGTGCTGAAATCTTGGTTAGACAACGAGTCTGCGTTCTCTTCGCACCGTTTCTTCGAGAAAACGAAGATACAACCCGGTAGCAGATCTTCCTTGCGAAGATGAGAGACAAGGTTAACCCAGGTGGTTTTATCCTGGGCGGCAGTCGTACGGAAGCCTCCGCGCCCAGTACGAGCAATGTTCCCTGTGCCACGATTGGATGGCGCTCCTCGGCCGCCTTGCCCTCGGCCTCCTCTCTGCTGCGGGCCTCCACGCTGTCCATTGCCCCGTGGGCCGCCTCTGCCGGCAGGCTGACCGCGTCCTCCTCCACCTCGGCCGCCTCCTCGCTGGCCCTGGCCTTGCGCCTGGGCCTGAGCCTGAGCCTGGCTTTCTGCCTCCTTCTTGGCCTTTTCTTTGTCTTTGCCAGACAAGGCATCATTCGCCTTCTTCCAGCCAGGCTCAAGGAACTTTTTGTTGGAATCAACAATCTTGTACTTGTCTTTTCCACCCCAGAGATAGTGTTCCAACGGCACGGGCCGCTTGGGAGTTGAGATCACATAGATGTCCTTTTTCTTGGTACGACCGACCCAGGATGCAAACTCATAGGTGTTGGGGACGGTGGCAGACAAGAGGATCAGGGTAACATGCTCAGGGAGCATAATGATTACCTCCTCCCACACAACACCTCTCTCGAGATCGTTGACATAATGGACCTCGTCAAAGATGACGAACTCAACATCTCGGATAAGATCTGCACCACGGTAAAGCATACTCCGCAGAATTTCGGTTGTCATAATCAGACAGCTAGCTTCTGGATTGATTTGCACGTCGCCGGTAAGGATACCGACATCTTCAAACTCGGTACGGAAGTCCCGATATTTCTGATTGCTGAGTGCTTTGATGGGTGATGTGTAGATGGCTTTCGTCATGTGCTTCGCAGCTAGCGCAATGCCATACTCAGCGACAACTGTTTTTCCTGCTGATGTGTGAGCTGCAACAAAGACAGAATCACCGTTTTCCAGGTGATAAACCGCTTCTTTCTGGAAAACGTCCAACTCGAATGGCCATTCTCTAGCCATATCCGGTACCAAATCATGAAAGTTGGGGATTTCCTTGTTGATGTCCACAACATGTGCCCATTCCCGGCCCTTCTGTTTCTGGATACCAGCAAGTAGGGGATTGCGCGGCTCAAGTGCAGGGAACTCTACCGGCAGCAAAGCATCAATATCTTGCTCATCCTCATCACTGAGTTCCCCGTCTGCGGTATCGACCTTCACGCCTCCATCTTCATCTTGTGTCTCATCAGGCTTATCAGCCTGTATCTCACTCTCCTCCTGGTTGAGTGCGTTTTCGACCTCCTCTTCTCCCTCTGTGACCTCTTTGGACTTTTGTTCTGCGAAACTCATGCCACGGTCAAACCCAGGGGGTATGGTCAAAAGTCCACCCTCTGAGCCAAAGTTGATAATGCGGTCTAGACCCCCCTGTCTTCCAGAGCGCGATTGTTCCACAGATTCTGCATCTGCCTCCATCGCGGCAAGTGCTTCAACTCCATCCAAGCCACCTGGTGCAAACGGGAAGAACCCCGCTGCACCGCGAACAAAGTCTGCACGACCAGCCGGTCGGCGAAGAAGCGAGGTTGAGTTCTTTGCATTGATGCTTGAAGCCGGGACTGTGACTTCCTGGTAGCCGGTGACCCGTCCTTCCAGTCCTTCTCGTGTAAATCTTGTGACAGTGCGGGTTTGTGTCGGGGCAATCTCGAAGAGGTCGGTCGAGTCCATCGGAACATCCCATCGCCTATGGATATTATTAGCAGTGCTCAGTTGACCTGTCCTTTTTGCACGTCATGCATTCACAGACTGGCTTACTTTTGCAGCTGATTCAGCCATTTCGGGCTAAATGTAGCGGAAGGCTTCAAGAAATCATCTTCCAGATCTTTTAGAAGATCATCCGCGCTCTGGCGACTTTGTTTGCGGGGCTCGCGTCTTTCGAATGTACCGGCCTCCTCCTCAGCAAGCCGCGCCTCAACAAATGCTGGTTTCAAAGCTTTGGTGTTCAAGCTTAGCTCGTTCAAAGCTGAGGCTAATGGGTCCGCCATTTCAAGATGTGGTTGTACAAGTCCGGAATGTTCTGCGGGAACCCGTCGATGTCGAAATCAATTCGGCGGACAAACGCGGCTGGAATTGAACCGGGAACTTAAAAAGGAGACAACTGATGCTTAAAAAAGGTGCGGAGACAATTGAGGCAGGGGAAAAATGCAGAGACCATCAAATCACCGAAACGCACTCAGTCCAGAACTGGGCACCCCACCTTGCTTTTTGCCTGTTGGAGCTTTGGGCCAGTGTCGGGGCGGTGTCGACCGGCATAATATGCCCTGTTGACGTAGTGTGGGGCATCGATATCGATCCACCCTACGGTCGATGGATTGACTTGTGTCTTGAAACTGGCATACACGCAATACGCAGACTAGCCTTTGTCTATGAATGGTTCCAATAATTTGCATTTCAAGAAGATGTCATCGCCTGCAGGCATATATCTATATACACACCACCCCAAAATTAGACAAACCTAGGATTGGAATATATATATATACTGCACTAGGTTGTTTGAATTTCCAACACTGTAGCACTATCAAATAGCCTGGGCCCCAGTATTTTCCAACCCTGCCCAGTATCAACCAACACCAACGACACTCAGGCGTGGAACTCCCAACCTGGACAGGCGGGTATAGGTACCAGGGCTGCCGAGTAGGTACAGTAGCCCGGGAAAACCATAGCATCCGTGGACTGCAGGCATATATACGTACTTCCTTACACAATATAAGAAGATAAATACATTATTCCCACACATACGGGATTGCGCAACCCAGCTCTGGAGGTGAGTGATTCTGATGATTTGAGACACCTAAGCCTTCAACACCCATATTAAAAAACTCAACCTTGGAATGAGAAAACTTGAGAAAGCAGGCTCCCATTTGCCCATGCAGATATACTTATCACAGTCACTACATATGCATCAAGCATGAGATTTGAAAGATAATTTTGGAAGTTCTCGTGAGTATTGGCATTAAAATATCATACGCTGTAGAACTTTTGTACCGGAACCAGCCAATCAAAAGGAACTGTGCAAAACATAAGACAGAAAGGCTGGAAAGAAACCACGCCCGGAGCGCCTGAAGTATACCTATGCAAGAGATGAAACATACCGAAGGCCAAATCCAGCTCGGAAAAGATAACAAAGGGGAGATGAAATAGTGGCCTCCCAGAAAGTGAAAAGCGAATCAGGAACTGACACACTTCTCTCCAGATGATGACCGATGAAAGTGATTGCTTGCTTTGATCAGCCTCCATGCTCTGGAACAGTGAAGCAGAATGGCGTGAGGAACAAGTCATCGATTATAAGCTTCATCGGTATGAGATTGACGGGAAAGTTCGTCGGTCGTGGATGTTTAATTGAAATTCGAAAATTCCTTGTACTGTGGCAATGTACCTAGTGAATAGTGGGTCAGGACCTGCTATAGAAGACTGTAGGGGCAACTAGACTTACAATGTTCTCCCGTCAGCGCCCCAGCCTAATCCAGCTGTAGCGTCTGGCTCACCGGCACCGGAGCCATGGATCAGGCTTCGGTCAGGCAGGTCATTGATGATGTTCCTGATCCAGCGGGGCGAATGGGCCTGTTCAAAACCAAGAAATAGTTGGCGACGTCTTTGTTCAGGTTCAAGAGAGGAGCGGTAGGTATGTACCTCACTGGCCATTGGGCGGCGTCGAAGACGCTCCGCCGCAAGATTTGATCTTATTTCATAGTTAGATGGGCGAGAACTATCATATCTGCGTTCGGCCGCGGTCTGAGGTCGTTCCGTTCGCCGTGGGGCTGAACTTGATTGCTGGGCCCTAAGTCTAGCAATACCCGCCCGCTCGAGGTCAATTGGTTCGGGCCCAGGTCTGAATGGATCAGGAGTTCTTGGACCTGAGTCGTTTTCATGACTGACAAGATCAGGGTCAACACCCTGTGAAGCGATGTCTGGTCCGGCAGACAGAAGATCAGATGGCGACGTTGTCCAGCTTAGGGTAAGGCTGGGCTGGGGATCATTATTAGAGTTTTCAGTTTCTGAAGATCGACTTCCCTGTGAGAGAACGATTGAACTTTGACGCCTGGCGTGGTATGACCGCTCGGTAGGGCCCCCCGCGCGTCTGGAATGACTCATGCGCGGGGGTGGAGGTAGCGGGGGCGGCAGAGATATTTCTCCATCGACATCTCGAGCCGTATCTGAAGAGTCATATGGACGTGGGGGTGAGTTAGGAAGGGAGTTTCGAGCAGTCCCATCCGCAGACCCGAGGTGTCGTGCGCGGGCCACATGAGAATGCAAGCTTGCTCTGGCTGGTCGTTCTGGCCGTTCTGGCCGTTCTGGCCGTTCTGGCCGCTCAGTTACCCCTTCTTCCAATCTCCCTGTCCACCGTGCTGTATTCAAAAAATCCATGATGATTCTCTCCCGCTCGGTGAGATCCTGTATTAAGTTCTCACGCAGTGAAGAACGTTCGGTCTCTCCGGCGGCTCGCTCAATTGGGGGGTCATCGCCATTGATTCTCAAACGAGGCGGGGGCGGCAGCACAGATAAATCGTCATCATCCATGGACTGATCATCTGATTCGTCTCCCAGTGGCTCCAAATGAGCCCCTTGCAGCTGTGGATCATCAAGATTCAAATGGAGAAGCTGCCTTCGGAGAAAAAATTGGCGAACATCTGCGATTCCAGCTCGGCCATGGCCTTCAAGCCATACCAGCAGGTCCCACGGTTCAGGGGAAAAGATCATGCAGCGCACAGCGCCACCCTCCTGGCATGACCTGGAAGCCAGGAATTGGTGAAGAATCGGGTTTTCATCTGATTCAAAACCGCCGGAAGTCTGGCGGATGACCTCTACATCTATGACTGTGATGACTCCTGATTGGGAGCCGATGGCACACAAATGGCTCGATGGTGAAAAGGCAATAGTAAAGCAGCAAGCGTCATCAGGGCGACCACCGATGTCTATCTCGATGCATTGCAGCATTTCCCATTCCCAACCCGCGAGTTTGCTACCTGCTTCTGTAGATGCAGATGGTCCCCAGTCTCGCAGAATCCGATAGAAATAAACCTTGTTCTCATCACCCACTGCAGCCAAGATGGTCTGGTCTGGTGAGATGGTGGTGTAGTTCATACAAGTTGTGTGTTGCAGGATCTTGAGAACTTTGGATCGGGTCAAGGAGTAGACGGTCACGGTATGATCGTTGTTGCTATCGAGGCGTGGTTAGCAATAGTCTGTGCAAGTTCTTGAACAAGGATGAAGAGTAGTACCTGAGGACCATCACATCTTCATGGGAGGTGCCTTCACCGTTGCTGGGGAAGCGATGGATTGTCACCGAATTGACAATACTGCCTCCGAATTTGTGTAGGATGAGTTCTGGCAATGATCGTCTCCCCGGCCGATATGCCGGGGTATCCCCAGAGGTTCCCGGCGACGGGAGCCGGGACGGTGGCTCTAGGTCGAGCGGAAGCGCACTATCGACATCGGCGGGGTGGAGTGGAGATGTCTCGTCATGAACCTGCAGTCCTCTCTCATCGATTCTGATGTAAGCGCATTCACCATTGTCTGGCCCACCCACCGCGATCCACCCGTAACCAGCCGCCAAGCATCGCGGCTCGAACGGAATGACGGCTATGCTCTCCCGCTTTTGCGCCGCAATGTGAATCGCAACGACAATTCGTTCGACGACGACATATATGCGATCCGGATCGGCCGTGCTGATGTAGTGGCGGAGCTGGGGGTGGCTGTGGCGTTCTTGTCAGGTCATGAACTCCGAAATGTAGGCCAGGGAAGGAGAGTGGAGAGGGGGATGTATACAAGTTCGGGATCTTCAAAGGAAAGAAGCGGCGCTTGTTCGGAAGGATGAGGGACTCAGTCGGGCGATGCCTAAGATATAAATGTGAGAAGGCCCGATCGCCATGATACGGGGTAAAGAGCGCTGGGGGGGGAGCGGGACCGGAGACTCACAAGAGCGAGTCCGAGGTCATGGTGAGCAGCTATGCCCGCGGCGACATTGTCCGATATATAAAAAGGGCAAAGACTGAGAGCGCCACCAGACCCGATCGAGAGCTTTGAAGAGCACTTAAGCTGAACTTGAGGCTAAGTAGCATGCGCTTTCAAACTGATGACGTAAGACTTGGGTGGAGCTAAAAGCCGGGGAGCGAATGCGGTTGTACCGTAGTATGGGGAGCTCATGAAGGGAAGAAATATGCAAATGCCGCATGCAATAGAGATAGTAACCAAATTATCAGATCTGATTGGATCCGTCGATATTTATTTGATCTTTTGTTTTAGGTTTCTTGATGAAGGGAAATCTAGATCGGATAAAGGTAGGAAAGGGAACAGAATATTATATTTATTTTGTGAGAAGTTAAATGGAAATTTTATAACCAAAGCCGATATACCTATATCCCTCCAAGCTCCATATACTCTAGACTACTCCAGTCGGAGCTATTTCATGCCGCCATGATCGACATTTCGACCATCGTCTGCTTCCCAATCGAGGACCAGGGACGGTCACACGACACTCCCCGGTTGGACCCCAACCCCATAACAAGAATGCAACACAGAAATATCGAACAGGTCGGGCTCCACGGAGAACCGAGGCAGTTGATTTGAGATGAATTAGGGCAAAGAAATGACAACAAAGAGCTCTTTTCAGTTTCCTAGCGGTCCTTTCTACACCTTTTTAGCAGGGTTTTATGGGGGTTGAAGCCCGACCGCTAGAAATGGAGTTCCCAATTGGATCACCCAAGCTAGAAATCCATTCCATAGTAGCCGTTAATTCTAGCTTGACCGTAATACCTAGCGACGTAAAAACCTCCGAATTCCAAGCGGAACTCTAGTGGCCGAAATTCGGCCAACCTCGCAATTACGTCACGTGTACACCGGGCGGTGAGTTCGGTCCCCCGGCAATGTCCCGTGATTCCATAAGCTTCCAAACCGTGCAAAACCTTTCTCTCTCCTTCTCCTTCCTTTTCTCCATCTCCATCTCCATCCTCCTCCCCTTTTTATACCTCTCCATCACTCCGCGATTGATTCGTTCGAGTGTTCTACCTTTTCTATTTTTTGTATTACTTAATTTAACTCACAATGCTTCCTTCTCGCATGTCTCGCGCGGTAAGTCTTTTCCCTTTTTTTGGGCGACGGATAAAAGCCGTCACGCGTCGCAACAACATTTACTAAACTATTCTTCTAGCTCCCGCGCGCTGCTTTCGCTCGCACCCCTACCTCCAGAGTTCCCGGCGCTGCTTTCCGCCGATGGAACTCCACTGAGGGTGGTGAGGAGAAGGTCAAGGGCTCAGTCATTGGTATCGATTTGGGTAAGTCACGAAGGCAACCTTGAATACTTTTCCTCAATGCAATTATCTAACGACATTGATGATAGGTACTACCAACTCCGCTGTTGCCATCATGGAGGGCAAGACCCCCAAGATTATTGAGAACGCTGAGGGTATGTGAAAAATTTTCCCTTCGTAGTCATCGGTAGCCCATCCGAATCAGATTCCGGACCATTCTGCCGGTGATTGCCAACAATCATGAACCCCCTATAACTAACATGATCTTTTCACAGGTGCCCGTACCACTCCCTCCGTCGTTGGTTTCGCTCAGGATGGTGAGCGCCTTGTCGGTGTTGCCGCCAAGCGTCAGGCCGTTGTTAACCCCGAGAACACTCTTTTCGCTACCAAGCGTCTCATTGGTCGCAAGTTCACCGACGCTGAGGTCCAGCGTGATATTAAGGAGGTCCCCTACAAGATTGTCCAGCACACCAACGGTGACGCTTGGCTCGAGGCCCGTGGCCAGAAGTACTCTCCTTCGCAGATTGGTGGTTTCGTCCTTAACAAGATGAAGGACACCGCTGAGGCTTACCTCGGCAAGCCCGTTAAGAACGCCGTTGTTACTGTCCCCGCATACTTCAACGACTCCCAGCGTCAGGCCACCAAGGATGCCGGTCAGATCGCCGGTCTGAACGTTCTCCGTGTTGTTAACGAGCCCACCGCTGCTGCTCTTGCCTACGGTCTTGAGAAGGAGGCCGACCGCGTTGTCGCTGTCTACGATCTTGGTGGTGGTACCTTCGATATCTCCGTCCTGGAGATCCAGAAGGGTGTGTTCGAGGTTAAGTCCACCAACGGTGACACCCACCTTGGTGGTGAGGACTTCGATATCCACCTTGTCCGCAACATTGTCGAGACCTTCAAGAAGGAGTCTGGTGTCGATCTCAGTGGTGACCGCATGGCCATCCAGCGTATCCGTGAGGCTGCCGAGAAGGCCAAGATTGAGCTGTCTTCCTCCCTCCAGACTGAGATCTCTCTGCCCTTCATCAGTGCCGGTGCCGGTGGTGCCCTCCACATCAACCAGAAGATGACCCGTGCTCAGCTCGAGGCCCTTGTTGACCCCCTGATCCAGCGTACCGTTGAGCCCGTCCGCAAGGCCCTCAAGGACTCCAACCTCAAGTCCAGCGACATCCAGGATGTCATTCTGGTTGGTGGTATGTCCCGTATGCCCAAGGTCACCGAGTCCGTCAAGTCCATGTTCGGCCGTGACCCCTCCAAGTCCGTCAACCCCGACGAGGCTGTCGCTATTGGTGCTGCTGTCCAGGGTGCTGTCCTGGCTGGTGAGGTTACTGACGTTCTGTTGCTCGATGTCACTCCCCTGTCTCTCGGTATCGAGACTCTCGGTGGTGTCTTCACCCGTCTGATCAACCGCAACACCACCATCCCCACCAAGAAGTCCCAGACTTTCTCCACTGCTGCTGACATGCAGACCGCTGTCGAGATCAAGGTCTTCCAGGGTGAGCGTGAGCTTGTCAAGGACAACAAGATGCTGGGTAACTTCCAGCTTGTCGGCATCCCCCCTGCCCACCGTGGTGTCCCTCAGATTGAGGTTGCCTTCGACATTGACGCTGACTCCATTGTCCACGTCCACGCCAAGGACAAGTCCACCAACAAGGACCAGTCTATCACCATTGCCTCTGGCTCCGGTCTCTCCGATGCCGAGATCCAGTCCATGGTCGAGGATGCTGAGAAGTACGGCGAGTCTGACAAGGAGCGCAAGGCCGCCATTGAGGCCGCTAACCGCGCCGACTCTGTCCTGAACGACACCGAGAAGGCCCTCAAGGACTTCGAGGACCGTCTTGACAAGACCGAGGCCGAGACCATCAAGGAGAAGATTGCTACTCTCCGTGAGTTCGTTGTCAAGAACCAGTCTGGTGAGGGTACCGCCACCGCCGAGGAGCTCAAGGAGAAGACCGATGAGCTCCAGACCGCTTCCCTGACTCTGTTCGACAAGATGCACAAGGCCAACAACGAGCAGCAGCAGCAGCAGCAGACTGGCGAGCAGCAGGGTGAGAACAAGCAGTAAACGCTTGTCTCCCGTTGAGCGCTCCCACCTCTGGCCACTAGGCCCATGTATTTTTCCTGTGTTTTTCCTTTTCTTTTCCTTGTGTTAGAGACTCCCTGGTCTCTTTTTCGCATCTCCTTTCGCATCAACTGTACACATACTTCTCAAGGCCCTTCTATCCCCCTTTCTTTTTCTGGTGTATCGGTGTTTGATTACCAACTTGTATGATCTATTTTCTTTTTCTCTCTATTTTCATATCTACTCCCATCTACCCTCTGTGATTGGCCCATAAGCCTACCAGAGAGTATGCCGGGATTGTCTACCATTGTATTTAATGACATTACGGCAAAGGGGGGCTACCAAAAAGGATGCAAGCTTTGGCTTTCTGGGTGCATGTGACAATAGAAATCGGACCATTCTCCTCTCGCTTTTGAACATTTTCCCTCCATAGTATCTCTTTCCAAGGTTGAAGCTGTCAGACCGTTTTTGCGTAACCTGACTTCGGAGCACGGGGCATTGACATTGCTTGTGGCTCTCAACGCGCCACGATGGTGATGTCCCCCCAAAAAGGCTTCCAGTCCAATGAGATTGAGTGCCGGCTGTATGCACTGCTCATCCGAAATGCACCCTGCAAGCCTCCACCACCAGACCTCTGAAAGGCCAAAAGTACGAAATTCCATCATTCCCCAGCCTCGTCAACGCCGATTCCTGAAAATGATAGGTCGGAAAAGCTCCCCTGCCGTATGCAACTTGACGTTTGCGCCCACCCTGACGGGTCATCCGCTCATTAGCTCGAAACTATTGAGGTCCGTTCCAATGACCAATCTATTTGGAAAGAATCGGAACAAAACAAGAAAATTTAATATAGGCATAACCATAATTCGGATTGAATTTGGATCCGGGCCCCCATGAAAGGCCAGTCCAAAAAGCTAGTGCAGTGTAGATGAACCAATCGCCTCTAAACCCTCGATCTCTTGCATGAAACGACTGCGGCCAGACAGTTTTTCCAGATGATTCCTGATTCCCCTCTACACGCTACTCTTCTCGGGCGAGATCACCGGTGAGAGGTGGCGTCTTCAGTTCAGTGTTTGATGATAACTCGAAAGCTAGACATTATCAAACGGAGCTATACGCCACTCGGTGGAAGGGGGGAACGTCTGACGAAGGATAATGTCAGCTTTGAAAACGTTCTAGAGCAATCGATTTGTCTGCTTGTTTGCATCATTATGAACCAGGATGAACACGAGCATCTGTTGGGCCTTGGGCGCGAGGCGCTGGTGACAGAGGCTGGTGCAGACTTCCCTGCAGCGACGGGCAAATCATCGTTGTACACACCAGTTGGGCTATCAAGTGGGTCTTGACTACAGTATGATGTTTGTCCATTACGAGGCCTGAGATCTTTGGATCCGGGACTGGTTGAATTTAATCTATTAATCTTTAATCTATTTGTGAAGAATGTGTTTGATCTACTTGCCCAGGAAAGTACCGAATGCCGCGCACTGGGGGAGTACAAGTGGTCTTCTCATGGTAAGAAAATCCCAACGCCATCACTTTACCCTTCAATCATTCGTCGATCACCTGTCTTGTGAGACCATCCGCCTTAGCGCGCCCCTAGTGCTGTGTATGATTATTTCCCACGGCTCCACTTTTCAATTGATTTCCACTTTTCAATTTTTTACTTTTTCGTAAAGCCCTGGCGTCTACTCCAAACAAGAATCTCCCCCCTCAGAAAGCAAATCTATCCAGCACAGGATGGTTCAAAAACTTGGTCACTTGATCTCATAGATCCATAATTAGGATACATTAGGGGCGATTAGTTAGCGCTGGGCGGGGAATATGCTAGCACCTAGTGGGGCAATGCAATTTCCCATTGGAATGGATTGCCTTGTCATCGCCTATTCGCCTACTCGGTTCAATGTGAATTTGTGATGCCCTTACCGCACTTCAACGATCCGCCCCCTTTTTAGGCTTTTGAAAATTTAGGCACAATCTAACATAAGGTTACGAGAGGGGCTGCAAAGGACTGGAACACTCCTTCCAGGAATCAATAGATCCATGCCACACAGACAATAAACGGAGGACGGAGTACCGGAGACAGGTATTCAGGTATTCATGTACCTATCCGCGAGAAGACGTGGTATTTTATTTTGAGTTGCTGATATTTTCTGTTCCCATCCCATGGAACTGCACCAGGGTCAAGTTCCCCTGTGTTACATAATTGATCTTCCCAATGACGCTGCGTCTTGGCAACTCCTGACGGTAGATCTGTGCTTTCCCATTGGTTGGGCCCGGAAAGATTTGTACCTATTGGGTAGAGCTGCTTATATTACACTGAAAATTGAAATTGCAGTCAAATCTGGAGCCGCTTGCTTTACCCATCTGAGTTTAACTTAGGGGAAAAGGTGATAGATCAACGATTCCCATCCTCCTCCACGGACACCCTCCGGTATTCCCAATGAAACTCGAATTTTTATTTTTATCGTCATCATGGGGGACTTGACGAGTACAGTGTCCCCCTAAACCCCCTTTTTTTTAATTTTTAATTTGTATTATTATTTTTGGATGCAGCTTTACATGATACATATTGGGACTGGTCATCATGCAGCTTGGGTTTAGCCATAATAAGGAGGTAGCTATTGTGGATGAAGTGTTCGGCGAAGGAATATCTGGATTCTCTGCATCCACGGTGGGTATTAGGTGGAGAAGGGGTCAGCTGACTTTGGTTTCTGTGTGTTTGAGGAAATTGACTGAAGGTAAACATAGACGGGTAAGAAGGACGGAAGGGTTGTTACCAATAAACGCCTGGCGACAGGGAGTCTCGAGATGGAGAGTATAGAGTGATACATAATAAAAATAGATGCCCCTAAAAGTGACTAAATCTCCACGAAAGAAACTGTGATGTGATTTGATTACATCCACTAGCGCCGAGCCAATCCATGGAAGTATTTGCCCACTGACCGCATCGGCCAAACTGGTTTTACTCTCCAATCGTCACATCTGAGATCCCTTACTCGACCGTTACGGGAAATTTTGCACGATAACGGGGGTGCAGCCCAAGGGTCGCGCTAGTGGCTTCTTTCCTTCTGATTTTTGTGCCATTTGCATGTTTTGGGCTGTTTGGGGGCATTTTTATTAGATTTTATAATGGAGACTTGGTCAATCCTTTCCTGACGACCCATAGATCGGAACTGGGTCTTTATTTTTATTTTTTTTTTCCTTTTTTCTCTCCACTCTTATTTCCTTGGACCGTTGATTGTTTTGCTTTTGCTTTTGTTTTCCTTGGTTCCATCTTCTCCCTACCCTTGACCCTATACTGGGCTCTGAAGAACAAGCACCTGCAAACCCTAGAACGTTAATTCTCAGAGATCGAACTCCGATCTCAGTATGACGACTGCACCGCTGGTGCCTCACCCTGTCACCGACAGTGGTATCAATGGAGGCCCGGGACATCTGAACGGTCTACCACGCTATCATCCCATCGCCATGAACCCAAACCCACCTCCACACCCAGCAATGCCACCACCAGATCAAATGGTGCAGAATCATCATTTCCGTCACTTTGCACCGCCGTTGCTGCATGATCCTCATGCTGGGCCCCCACCGGCGCCACCAACCCCGAGCCCGACCTCGTTGGAACAGATCGAACAGCGTCTGCGGCAATTGGAACATGAGGAAATGAACCGAATGGCAACGCGCAGCCACATTCTCGCCGTGCGCAAACGGGAAGATGAGGAGTTTCGCAGATTGACCGAGAGTGCAGAGATGGAGGAAGAGGTAGGCTCGATGTGTCATACGCGTCAGGAACAAATCAATGAACAAAATCACTAACCATGACTCAGGATCTTCGACGACAGCGCAAGCGGATGAAGAGAGAGTCGATGGGCCTGGGATCTAACAATACGGCGGACTCGCCGCCGTTGCGCCCTACACCACCTCGTCGACTATCAGAGACCAGTGCAGCTACGACACTGGCGTTTTTCAAGCAGCAGAGTCCGCCAGAGCCTCGTCAGACTCCTCTTCCTCCTGCATCACAGCCACAGCAACAACAAGCGCCTCCTATGCCCCCACCAGCTCATCTTCATCAAGCCCACCCTTCTCACCCACCCCATCCATCTCATCCATCTCACCAACCACATGCACCCCATCCACCTCACCAACCTCATCAACCTCATCATGCGCCCCCTCCCCAACCTCAGCACCATATTGTTCACCATGATTCTTTGAACGGCCCTGGATCTATCCGGCGCAAGCAAAAGTACACTATCAAGAACGTCGAGGCATGGGGCGAGCGTCACGGCCGCCCAGCAGCCCACGACCCATCAGGCCGAGCCCTATGGAAACGGCCTTCAGACGGCAGCCTAGTGTATCTGACCTGCCCAATCTCAGGCTGTGGAAAATCAGACTTTGTCACTCTCCACGGCTTCATGTGCCACCTGACCAAGAAACACAAAGACCGCACACTGGGCAGCCAATCGCGCGCCCTCGAACTCTGCGGTATCGTCTTTGATCCCAACTCTCCATTGCCCCCAGTGACAGCCCACCGTGGCTCGACAGAGAGCGCAACGCCAATGGACCACGACGGAGACCAAGATGAGGATCTGGAGTCCGATCCCGAAGAAAGCGAGGACTCCCCCGAATCGTACCGCGTCAAGACTGAAGGATCCGAACGTCTTGGACTCTCAGAAGTCCAGGACACACCCGGTCCACACGACATGTCTCCGGTTCCGGTCCAAAAACCCGTACTGAACGGTTCAGTCAAACAATCCATTTCGTCCATAATCGACCGAACCCCCGAACCAGAGCCTAGAGAAGCTCTGGCTTCCCTCGCGCCTTCTGAGCCCGTTTCCCAAAATCACACACCCATCTTGGAACAGACGGTGCCCGTGAAGCGGAAATTCGAATACTCGCCTGAGAAAGAGAACACAGAACCGAAGGAGGGATCTGCGACTGAGTAATCTCCTAATATCTCTCCATCTCTTTCCTCTCTATCCTACTTCATATAATCTCACATAATCCCGTGGTTGTCATTTAGCTACCATGAGCCATACATAGCATCGATATGACAAAAAACATCATCTTGCATCAATCATCAGCACTGGTTCAATCGACCTGTCATTCATTATCATCTCTGAATACCCTTTTGTCTTATTTGGGTGGCTTGCTACTACTTATTGTTATGCTGCCATGTTCTTTGCCGCATATTGTTAGAATGGCCCTTTTTGTCCATAATTTGCATATTAAGCATATTAATGATATTGGAGATCAGCGGATCTAGACTTTGATGCAAATGAAATTCATCAATGAATAATGTACTACGCTTGCAAGTATGAAGTAGGGCTTGGGGGAAGTTGCCTTAATACAGTATTTCCGTATAAGTGGCGTCTTTCGACAAACAGTGGTGAAAGCGAGCAGGTGTAGTATGTACAATATCTAAGTCTAATGGATACATAATAGGAACATCGACAATGCCCTTCCACTGCGGCCTCCATAGTGAGCATACAAGCCAACATCATCACCTCTCTCTAGCCATTATCAAATGCACCAAATACCCCGATCCACCCTTCAACCCATCCCCTAGCACCTCATCACTAATCCTCCAAACCCGAAATTCCTTCAACGTCTCCCTTAACCAAGTGTCAAACACCTCCGGATTCCGCTGCATCTGCGCAACAATACAGACCGTCGGCCGACGAGCCGACTCCTCCGAATCCGGGTTATACGCAGGTCGTAACCGACAAATCTCAGCGCAGGTACGCACAAACGGCGAGACGAGCGCTTCATTATAAATACAATCACAAGAAAGAAGAAGGTCGAAGCCTTTATCTTCTGGATCCATTTCCTGACGCGAATCAGGATCGATACACTCCTTTAATAAACTGGGCTGATCAGTCTCCCAGTCTAGTGTCGTAAAGGTAATGTTCGAGCTTGAAGGTACAACTGTAGCTGATGTTTTTGAGGCAGGCTTCTTTTTACTACTCCCTTTTGACCTTCCGGTCTTCTGCTTTGACTGGCCGGTAGCATTTACAGATGCGTTCTCGTCGAGGTTTGTACGGAAGAACCGGCGCACGTATTCTTGGTCTGTGGCGACATAGTGTTGTATTGATGGTGCTAGAGAGAGGGGCAGTAAGGCTGAGATGCCGCATCCTAGTTCAGCGACGACAGAGTCTGCAGTGAGGATGGAATTTGTCCATAGCGGATTGGTTGGAGAAGAGATCCATTCCGCAAAGGGTGGAGTGATTTTCCAGAGGACTAGGAGAGTTAGTATACGTCCACGTATAGTTGGATGTATAGTCACAATTCCGGTGATGACATGTGTATAGCGGCAAGCAGTAACAAAATAAACCAATCAGACGATCCCAGATGACATCAAATGATGTTCGAAGCGGAGCCTCGGCTCATCTCAGTTCCTGGACCGACATTTACAAACTGCGGGGTGTTGAGTCCGTGCTCGGGGATTGCAGATCAGAACTTACCGGCGCCAGTGGTTCCTCCGACTCGAGACGAGGAGAGTAATCCTGGAGATTGATGGATGGTGTATTCATGATCCTGGATTGTCACGTCGACGGTGGTCGCACGCGAATCTAGGAATCCTAGATTGCCGGTGGCGATCTCCTGGCTGAAGAGTAGGAAATATTCTAACCGGATGTATGCAGTGAGTTACTGGGGGCTTGAAAATTGGGATTCGTATCATCCGTAGATTTTATTGGTGACTGACCCTCTTCGGCGTCGGTGACTTCTTCTCCGATGGCGAGAAGTGCGCTGATGGACATTGTGTGTTAAAAGTCTCTTAATGATGCGTTACTGAGAAGCTACGTCTGCGTTTGGATCACGTGGATAGGAACTCATCATATCGCAACTGAATCTGCTCTCCATAGATTTGAATCGGTGGTCAATTGTACAGACGATCATAGTTTCCAAGATGTTGGGCTGTCCCAACAGTTACAGAAAAGAGTAATTGATCTACAAGACTAAGAGAGTTTGCAAGTACGTTCGAGGACCATATATTCACAGTCGGCTATACACTCCAGCCTTTTGTCTTTTATTTAGATGCAGTCTTTATGCCAAGGAATATGTATTGATTAGTGAATTGCATATTAATAACAGATAGAAACCTCGTCATTTAAATGGATGCCAAGTGCGTCATTCGTGAAATTACGGGAGAAACCAGCCACAATAAGTACTAAGCGCATTGTTGTGACCTGGAGCTCCGGCCTGACCTCCTCATTTTTTTGCTTTTCTGTTCACGAGTTTTGCTTCTTCTCTTTCAAAGTCCCCAAAAACTGTCTGAATCATCTGTAGAGGTTAGTTTTACGATCATTTCCACCGGTCTGTTCCGGGTAAAGCTTTGCATTTGCCGACCAAGCTTCCCTTGTTTGGCCCCATTCGCTGCCGCCACAATAGCGCTAACGTCACTGGTCCCAGGCACTTTTTCCAGCTACTCTTCTTCTCTCCCTTTCTCTACTCCCTCCTAATTTACGTCCTCCCACACACTTTCAAGTCCCGCCATCATGTCGAAGCGTGACTTGACCGTACTCCAGCCGCGCATGGTCAAGAAGGGGCCCTTCTCCGTCGAGGCCCCCGGATATGAACCCGTCGCCGGAGAGACCATTCCCCGCCGACACCCGTTGGCTAAGGATGGTCTCATTTTGCGCCCTTCAGAGGATGTCGCGACCACCTACGATAACTTCCGCCGCTCCGCTCGTCTGTTCGGTAACAACAAGGCCGTCGCCACCCGCAAGGTGATCAAGACCCATGTCGAGAACAAGAAGGTCAAGAAGATCGTCGATGGAGTCGAGACAGAGGTGGACAAGCAATGGACCTACTTCGAGCTGAGTGGATACACCTACATGTCGTTCCTTGAGTATGAGCAGCTCTGTCTCCAGCTGGGCGCTGGTCTGCGCAAGCTTGGCCTGGAGAAGGACAGCCGCATTCACCTCTACGGAGCTACTAGTGCGCACTGGCTGGCCATGTCGCACGGTGCTGCCTCTCAATCGGTGACCATCGTCACTGCCTATGATACCCTAGGGGAGGAAGGCTTGGCGCACTCGCTCAAGCAAACCGCCTCCGACGCGATCTTCCTGGACCCCGGCCTGATCAAGTCCCTCCTCCACATCCTGAAGGACATTCCCTCAATCAAGCACATCATCTACAACACCGACACCGAGGTGAAGCAGGAGGACCTAGACACGCTGAAGAGCGACTTTAGTCACATCTCGGTGCAGAGCATTGATGATCTGCGCAAGTCCGGCGAGGAGAACCCCGTGGATCCCGTGCCCCCCAAGCCCGAGGATCTTTGCTGTATTATGTACACCTCCGGCTCTACTGGCCCGCCCAAGGGTGTTCCTTTGACTCACGCCAACGTGATTGCTGCCACCGCCGGTGTCAACGCAATTGTCGGCCCTTGCATTAGCCCCACAGACTCTTTGCTTACATACCTCCCCCAAGCGCACATTCTGGAGTTCATGTTTGAGAACCTCTGCTTGTTCTGGGGAGGTGCCATGGGATACGGTAACCCTCGCACATTGTCCGATACCTCGGTGCGGAACTGCAAGGGTGATATTCGCGAGTTCAAGCCGACTGTCCTGGTTGGTGTCCCGGCAGTTTGGGAGACCGTGAAGAAGGGTGTCTTGAACAACCTTAACAAGACCAGCTTCATTGTCAAGGGCATGTTCTGGGGCGCTTTTGCTGCCAAGAGCTTCCTCTTGAACAACGGTTTCCCCGGTGCCCACTTTGGTGCGGGTATCCTTGATGCGGTTGTCTTCAAGAAGCTCAAGGAGGCTACTGGTGGTCGGCTTCGTATTATGATGAACGGTGGTGGCCCCATTTCCAAGGATACCCAGAAGTTCCTTTCCATGGCCATTGCGCCCATGATCAGCGGTTACGGGTTGACCGAGACCTCCGCCATGGGTGCTCTGAATGACCCCTTGGCCTGGAACCCCGAGGCTCTAGGTGAGGTGCCCGCATCTGTGGAGATCAAGTTGGTCGACTTCCCCGATGCTGGATACTTTAGCACGAACACCCCTCCCCAGGGAGAGATCTTCATCCGTGGTGGCAGTGTCACCTCCGGCTACTTTGACAACGAGGAAGAGACAAAGGCTGCCCTGACCGAGGACGGCTGGTTCATGACCGGTGACATTGGCGAGTTCGACTCCCACGGCCACCTGAACATTATTGATCGCAAGAAGAACTTGGTGAAGACCCAGAACGGCGAGTACATTGCCCTTGAGAAGCTGGAGTCTGTCTATCGCTCGTGCCCTGTGGTTGCCAACATCTGTGTCTACGCCGCTGAGGACCAGGACAAGCCAATCGCCATCATTGTCCCTGTGGAGGTTGCGATCAAGAAGATTGCCAGCGAAAACGGCATCCAGGGAGACAGCCTGGAGACTCTCGTCCACAACGAGAAGCTCCAGCGTCTTGTCCTGCAGCAGCTACAGAACAGCGGCCGTTCCGGCGGTCTGAAGGGTATTGAGATTATCAACGGCGTTGTGCTGTCCGACGAGGAGTGGACTCCCCACAACGTAAGCGTTTCACCCCCAGAAAGAGAAATCCAGGCGATGCTAACACTATTCATAGGGCTTCATGACTGCTGCTCAGAAGCTGCAGCGCAAGAAGATCGTCAAGCACTACGAGGCCCAGATCAACAAGGCCTACGGCAAGAAATAAACCAAAAAAGCGACGGGAGATCTGATATCTAGTTGAATGTTTCCGCCCATCTATGTTCATGTTCATTCTTCGCTCTTCTTTTTTTCTTCTCCTGTTTCTTTCTTTTCCCCGTTACCCTCTCCGCGTTTGATTTGATTTGCGTCTCAAGCCTTTTTTGATATGCTATTCCCCGTGACGACATTCTGTTGTCCTCTCGCCCTGCCACGATTTAGACGAGATAGTGCTGAATACAGACATGAAATTGCGATGGGCTGTTTCTAGCTATGGTTGATGATAGTAGTGTGTTCTACCTATTTAAGATGTACATGACAAGTCCTCATTTATCCACGATACTTAAGCCACAGTTACACCGCACTACCAGCAAAATCAGATCGACCTCACGTCGTGGTACCGGTACCTGGCAGGAACCTCAGGAACAGGAACACAGAGCCTCACCAGATCGGGTTAGATCGACAGAGCCAGAGCACGTGATCTGGAGCTTCAACTTCACCTTCATGTCTTCTTCGCAATGAAATCCCCAGAAACCCACTTCAATTACTACGAGCACAACCGAAATGTCTTTGTGGAGGTACGTTGCACCTGATGAGAACCGTAATTTTAAATTCCCCCATCTAACACCTCGCGCAATAGCACCTACCGCGGACTGACCCCGAAAACCCGGGCCCTCTTCGGCGTCGGCGTGATGGCCTGGGCGACCATCGGACTATGGACTACCCCTCAGGTTGAGAGTGCACTGGGCATGCAGTCGACCAAAGAGGAGCAGGAGGCTCTGGATCGGCAACTTGCCGTTCGGGTCTCCCGGGTTGGGGATGAGAAGGGGGATGGGCTAAACTGAATTGAGCAACCTGGGAAGTGAACGACATTTGATCCAGGCTTGCCACATGATGGACAGATACTCTCCGAGGACCGGTTCTCAACGACGTTGGAATTCGGGCTCTTCAGTTTGGGATATCGCCTTGGATACGATACACCTTGAATACAGCACAGACGCAGACACGGAGATCTCGGAAGCCAGAGCTCGCATACAAGCGGTTGACATCCAGTCTCATCTACCATCGATGGTGATGTCTTTTCACACAGCCCTCCTGGTCTATTCTTCCAGCTAGGTCGTCCGGCAATACCGAACCAGCACCTCACCGTGCGTCTGTGCCATTTTGCGTGCTCAGACCCTACCGACGAGAGCCTCTGCCCATGCCCATGCCGCATCAGTCTGCTAGCGCATGTCAATGCATGCACATGCATATCAACTGAAAACGAAATATTCATATCCGTCTCTCTCAATTGCCCTGTTCCCCAGGGGACGAGACAATGCCAATCGCAATTCTGCGTTGTCGCGAGTCCGAGAATCATCCGTTCATTTCCTTGGCGGCTGAGCAGCGGTGCCTCCAGCCCAGATCGCAATCCTGCTAGTCAGCGCTTTGAGAGGCCAATGACGGCGCATTTTATTCTCCGGGCTTGATGGGGTCGGAATTGAGATGCGTTGCGAGCCGCATGATGTTTCGGCTTGTTCGGTCAAATCGTGGTGGGTTAGGGATGGAGGATTCAACCCCTGGTATTGCTTTGCGGTGCTTGTCGTGTCTATGGTGGTGACCTATCCTTGTCTATTCCTGTTGTCTTGTCTATCAATGGCATTTGACATTACAAATCAATTATTTGCTAGTCACATACCACCCTTCACCATTCACCTTCATCCATACCCCCCTTTCCCCAGTATAATCATATCACCCCGAACCCTCGTCCAAACTCCAATCCAACTCCCCGAAAAACCCAACACCTCACGTGCTAAGGGTCCAAGCCCGATTATCTCTCGTTGAACAAAGCCCAAGCCTCAGAGTCACGACGAAGATCTCAGGAGCCGTTGACGTGGAACATCGGAGGAAACCACCATCCCGGCTGGCTGTAGTCAGGGGACAGAGTCGGTCAGGTTCGAATCCCGATCCAGCGGCCGCAACCCGGTATCGAATCCAGGTTGAGATTGGAATGCGAGTGCCATGAACATTGCGATGTCTTGAAGTGGAGATTAGGGCTGATACATGTGGGTTGGGAAGTTGTACTTTTGCGACACCTGGGTTCACGCAAGACAGATGCAGTAGTCCGATCGAAAGACGGTAGTTGATTCAAACCAGACACCCACATCTACGCTAGTCAACTCTCATTGGCACGAATGGGTTGACCTGGAATATCAGCGTATCAGGTGCGCGACCTCTCCACGGCTCGCAATCACGATCCCGGCCTACCCTTTTCGCAGGTTACGCACAGGACGATGCCGTTGCACGAGCAACCCAGCGTCCAATGTCTTGAACAAGATGCATATGCTCGACGGACTAGGATCTAATAGTCCCGAAAAGAAAAAAAAAACCCAGTTCTTGACAACTCACATCATCTCAACATCAATGCTAGGCGCCCATTGGATCTTCGCATACAAATGAAATCATCGACCTTGTGGATCGGATCATTTCATTAGGCGCTTTGATTCTGTGCAACCCGTCAGAACCAACCCTCCGCCTCTCGAACGACAAGGCTGATTAGGCATCTGTATGCGACCAGGATGATGTGCACATGCTGGATGGGAACATCCTCTGACCTCTTCTGCCGTCGGGTTTTGTGCTACGGAGAAGGGCACCGGGCGAGGCTGATGGTATGTCATTCCGTTTCCCTGAGTGCTCTGCAAGGCCAGTAAATCCAATTAAATTAAATTATCAAAAATAATTAAAAATCAAAATCTAATAAATTCCATCAAATAAAGATAATCCAAATAAATCCAAATAAATCCAAATCCAGAATCATCCATATTCCCATGCCCAATAGGCCCCCCAACCGCAACCCTAGGGCAAAAGTCCGAACTTTGTCACGGGCTTATTGCCACGGTCTAACTAACGCCCACGCCCGATGCCAGAGATCATACTGTAGTAGTGGCAGGAACCCCACGACAAAAGTACGAAAGGCCCTTGAGGGTTTTTCCCACTGAGCATCGCCCTGATAACCCGCTAAAGGACCAGGGTGGCGTAGGCACTGAAACACCGGAACTTGCCGAGCCAAGCATCACGAGCGCGGCTTGTGCAACTCGACGACGATGCCTCCCACGTCCGCATCAGGCAGTTCCTTCCTCGCGTAGTCAGCACTTGCCACCGCCCGGATGGCAACTGGGCTGAGCTGAGACGTAATAAATCAACTGCACCGTCGATCCGATATGGGACATGCATAATCTGCACCTGCACATTGAATTTTAATTTGGGACGGACTAGTACCTGGACGAGGATCCAATAACAACACATGATGTGTATAGCATGTGGGCTTATACGTTGTGATAACCCTAGAACCTATAATACTTGGTGGTTCTATGCTCTCTCTGCTCGTCGGTCCATACTTCAGCAGCACGGACACATCCCCCGCATTGAACCCTTGCCTGAAATTACGACAGGTCCTTCAGACACATAAGCACAAAGCATAATCCTGCCGAAGGCGCGCTGCCCCGGTCTGATTGGCTCCTCGACTCGTGCCGTGCTAGTAACCCAGCTCGTTAGGGGTCGGCAAAGAGAAACTTGAGACGACGCCACCATTCCGGGGTCCATCTTTTACCCTGGCATCTTGGACCCCTTCTGTCCGCTGACACTGTGGGTGGCCTAGTATGCACTCAACAAGCCATAGTATCTGGTAATGGAATTTAAGATTCTCTTTGTATCCGTAATTAACACCGCCCCAGTACCAGTGGGGCACCAATAAGAAACACATCCCGTGGAAGCAGTCTAGTCTAAATTAGTCTACCGCAGAGGGAATTGTGGATATGTCCCCAACCTTGTCGTCTCAGTACTCCCCAACATCAGTCGTTCCCAACGACCATTCCAACCGGCCCTATCCCTACCAAACTCTGCGCAACCCGGGTAGATATCAATCAGAACCGGAACCGCAGCAAAAAACGGTTCCTGGCGGGTTAGGCGAATCGGGGAATTACGCGGAATGGGAGAACGCAGGCAAACATGTCCGGCGAAACGCTCATGTATGGTAACTCATTAGGGCGATATCTGGTATCTGGATCTAGCAAGGAGACAAAGTCAATAAAAAAAAAAAAGCTAATAACATTCTGTATTCCCCATTCTTTTGGTAAAGAGAAGGTAAGTTAATAAGAAAAGGTAAAATGTGAATGGGAATGGAAACGAAACGACTGCCATATTCACGTCTGCTTATGGCAATAGTCAGCCTTGGTGGAAACCGACAGAGATATCCAATGGAAATGAGCAAGTGAGAAGAAACCGAAGTTCTCAATGAGATAAAAATAAGACAAGAAAAGAAGTTGACAAAAGGGCCGTAAATTCGTCTCCTGCGCCATTCTGCACCGATCCGTAAACCCCTTCCAGCCATTCGTAAAAATGATTCCTCGAAACATAAACCTAAGTCACAAAATTGAGAGATACACTAGTAACAAAGAAAGTAAAAAAAAAAGAGCCAAAAGAAAATAAATAGGAATCAAATAAAATAGTAAGCCTAGGGCACGTTAAGTGCAGAGGCTATGCGGGTTTTGGATAGGGTCGTAACGTCCATAGTTCGAAGTCGAGTATACGGGGTCATAACCACCACTCCCCGTACTAGATCGGTGATGATGTGGAATACCAGTAAAGGGGTCCTGGTAATCAAGAGTTGGGGAAGTTTTCAAAGTATCCATGGGATCCATGGTATCGCTAATCATGGAATAATCAAAGCCAGACGAAGACGAAGAGGAGACGAGCGGACTGTCACTCAGAGGCGAATGTGAATGTTCTGCTTTCGGGATCTGACGGTAATCCGTTCGTCCATAGGGGAGAGCGCTTCGATGTGCAGGGTCGTACATCATGAGATGTGAGCGCGTGGACTGTCCCATGCCGTGCGGAAGCCCACCGTTGCCGTCGCCGCTGCTTCCATCCGGGCCCATGCTCGCCGTACTGTCACGTCGACCATCTTTGTAGTGGCCTGGGGAACGGCCGCGGACAACCATACGGTGCGAGTGACGCCGGGCGACCAGGACTGGCTCCGTTTCCCCGGTCACCGGGTCTGCGATCTCGGCGTGAAGCTCTACGACCAGGTTGTAGTACTGCTGCTGAGCGCGGCGTTTTCCGTTGTTGGCGGTCGCTTTTTGGAATTGGATGCGTTCGAACATGTGAGAGGTTGGTGGGTGGCAGGGCTGGGGGGCGCCCGAGTATGTAGAGTTATAGTCTAGAGACTGGGAATTCAGAGGGAAGTTCGAGTGCCCGTTTCCTGTTGATCCTGCGGATAGAGATGGCGGCGGTGCAGGCTGAAGAGCGACGGGACCCGGTTTTCGCTCGGATTGCTTGTCTCGTTTCGGTGTGTGCTGGACCAGCTCCCGGGTTTCTGAGTACTGTTCGTTCACGATCGCTGAAATGGACATTTGGAAGCCACGGATTGGCGTCAATGCTCCCCCATCGTGCCGAATGTACAGTGGCACGGCTGACGTCCATGGGTGAAGACTGAAACTGCAGGTCACGGCGAAATAGTTCCGGCGATAGCACGTCCATTTGCCGTCAGATGCGAAAAAGCCCCGTCCGATCTTGGCTTGAATGTCAGGCTTGACCACGGTTTGGGTGGTTCCAAAGTCCGCCACGATAGACTCGAGAATGCTGGTATCGTTGAAAGGTGGTGCTTCAAACTGCGGTTGTGATCGTGGTGATGATTCTACCATCGGCTGCTGAAACATAGCCTGGGGGCGATCTAGACCATCTAGAGTCCGGGGTGCGCCCGAATACTGATGGGAGCGGCCAACGTCATTGACTCCTGATAGTGACAGACCTATGCCGCGCTGCAGAGCATAAGAAGAGGAATAAGCGTGACTTCGCCCCATCAAGGCTGGAATGGAGTTAACGGCCTGTGATGGGGCCTGCATAGTAGTAGACATGCCGGTTGGAGGTTGGCTATGTTTCGCAAGCCCTATCAGCTTTGCATCTGTTAGAAGGATTCAAAGGCAAAACTTACAGAGCTAGCCCCCGAGGGAATTCGTTTATACGATTAAAAGAATGTTGCTGCTGCTGAGAAAGGTAGGGGAAAATAGGACCAGATGTGGGAGAGAAAGAATCTGTTCAATGCCGCACTGATTAGTACGGAAACTCGCATCCAGAAGGGGAATCCATACCGGACACTGAATCTGGAGGTGTCATAGCAAGCACAGAAGAGCCAGAGTAACTATAAGACATATTCTCTTAGTACCTCACATTACCAATGGTTTGAAGCAAAGCAATGGGGTCGAAGCAATATTAAATCAGAAGTATCACTCCAGTCATAGCGGGAGAAAGACAAAACACAGGTCACCAAGCCATGGCAATGGTAGAAAGAAAATCACCAGAGGCACGAGACAAGAGCAGATAAAAAAAGGACAAAACATCGGAAGAAACGCATGCACGCAGCGGATCGGTATGGAAGGTACTGAACCAGGCTAGACTAAAGTCCAAGCTGCCCAGACCCGGAGAAAGCGCAGCGACCAGGGCTCGAGCAGTGGAGCCAAATTGGTCCAGATTAAAATAGAAATAACTTACTGTAAGTCCTGCATCGCAGGCTGCTGTGCGTGGTACCGCACGCCGTTGGTGACAGGCATGGAGGCGAGGCCTCCGACTCGCTGATGGTCATCCTCGTCTGGAAATCCTGTCACATGGGAACTGATATAGTCACGCTCTGTGGTAACGGGGCAGTCCATGGAAAAAGATTCAGGTAGAAGAGCTGATTCCGCGTTAGTTGCCGAGTCTCGTCCGAATGATGCCAAACATGACCGGGAGTCAAAGGGCCCGCAAGAGAAAAGTACCTACATGAATTCATCATGATTCAGATGTTGCCAGATACTTCAGACCCTGAAGAATGGCTGGTCCAGGTAACACGGATGGCCCAAACTTGGTCCTTGAATGTGCTGTGGTAGAGCGATTGTCTAGAGCCCCGTCGTCTGGTTAGTGACTCAGATACAGATCCAGTAGTCGGTTGTTTTCACAAATGAGAACCCAAGTCTCCTTTGAATTGGAAATTGAGGATGTGCCCCGGGTCGCTGAAGTATGGAATGAATGATGGGGGAGTGTGCGTATGGATAGAAGAACGTGCGTGCTTTCCCGGTACAGTCCTCCAGTTACGAAAGCCAAGATTTGATTGCGAAAGACAGAGGCGGGACCAAAGACAAGCAGAAAGGAAGGGGAGAAGACGGGAGCTTTAACCATAAATCAGAAAGTGAATGCAGAGGGTGAAGATGAGAATAAGAGAGCATGTCTCAGAACAATCGTGAAGACGAGTAGTCAGCATAGAAGTATGCGCCAAAAGGGGATGCGTCAGTTGGTATACACAACACATGGGCCCCAGTAAAATAAAAGCCTGAGAACCTGAAGATCCATGAGAATACCCCCGAAAACAAGAAACCCAGATGATGACAAAACTGGAAAATGGCAAAAAAACCACGAATGAAAAGGGCAATCATGTCATCGGGGGCAAAAAGGGAAAAGCAACGTACCTTAGGTGGGAACAGGTATAGACCAACTCTATCCTTTGATTCTTTAGAGTTTGGGCGACACAAGGTGCAAGTGTGAAGAGCCTCCCCGAGGATCGATCCGAATAATTTCTTTTGGAGTGGCTTGGCTGAGGAAAGGAAGCTTCCTTAAAGAATTGATATGTGTTTTGCTCGTCGATGGTCCAAGCCGTCACGGACGCATAGAGGTTATCATCGGCCGAACATTCTCGCCACGAGCTAAGGAAGTGGGCAGTCCCTGTCAGGGCGAAATACGTTGTATTCAAAGTGGGTGGCAGCAGCTAATCTGCATAAGGGGTCCAACCATCATTGGTACAGAATATCCGGATTTTTCTATTAAAATAAAATAAAATAAAAATTCAGAAAAATCCAAAAGGAAAGGCATTTTCGTGTAATCCTGGTCCCGGTCAAAGGGTGTGGACCAGCAGTAGTAACATCACATTGGTCCGAGCTCTCTGGACAGTTTGATTGTTCAAGGAGCATGGCATTGGTCAGATTTTCCATGTTACGTGCCCTGGGAGGACCCGAAAAAGCTGCACGGACAGCCGATCTGTGGGTAAGGCACGATACGGCCCTGCAATGACAATAACCCTGGATGCATTCTCCACTGGTCTCGATGAAGTCAGATGTCCCAGCGCGAACACCCGAAGCCGGGTCGCTGCAGGTAAATCCAAATAAGATGAAACTAGGATAGAGAAGATCAACCCCCCCCCCCCCACCACCCACCCCCCATACATGTACCCGTGCAGACTCTCCCACCTGATGTATCAGACTGTGGGGATCGGCAAGCCAATAGACCTTGGGCTTCCTGCAAAAATTCATTCATTCGCCCGTGTCGATAATTCTTGCTATAACCTCTCCCAGAACATGGCCCAAGTTGCTGGGATTACAAAAAAAGAACCTGTCGGAGTGATCCCAGTGGCTATAATTTTTTCTCTTCTTGGGCTTAAAGCACGGTTCTTGCATTAAAAAGAGAAAGGAAAGATCAGGCGATCGGCAATATTCATTCAGCCAGATGCATTGTGCATGTTGGCATTGCTTTCACCGACATAATCTCGGGAAAGGGATTAAGGCAGAGAGATTTTTTTTGCCCCATTTAATTTTTTCCTTCCGGGACAATTGTCCCGAAGAGAGGAGCCCAGGACCGGGCGTTCGAGACTATGGCCGATGTAATCACGCCCCGACTAGGAACAGCAGCTCCACCGTTGACCCAAAACAGCTGCAGCGGGAAGGATGGTGGTGTGCGGTCCGTACCCGGTAGCTTTTTCCAGAGAGAGAGAGCTTGAGGACCCACCGGGGAAACCAGCAAATTGAATTCTCCTCCAGAAATGAGACAAGGCAGGAAGGAAGGAACCAGCCCCCCTAGTCACATCGGGGGCTTTGCTGAATGTGGAGAGACTAATATCATAGATCCAAAGACCCCGATCCTGGATCCCATGAGTGGAACCGCTAGGTCTGATCGTGTCGAAAACTTCATTAGTGGTTGGGAGATCGTCAATCCTGCAGCTGGGCTATTTGGCCTAGTTGGTCCAGATGGCAAAGCGAAAGCGGTGCTAAAGCACCCGACTGGAAATGATTGGTGGGATAGAGACTGGGTCGATGTTTTTGGGACCAATGGTGAGCATTAGGAACTGGTATGTTATGCAGCTCGTTTCCACCTCCACACGGACCACCCTCTGCATGGCACCGAACTCGGTACCAAATGCATGAAGAATCCTTGGAACTTTCAAGTGATGAGTGAGAGGTGACGAGTGATAGTGACTGGGCGAATGAGTTTCGACGGGCAGATCATCCGCGTTTCCCGTGTATTGAATACACGTGGGGCGGTGAAGGACCACGCCGCTGGGTCCCGATCCACAGACTCAGTTACGTACGTCTTTACGGTATCAATTCTCAATGCCAAATAGTGGGGGTGTATGTACAATTTAAATAGTGCTAGGATGTTCATTGCAGGACTCAGAGACGAAGAGCATTGTCCAGCCAGCCACTAATGCCCTGGAGCTTCAGCTACTATCAGATCGATCCACTCCGTACCCGAAAGGGATCCACTGGCCCGTAATCTCGTTCCCGTAGCTCCACCATTTCCGAGCTATCACTTTGCTCGGGTATTGGGCCTCTCTGTATGAGATACATCATAGAGAAAGAGAACGAGGTGTTAATTGTCCGATCCCAGGAACATGCGGAGTAGCGCACTCCTCAAGATTTGGCCCGTGCTCGCCCTATAATGATTTCTGCAGGTACCTATTCTCTCCAAACTGTAATTTTCTTTTTTCGACTCCCATGCTAACATTTTCATGCTGTGATTTGAGTTTCCCAAGAGCGATATTGGTTGACTTACGTTTTTGGCATGAACTCCTAGATTCAACCGTGGTTCGGCTGATGCAAATCCCTCGGGCAACGACTGAGAGTTTCGGCTTTGGCGTTCTATAGTCTCCTAAGACAGCCTCAGACGCGGAATTTAATCCCTGTCCACTTAGCGTTGAATCCTTTGCGTTGAGGGTTTCTCGTGGGCACGTGCCCCCGGATCTAGTGGGTTAATGATCTTGGCGTGACGATCGGGGGATCGACCGAGCCCCAGGGATGAATTGATATTTCAACGCAAAGAAAATGGGGAAGGATGAATGGGGGAAAACGCATTTCCCTTCCCTGTACGACTGGCATTTCGCGCGCGCAAATGACATACCGTGGCCCAGTTCCGCGTCGATTCCCGGGCTGCACCCGGCCGAATGCCCAGTTTTCGACAAGGAAGAAACGAGAAAAAAAATTGTTTCTAAAAAAAAGCTGAAAGAAAGCATCGCGCAGCCATTAATCAAAAATCAAAGAAAAGAACAATCCAACCTTTCTCGGAGGTCGAGATTGCAAACCCCATCCTTCATTGCATATATGCAGTTTTTAACCTTTCCAACCCCCATTGGCCCAAATGAACAAACTTCAGAGACTGGACGCATATTGACAGCCGGTAATATTCTAGACTGAGATTCTGTTTGTCCCGCAATCCTAGCTCGAATATGCCCGCTTTTCTAGGATATGATCCCGCACTTGAATCCGCCAATGACACGCGTGGACATAATCCCGGTCCGTCAGCATCGCGCCGAGAGACTAAGAAAAGACTAAAAGTGAACAGTAAAGTAAAAAATATTAATTCTCCTGATACCTTTCACCAAAGACAGAAGCCGTTGGACCCCACGGCCAAATCCGGCGAGAATCGAATAGATGTTGAATTTTGCCCCCATCGAGGATCCATGGTTCTCACTCTATAATTAAGTTTGAGACATAAACCGATGTCACTCGGGGAGTAAAAATCTCCACAACCGGACTTGCCTTGTATGCTAATTTGCTATACCAGAAACGAATGACGGACATGCCCGAGGACTCGACCAGCTTTCCTGGTTCCTCGATCCCGTTTAGCCATTTGTCAATCTGAAGCACTCCAATCCCAGGCCCGCGAGAGAGAAAAAGTATACTCCCGGGTAATGCATTTTCTGTTTTCGGGGACCGTAGATTGTTCATGAGCACAAACTCAATGCTAGCAATTACTCTTCTCCGTCTCGTCTGGATACAAGGTTCTGTGTGGCACGTGTGGCAAACATTGAATGGTCATTTGGAGCGACGCTTGACCCCATCGTCGGTAGCCCATTCTTGAGACGTTACCTTATCGGGGTGAAGGTGAAGGTCTACGCAAATAACAAGGGGGCGTCTGAGGAGCAGAAGCTCCCATTGGTGCTTTACCCATCCTATCATCACAAACTTTGATCGACCTGGGATCTCCAGCTGAGCTGCCGATCATAGCATGACCGTGAACATCCTAGCTACAGTTTCGGGCCCATGGAGACCCAGAATCCGCCTCAACGCCTCTCAGGCAGCAAGAGCGGCAGGGATCGATAAGTTAATCTCCCCGAGCAGGGATCGGGATCCAATGTACGTTGGTATAGGCAGGAAAGGCTGTCTGGGAGGATGACCACCATTTGCATTCAAAAACAGCCTATTCGATGATTCGCCTCCAAAACCTGGACAGTAAACAAACGAACCTGAAAGCAAAATTGTACCCTCGACATGGTCGTTCCTTCCTAACGCCGTGGCAATCAGCCATCGCCAGCTATCCCAGGCCAAAGCAACACCCAACCCGAGAACGAGGTCCGGTCACACGGAGAATGAACAGCCAAGAGAAAACCTGCTTATCGACATGAGGCCAAGATTATCCCGTGAAGAAATGCCCTTCTAGTCGAATTGGCTTCGCCTTCGTCTTACGGGCCCGCAGATGCCGAATATGACAGGCCGCCACAACGTGGATGCAAGAATGACACCGGGACATCGAAACACCACGAACGCCTTTCACATGTATCGGGTCTGTCATACAGCATGACCGCAGCAGCAACAACGGGATTAGGATAGGGGTTAGCGGACGCCGCAAATGCCGGTGGCCTAGTGATAGTGAGCAGCAGGGAAGAGAAGAACGGTCAAGAGCAAAGAAAGTTTAGATCTATTCCTAACCTGGATGCGATGTACCCCAATTCTATTCCCTGCGCTGAAAAGCATAGATTTGTTTCGTCAGTCGTTCAGAAAGCCACTCAGAGTCAAGTTGACAAATGTCCGACAGCCTACCCCAGTCGCAGGTAAGCTTTGTTTTCTAAGCCTGCTTGCCCCAAGTCTCTTTCCTAAATGAATCACCGGTGCAACGTGATGCAACCCAATTTGCATAGGGAAATTTAGACGGGCGGTTTCTGTGTTCACTAGAACAGGAGGACAAGATAGCCGGCGACGCTGAAGATCTAGATCTGTGTGCTGTTGCAATTGAGTGCGGGATCCGCGAGCGGGTGTGACTTTTGAGGTCTCTCGAGTCTTCATCTCGCCGTTAGGCGTAAGGTTCAGTCTAGTCTGGTCTAGTCAGAGTCAACGTCAAGTATAGATGTGTACTGTCGGGGTTTGGTCTAGAAATGGGTCTCAAGGTTTACATCTGACGGCAGGGTATTGATATTGCCTCATGTCCAGCTGCCTCTGTCGTTGGGGCCTGGTGTAGACCCTGACAGATGACAAACCCCCCAAATAGCCCGGGGGCTGGATGTCTATGGGTCTCCATATCTTTCAGCTTTGGGCTGAGCGGATGATGGCGGGTGATCATTTTATCCTGGCCAGAGCAGGATGACGAGGCTTGGAGTATGTTGTACCTGGCATGCACTGCGTGCAATAAGTTGACAAGGAAAAGGGATTCGGGGTCTAAAATAGACAGCTGAACATTCGAGAGGGATCTGCTGCCACAGCTAGGCTGTAGCAATCTAAACATAGCAATCATGCAAAACTCTTCTAAACCATTGCTTTTGTATAGACTGATGCATGTAAATGACATGGTGGTTGTCTTTTTCGAGAATCATCATTATCGATCATACAGTACAAAGGAGAAGAGCACCAGCCGATAATTAGGCTCGCCTGAAAAGAAAAAAGGAAAAGGAGAAATGTCGTGACAAAGCGAGAAACGATTTTAAGTAGACCGCTTGGCGAACTCGACGTGAAGAATGAGATGGCGGTAACCGACTAGAGAGAGAACCTGTTAGCATCCCATTATATCCATCTCCAATCTCAGGTGTATACGTACAGCCGTCCAATTTCTCGCAGGCGCTCGCGGCGTCGCCCCGATCCGCGTAACTGATGAAGGCAAAGCCCTTGGCCCGCTGGGTCTCTCTGTCCCGGGCAAGGAAAACTCTGGTAACACGACCGAACCGCTCGAAGAGATCCCGCAACTCTTGCTCCTCTGCCAACTCGCTGACCTGTTGTAGAAAAATCCGTTAGAACTGAACACGAAAAAAAAAAGCCATCTGGAACGCGACGCATCCAGCTTGAAACCATGAATAACATACGTTTGTAACACGCAGAGTCGCAAGATCGTCCTTCTCGAAACGACCGCCCATCTTCTCGCCGCCAGCAGCACCGCCATTCCGCATGTGAGGAGGCACGTAGCTGGATTTGCCCGCACCGAGACCGCCGGCCTCCTTGTCGTCCGCATCCACACCAGCACCACCAGTAGCCTCCTCGACGGGAGCCATAGTGTCCTTGAAGGGACAGCGGGCTGTAAAGTGCTCTCCGGAACAAATACGACACTTGACCTTCTTGTCCTTGAGCTGGTCCTTCATGCTGCCCTTCTCGCCGCCATCCTTCTCGGCCTCCTTAGCCTGTGCCTTCCAGTTGATACTGGGACGGAAAACCATGTTCTCGCCGACGGAAGTAGTATCGAAAGTAGGGCCCGGGGGGTGTCCCTTCTCGAGACCGAACTTGGGCCAGGACCGGCGCTCGGCGACCTGGGGGTTGACATGTTCGCGAACGGTGGTGGTCTTGATCCGGCGGGTAACCTTCACTTTCTTGTTGTCATCGTTGAAGCGGTAGGAGATAACGGTCTTGGTGCCATCTTTGTTGGTAATCACTTCTTGCGCGGGGAGCGCGGAGGGGTCGTCAAACTCCTCGTCGTCGGCCCAGTCGGCACGGCTGGAAATTTTTAAAATCGGTTATTAGAGAAAAACACGGAGATTAGTCCTGGGGTCATTACTCACTTCCCAAGTCGAGACATGGTGTGTGGTTGTGATGTGTTGCGGCGAAAGCTGAAATTCTGGGATTTCTTTCACAGGCGAGTCCGTTGTGGATTTCATTATTCGCGGCGATTTTCTTGTGGCGCAGGGTGTGGCTGGTGCACATCACGTGACAAACTCGTTCCTGAACAAACACGACAAACCGCAACCGCATCGTGTATACTACCTTGCCGATTGTTTTTTGAACCTGATCTTATTCATAAATTCTGTGCCTTTGATCTGTGGCATCTACTGTGCTGAGCTAATTTCATATTCACCCCCAAGTACCACGATACTCGTATCCTACAATCACGAGATATGGTCTATGTGTGCAAAGACGTTGCCATGTTCGCAACCTGTGAATTCTGGGCAATGGGCGCAAGCCGCATGCTCTTTATATGAGCTCTTTTTCTTTGGTCTTTGGGGACCAGACTTAGGCACGATGATGAGAAAGTCAATCTCATTGATGCGATCTTCCATCGAGTCCACCTGCATTGTATTGAAGCGGATGGTCAAAGCCCAAATTTTATCGACCATTAAACTGCGCTTAGTCTTGAAATCCTTGACAGATCTCAAAAGACAGCACTGCTCCTCCAAAGCACAAGCTTCAATCCGTAGTGTATTATCTACCTAAGTAATACATGCCAAGTCTCCCCGGGCAGGCCAAGCAGGAATTGCCGTTGTAAATATTCAACCGAGACTAAGAAAGTTGGGAGGTAGTAGTCCACAGCAGAGAATTTTCTAGAGTAAGACATCACCAGATGAAGAACACAACATTAGACTTCACCTATCCCAGCTTCTTTTCACCTCCAATCCTTCCATTTCGCAGCCAGCACTCATGCGTCCTGTCCTTTTCGACGCACTCAAACACACTTTCGGCTGTTCGATCCTCTCCTGGTCACCCATTCGTGCTGTGTCCACTCTTTCATCGGGTGAACCGCAGCTTCTGCCGCATACGCCCCTCAATCATCTAGCAGTCAAAGATTTCGCCCCAGTGAACCAATTCTGCGCAATGACAGATGCAAAAGTCGACATCAATCAGAGTCGTAGGAAGGTCGCCGGGTCTCTGAACAGTGTTCAACTTGAGATAGACGTCCTCTATCAGATGTACGAGAGTCTTCAATCCCAGCATGCTGAGGCAGAAGCAGATCTCAAGCGTGCACAGGAACGAATCCAGCTCTTGGAGGCTGAAGACGAGAGCAACGCAACCCGAGTAATGCAAATCATCAAACTTGGCGAGATTAATGATGATTTGCTTTCAACGAGACTCAACAAAATCTACGATAGCCTTGAGGACTGGTCATGCACAGTCGTACCTTTTGAAACCGATCTTTCCAAAAAGCAGTTCTTGATCTCTCTGTACCTGTCAAAATATGACCTTCTTCAACCCGGAATCGATACCTTCAATAGGCACCTCAAGGCTACGAATGCGGAGCTGATTTCAGCCATCATAATGGCCATTCTTTCAAAGACGTTGTTTCCGAACGTAGTGGCCGGTATGTTACCAGATCAGGTCATCGTCCTACACCGACTTCTGGACAATATCTCGCACGTTCGACCATACAAAAGTAAGACCAAAACCTTAGGGCTGTCTTTTCTCAGGTTGCTAATTCATACCTTACCGTAGACGCCGTTTCTATTAGGCTTTGGAAAGTCGAGGTGCTTCGTGCTTGGATGCAGTCTCCCAATTTCCCAGCACACTTCTCCGCAGGCTGCCTTCACATACTGTCCATTATCAAGGATTTCTTTCACAAAGTGTTCAATATTCAGGGTGACCTCTGGGACGAAAGATTCGACCGTCTCCTGGATAATGTGGTCACACCTGCTGCTCAGCTCGCGACCGAGATGCAAAGTTCCGGCACAGAATATCAGTTGACATGGAATAGATTTAGGCCAACCGCAGGATTGAAGTTACTTGAAGAGTGCCAAGTAACTGACTTCCAGACACGTCATCAAGTCAAGGAGGAACTGGTGCGCGATCTTTCAAAGAACACTCCGCTAGGCGCCTTTGTCCTGACCACTCTTCCTGGCCTCTACCGCTTGAACCAAGAAACCGGTGAGCGGTCCCTCCTTGTCAAATTCCGAGTTCTCGTCAAATCAAACGACGCGATACCTTGACTTCCACGAGATGCCGGGTCAGCATGTTCAAGGGCCTGAGTCATACAGACAAGTCGACCACGGAGAATTAGACGTCATGATGAGCCATTTGCTTTCGTGGTCTCTTGAGGACCCCATGTGGCGGGGGCTTATTACCACAGATGTGGATGACTTGCCGCAATAAGTCGGTTGAGCGAGTCACAGGTGATTATCTGCCCACCTTCTTAGTCCTAGACCCTATTTCTGAGTTCACAAACTTTGAGACCTACAATATTCACGTCCCTTTCCTAGTAGTGTTTCCTCAAAGTAACCGTTTGCTCCTCATGACCATTATTCTGTACATGTTGTGTTATAGTCTGACAGGTAATGATTTCAACGGTTACGGCCATGTTAACAACCATGCCGAGTAAGGGAACAGAAATGACAGCTAAATTGACAGCTCCGTGTATGGAGCTTGCGCTGGAATGAAGGGAAATTAGTTGAATGTAGAAACCTATAGCAGGTGGCATAAAGAGTAGAGAGTGAAGCGAGAGACAGGAGAGTAGATGAGAACAGTCACCCCGTCACCTGACTGCTAAAAATTCCAAGATACCAGATTCAGTCTCAGTATCAAGAGTACCAAGGACCTCAATGACAAGCCTTCCCATACTTCCTCAACCTAACATAATTATAAGGCAACGGAGCCAGAAATCCCGCACAAACAGAAACCACCGCCGCAACCCAGAACCTCGGATCCTCAAAAGCCACAATCCCACCGGTAAGATGATAGTCCACGGCATTTTCAGCAACCTCCATCGCAATCATAGACACCATACTCATCCCCATAGCCGTACGCGCAGCTCTACTCCATGATAACGCGTCCGCACCACGTTTTAGGAGAACTGTTTCCAGTATTATAGATGATGTAATCCCGGATGCCACTTATCACTACTATCAGTATAATCGCTTTTGAAGGATGAGCAGAGAACGAACTGGAAACAAGCATGATAGTATTCATCCCGAGCTCGGGATAAAAGGACTGCAGTGTCCACATCGCAGAAAAATCACCGATTGTACAACCGAGTAAACAGCGGAGAGTGTTGATTCGGGCTCGTTTCCATGTTGAGTTGCAAGACCAGAACTTGCGATTCAAGATGGAGGTGTTCGATGATGGGGTTGAGATTTTGTCTTGATTCGACGGTTTGTGACAGGCCTGTGCAGTGGTGATTTTAGAGAAGATGCGGATGCTAGGTGTAGAGGACCATATTCGGTGAGTACTACGGAGCCTTGGTAATTGATATGAGCGATACATTGTTGAAGCTTGGAGTTCTGGAATTAACTATGGAAGGAGGCGTCGTTAAGACATGTAGAAAACGCGAAAATGGCGCAGGTCTTGGCGTTTCGGAAGATACTAGCACCGCGACGGATATTACGATCGTGATTGACTGCTTACGTAGGAAGTTGATATATACCAAATTCAATAAATGCAAGCTCAATTATATTTAATCACTAATGCGGAGATATGCACAATATCTATGTATAACACCAAATCCACCATCCAGCTCCCAAACTATCATATACAAACAAAATCCGATCTACCGACCGAAATAACGAATCTCAAGAGGGCGCAGCAGGCAGTAGATAGTGAACGAGAAGGCAAAGCCCAGCTCGAAACCAACGTCACCACCGAAAGGCAAAGCGCCAGCGTGTTTGGCAATGGGGCCGACCCACCAAGACTGACTCATACCAGTAATCATACCGGCAACACCGAAGCAGAAGGCAATAGTGGCGGCGATACCGTAGGGAAGCTTGTGGGGCTTGTCATAGTTCTCCGGGGTGTAACCACCAAAACCGCGCTTGAAGACGAAGTGGTCGGCGACACTGATACCGGTGTAGATAGCTAACCAGTAGGCGATGAAGTTCATGAAGTTCTCCAGGACAGTCTGGAAGTGGGAGTAACCGGGAATGGCAATGGCGAGCGAGACACACGATGCGAGGAAGGTCCAGACAAAGCGGGGAACTCTCTGGGTGTAGCGGTGAAGCACCTGGAGGGTCAAAGAGACGGAGTAGATGTTGGGGCAGTTGTTGGCGATGATGGAAAGAGCCAGGATGACGAGACAGAACTTGCCGAATCCACCGAGAGGCTCGAGGACGGCATCGATCAAGCCACCGTTACCGGAGGCAAGCCAACCTCTCATGTACTTGTTGTCTTGGCCGTTGATTTCGATGGCGGTGATAACGGCGATACCGAGGAATTCGGTGAAGATGAGAGGAATGATCAGACCGAGCCAGGTGGAGAAGAAGACCTTGCGGCGGCTGCGGTCCGCGGGCTGATAGACAGTGTAGTCGGCAGCATAACTGGTCCAGCCTGTTGCGAAACCGTAGATGGTCGAGCCGAAGGACAAACAATCGCCCAACTCAGAAGTTCCGATGTCCATGGGAAGGTTGCGGAAGTCGCCAGAGTGGGCGAAGCAGCCCAGCACGATGAAGAACACAATGCAGGTCGGGATCCAGCTGTAGAATTCGTAGTAGTGGACGACCTTGTATCCGGCGAAGGTGATGAACAGGGTGCAGAAGGTAATGATGAGGATACCAGCGTAACCGGGGACAGTTCCGTTCACAGCGTTAAGAAGCTGTGCGCCAACAATGGCATTGGAAGCAGACCAACCGACACAGGCAATAACGTTAAGGATGGCGACTATGAGAAGGCCGATTAGCGATTACCATCACTGCGAATGAATACCACGACTTACTGAATCTCACAGGCCACCATCCGAACCAGAAACGGGACAGAACCATCTGGCGCAAACCAAAGGCGGGTCCGAAGCAGGAGAAAAAGCACACGGACATGACACCGAGCAGGTTAAAGAACAGGCACACGAGGATAGCATCCACGAAGCCCAGGTAGAAAGTGGTATGTCCGAGGACACCAATGGCGAAGGAACTGACGACCATGTTGGCAGCAAACCACTAGGTTTGGTCAGTGGGAAGCCCACGGGCTCATCGCAAGATTTGCAAAACACACCATGCTACCAATATTCAAGTAGGAAGTATCCGTCCGTTCATTTTCCGGCACACGCTCGACACCACGCTGCTCAACATTCAACTTGCCCGCAAGACGCTGCAACCGCGCATAGAGTGAGTCACCATACTCGAAGCTCTCGCCGGGAACAGCACCGTCGCTGACATTATCCCGGTTGTCGTGCACGTTGTCGTATGTGGTATCGTTGCTATGGCTTTCATAGGCATTGTCGACCTGAGGGCCTTTCTCGATATCGGCATTCCCGCGGGAACCGAATCCGAATTTGGAGGGCATGATGAGCTTGCTTGCCTCGACGGTGTCGCAATTCGGAGTAAAAAAGGGTCTGGGACCTAAAAATAAATGTAGTAAAGAGAAATGCTAAGAGCTCTTAAAGCTCAGGCAGCTCAATCAAGAGATAAATGATGCGTGTTGACCAGCCCAAATCCACATGTTTCTCTTTCTTTTTTTTTTTTCTCGATCCACTGGCAGGGCCATCCTTTTAATATAGTCGCGGTCAAAATTCTTCCAGTGCGCGTCGCCCCACTCGCGCAGCGCAGTGGCAAGGGAAGAAGATAGGGCCGGGAAGTGTCGCGTGGGGCCCCATCAGAGAATTTCCAGAAGCAAGCAAATGACAAGCCTTGCCATGCGTCCGACACATCCTGAGACCCAATCAGCGAGAGGATGGTGGGTCTAGCTTATCAGCAGCCCGAGGTTTCACTGCTCGCTTCCATCGGCATCTCTCCATTGGCCGGTCGGACCACCGATAAGACCCGTGCGCTGATACGTATCTCTGTTTCCCAACCTCTGTGTCATCCGTCAGCTATCGTTCACCCTGGAACCTTCATCTGACGTTTTGATATCCCAATTTCAAGCTTCACTTGCATATCCAAAAATAAGCTTTCGTCTTGGTACGGGAGCCGCCGACATGCGTATCCCCATGCCCCTATGCTCCCATGCCCCCATGTTCTATGAGTTCGTGCGGGGGAAGCACATGTACAACTCAATTCGGATGTAACGGGGACAAAGCATCGTCTCTAAGTTGTGATCCCCCGACATCTGACCACACTGCTCGTATCGAAGAGCCCAGACCGGAATGTAGACCACCAATTCTCAATGTCGGAGACACCCTGATCGAGTAGCTCAGCCGGGGCAAATTCAGGAGAACCTACGTGCTAGCATGCATAGTCTAGCCCCAGATAACAGATCATCGGGGCAGTCTCCAGATCTTGTCCGCAGAACCTGCAGCTTACTCCATCCTCGTGGAAGCGGAGATCACCGTAGACAATCTTATTGGACAATCGGATGCATCCCCGGATCTACTGATACCGTAGATCTAGTGTTGTAAGGCCATTAGTACCCCGATTGAAATCCCGGTGCTGTCATTGGTTCGACCCATCTTGATGATGCCAGGGTCCGTGGCGGCAGTTTGTAGTTCGTGGGTGGGTTTCTAATCTGGGGCGTTGGGGCTTGCATGGTTGCTTTTACCTGCATATCTCCTGCATCATCTACGCATTCTTCTTTGATACTAATTACTTCGGAGTCTCCCGACGCTTTCGATGTTTTCACGATGACCTGCGAACTCCGATCTCTCGGACATGTTCGGTCTACCAAAGTTGGCGGTAACTGCGGCCGGGAACAGAGCACGGAAATAGACATGCCAAGCGCGACAACATCATTTACCACATACGGAAAGAGATTGAAAGAGACGTTGAACGCTGAATTACAGAAGGAGTTTTTTACCCGAAGCATGATGCAATCGAACTTGACAACCAGTTTTATCATTCTTGATTCTCGGCCTTGAGCGGGTCCAACCACCTAGGCAACTTCCGATATTCAGCACTATCACTTCACTCTACATCATCTATCTATCTATCCTAGATACTCATACTGAAGCTCGCCCGCACCCGAAGCGGGTCGGATTCCTGTCTAGCATCGAAATCGGCTTCGGGCAATCCACATTCGAAAGCGTCACCGAGAAATACTCATGCATCCCCCGCAGGGAGCTTAAGTCGTCGATATCACTTCGAGGTCCAACCCTGTTCAATTCCGGTAGAGAGAGATAGAGAGAGAGAGATATGTATAGGTTGGACTGTTCCTCTTGATTTTCGTGGGGGGTATTTAGACGAGACTTAATGTATGACTTTTTCAACTATTATCCGGTGCAAAGCTCTTCCAGTGTCTACATTGCGTTTCAGAGTGGAATCAAACGAGAAGAATCAGGAGTAGAAAGAAAAAAAAAGATGGTTTCTCGAAAAGAAGGGGTTAATGCTCGGAAAGTACGCCTTCCTTATTTGGGGATTTCGCGCCTTTGACAATTGAAACTTCATCTGCAAATCAATCCAGCACTTACAACGCAAAATAAAATATATGAAGCAATTATTCACGCAACGAAATAAGCCGAGACGATCCATAAGCTGCTCATAATATTTACAATTACTCTCTAACATATAGCCCATTCCTTGGTTTGTGCCGATAAAGCTAGCCAATCACCTAAGCAGCGCTAGCGGGAACCTCGAGATCTCTCTGCCCCCGATGCATCCAGTGGAATATCGTAGTGGGGTCGCAGGCATGTAGCTTCATACGAATTGGAGCTGTAGCTTCACTGCCAGAGTAAGAACATAGTTGCACGTATGTTTTTTCAGGTTTTGCATCTTACCTAAGGTTTACGTTTTAGGTTCAATATTAATCCACAGGTGGATCAAATCTCCAAGCTTTTTTCAGATTCACTTTGAACCTTCTTTCAGTCCGTGGAGATATATTTCATGTCTTTCTGTTTATGCGACCAATGAAATTTCTGTAACTTGATTTAAAGTTTTTGGTCCTAATGCTTCAGTGCACCTTGCTTGTCAAAAATGGAGCATATTTCAAGTCCACCTTAAGATGTTAAATGTTCAGCTAATTATTTGGTTGATATTTGCGATGAGAGCATTCAAATCAAGAACGAATCAAATTGCTGAGCCCACCTCTCGAAGGCATAGCGGCATTGGAGTCGAATACGGGTGGGGAGGACATAGCTCAATGAATGCAATGATAGATCAATTGATGAATTCCCCCTCGGATGTCTCTATAAGTGTTCGGCATCAGTTTGACTGTGTTGTTTCTAAATTTCGAGGTTATTCGTCACTAAGGATTATAATAAGAGTATCAGTAGATGATTGAACGGGAGGACAGAAATTGTATACGGAAGGACTTGGTTGTAATTACAGGCGGACGACATTTTTCTAGGTGGGAGAGTACAGTAGGGGAGGCCGAGGTACCTAGGTCAAATCAGCTAAATCGGATATTCAAGCGGCAGATAGCTTCGAGCCCTTAATCTAGTGCATAATAGATCTGGCCTAGCTTTGTGGATCACCGTTCCACACTTGACGTGGCCTCGGTCCAATTGTGTCCTCCATTGGCCAATATTAGCGACATCGATCCACTGGACCCGCTTTCAATGGATCCAGCGCGAACGCCCTCGGCAATCACGTCTGCAGGGCCAACGTGAATGGATCCTAGATGGAGATCATCAGCTATATCAGGTATCGTCAGCTAAACATAATGCCCACCAATGTGGCAAACAAGCCCCTCGGATATACGGGTATAGAGGACATACAGTATATTAGGCTCTTTCCAGCTTGCCCCTCTCTGAGTCAGTCAATCTACAATTCTCTCCTTCCTCCAAGACTATCTATATTCTCACTCGTCAATTAGTGACAAATCGGTAAGAACCTGCGAAATATAGCTTCAGTATCATCCTCGAACCTTGTAATAACCTCACGTTTCCCAATGCAGGAATATAAATTAACAATGCCTAAATACGTTTTAACCGGTGTTGGCGGAAACATTGGCCGCATCGCAGCCTCATACGCACTGGAAATCGCCCCATCAGACACCACCCTTGTATTCACAACATCCGACCCAAGCAAAATCCCCTCTGAAACCCTCGAATCCTGGAAAGAGAAAGGCGCAACGATAGCCGCAGCCAGCTATGACGACGTAAGCAGCCTGGAGCGTGTTTTCGCTGGCGCGGAAGCTGTAAACCTGATATCGACCTGGGCTTTCGGTCGCCGACACGAACAAACGCAGAATGTGATCAATGCCGCCAAAGCATGCGGTGTGCGCCGAATCTGCTACACCTCTTTTGTGGGCGCTGATGACCCTGCTCCGGTGGAAGAGATGCCCTTCTTACCTCGAGACCATAAAATGAACGAGGAGCTGATCAGGGCATCCGGGTTGGGATACAATATCCAGCGTGATTATCTGTATATTGATAACATCCCTAACTTCTTTGCGCCGTCTTGGAAGTTCTGTGGGGATAAGTGGTTCTTCAATTCGCATGGTGCCGCGGGTGCGTACGTTACTCGTGAGGACTGTGGAAGGGTGCATGCTGCTCTTCTTTTGGGTAAGGGCGAGCCGAATACCGTGGTTGATGTTACTGGTCCTGAGGCTGTGACCGACCAGCAGGTCTTTGAGTGGATCTGCGAGAATCTTGGAGGTCATGGTCAGTTTGTTGATTTGCCGGATGATGAGTTGAGGGAGTATTGGGTTAAGCTTGGACTGCCTACTTCTGTGACTGAGCCTTCGCCGCTTCCTATGAAGCTTTGTGTGGATGATCTGTTGTGTTGTGGTGAGATGGTCGCGAAGGGCTATATGACTAAGACTAGTGATGCTGTTGAGACTCTCACTGGAAGAAAGCCTGTTTCCTTCCAGGAGGCTTTGTTAAAGTACAAGCAGGCGTTCGCCTAGGTGAGAAACTTGGTAGCGGCTTATCTTTGGAGGGATCTCTGCCTTGATGGCCTCGTAACCTCTTATACGACCTACAAGCATTCTGATAGTTGAATATAGCTGTTCAATTCCCTCTTCTTAGTATAAAATACAAATATCATCGTTTGACTCAGGAATCCGAGTCTCAGGACTCCCATTAGTGTTACTTTACTGTCCCAATATACAAAGATTTTAAGCAGAATGTCAATTGAATAGCGAAACAGTTTATGTAAATAATAAGGAGTGTCCAAATAATATCAAAGCGAATAACTTCCCTCCAAATCACAGTCTTGAATGTTGAACAGCGATATCTCTATTCCTTCCCCTTATGGACGGAAGGCCACTTAGTAGTTTACCAGCAGGATCCCCGGACTTGAGTTTGAGGAGGACCAACATCAACAGTGTTAGGACCAGTGACAGAGGTAACAGAGTTATCGACACCATCGAATGTGCAAGAAACACCCGCCTCATCCACTTCAATGTGAGAAATGCTCAGGACGTTGGCTATAAAAATACTGATTAGTATTCCATCCATCTAGTTTATAGTCAAAGGGGACATACTGATATCGTAAGTCAGCCCATCCAGAGGGAAACGCTGAGCAAACTTTGCACCGGCAGCGCCAATGAAGGTAACCTTAGCACCGCCGTAAGAGCGACGGGCCGGGGTGGGCAGCTCAAAGCACTGTCCAGAAACTTGGGTCTGAGGGGGTCCAACGTCGACCTCGACGGCACCATCAACAACGGTGTAGCTGTTGTCAACACCGGTGAAATAGCACTCGACACCGTCATTGCTGTTTGAGATGTGAGAGATACTCAAAGGGTTGCCTGAAACAATTAGCATTTATCACTAAGGGCCGGTATCGGGCCTCAACTCACTAATTGTCTGAACAGTGTCATCAATAGGGAAACTCTGCGTGAACTGTGCACCGGCGGCACCGATGAATGTAATCGCAACATCTCTGCTGCGGCGGCGCTGCGATGGCAATTTGAAGCATGTTCCGGAGACCTGGGTCTGAGGAGGTCCGACGTCACTCGAAACGGCGCCATCAACGGTCGTGAAGCTGCCGTCCACGCCAGTGAATGAGCACTCGACGAGATTAGTGTTGGATGAGATTTTGGAGATGCTGAGCGGGTTGTCTGAGAGGGTTAGCAACTCAAGACCTTCGATATGGGAGCATAAACATACAGATGGAAGTAGTGGTGTCATCCGTAGGGAAGCTCTGCGTGAACTGAGCACCGGCAGCACCGTGGAAGGTAATTTCGACGGTATCAGTGCGCTTCGCGGGAGCAGCAGTCGCAGTGGCAAAGGCCACGGAGAAAGCCAGGATCTCAGAGAACTTCATTTTGAATATACGAGATGTATGAGAATGACACTTTGGACTTGATTGATTGATGAATGCTGTACTTGTTGATCTGAATGAATACTCCAAGTACCGGATCTCAAGGCCCTTTTATATTCAAATCCACCAGCATCTCATTTTCACGAAGCCTTTCACAGCCTTAGAATCTCGTCATCGTACTTCCAATGGTTGGCCTTACATGGACATACGAGTAGAAGCAATGTCATTAGACCGTCCGGTAGATGAGACAATCTCAGCTCGCGGGGCCGAAATAACCTATAGGAAAACAAAAAACAACAAACAACGAGGCTGAGAACCTAGTATAGCTACTCCGATCATCAGCTTATATTGATGTCCAGGGATGTACACCGGGTTCTTCGTATGTATAAGCCAGCTAAATATAGTCAATCGGTCAACTATAAAGTCACGAGGCGCACGGCCCAAGGCTGCGGTTGGCGGTGCAGCTTATCCCGAGACCCGATCCCCGCAATTCGTTGCTTTTAGCCCCACGTATGAACACTGACCTATTATAGAAGTTTTTAGGCGACCATTTCGTGTATTTATGGTCTTGCATTGGGGCTAAGAGATCAATTAATAATGCCAATGGTGCATTCGCTCAGTCGGACCCGATATACGCACCGCTCTTTCAGAGTTGTATGAGATGATAGTAACAAGATTGCCACCATAAGGCGGGCTGTTAGATCCCCAGATCTAGGGGATTATTTTGAGTAAAACGACGATTGCGTATGTCGGAATATGCACCATTGTCTCAAAGCCAGCATGTGGTGGCTTCGGAGCTTACGGTTGGTCTTTGGACCGTACTATGCTCACCGAAACTTCTCCAGTAGCCGTGAATGACGTCTATACTTTGAGTCTCGAATATTTATTTGATCCATTCTATTCATGTCTCGGGTGAGTAGAGGCGTGATGGGAGAGGGGATGGACCCGGCCCATGGGTGGCCTCATAAGCTTTCGAGTCTATAGACTACACCGCTGCTTATTGTCTTGGACCAAAATTGACTTGACTGGGATACAACAGATGGTAGAGACGCTTGGGTAGCTACTTGAAATACATTGTTGTCAGGCTCCCATGCGGTCCTCCGTTTGCTGGATTATCAACTAATGGAGAAGCGATGGAATCGTCACCTAGATGACTGACACGACACCGAACAACAAGAACACTAGATTGAAAAACTACATAATAAGTAGGTCGTCAGAAGCTTGGGTAGGTAGGTATGCACATTCTTTATGATAGTCAAGTCTATGTAGTATGCTCATATCTCGACCTTATACCCGAACAGCAAAGCAAGACCACCAACAACAGTAAATCCAGCAACAGGCGCAATACCAACGCGATCACATATTCTATATGGAACTGTCCTTAGTTCGTGTGGGGGAATACGCTGCGAACCCGGGAACAAATGCACTGTTGATACGATACCCAACCATGTAGCAACCCACAAGTATCCAATAACCCGCTTCCACTTCGAGACGATCTGTACTTCGGGACCTTTAATTCGTTTATAAAGGGCTTGAACGCAGTCTTCAATCATGAATCCCAAAACGAAGCTCGTAAAAAATAGGATAGCGCCAGAGTACTGCGCGGGAATACCCATGACTATGTCGGTAACCAGATGAAGTACACCTGACGCGAAGAATACGAGAAAGATATTCGTGTATCGTTCCAGAAGTGATGGTCTGGGAAGATGCATAATATCACGTGTGACCAAGTTGCTGACTGATGTGAGTGCCTGGCGTAGACCTTGATGCCAAAAAGTTCTATATGCCGTTAGACATTGACCGGTATTCGACTGTTTTCGAACAAAAAGAAGAGAACTTACCCCCAGTAATTCCGTAAAGTATAAGCATCAGACATGCTTCCAAAAATCGGCGACCAGTCTTGAGGGGAGTTTATCCCCAATCCCACAACTATAATCGAGGCCATCCGGTATCGGCAGTCAAGGCAAATGCGAGCAATCAAAAACCAAGAAATTAAATTTTCTGTAATCCGTTGAATCCAGATATCAATGGGCACATTCCACTCAAGTTCTGTAAATATCTCACCAGTCATCGACCTCACTGGCATTCGGTGAGCAGAAAACTGAACAATATCAAGTACAGCATACTGCCAGACGAAAATAGCAAATTGTCGCAACAAGAAAGAGCCCCGGGAAACGACATTTGTGTCTTTCTTAGCATTATAATAATATGCCGGGTGCGGATGAATACCCTTCACCTGTCTCGGGGTACCAATAGCTCGAGGTTCAGTTTGCTGCTCAAACGCATAATAAAAAAGGCCAATGGAACTTTTTGTACGGCCTGGATTCTCATGGATGAGGTCATTCGCATCGAGCGGGTTGATCAACAAGATGGTGGCGGCTTGAGGGATAGCCATGAATATTGGGCCAACGAGGAAAACAAATATTTGGCAGTAGTGATCCATCGGGCGCACATTCCAGCTGAAAATCCAGATCATGCATGGGATTGTGAGATATCGAAGAAACGATTTTTTGCGTGTTGTGACGAGAATTATTGTTGGAATCAATGCCTGCAGGGCTAAGCTCCCACTAACGAGGTGAAGATCTGGTAAAATTGACATTTTCAACCACGTTGTGGACTTCGAGGTAAAAATAAGAAGATATGGTTCATGAGATGTGGACAAGGGAATCCTTACCGCGACCCCCCTTTTGCTTAGAACGACCCCACCCCCCTGCATGAACTTGATATGGTAGTACGGTAAGAAACTTTACTGAGTTGTGCATATGCAATCATTGTCACTACAGTGGGCCCTAGCACCACTTGATCTACCAAATTATTGGCCTGAGCAGCATTACCTAAGTAGCTTGATCCACCCAGTGAACACTCGGTGGGCACGCACCAGCGTCGCCTGAGCAGCCTACTGTAGTCCACTCACTGCGCACTCAATAAGCAAGGTGCGGGAGCAGCCAAGTCAACAGCTCGCCTCAGTAGAATACACCACGTTTTACCCATCTAAATGCAGCCGTTCACCCAGTAATCCTGACCCTTACCCCCTTCATTAAAAGCTGGCGTTATTTGGCGGTCGGTCACGATGTTTCACCTCTAGCTGGGAGGCAAATTCATAGGGGGGGGCCAAGTTTATTAGCATTACTATGCTACGGTATTTAGCTCGCCATGTCTCGCACCCGCGATACGGCCTCTTAGTTGCGGGAAAGATCCAATCCTCCATTTTGGCTCCATAATATCTAAGAATATTTCGAAACCCTATCTAAATGGTTTCTTAATCTAGTTCAGGGTATTATTCTGATTTTTTGCTCGATTTTTTAAAGATCTATCGCTTTTGCTGCCTGCCGCTTCGTCCCTTGGAATACGACTTTTAACTCTAGCGACCTAGATATCCGTAAGAATATTCTAGACCTGTCGGCGGTATCTACCTAATGACCTACCCGCCTATAATGAGATTTGCGACCCCTTACTTGCCTAAGGTACTCTAGATAGAACTTAAAAATACCTTATCCAAATTGAATAAAGTCTAATGGTCTTCCTAGGAGCTTTTAGACCTTTCGTGCCATAGCATGGTGATTAGTAAGATTTGCTAAGCGTGCCTATAAGTGAAATCCGATGTTTGCAGCCGGATCTCATAGTCTCATTGTAGCTCTTAGGCTCTGATTCTTGATTGAATGAAAGCTAAGGGTTTCCAATATTACGTACTGTTTCCCACTATTGTTCCGGATAGTAGAATTTGATAAACAACAGAAATGTACACTAGAGGTCGCTTACTTTATTATTATTCTGGCATTGTAAAAGTGTGGAATGCAAAATGATTGGTCACCCGTATATCTCCATAAGTTTTCCTATAAGCGCCTTTGTTATGGAACCTTAAAACCGCGCGGAAAACAGTCGTTTAAAGTGACGGTATAGGGCCGTGGGTGGTGGCATAGTGGGTCTTTGGTGAGACACAACTCGAGCTTTACTCTTAGTGTCAACCTCTGCCTTCCTAACTAAACATTTTCCTGTCACTAGCCAGAAACGTTCCAGCCGACAAGCCATGGCCCTCTGCGATTTACCGAATGAATTACTTCATCTTATAGTGGAATTTCTAGACTCCGAAAGTTCCATAAACGCACTAGCACGCACCAAGCTTGCCTTTTTCGTTCAGTTCAACCCCTTTCTTTACCGGTATCACGTTTCACGTCCACCACATCATCTTCGGACCTGGGTTTATATCCCGGCTTTGACTTGGGCAGCGGAGCACAATGACTTAGCTCTCTTAGACAAGCTCGTCGACGCGGGAGCGGATCTCTTTGAAATCTGACTTTGGCGCTGGTCTAGGCCTCTTCCACGCCACCCGATGTGGGTTGCTGCTAAAAGGGGTCACATTGAATTTCTCGAAGCTTTGCTAGATAGCCATGGTATGAGCTCCCGGTTGAGGGAGTCACATTACGCCGAGCTTGTTGCCACGGCCGTGTTGAAAAACCAAATTCATGTTGTCCGGATGCTCCTCGCGAGGGACGTTGACCCATGGTGCGCTGGAGACAGAGCTGGCATCCTTCTAAGCGGGATTATCCGATGGGGAAGTCCCGAGCTCTTTGAATTACTACTCTTAGACTTCAAGCAGCGAAGCCCTCTCCCCACTATTGCACAATGGACGGATGCTTATAAGGCACTGAAGTATGCACAGGATAGCGAAGATATTACGCGGCTATTGCTCACGGCTGGCATAGATGTTAATCGCGCACAGCCAGGGTCTGGTGGAGTGGCAATATGGCGACCCCTATATTATTGTGGTCATCCAGGACCAGCTCGGCTTCTACTAGAAGCGGGCGCAGACCCGAATATCGACAACAACGACAAATGGGGGCCACTGGCAAGTGTGGTGGATAACTTTCGGCCTACCATTACTTTCAAAATCCCTTCTCAGAAACAAAAGGGCCGTCGCATGGAAATGATCCAACTACTTTTTGAGTATGGAGCGGACCCGCAACGAGCCGGAGGGGGTTGGGCCTTGCATGGGGCACTAAGGGACCTGGACTTTAGTTCGGCTACCTTTCTTGCGGACAAAGGTGCGAGAACAATTCTCTGAATTAACGGCAACCGACCAAGCACTATTGGACCAAGCGGTGATAAAGCATGAATGGGGAATAGTTATGGGACTGACCCCACTAAACTGGTCCCTTGTCAACTACGCTGGTCCAGGCTTGGTCTACAACGGAAATTATATATCGGCGTATAGGTTGCCGCCAGTTGCGAGGGGTAGTTTGCCACCTTGGATGAAAAGCGAGAATTGTCTGATTGATGAGAATGACAAAATTCCACTGCCATCCCCCGCGCCGGGTAATAATTTGGATGAAAGTGGAAGTACATAGAAAATTCCTATAAATTCACTCAATTATTCAAAAATCGAACATTCTAGATACAATAAGGGAAATTTTTGCCAACGAGAAAAGAAAAATTTGGATAGTGCATCTTCAATCTTAGCAAAAATATAGTCATTACTAGTTGACAAGCTCGCTTAGTAGTGGAAGGCCCTCATAAAAGCGGTGGCGGCCCAGGTAGGAAGGCCCTACCCAACAAACATTATCCTATATATACATATAGGTGCATATAACGCAATAAGTCTCTTTATCCTAGACAAGTGTAACATATTTTTCACCATCCACACAGCCACACATCATATATGAATCTTACTTTCATTGACTAGATGCGATTATAAAAGTTGGTAGTAGACCTGAAAGACTAGTCTAGAGACTAGAAGTCGAATCTGTTAAGTACATATCGTACTGTAGTACAATAGGCACCAATTTCTAGCTTATATAAGTAAATCAGGCCCAAAAAAGGCAGGAGGTGGGTCGTTCTAAGCAAAAAGGGGGTCGCTTTAGGGCCTATCTAAATTCACCTAGCAGTTCATCATATTAGCCTGAAGCACCTGCTAGAGAGAGGACTATCCCTGGATTAAAGTCCTTTTTTGGGAGCGTACAGCATTTGAATACAATCAATCGAATATAAATAAAATGCAAGCCAAACGAAATAGGCATGGGAATCCCAAATACTTGAGTCGTGGGTACTGTCTGCAGTGTATTGTGTATGTGATATATCAACAACCAGAGTTGAGGCTAGGTGCCAGCTTCTAACAGATATTAGTCTCTTTCACAAACTTGGGAAACATAAGTGAGAGGGGAACGTGGGTCTCGTACCGTAAGAGTCACTTATCATGTGCATATACTTGATACTAATTTTGAAAGTTACTATCTGCCGCAATGGGACCGCAATGGGAGATGACCGTTGCATTAGTACCCTTGGGCACTATGGTAATGTATCCCATCATCATTTTGCTCACAAGGCAATCGAGAAACCGATACATCACCTCACTGTCTTCCTTGCATAATTCCTGAGCTGTAGCTGTCGTGTATTCTGGAATGAGTTTTCGGCATTCACTTGTAGCTCTGCCTTCAAGTTCGGAAAATTCGGAACTATCCATCCACGGGAAGATCGTTGATTGTATTAAATATTCTGTTTCGAAAATGGACTCTGGGACTTTTCTCTCTTAGCCAGAATAATGGCTTCTGAAGATTACATCTACTTCCGAGCAGTACCAACCCTGCATTGCGCTTTGGGTTACCATAAGTTGCTTTCGACATTCTGATGGTACCATTGCATCAGGGACCAAGAGGGAAGTAGATGTATGCTCTTCACATATTGATGGTATGCTTCCCGTAGGGATCACTTGAGGGGTAGATGGGAGGCCACGAACTGCAGTGGTAGGAATAACAAAAGTAGCGACTATCGAAGCCAAGTTGAAAAAGCGCATCTTGTGCAACACAAAAATGAAAGGTCTGAACCGGTAGAATGAATTCGACTTGGGGGAAAGAAATCGATGATTAGACAGGGGTAGGTAATAACGGAGATGATATGGGAGGTCTCACCCTTGTAACCGTATTCATGCTATTTGACTGGATAAAGATTGAGTTTCAGAGATAATTGACAAGGCACGTAGGATATATCTTTAATATTCTTCGATTTAAGATGATCAGTAACCAACCTTGTGTAGCCACGGCTTATGGCTAATCCGGTGGCTCATTTGTAAGCCACGCTATGGGTAATAGAAGACAAAATTTGAACGAAAATCATTATTTACAGCTTGGCCAGCATCTGGCTGCCCTTCTTCATAAGAGCAGCAGCGTCAGTGACGAGTTCATCCACAATGGCCTTGGCGGACTTCTTCTCATCGACAACAGCGGCCACCTTGCCCATCAAGAAGGGGCGGGCGTTATCCAAGGTATCGTCGTCAACATCATCGGGCAGGTTCTCGAAATCGTGCTCAACGGGGATGATACCCTTGGCGGTGAGCTGCTTGATCTCTTCCGCACGGTTGTTCTCCCAGTTCATGATGTAATCGTTCTTACGAACACGCAGGGGACGACCCTAGAGTACTTGTTAGTATAACAGCTGATGAAGTCCGGAGAGGATACACGTACAGTGAAGATAATGGTGCGGACGTTGTCCTCGAAGCCAGCAGTGCGGACAGCCTCCTGGTGAGCCTTGGGGGCACCGGCCTCCTCGGACAGAATGAAGCGGGTACCGATCCAGACAGCGGAGGCGCCGAGCATCAGAGCGGCGGCAACCGAGTTACCGTTGAACAGACCACCAGCAGCGATGACCTGGACGTCCTGACCGGTCAAGGGGCTCTTCTTGCCCTTCACCAGCTTGGCAACAGTGGGGATGAGGACAGTGGTGGGAACATCACCAGTGTGACCACCACCCTCACCACCCTGTGCACAAATGATATCAATACCGACGTCCAGAGCCTTGGCCACGTGCTTGGGGTGGCCGATCATGTTCATACAGAGGATACCGGCGGAGTGGAGCTTGTCAACGGCGGTCTTAGGGGGAACACCAACAGCAGACACGAAGAGCTTAGCACCGCTCTCGATGATGATATCGATGAGCTCGTTGAGCTTGCCCTTAGTGTAATCATAGCTAAATGACGAGTATATTAGTCGCGTGTTTCCGGGGCCGTCAGTTTCGTGGGTATACTGACTTGGTCTTACGGGCGCTGCCACCAACCTGGGGCAGTAGCAGGTCGACACCGAACGGAGCATTCTTGTCGTGAAGATAACTCTTCAGCTCGGCAACCTGCTCGCGCAGCATATCGGGTGTGTAACCGACTCCTCCGATGACACCGAGACCGCCAGCGTTGGTGACCGCGGCCGCCAGCTTGGGGCCAGCAGCCACGTTCATACCCGCTAGCAGGACGGGGTGGTTGATCTTGAGCAGATCGGTGATGGGGGTACGGATTACCTCTGCCGGGGCCACATGTTAGTATGGTCTGATGGGTATGAAATCATAGCTGAAACCCCAAAACAGTGACATGCAGGAATTAAAACAACATTGAAAAAGCAAAAAGTGGATACATACGAGGAGAAGCCATGGTGAATGAAGTATGGAGTTGAAGAAAAAGAAAGAGAAGAAAGTCCGGGGAAAGTGGACCTATAAAGGGAAGCAACCGAGGCGCATTCACCTTCTGACCCTTTAAGCCTCGGTTCATCTGAACCAAATCATTCAGGGCGGGGAAAGTGACACCTTGACACCTGGTCTCCTGGCCTTAACACCTGAAAAACCAGGCCAAAGTATGCCGTTGTAAGGCATAAATCTCACCTGACACGCGATAAGATCTATTGATTGTAACGTCAATTCCTTCAAAACTCAGGGACGCGACATCGTGCGCCTCGACGGAGAAATGAGCTTTCAAGCCTCCTGCCACCGTGTCTTTCCGGCCGGGGCCATTCGCGGTGCTTCATATTCGCGCGCATTACGATCACCTCGGTTCCCGTCATTACCGACCCCGAATGCAACGCGGCAGAGGGATCGGCTTTGGCACGGACTCTGGATGAGAAGGTACCAATTTACTGATTACCATATCGTTGCCAAGCGGTCACATAAATTCTAACGTCAGATTATAGTATAAGTTCTACCGCAAGCTCGAGTAGGTTCATCACAACTTCGCCTCTTCCGGCCCCGCCTTATCTGCCTTTTATCGGCTCACCCAAGGAAAAAAAAAAAGCGGGACACCATGCACGCTTTTTCTACTTCCCTACGTCCTTGCATAGCAGCCTTTGCAGCCAACAAACTAAGGTTATTTAGATTTCTCAATGGGTAATCCAGTGGCTATGCCTTCGTTTGATGGAAATGTTCAACCGAAGCGCTCTGGTCCACTATCGTATCTGAAATCATACGCGAGGCGATTCTCAAGCGGGTACTCGCCACAGTCAAGCTCCAGCTTGAACTCCACAAATGGAGCCCATGGGCTGCATCGAGCTTTTATCGCATTGGGCAGCAATGTAGGAGACCGTGTCGATATGATTGAAAAGGCTTGTCTTGAGCTGGACCGAGTCAATATTAAAGTCAAAAGAACAAGCTCCCTCTTTGAGACGACTCCGATGTATGTGCTTGACCAGGATACGTTCATGAATGGAGTTTGCGAGGTAATTTCCCATCACGTTTTTCATTCGATGTCAAACAGAATACTAACGGCTACTAGGTTGAGACAAGTCTCTCGCCAATGGAACTTTTGGATACGATCCAATCTATTGAGATCGAGCTGGGCCGAAAAAAGTTGATTGATAAGGGCCCACGATCAATCGATCTGGATATTCTGCTATATGACCAAGAGATATTCGCTCACGAACGCCTTAATGTCCCACACAACCTCATGTTGGACCGAGATTTTGTCCTTCGACCTCTTTGCCAGTATGTGGCAAACTTATCACAAGCTATCAAAAGTGCACACCACTAACAACATAGATTAATACCTCATGAACGGCCACCCTTGCCTGGGAAAAATGCACTTACATACAGCGAACATCTTAAGGCTCTTCCACCACCGGAGCCAACACCATATTCAACAACGCCCATCTCACCACATTTCCCAAACCTCTACGCAACAGACCCGAAGCGTCCAACTCACGTCATGGCCATCCTCAACCTGACCCCAGACTCTTTCTCTGACGGTGGCACTCACTCCCCCACAGACTTCACCCAACTCACCGAAACAGTCCGCCGATTCATCGCCCAAGGCGCAACAATCATCGACGTCGGTGGCGAAAGCACCCGCCCCGGCTCAACACCTGTCGGGCCAGGGGAGGAAATCGCCCGAGTAGCCCCTGCAATTCAACACATTCGCAAGAACATCCCTGAGGCTTCCAACATTGCCATCAGCATCGACACCTACCGCGCTGCAGTGGCCGAGGCAGCCTGTGCCGCCGGTGCAGACATCATCAACGACGTCTCCGCCGGTCTCCTCGATCCAGAAATGCTTCCCACGGCAGCACGTCTCGGCAAATCTATCATCCTAATGCACATGCGTGGAACACCGCAAACAATGACCAAACTCCATGACTACCCCAACGGCGTCATCCCCGAAGTTAGCGCCGAGCTTCGTGCCCGCGTAGCAGCCGCAGAGGACGCAGGTATTCGCCGCTGGCGCATCATTCTTGACCCCGGTCTCGGATTCGCAAAGCTGCAACCCCAAGACCTTGAAATATTGCGTGAGTTGCCAGCTCTGCGAGCGGCTGAGGGCTTGGACTGTTTACCGTGGCTTATGGGCCCAAGCCGGAAACGGTTTATTGGGAATATCACTGGCGTGAAGACACCCAAAGAACGCGTCTGGGGCACTGCTGCGACTGTTTCCGCTAGTGTTGCTGGCGGTGCTGATATCGTGCGCGTACATGATGTGCAGGAAATGTGGCAGGTTGCGAAGGTTGCTGATGCGATTTATCGTGTCTAGGCATCGAGGATGCCGTAAAATATGCACATACAACTGTATATTGTATGTGGAAATTTTTGTATCGTTATGCTTTCAACTTTGTACGATATACACTGGTTGTTTCTTCATTCATCATGGAGTTTATAGAGGGTTGGAGTTGCTAGACAGGCACATCGATTTCTAGCTGGACATACCATGCTTACTTTGATTTGATTACGCACCTCTTTTTCCATGTCTTTTGACAGCTGATGATTCAGTAACATTGCATTCCTTGGACCAATTCGTGAGTGAAAACCCTCCGGGGTTCCCAGGTTCTCGTCATTGTATACCGGAAGGCCTGTAAAAGTAGGAAAATAGCATGTAAAAACCAGCTACCTATTTGTACAGATGAAGCCTAGGGTTACTAATCTATAGCTAGACTTTACTCAGGGGGATTTGGCCTGCAAACGGCGAGCTTGTTTTGCAGCCTCTAAAAAGATTAAACGTTTACAGCGTCCATGGATGAAGCTATGGATTACGCAGTAAAGTGCTATGATGGACATTTATGACTCATTATCTACATAATTCTCTTATCACTCTGGGGAAGTTACATACAAGTTCAAGTCCAATGAAGGTAGATAGTCACTCGGTCTGCAACGTGTTTAGTCTATCTCTGAGGGCCGACTTTCACCTGCCGCTCTCACTTCAGGTCACAAGATCCTGTCTCTACAGGAGATCTTATAGTAATTCTCTACCTCAAATTCTCTAGCTACGCAGGTGGCCCACAGTCGCTGCGTGGAGTTAGACCTTGCATCTACGAACATAGAAGACGGCAACGAATATGGCTCTGAGGGTATCGTTTGAGCCCGCCAGTGGGCGATCAAAAATAAACGAATCAACCGGGCGGAACTCAAGGTCCCAGCCTGGCGGTGCTTTTTCAGAACTGACTATGAACTCGTTTACGAGGAGAAGAGAAAGGATGTGTTGGTCCACGGCGGTTTAAAGTGTGATGACTTATGCCTCCTGTACAAGAGGTGATACCCTGGCCATGGCATGCAAAAAGTCACTTGCCAGCTTGGCTTGGGCATCCGTGATTTGTAGGAATACACGGTAAGTGCACAGGAAGCTACATGGGAAAGTCATTCTAGGTTCACACAATAAAGGTATTGTCATTTGCAATGCAATTATAGCCCTAGCAATATGCATCAGTAAAGTAGTCTGCATAATAGCAGTGTCGATCGTGTATGCATTGTACTTTTCTCTATGACACAAGACGCCATCAATCCATAAACGGTCTGCATTAACTCGAAATCCTATCAGAAACACAAAGAACATGTCAAACTAACAAAGAAAAGCCTTAACTCATCATTACGTGGCTGCAAATGCCCGATGGAATCAAAGCTTAAGAAAATATCGTCAACCACCATCCACGCCAAACTAAATTTACACCAATTTGTCTTCGACCAACCGTGGCGGCGTTAGATGAAGCAGAAAGACATCGGAGGTTGGCGTGAGGCTTGGAGACAAGATATACGTCACGCATCACGGGAATGTGGGGGGATCAATGGGGCTTGCTAAGTATTGAATGTAACAAAACGCGTGATATCGGAGAAGAAAAGCCAAGGTGGCACTTATGAGTTCAGGTAGCTGCGAATGGCACCTAGGGAAAGTCAGAAACTGCACCCTTTAGTAAAATCACATTAGCCAACCTTGTAGCTTGGTCGCTCCTTCACCAACGAGGTGCGACAGGTTCTCAATATCATCTCCTGCGGTGATGCCGAAGCGGCGGACAAAGTCCTTGGCAGTGTTTTCCAAGTCTCCGTAGCCATCGTCCATCGGCGGAAGGTCATCCTCGGGCCGGCCGAAGTAAGCATTACTGGAGATAGAGGTCGCGCTGTCGAATTCTGTGAGGCGCTGCTTGGCCTCAGCCTGGGCGTTGGGATCGAAGCGGTCACGGCCAAAGAACTCGTCAGAAGAGATACCCTTCTGGGTACCGAATCGTGTCTTGGTTTGAGAGAGTTCAGCCTCTTAAAGACTAGTTAGTAACATGTTTATCTCAGGAAAATTACAGAAGAAAACTTACCATCAGCCGCAGATCTGGGAGCAACAGCACCGAATCCGAGCTTCTTGGGAGCTGGGGGCTTTGAGACCTGACCGAATCCAAGTCTGTTCATTCCCATGCCAAGACGATCGACATCGCTTGAGTTGCGCTCATCGTTCTTGCTGGTAGCACCGAATCCACCACGGTTGGGGCTAACCGGAGTGGGAGAAGCAATAGGCACCGCAGCAGTGGACTTGGCCTTGGCATCGGCCTCGGCCTGCTCAGCCTCGGGATCATATCCAAGCTTCTCAATGCGCTCGGCCTCCTCTCTGGCTTTCCGCTCAGCCTCCTCGAAATCGATGTCACTGGGAGCAACCTTCTTCGCGCCAAGCTTAGGAGCCTTCTTGGCTCCCAGAAGGCCCTTCTTCGCACCCCCAACAGTGGTAGTCTTCTTCGCGGCGTTGGCGCGAATGGCAGTCGGAGCGGGAGCTGCGGGCTTCTCTTCAGAGGCAGACAAGGGAGACTTCGAGCGAGAGCCGTTCGAGTTGGCGGTCAAAAAGGGAGATCCGGTTCGGCTCACGACGGGTGGCGTACTAGTGCGGGAGGGTGGGTTGCTCGGACGCTTAATCGAGGGCTTGTCCCAGGACGAGAAAAAGTCGTCGTCTTCTCCGGCAGGGGTAGCAGAGCCGTCAGAGGGGGTGCCAGCAGGGAGATCGGTGATGACAACCTCCTCGGGGTACCTAAACAAAGCGCCTGTTAACTTCTGCCTGGACAACCCACAAACGAGGTCGGAAATACTGACTGTTGCGCATCCGCTGCAGCCCGTCTCTTCAGTTCCTCCTTATATTTGACGGCCGCATTGGAAGTATACTTGACCTTGGCGTCCTTGCTGGCCAGCGCAGCAGATCCTCCATGCGACTGGAAGTATTTGGTTGCGGACTCATTGCCACCGACCTTCATCACCCGGAGTTGCTCCCATTGCCACTCTTTATGAAATAATTAGCCAATTTCCAATCGTAGAGTCGCGTCGCTCGAAATTTCCCCATCTTGGGAGAATACATACGGTCGAGGTTTGTGGATCGAACAAAGGAGATGTGAACGCCGAGATTGCGGTGATTGGATGAGCAGTCAAGGCACAGGTAGATTCCAAAAGGAACCGACGACCAGGTAGGATTCTTAGAGTTGCAGTCGAAGCACACCTATTCGCAAAAGTCTCGTTAGTGAACAATGGCCAAAATGCACCGAGAACGGCGGGACGGGGGCGCGGGGCGAGAACGCACCTTGTTTGCGGGCTTCAACTTCATTTTCTCAAAGAGTTTTTGAGACTGCGCCTTGGAGGCACTCATGATGGAGGAGAAGGCTATGAAATCCGGGGGAAAATAAGGGTTGAGGTGTGCTATGTGCTAGAGAACAAAGGCCAAAGTGATGTATCGGGAACGGCGAACGTGGTCGGACTCGGGAGAGTCCCTGTTCCTGTTGTAATTTTGCAGTTCTGCAGTGACCCCGACGGTGGAGCATGTGCCCCTTAACTATGGGGAAATGACGCCACTTAGGCCGCAAATTTACAGTACGGTATTTTATAAAACACGTGAGCCTGCCTATCGTTATCGCGGTCTTCATCTTCATCTTCGAGGTTGGAGCAGTCGACGATCGCACCCACGATGAATCCTCAGTACGTGCGTGCTTTGCCTCGAGCCACTTCAAGTGCTGTGGCAACTCTGCGCCCTTCTCCCCGAGCCGCAATAAGCCGACTTTACGCCACACAAAGCAGTCCCAACGGCACGACTAAGCGACGGAGGAACATTACAGTCTTGTCTGACGATGGACGATATGAGTGGGGTGATCTTAGCGGACGAGAAAAGGTGTCGCGTGCTACACAGCAATCGTTCAACTTTGTAGTTGTGATCGCAGGTGTTGTGCTAACGGTACGTTCTTGGGTACCCACCTGTGCGAGACCGAACATCAAAGGTCTAACTTTTCGATTCTAGGGCGGTGTCTTCTATCTTTTATGGACCGATGTTATCTCTCCGAATAGTCGGACATGGCAATTTGAAAAAGCCGTCGACCGTGTCAAGGATGATGCGCGGTGCATACAACTCCTGGGTGACCGACGCGAGATCAAAGCCTTTGGAGAGAATACCTCGAGCAAATGGGCACGGCACCGGCCTATTGCGTGAGTCTTTGGATAATTACTACGCGTTGAAAAGTTGGACTAATGGATCTTAGTACGACCGTTGGGAAGGACCGATTAGGCCGCGAGCATCTCCGCATGAACTTTCACGTAAGTCAAGCACTTCCTCGTTGCGGAACAATATACTCATTTCCTCTTTAGGTTGAGGGCCCTCTTAACTCAGGAGTCGTCCACGTGCATATGATCAAGCCTTTGGATCAGAACGAGTGGGAATACCAACTCCTTGCTTTGGATGTCAAGGGACATTCTCGTGTCGTCCTGGAGAAGGCTGTGGAGAAGCCCAGCGTGGCTAGCTCGCTGAAATTGTTTGGCATTCAGTGGCGCTGAATTCTGCTTGAATTAAATTTCATATCATGCTGCCTCAATCTCTACCATTTTCATGGGGTTTCATCTTGCATTATTGGTTTTGAATTTCTGTGAGCTCTTGTCCTAGACGCGGATCAAGGGCTTTTCAGGCCTACAGACTGGCCTACTGTCGCCAGTCTGTGGCTATGTTATTGTATTTTTAGGGCGGTCAACGAACCACCCAGACTGATGTACCATATTTCCACTGTGTATCGAACTCAGTACAATGAAGCAAATATCTTATAAAAATTCTTGGATCAACATTTTGGTAAAGCTATTAACATGAATAAACATAAAGACATAATATAAAGTTTTATACCACGCGAGGACCCTCCAGGATGACCTTAGCCTCCTCGGAGCGCCACCAGCTCTTGCCTTCCACACCAGGGAACTCGAACTCGTCCATGCTGTCGGGCTTCATCTCCACGCTGTACCCAGGCTCCATAGGGGTGACATAGTAGCCATCCTTGACACTGGACGGGTGGACAAAGTGCTCGTGCAAGTGGTCAACATATTCCAGAACACTCCGCTTTCCGGTAACAACGACATAGTCGATTGTGCTCAGGTGCTGTGTGTACTCGGGCAGACCAACGCCACCAGAGTGAGGCACAATGGGGACACCGAACTTGCGAGCGAGCAGCAAGATAGCAAGGACCTCGTTCACACCACCAACACGGCAGGCATCAGGCTGCAGAACAGTCAAGGCACCAGCTTGCAGCAGCTGCTTGAAGATCACACGGTTCTGGCACATCTCACCGGTAGCAACACCGACAGTTCCGTGAGGGGTGTTCTCCAGAGCCTTCTTGATGGCCGCGTGGCCGAGGATATCATCAGGGGAGGTAGGCTCTTCAATGAACCAAGGCTTGAACTCAGCCAGCTCTTGCATCCAGGTGATAGCCTCTGGGACAGACCAAACCTATTCGAGAACAGTCAGTACCAACGCCAATTATTCATATGCCAGGGACGAACATACCTGGTTAGCATCAACCATAAGAATATTTCCCTTATCATATCCAATTGCCTCCCGGGCAATTCTCAACCGGCTCTTATCATCCTCCAAGTTGCCACCAACCTTCAACTTGAAATGTTTGTATCCCTGCTCAACACTCTCCTTCAGCAACACCTTCAACTTCTCCTCGGAGTATCCCAGCCAGCCAGCACTAGTTGTGTAGGCTGGAACAGCCTTGCTAGCCTCAGCCTCAGCAATGCGCTCCTGCTTACCACCCTCAACCTCCTTCAACATAGCCAACGCCTCCTCGGGAGTAATAGCATCGGTGATGTAACGGAAGTCAATGCAACGGACGAACTCCTCGGGAGTCATATCAGCAACGATGCGCCAGACAGGCTTGCCGAGGGTCTTAGCCCAGAGATCCCAGAGGGCATTGACGACAGCACCAAGGGCAAGGTGGATGACACCCTTCTCAGGACCGATCCAACGAAGCTGGCTGTCAGAGACCAGGTAGCGCCAGGTCTTGCCCCAGTCGGCTGTTAGCTCGTCGAGGTCTTTGCCAATGACGAGAGGGGTAACGAGGGAGATAGCGGCGCAGACGATCTCGTTGCCACGGCCGATTGTGAAGGTCTGGATGGTGTTAGAACGCATGTGTATGCAATTGGATTGCTTGCTTGTAGTATACGCACCATACCATGACCGCTGAAGTCAGAGTCTGTGTTGATGATGCAGTAGGCGGCAGAGTAATCACCAGCAGCGTTCATAGCATCGGAACCAGTCTTGTCGAGGGAGGTCTAATGCAAGCGTTAACAACTGAGCCCATTACTGCCTGGACATAATCACATACCGGAAACCTCACGTCCCGCGTGGTGAAGCCAGTAATCTTAACCATAGTGACGGTTGATCAACAATGCTAGAAACCCAATTGAACACGTTCTTGCAATCGTAATTCAAAGATCAAGCTAGGAATGTGGGGAACTCCACAAGATGTATGGTATTTCGCTTGGAAATGTCAGGAAGATGGAGGGTATATAAGTCAGATTGCGACGAAAGAATTCAAAGAGAATCCGGAAGAAATTGCGACTCGCGGCCCGTATATAGTCTCTGTAACCCCCGCGCCGTTGGCACATTTGCCCTCGCCCCTCACTCCGCAGTCCCCGTTTCCGCAAATGCGGCGTTGTGATTGGGGGATAATTGCCCGAGTCGGGGAATTGGGTTTCTCCACCAATCAGCGGTCCGGGAGGTTGATCGGAGTACCTCCGGGGTTGACGTTATAGCCTATAGTGTAGGGAAATTGAACTAGAGGGGATGGTTATTTGAACATGCAGTGTAAATCAGTGTTGTCTGCCTAGGTGGATATATGGATTTACTTCCAACTAAGTCCTTGGATATTCACGGAGTAGAAATCCGAATCATGTAAGGTGAGAGGCAAGGATCAGCGTCTATATACATATTTCACTTTCTGTCAGAGGGTTTGATCCTTGGGCAGACAAATAGGAGCTGATGAGCCCTACCTAGTAACTCAAAAGAAGAAAGAGTAGGAGATATCAACCAGGTCTTGAACCCTTCGCACTCTGAACCTTACTATGTACCCTACATTCTGTACCTATACTGTACACGCTCTCTACTTTTTGTGTTTGAGTTTGATACGTTGAGGCCTTTTAGGGCAACAGCTAGGCACATAGGAACTTTGGAGTAGTTGAGGAATATGCATGTATTTTTCCCAGGGCCGCTTCGTGAATATGAATTTCAAAAACCTTAGTCATAGAGAAGATAGATTTGGACCAAATTGTGCAGCACCCTATCACTATGCCGACAATCCACGCTTCTCGCTCTCCGAGAAGAAAATGAGCATTCGCCATAACTTGCGAACCAGCACCTCGGCTTCCTCGTCCAGGGCCTAAAAATTTAATTAGTAAATTGTAAATAGAAAAGGATCATGCAAGAAACTTACCTCTGCAAGCTGATCCACAAGCTCCTGGGGAGAACCCTTCTGCCGAATATGGCCCTCTACAACGTCCACCAGCATCTGTTCCTGTACACCCAGGTATTCGACGATTTTCTTCTCCACGAAGGGCTTGATCTGATCGCTGAGAACAGCCTCGTCCACAAACTCCCACTTGACAGTCCAGTTCCACAGTCCCTCTTTGTCGGTAGGAATCTCTGCAGCCAGCTGGCGCGCCGCCTGTGCCCGCTCCTCGTCTGTGAGACCAGCAGCCTCGGCAGCGGTATCAAATTTGATCGGGATGAGAGGGCGGCGAGTGGTGGTGGCAGGCTCCTCCTCGTCTTCCAGCAAGCCTTCGACTTCGGCTGCAGTGCGACGAGTGGTGGCGGCCTGGGCCTTTTGAGCCGCAGCTCCGAGAGACAACTTGAAGCGTTGAGGCTCACGTGGCTCCTGTGTACGAGCTTCCAGCTCTTGAGCTTGGCGGGCGAGGAAATCGTCGGCAGCACCGCGGGCCTGCTCCTGTTTCTTGGCGGACTGGGCAAGCTCACGCTCCTCGGCGGCACGATCAGCCTCGTCCAAGCTGGCCTCGCGAGCACGGAATGCTGCACGGCTTCGGAGCCAGGCACCACGATCAGCGTAGTACTCGGCGGTTTTGCGGCTAGCCTCGATGTCATCGTTCCACTCTTTCATCCGCTCGTCCATTTCATCGTGAGCAGCCTGCAGCTTGCCATCATCCTCCTTGTCACGCTTCTTCTCACGCTCAAGAGCAGCGGTGCGACTTCGCTCTCGGTTGAGCCACCGACGCTCCTGGTCCAAAAATTGCTTCTCTTGGTCTGCGTCACGCTTGGCCTGGCGACGGCGTTCCAGCTCCTCGTCACTTGCATCTGAGTCCTCATCTTCACGACTTCCATAGGCTTGAGATCCATTAGTACCACCATTGACAAACGACACGCCCTTCTGGTAATCCTTCGGAATTTGGACACCGAATCCCTTGGGGCCAGCCGGAGCGTTAGGCATACCACGCTCACGGGGACCAAGAGGGATGCCGTTCGCACCACCAGCGGGACCGCTGGGTGCCGAGGCAGGAGGAGAAGCAAGGCGGTTATAACGCGATCCAGAATTGCGAGAACGCTCCATAGTCTCAATCTCTTCTTCACGCTTCAGCCGTTCAATATCGCGGCGGTTACTTCTCTCGCGGAATGCAGCGATTTCCTTGGCCACATTTGCGCGCATCTCCGGTGGGATATCGGCCAACTCATCCTCAACGGTAATAGGAATAGTGACGACCTCTCCGTCCTTTGGAGTATCGCCATCTTGCATCTCAATATCTCCTTCCCTGTCCAATGCAGAGGCATCTTCTTTCTGGGTGGGGTTTGTAGGGTGGAAAAGGCCTTTCAGAACGTTCTTCAATTCACCACGGGCGGCTTCAAAGCGCGCATTGATCTCTTCGGGGTCTTGTTCGCCACGGCTATCCTTAAACTGCTCCAAGTATTTCGTTGTGCTCTCGTCCACCACAACCTATAGATGGTCAGTAATGTAAATGATATAAGAGAAGACAAGGTCCTTACAAGCAAAGTACTCTTCTCCACTTCCTGTTCTTCTTCGCCCTCAGCGCGAGGCACCTGTCGCTTGACTGGGACCTCAATCTCCCGGAGCACCTCGACCGCTGTCTCCAGACTCTCTGGGTCATCGAACTCAGCAAAGCCAAACCGGCAAGGCTTCTCATCAGCATCTGTCGCACGAATCCATCGTCGCAGACGGCCCGCCGATTGCAGAATGCGCTCAATGCCATCATCACCACCGGCGCCCTCCGTGATTCCACCGACAAAAAGTGTTCGCACGATCTCATCCCGAGTAGGCGGTTGGGGCACCATCGCGTCACGACCATGGTGGCGCTGCCCTTCGCTGGAGGAACCAAGACCAGCACGACGTCCAGGGCCCTCTGATCCGCGCTCGCGGCCCATCTCAGGCCCTGCGGGCTTCGCCGGACCGGAAGTGCCTAGGCGGATTACTGGGGCGGAGAAGTTGATGTTGGGCATATTCGGTGGCGGTTGGAAGTTAGCCGGGAATCCTCCGCGGCTGGGCTGCTGGGCGTTCGTCTGTTGCATGCTCGCTGGAGGGGCTGTACCGGGTGCTGCCATCCCTGGAGGAGGAGCTGGAGATTGTTAGCGCTGCTCCAGACTTGAAGAATCGTCGAGAACTTACCCATACCGGGGGTGCGCCAGGCGCACCGGGGTATGCACCATAGTCCTGGGGGTGGCCGTAGGCACCTGGAGCTGAAAGTCAAGTCAGTATTTGCGGCGCGTAGGAACTTGAGCAGTTTTCGTTTCGCGACTGCTGATTGACTGGGAGCACTCACGTTGGTAGGGATTGTACATGGTAGAGGCGCGCACGTTGGCGCTGCGTGGATTTGAGTTAAGATTTTAATTAGAGAATGAGCTGCAGCTCCAGGCGATGTCACCGACAATAGAGCTTAAACTGAAGGAAAGAAAGTTGCGGTTTCTATGTGGGTCCGTGCGCTGATCTTGGCGGACAGCGCTGTCTTGTCTTAGGGATGGCTTTTGGTACATCGTGTCAATGGACAGGTGTCTTGCGTGTTTGGACCTTGTTAGCTAAGCACGGTATTTTTCCCTTTTTTCCTCGATTTGAGTAGGTCATATTTAGACAACTATACGGTGATGTACATAGAAGAATCGAGAAACCAGTCAGATGACCAAATGTCCACTATACTTGGGACAACTTTAACCTATATGATCATTCCATCATAACCATCAGCATTACCCACAATTTTATGAATTCATCCGGATTCATGCGGGAAAACAAACAGGAAGTCGGGATGGCGGACTACAAACACCCGAAACCCATCAGTCTCACCGGCCGGTTAAATTCCCTGATCCGCCGTATATCCCGACATGGTAGTACATAAGGATCTGTAGGTCACCTGGCCTGGATTGACTAAGTCCATGCTACCTGGGCATTGTACGGAGTCATATGCAGAGTTCATGGTGGTTGCATATTCAATTTGCAGATCTGGGGAGTTCTGCATGTATCCATGGACAGGATGGATATATACATGTAGCTTGAGATAAACCATGTAAGGAAGGACAAACTCAACCTTAAAAATAAACATCAAACTCGGATGTAATATGCTGTACATCAAATCTACAAAGGAACGGCAATTGAACCGGATTTTTTGATTAGAAAACAAACCCGCTTCCAGACCTGGGACGAATGCGGCAATGATGATGCTTGCCCCACGGCGCCCCTCCACCGGACCCCAGCGCGCCGGCCTCAACTCTTTTCTTCTATATCTTGATCCGAGCTTCCCTCTTGAATTCATCGTCTTGTAATACCCCATTATTCATCTTTTTGTCCTACTTTGTAAGTCTTCTGGGAATTCCCCGAGTCTAATCGCTCTCACTCCCTCTCCCGATTGCCCCGCACTGACCCGGATCCAAACAGCGTCATCGCCGTTCATCATGCCTGGTTTTTCGCAAGCCTCGGATCTCAATGCCTGGAAGGAGCTCCAGGAGCACCACAGCACTTTGGGGCGTAACATTGTCTTGAAGGAATACTTCGAGAAGGACCCCCAGCGCTTCCAGAAGTTCAGCCACACTTTCGCCAATACTGTGGACAACTCGGGCATTCTGTTCGATTTCTCCAAGAACTTCCTCACTGAGGAGACTCTCTCCCTGCTGGTGAAGCTCGCCAAGGAGGCCAATGTCGAGAAGCTGCGCGATGACATGTTCGCCGGTGAGCACATCAACTTCACCGAGGACCGTGCTGTCTACCATGCTGCTCTGCGCAACACCTCCAACGAGCCCATGCAGGTCGATGGCAAGAGCGTTGTTGAGGAGGTCAACAGCGTGCTTGAGCACATGAAGGAATTCTCGGAGCAGGTCCGCAGTGGTGAGTGGAAGGGTTACTCTGGCAAGAAGATCAACACCATCGTCAACATTGGTATCGGTGGCTCGGACCTGTAAGTTTGCATTGCTTTCCTTAGCAAAAATTTGTCCTAAGCTAATGTTTTCCCCTGTTAGTGGTCCCGTCATGGTTACTGAGGCTCTCAAGCCTTATGGCCACCCCGGCCTCAAGCTGCACTTCGTCTCCAACATTGATGGCACTCACATCGCCGAGGCTCTCAAGGACTCCGACCCCGAGACCACCCTCTTCCTGATCGCTTCCAAGACCTTCACCACCGCCGAGACCTGCACAAACGCCAACTCTGCCAAGACTTGGTTCCTCGAGTCGGCCAAGGATGAAGCTCACATCGCTAAGCACTTTGTCGCCCTCTCGACCAACGAGGCTGAGGTCACCAAGTTTGGCATTGACAGCAAGAACATGTTTGGTTTCGCATCTTGGGTTGGTGGCCGTTACTCCGTGTGGAGTGCCATCGGTCTTTCTGTGGCTCTATACATCGGCTATGACAACTTCCACCAGTTCTTGGCTGGTGCCCATGCCATGGACAAGCACTTCCGCGAGACTCCCCTGGAGAAGAACATTCCCGTCATCGGTGGTCTGCTGAGTGTGTGGTACAGCGACTTCTTTGGAGCCCAGACTCACCTGGTTGCTCCCTTCGACCAGTATCTGCACCGCTTCCCCGCCTACCTCCAGCAGCTGTCCATGGAGAGCAACGGCAAGGCCATCACCCGCAGCGGTGAGTATGTGAAGTACACCACCGGCCCGATTCTGTTCGGTGAGCCCGCCACCAACGCCCAGCACAGCTTCTTCCAGCTGCTGCACCAGGGTACCAAGCTCATTCCTGCCGACTTCTTGATGGCGGCGGAGTCGCACAACCCCGTTGAGAACGGCAAGCACCAGCGCATGCTTGCTTCTAACTTCCTTGCCCAGTCTGAGGCCCTGATGGTCGGCAAGACTCCTGACCAGGTCCGCGCCGAGGGTGCTCCTGAGCACTTGGTCTCCCACAAGACCTTCCTGGGTAACCGTCCCACCACCTCCATCCTGGCCCAGAAGATCACCCCCTCCACTCTGGGTGCTCTGATCACCTACTACGAGCACGTCACCTTCGTTGAGGGTGCTGTGTGGAACATCAACTCCTTCGACCAGTGGGGTGTCGAGCTTGGCAAGGTCCTGGCCAAGAACATCCAGAAGGAGCTGGAATCCGAGGGTGCCAGTGGCTCGCACGATGCCTCTACCAACGGACTGCTTGCTGCTTTCAAGGAGAAGGCCAAGCTGGCGTAGATATAGTGTCCCGATTAACAGCCGTGGTGGACAAGACGGCTATGACGAGCGATGATAACCTTTGACCTGTTAATTTATTTTCAAAATTCGGAAATTTCACACTTCATTCGTCCCATTGGTAGTTATGAACACACAATATTCATGAGTAGATAAAGTTGGCAAATGGGGGTTCAAGACCCTCAGGGGTGGATCAATTCCGATCTAAATAGCGTGAGTATGGACAGGTTGGCTGGCTCCGCAATTTTGTGGCTGAACATCTCCGTGTTTCCTCCGCACCGACTTCCAGTTCCACCATCTCGCCAGTGTGGGGGGTGACTGCCTGTACCATAGCCATAAATATCGACGATATGTCTCCTCTATGCTCATTGACCCGGTTCCCAACCACCGTCGCACTCTCCCTTGCGACAGCGCTGTGGCCTACATCAGTCGCGGGAACCAGCAGCGGTGGCGGGGATGGATACAGAATTGGCGACGAAGTCCCAGTATCCTGCCTCAATCGAACCCTGTACGTGATTCATTCTTCCAATTCCGGAACTGCAGCTAATCAGACATGTCAACAGGGAAGGAGAACATGTACGCAGCCAACCCTGACAAACAATCCATCCCAACTAACCACCAACGAAATCCAGATCACAGACAGCCTAGGCAAACTCCAATACATCCCCTTCGTAACCTGCAACGAAACATCCCGCCCTCTATCCCTCCGCTATGGCATCTCAGAAACAATCACCTGCACCATTCCTGAACTCTCAGACACGCTCTACCACCTCTTCGAATTCTACGTCCACTCCGACGTCCCAATGACCTGTCGCGTGCCTACATCCCCCCTCTCCTCAACCCCAAACACACTCCAAGACTCCGACCCGGAGTCCAGCGAGAGGGACCCTTTCATCGCGTTGAGCGAGAATGGGCCTCCATTCACCCCCCTCACCATCGCGTTGCAGGGTACACTCCAGCTCAGCCACCTACACATCTGGTCAGACATGAACATGCTCATGCACGACGTTCCCTCCGACGCAGCAGCGCAGCCAGAACAGGGGATTTCCAAGGGAAGCCAAAGCGGACAACCAGGCTACGTTATCGCCGGAACGGCATACTCGACGCCCGAGTTCGAAGCCGCGGTTAAGAATATCGAGTTAGAGGACGATGAGAAAGCAGTTGCCGTCGCGCAAGCTGCGCGCGAGCCCTGGACACTGGGACACGGGACGAAAGTGATTCGTGGCGAGCCGTTCACGTTTTCGTTCCATGTTGCATGGTTGGAGGGTGGCGCTGGGGTTGGATGGCCGGAGCGATCTAAGACGGAGTCATTCTTAGGTCTGGGTCCTGCTACTGCTCCGCGGAGCTCGGGGTCTGGCTCATTCTTCTCGCGCATGTTTTTCTTTATTATGGCTGCTTCCCTTGGTGCTTTGGTTGCTCTTTACTGGGAGCGGAATGGGCAGAGTTTCCGCGGGAGAGCCGGTTGGCGAGGCGATGGTATTTTGGGCGTGCCGTCTACTCGCGGTACGGGTTCCAGTGTGACATTTGGAAATGGTGGACGTATCAATGGTTATGGGGGGTACTCTGCTTCTGCTACTGCGGGGGCGAATGGAAACGGTGCTGGGTATGGAGGGTATGGAGGATTCCCTACTGGCAAGAGGGATTGATTCAAGATTGACGGATTGAACATTAGTATCAGTATCTATAGACCCGTGTATAGTGTGAATTGCACAAGGGGGGAAGTTGTTGTACGACTATCAACAAGCTGGTGATGAATCTCAATGCATTCCATGTCTAATGCAAACAAAATAGATAAACAGATAGTTATACATGTAAAAACAAACTAATGGGAAACAGGAACAATTCCCCAATTTAGCCTGAGACGCTAGATCAAGTCAAGCCATGCTCAGTCCAATCCAATCCAGTCTTAGTATATACAAGACACAGACCGAATTCCAACAAAAAGGGTCAACCCTTACCAGCCCTGAGCCTGCATTCTCTGAATCTTCTTAACAGTCTCATTAAACGAGAACTTAAACAGCTTCCGCCACCTCGACCGTCTCAACTCCTTCCGCTTCATACCCTTCCGCACATGGAATCTCTGTGCATTAGCCTGCTGCTTAATCTGATTGGCATTGCAAGTAGCCTCCAAAACCCGAATAGCAGCACCTAGATCCACACCCTTCTCCGGCTCAACATGCACTTGCCGACCAAGCGTAGGTCCAAGCTTCAGCTCCGTCTTCCGGCTGGCAAGCTGTCCGGCAACGCCATCGCGCGACGGAGAAGGGAACATCGTGCCGGAGATAGCATCGGCAATACGGCTGCTGCGAGTCGGGGCACGCTGTGATCCGGCGCGGTTACCCAGTTCGAGCTTGTTGAGGATATCGTCGAAGTCCGATGCGGCGGATTTGGTCGTTGCCTCCGTCTGGATCCCGGTTTCGGGTGTGGATGTTTGTGCGGGGGATTCGGTGGTTTGTGTAGGTTTAATTGGATTTTGTGGAGAGGAGCTTGAGGAGTTGTAGCGGAGTGTGGTGAGGATGGTGGAGTGCTGGATGCGAGGCGTGAGGAGCCATGGGGTCTGTCGGGCACGGAGGCCGCGGGCCAGGGCGCGGAATTCCATTGTGGATAGAGCACCTGGATTGAACGGTTGGTTCAATTGGCAGGTTTGGCTGGTGCTCTGAGTTGGAGGGAGTGAAGGGTGGAATGGCTGGAAAGTCGCGACAACATTTAGCGGAGTTCAAAAGAAAATCCGGCCAAATTCGAGGTCACGTGAAGTTTCGCATACCCAATGTGTCGGCGAGAGTACTTCAAGTACGTTCACTACTGATACGGGTTGTATTGAGGAGGACAGGCAATTACTTGTTCATACTGAAATTGGGGTTTTAATTCCGAAATGTCTTCTCTCAACATTGCGACTCTGCTGCGCATTAATCGTGATGCGCTAGCCGCTCTGCTCAAAGCCGGCACCACCCCCGCCAAGCTAGCAATCATCGATGTCCGTGATTCAGGTATGATGGTCCCAAATGCTCAAAGTTGCTGTGCATCTCATATTGACCTGTCTAGATCACGTTGGCGGACACATCCACTCATCAACTTGGGTTCCCAGCTCCACCCTTGATGTCCGCATGCCGGAGCTCGTGCGAACTCTCAAGGATACCGAGAAGGTAATCTTCCACTGTGCACTCAGCCAGCAGCGTGGCCCTTCTGCTGCCCTTCGCTATGCTCGGGAGCGTGAGAGTGCCCTTGGCTCTGAAGAGAGCCAGAAACAGCAGATTTGTGTGCTCGAGGGCGGCTTTGTGGAATGGCAGGAGAAGTATGGCAATGATGGAACCTTGACAGAGTCCTACGCGGCGGATATCTGGCAGGAGTACTAGATCCAGTGTTACTTGGAACTTATCCATGGGCATGAACTTGCGTGCGGGGAAAGACTAGAAGTGTTTGTGGGCGATGCTTCTTAGCCTCGCGTTTTATGAGATATGACTAGATTAGAGATACCACTAGGACTTGAAGGCAGTACATACCTAGATACATATTGAATATACAGGATGTTTCTGCAGAATTTCGCCTTTCTAGGGTTATATACGGAAGGTAAGGGAGTATGTCTGGTTCAAAGATTGGTATCTGTTCTACAGAACCAACCTTGGAAGTGGAATTGTTCACTATTGTACAAATAGTAGTATTACATATCTCATTCAGCTGGTTACATCTGGAGACCACCTCCAAACCCAACAGGGCGTCTCTTCCCGTCATTCTCTGGCACAATGGCCATGACCTTGTATATCTGACCCATAGAGGCAATGTCCTTTCCAACTAGACGCTTCCACCCAGTCTCGAGAATCTTCTTGTGCTCATCATCTCCAGATTTGCGAATGAGCTGCTCCATGCGCTCTGTGATACCCATTGCATTCAGGAAATCACCCTGCTCAATTGGGCCGTGGACCTCGACGCCATCGCTACCCTCAATGGCAGCCTCAGCCAGCGCAGTGAAATCAACATCAGCACTCACATCCACCTGACCGGGGAACGAAAGTGCAGGCACTATTTTATGGTCCCGGATTCCACGTAGCGAATTGATAGGGATTGTCGACATGCTTCCGTAATCCATGATCAAGGCTGCGCCAGAAGGTGTCTTCTTTTGCGGCGCACTGGGGTCAACGTTCTGCTTCGTTGCAGACGGTGTAGAAGCAGCATCTCCGCCGATACGGCGAGCGAAGTCAGCTGCATAGATTCTGCTTTCGGGGCTGACTTCAATAGTCGAGCCAGGCTGCGACTTGAGTGCACGGTAGCGTTCAGAGATCTCGGGGATCACGAGAGATGAAGGTGTGGAGGCCTTTGCCTTGGTTAACTGGAATTCGGGCTCTCCTTCAATGTTGTCCTCGACCGCCTTTGGGTTCAAGGTAACAAGTAACTCGCGCCATTGAGGAGTATTCTTGACCTTGAGAGGTTGGTGAAGTTTCTGGGGCCCGGTGGGAGTCATGATCTCCTTTTGTTCCGGGATTTCGTTCTCGGGAGCTGGAGGAACCGACTCAAATGCATGGATTGGGAGTGCATCAAAGAACTCGTGAGCGAAAATAAAGGGCGTTTTGCCTTCCTCTGTAGAAAATTTCCTGATCAGTATTTGAAATGTCTGTGAAATTAATACTCCACGTACCATGTGGTAGGAGACGGATATCTTCCACCCAGATAACAGGCACATCGAAGTATTTGCAAGTACTCCGGTGTCCAATGTCTGTCTCTTCCATGGCAGCTTCCCCACACAGCAGCTGCTTCTGCACCTGTCGTAGCGTGTGACTCGCCTCCACCAAGTAAATTGCCTCGACGCTAGAAGTAAAGCTCTTGAAATTCCGGAATGTCTACTCAAATTAGTAAACCCATTGTAGAAATCGGCATCACAACCACTCACCCGCAACATATCGTCCATCAACGTTCCTTTTCCAGGCCCAACCTCCATCAATTGAACACCACTTTTTTTCCGGCCTTGCGACATCCACTCAGCAATTGTCCAAATGCCAATCAATTCACCAAAGACCTGGGAGATTTCGGGAGACGTGACAAAGTCACCATGCTTTCCGAACACAGCCCCAGTCTCGGGTTTTGATGTGTAATATCCGCCTTCTGGAGAAGTCAAGACCTGGCGCATGAATGCTGCGATTGGGATCGGACCGGTGACCTGGATGTTTATCACGATCGTCAGGGCGGACATGTTTGTGCGGGGCTCAGGGTACACAAACCTTCATTGCATGGGCCAGTGTGCGGGCGAGAGGCGTCGACCATTCTCTCGTCTCGAAGGTAGTGTTCCATCGTCGCGAGCATGTCGAGAATATGGGGTTGCGCGATCTCCGGAGCGCTTGCGACGCTGCGCGCCGAGCTGTATACATATTTGTGGTGCGATTTTGGGAATTTTCGTTTTCAATTGGCACAGGAAATGAGTAGAAGAGTAGTAACAAAGAGCTCAACGGGGTTAAACCAGAGTCTGAAGAAACAAAGTGTCGAATCCAGCTTCCTGATATTTTTGTTCCTCTCCGATCTTGTCATGCCGACTCCGCGGAAGCTGTCACATGATGTTATCTTATCGATAAGCGGTCTATACTAGACCAGACGAGCAGAAGCAATCTGAATACAGTCTTTCAGAGATGAATTTTTTTAATGTGTGGTTTACCTATTAAGGAACTATAATTCAAAGTTGAACTTCTAGGAATGGTAGAGCACGATTGTCACTCGATGCGATAAATACAACTTTATTCTCAGTACACCGGGAGGACTTGTAAGACACCATCAGACTGGGGTCATCTGCTTGATATACAGACCTAAAGATGGGCAAAATAACGGCACTTCGGGCAAGCTACTTTTGAGATTATCTAGAATCTTCTTGAATGCTACGACTTCAGAACTCTAGTTACTCAATGTTCTGGAGAAGAACAATGAAGTCTGTTGGTCCTTTATATCATCTTATCACCGTTTTATCCCCAAATTCCGCTATATTCATAATTCTATAATGCAAAAGACAATAGACCTACAAGCTGTAGTGCACCAAGCTTTCTAAGTCTTGTTAAATGAACTATTAATATGTCATGCAGCCTATGCATGTCTAGGTTATCTAAATGTCTTCAATACCTCTACAACCAGTTTCGACATGTTTTAAGGCTTGGAATCTACTAGGCATGTCTCTAGGAGCTTCTAATGTAGATCTAACTCCAGATCATATACAATTCTGCTGTATGTGATGGTGAATATTGGTTGTGTGCAGCTTCTCGAGCATCAATCCATTGAACACACCCAAACGAGTCAAACGCCAATGCAAACGTAAATCAAAGTAACGCCAGCATCATGTAATAGAAAATGACTATAGAACGGCACGGTAGCGTCAGACCCGCTTGGTTCTTGTTGTGAATCCGGTGCGCACGAAACCAACCTTCCCGCCTTCACCTCTTTGATCTCATATCACAGACGTGACAAGCAACTCTTGAGCCTCCCACCAGTACCATGGATAGCTCTAGCCAAAGCATCGTTCAACACACGACCATGTGGTGTTTGCCTTGCCTGCGCTTGGCTGTCCAAGGCTTCAAGCCCGAGAATGGTGAAATGTTTGAGATCATATGCATGACTGACACGGCCCGCACCGATGGAAGATGCGTTGCCTGCGTCCCCAATCGTGGACGCATCTGCGAATCGGTACGTGCTCTAGTTGATCCCGACGAGCTTATATTAATCAAACACAGACCCCCGACGCCATGGATGGAAATGCGTGTGACTTCATCCGCTTCCTGAACGAACTTTCTCCAATTTGGGAGAACGAGGCGCCACTGCATGTGCGTGTTGCGGCAGCAAAGCTCCAGAAGGATCTGTGCCGGGCTTTTATTCACGTGGAAAGCCTGCACCGAAACGCGAACGGGATTTCGGGCCGCCGATTGTTCAAGAACCGGACAGTAAGTCATGTGGCCTTTGTATATTGATTCATGTCCATGCTTATCAAGAGGCTAGGGAGCCAGAGCTTATGAGCAACTTGTGGGTCAACGCCAGTATGACCTTGGCACGGCCCCAGCAGAGCCCACTTATCCGCTGGATATGCAGGCCATGTATTTCAGCTTTGGGATGCTACGTCTGTACGAGGGCGACGCAGGATATGATTTGTGGGAAGCTGCCATCGCGGACTTCAAGAAGGGCCAGAGGGAGATTCTCGGGCAGTGAGGCCCTGCAAGTATCAGATGTTAGGAGAAAGGAGACCTCACATGCTTTCCCTTTTAGCGAATGGGCTGTTTCTTTCGCTTCGCAAATACATTCGCACAAGTGTAGCTTTCTGATAGCGATAAGGTAGCAATGGAGGAATAACAAGCTAGCGAATTGCTCCAACTGTCTCATTTTACTATCATTCTGGCTTCGTGAATAACATTTGAGGGTTACCAAATCTTTGACTTATCTGGTTGGATTTCTTTCTGCATTTTGAGGGATCTCTTGTTACAAAAGGCATAAAAGAGGAGAACAATTTCATGTTTGGGTCCGGTGCATCAGAGCTCTTAAAGGATGAAAGGACATTGGTAATTGGAAGGCAACAAAGAAGTTCAAATTAGGTTGAGGATAGCCATACTGCATTAGACTAGACATGCAAAATCCTCGGAAAACCTTCCTAGAACACCCAAGTACTACCTACCTTGCTAACTGCTATAGTTCGCTGGCGAGGTGCATTACACTATAAAACTTCCCTGGATGGCTTCGTGGGCGATCTTCGCCTATAGTTGCACCATGGCTTGCTGACCCAGTTGCACCAAGGTATAAGACTGAGGCGAGCGTATTTTTGTTGAATAAGACCAGCGAGAAGGGTGGTCACCGAGAACCATCATAATAGCGTACGATATGTCCGAATAAGGTTTTTGGGAAACGCGCGACTTGTGGACATGTTATGGAAACGCAGTATGTGGGGCGCCATATTACACAAGCTGCCCTATGGAAACACGCCGGAACAACCTTGGAAGGAGAGAAGGCCCAGGATTGATTAAGCTATATTTGAGCAAATCCGGAACCTCGGTGATCAACAATAAAACAGGCAAGTTGAATTGGAACTGCCTGCATAAATCTCTGCTAAATGTCAAAAGATTTGGTATTGAATGCACTACCTACTAAATATTCATACATGTCATGATATTGGATACATTGAGGCTAAAGGGCAATTACAGAAGCAGGTTAAAGATAAAGCCCAGGATACTCGAGCCCGTCGATCTTCACAGGCAATGCATTAGCGCCGCCGGTTTTGGTTCTTCCGGGGTTGCGGCGCATCCACCATCATAGTATCGCTGTAAAGCCCAGAGGTCTGTTTCTTTTTCAACGGCTGAGCTCGCTCATCGAAGCCATAGCGGCCATCCTGCAAATTGGGTTCGGCCCGTCGATTTTGCCGTTCACGATCAGCCTGTACCCGCATGTCGCTGTAGTTATGTTGGTTGGTGTTGGCAGATCCAGCGGGCTTGAGAACCATGGAGAGCAGGCGCCCGTCAGCCTAGGTACAAAGTTAGCAAGCAAGTCTAGCAAGTCCTTGTTCGATTCAATCCATACCCGCTGGTTGTGGTAATTGGCAACAACGTTCTCGGCATTCCATTTGTTCTCAAACGCGAATTCGGCGGTGACGGTCGGGTTGTGCGAAATAACGCGGCAGCTGAGCATGGGACCCGACGTGGGCTCCAGGGCAGACTGGATATCGGCTGCTGTGGTGCCTGGCGCAAAGTTGCTGCCGACCACGACGAAGGGGCCGGATGCGCCCTTGATTGACAGGCCACCTCTGGGGGCGCGGATTGTCGCCTGACCAGATCCGGATTCGAGGGCATTCAGTAGTCGCTCTGCATTGGGTTGACGCTTGTTTTTCTTTGCTTGCGCCGGGGCAGCGGTTACCGGGGCTTTGGGCTTGTTGCCACGGAGGTTGGCGGTCGAGGCGGAGCGCTAAAGAACCGCGGACTCTTGTCAGCGGAATGCTTATTTGAATTTCTGGCGGGGAATGAGGATAAGGATTGATCGGTCTTACCTTGGGCACACCAATGCGGCTGGCCAGGCTCCCCGGTTTGGCAGCTTGCGATTTCTGGACCCCTGCGCTCGGCGCACTGGCGCGACGAGCAGTCCGATTCTTTCCGAGGATCGAGTTCGCCAGCTGTTCCCTCTGCTTCTTTTGGCGATCTATGTAGGGGTAGTCTCGGTCAGATTTGCTAGCAGTAAGGACCCCAAAGGGGAATCGCGAAGTGGTTACCGGACTGAATGATCTCGTCGAACGAGACAGGCTTCTTGGTCTGCTTGTTGGCCATGGTGACGATTGAATAAAATAGAGATGAAAGTTAATGAGAATCCAATCAAAGAAACTCAGGTTGGGACGGGTGGCGGAGAAGATACGAATCACGGAGGAGAAAAGAAGCTCCAGGCGGATTCGCGGGATCGGCGATGGCGGGTCTCCACAAAACAATGAACCTGTCAGCTATGAACACCAACTCACTCACTAACTTGCACATTTTATGTTAATGTCGGTGTTCCAATAGCTTTGAATTTGAAGTTTAATGCATTTTATCAAGTTCTATGATTCGATCTATACAGGCTAACACGCGAAGAAAATCCTGTAAATAGTGAGGCGTACTTTCCTATTTGGGACCTGTAGGGCTTCGACTTCTTCAATTTGTTGTTTACTGCATTTCCATTTGGCCCATTCAGTTCCCAGTACCGATCAACATATCCGCCAGTCTTATTTACATCGAGTTTGCAACTATGACCCTGTTGGAAGTGGATCCCGACAAGAAGGTCCAGTCTGGTCTCGCATCGCCAGGCTCACCAGCGGAACGCCGTTCAACTTTCTCACTTCCATTTGTATTTAAGACCCCAACAAGAAGGCTCAGGTAAATTTTGCAATGGATTACAAAGAGTATATGCTGAAAGACCTTTGCAGTATCATACACCCGCCCGATCTTTCACCAACTTGTGCCGAAAGAGGTCATTATCCTGTGTTCAATCCACTAGACCCACGGCACAATCCATCAGCAACGTCGTCATGGCGGCGCCAGGAGAGCCAGACTTCATCTTCTGACTCTCAGAAGCAATCCCACTGGGTCCAAGACTTCCCTCGCCGATCCCTCCACAAGGCTCGATCTGGCTTACTGGCTCTCAGAGCAGGCTTTCTTCGCCGCCACCGTCCAAGTATGAGTATGGAAATTACACCGGCTCGACGTCCAGAGGCATCGAGTGCTAGTACACAGGAAGATTTGAGTTTTGGCGTTGCTCTTTATCGAACCAATGTGCCATGGCCGCCAACTGAAGATGAGCCCAGCATCGATGTCCTGATGAGAGCCGCCGCATTCCATCCGCTAGCTAACATTGCATCAGCGCCAGAGGTGCGAGAATTCCCAGTTTGGGGATTCCATGATCCAGATGCAGTATTTTCCCATGACGTGAGTATGGTTTTTCACCAACCTGCAAGCAAAGTCAGTTGCGACGGTATCCTTGATTGCCAGAACTCACACTCCCATGAAGTGAAAGCCCACAAGGATGATCAAGAAACTGGCGATATGGAGCCAAAGACGACGTCAATTCGTGATGCTCATCCTTTGGCGTCAACAGATTGGGAAACAATAGAATCTTCCTCAACAAGCTCCACTGGTGGACAGGTGGAGAGCTCGAGGAATGTCGATAGTGCTCAAGCTGGACATTTGCAAGAGCAAATAACCGCTTTGCATTCTACTCGAAAGATACTAACCGACGGTGATATTTCCATGTCACACGAAGAGATCGAGTCTGATAATGGATATCTTGATTCGCCGTCATTGAATCAACATATTTTGGATAATAGAAGGGGCTCATTTATGCGACGTTCCTCTGGTGTATTGAGTACTCTCAGCTCAAACACTTCTCACAGGCGGAGGATGAGCTGGATTCAATCCGAAGCATTCGTAACCCAGGATCGGCTTTTGTTGTTCGACCAAGGACCACCAAGCTCTGCAGCTGGTACATGCTCTACTACAAGTTTAGGGCAAAGCTCCGCTGATGTCCCAGTCGCCTTTCCTGGTATATACCAGGCATTGTTAGAGCAGTGGATAGGCGACAGAGATAGAAACAGAAGCAGTGAGGATATAGTGGGCATCTTCATGTATGGTCTCGAAGACCTCATCACTAATGGTACACAGGCACCCATAACAGTCGCTTCACCCACGGTGAACTTCCTTTTGATACACCCCACCAGATATACGAAGAGGCTATGTTATTTGACCCCCTGAGCAGCAGCTCTCACCTGGTGGAGAGCATTTTCCCAGAGTCAGACCCAAGGAATGATTTAGCTCTTGAAGATGAGGAACTGAATCCAACAGAAGATGCGTTTACCTTTAATTCCAACATTGATACGCAGCCAAGTTCAGGACCCATCACTCAACCTGAAGAGCGCCGTCATTCATTTGGCCTGCATATTTCTATGATGAATGTAGGGATCTCGTTCACGATCACATCACTAGATGATTAACAAAGATGATAGGACCCTAGATTCGATACAAGCCGACACCAGATCTTTCCTCTCCAGAACCAGATGTATCAACAACAACACGGCGAGAGCAACTACTCTTCCGCCCCAATCTGGGGCTATGATGCCGCAGACAGCATGTTTCGAAACTCGACCCAGTCATCCATTTACACACGAGGAAGCACCATGTCCCCAGAATGCACGTCCATTACGTCCTTTTCCAATGTGTGCTCGCCACTGAACTCCCCAATTGACGAGGAAGTGCTTTTCTCAAATCCATTTAGAAATGAGTTTTGGAATGCAGATGGCAAGACAAGCTCCTTTTACCCTTATAGAGGTGACCAGCCAGTCAAAGCAGGGCTGCGAGTTGCCAGAGATGGAGGAGTTCACAGTGGCCGTGGTTTTGATCGGATTCCATCAAGCAGAGAACAACAAACCCCTGGAATCAGAATGCCACTCGCAGCTCCGCATTCATCTCAGAGTACTGTGCGTGCGGTGGTAATGAGGGAGGAAAGCGAATCTACCGATGAGTTCTACCCTGATTGTCACGTCCCTGAAAGACATTGCCGTTGAAATGATGAATGTGGTTTCATCGGCAAAGAGTTCGATTCTTTGCATGCTTCTGTCCTTGTGTCTTTTGTTGCTAGTCATGTATTCTTACGCGCTTTGTATGCACCAGAGCAAAGTGATTCTGATTCGGAAATCAAAATTAACAGCTTGTTGTCTGTTCAGTCCCTATTTGCCTTTCAAATGTTATACTTGTAGATTATTTACTTAGCCCAAGCGGAGGGTAAACCCTGCACCTGCCTCTCCTGTATCTCCACCTGTGGCACCACCAAACACCCCAGCAAAATCAAGTTGAGGTGCTGCCTGGCCATGCTTGGGAGCTTCAGGTGTATGATGACGCCTTCGCTTCTCCATTCCAGCCTTCGAAGGGAAAGTAGGGAACATCTCCTTCGGCTTAGGACGAGGATCCTCCCTGAAATAGGGATGAGCAAGACACTGCCGAGCCGTCGGACGCGCAGCCGGATTAAGAGCCAACAACTCTGACAGCAGATTCAAACCCGCATTAGTCAAGTACGGGAATCGCGAGCGAGGCAGCAACGGAGGATTTTTAGAAGATCCCGAAGTGGACTGCGGCAAACGTAAAGATTTGGCATTGGGCAAAGACCTGAATCCAGGCCAGATCTGCGAGTTTGGTGGACCTGTCAACTCGAAGATCTTGGAAACCTGATCCACTTCGTTCTTGCCTTGAAGAAGGGGTTCTTTGGTGAGTAGTTCGCCAAAAATACACCCAATACTCCACATATCAACCTCCGTACCGTATTTATCTGCGCCGAGTAGTAGCTCCGGAGATCGGTACCACAGCGTGACAACAAGCTGGGTCAATTTTGGCGGCGGATCTCCGTAGTATCGTGCCATGCCGAAATCAGCAATCTTGATCTCGCCGCGGTTATTCATCAGGAGGTTGGATGTCTTGAGGTCGCGGTGCATGATCCATTGGTCGTGCAGGAACTCGAGTCCACCCACTACCTGCAAGAGGAGAGTTTTGATTTCGGATGGGAGGAATGGTTCACGCATATCGTCGAGGAGGGTTTTGAGATCGTGTTCCAGGAAATCCATTACCAGGTATACGCTGTTCATTGTTAGCCCGTGCGTTCAAGGCATGTGGTAGGGTTGGACTCACTCGTCCATCTGGTTGCCCATCACTACCTCTCTTAGGAAGACGACGTTTTGATGTCGCGCTTCCAGTAGTGTTTGAATTTCTCGTAGACCAGTCACAGGGAACCCGTCCGGCGAGTTCTGGATCTTCAATTTCTTCAACGCGACTACCTCCCCGGTAGTGATATCCTTTGCCCTGGACACCCAGCCATAGGATCCTTCTTCGATGTGATTCAGCCGCTCAAAATTGTCAACATGTCTGCAAGTCCCCCACTCCCGTACTGGGAACCTCAGCAAGCTGGCCTGTTTCTTCTGAGCTTGCTCGCCCTTGGAAACTTCGGCATCGGCAGGCGTGCCATCGGGGTCATTCGATAACCTCCTTCGCTTGGTAGGAGGTCCTGAGTCCCCATTGAGCGATTGAGCTCTGCCATCCGTCTGTGTCGCAGTCCGAGCCTTACTGGCTTCCTCCAGCTGGCGCTGCTTCTCAGCCTTGGCGCGTCGTTTCTCCTCCTTTTCGCGTTTTTGTTGCGCAATGATCGCTTCAGTTTCGGGGTCCTCGTCAGCCCATCGCGATTTAGAGGCTGACATTGTGGATGAGTTGGAGAGATTTTCGGGATAAGGGCGGAATGACGTTTCTCTGGGGAAGGTTGGACGGGCCGAAGTGCAGCTCCGATTTGAAATCCAAATTGTCCCCGCCTAGTGTTCCTGGATTCCGAACCACGTTCTTTCTTACTCTCGCTTTTGTCAAAAGACTATACTTTTCATTTGCTAAACCTGATACCTTGGCTAAAATTACGTCCACATCCATTGGCCTTTAGCCTTTACTTCCTTGAACATTTGGCGCCCGGCATCGGATCTACTTCCCCACCATGATTGAACCCTTCCAGGTGGGTTTGCGCGGACTTCGACTGCCCAGGTCTGGAAGATTTGCTAATCCATATGGTAGACGACCTTCTCGGTCCCAATGACCTGCGAAAGTTGCGTCAAAGACATCTCCACCTCGCTATACAAACTTGATGGTACGATCCACCCCTCTCCGATGCGCCACCTGCTTTTAGTGCAAACAATCTCACCGCACCGGTATACTTTAGGCATCCAGAAAGTCGAAGCGAATCTCAAGGATCAACTTGTCTTCATTGAAGGGACCGCGCCCCCAAGTTCCATCGTCTCCGTGATTGAGAACACAGGTCGCGATGCGATCTTGCGGGGCAGTGGCACAACGGACAGTACGTACTGATTGCGTTGCACCGCTGAACATACCTTGAGAGACATATGCTGACCCGCAAATCCGTAGGCTCGGCTGTCTGCATCCTCGAAACCCACTCCAACACCGTCTCCAATAAGATCCGCGGTCTGGCTCGCATGGTCCAGGTTTCTTCAAACGTGACCTTGGTCGACCTAACTATCAACGGTATTGCACCAGGCAAATACTGGGCTACTGTTCGGGAAGCCGGTGATATCTCTCAGGGAGCTGCTTCCACGGGCGGAATCTGGGATTCTTTGAAGGCGAAGGTGCTCGGCTCAGAGGCAAAGGAGTCTCGGGGTATCTTTGGATCAGTGGACGTTGATTCAAAGGGGCGTGGAAGTATTTTCTTAGACCGACCGGTAGCTATCTGGGAATTGATTGGGCGTAGTATGGTTGTGTCTTCGAGTAAGGAGGGGCCATTCCGAAGGGAGGATGAGAACACATTGGTTGGTGTTATCGCACGCAGTGCGGGTGTTTGGGATAATGACAAGATGGTTTGCTCGTGCTCTGGGAAGAATGTATGGCAAGAGAGACAGGAGCAGGTTGGTCAGGGTATGGCATAAGGGAGTTGGGGACCTTGAGGGTTTGTATATCCTGGACGCTGACTGGATTGCACGTGGTGGTGATGATTTATGAGGTCAAGAAGTTGCATGTATGCTTCAAATACCCGAATTCAAAATGTTCATACAGTTCAGAAATTTTCCTACAGTTATAGTGGGAATATCTTATAGCGGAGCGACTGCATACTGTAGTTCAGAAACCACTTTGGCGATTGCCGATGTGGCTTATCACCAACGCACCATTATGTATAACAAAATAAATCGGGCGTCTGGTATATAGACTAATGGCGAAGTTTCTGGCTCATTTAAAGTTGTTCCCACATGTCTTAATCACTCTGTTAGTTGATGAATTTCCGAACTCTGCTCAAGTTTTATATGTGGCTGAAAATCATTTGCCCCTGCTCTTGAGAGAATCAGAAAGAACACTTCCTATGGATTCCGACATACTGGCTGTACTCACGGTAATTGCGCGAACAGGTGATCGGCACAAGGAATGACAAGTTGCCCCACCGAGATCTACTGGCCCAAAGGACCGTCATTTGATTGCACTGCTTTGTGCAAGGATTTTATGCCGTGTGCTATGTACAAGCCAATCGTCTCGATGGTACTTTTGCATATAAAGTCACCAAGACTGAGCAACCATCGCGAAGAGCTCGGAAGAAATGACTGGAGAAGGTTCATGCAGAGATCGAAGCATCCAGACCCAAAGGCAAAAGTGACTAAGTCAATCACGTGCCATGAAAATGAATGCCCCGTTCCCCGCGACTCCAGGACGAAATAGTTGATGTAGGGCCTTCTCCTAGTGTACAGCAGCAATGTTAGCCCCGAATTTCCACGTCAACGCCCCGGTCCCGCCGGACCCCGTAGGAAAGGCCCCGACATACTCCCCAGACGAGGTCCCGTCCTGTGGCGGCCACGGGACCCTCGAGATTCTGGAGGTGACCCGCTATCTTGAAAAGCATGGCATCGAGTGCTGTATTGTTGGCGTTTCTGCACTGATTTTCTACGGTGCTGGGCGTGTACGAGATGTATGGCCATCGAATCCTTTTCCCTGCGACTCCAAGCGGCCGAATGACCTCGGGATCCAGACCAGGCAACGATTAATTTGGAGTGAAACGAAAGAGTAGCTTAGCTGACTAGTCTTATATAGGAATGGGAGCTATGCGTCCCCGATGACAAAGTCGGCGAGGCGGTTGCTCTGCTCTCCGCCGACTCGATGGCCCACAAAATTCACGCTGTACCACCAATTCCGATCCCGCAACCTTCGTCTCTAAGTCATACCTACCACCGATTCAAAGGCAGGGGTATCCATTTCTACTTTCTTCTTGTTCCTGCATATCATGCTCATATTCCTTGTGGGCCCTTTCGCATACGACGCAGCTTAAATGGTGTACCATATCCAACATTACCGGTCCTAATGCAGAGCTTCTTGGACACGAATGACGATGTATCGCTGTGCGATTGCATCGACGGATCAAATGTGTCTGAAGAGTGGGGGGTTCAAAATCTCAATTTAGACGGGTCTAATGATCTGGAATGGACCCGGAGAATGAACATTGGGGCTGCAGAGGCTGCAAGGGGGAAAGGATGGATGTTTGTGCATTACTTCCCCACATCAACAATAAGCAGACGAGAACAGTGGGAATTGCGGGTGCGGAACAAGAAGGGGAGGTTAGGCTGGACTACTCCTGAGACGATATTCGAGACGCGATTCCGTCTCAGAGGGTCTCCTGACCCCTGGACTCAGAAGCTTATATCAAGTTAGTCTGCAAGCCCATGTTAAATAATGAAATAATTATAATTATCATTAATAGATAGTAAAAAAAATTCGTTGCTCATGAAGGGCCACATCAAAGCCCAAGGAGAATCCTCATGTTCTCCACTTGTTCGGGGAAAGTCGCATATTTGGCGGCATATTGCATCCAGAAATACTGTCGCTGCTCAACACTAAAGCAGTCTCTGAAAGCTGGTACTTGAATCGCATATTGGGTGAAAAGGAACTCCAGGTCCACGAAGTCCTTGCTATCTTGTTCGCCACGCCTGGAGAAAGCGTCTAGTTTGGCATAGATCTGGAAGACCAAACCGAGTACCGAAACGGGAGAGCCCAAGGGAGTTGGTCTATGAGGATTGATATGCTCGCGCGAGGACTGAAGGTCCTCTGGTGTCCCCAGGTTACCTGCAGTGATCACTATTTGTCAACCGCCTGTCGATTACTTCGGCGAACACCCCGGAATAAGCCACAGGCAGGAGGATCCACACTCACCACTAATAACAATATCCATACTGACCGCTAAATCTGGTACGTGGGGGAATTCCCCATCCACACTGCGGCCTGTGTCAATGAATATTTGAACGGAAGTTCGGCCATGAATAGCCGGGAAATGGATACTGGCAGCGGTCAACCAAAAAACGTCCCACACCATCACGAATAGACATGGAAGGAATAAAAAGAGTCAGGGTCCGCTCAGTACCGGGGTTCTGCAGTCAAAATCTGTCTTAAATGGTCCATCGAGGTGGCAACTGTAATATCGATGTCCTGTGTCCGGCGTCTACAGCCTCTCAAGTAAATAGCCCAGCCACCGATGAAGGCGTAGGTAACTCGACTCGACTCGAAAAGCGCCGCCACGAACCTCGCTGCGAGGCCTAGATGTAGGAGGTCGGCGGTATTGGATGGGTAATAGAGCTCCGCGAAGCGGTCCGTGTTATAAATCTCAGCCATCTTGGGCGAACAGGTTAGGGGCTTTGAGAGTTCGGAACAAGATCTGCTGGTACCCAAGCATCCGAGTTGCCCTCATTGTCACGGGGGAGGGGAAGAAGAAATGGTGGACCACGCTATCCGGTGAAATTGGCCCCCGGCGAAATGAAGCATTAAAGGAGAGCCGCGAGTACACGTGACATCAGTATTTAGCCGGGGACTTTCCATATCTGCATTCAGCTCTGAACCTTGCAAGTTCTCTATCTCCAGGGGCTATCTGAGAGCCTTTCAAGCTTCTTGATTTATTACCCCTTATCATCTGTGGATCCTGTGACGTTGGCTTGGAGGTAATCTATATAAAGTGACCATGCAGCTAACGAACACCTTAGCCGACGGCTCGCTCGGATGCCCTGCCTCTCAAATGAGATGGAGATAGAATTACCCAACTTGAGGTATATCATTAGCCGCGCGGGCAAGCCAAATCTCCGGTTGACCCACCAGATAGACTTCCGAGGTCGGCAGGCTATCTGCTTACGTGCATCCATGAAGTTGCATACTTATATTCAAACGTGCTCTCCTCCGACTACTAGATCTAGTTTCCAACTAGATCAACTGATAAGCAACTAGCACCATGGCCGCTGTGGTAGTTAGTATATTGCTGCAAGAAATAGCCCCGAGGATGACAAAGTAGCATTAGGAGGACTATTCAATCAACCCTTCGCCAAACCTTCTAAGCGACCTTGTAATAAGTGACCGATGAAACAAACTATATCCCTCAAAGTAATAAAATGGAAAGGCATCAAGTCTGTACATCTCCGGGGAAAAAAGCTCGACCAATCGCACCTGGTGACGTTGTTGACGGGCTCCACTTCTCTACTTCTCCAACTTGCACCTTGTGTACACCTTCCACTTTTCCCAACCTTCAACCCTCCCCACCACACAATGACTGACCTAACACCCACACTCAGCCAGCTGGTCTCATCCAAGCATGGCCCGACAATTCCTTCCCAAAAAGCCCTCCGGCCATCCACTGAAACAGCGGACGAATTCCTAAAGGAGGCATATCGCATCGTCAGCCACCCCTCCACCACCACCCAAACCACCAAAGCTAACCAAGACAACTAAACAGAACTCCCACATCCAATCCCTCCTTCAATACCTCCAATCAATTCGCCACGCCTACCTAACTACAACAGCCCCACAACGCCGTAACCAAACCACTACCCGCCAAGCACACTCTCCACCCCCAACATCCCAGCACCTCACAGAACCAGAGCGCGACGCAGTCGACTCTTCAACAGCCCTCCTCCTTCGCGATCTCGCAGCCTCAATCTCAAATCTTGCTTCCGCCGAAACCCTCCGCCAGGACACTGAAGCTACCATCCTCCGCAAACGCTACGGCCACAGCGCTGCAGGCGCTCTGCTCTTCCGATGGGCAGGCGGCGGTGGACCAGGCGACAACGAAGATGCGCAAGGGAAGTCAGCAGAGCAGGTACAGGCGGAGGAGAGCGCGAAGGTTCTCCGCACAGTGCGCGAGAGCGTGCTCTGGCGTTTGAGGCGCGGATTGGAGGGTGCGGCGAGTGTGCAGCGAGGGATGGTAGAGAAGAGGATTGACCGTGTGCGCGAGAAAGAGAAGAGTGTTTTGTATAAAGCTGCAGGTAAGGCTGCGGCGTCGAAGTCTGGGTCTGGAACGGCGCAAGGTGGCTCAGAACGACAAAGTGGCTATAATGAGAAACCTGCGTCTCTGCCGACTCCTGATGCGGTGCATCTGAGCGAGGCTGATACAGCGCGAATTGAGGCGCAGCTTTCACCGGAGCAACTGCAGCTCTTTGCCGAAGAGAATGATACTATGCTGCGCCATTATGAGGATACATTGAGCAAGGTCCAGTATGTTTTTGTCTTGTCTTGTTACTGTGCTCTATGGCTAATTTGTGCTTTAGAAATGCCGAGAAATCTCTTATTGAGATCTCGTCTCTGCAGAGTACGCTTGTATCTCATCTTTCTACCCAGGAAGAGTATATCTCGCAATTGGTCAGCGATGCTGATACGACTAATACGAATGTTGGGCGTGGAAACAAGGAGCTTAAACGTGCGACCGAGCGCCGGAGTACGGCGCAGGCCGTGTTTTGGGGGACTGTGGGCTTGTGTACTTGGCTTGTTGTATGGGATTTGGTCTTTTGATCTTATACCGTGGACATTGTGCCAGGACTTCGAGTGCATTAATGAGATATTTGGGCTTTTCTTAGCATTGGCCCTATACCGAGGTAATAAAAAATCGGACTTGCATCATTTCCATTCAGCAATGATTCCGAATCCTATTATTGTGAAAATATATTGTGATTTTAGTAAGGGAACCAAGTCGAATGACTGGAACTACCAACTTAAATTCTATCAAGCGCGGGAGAAAATCCTAAGGCGTTTCAAGCCTAGATCTACAAGTGATAATCGGACCCACTAGTCCAACAGTATACAAAAGAGAATCGATGATGAGCAAGATAGCCAGCCAAGGACCGAGATGTCATATAAAGACCATGTAAGGCATGGTTTTGGGGTAATCAGTGAGAAACAAAACGCCAACCCGACTTGGTTGTCCCAAGTGCAAGATGTTTTTGGATAACATCTACAAACTCTCACGCACAACACTATCAACAGCTTCAGCGAAGTAGTCGATATTATTTGTGTTCAGACCAGCCATTGAAATACGACCATTCTTAGTCTGCAGCGATCGATCATTAGTAAATCTCATGAAATCAAGGGGGGGACCAAGTACTCACCATATAAACATGCCACTTAGACCGCAAAGTCATAACCTGCGCCTCACTCAATCCCGTGAACGAGAACATACCAATCTGCGAGGTAATATGATCCCAAGAGCCAGGCGTCCCCTTCTTCTCAAGCCTCTCCCGCAAACCAGCCCGCATCTCCAGAATCCGACCACTCATTGTCCTCAAATCATCCTCCCACTCCTTAAACAATACAGGATCATTCAAAATCCGACTCGCAATTCGCGCCCCATAAGCAGGGGGATTAGAAATCTCCGACCGCTGCAGGATAGCAAGCTGACTAGCTACATGCGCAGTAGCAGTCGACGCGTCCGCACCAGGCGCCGAAACAAAATGGAACGCACCCGTGCGCTCACCGTAGAGACCGAAGTTCTTGGCGAAGGACTGCGCGACACAGAGCTCAAACCCTTGCTCGATGAAGTATCGGATTGACCATGCATCCCGGTTCAGGTCACCGGATGCGAAGCCCTGGTATGCTGTATCGAAGAAGGGGAATTGAGAGCGCGCGCGCATGGCAGCGGCGATCTCACGCCATTGGTCTTGGGTGGGGTCCACGCCTGTGGGGTTGTGAGCACAGGCGTGCAGGAGGATGACGGAGCCGTTGGGGGCGTTCTGGATAGATTGCATCATGCCATTGAAATCAAGGCCTTTAGTCTGGGTGGAGAAGTAGGGGTATGTAGCGATGTTTAGGCCGACATTGGAGAAGATTTGGTGGTGGTTGGCCCATGTTGGGTTGGAAAGGTAGACTGTTGGTTTTTGGGGGTGGAATTTGGCAAGGAAGAGGCCGCCTAGGTGGACGGCGCCGGTGCCCGAGATGGTTTGGAGGGTGCAGATCTGAATACAGGGATGAGATTAGCTTGTTTGGGTGTTGATTGCACGGGACATACCCGTTTCTCTTTGATGGCGGGGCTGTCGGCGCCGACAATCAGCTTCTGGGCTGCTGCTGTGAGATCGGGCAGACCGCCGATGGAGAGGTATTCGTGGTTGAGAGTGGGATCATTGTGGATGGCGTCATCGGCCTGAAGGGATGTTTAGCAAGAAACAAGACATCAACAAAGAAACCCGATAAGATAGAATGGAGCTCACCTTCTTAACAACAGGCAAGATCCAGGGCTTCGCATTGTTGTCGCGGTAGGCACCAATGCCCAGATCAACCTTCTTGTCCGAGGGATCCTCCCGATAAGCCTTCATCAGGCCAAAGAGAGGATCTTCGGGGGCGGCAGCCACCGTGGAGGTGGTGAAGACGGAGGGATTGGAGGGACCCATGATGTGTGAGGAGATGGAGGAAAGACGATCGCGAGCCGTCGAAGAAGGGGAAGCAGGGGAATTTGAATGTAAATTTGCCATGATTGTCTGACACAGAATATATTACGCGACAAACGTTTTCCCCGGAATTGTCACCGAAACCTTGCTGCTTGCGTTCACCGGATGAGGAGGAATGAGGGGGTGGAGTAGAGCGGTTAAATCAGGTTGCGGCGATTGTCAGCGTATACAATATACTTGAAATAAAATCAGAGGCACTAAGAAGAGGTATTTTGTTGCAGCGTGATTCTATATATACACGAAGCTATCGCCGAGGGAGTCCACTTGGAACCGAGGAAGTTCCGTATCTTCTTCGTTGTGATGGAGAGTGGAGTTCACATGCGAAACATGTGTAAATAAGGATTTACTATAACCTCGATGATCGATCAACTGACTATGGGTTACGGGGTCAGGAGTATCCATGTATCGAGGTATATAAGTACCTAAGTGAGTATTCAGTAGAGATTTGTATTCTGGATGATCATGAAATTTTCATTCATTAATTACTTCAAATACCAATTACCCGGTGGTCTGATGTGTGACCTCCGACAGGCTCATCCCGCCGCGCCGCAAATCGTGTGTCATCCAACGCCGAAAAAAAAAAAAAAAAAGACGCAGTGGATCCCTTCTGGAAAGAATCCAGACCTATGGCCTGATACCTAGTTATGTATTCTAGCTCGGTTTATAATTATCCGTTCTCGCTGTCTCCAAGGTCGCGTGTGAAGTGTTTTGCCCCTTACATATTCTCAAACGCTCCAGCGGTCTACAGTACCTGGATCATAACAGATAACCCTAGCAGAGGTATTGACTTGGAATCGAGATAAAAACATCCCTAGATCTGCGCATATATCGAGAAATCCCTATCATCTGAGTGTCCTTATCTTGCTACGGAATGCCATCGTTAATCGTTTATCCCCTCACCTGCCAGATATGCGATAAGTACCATACATTATCTTCAGAGTTATGTAGTATCGGCCAAGCCTTGGGCTGCACGTTCTATCCCTAAATCTCCAAATTCCCACCAAACATTAACAGGTCCATAACAAAATCCCTTCGTCTCGAGGCCATGAGGAGAAATGGCAATCAGGACGATCCCGGAACTCCGCACACAAACCGGACTTGCTCCGACTGCAGCCGTTCCCCGGAGAACTTGGGGAAAATCGGGAGGCATTTCCATGACATCAACGGGGGTTTGGATCAACATAACATGATTTCCTTCCTAGGTAAATAGTCCCTTATCCGCCCAGCGGAACAGGTATCCATGTCCCAGGGTTCTGAGCTGCTCATGATTATGTACCAAGTGTATCTGGAACCCGTGGACTTCATACGAGATATATGTTTTGCATTGCCCCGGGGCTGAGCGAGCCACCCACGTAGGGCAGAGTGGACGGAGATTTCAGGAAGGCTTGGATCCCCATTTTTTCCGGCTTCTTTGTTCATTTTCTTTTCCCCCCACACTGTCTCCACTGCCCGTTTTGCTTTTTGGTTCTTCCCCCCGCTGCCAAGGCGCGGAGATCCCTTTTGCCGATGTTAGGCTTGGGGTTGCGGGAGTACTTGCCCTAAATGTTAGTATCATGACGTCGAGCTCCTTGAGTATGTATGCTTTGTATTTCCTAATTTGCGGGATTTACATCTCCCTATGGCTCAATGTACAGGAAGTATATGCAAAGGTGTCAAGATCCACAAAAATGGAAAACAATGAAACAAACAGGAAAGAAACAAATTTTCCTCCGTATCTCAAACGCCTATGTCCAACCAAAATCCCATCTCTTGTAATTCGTAACGCCATAATCAGCTAAATCTGTGCAAATCAATATGTAAAGCTGGGAAAAAAAAGTCATCGAATCATGCAATCAGAATGACATGTGTCAGTTTCATCTGCTGGAGTTGGTGGGCAATCCAGCAGTTTCATTGGTTTGAGGTTCGGTTTCGGTCTCGGTCTCGGCTATGTGCGCAGGGGCCGGGACCGTGGGAGTCGTCACTGTCGGCGTAGTAGCGCCACTTTCACCGGGACTGAGACTCTCGACACCGTGGGTGCTAGAGCGAACGCGGAAGCGCTCGCGAAGTCGGGTGCTGAGACGGTGGCGGCTGGGGGCGGGAATAGCGTCGGCAGCATTGCCCTGGTTCGCAGCACGGACATGGCGGAGGGCAGCGAGGCGCTCCTCCACGGTGGCATTGTGCATACGACGGGCATTCAAGTAGTTAGTGAGACGGTGGTGGGAATGTCGGTGGGTTGTTGCATCAGTTGAGGTTCCAGCCTCCTCGGCCGGGGTTTCCTCCGGATGCTCGGCATTCTCATCTTGCTCGGCATTTTCTTCTGTCTTGGGCGGATTCAGGTCGATACGACTGAGGGGAGATTAGATTGTGATTACAGTAGATTTGAAGAGAACATACCATAGAGGACAGGTGCCGGACACGTTCACCAGCCAAGGATCAATGCACTCCGGGTGGAATTGGTGTTGACAGGGCAGTACTCGCAGATCTTGGCCCTTAATAAAGTCATCTGTGCAGATGGGACAGGAGAAATTGCCAGCATCCGGTGCTGCATCGGTTTTATGCTCGGGCGCAGCAGCAATAGGATGATCGGATTCCTGTTCGGGAAGGTCGGTCTCACGAGTGGTCTCCTCGACATCAGCAATACTCTCGGAACGAGGAGAGTGTTCATGGCCAGATTCATGGCTGACCATCTCAACGTCTCGCTTGGCGGCATCAACACCATCTCTGGGAGATTCATCCCCAAATTTGACAATGGGAATCGTTTCGAGCATGGCCCGGGCGATACCTCTTGCCCTACTCTGCCTGACACGACCTGCCACGCGACGAGGTCCATATCTCTCCGGATGACGATGAGCGCGGACAGCACCTGTGATAATGATGCCCAAGAAGAGGGCAGTGATAATACCGGTAATACTGTACAAGATGATCATTGCTGCAAATCTAAGTTAGCATACTGATGCAGATATATATCGGGGAATGAGTGGAACACAAACCAGTATTGGGACTATCTCCTCCAGTACCAGTACCAGTACCTGTAGCGCCGGTGGAATCGACACTAGCCAGCGGGGCCGACATACTGCCGATTGCTGTGAATGTATTGTTTGAATCAAAGGCGTCTTGTAGAAGGGTTGAAGCTCGCCAACTGATGACAGTGAAGATATTGCGATAGTTTTCCGCAGTATTATCCGTGGTCAAATTGCAGTGCGAAGCTGAATTACTGTACAGGATGATTGCCCCCGGTAAGGTCGACTGACTGTCAACAGTGTCGATGGTGCGATCCGCTTTGAACGGTCCAGGGTAATCGGCAGAATCACACGGGATACAAGCGATTGAGGAGGAATTCAGGCCAACCGAGTCTTCCGCGACTACTTTGGTGACGTTACCCGGGATATGAAAGTCCTGACAGAAAATGAGCCACGCGCGCCCGGGAGATTGGGGGCTAGATGATGGGGGCTGAGGGTACCTCTTTCTCACTATCCGTTAGGCGGACGAGGGACTGTGTCAGCGGGGCGAGGGTCAGGCCGTTCAGAGGACCCGAAGCCTGAAGACGAAAGCGAACGGAAGAAGACCAGGCCAAGTCCTGAGAATAGTTCGAAGGGAGGACAGTCACGGTCGCCAGCACCGAAACGAAGAAGTAAAAGAGAAGAAATGGACCCATAGCCGCTGATGTACGGGACTCAGCGGAAGCGTGGGGTTAACGCAGCATTAGTCAGGGCCTCAAAAAGTGGGAGTTGAACAGGAAGTTTGGGGGGAAGTGGAGTGGCATATGAACGAACAATAAAACAGGAAATTAAAAAAGAGGGGAGAGCTAAGGCCGATCATAGTATGGATCCCCGTGGAGAAAGTAGATCCATTGATCATGACGATAAGCCGGATGGTGGAAGTTCGGGGGTTCCATGGTCCTCGGTGCATGAACTTGATATCATACATGGATCATTATCGTGTCTAGGTAGTCTTACTCGGTCACCTGTGATCTCGATGTAAATAAGATTCGGTGTCCAGGGCTGTGTTAGTCGAGTGTTTGACGGAGGATCCATAATCCCATATGGGTTATCTGGAGCGTGGGGGATCCACACGATTGGCCGTTCTCGCTTCACGCACACAAAGACCCCAAGAGCACCTGTCCTAGTCCTATTCCTAGATCTCATTAATCAGATTGATCATATGTATGTAGCTATTTGTTTCCAACCTGACCCTGCATATGTAGTTGAGACTGGATGATTTACGAAAAGGGGTTTCGGGTCTCGGACCTCTGGAACCCTCGGGATCGTAGGTATCGTTTCTCTTTCCTTTTCTGCTCCCTTTTCCCCGCAGAGATGGCCTGGGATCAACATGGCAAAAGCAAAACTCGGGACTATCGGACGTGAATCGCCAACTGGACGACCGCCCGAACCTTAAACCCGTTCATTCTGATGATCTAGTCTTTTGTCCGGGCCTAGATGGTGTGAATGTCCTTCATAATGTTGCTCACGTTGTACACGGGACATATTCTCCCAAACTCCTGAGCCCCGGATATTCATTTGTGATTTGCGGAGAAGGCAGAGTGGAGAGAGGTCGAGGCTCTCATGGACCGACGTACAAGAGCAAAAGAGAGAGAGGGAAAGTGAAAAAATAAATAGAAAATGACGAAAGGGCATATTAATAGTGATTCCCTGTAATTCCTGCGTTTTTTTAGCTTTTTCCCTGAGAAGAGCGGCTGCACCCGCTCCTCCGCGTTCTTCTGCAATCCCTTCCTTTTCCCCTTCGCCTCTCTCGATCGGCAGATCCACTGATGACAACTTGATCATTATCACTCTCAGGGCGGGTGTGATGCGTCGCACCATGGCCCAGGACGATGATCCATCGGCTTGGGAGTTTCGCTTCGACCGAAAACCCGTTTCATCGTACGTTGTCAAAGGAGGAGAAAAAAAAAAAAAAAACCCACCCCCTCACACTTCTCACAGAAACCCCGTGATCGCAAACCTCGATATCGAATATAGTGAATTGGCTCAGTCATGGAAGGCCTTTATTCGCCATGTACCGGCTGAAAATCGTGTGGTATGGGAGGAGCGGCCTCAGACGGCTACCGATGTTCAGGCTCTGGTGCGCAACCTACACACCCTTTGGATGTCTCGGCCTCGCCAGCGGGTTACCGGCCTCTGTGATCGATTCGTCCCCACTATCGAATCTCATGCTCAGATTCTTGCTGTCCTTCCCGATGGTAATTTGTACTATACCCCGTTACTCTATGGGGTGCTGCAGTCGGTGATCAAAGTGAGTTGCAACCAGGCCTGGGCCACCATCCCCATATCTCCCCACCGTCCACTAACCCACTTGTTTCATCTAAAGGCATCGTCAAATTACCACCGGATCCTCGAAGGACTTCTTACCGCATTAAATAATATCACTAGTGCCATCAAGCCCCCCGCGGATCTCAATGCGTCCCACCGGGAGCCCGTGGCCGAAATCTACACTCTGATCTTTTTGTTCCTAAATGAATTTATGGATTGGTATGTGCGGAGGTCTACGTGCCACCTATTGAGGAGTTACAGCCAAGACGCCTATGCCCACTTCCACCCCCTAGTCCTTTGCATTCAACGGCAGGCTCAAACTCTCTCCGGGTCCTCGGATGCAATGGATGTCGATGATGGCTGGGACTCCGCATACAGCCCACGCGCCCTGTGGGAAGAGTCGCAGCTCAGTCAAGTCGGACGGGAAGGAAAGCGACGCCGACACGCAGCCCAAAATACCATGACCCGACGCCTGATTTGGGATATTCAACAAGATGCAGAGAAACGTGATCAGTTGAGGGAGACACGGGACAAGCTCTTGAAGCAGATGCTACAGAATACAACAGAACAACTAATTCCTGCAGAAGAGCAGAGCAACCGTATTGTGTGCTTGACTACCGCCGCACCGGACCTTGGTAGGAGACATCCCTTTTGGACGCCTAAGCATGTGAACTAACTCTACACCAGTAACACCCCTTGTGGAATGGTCTCGGGGGTCCAAGCGTCGTCTAGCCCGTCTTGAGCTTCAGAGTGAATCCAAGCATCTCCAGCCCTTCTTCGATTGCGAGGATCAGATTCCACACTGTGACCCGGACGCCAAGGTTGTGACGGAAGCCAATGTGATAACGTCCCTCAAGAAATGGGTCACTAGTCCTCGTTCCCAGGCTCTAGCCGTTGCCGGGTCCCAATCTGGAGAATCGCTGAGCCCTGTGTCCCTGATCGCCGCATCTTACGCCTTTTTCGCTCGCGAGGCGGACCTTCCGACCCTCTCTCACTTCTGCAAGCTTTCTTCCAAAGAGGTTCCGGGACAGACCCCTCATCAGCAAGGGCTGATTGCTCTGACCTATAGTCTGATCCGACAGATGATCGATAACTTACCGACGGTGGTTGATAGTGACTCATTACTTGATCTCACTGCGGAGCGGTTCCGTCCTATTGATGGCACTCTGGGTAGTTGGACAGCGGCCTTATCGCTGGTGGACACTCTGCTCCATTTTGCACCGCCGTTATTGGTCCTCATTATTGATGGTATTGATATAATCCACGATGAAACGACGGATGATGCTTTGCGAGAATTGATCCGCGTGCTACTCACGCACACCCGTCATCAACCGCCTAGCGGAGACAGTCCTGGCCCCACGTTCTTGTTCAAGGTTCTCTTTACCGTCGCCGGGCGTCCGAGCGCATTGGTCGAGGCCATGTCCGAAAACGAACTCGTTGTGAGCGAACCCACCCTGGCCGACGAACCCTCGGCATCAGAAATTGTTCTGACCTCTGACCTTGGTGCAGTCATGATGAATGCATAAGCCGGCGTCGTACGAATCTTCTTTTACGAATCTCCTTTACTCTGTTCTTATTTGCTCAGTCTCTTACGGAGGCTCAAAGACCCTTTGCTTCATAGATCTGCACATTGGGGTTGATTTGGGTCCCAGGTTCATAACGATTGCATGAGGTACGAAGCAATGGTGATGACTTTGGCAAATTCTTGGTTTTCTTGCTATTTTACTTGGGAATATCTTTTCTGGCTCTGGTGATACCTCTTGATCGTTCTCCATTCAACCCTGTTACTTGGCGTCTGGGATAGGCCCTGGATATAGGGACCATTCTCTTGGTCCCTCTGCACTTGCTTCACCCATGGTAGACTCTGTACTTTACTACTTGGTTGTGATACCCTTGTCTAGAACTACATTACTTGTTTTGATCGGAAACCATAATCCGAAGCCCAATGACCTTTTCAAGTGGACCAGCCCCAGCGTTGGATGTCAAAATGCGGGTCTAAGTGGAAGAAATGCGGGGAATCCCCTGGAGATTGGATTCCGACATTTCAATACTTCAATGCCCCGCAACACATAGGATTGAGCCCACATACAAGATGAATGGACACACATCAATCCCACCCCGCCATTTTCAGGCCGCTTCTATCCAGTTGAATGATTTCAAGCAGATATGCTCGCGCACAGTCGATATCTCCACCTACCCATTGGCCTGTGCGGTGGAGCGTAATATACCAATCTATGACCTCGGAGCTCTAAATGCAGCTTTAACTAGCGCCACTACTCTGCAGCTGCAGGATGAGTGGCATCACATCCTGCATACTGGGCCAGGTGTCTTCGTCCTGCGAGACATGTATAGCCCCGTCCGGTACAGCCATGTCCTATCCGCAGCGAACGCGGCCTTCGATCGAATCATTGTCAGGGAACGCGAATCCAATACCTCCCAAGGTGACCACTTCGCTGCTAGTGGCAGCAACGACCGAATTTGGAATTCTTTCAACAAACATGGCGCCGAGGACCCCGCATCATTCGTCGATTACTACGCCAACCCCTGGTTAGCCGCCGTCTGCACTGCATGGCTCGGCCCGGGCTATAAGGTAACCGCGCAGGTTAATGCAGTCCATCCTGGTGGGGCAGCCCAAGAGAGCCACCGTGATTTCCACCTAGGGTTCCAGGAGGCGGACGCGTGCGCACGTTTCCCAGCACCAACGCAGCTGGCAACGCAATTTCTCACCCTGCAGGGAGCCGTAGCACACACGGACATGCCCGTCGAAAGTGGCCCTACGCGCTTCCTGCCATTTTCGCAAACTTATGCGCCAGGGTATCTAGCCTGGCGTCGCCCAGAATTTCGCACCTTCTTTCAAGAGAACTACGTCGCGTTGCCGTTGACTCTGGGAGACGGTGTCTTCTTCAATCCAGCGCTCTTCCATGCGGCGGGAGCGAATGTGATGGACCCGAATAACGGTGGGGTTCGTCGCGTCGCGAACCTGTTGCAAGTGAGTAGTCCATTTGGGAAACCGATGGAGACCGTGGACTCGCTACCACTGGTGGAGAGCACTTGGGATTTGCTGGTCCAGCGGTATAAGGCTGCTGGAAACAAGATTGCCAATCAGGACCTTGATCCTCAGCAGTCGTCACTGGAAGCTCGCGAGATCAGGGCATTCATCCAGGCTCTCGCAGAAGGATACCCCTTTCCTACCAACCTCGACCGCCGGCCACCTGCTCCGAGTGGCATGGCACCCGAAAGTGAGCAAGATATTGTGATGCGTGGACTGGAGGCCGAATGGAGTCGCAAACAAGTGGTTGCTGCGCTGGAGCAGATTCGACGTGACGAGCGAGCATAACTGGATACCTGCCTAGGTACCGACCGATGTAGGTACGTACTCAATATGAAGTACCACGTACCTCCCTGATAGGCCTTAACCTGAAACGTGATATTGGGCCATTTCGAGGCTGGATGCTGTCAAACATACACATCGAACTGCACACATCACATGCCCTCATCTCGAGTCAGGGTGCTGGACCCTCGGATCGGGCTTGAGATTCACAATATAATTGGCTGGCAATTTATAGGGCACAGTGGGGCCGAGTGGGACCTGCGTCCATGGCTTGTCGGAGAACGAGTTGTTGGTGGCGATTGAGGGGAACAGGGGTACGTGTACACACCCACTACCATGCACTAGGCCTGATGTACAACCTTCAATTCAATCGTGATGAACTGGATTAATCTATCTGATCGGACATACAATATAATCCATATGTAGACCTCAGATCCGTCATCTGGAATGCGGCTATTGCCCCTGTGGATCATTTTATCTGCGAGGAATGGGTGTCTCACATTTTTGTGGCTTTCAGCCAACAACATTGTGAAACAGGAACGGAGTCGCGTTTTTCTTTCAACCACAACTCTATTGTACCGTAATTTGTTCACCTTCACGTCAATCTCCCTCATTTCCACTCGTTTGGGTATTCGAACCAGTCACTCTTTGAAACAATCAGGCTCTACTCGATCCTACACCCTCGGCTGTGCCGATCTTAAGCTCCACAGACACACCTGGCCCAGCAAGTTCTTGACAGGTAGATCAGTCCACGAAGACCCCATTGATTGATCGGAGAACCCTCAAGCCAAGTAAGACCGTCTCGAGCCGCGCAAGAGGTCTAACCTCAAGTTTTACTGGGTCCTGCAGCCCGTGAGGGGGGAAGGAAAAAACGGCCTATGGAGTTTTTTCCCACTAAATTTCTCCACTGAAATCCTCAATCGAGCCAACCAGGTTGAGAAATCGATCGTCGCCCCAGAGGACTTTATTTTCATAAGAAACCGCTCCCTTCCTTTCTTTTTTCCTTTTCCGAGATGAGGAGCAAGCTGGGAATCTCTCCCAAGCATTCGGTTATACATCGGTTTGAACAGATTCCCGATCAGCCGCACGACGGGATGCATAATCCCAACGACGTCACTATTGATATTCCCCTCACCGATGCCCCTAGCCACAATGGTACGGGGCATTGGGGCTCCGGATCCGGTTCAACAAAGGGCCTTGTCCCACCGGCGGAGGGGGAGAAGCAGGGCATTATCGCGCCTGGCCGCCGTCGCCGCATTGATTCTGATATGGATATAATGCGTGGTAAAGCGTCGGAGGCTTCCGATGATGGTACCATTAATGCGATTGGCCGGATCTACCAAGCTATCTACAATTTCTCGATTGTCACTCGTTACATGATCTATGTTGTTCCTATTGGTCTTTTGATTGCTATTCCGATTATCGTCGGAGCCACGGCGGCTCCGAATGCGAAAATCGCGGGTGTTCATATCTATTGGTTCTTTACCTGGATCGAGGTGGTCTGGGTCAGTTTGTGGGGGTGCAAGGTCATGGCAAAGTTCCTTCCATGGCTTTTCCAGTTACTGTGTGGTATCGTTAGCTCGGGTACTCGCAAATATGCACTTATCTTGAGAGCCCTCGAGACTCCGTTGACTCTTGTGTTGTGGTGTGTCGTCTCGCTGGTGACTTTCATTCCGGTATGTATTAGATACATCGTTAAGGCTGCGTAGGATACTAACTTGCCGTGCAGATTATGACTGAAAACCCCAACAAGCAAAATGATGGGGATACCAGCGAGAAGGCCTGGGAAAAAAGCGTCAAGAACGTCCTGCTTGGCTTCCTGGTCTGCAGTCTTATTTACTTAGGTCAGAAGGCCATTGTGCAGCTCATCTCGATCAGCTACCACCGCAAGCAATTTGACTCTAAGATCAAGGAGGCCAAGCGCAATGTCTACCTTGTTGGTCTACTGTTCGAAGCCTCCCGCAACATGTTCCCTATGTACTGCCCGGAGTTTAGTGAGGATGATTCGACTATTATGGACCCTATTCTCAGTCAGGCTACTAAGAAGACGAAGCGGTCCTCGATCATGCCCCTGCGTATGGTCCAGGATGTTGGTCGCACCGTCGGTCAGCAGGCTGGCCGTCTCGGTGACAAGGTGCAGGCTGCGGTTGGCAATGTCGCCTCTGAACTTACTGGAAAGCAAATGTTTAACAACAACACCACTCACGCCGTTGTTGTCTCGGCCCTGGAGCGTAAGCGCTGTGCCGCGGCCTTAGCCCGCCGTGTTTGGATGTCCTTTGTTGTTGAAGGCCGGGATTCTTTGTACATTGATGACATCGTTGAGGTTCTGGGACCCGGCCATGAGGCCGAGGCTGACGAGTGCTTCGCTATGCTGGACAAGGATGGCAATGGAGATATTTCTCTCGATGAGATGATCCTTACTGTTACGGAATTGGGACGTACGCGCAAGGCTCTCAACCACAGTATGCACGATGTCGACCAGGCTATCGGTGTGCTGGACGGCTTGTTGTTCTCTGTTGCTGCCGTTATTGGCGTTTTGGTTTTCATCTCCTTCGTGACCACTGGCTTTGGTACTGTCATTGCTGCTGGAGCTACTTCGCTGCTCTCCCTGAGTTTCGTGTTCTCGACCACCTGTCAGGAAGTTTTGGGTTCTTGTATTTTCTTGTTCGTCAAGCACCCCTTCGATATCGGTGACCGTGTTGATGTCAGCGATAAAGACTATATTGTGGAGCGTATTTCTCTCCTGTTTACTGTCTTCCGTTCTATCAACGATCACCGCTTGACCCAAGTCCCCAACAACATCCTGAACAGCTTATGGGTTGATAACTTGACCCGTGCCAATGCCATGCACGAAAGACTCACTGTCCCTGTCGCCTTCGACACCACATTTGCTGAGGTTGAGGCCCTGCGTGCCGAGATGGAGCTCTTCGTCCGTGATAAAGAAAACTCTCGTGACTTCCAGCCTGAGTTTAACGTTGAGGTGATCGGCGTCGGCGACCTCGACAAGCTCCAGCTACAGGTTGATATCCGCCACAAGTCCAATTGGGCAATCGAGGCCGTTCGTTCCTCGCGCCGCTCCAAGTTCATGTGTGCCCTAGTTCTGGCCATGCGCAAGCTCAAGATTCGTGCCCCTGGTGTCGAACGTCCAGAGGAAGAGTCCAAGGACGGCGAGGACGGCGATGACAAGGGAGAAAACCCCGATGATGTCAAAAAGTCGACATTGATGGAACCTGCGGCGGCCGCCGCAGTCGCAGACGACGCCTCTCTGGCCGCCGACACCGCGCAAGCCACAGGTATCGACAGGAAGCGCTCATCCGGCACACTCACCCAACGCGGTTCCACCAACCCACCTAACGAAGCCGCCATCGCGGCCGCCCTCAACACCCGCTCGTCCAACCTCGACCTAGGCCCAGAGGACACCAACGCCCTGCACCGCACCGCCACGAACGCCTCAAGCCAAGGTGCCCGCCAACTAAGCGTGAAAAATGGCGCCACTGGCTCAATCGGCCGCGAGCCCTCAACCGGCCACCGCAAAGCTGGTCTTCGCGTCTCCTACAACGAGCACGACCCTATGCCGGCTCCCCTCTCCCCTGTTCCCGCCGGCCTCACTCCTTCAACGAGCAGCGTCCCTATACTCCAAACTCCCGCTCCCCCAGGCTCCCGCGGTAGTGCTCGCTACGAGCCCACCTCTCACATCCCGAACCCAGACCAAACCCAACCTACAATCTTTCCCATCATCGGGTCTCCCGAGTCTGGAACCTATAACACATCCTACTACAACTCTCATTCGGACAACAACAACCACTACGAGTCTGTCGAGCTAGGCGGCTTCAATGGTGAACAAAACAGGCCTCACGAGTATCCCTCTGCAGGTAGCCAGAGCCACTACGAAGAGCGGTACGACCCCGTCTCTCCGCCTTCGATCTACTCGCCTCCGCAGAACATTGATGCGGAGAGTAGTGGGCGTCGGCCTTCGTTCTTGTCGCGTACTTTGAAGCGTGAGAAGTCGAACCAAAATGATGGGCATGACTCTTAGTCCTTTGTCACATTCTAACTTGCATATCTCATTTCGTTATTTCATTTCCACTTTCTTTCGTTCCTTTTTCTTTGGGAAAAAAGGTGTTTATAGGATGTTTTCGATCACGAAAATCTTTCTTCATTGTTTTTTTAATGTATGATACTAGAGCCAGTTAAATTTTCTCAGATTAGATGCATCGATGATTGCCAATGGATGTCCTACGGGACTCTCGGATTTACCACTTTTTCTACAATACCTGAATGTTTCTATATGAAGATTATCTGTCGATGAGCGGCAGAACGTGAAGTCATTTCAAGATCCATAGACATTCAGCAGTAATGAGTAGAGGCAGATATATTCAGCTACGCTCTATCTGCTAGAGTACAATCACAATATAATACAAAGGTATGCCCAGAGCAAGGTGCAGAAAAACCCAGCACCCGTCTAATGAAACACCCGAACCAGATCCAGTCAGCACTGAACTTCAGATCTACTTACTACCAGTCTCCTTCCACGGATAACCAACAGGATCATCCTTCCGAATCCAAATCTTCGACTTCTTCTTACTAACAACATGCTCCACAAACACCTCCCGCGTGTACTGGGCCTTATACTTCCGAATCCACCTAGGATCCCAAAGCTCACTCGCAATACCGAGATCCTTGCAGCAACGCACTAGCGCATTAGACCTACATCCCTCTGTAGCAGTGGGGATTCCATCAGGCGAGAAATAATCCTGTTCGCCACGGGCAACGGAGACGAGTCTGGAAAGTACATTAGTCATTGTTCCGAATCTAAAGCTGATCCATATCCAAGTAGGGAACTGACCGTCCATGACAAACAAGCGCATACTCCCTCGTAACAGTCTTTGGTGTAACGATACTCTCACTTCGCGGAACAAGACCCCAAGCTCCAGGTCCGAATGCCTGATTCAGTACACGTCTGTACTTGATTTCGGGTAGGTAGACGATTCCATCGGGCTTGATCTCGACTTCTTTTGGGTCGATCTCCGCGAGTAAGATATTAGCGGCCTTCTCTGGGAATGGTTCGGCAGAGAGACCGTGGAACGAGCGTGTCCAGTCGATCTTTTCTTCGGCGGCGCTGATTACGTCGAGGGGTTTATCGGCTAGCCCGCTTTTGGAGATGTTGTCTGTTGTCTGGCGGTTTGGGGTGGAGGTGACTTTGGATTGGGTGGAGGGCGTGTAGGGTGTGCTTGTACGTGTGGGCTGAGCGGCCGGTTTGGGTGCTGGGGATGGTGTAGGCGTGCTGTTTGCACGGGTGTTGCTCGTGCTGATGGCGCGCTTGCTGAGAGCGAGGTAGGGGGCTCTGGTGCGCGGAGCTTGAGTTACGCTGGGGATTTGTTGGATGTATTCCAATGCCCGCCAGGGACGGACACGTAGGTTTGACATTGTGGTTGGAATCGGGATGAAGCTGAGAGCTACAGGCTGCGCGAAGCTGAAGCTATCTGCGGAATATGTCACGTGATGTGATATATCATGCGAATTTACTAAAACGTTCGAGAATCCAGAACATTGAGGGGAAAGAATTGATTGAAGATTGGAGGGCTTAATTGTGTCAAGAGTACTAATACATGTTTGGATTGCACTACGCGTCCTTGCTCTCGGTGCGTTGGTCGTTGCCCTGGCGCTTCCAGCATTCACGGAAAGCTTCCATCTAGGTCGACTGTCAGATACAAGTATACCAATGTAATGGAGTAGCTTTTGGAGCATTCGGGCGCTTCACAATGGGATGTAATGCCACAAGTTGGCACTTTGAAGGGGTTGCGAAGTCTTAATAACAATCAGCTGACACTGGACTCACCTCCTCCTTGCAAGCCCGCCAGTCTTTCTTGACGAAATAGCAATCATTCATCTTGTCCTGCTCGGCTGTGACTTGTTAGAGATTGTTTGACGTGAATTATTCATCAATGAGCTACTTACCATGGCAGCCAGTGCTGAAGATGCGTTTGTCCCTATCGAAAGAGTCAGCTTAAGGTCTAATGAACGCTGCCAAAGCTCAATTACCACTCATCAGGCTCATCATCATCTTCAGGAATCACTTTAGGCTGTTCCGCGTTATTCGACATGATTGAAGTATGCAGGAGGAATGATCGGGGATCGACGGCTGGCGTCGGGACATCAGTTCTATCTTCTATCTTATCGCCGATATGATTCATCCCTCCCCAACCCACCCAACAAGTCAAATGGCGACGCCAACAGGCAACGATGCCAATCTCACAGCCAAAAGGCTCAATGTCCTAGTCTACTCCGGTTCGCTCAATCACTCCGCTTGGAAATTGAGCCGCTTTCTGACCGACAAACTCGACACAGGAACCGGAACCACCGTCGACTCCGTCCGCCATTGCGTCTACACCTTGCGCCGTCTCCTCGCCCAAAACTATGCCGTCACCCCGGTTACAGGTGATATGCTCCTCAATGAGCCGTGGACTGCGTCTTGCGCGCTGTTGGTGATTCCCGGCGGTGCGGACCTGGGATACGGCCGCACGCTGAATGGTGCGGGGAACAGGCGCATTACGCAGTTCGTGCGTCGGGGTGGGAAATACTTGGGTTTTTGTGCGGGTGGATACTATGGGAGTAAGCGCTGCGAGTTTGAGGTTGGCGATAAGACAATGGAGGTTATTGGTGAGCGCGAATTGGCGTTTTTCCCCGGGACTTGTCGTGGCGGGGCGTTTCCGGGGTTTGTTTACCATAGTGAGGATGGTGCGCGTGCTGCTGGGCTAGATGTTTCAAAAGAGTCGTTGAATGAGGGTGTTTTGCCTACGACGTTCCGGTCGTACTACAATGGTGGTGGTGTGTTTGTGGATGCTGCGCTGTATAAGGACAAGGGCGTTGAAGTGCTGGCAAACTACAACGAGAAAATTAATGTGGACCCTGGCGAAGGTGGTGCGGCTGCTGTTGTCTACTGCAAGGTTGGTGAGGGTGCGGCTGTATTGACGGGACCACATCCGGAGTATGTATATCTTGTAGCTTGTGAAAAGGAGTTGCTGACATCTGGTAGGTTTGCCGCTGCCAACCTTGACCCCAAGGCTGGTGGCCCTGAATATGCGGAACTTGTTGCTGCGCTGGCCGCTGATGACAAGGAGCGTACAGACTTCTTGAAGGCTTGCTTGTCGAAACTTGGGCTACAAGTCGCGAAGGACACCTCGACTGTTCCTTCATTGTCTTCCTTGCATATCTCTGGCCAGGACCCCGAGCAGTCATTAGAAATATTGTCGCTTCTTGCACCAGACCTGCAAAAGGAGAATCAAAACGAATATCTGAAAGATGAGAACGACAAATTCCGAATTGAGCGTCCAGGCACTTGGAATTTGAGTGACTTGGAGGAGGCCCTTCCTGACGGGGAGTCGCAACCTACCGAAGGAATTGTTGATTATCAAGCGATCACCAAGCGACTTGTGTTCCATGATGACCTCCCATCGTCGAAGCTCACACCTTACTTCAATCACCATGCATTCTACGCTAATCTCAAACAATATCAGTCCGAGTCTCGAGAGGGCGCTTCGGAATTTGGATCAATTCTTATGTACGGCGAGGTGGTCACTAGTACCAACACAATCCTAGAAAAGTGAGTTGTGATGACCGCAATGGCTCGGCCTATACTGACGTTTATAGAAACACACAACTTCTGCGCCGTCTTCCAACTGGATTCACTGCTACAGCCACTGTCCAAGTTGCTGGACGCGGTCGAGGTTCTAACGTGTGGATATCTCCAGCCGGCTCTCTCATTTTCTCGACCGTGGTGCGGCATCCAATGGAGAAGATGCAATCAGCACCGGTTATATTTATCCAGTACCTATCCGCTATGGCCGTTGTGAGGGGCATCAAATCCTATGCCAAAGGCTACGAGAATATCCCGGTCAAGCTCAAATGGCCAAACGATATTTACGCCCTAGACCCAGAAGACCCTGAGCAGAAGCGCTATACCAAGATCTGCGGCATTCTCATCAATTCCCACTTCATGTCCAACGAGTACATTTCCGTCGTTGGTATTGGTGTCAATGCCACGAATGCCTCTCCCACTACTGCTCTCACAGCGCTTGCCGCACGCTACGCTTCCGATGACGCTGCCACTACCTCCCCAGTCTCACTGGAGAAACTTCTCGCACGTATCTTGACTACCTTCGAAGATCTATACACCCGTTTCCTGCGTACAGGCTTTGATCGTGGCTTCGAGGCAATGTACTACCAGGACTGGCTCCATATGCATCAGATCGTGACACTGGAAGAGGAGGGTGGTGCCCGCGCCCGAATCCAGGGCATCACTCGCGATTACGGATTGTTGATTGCAGAAGAGCTTGGATGGGGTGATCGGCCCACTGGTCGGTTGTACCAATTGCAGAGTGACAGCAATAGCTTTGATTTCTTCAAAGGATTGGTCAAGCGGAAGATTTAAGCGAGTGTACTCAATATTGCATTGCATCATCTGCATGAAAATTACGAAAAGAAATAGCATATAGTGATGTAGCTTGATTGTGTGACATGTCATAAAGTCTTCTATACATATGTACAATGTAGGTGCCAGAACACTCTAAATCGAAGCTCGGAATGTCTATACCCTCTTTATATATGGATCCTGTCTACCTAGAGGTAGTTTTAAAGGGCAGGGTGTTTAGGAGTTATCAGCGCACGAGAAACTGCCATGGCCTGAAGAATTGTTATGGATGGACTTCCCAGAAGTATACAAGCCAAGACCACACTTGTCAAGAAGTTAGCAAATATTGCATTCCAGGGCATAGTGTGAAACCAAACTTACCAGGATAAGGCCAACGGAGATGGAGAAACAATTGAGGAACGTCAAAAGTGTCTTCTTGGGCGATGCAAACCACACTCCCTGGTTCATATGCAATCCAAAGATACCAGTAAAGATAAAGGTGAACCAACTTCCAAAGAGAGCAGTCTATTTGTCCCATTAGTATAGCTTCACCGAGACTCAAGACAAGAGAAGACATACAATCAAGGTGAGTAGATCACTGAACACCGGAATTGCCATTGCGATAATCCACGCAAAAATCCAGAGCCCAAAGGCAATGCTAACCCATGAACCAACGGCAACCCAATCCCGCTTGTGCATGCGGTCTGTACCGGCGAAAATGCGAATATAGATTGCCTTCGCGGCAACGTGGCTATTGATTACTCCTGCAATAACGATCTATCAAGCAAAAATTAGCTTGTGGTTATGATGCAGAAAAGTGTTGAGATTTTGACTCACCGTGGGAAGGGCCACGCCGTATGCTATCCTAGAAATCAGAGGACCGGCGGATCCCAAAGCAGGAGAGGTGACGGCAGAGCCAACATAGCGGTAGATCACAACCGATGCGATGATGTAGAGGGTCATGTCGACGGTCTGGAGGAGAGCGAGGGCTTTGGGGAAGTCTTTCGGGTCTTTGAGCTCGGCGATAAATGTGAAGAAAGTGTTGTGGCTCACTGGAAGATGTGAGTAACCGTCAAAGATACGGCGAAGGAAACGGAGACGAACCATATGAAAAAGCAATGTTCGCAGCGGACATGAACCCAGTCACCAGGTTCGTCTCAACAGTGGCATGAACGACAGTCCCAGGGTTCTGAATTCCAACGGCAATCATAGTGATCATAACAGCGGACAAGATACTGACGAACGCTATCAACGCATTAGCACATCATCGCCAGAAAAGAAGGCATATACTCACAAACAAGCGAGAGCCACGAAACCTTCGCCAACGTCCTAGGCAGCGACAGGAAACACGAAATAGTCATGCCAACAACACCAAACACCAGCGTACAAGTCCCATGCTTGGTAATAACATTTAACGCAACCGTAAAAGTCAAAATGTGACTCGCCATGATAAACACGAGGAACAGTAACTGAGCCGTTCCCAGCAACTCCCGACCAAACCGTCCCATCAAAACCTCACCTGCATCGGCCATACTGGAGATATGCGGGTGTCTCTGTTTGAACTGGCCAATGAGCATACCTGTGTACGAAGCAAGTGCACCCAGACCGATGATAACAATGAGTGATGGCACGAGACCCAGTCCTGCAACTGCTGCTGGGAGAGAAAGAATGCCCAGTGAGATAGTCTCCGCTACCATGAGAAGCCCTCCTTGCCTGTCACCACTTGTAAGCCTGCCAGCCCCCAACACTCACCAGGAAGAACACCGTATACGTACCACCATTTTAACACCTTGTACTTAATCTCAGCATGTTCCTCATCACCAAACGCATCTTGACGCTGAGGTGCCGGATCAGCCTTCTCTAATTCCCAATCCTTTTCAGCAGGACACTCCCGGTCTAGCACCGGCACATCAGGCTGAATATCCACGATCTGGGAACGGGACATTGTTGTCATTCTCATAATGTACGCAAGACAAAATGGGATAGATCGAAGAATGAGATGATGATGAGGAAGGGAAAGTAATATGACGGCTTTAATTAAGAAATAACAGAATCGAGTAAGTGACCCGGGGAATAGGGATACGACTAAAGGACAGGTACGGATACGCCCCGAACTCATTATTGCGGGAAACTATCTGATTGACTCGCCTTCCATTTCTAGAGGGTCCAGTTATATGATGGTTTAGCCAGAGACTGGGAATAGTGTGGATCTTTTAGAGGATCTTGCCCAGTGAGATAGATAATGGTGGTTATAGACACCTAAGCGCCGAATTGATATTACGGCACTAGGCGGAGGAAAGGCATGCCTATTGGGTTTTTGAAGATAAGGCTAGGATAGCGTGTTTATCTTTAATGTAGAATGTACACTAGGGCTAATTGTGTAATATGAAGCGTTCGTGAAACATAATCTCCTAGTTATAACGTTTTTCACATTTCCCGGGCAATGAAAGGGAGGAATTTATTCTTTGAAATTCTAGTCATGGTACGTGATACCCCAGACGACATTGCCCCAGGTTGCTTCAAATTGCGTGCCATTGCGTAAAATCTGGGGCATTGGGGCAATGGGTCTTGTTGGGATGCCGGAATGGCCTGCCTGTTACGGGAGTCACTTGCCGAAATCGGGAACCTGGTTTCTGGAAACACGTAATAGGCGTCATTTTTCTTATAAACGGATAAGATTTGGTTGCCGATTGTACACATTGCAAATATGATTGACATAGCAGCTCCTTTTCGGGTGTCATGATCGGCTGGGGCGATCTTGGGCATGAAATGCTTGACACATAATAAAGGACGATGCCAGACTGTATTGCCCCTTGCACGCGAGGAGATCTAAATATGTTATATCATTATTTGCGTCACTTCTCCTTATTTTGTAGCGGAAGGCATAGATATTGCGTATCTTTTTTCTCTGACCCTAAGTGTAGCATGCCAAAGATAACCCGAATGATATCATTGACCGCGGACCCGAACCCGGGCCATTGTTCGCTACTTTTTCGATAATACTAAGCAAAAAATGCAATTTACTTAGAGAATGATACTTTGGAATTTATGATGAAAGATCTTTTGATACAATAATAGAAATACGTAGCACGCAGTTAGACCAAAAAGATCAACTAAAAAGCACTAGAGTGTTGTGGCGTAAATAGAAAGCTGCAGCTAATATGTACGTCTATTCCTATTACGCGTTGACTCCTGGACGCGTCGACAGGAGTCAGGGAAATCACCATGGTGTGAAAATGGTGGAATGTGGAGAGTATCATCTTGTAAATATGCAATTGAGTCATGTAGTCTTTTGAGATTCTCTATATACAATGTTCAAACTCTACAGTCGGTTTCCCATGTTAACGTGAACAGCCTTAATCTGGCTATAGGCTTCCAATCCAGCCTCTCCAAGCTCACGGCCAATACCACTCTGCTTAACACCACCGAAAGGAACACGAGGATCACAGTCCTGGCTGCTGTTAACCCAAACCATACCTGACTCCAGTTCGGAAGCCACACGGTGCGCACGCTCCAGGTCAGTAGTGAAGACAGCAGCACCGAGACCGTAAGAAGTGTCGTTGGCGCGCTGGATAGCCTCCTCCTCGTCATCAAAGGGCAGGATCACGACTACGGGGCCGAAAACCTCCTCACGAACAATGCGCATGTTATCTGTGACATCGGTGTAGACGGTAGGCTGGACGAAGTATCCGTTCTTGTTCTCGGCCTTGGCAGGAACGTGAGCAGCACCTCCAGTAACAAGGGTAGCACCCTCGGTCTTGGCAATATCAAAGTATGAGAGGACGCGCTCATACTGTGCGCGAGTCACCTGGGGACCCTGGAAGGTATTCTCATCCCACTGATCACCGATTGAGACACTCTCAACAGCCTTCTTGAACTCAGCCAGGAAGGTAGGGAGGATCTCCCGGTGCACGAAGATGCGCGAAGTAGCAGTGCAAATCTGGCCCTGGTTGGACATGATACCAGAGTGCGACCACTTAACGGCCTGATCCATGTCTGCATCAGGGAAAACGAGCAGTGGCGACTTGCCACCAGTTTCAAGGGTAATATTCTTCAACGAACCAGCGGCCATCTTCATGATCTCACGACCAGTGGCGGTGGATCCAGTAAAGGCAACCTTATCGACCAAGGGGTGGCTGGAAAGCGCAGCGCCGGCATCACGGCCGTATCCGTTCACGATATTAATAACACCAGGGGGGAAACCAGCCTCAACGACCAAGTTCGCGAAAACCAAGATACTAAGAGGAGTCTGCTCAGCGGGCTTAAGCACAACGGTATTACCGCATGCGAGCGCAGGACCCAGCTTCCAGGCTGCCATAGCCAACGGATAATTCCATGGGATAATCTGACCGATAACACCGAGGGGTTGACGGAGGGTATAAGCGAATTTCTGAGGAGTGGTGTTGATAGTCTGACCGAAAGTCTTATCGGCCCAGCCGCTGTAGTAGCGGATGGTGGTGGTTGCCTCGACGAGGTCCTCCTCCATGGCGACATGGTAGGGCTTGCCTATTTAGAGTTAGCGGGGCCGTAGGGCTACGGAGAAAAAAAATGGATCGGGATCGGCATGCCGCATGTAACGCACCATTGTCCCACGCGTCAATCGTGGCGAGAAGCTCTCGGTTCTCCCACATTAAGTCAGCCAGACGGGCCATCAGCTGGCCTCGTTCAGTGGCGGGCAAGAGCTTCCATGACGGGTGCACGAGCGCAGTCTTGGCGGCCTTCACGGCGCGGTCGACATCCGCGGGGCTGGCAGCTTCGACAGTGGCAATTGGCTTATCGGTGCTGAGGCATTTATGAGTAACAAGGCCGCTTTGTCAAAGGCGTGGACTTACGCAGGGTCAACTGAGGTAATAGTTTGTCCAGATGTGGCGGAGACGAATTCGTTATTGATGAACAGGCCGGTGGGCTGTTTGTAGGAGCGCCCGTTAGGGGCGACAATATCTACTGAAAGACTCATGATTGAAATGTGAAATAGAGAGATGAACTTGATCGTGACCCCGCGTTGATATATGTTATCGCCGATATATATGAAAGGGTCAGATGAGAAGTTCTCTGTGGGTCTAATCCGTTCCAGGCAGGTATTTCCGGCGATTTGAGTGGAGAAAGGCAACTTGGGATTGCGCCAATATTGTCCCAGTTGATAAGCGTCTACCACACGACCATCGCGTATGCTTTCCCATTACGGAGCCAAATATGCGGCAAGTGATGCCTCTGTAGGTAGTTGTGACATGACAAAAGTAGCCACCTGGGCACCCTATTCAGCTGGTTCAAGGACGAGGGCATACAGGTAGTAAAGCGCAGAGACAGATACTGATCAAACAATGAATAGAACATCGCTAATAAAAATGCTCCGTGATCTCAACGGACTCGCTATTCATAAAATCATAAACATCGTCACGGAAGTAACAAAACGCACACCTATCTAGTCTAAATATCTTCAGTCTCAGTCCACTGATGACACCACTTGGCAATCGACTCTTCCTCAATAGGCCCCATCCCAGACATAGTAGGACTGACCGCCAAAGCCTTGTGGATATCAAAGCGAGCAAAACCTTCATTCACAATAGTCCGAAAGAAAGGCAAAACACGAGCCCTCTCCTCCTCCGCCTCCCTCGACAATCTGTTCGGAGGAAGACCAGATAGATGCTTAACCCATTCGGGATAAGTGACTAATCGCGGAGAGGAAATGCATCTTTGCAGTCCCTCCGAGAACTTGGATGTCGGAACTGGTCGCGGGTGCACAATGTTGTACAGTTGCACGTTGGGGGTACCTGTTTCGTGATCATCGTGCTTCTCACGTAGCGCAATCTCTTGTATCACACTCGCCATCTGATCAACGGGAACCCAGTTGATAAGAGCCGGGTTGATGGGTACCAGGCCACTAGCCTTGGAAAGGATAGCCAGCGAATGCAACCAGTCATGACTCTCCCACTTGCCGCCTTCCTCTATTTTGGTAGGACCGGCAATCTGCCCGATGCGTAGGATTGAGATTGGAATCTGGAGCTTGGCTCCTGCTGCAGCGAGGAATCTTTCCGCGACCTGTTTCGATTGCCCATAGCCTGTTGCCATTGCTGCAGCAGTGCAGTTGATCACTTCCTCTGGGACAGGTACGCTAGGAGATATGGCTTTCGCCCACCTGTGCACGCTGCCGATACTTGATGTGAAGACCACGCGAGGACGGGACGCAGCACGGTTCGCAATTTCGATAACAGTGTATACGCTCTTCAGTATTTCTGGTGTGAATGACGCCAACGACAGAGCGTAGTTCACTGTCCAGATGCTGTGGATGATGACATCAGCGTGCATGCAGATTTCCTCTAGGTGATCCTCTGGTACACCCATGTTTGGCTGGGAGAGGTCGATGGGAATAAATTGTAATCGCGAGTCCTTGGCATCGATTTTGAGACCCAGCTCATCCACACGCATCTGGAAAGTGTCCTGTACATCGGGTCCGCGATCCAGGCACTTAATCCCGGCTACTCGATCATCATCTAGTAAGCTTCTCACCAAATATGGGCCAAGGCGTCCATGGCAGCCAAGTAGCACCACTTCGATGTCTTCTGTGACCAGTGGTGGGGGTGGGGTTGTTGCTATAGCTTCAGGGAGATGAGCTATGAAATCGTCCACGAGTCTATCAACGCTTAACCTCCGCTGAAATTGACCCGTTTCACTCTTTCCAAAAGCTGCGTCCAGTGTGGCGCTTGCAAGTCCATCGATAGTGGGATTCTCGAAGATTGTTCGCATCCAGAAGTCGATAGTGTTCTTTTCCTTGTCCATACGACCGGAAAGACCAAGCTTAAGCTTTTGCCCCAGTTCTAATACTGATAAAGAGTCCATGGCCTTGAGGACGAAGAAATCGTCTGTTTCTCTGATATTGCTGTCAGGGCGAATGTCATGTACCACGGATCCAATGAATCTCTTGGCTTCGTCCTTCCAGTAATTTTCCAAAATTCCAATTTCACCTTGCTCGTCTGTGGTACCATCGACGAATGCTGCAGTGATGTATTCAGAGTACAATGATTCTGTGGGCTTGCGCGAGATTGTTCCCCTGGGCGCCCGAATAAAACCTAGATTTGGCTGACTGAGTGCGATTCGGGATCTCCGAATCTTGCCATGGGCGGGCGCAATACCGTTCGCTTGCGCAATCATTGGCCAGATAGCGTCGATAAACTCCTTCTTGCTCATGCGATCTACCTCGGGCGAAGATCTTGGCTCAACGAGTAGAAGGACTTCAGGGCGGCCATTTCCAACGACGACAGCCCCGGTAATGAGAGGGTCGCCAGAGATGATGGCTTCCATTGGGATAGGCCACACTCTTTGGTTATTCGAAAGCACAATAATATCATCTGTGCGAGAGTAAAAGCTCCAGAGACCTGGTTTTGTTGGGTGAGGGGTGAAAAGATCCCCAGACCGCCACGTTTGCACGCCTGGGAAAGTGTGGGAGAGAGTTCGGCGCCCGAGGAACTTTTCATCATTATGAAAGACTAATTCATAGACACCGTCATCGACTTCTTGCATGTCACATTCCTCGGCCGGGTTGAATTCCAAGTATTGCCAGTCTCCTCGTTGAGGGACTAGCATCTGGACCTGACCCGCCTCGAGACAACCGTAGATTTGGCACACGTCGGTCGCTTTGTTGAGTTTATCACCGGCCGCTTTTGCCATCGTCCCTCCGCCATATGCCACGAAGTCGAGACTCTCTGCTTGCTTTATCGCTGCCGGGTTCGAGATCCATTGCTCGATCGCTTGCGGAGGCAGCCAAAGGGCTCGAACTTTTTGTTCCCTTATGATTTGGTCTACTAGGGAACCGCTTGGAGCGATATGAGGAGGGCCTATCACCACAGTTGAGGTGGGGAAAAATGATGGGATAAGAATATATGCTTGGATACCAGCAATCTGACCACTCGTAAGCAAAAAAATGAATAAATAAATCGATGCAGGAAGATCTCTCTCCGTGACTTACATGGAAGATTGGGAAGGATGAGTAGTAACGGCTGGGCGTGTCAAACATAAATTGCGCACAGTTCTGAGCGCGTCTTCCTGTCGGTACTGATATCTTTGAATCGTTATCTGTACAGGAGAATGTGGCGTGGGTGTAGTTGACCAGCTTTGGCGGACCTAGTAAATTTATATCAGATTATGCTGAAGAATCAGATTTAAAGGTTTGTTTCATACCCGTCGATCCAGAGGTATGTAAGATCAGACAATTCTCATCTTTCAGCTCTGGCCAGGAAGCATCAAATGGGTATGAAGGCGATTCAGATTTTAATATCTCGTTCATGGACGGCACTTGCTTGCAAGATATCGATGGGTCAAATTTTTGCAAAGACTTGGCGGGTGCTCGTAATGTGTCTGCGTATAGAAGCGCAGATACATCGGACTGCTGCAGGAGACCGAGATTCAATGTGATGGGATTTCGCGGGCTGATAAAAAAGGTCTGTTGCGCGTCAGCGCCGAGCTCCAATTGGCCCCTTAATTCATATTACATACCCTCCACCGACATTTAATTGCGGCCAAAAAAATGACAGTATACCGTAGGTCGCTCGGACCAATGTATGCTAGGGTTCGTCGCTTATTGCGCGTCTTCAGGTTTTTGGTCAGCCACCAGGCCATATAGTTGACCGCGGTAGCCATAGTCTCCGCTGTGATATCCTCGAAGCCATTTTCCAGATCTCCCGACTTGAAGATCGACGCAAATACCCGATCAGCTTCATGGTGGGCATAGTAATCAATGACATGGGGGAGTAATCGTTGCCCCCTGTTTTTCTCCGCCCCCTCGGCCCAGGCGACCTTATCGTTGAAGGTCATGGTGTGGATGGCACAAGGTTAATTTGTTGAGGGGCAGACAAAGGGAAAAAGAGTCGATCCACCGTGGATGCTTAACCGACGCGCTTGCAGGGATGAATCAAGAGAAAACTCGGCTGCAGCTATCACCCGCGATGTGGGCTGGCACTAAGAGATGTAACCTTTTACGAACACGCTAATGCGGGTGTGCCGCTTCATGCCCGGGACCTTCAATTTCGATGATCTTGAAGATGCAAGTCAATTGTATTCTGGCTCTTCGTATTCGGAGTCCACAGCTGCAAATACTCTCCACGTTGATCAACCTAAAGAATGCAGATTCCTCCTTTCTTCGGCTGAACGATCAACAGCTGCCCCTCGTTGTGGAGACGGCGACTGTGCCAAGCGGGACTTGAACTCGGAGCTAAAACGAGACGAGAAAGTTAAAGAGTTACCCATTGGACAGATAAAGCACAAACAATCTGACTAGTGATTGCCGACCCCGCAGGCTCCCTTTTTAGGCATTGGTGCAGCCTTTGGTATTTTCTTCATGTCCTCCCTTGCTTCGATCGGCAATGGCGAACCTTCCGATTTAGCCACGTGAGGCGCGTTAGTGGACTTTGGACGAACTAGCGATCACACAAGCCAATAGACTGGAACAAGTGTGAGTGGTTGGACTCGGCTTCGCTATGATCTGGCAGGTGAAGTGGGGATCTCTTGTGGGGAGAACCACAATATGCTGGATAAACCGTTTACCCGCCATGATCCCTCAGTCGAGGCGTAAATAAACCACAAAATTGCGCCTAAATGTGTGACCACCACTGCGCCGGCTGCAGGTTTCCGCTTCCATGGGCGATCATTGCCTGAAGAGAGGCCCACAAATTTTCTATTCCAGCTTGGACTTGCACACGATCCTTGTGGGGGATAGAAGTTTTCAGAATGTAAGTGAGCGATTGAGAGGAAAGAAATAATATATAGCAGCCGAGGTACGGCCACCTGGCCTAAAGCATTTGACACTCAAGCCCTGTTACAAGGTTACAGTCATTGAAATCAATAATTGTTGCCAAGTGTTGGCATTTGCCTGAATCCGGTTAATTTTCGGACTAAGAGATACCGCCACCGCTAGCGTGGCCCTTATGAGATCGCTTTCCATTACACTCAATGAATTGGATTGCTCTCTCAATTATGTCATTCCAAGAAATAGTATCGTCCAGCCACTGCTTAGTATGTATATTAGGTATGATTGAATTATTCACAATGCTGCACCCACCGCAACTGCGGCGGCATCAAATTCCAGTTGGTAGGCGTTGAACACAGCGGCCCATCCTAGTTTCAACCATCTCAACACTCCTCTGTTTCCGAAGTTGATTGAGGCTCTAGTATGAGAGCCTCTTCGACCGAGGTTAGAACAAATTGCGAATATGACATGATTGGCGTTGTTTTAACATAGGCTAAGTGGGTCGTCGGATCCGAAGCCCTGCAAAGTCAACATTGGGCGCACTCTAAACTGGAGCTTGCTCAAGTGGTCTGCCCAACTGGTAAAATGCTGACTAAAAAAACAAGCTACACTCAATACAATAGAAACAGCCTTTCAGAATTATACTCGCTTCATTGACATTCTATCACTCAAAGAAATTAAATACATGCAAACTCATTATCTTGAACCGAAATCTGCTGAAAGCAGGGGTGTTGAAGCTATAGCTCAAACAAACCTCTGCATCGCCCTTTCCGTTCTCCTACTCAGGTCTGTCCAAAGTACTCATCCATCTAAGGAAGGTTGGCAGGGGTGTAGCTCTGGTCGGGCTTAACAACCTTTCCAGTATCAAGCTGGACATCGGTGTAGGCAGGGTAGATGATCTGGCGGCTGGCGTTGTCGACAACAGCCAGGGTGGTGAAGCCGTTACCGGGACCGAACTGTCCACTCCAGCCAGAAGTGACGGTGAAGTCGCCGCAGGTAGCGGGACCGCCGTTAAGCTCTGAGGCGGTGGTGCCCTTGACGACGAACTTGCAGGAGGTGGCGGTTCCGGAACCGGTGTCGATGCCGAAGGTCCAGGTGCAGGAGGTGTCGGCAGCGTTGCAGACACGCTTCATGTTATCAATGGTCCAGGTGGAGCTGGCGGCCATCATGGAGGTGCCAGCAACGGGGGCAGCCAGAACGGCTGGGACAGCGGCAAGGGAAGCCAAAAGGAGCTGAGAGAACTGCATAGTTGCGATTTGGAAGATTATGGAAGGTAGAGATAGAGATGTTTGGATTGAAGATGATTGTCTTGTAGGTTGTTTTGATGTGTTGATGAGAATGGGAATAAATTGGAGAGAACAATGGGGGTATTTAAGTATTTCCTTGGGCCCCCTCGATGTTTGACCTTGGCACTATTAAGCAAAGCCCGAGTTTGAATCGTGATGTGTTTGTTGCTTCACCGCAATAATGCACTCGAAATAGACCTTGGTAGACTGAATGAATGTAACAGTACACATTGAGTACCTCGATGACAGTGCGCTCCATGCTGGCAGCCGATGTCTCACTTATGTATAGGTGAGACATTGGCCTGAACGCCTGAACCAGTCTCCATCAGACCATATCATGTCCTCACAGCCCCAGTTATGTGGATGAAATGTAAGACAACTTCAAGACCCATCCAATCAGAATACTACTTGCTGCAGGGCCACCCGCTTCCACGAGCCATATGTCGCTTATGCATCATACATTTACCCCGGATGTGGTATAGCTTCAGTAGCCCCACATTTTACTAACCAAGAAATGAGCTGTCAGGTGCAGTCATACTACGATCGCTAGCCAAGCTCCGGGACCTCAGCACGGTCATCAACAAGCCAAGTGAGCAAGTGTGCAGTATGCAGAGCCTGATTAGTGTGCCGAATAGACAGTGGGTGAGACACGGCCAACCACAAGCCCCGCTCACAGTGACTAGTTTTACATCCGATCAAGCAAGATCACTAGGTCGATCTACCAAACAGGTTAGGCATTCGGAGTTATCAGCCTTAGGGGCTTACGATCTGCATGATTCCACTGCGATGTAACTGTGTCTTAGACTTTACCCCAGAATTGGGCGTGGCACGGCACTCAGGGTCCGTCGGTACGAGCGATTATTTCACCGTACTCCACCCTTGGCATACATCATCACGGTCGCCTTACCCATGCTAGTTGGCTATACGAGATATAAATATGCACGATCGGGTCGGTGACCGGTTATTGATCGGTCTTAGGCTTCCAGGCATGTTGCCCCGCTCCTCTCCGCCTACGTTGGTTGGAGGGAATGGGGAAGCTACCCTGGATGGGGAACGATGGAGCTAAAAATTTTCAACATGGATCGACGGGTTAGGAAAATGAACTCGAGTAATACAAAGATTTTAGGCATTTAAGCAGTCTGGGCAAGCTCCAGCAGAGAATCGAGATCCGGGGCGCCGCCAGTTAACGGATACGGCGTCCAGCTGACCACGGTTCATGGGCCGGATCGATGAACCAAGTTTGATTGTTCTAAAATTAACTCCCCAAAGGATGGGTGTAGATGGCCTAAGAGTGGCGGAGGAATTAACTTGGTTTGTTATATCTTCCAAAGTTTGATGAGGATTCAGTATTTCAAGTCCACCAAGGTTCATGCTCACTGAATATATTTTCCATCAGTGTGGTGCACAGCCCTAGCCCATGCAGGTGTGCTGATGGGGGTTCTAAAGTTGTGAAACCAAACAAACAATGTGGTAGTGCTACATCAATATTCAATCAATATTATGCAGCGATCACGCATTGAAGCTTTTTGTCTTTCTACATTATTTGTCAATCAAAGTTGCATGAACCACTAGACGGAGGTGGCGGTTGTGACCGATTCTGCGGATCGCACATTCCAGCTCAACCTGACCATGAAAATTCATAACAATGATTTTGTCAGCTCCTATAGGACGTTATTTGGTGAGTGTGATTTATGATCGATTAGTTCTCTAAGTTCTACAGGAAGTTGTCGCAAGAAATGCAAGTCAGCAGAGAAAAGACCCGTAAATATTAGTATTCAAAGCACCTAGCATCGAGTTCCATTGTGTTAGATGAAACCTTAACATGGACTAATAAGGTTCGCAAAAAGATCAAGACGTTCCACTTCAATCAATGAACTTGTTCAATACACCAAGCACAGAAGAACTCGGGCGAAGCGATTCGTCCAGCTCTTCTCCTCATATCCCTCGTCGAATAATTCAGTCGCTCGATATGTATCACCATGCTTGAGTTGACACACCCTCATGGGAAGACCTAAAGCCTGTGCCAGGGAAGATATGTGACTGGTCCTTGGGGAAGCGCAAGAAACAGACACAGATGTGAAGAGCTCTCGGCCATGTAATATTTGCTCGCGGGGATGGCTTATTTGAGCAACAGACACAAAGCCCCCGCTAGGTGTCTCACGCACTCCCTCATAATAATATGTGTTAAACCTGTCAAGCGTATGTCGGAAATCGGCAAGACTCAAATCCGTGAACTTGTGGTTGGAGGTGCTCGTATACGATCCATGACACAGTTCAAGACTACAGATGCTGTGATTGATTACCGGAAGTACTGTAAGATATGATGCAATAGGTTTTTGTATTTACTGTGGCTTGGTGGTTCTACTATACAATGCTATGTATGAATCGATTCAATGCATCACTAGAGGATTCCCCCTAGAACTGCTCGCTGGATGACGGGGTGTTTATTCCAAAAAAAAAAAAAAAAAAAAAGAATTCATGCTGAATCACTGCCATTTATTTCAGGCCCTCGGGGTTGAAAATGAGGGGTCCCTTCTCCAACGGGATATGACATGCATGATGTGGGGTGTTGGATCAGATAACATCCCAAGGTTGGGAAAGGCGTCAATGTGGCAATTCCGTAATAGGCATGGAAATCCTCCACAACCACATTGCCCTCTCGCACATAAAAAATGACTGACATGAATTGTGAGATAACCTTCTCTATTGTTCTTCTCAATTATGAAATACGTACAACTGAGTCCCAATGACGAGCCTGCCACTGTTAGAAATGACCCCGCACAGAATTAGGAAAGCGTCTCCGCCCGATTAGATAGATCCGCATCCAAACAGAAAGTGTTTCCGCATAGAGCAAGTGTATACATCTGAACGCCATGTACTTAAAAGACAGAACGCCTGACTCCATGAGACTTAACAATTTACAAACAACCCTCCAATACCCAATATCCAACCTTCAAACTCCAACACCATCACAATGGCTGACCTCCACGGAATCATGGTGGCCCTGATCACCCCCTTCACCGATGACCAGACCAAGATCGACGAAGCCCGCCTCCAAGCCCACATTGAGCACCTCATCAAGGCCGGCGTGCACGGTCTTGTGCCCGGCGGCAGCACTGGCGAGTTCACAGTCATGACGACCGCCGAGCGCAAGCAGCTTACCGAGCTCTGCGTCAAGTTCGCCGCCGGCCGCGTCCCCGTCGTCACAGGCACAGGCAGCACATCCTCCGCCGAGGCCATCGAACTATCCAAGCACGCCGGCGAAGCCGGTGCCGCCGCCGTCATGGTCGTGCCCCCCTTCTACGACCCTCTCAACCTTGAGCAGCTGCACGAGCTCTTCCAAGAGATTCACAACGAGTCCAAGCTGCCCATTATGTTCTATAATATCCCCAGTGCTTCAGGCCTGAAGCTCACACCCGCCGAGATCGCCGGTCTATCCAAGGTCGGCGTCAAGTATATGAAGGATACATCTGGTGATGCGCCTGCGCTTACCGAGCTGCTTGTTGGCTACTCTGATAAGATCACTGCTTTCAACGGCTGGGATAGTCTTACCTTCTTTGGATTGGCTTCCGGTGCCCCTGGTGGTGTCTGGGGTGCTGCCAACTTCATTCCTGAGTTGGCTGTTGAGCTTTACGAGGCTGTTTCTGTTCGCGGTGACCTGAAGCGTGGCCGTGAGCTTTGGGCTAAGGCTTGGCCTATTTGCAAGTTCTTGGAGTCGCACAACTATGCTTCTGCTGTTAAGACTGGTGTTGAGCTGATTGGTCAGCCTACTGGTGGTTTGCGGAAGCCGTTTGCGTTGCTTAAGCCTGAGCTGCGGGCTGAGCTTAAGCAGTTGATTGAGAATGCTGGTGTTAAGACTATTTAAGGATGCATTATTCGGATGGATCGTATTGGTTGTATAGAATAGAAAAGCGATACCATGGGAATGAAAATGAATTAACGTTTTGAATTTCAATACACCATGATCAGGGTTGGGATCTTCCATTTTGCGAACTTCAAAGTTAGGTAATAGAGGATCCAAGTCTTATCAAAGTTTGGTTGATTCATCAGGTTATGTATCATTGCATCGTAACTCATCTTATCGTACAGGTCATGTAATGTGGATAAATACATGAAATCGTAAGTAAACTCAAAAGAACAACGGCCATGTCTGTTCTTCTTTCACAATCTCGATCCATGATAATATCCGGTCTCCACGATTCCCTCCCAGATGTTCATCTTGCTTGCGCCAAACCTTCATCATGACATCTCGGGCCGTGGCAAACGAAGTACACCCGCATTTGGAACTGGCATTATCCAACCATCTTAAGACAGCCTCACGCCTGAATGTAGTGAGAGCCTCACTTCCCGCAATGAACATTGGCCAGGCAGTTCCGGGACCCGTTTGGGCATCTTGTGACAATGTATCATTGCACTCCTCTAGCGCGTTGATTACATTATCAACATGACCTTGTAACACAGCCGGATGGACTTCTCGAATCCGGCGATAGAAAAATATCATAAGTGCCTCGTTCAATGCTTCAAGCATGCAGACGTGTGGCTTGGAAAGAGTCTGTAGGTCGGTAGATTGTCCCCGTGTACGGCCCAAATTTAATGAGCAGATCATATTCTCTAAGCGCATACTTCGTCTTTGCAGCTTTTCCCATGCTTCCATACTCACACTTCGACCTGAAGTCCTTGCAGTTCGGAATGCTTCCATGACGTTTGCGAGTCTAGTTGTTTGGGATACTAGACTGAGCCATGTCTCTGGGATGCCGTAGATTTGTTTGTAAAGGTGCTCAGAGAAACTGCGAGAATCGTGTAGATGGATATCGTTGTATCCAGATGCATGATCTTTCGGTTCGTCGATGTTAAGGTCGTTATCAGAATTCTGATTGCCAAGACGAAGAAAGTCATCCAGACGGGAATTGGGCTCATGGTGTACAGAATTGCTGTTTGTAGCACTAGAAGCGTGGACTCGACTCGATGAGCCGAGATTGTCAAGGCAGGAATACGATAGACCATAGTCGTGCAAAACAAAAGTGCTCTCCCCGAGGATTCTCAACCAAGTGTAGACATGATGCAAGAGACGAGCCTTTTTAGAGATTCGGCTTTTGGATAATCCACGCAGACGCAGTAGTCGCTCAGCATCAATCAGAAAACAGCGTGCATGTTGCTGTTGCCCTGACAGAATCTGGAAAAAGTTAGTGAGGCTTTACTCGAATTTGCGTATCAGGGCTGCATACAGCATATTGCGTCAAAATGTTCGCAGACATCAGCTGGTCTTTGTACTTGGCCTTCCTCGGACCCTGGGTCTCATGTTGCAGTGAGATTTGCATGTGGTCTTTCGCATTCTGATATAACTGGCTAGCAGTGTAGTGCCAATGATCACTAGATTCCAACACTCCATCCTGTGGTCTTAATGCCAAATCAAGAGCGGAGCAGGCAATAATACCGTAGAGATTTGCGAGCCGAGCATGGCTGACACCATCTGTGCCAAGGAAAGTGGAATCTCCAAACGCGACTACTGCAGCAGGTAAGTTCAAAATCTTCCATGGTGATTTCAGCCCGAAGGGAATTGCCATTATGTGAGGAATCACGACATCCTGGAAATGCTTGAGAAGGAACTGAGCGTTTTGCAGAAGGTCAGTCGGGGTAGACACAAGCTCCATTGGCGTTTGCTGAGGAGTGGGAGCTTGCATGGAGTTGTTGTTCACTGTGGAAGCAAATGGTAGCAGTCCCGTGTCATTGTCCAGATTAAAGGACATGTCAGGTTGCATGCTCAGATTGGGATATGTTGCGAATCCTGATGGATCGAGATTAAACCCCAACAAGTCTGACCAATGCAGGAAATCGTCCATCTGTGATATAGAATCCATGATCGACAATGGGCTAGTATCCTGGATTTCTTCTGGGACAACGGCACCTGCCAAGCCCACGCTAGGACCAGGGTCTGATGAGATAGTCTCATCTTCTTGGGGCGCAATTGACTCAACTGATGACTGAGGAAGCAGTTGAGCCCGTGATTGAGCTTGTGACTCTGTGCTCGACGAAGAAAAGTTCAAGACTCCAAATGGCCCGATGACAACATCGTCATCGGTCGCGCGATCAGTATCTCGAGATCTCGACTCGATCTCAGCCAATGAAGCGTCAATGGAACCGGATAGAAGATTGGTAGTCAAAGACGCGCTCATAGACAGACGGTCCTTTTCTATAAACGGTTAGCTCATAGTGACTAGGAGAGACTATCCAAAAATCAGGCATACCAGTGTAGAGATGTCGTCGAGTTACACGACGTCCGTCATCCACCAACTCCTCACTATCGTCACCATGTACCCATAGAATCTGATCGGAGAATCCCTCGCATGCTACACCGATATTCCGGCATGTGCGACACACCGGCCGTTTCTGATCGCATTTCACATGGCGACGTCTGCAGGTGCCACATCCGCCCAATAGATGGGATCGACGCGCACGCGCTCGCGTAGACCTCGCCATTACTTTATGGAGTCACTTGCGAATATCGTATATATTGATTTCGGTATGTATCATCAAGCATCAATTAGTCCATAGAGAATCCAAGGAGGTAAGTACACCCTGAAGGGTTGTGCCGTCGGAATGTCCTTCCTATTTGACCGCGCCACTAACTTATCTAATCTACCCCGCCAACTTTTTTTTGGTTCTAGTTTACAATTTGCCCAGTCGCGTCGCCTCGGCCTTGACGGTTACCGGAATCTCCTGCTCCAGCGAGTGAGCCTTCTGACTCCACCCCAGGAATTTGGTTGCTCTCTGGGAGTGTTGCCAAGCGTTGGTACCCCAGAAAACACTACCCTTGCCGGTCAACTCATCCGCCTCGCTAGCACTAACGCTCTTGACGGAAGTCGAGTCAGTCAGACCAAGGCTATGAGCTGCCTCGGCAACGAGCTGAGAGATTTTGCCAAATGACTGTAGAGATCAGCATTCTGCACAATTGGGTTGGAAATGAGTGGGCTCAACTTACTAGCACATCAGCGTTACCAACAAAGTAGAGACCGTCCTGATTCCAGAAAGCGCCTTCTGCACCTTCAACAGCCTTCTCAACTAATCCAACAAATACGTTGGCCAAGTCGGAGATGTGAATGTTGCTCCAGGTGCTTTCTCCCTTGCCTACTTGGACAGTCTGGCGAGTTTGAATAGCAACCCGGGAAAGCTCTGGAATTTGAATACTGCGCTGGTTGACGGGGCCACTTCCTTTGCCATAGATAATCGGCGGGAAAACAAGTGCAGTCTTGGGGCCCTGGAGGTTGACAAGGTAGTTGTCTGCCACCCTGGTGTCTGCATTCTGTTTGATAATCTCGCGGATCTCAGCAGCATCCTTCACATCATCATAGACTTTACCAGCAGCCTCTCCGAAGCGATTGTTCACAATGTCTGGAATGGAAAGAATGCTTGCACCAGAGATCTGAACCCAGTATCCTGACCTGTATATTAGCAATGTCTTCCTGACATATAGCGTGTTCACTCACCAGGTGTGGGGCGGTTGGCCAAACCGCGAGCAATAGCTTCAATGCTGGGCTGGTGCTTATAAGTAGCGGCATCTAGATTTATGTTAGCAAATGAGATGAAAATACGTATAGTATAATCGCCTTACTGATAACCACATCGGCTTGACGTGCCTCCTCTTCAATCAGCGATAAGGAGTCGAGATCACCGAGAACAACACGGACGCGAGGATAGGCCTTGGAGACAATAGCAGCCTTGTCGCTGTCACGCAAGAGAGCAACACATTCATACTCAGGGTGTGTTGACTGCAGAGTGTGGAGAACCTGCCCACCAATATAGCCGGAGCCGCCGGTCCTTTATGAAAAGTCAGTACTTGCCTAACACCAGCACCGAGCCACATACAAAAAAATGCGAGTCATGGTCAATTGATTGTTGATGAATTTGCACTAGTACGAGGAGAGTTGAATACATGGTCGAATGGCCTGTGCAAGCACATTTTAATAAAGCGCGACGTGCGGGGCAGAACTAAATAGGGAAGGCCATTCCGGGGGTGGGTCATTCTGCGATAGGAAGTCGACATGAACTATACATGGGGAAGGTCATTGGACCATTTATCTACATTGGGATACAGAGCATATGATCTCCGTAGTTGTCCAACACGGAGCAAGTACTTATTGTCCCCCAGTCCCTATTTACACTTTTGTATACCCCTACATCTATACACAAAACCTTCAACATGTCGCACCGTGGTGAGACTCTTCACAAAGATGTGTGCTGTATCGCAGACCTCAAGGAGGCTGGAGGCAAGAACCTCGGCAAGACGTATCGAGGTGAGTTGTGTCCACCATACCCCTGCATCCCGGTACTCCGAGACTGACCCAAGCAGACTACTATGATGGAGGTGCAATGGACTTGATCACGTATGACCCTCACTCTCTATACACTCTCAGTAAGCTAACAGAATCAAAGTCTCAACGACAACGAAAAAGCCTACGATCGCTACAAAATCCGCCCACGAATCTTGGTCAATGTCGAGAACGTCGATACAAGTACAGAGTTCCTTGGCAGCAAGGTGTCACTGCCCTTCAGTTTCGGTCCCGCTGCCTCCCACAAGCTCGCGCATCCTGATGGAGAACTGGCGACTTCTCGAGCTGCGGCGAAATATAACATGGGCATGGGCTTATCATCGTATGCGACCTGCTCTTTGGAGGACGTCAAGGCGCAAGGCCTGGAGAATCCCTACTTTATGCAGATGTGCGTGTTGAAGGACCGGGGGGTTACAATTCAATTGTTGGATCGGGCAGAAAGTGAGTTCCTCTCGCACTCTTGCACAAAACATGAATGCTTGGGCCTGGGAATTAATGGGATGTTTCAGAGTCCGGATACAAGGCATTGTTCTTGTCCGTCGATGTGCCTGTTCTGGGAAAGCGGTTGAACGAATATCGCAATGAGTTCCGTATTCCAGAGGACATGACCTACCCCAATATTCTCAGCAGTGGAGCCGATACATCCGATCGCACAGACTACGGTATGTTCATATTGCAAGTCAAGGGAGGTGAGCTGACACAGTGGTAGACCCTACCCTTGATTGGGAGACAGCGATTTCGTGGCTCAGGTCGCACACTCACCTTCCTATCTGGCTCAAAGGAGGTAATTAAGCGCTGAGCGGAATATTTTCATCGGAATATGGTATTGACAATACTGGTAGTGTGCTCCCCTGAAGACGTTGAGCTCGCGATCGAGTACGGCGTCGATGGAATTGTGATCTCGAACCACGGCGGCCGACAATTGGACGGTGTCCCATCCACCCTTGACGCGCTCAGAATATGCGCCCCTGTCGCCCAGGGACGCATCCCAATCACAATCGATGGTGGCATCCGCCGTGGATCGGATATTTTCAAGGCGATCGCCCTAGGCGCCAGCCACTGCTTCCTGGGCCGGATCCCTATCTGGGGTTTAGCGGTACGCCACACCTAAGCCACCACGTTTCAAGGAAATTCGTCTGACAGCTTGCAGTACAATGGTCAAGAAGGCGTCGAACTGGCGATTAAGATCCTTCGCCAAGAGTTGAAGATCACTATGGCGCTAGCTGGGTACGTTTCCCCTTTATGTCTTATGCAGGGTATAAATTCTCGTATAACTGACCCGCTTCTAGATGCAAGACCATCAGTGATATCCAAAAATGTTATCTTTCCGTCCTGCGGTCCGACGGCATCCTTGCCAAGCTGTGAATCTCATCAACCGACCCGAACATCCAATCAAGTGGACTGCCAAGTGTCTTGGCACTCCGCCCGCCCTCTAGGGCTGAACGGCACACGCACATTTTTCGTCATCTTTGTTGACAAGAGAGCGCCCTTTAAAGGAAAAGCTAGCATGGAGTTATTGTGAAGCATGAGTGTATAGACCGATAGTCAAGGCCCATATTTGAGCTGTATATAGAAGAACGAGTACATATCCCAATGAGGCTGTTCAACCTTCGAATACTTTTGTTACTTTTGTGGCGGTGTATGGGCGCAGTCAGGCAGCACCATTCCGATTAGTCCGAGACACTATACTTAGCACTGGCCCTCATGCAGCCTTACTCTGGTGTTCATTGGCATGCGACCCTCTCACAAGACAACGCGCGCCCCCTTCGCCGTGAAATTGGTTGGGGACACTAGCCGAGTCAGTATTTAATTGAAGCCGATCCTCCACATTGAAACTGTAATTGCCGCAAATTTTTGAATTTTGCTTTCATTAGTTCTGCCGATCCCTCCGATTTACTTAAATTGTCCTCATCTCACCTTTCACTCTTCCACGTTCCATCCATCAACGCCAATATGTTCAACTTCAACTTCTTCAAGTCTTCCCCCGCTGAGTCTGAGTGCTCCCAGGAGAACTCCTGGAACGGCAACACTGTCGCTATGCAGCAGCCTGCCAGCCCTGCCGCTCCTTCTACCGAGAACGTCGTCTCCCAGCAGCCCGTACGTTAACCTTTAGGATGAGGGCCAAAATGAAACCATTGAAACTGATACGTGTTTTCAGGCAAACCAGGAGCAAATGTCCATGCAACTGCGCGGTGGTGGTGGTGGTGGTCTCTGCTGCGGAATGTAAGTTCGCAATGCGATTTTGTTAGTATTGACATTCAGGGGCTAACTTGCTTCAGCTGCGCCGGTCTTGCCTGCTTCGAGTGCTGCGAGATCTGCTGCTAGGTTACCACCACGATCCCGTACACGGAGACTGGAAGGTACATGTAATGAGCAGAGAAAGATAACTCGGTGGAACTGCCGTTCATGAGTGGAGCCCGCGAATTTCTTTATGTGGCATGCCGGATGTCTATGCGATATACCCAATAACAAATGCAACGATATTTTTTTCTCATTGAATTGAACGTAGTCGTGTATCACATGGTCATCGTTATCATCATTCTCGGCTTAAAAGTGAAAAAAAGGTTATCATGCGTTCAACTAAATGACCGCCTGTGGATCGCCGTCCGCAGAGCCGCTTCCACATCCCACAGTCGAAACCCAGGGGCTCGGCCTAGAATCCGCAAATTGCCCAGTAGTACTAAAAGGATTTAGCGCTCGGTTCGATAGGGTCGAGTCAAGTGGAACTCACAGTCAAAGAAACACTCAACATCAAGGACATAGGTCGACTGGCTCAGATAGCGCCAACCACTCCTCTCACTGAGCGAGTCGCTCGTTGAGCCATACAATTGCGACGCAGATGTATCTGAGGAAACACCATAAAGATCTCCAACTGTCGCAGCGGGTACCGCCAATGACAGCGATGACCCATCAAGCACAACACCCCTCTGCTCCAAATACCCCTGAACATCATAACAGTCAAACCAATCTCCATCAAGATCCAACGAGCGCAACTGCTCCTCTTTACTCATAGTTCTCTCCACAACAGACCGATGATCACGATCGGGCTCCGCATCCCCACTCCAATCCTCATCCCAATCCCGAATTCCACCCCGCCGCAAGATCCGCGCTAACCTGCGCAAGACCTTCCCTGGCCGTCGCACGTTCTTGGGGGATTTCGCACGCGGGTAATGCGTCCCTGCACCTCCGAGGGTATAGAAGGGGAGCTTCGAGCTCTCGAGCTCACATCCTATCTCAGATTGAAGGACGCGTCGGAAACTGCGACATACTCCGGGGATGTCTTGGATGCATGGGAGGAGGCCGAAGACGCGGGTTATGAGGACTGGGTCGGAATGTGGGTCTGTCAGCCAGCGGTACGTGTGTTCAAGGCAGAAGCGATGGAGGCGCCGGGATAAGTTTAATTCTTGGTGGCTGTATGTGTAGACGGTTGTTGTGGGGAATAGGCGATTTAGAAGTGGGGAGGGAGATCTGCGGATAGACCTGGATCTGGATCTGGATCTCCTGTGAGAGTTCGATTCGGATGCTTTGAGTTCTGAGTAGGAGACATGGTATCCAAATATATCCCCCGGAGTATCGCGGCTCTGCGTGATATGTTGATTGTGATCGAGCGAGATCTCGTCTGAGGATGATCGGGTTTTGTTGATTTCAGCTAGAATCAACTGCTTGGTGCGACTTTGGTCATGTGCGTACCCCAGGCCAGAATTATTGTCCGTACTAAGTAGATTGGCCACATTCTGTAGTGTCTGTTCCAACACTTCTACACGTGTTCTGAGAGTCTGAATTGTTGTCTCCTTTTTCTGTCGGTAAGTACGCTGTGCCCGACGAATTTGCATGCGTCGTTCCTGGAAAGATTAGCAGGCGATCATGGGGCGTTCATCTATGCAATCTACCTCAATTGCGACAGCATCCTTAGTGGTCTCCAGTCTAGGCCGACCACGTTTACGCACGGGTCGATCTGGCCCCGTCTCGGTCTTCTCCGACATTGCTGGCGGATTCTGCCTGGGCTGCAGGTGCGGGCCGGACCTGCCGTCACGTTCTAGAGCATTTTCAGGGGCGGATTCCAAGCTCTGAGGAGTTGCGGAGCTTTGAGATGTTTCGGCCACTAGAGCGATGTCACCTAGCTCGAGGTAAGACCTGGCTGACAGAGTGCCTGAGAGCATGTCGAATTGTGGGTCTGGTTCTGGCATTTAGCTTGAAAGAAGAATGAATAGGCTTAAGACTAGGTGTTGGATTAGAGAATCCATGGTGAGATGATGTTTGATTACGTTGATCAATAATCATCCTGCCTCGGCTCCCCAGACGCTTAGTCATACATGCCGCTAACTTTGTTAGATTAACTTACAGGGATTCATCAGGATTTAAACATCATCGTGCATACCGTTTTTTAGATCATTCCTAAATCCGACTCTGATGCCGCTTAATCGGCATCTGGACCCATTTCGTTATTCTACTCCTCCAGAGGTACACAGTTGATAACCTTTCTCCGAAAACTCTCTCCCGAACTCCGTGTTTCAGAGTTGTGGCGGTTCCTCAGAGTGTGGGGACGCCATTCCCTAATGCGGTGCAAGTCCGAGTGAACAAATCTTCCAGTCGGTCTTCTCCGGATTAACATTGAAAAAGTTATGGTTCCGGGCCCATATCTCCATCTCAAGTAACTGGCCCGTGATCACAGACCGGACGGAGTTGGAATTGAAAAGACTCGAAATCCGATGGCGGCGATCTAGCCTGACCTCTATTTCCACTCTGATTGGTCTTCATGCATGGATCGTCATAGCCCAGGTCAATGCACATTATCCACCGTATGACGGCAACGAACCGAGGTTGCAGTGTTCAAAACCATAAATATGATTGAAGGCCCCGTGTCCACTTAATTTCGCGGCGCTTCTGAATTATCAACAACTCTTCACCATGACGCCTACCTTTATCCTAGGCTTTCTAGGTGCCGCCGTGGTCCTACAGATCATTCGCCTGGCAGTCAACTCATGGCGACATGCCCGCAAAGCTCGAACCCTGGGCTGTGGCCCTGTACCACGTTTGCCCTGTAAAGACCCGATCGGAATTGCAACTCTTAAGGAGTCAATGGCAGCGGACAAGACGAAGACCATTCCTCTACTTTCGGAACGTCGTTGCAAAGAGATGAGCGAGCAGGAAAACCGCTTTGTCTCCACTTTCATCATGCGCAATCTCGGCCAAGACATCACATTTACCATCGACCCCAAGAACGTTCAAGCGGTGCTAGCAACTCAGTTCAAGGACTTTGAGCTTGGAGCCCCGCGTCGCCGCAACCTGCACCCCCTCCTGGGAACCGGAATCGTGAGTGACACCATGTTCTATCAAATGCTGCTTGCAGAACACTGACATCCTATAGTTCACCGCCGATGGCCAAGAATGGAACCACTCTCGCGGACTTCTCCGTCCGCAATTCACCCGCGATCAAATTAGCCAGCTGGAATTGGAAGAGACTCACGTTCAGAAAGCGATGCAGGCCCTGCCGGTCGCTGCCAACAAATGGACTGCCGCTACCGACATCCAGTCGATTTTCTTCCGTCTAACCATGGACTCCGCGACCGAATTTCTGTTTGGAGAGAGTGTTGAGAGCCAGCTTCAGGCCCTGAAGGGCTTGGAGCGTCCCGAGGACAACTTCGCGACTTACTTTGACAAATCCCAGTGGGTTTGCACCCAGCGCGCCCGGTTCGAGAGACTTTCGTTCCTCGCCGAGACCAAGGAGGCTCGCCATTCTGACAAGCAAGTCCACGCATTCGTGGACAAGATCGTCGAAGCCGCATTGAAGAACACTGAAAACGAAAAGAAGGTGCCTGACGAGGAGAAGGCTCAGTACGTCTTCCTCGACGCCCTTGCCGCTACTACCCGGGACCCCATCGAGCTGCGCTCGCAGTTGCTCAACATTCTACTCGCTGGTCGTGATACCACCGCTTCCCTTCTCAGCTGGACCGTCCTGTCCTTGGCCCGCAACCCCGAGATCTTCCGTAAGCTCCGTGAAGTCATTATCGAGACCTTCGGAACCTACTCGAACCCCCAGAACTTGACCTTCGCTGCCCTGAAGTCCTGCCAGTACCTCCAGTACTGCATGAACGAGGCTCTCCGTTTATACCCCGTTGTTCCTTTCAACCGCCGCTCTGCTACCCGCGACACCACCATTCCCCGCGGTGGTGGTCCGGACGGCGAGTCTCCCGTTTACATTCGCAAGGGCGATTCGGTCGCATACAGCACCTTTGTCATGCAGCGCCGCAAGGATATCTGGGGCCCTGATGCGGACGAGTACAAGCCTGAGCGTTTCGCCAGCCGCAAGGCTGGATGGGAGTACCTTCCTTTCAACGGTGGCCCACGTATCTGCATCGGTCAGCAGTTTGCTTTGACCGAGGCCGGATATGTACTTGTTCGTTTGTTGCAGCGTTTCGATCAAATCGAGGATGTCAACCCCGATCAGCCGATCCGCTACGGTTTGACTTTGACTATGTGCCCGGCTGATCTGTTGACTGTCCGCATGCACGAGGCTGATGATGCCTAAATTTCTAGTTCTAGGATATGAGTACTATCACCACTCTTCATTATTAATATGACATGGGGAATGTTTGCCTGTTGGATTTTTATTGGTATAATTCATGGAGCCGGTTGCACATATTTGCCTAGTTGGACACGTTTGTCTGATACGACGATTACGAAAGACTTCAATCTCAATACTACTTTTCTCCTCTTATCCAGTAGCCACTACAGTAAGCCACCTGAATCAACTTGAAAAAATGAGTTTCGTCTGATTGTTCGACAATGTGGAGAAGAAAAAAGGTGGATCGACAAGTATAAAATTGGCCTTGTTTTCCTGTCCCAATTTAGAGACCCGGGTGTGGCGCCGCCACATCTTGGCTTATGGATATGTACATATTTATAAAAACAGAGTTCTGACAAGAAATGGGTATTTGCTAACTCAGGAATGATAACGTAGTTACGGCAAATGCTATAGATAATCAAATGAATCCAGCGACATGAGCTTTCGAGCTATGCAAAAAGAAACAATAACGTTTGCACATCATGCTGCACGACTGTCCATTCCGAAAAACCGAGACCCATCACTCCATACATCTCTACTTTGGATCGTATCTCAGACTCGGAAGCAAAATCTTCACATACTCCTCCTTAGCCACCAACTTGCAAGCAGAGTTCGCATGCTTCATTGCTTTCTTATTCCAGCACCCATTCGTGGCCCAGAAAAGAACGGTACAACCCTTTTCCTCCGTCCGATGTATCGTCTTCATAAGAGACATCCACAGATCCTCATCCTCAACAGGAATATCTGTGTACCGGTAACACCAGTCATCCCTCATCCAACCTCTCATTAAAAAAGTAATCCCTTCAACAACAGAAGGATCGCTAGTCGCAATGATGATGCGTTCGAATCCTTCGGCGGCCCAGTCTCGGCATTGAAGAGCAGCGATAGCAGCACGGATCGACGCGCACTGAGCGGTTTTGGTGTTTCGCTTGCCATTCGGGCATTTGTCTTCGAGTGGGAAGCGGTACCATCCACCAGTGTCATTCACCATGAACGCGCAGCCGGCTTTGGGGTTGTTTGGCTCTTTGCCGTTGGGCTTTGACGTGCCTTCCGTGCAGATGAGGAGTTCGCGTGGGTCCTTGACTCTGGTGAAGCGACGGACTGGGAAGGGGGAGCGAGTGCTGATTGTAGGCACGTACATTGTTTCTGGGCCCCAGAATCCATAGGGTGGTTGGAATTCTTTTGGGAGTTTGCGGCTAGGGGGGTCGCCGGCCATATATGGGATATCCATATTGATGGCGGCTCGAACCCAGGAGAGGTACTTGATGAGATAGGTAGTGTTCTCGCAGTGGGGATGGTATGAAGGTGTGTGAGAAAGCGATTGAGTTCATTATGAAGAACTTCCTTATTCTATTTGTTGTTGGGGACTCAGGCGCACATTTATTTTTCGCCTTATTCACAGGTTTCCATTGGCATGAAGTGTGAAGAATGCATCGTGAGTTAAAGGCACTGTTATGGCAATGGAGGGCTTGCTACCTATGCTCGATCCCATTCTACACAATGCTTGCATCAATGAGACAATGACAATGATAGCCCGCTTCAAGAGTCTTTTGTGGGTCAAAAGTTTGCGTGGATAGAGTGTGATCGGAATTTATGTATATTCGATATCGATCAAAGTCTGTTTCATGTTATCGAAGCTAGGCCACCTTGTGTGATGGCTCCAGATTTTTCGTATGACATCCTATTGTTTAATCCTCTATTTTCCCGTTTTAACAAAGATATTGTATTTTCCACAGAAAAGCTCTTCCCACTCGAAGATTTCTGCCACTTATGCACAAGAAATAACTTACATGGCGTTCTATGCCGCTACCTTGCTACTGGCTATATGCGTACACTATATCTGCCATGTTGCCTATCTCTAGATGATTTCATCAGCCTATCTGGTCTTTTCCTGGTCTTGCATACAATCTTTGATTGCAGTTTCTTGCCACTTAAGCGCCTCTTCCTTACGTTTCCGTGGACGGCAAAAAGGGGATATCAACATAATAATGTAGAGTGAGAACCAATTGTCAGTGCCGACAGTAGTAAGATTATAGGATTATATGATAGATGTTAATGATTTAATTGCTTCAGGCCGACCAGTCTTCTGGAAATGGATCCCACAGTATTATTGGTCGCGAATCCAGCGCACGCCCCTCTAGCCATTGGAAAGTCTCAATCATTGGTATATCTGCTGAAATATATCTTATTAATGACGGAATCATCACAAAATAATTGCTAATTGTACCTCGATTGTGCTACTTGTACCCCCTTACAAAATGGCCATCCAGTTTTTGACCATGGCCATGCACGAAACAATCATGACCTCAGTCTTCCCTCCACTGACATTCCCACTCCGCCCCTCTGGCTCCGCGGCTTTTGTTTTGAATATGGCTGATATGTAACTTTCATTAGTGTTCTAATAATACATGAGCATGATATATCTGATCTACTTTTGAGCCCGATTTGCACCCCTCTTTCTCCTACGCTGACCTCGAATTCCGGGATTTTGTTGTTGCGATCCCTTGAGATTGCATCTTGTTGCGAGTCAACAATCTTAAACCGCGATAATTCACGACCAGTTGATGCTTCTGGAGCATCTTGTGACATGATTAGTTGTCAACTATCACCAGGCCACGAAAGTGCATTAGACTGCCGAGCACACGAATTCGTTCTTTCAATACTGAGATATCAAATATATTTGCGCTCGGGTCCATCCTCTACGAGTTGATTGCGTGCAGGTGTCATCTACGTGGGAAACATACTACTCATTTACTAAGCCTTAGCACTCGGACAAAGTAGGCAACTGTTTTATGGGGCATTTTTCAATATGTAGCAAGCTGACAATGCTGTGGGTAATTAAAGGAGCAAGCTATAATCCATTGACGCGTCTTGCAGTGCGGGGATAACTCAATTATATAGTGAAATGACCGAAGGCTTACGCTATTTCCGCGGAGGAATAGATTGACCGGGAATGCGGCATGGAAATGTCGTCAACGGACATGGCTCCGCGATCATGTCTCGCCGCACGGGCGCCTCGGGTGAACATGTACACCACTTGACGAACAATGAGATTGAGCGGCTCTACATTTGGCTTCGCGACACAACAGATGGAGGTTATCAAGTTGTTGCTGGAGAAATGTCGCTTTGATCAATTTTGAAATCTAGATAGTTGTGAGGATGCCCAATCGTTTGCCCCAACGATGGGTCAATGCACGAGGAATACAAGGATGGAATCAAACCGTCTATAGCCCATATTTACCCTTGTGACATAACTTATCATCTCTTACATTGGTCCGCGATTCGGCCTCAAGAATCCCTCGGAAAGCCAGGATGGGTTTTACGTGAGACGTGGGCCAGTCTCCAGAAAATTGGATCCTCTTCCCCACTATTTTCTTTTCCACAACTGTGGTCCCTGGCATCCAGTTGACCCCACACGGCATCAGCCACGAATATCAAGCACCCTCTACTAGTAAAACTGTCGAAGAGATTTGCGTGGAATGTCAGTCACGACAGAGACTCCAGATTGCCCAACGGCAACAGGGCCACCGCGAGAGCAGCTCGAAATTGAAGATGTTATTGAATATCCCACAGGGTTCAAGCGCGGGATCGTTATTTTTCCAATTCTCCTCTCCGCTTTCTTTGTCGGCCTTGACATGACAATTGTCGCAGTGGCCGTCCCTAGCCTCTCCACTCAATTCAAACAACTCAACGACATTGGATGGTACTCAGCATCCTACCAGCTAGTCGGCTGCTGTTTCATCTTCTTTTTCGCGCGTTTGTACACAGTATTCTCAATGAAAACTATCTTCCTGGTCTCCATGTCCCTATTTGAGCTCGGCTCGCTCCTCTGCACCATCGCCCCGACCAGTGCGACGTTCATCATCGGCCGCGCTGTTGCAGGCCTAGGCAGCAGCGGTATCCAGACAGGCGGCATTGTGCTGCTGACCAGTTGTTTACCCGTGCATAAGCGGCCCTTCTGGACCGGTGTCATAGGCGCAGGCGCAAACGTAGCCCTGTTGATCGCTCCCCTGATTGGCGGCGTGCTAATCGACGCTTTCTCCTGGCGGGCCTGTTTCGGAATCAATCTGCCCATCGGGGCCGTCACAATCGGGCTCATCGCATACGGGTTTCAAATGCCCGCGAATCCCCCACACGCAGCCGAATTGACTGTGTTGGAAAAGTGCAAGCGGCTCGATATCCCAGGGACTCTTGTGTTTGTGCCTGCCATCGTCTGCCTTTTAATCGGGTTGCAATGGGGCGGTGTTAAATACAGTTGGGGCAATGCGCGGGTAATTGCGCTCTTGGTGCTCTTTGTCGTCCTCATTGGCGTATTTGCGTACATGCAGTATCGCCAGAAGGAAGAAGCTACTCTTCCCCCGCGCATTATGACGCAGCGCAGTATCTTGGCTGGGGCTTGGTTCAATGCTTGTACCAATGGCATTCTCGCTGTTACTGAATACTACATGTCGATATATTTTCAGGGAGTATGTGGATTTAGTGCGACGAAATCTGGTGCTATGGGCTTGTCGCTATTTGCGGGCATGGCTCTGACGGGTCTCACGGCCGGGGCCGGGACTGCACGGATAGGGTATTATTACCGTGAGTAGTAGCATGTTCCCCTTCAATACGTGAGGGAATAGTAACTCACGTTGCTCATATCGACTACAGCTTTTATGATCATTAGCTCAGTTCTTACGCCCATTGCCTCCGGATTACTCACCACGATCGAATATAATGGCACCCTGATTAAAACCATCTTTCTCCTGGCCTTTCTCGGGGCCAGCGTGGGCCTTGGTCTTCAAGCGCCAGTGTTCGCCGTACAGACGGTTCTCCCAGACAAGGACATCGCTTTAGGAGTCGCAGTCACCGCGTTCACCGGGTTTCTCGCATCGTCGCTTTTTGTCTCGGTCTCTGCAGTCCTGTTTCAGAGCCGATTGGCCATTGAAGTGGAACAGTATGCGCCGGGAACTAATCAGAGCATCTTCGATCAGGGAGGTTTGGCGGATGTGAGAGAGCAGATTGGGCCTGCTAGGCTCGGTGCTGTGCTTTCTGGGTATGATCAGGCGGTTATTCAGACGCTTTATATCCCTGTTGCGTTGGCTTCTTTGTCAATTTTGGCGAGTGTTGCAATGGAGAGAAAGAGTGTTAAAAAAACTCAGTGAGTTTTTCTCTTTGTCTCCCTCTTATTTTTCTATTTCTATCAATTTTCGGGTACCGAGACTGCAACATCAAGAGTAGTACAGCATGTGCTCTGTTCTATTTACTTACCCGCGGGTACGAATATTCCCCAGCTGGCATACGGACTCAACAGTTAGAAACTTCGTATACTTGAGACTGAAATATTCATGTTGGTCTACATCGTCATGACTGAACTTAGAAGATCTATAAATGCAGCTTTGAGTTACTGTGATACCTACTCTGTCCACGGGTCAACATTTAGAAAACAGCTCCACCTGTGGAACCTTGGAACTTGAACTGAACCTTGGAACGGAGCTTGTGATTTTCCAACGGTTTACAAAACAAGTTAATTAAACCTTATATTCTACCGAATCTAGACAGCTGCCTCCACTTATCTGTATACAGTCTACCTACCTCAAATATTCCCAATCTATATCAGTGTAATTCTCTCTCCATCTAATATGAAAAGGCCACCACTGTGTCTTCAGAGCCCAAGCATTAGTCCAGTCGCAGAGACCCGTGAGCCTCAGCCTTATCCAGCGCATCGGCAATTCGCGATCCCTCGCCCTCGAAAAGGATACCGTCGTAGGTCATCGCGCCAATTACGCAGCCGAGGATTGGGGCGAAAAGAGGAACAACGAAATAGTAGCCATCAGTCGTGAAGACCTCCGACCCGTATAAGATCGCAGAAAAAAGTCTCGGACCAAAGTCTCTTGCAGGGTTAAGGGCCTAATAGTATTAGTACGACTTTCATAACCTGGTCACCGGATAAACATACATAGCCGGTCTGCCACCCCAGTGCCGCTCCGATCATGAGCAGGAGCAGGAATAGAGAGAGATGCGGAGCGGGGAATCGATGAGCATTTCCAGGATCAGAAATGCTGAGACACCCAAACATCAGCACAGCTGAGCCCAGCATCTCAGAAAACACGGCCTCCCAGTTCGACGCGAAGACGGCAGCTGGATAGGTTGAGAATATGCCTGCGGAATGGTGGCCCGTTGGGCTCAGGATTGATCCACCAGGAATGGTATACTCGGGATCCCAAGCCTTGATAGCTGAACGGTAGTTAACATACACGAGGGCAGCCCCGACAAACCCACCCAGAAACTGCGCAAGCAGCTTGCCAGGGATGCTCTTCCATTGTCCTGCAGATGGGCGCACAAGAGCCATACAGATAGTCACGGCCGGGTTGATCGTCGGACTTGGATCGGACAAGAAGCTGGAAAGGCAGACGGCTGATGCCCAGGCGATGTTGATGGACAACCAGGTGCCGTACTGGTAGTCAGACAGCAAGCATTGGGCGACAACACCATCACCGATGACGATGAGCAGGGCCGTTCCGAGGAACTCAGCCAGGTATGGCTTCAGTGCCCGGCGAGGGATCATTTTGGAAAATGATAATGATCCTACAATCCTATCTCCTGAAAATTCCAGCGTGTTTGTTTTAAATCAAATCTATGACATCATTCCGGCCGGAACTGCCTAGCTCGGTAACGCGGGATGCCGATACCTTCTCCAAGTAGAATTCGGACCGTGCAAACACCTGGACCCCGCCATCTTATGTCTGCACTATAGTGGAACTGTGGCCTCACCGCTCCCAATCGTGCGACGCTAAAGTGACACACTTCCCTGTTACTCTCCGTTTAGCTCCGCTAAATATGCACCGGATCTTATGTGAATTTTGCATATATATACACAAAAAGGATTTTGCTATTTTGTGCTAAATTGAGTAATGCCCTCTGAGGAACGACCTCGGACTGCTAGTGTAGTGTTGAGTGGGTCGACCGCTAAACTATATTATAGATATTGATCTGCGATGGGGTTCTGCGATCGACAAAACCATATATCGAGTTTATGCCGTAAAGCTCGTTCTTGCGTGACTTCTTTACTTTCTTCCTGATTTGACGAACCGCCTAGTGCCTGGAAAGGGGATTCATCTCTAGAAAGAAGGTTGCTGGAGTTCAAGCTGGAGATTTTAAGTTCCGGCGTTTGAGCTGCTTTAGCTTCCTCGGGATGGTTTTCACCGAGCCACCGACAGGACTTACTTCTCTATTCGTCAGATCCCTACGGCGGGTCGACACTATTACTGCGAGTAGTTCCGATTAGCGGGCAATCACAAAGGGTTGATTCTCACAATGGCCACCTCAGATTTGCCCCATGGGTTGAAAGCGCGAGATGCATGTCATGCTTTCCTTGATTGAATTTATCAAGTAACTTCTCAAATTCACGTATGTTAAGCTTCTGGAAAGCTTGATGGTATGGGTTTACGTATGATAAATTGGTAAGCTCCCGAAAGCAAGGATGAACCCCGGAAGATTCCCAGTTCACGAGAGGAAGAAACCATAATGTAGATATCAGTCTCTTAAAAACGATAGTTATTGCTAATGATATAAATGAACAAATCCAGACATAATAGAAAGAAGATCGTGAGATTAAAAACCTCATAAAGTGTACAAGAGATTTGAAAAGAATGATAAGAGAAAGAAAACCAGACTAGTACTGGCAAGGACAAACCACAGTATTATAATTCAAAACAACTGGCGTCAATGTATCCGCGTTTGTCGCATCATTCCAAACAGGCTGCCAATCTCCACTGTATGCACGGAAGTCCGTGTAGCGTAGCGCTGTTGGTGAGGTAGAATACCACCCACTTCCACAGCTGAGGATACCTGACGAAGTATCCTGCGAACAACTTTGCTTGGTGGTTGTGGAAGTAAAGCTGCCGAATTCGACCCACATATCCTGTGCGGGTGCGAGGACGTCCATGGAGGGAAGCGCGACGAGATCACCCGCGCATGTCAGGTAGAAGATACCCACCTCATAGCCGGCACCCCAGCCACCCCAGACGGGAGAGGAGCTGTTTTCAGACAGGTAGAGCTGCTTGCCATTGATATGGTCGGGACCGCCGGTGGCAGTAATGGTGAAACAAGATACTTGGGTCTGAAGGGGACAGCTAGTCGCGGTGGTGGCTGTGGCGGTTTGAGTACCGGTCACAGTGGTAGCGGTCTGAGAGACCACGATGCGCGAGAAGGTCTCAGTTTTAAGGGCACCGAGTGCGTCAACGGTGCTGTACACAGTGTTCACGACACTACCGGAGTAGGCAGTTGCAGTGGAGGTATAGAAGGTAGTGGTGGCGGTGCCAGTGGCGACCTGGGAACAGGCAAGAGAGATCTTGCTGGCGTCCCAGGTGGAGACCAGGGTGGGTTCGGCGACGACGGTACGTTTGGCAAATTTGGCGGCCTTGGTAGGGTGGGGAGCGGCGTCTTTTTTCTTGGTGATAGAGCGCTTCTTGACTGAGGAGCCAGTTTCAAGAGCTCGTTTCTTCATGTACGAGTCACCAAGGGATTGAGAGCCGGAGACGGTCACATAGGAGGTAGCATCCACTGTGGTCGTCTGTGTGAGGACAGTAGTGACGGTGGGGTATTCGAAGATAGTGGATGTGGTCGAGATGGTCGTTGGCACAGTGATCTGTGTGGTCGTGGGCCCGGTGCGTGTAGTCACAGCGTATGCGACGGAGGTGGGTGCCACGTAGCCTAGGTAAGAAGTACAGAAAGCAGCACCGACGCTGCGAAGGGAACTGACCTCATCTGCTGTCGGCTTGTCGTTGGGAACATTGAAACACTTGGTCTGGCCGGCCTTGTCACCAGACTGGGAGAGGACGGTGGTGGAGCCACCCGTGAAAAGGACCTCGTTGTTAACGCTGGAGTAGGAGGTCAACTCGAGCTCTCCAGCATTACAATATTCTCCATCGTCCTCAACGAGGGCAGCATTGAAGCCAATGGCTGTGTCAGAGTTGATGTAGATGGGCTGATGGCCGTAATTTGCGTTCTCGATCTCAACAGCGATGGCAAGCGATGTTCTCATGATAGGAATGAACGAAACCTCCGCGGAGGATGAGAACACGGGGTAGGTGTAATCCACGGTGGGTGACCAATTAGCGCTCTCGGTTGCGAGGCTGTTGGAGAAGTCCAAATAGATAGTGCCACTGTTCACGCTGATGGAGGCACCTGCGGTAATGTCGACAGCGGCGGTAGTGGACCATTGAACTCCCAGACTGTACAACACAGATGGCGCGATAGTGAACTCTCCGGGGACCGAGACGGGCTGGTTAAATTCGATGGTATCGAAGTTATAGGTCCATTCTCCAGACCAAGCGTCCGTGGTTTCGAGACCCATGACGACATTGCCGGTCCAGCTCATGGTAGGCGTCATGAAGGCGCTCATAACCTTACCCGTGGAGGTAGCAATCATGACACTGCCTACGAATTCAAGGTTGGAGATGCTCAGACCGCAGTCCACGCAACTAAGCTTGCCGACCGAGGATTGCACCAGCGTCTGCGCCGGGATTTCATACTCCACGCTTGCAGTGTAGGTAAAGTTCCAGTAGGTCGCGACAACTACCTCAAGGTAGCAACCCGTCCAAGTACACTCGATCGCATTACGGTTGGCGTAGGCCTCCTCGACATCTTCGTATAGATCTTTCAGATCACAGATGAGCTCGGCAAGAGCTCCGAGTTCCTCATCAAAAGCTTCAAGAATGTCGCCAACAATGTCGCTACAGGCACCTTCCCAGAGATACTTCCACCATGTCTCGTCATCAAGCCCGGAACGCTTGGCGAGCATGGAACGACGATGACGGTGATATGCTTCAGTGGGGTAAGACCGGCGGCGGGGGGGATGAGGTGCACGCTTGGTGTAGACAGTTGTCGCCGGAACGTAGACACCGTTAGAGCAGTGACCCGCGAGATCGCTAGCGGTTTTATTCCACATCGAATCCGGAGATGGGAGACCGGCATTCTGCAAGGCCTCTTTGAGGGCTGCTTGCTGCGTGGAGTTGGAGTTGGGGTTATAGATAGGGGTCGTGGTGTTTGCGGTGACAGCAGGCACGGAGACGGCGATGTTACCATTGTCATCGTACGTGTTATTCTGAGTCAGATAGGTGACGATGTTTTTCTCCTCGGGGGTCAGGTCTGCATAAGAAACCGAGCCAGAGCTTGAAGTTGGGGCGCTGCTGCCGGCGGCAGGATCAGACGCTGTACACGAAGGAGTGTAAGAGATATTGGTCGAGTTCACACGGCCCATGCCATAAGCGACCTCCATGGTCTCTGAGACGTCGGCCCAGACCTTGGCGGTGACATCAAGGGTTATTGTGAGACTGGCCTGATCTGTGGTGTATGAATGGACCATGTAGACACCTCTCTGAGAGTCTGAGTTGCAGCTACCAGAGTTGGTGATGAGGATGAAATTGTCCGTGGGCCACTGGCTGACAATGTTGAAAGCCGCAGTGGTGGTCACAGTGACGGTTAATGTATCACCGGAGCAGGTCACCGAAGCAATCTTGTACGCATTCTCAAGGGTCACTTGAGGATATAGCATATGGTAGGTCACTTGGAGAATGGTCGAGCCTGTGGTACTGGCATAGTAGAGAGTAGAATACGTCGAGGGGGACAGATTAAGGAGGGTGGAACCATCGACACTAGGGTCGCGGGCCGGAAGGACTGTGGTTCTTAACTCCGGGTCGGATTTGGCAGAGCACTTGGGGAGGGCAGTCGAAGACGGCGTGGCCGAGCGGATCAGCGGCGTGGAGGAAGATTTGGTCGAGCTGATCCGGGTCTTCGTAGACGATATGGCCGAGCTGATCGCCGGAGGGCTGGTTGTCGCATCGCCTCCAGGGCACATCTGGGCTGATATCTGTCAGTTTTGGGTTCTTCAATTGGTTTATTGGGGAAAGGCCGATACGTACAGTACTTCACGGCAGCAATAGTAACGGGGGTGCAGCTGGAAGGCGTGTTACCGCTGAATATAGCCAAGACAGTGTTATTAGAGACACAGAAAGAGGCGGCGCTATTCTTGAAGTCCGAATTTGACCAGGAAAGAGTATTATCCATAATGGCGAAGGTGCCCCGAATGGGTCCTGGGCTACTGGTTCCCTTGAAGGCCGCACTTGATGCGTCCTTTTCGGCAGAAATAAGCAGTTTATCATCATAGAGATGCCCCCCAGTGAGATAGAAACGGTCTGCATCGGCACAACTGGCTGTGATGGAGCCAGCGCCAATAAGTGTAGCGCTGTTGTAGGTTTGACGTCTGTGCTTTGTTTGGACCCGCTGAACATACAAGGCTAGCGGCTCAAGAGTTGCAGAGGGGGAAGCGGATGCGCTAGACTTGATGACAAGAGTCGAGCTTGTACGTTGGACAGAGCGAGAAGACGAGGTGAACGCGCCAGAAGTGAAAGTCTGAAGGGGAGCCGACGAAGGTCGTGGCGAGTTGGAGTGATGGATGCTGCTGGAGGCACCTGAACCATGATGACTATGACTATGACCATGACTATGACTATGACCATGACCATGACCATGACCATGGCCATGACCATGGCCATGACCAGACCCACGAATGGTACTTGTACGTTGGGCAGAACGGGATGAGGAAGTAGAGGTGCCAGTAGTGAAGCTGTGCGAGGCACTTGAACTAGAGCCAGAGCCAGAGCCAGAGCCAGAGCCAGAGCCAGAGCCAGAGCCAGAGCCAGAGCCAGAGCCAGAGCCAGAGCCAGAGCCAGAGCCAGAGCCAGTGTAAGTAGCAGTTACCGGACAGATAGTGGTATAATCAATGATAGTATCCGTGGTCACGTACGTGGTCACGTACGTGGTCTTCTCAGACGCCGGGCAGTCCTTAGCAGAGGACGGGCAGGCGGTCACAGTATGCACATCGGCGGTATAGACAGTAGAGGTGGTGTATCGATCATTTCCAAAACTACTAGCTGTCTTTGTGGGCCATGATTCGCCAATTTCGGCGGCAGAAACAGTGTGTGTAGCAGACTCAGTGACGGGGCAGACAGTAGTATAGTCAATGATAGTCTCGGTGGTCACGTAAGTTGTTTTTGCTGTGGCTGGGCAATCCGTAACAGAAGGCGGACAAGCAGTCACAGTATGGACCTTGGAGGTGAAAACAGTTGAAGTAATATACTCCTGCCCTGAGCTGGAGACATTGCTAGATCCAGAATCCACGCCTGAGCCTGAATTTGAGCTCGATCCAGAGTCGTTGCCGGACGTGTTGGTAAAATCTCCAAATTTTCCGGGGTTAGATTCCAAGGGGGTAGTGGGGGAAGATAAAAGAGCGGTAGTGCAGGGGCACACGGTATGCCAATTGGTTTTGGTCAAGGTGACGACCGCATTAGTGGCCGAAATACTTGCCAGGAGCAAAGTGCTCGTTAAAAAAGAGCGTGTAAACCGCATGCCTGACGGCTATGGGGGGAGAAGCAGATGCAGTTAATGACAGAAATGAGAGGGAAACCTCCCGTGAAGGAATGTCGTAAAAATGCCAAAAAGAGGGACTAGAAGTGTTTCTCAGAACATTTTGTCGTTCTGTTATGATTCTTTTAAAGATTGACTATGTGGGTAGTCTTCTTGCCGACTCCGGAGATTTCTTCGCCTGGACTAATGCTCCTATCGGCTGGCTGAACTGGAGATGGACGTTCTCATTTACTTTGTTTGTTTTTTTTTTTTTTTTTTTTTTTTTTTTTTTTTTTTTTTTTTTTTTCTCTCTTCAAATCATCTTTCTCTAAATCCTGGTTAGGTTGTGAAAGGGTATTCATGGAGCATTACGTGGCTGAATAGTGCAAGCCCCAGGGGCGACAGAGACCGATGCATACATAGGATGTCAATTTATAAACATATTCTCCACTTAGAAAAAGACCGACTTCAGTACTGGTGGAAAAAGCCGAGAGTTTATCCCTCGGTCACTCCGATCGACGCCATGGGTATGAGGGCTGATGAGCACTGGTAGAAAGAGAGAAGAAAATGGCTTAAACCAGCGAGGACACAAATCAGGTATAGTCCCACCACAAATCGCAGTATGTGCGTTAAGCTGCTGGTGGAGTACATAGTTGCTAAGGGGAAGCTTGGACAAATACGCGCTCGGCTTTGAAGCTCCTTGGGATCCTATAAAAGACGGTACATTTCCCCACTGGTAAATCCAATCCTGCCCATGGCAGAAACAGCCGAGCGAAGAGGGCCCTCGGAACTTTGGATGCCGTCAAACATTCTCCTCCCGGGGTCCTTAATGAATTACTGGGGCCCTGGAGGCTTTCCTGTGGTTTACTACGAGTTGAGTGGATTTGCGTCAATGTGTCCCTACGCGAAGTGCCTTCCTGGACGTGCTAGGATCAATGATAGCAAAATGGAACTAACCTTACTTGGCACTAAGATCTTGTTAATACACTAGGATCTTTTTAATATCTTACCGATCGAAAGTACGGAGAACCGCGTGCCCAAACTCGTTAAACTTTCCTGTTCCTGGTTCTAGTTCCTGACAGACGGAACTTTATTAGCGTGATGTGGCGGTGCCATAGCTTCTTCTCGTCACGCCATGCTATTCGTTGATTGAACTACGTATAAGATTAACTCATAGGCAATGTCTTACCCCTGCTCGTTCCGTCCCGAGAAAGGCAAATCTCCATTCAACGCGAAATAGGACATATGACAAACTAAAGAGGTCGTGGTTAATAGAAACTGGTTGATATGGGCCGGTAGGAAACAAACTACTCCTGTAGCCTCAGAAGTCCGCGATTGTGTCTCGCTTAACCTACTAGCTCGCTACTATTGTTTTGGGGTAAGAAAAAGATGCAAAGAAGCACTCGCAAATGTGGGGCAGTTCCTGGCGTCCGAGAGGCTGTGCTCAGGCTTTGATATCTATTGGCCACATCCCTTCAGAAGTGGACCCTAAGCCGGAGACGTCGGGGATACCAGCATCAATACAAGGTAAAATAGCCGTGGGCGGACCCTGGCAAGACCCTGGGAGAAGACCCTATGACACTCTTTCGTGACCAGACCAAGATAAAAACATAACTCTTAAAAATACATTGCATGGCCGGTGAAATCCTTCCATAGCAGGGCATGGTTGTTATTTCTCGGATATCGTCCCACTTCCCCTGACGCTAGCTGACGGACATGCCGTCACCTTTCTTCCTTGGCTTTTGTTTCTTACTTTTTTTTTTTTTTTTTTGCTTCTGCGCCGATTATGGAATTCTCTTTTCTCCACATGGAGACGAGGGCTTTTGGTCGCTTCTGCTCGTTCTGACTTTGTTTAAATGAGATAATTGTCTAAAGCCATCTATCTCAGTTAACATAATCGGTCTTTATTGATTTTGGTATTGATTTTCAATCAAGGACCTTCCTACTCTGAGGAGAACTTGCTTTTTCAACGGTAAAGACGCGATGAAAATGCGGTAAACAGTGAATAGTTACCATAATTTTCTCGACGGCGTCTTTTGAACGAGCTGCGACTATTCGTTCTCCACTCACGCCACATGTTCCCTTTGTAGATGCGAGATTTCTCGGGTGGTGAGAGCCGACTGGCTCACACGAGCTTTGGCAAGGCCCGACAAGAAATATTGCCAAAACTCTTCCCCCTAACGTATAGGCCCTAGGAAATTGTCAGAATGTGAAAAGAAGCAAACAGTTACTTCTTAACAAGTCGGGCTTCCGACATAAGCTTCTTTTTCCACCTGTCTGCTGCGTCCCCGCGAGACCATTCACTCATTTTTCTTTAACTCTCTTTGTATCACTCTTTTTGTATCTCACCATGCATATAAGGACCTATCTATTGGCTCTGTGCCAAACAGCATGGCAGGTTCGTGGGGTTACAGCCTCTGTGTATCAGAGCCGTGTCCAAGAAGTTGGCACAGTTTTCCCAGCACCCGCTGAATATGGTACCTGGCAAATGGTTCCCTACGAGTACAAATACGCCACTGGTGCAGTTTATAGTACTGTCGCTGGTCTTGCCTATATCCAAACCATCGGAACAAGCTCTGGCAACGTCGAAGTACAGATTACCCCGACCAATTACAGATCCATTTATATCGATGACACCACTGCGTTGACCGAGCAGAACAACGGAGTGTGGGAATTGGCCGATTACAATAACGACGGAACACTCGATTTGATCTACATCCAGAACCGAAACACCGACTCTGGCAAGGTGGAGATCACTGTCGCTTCTGGTGCATCAAATTTCCAGTCTTACCTCGCGGAGAATGTTCAGACAGTGTTCGACGTGCAGGTCGATGGCCGCTGGCAGATGCTCGATCTCAACGGCGATGGCACTCTTGATCTCGTCTACATCAAGTCCAGCAACACGGCCTCCAACTACGCTGAGGTCTACGTCGCGTCAGGGGCTTCCCAATATGCCACGCTTATTAGCAAGACTGAATCGAGTCTTTCTATTAGTAACGATGGTACCTGGCTTCTGGCTGACTACGGTCTGGATGGAACCTATGATCTATTTTTCATCCAGAACATCAATACAGCCTCTGGTTATGTCGAAGTGAATGTTGCTTCGGGTGGTTCTGGTTATCAGACCATCGTCCAAAGTGTTCGCACCACCTTCTCAGTTGAAAACAATGGAACCTGGATGATGTACGACTGGAACAAGGACAATGTTCTGGACCTCATTTACATCAAGCAGGACAATACTGCGGGTTCTGTTGAGGTTCATGTCGCCTCGGGCGCCAAATAGGTCACCTTGTTTGCAAGATATAGTTCAGCCAGAGACCTGAACTTTCATTCATTTTCTATACCATTGACAATGAGATTCTCCAAGTGTTAATTTTGAGGTGGAATGATTGTCTACGCTTTAATTCTTCCTTTCTTTCATTCCTGTCTTTCCTATTTAACCTTGATCAATTCTTCTTGGCTTTCTTCTTCGTTATTCTAATTGATTATGCCTATTGAGACTTTACTATATACTATCTCTATATTCTATGGTTTGCTTTTCGCCATCCCTACGAGTATGAGTGGGAATTAGTGTCACGTCCACTTTCACGCCCACGTAAGAAACGCACTACCGCCAGTAGTTCGGATAGGAGAATAGTAGCGAGGGACGGAATAAAAGATTTTTTGTATCCCTATGCCTTAGTATAACTATATCACCGGATGGCAAATTGATAGGACAAGCCTTAGGGCTGGGGGTCTGGAACGGGCAATGATAAGAGTGAATGATGATGGAGAAGCAGCGTACTAGGTATGCCGAAAATGGATTGGTAGTAATATAATCTCTGGAGAGCTTATGGGAGTTGTCCCGCAATTCTACTCTAATCCAACCACACATGATTACAACTGCTTCTTGACTCTTTTCTCTATCCCATTTTACTAGGACAACACCACTATTCTAATAATGGCACTAGTCTTACTCGAGAGCTCCTATAGGAGTTACATATGTCTACCCTCCGATCTTAGTACCAAGTCATTAACCATATAATGCCTTGCTAGATAATATATCAGTTTAGGAACGGATGGTGATGAGGGGTGATGTCCATAAATTCGGCACCCGTATTATATATCGCGGCTCAAATGAAGCGTTATATTACATGCTGGCTTGAACAGCAAGAGCTATTACGCCCCTGAACACCGGGGAAATCCGGTATATATGGGGGCATGGATTTTGTCTTTATTACAATTGCCATGCTACATCAGATTTCAACTATTGAGTTGTCTCGATTAATGTTGTATTGTTCAATAACATATATCCACTTGAAACCTCCCGTAGACCTTCATCAACACCTGGTGGCCTTCCTGATCGACTCTATTCACCTCTCCATGTGGGCAGCGCTATTGATCTTCCACCCGTCCTCTCAGTCGCGAGCGGTATACACTTCTTGGTTCCTCACAATATATTCCTAATTTACTAGATGACTAGTACATACGACCATAGGGTGTGGAGAACAGGGCTTCCCGTCCGCTCAGCCGTACTTAAGCCACACGCCGGTTAGTTAGTAGTATGGTGGGTGACCACATGCGAATCCTAACTGTTGTATGTTTTTTTTTTTTTTTTTTTTTTTTTTTTTTTTTTTTTTTTTTACTTGGTATATGTTGAAATTTATGAAGTGTTATGCAATCAGAGTCCAACAGGATTGGGTGAGAGTGACTGAAACAGGGCGTGGAGGCGCAAATGTTTATGGCCGCATCTAAAACATAAAAACGCCAGCACTGCGTGCTGGTCGAAGCGGTCAGAGACAGAAAAGGAAGCATATGAGTAAGGCGTACGAGTACGCTGAATTGACAAAACAGAAGAATCAAGACATCGTATTGTGACTGCGGTTGTCGGGGGAAAAAGAAAAGGCAAGATATGAAGAAGAGAGGGAGAGGCGCTGATCTATCTAACAGCGGGGTCGTCTGATCGCGCCACAAAATCCAACGGGGCAAATAATCCAAAGTCGACGTAAACATTCTTATCCCTAAGAGTCGATTTAATCACCTCGATCACTGAGTAAGAACTCGTAGTTTGGTGGAGAAATAATCATTAACATTTTATGCCAGAACATCCTCCTATCTCCGATAAAGTTTTAGCTTATATATTAAGATTGAGGCTAAGAAAACATAAATTTCAACGCTTGGAATAAGAGTCCCACAGACCCGAGCTTCCAAGCCAGTCCAAAAATACTTCATTCAAGCCCTGTCGCAACAACTCATCGCCCATATAAAAGTTTCGTTGCTTACTCCACACGTGCGTACCAAGGGTACTTTGAAGCGGACGTTTCATGCGAATTGTCTCGATGGACATTTGAAGATCCATCCAATAAAAACTTTCTGGCATCCAACCTCGTTCCTGGTCTGTGGCAGATGCGAGACTCTCGAAGTCGGGCAAATCCTGAACAGCTTCCCAAATCCTAAAGACATCATAATATGCGGCCTTGCCGTATTTATTCAAGATCTGCTGCTGGTATTCTGGAGAGACCATCTGACGAGAAGTTCGGTGTAAGTACTCAATCTGTTGAGTGATGATACTCTGCAGCTCCTCTCGTTGGTAAGAGGAGCTTGACTCATCCCCGGCCTTATCGAGATAATGAGTGATTTCGTCTCGCAACTTTCGCAGGCGATACCGAGTCCACTCAGGGTAGAGCGAGCCGAGATCCGCATACGGTCGGATATTGGTAATGTAGCTAGAGTCGTAGACGTTCGGTAATTTTGAGCGATAAGAAGTGATTGTAGAAATCCGTTCTTTTACTCCCTTGGCACGAGCGGCCAGGTGCTGAACTTCTCCTCCTTGCAGCATCACTGCGTGTCCGATCTGTGGACCTTCGACCTGCTTGGATTTTAATTTGACTGCCTTCCTCTTATACGACCGAGCTGCACTCACCTTTTGGGCTTCACCATTTCCCTTTTTTATGTATGTTTCCCCACCGACCATACCATCGGTCTCACTCAGCATTAGCACACAAACATAAGGATAAGAGTCATAGCTTCACAAATCAGTCCTTTACTTTCAACCAAGATTAGACGAGAAAACTTACTGCCAGGGTATTATAGAGGTTTCATCTTTCAAGGGGTCATACGCTCGCTCTTCAGGAGTCAACTCGAGTTTCTCTACTGACGGCTCAACCTTCAGGTTATTGGCCATCTCTGCAATCGTAGCTCCCTCGGCCTGGATGTTTGTATGTCCGATCTCAGTGGACATGACCACCTCTAAAGGTACTCCAGAAGCATCGGATACTATTCTCATTGTTTCAGGGTGGGTCCAGAAGTCCCGGATAAATCGAGAATGTTTGGCTGCATCACGAAGAACCAAGGTCCCGGGAAACGGGGATCTTGCGCACTTTTCAATCACATTCTGCTGGAAAAGGGCCTTTCTATAGGATCTGACGCCTTGTGGTGACAATAATGGGAATGGCACTGTCCCTGCAATAGGGGATGCGCTTGCACTTGAACTCAAAAGCAAATCTTGCATCGTTATCTTCTTTTCTGGTGGGACATAACTGAGATGGACCTATTTCGCAATGCCTTGAGCGTGGCCATTCTAGTCAAATTGAAAAGAGGGTAATAACACGACATACATACTGTAGGATTGAAAGGCTCCTCCTGAACGAAATCCGAGGTGGAGTATCCACTGAGTGGACGCGATTCACTCAAGAGATTCATCATGTGTGGGAAATGCCTCCTTAGTAATAATTTATATAGACGGGTTCAGATTGCCTTAATCTCGTCCCCCAAAATAGCAGATCAAAGATGGTTGTGAGAGAAAAATCACTAGCGTAATTCATTCAGGAAGAACTGATTTTTAAAGGGATCCGTGCTGCCGAGGGCTATATTTACTGCTACACCCCAGGTTTATACCCACACGCTATTCCTGTCCGGGTAATTCGGTCCCGCGACACATATCACAAGGGATCGCTTCTCCGCTTCTAGTTATCTAAACAACGGACAGGTTCCTTTGATACACTCGCATATCTGAGAAGTACCGTCTGCCGGTACTTTGTTTCCCAATGCTCTTCAATGGCTGGCCGCTCGCATTAAGATGCCTCTACCGATCGCCGTATCTACCGACATTTTCGAAACATCCAATCTTATCTCTACCACCGTTTGATAAGAATAAAAACTAGCATTCGTCAGTCAAATTAACCCCGCAATCCGTGTCGGAGGTCTTGAAAAAACCAGAGATACGGCTCTACCGACGGTAAATTTATTCTCCTTATCTTAATAACAACGAAAAACCCGCGACTGAAGAGGATTTTGAACATTTCATTTCTGAGTCGAAAGTCGCAAGACTTTGTATCTCAGTATGGTGGCTGAATCTTTAGCAGGAACACATGATCTCGAAGCACCTTCTTCAACCTTGGAGCAATTCGCCCTGAGTGAGGACACGAAGCATTCGATACTTGATCAGCACAACGAGGAAAATATCGCGACCAAATGGGAGATATGGGCATATTATGCGTGCGTTGCCTGCTCTGTCATTCAGTGGAGGCTTTGAGGGCTGATCGTGACTATAGTTATTACGTTGGAAATAACGGTCTATCGTTATTCAGTAAGTGTGAAATGTGCTCTTGAATCTGCAAAACATGCTTTCTACATCCGGACCAAAATGATGGACATTAGAATGTTTTTTAGAGATCGTTGGAATTTTCATGTTGAACAACCAGAGGGTTATCAACAGAGAGGAGAGAGATGCCCAGGGACCTCAAAAGAACCATCTTCACCATGATCAGACTATAATTGTGCACTAACTGAGGAAAATTACAGACTTTGCCCCCACAGCCTTCCAAAATCTTCTATATGAAGCCGCGGGAGACTCCAATATTCTACTCTTCGCGGGGAAATTCCGCTCAGTCGAAAGCATCGTCCTCCTATGCAATGGAATTTCTTTCGCTATTCAAATCGTGATATTTGTAGTGATCGGCAGCTTTGCTGATATTGGAAACTGGCGTCCAAACATCCTGATTGTTCTCTCCATCATTGCCTATGCCATAGGGTTTGCCTGGTTAGGCGTTCACACCAAAGAAAAATGGGAGATAGGTGTTGGACTGTACATCGTGGGACTTATTGCCTACCAGACCACACTGACCTTCTGGACAGCTGCATTCCCTTCACTTGCGCGGAATAGTGCTGAGATGAGAGAAAAGGCTAGTGATTTTGCGCATGGCAATATTTCCCGCGAAGAGTACGACTATGCCGATACCATGAAGAGAAGCCAGCTTGCAAATGTTGCATTCTATGTTCAGTCTGTTGCCGAAATTGTCATTCTTGCTGTCATAGTTGGCATCATGTTCGGTATTGATGTTAATACTAGTGAAGCAAAAAACAATTGGGGCCTGAGCGTCCTCATTGCCTTTGCGAGTGGTGTGTGGCTTCTTGTTTCCTTGCCGTGGTTCCTTCTGGAAAAAAAGCGACCTGGACAAGATCCTGGCTCTAAAAATATCATCATGGCAGGCTTGTCGCAACTTTACTTTGCAATGAGTCAGGTGTGGAAGCTGAAACAGAGCTTACTCTATCTTATCGGTGCGTATGGCTCCTATCTCCTTGTTGAAAACTGCGAAAATTGACCAATGACGTCAATTACAGGATACTTCTTGTTGGGCGATTCTTTGAATACTACGGTCACTGTGATATCGACTTTACAAAATAGCTTGGTGGCATACAATACATTACAATTGACATATCTTTTGATTGTGGGGATTGCAGCTCAGGTGCGTACGACTGACTTAGTGACGAGTGGAATGATATTCTAACTTGAATCTTCAGGCCGTTGGCATATATCTTTTCTGGGCTATTCAACAGCGATACCGTCTTGGGACGAAGACTATGTTCAACTTCATCGCTTTCGGTATTGTTCTCCTGGACGGCTGGGGAATGATAGGAAATTGGACAACCAAGTTTGGCTTTCACCATGTGTGGGAGGTCTGGGTAAGTTACCCTATTAGAAGAACGGCTGAATACTTGCTATTCCGGGATTACTCATGATCGCTTTTAGGTCTACCAGGCATTCTATGGATTGTTGATCTGCCCTTGGTATAGTTACTCCCAGATCATGATCTCAGAGGTGACGCCCCGAGGGTACGAGTTCCTTTTCTTCAGTCTTTTCAGTATTGTTGGAAAGACGTCGTCCTTCATAGGTCCTCTCGTATCAAGTGCAATCATTGATGCGACACCCTCTGGCAATGTGTCTGCACCATTTTACTTTTTGTTTGGGTTGAGCTTGTTGAGCTTTAGTATCTTGGTCATTGGAGTAGATTTGAAAAAGAGCCGGGCGGAACAAGAACAATTCCTAAGGAAAAAAGAGCGGAGATGAGCTAAAACTCATTCATGTTCCAACTGAAGAATACCGAATGAGGGAAACCGGTATTTTGGAATTACAATTATTGGATTTGAATGCCCAACCCAGATTTCTGCAAATATTGAAAGGTCATCTTCTTCATTACTTCTTGGGGGCGTGGGCGAACCATTGCAGGCCTCTAATGGAAGGGGTAAAGAAATATTCACCGCCTCGCTGATCCACCCAAGGACTGGTACCAAGGTCAAGCTTGTGGGTCTTATCTTTATTCTCCCCATCGTAGAGACAGATGTGACCTTCGGGATGATCTTTACGCTGTCTCTGGTTGATGAACGGATCCATTCCTGGACCATGCTCCGAAGCTCTCTTCTTGGACGTAGGGAAAACGCTGTTGCTGGCCCAACCTTTATGATTTCAGCAATGGTCAAAGAGGTGATAAAACGTGAGGACTTACGAGTCATGAGAAGGTTGAAGCCATCTCGAATATCACTCTGGTAGCAGGTGAAATACATACCACGGCTCTTGGTGGTCTTCTCCGTTTCATCTTTGCCAAGCTCAGGACCGAACGTGATACCTCGGCGCAAGATGACGCTAGCGTCTTCCTTGTCGGGCTCCCGGTCAGGCTCTTCGTCACTGTCGTCAACCTCAGCCTCAACACCCGGGGGTCTGCTGGTATCATTCTTTTGTGGATCAGTGAATTGCCCCTCGACGAAATCATCATCATCGCCAATATCGCCCTTATGGTCCGCTCTGGTGCGCATTTTTCGGGCGTGCGCGGCAAAAGGGCATCCCAAAATGCTCTGTTTAGGTCGAAAATCGAAGTCATTTCTGAATGCAAGCTTTGGATCGTCGTGGTCCGGAGTCAAAGCCACAGGTGCACCTAAAGAATATCAGTGTGGTGTGTGAAATGAAGAAAAAAGGGTCACAATACCACTCTTCCAGCGGCCCATCATGTGGGCGGCCAGCTTCTCGGCACCATTGTCTCCCTGATAGTTTTTGATTTTTCTTGCGGCATCCTTGACAAATCTTAAAGATGATCAGCAGGACATCCCTTCTCATGCAGGAATAGAGCATACCTGTTGAATTCAGGAACTTTCTCGTCTAGCTGACGGAAAACAAGGAAACTGCCTTCATAGGACCAAGGGGGCATTTGTTTTCTTCTTGGGTCCCCGTCATGACCAACAAAAATGTACCTATCTAAATTAGGTCAAAACCTTGACAACAGTTGAGATGCCTTACCCTGGAGGACAAGAAAGCGGCTCACGCGGCCCTGGCTCTGGATCTAATCCTTTGATTCGAGGCTGTGAGATATGGTCCTCGAACCCAAAGCTGAGTACAATGTCAGTACATTGAAACACGTCAATGAGTAAATTTCCACTTACTGCTCCCGGCCGCGAAGGCGTCCTGGCCGACGTTGTCTATTCTTCTCGACTACCAACTCCAGACTAGCCTTGTTCGCATCTCTCAGATGGAACTTGTTCTTGATTTTCGCGATACCTTCATTCAATTTTGTCTCGTCCGAAGCAGCTACGATAAAGACCAAATCGCAGCGCCAACTATCATCTTCAGAGTTGTGTCCAGGCGGAGGCTTGAACTCTGGGAGTGTTCTCTCCGAACAGTCAGCACCCTCGAAAATAAGATCGCTGTACATTCCTTTCTCGTAGAGTGCGTCGTCAATGTCTGCTCTACCCAGCTGATGATCCACATTTTACGTCAGCATGTTCTTCCTTGCAGACTGCGCTATCCAATAGATCCAAAAACAGCAAGCATACCTTCTCCAACCCCTTCTGGGTAAATGCGACATTCATACACATAATGGGAATGATGGGCTTGCCAGCTTCCTTTGCCTTAGCAATATCTGCCAGATGCTTTTCACTCCCTAGGCCAGTGGTGATATCTTCGATAATATCGCTGAGATCAAGGCTGAATCTCTCCACGTCGGTGATTTTGTAAAAGAGGTAGGACTCTAATTCTTTCGGCATGCGCGGCCAGATGCCGCCTTGGATGTTACCCTTGATCACTGGGTTCTCCAGAACCTCCGCCATCGTGTCAAACTTTCTTTTTCACAATTGAAAGAAAAATAGGCTTGGGCACGAATTTTGATGTGAGGAAAGGTCAGAGGGAAAAGGTTGAGGAAGAGTAACAATACAGACAGACAAATTATACCACGAGCCATCACATCACAATTCCCAGTCAGGCGTTTGAGGTCGGTCTATTGGGACAGCTTGCTTAACTGCCTCCTTCATGAATCTTTGCTGCCCGAAATTGCGCTCGGCAACTTCGATTGCTTCAGAGATCTGATTATCGCTGCGGGAAATAAACGGTTTCAAATGATCGAAATGGAACTTGCCAACACGAAGCTGGGTCGCCAGTTCTTCTAGGTAAACCGATCTCGCCTTTGGGGGCACTTTCTGAATTTTGTATGGGCCAGCCCATCGCGTTTCCAGTTTCCGACCCTTCACTTGGTCGAGCACTGCCTTTCTCAGGAGCACCAAATTCCCGGGCCTGAACGGTTTGGGCAACTGATGGCAAGCCAGCATGGCGTTCCGCTATTGGTAGTGAGTTTGTACCTTCTGGCGCATATGATCCAATCGCTCGGCTGCCGTGCCAACTGCTTGACTAAGATTCAAGTCTCCTTCCGATGCTGGCAAGTGCTCGATGTCCTCACGTAAGGCTTTCGCCAATACTTCAGTGCTCAGTTCCGATCGACCAAAGAATTTGGGTTGGAACCCCAGGAGCACTTCCGACGGATTGAACCCAAGACCCAGTTTCTGTGAATTGATTGCATTTAACGCCATCGGAACATACAAATCCCAATCGACCACCACATGAACATTCGCCGCAGCCATCGCTCGTAAAATATGAATCAATTGTTATACCAGTCTTTCCGAGAGACCGACGGCCCAAGGCGCTCGAACAGGAGCCAGCAGATGCTTTGTTTTTAGATAATTCATTTTGATAGTTATGGCGTTGATGAGTAAGTATTAATGTACCATTCGCAACCATACTCCGTCAGCTTTTTGGATGTATTTGGTCCGCGCTGACCATGGTGAAATGCACCGGGTGATCACGCCTGCTTTCTCCATCAGTGGTAAATTGCATCTCTACCAGGTAACCTCCTCCGGGGTAAAGATTGGGCGTTTCGCGGCAATTGGACGCATATGCGGGTGGGTTGGGATTCGGTGCGGCTTTCCCTCGGGACGTGGCTCATGATCAGTCTGAACCCGCTGAGTAGCCCTGGTAGTCCTAAATTTTAATATAAATAGACCCTTATCAGTTCGTGGTACCTTTGGAACTGAAATTCTAGCATAGAGGTATCCGATGTAGGCGGGTGTGGACGTCGTCCAGTAGCGACGACAACCTCTGCGGGATTTTCATATGCCTGAACTATTACTGAATGGAGATTCGCGCCATCTAGTCGGTACGATGCGTTAATATCGACAACAGCGTCTATCAGTTCGAATGAACTTCTTGGTTCCGTTCTAAAAGTCTCTGGTCGTGCGCTGGTAGGTATTAAAAACGTTTGCCGGGTTATATTCTTGGCCGGGAGCCCCTCCATAATCCTCATGCGTAATGTCTTCCACTCTAGCCTGATGAACTGCGACCGGGGGGTTTATTCCCAATTGCTGAGACAGCGGAGGGTCAATCTAAACCCGACCCTGGAACTGGCGATTCAATTCAGCATTTCGAATCCGTTGGCGTTCCGTATCAGGGAGGGGAGGGTTTGTGCATCCTGGAGAGCGATGGCCGGCAACTCCTCAATTCCAGCAAATAAAATCGTTGGTTCGCTGAGCTAGAGTTATACCCGCATTTCCGTTGATCGGTCGGTATGGTTGATTCTGAATCTGCTGAGTCTGAGGTTGGGATTGGGTTGGTTGCCAACTCGATCTCGTGGGTTTGAGGGAATTAGATAACGTGGCTTCCATCTTTTCTAGCACGCTAGCCATCCGGTCGGTGTCTGATCCTTGGCTCGGTGTCACTTTTGTTACCTCTCCCTGACAGCTCCGAGCAGCGCGGATAATCGCTTCAAATGTCACCTCTTGCTTGAAATATACACCAGTTTCAATGAAGGTTAAGGCGAATTGCACCGTGATTGGATTAGAGAGTCCTCGAGCCCATAGGTCATGAAAGGTCTCCGTCAATTCAGTTAGTAAATGATGCTTTAATCCCATGCCCTTGTCCATATACTGTTGGAAGGTCATGGCTCCCTGCTTTAACGAACACATCTGAGTCACATATTCGCGGGTGTCCTTCTCTCGGTCGGTCCATGGGAACCGTGTTGTCAACGCCGTAGAGAGGGTCACAAATTCTTCAGCCTCAGCTCGACTCAGACCATCCACAAAATCCTTGGCATCCCCAGTACATCCCATCATCACCGATGTTACTCTGGCCTCATTCAAATCATCTCCTTGCAATCCAGTTCCAACCCACTGCAACTTACAGCTGCTCAGAAAGGTTTTGACATTATCACCTGGGTTTCTAGCGAATTTCATCGCTGCGGTATTGAAAGTTGACATCCTGACGGTTGACCTGACGGCCACTACTGGAACTGAGCGATTGCTCTCGTCACCAGTTTTCAAATGATTCAGACTTTGGAAAAGAGCTGTCAATTCAAGGAATTCGGGTGTAACTAGACTTGGAGACTGTCTCTCTGACTGCTGAGATGCAGGCTGACGATGATCAGAGGTGGTGGTTGATGAAATTGAGAAGGAGGATTTGCAGCGGTAGGTGTCAAAGTAATATACAACGGCAGGTGCGGTTGTTGAGACATGTGATTCTGACGTTGCTCCTCGTCTAGACTGCTCCCTACGTGATGTACCCCGCGACCGTCTGAATTCAGGAGACGGAGGAAGTGGTGTTGAGCGCTGGTTCAATTGCACCTTTTGACGGACCGACACAGGATGAACCGGAACAGGGATCTGTGAGTTTTGAAGCATTCAGGCTTCCCTCGAACCTTGCCTGCTTGTACTCTAATAGGCTGCCTGCCACCCGCAGGTCCCACTTGGAGCTCCACAACAACAGCACAGGAACAGGGTGCAGATCCGAAGGCCCCAGTCTGATCACCAAATGACAAGTTCCTGCAAGGGGGTTCAAAATAAACTGAAATATGGCAATTGGGGATTGGATTCAATTTGGATTTGATTGCTGGCAATAGACCTGAACTCAAAAAACAGAAAACAGAAAGGTTGAACTTCTCAAAACATCATAAAACTAGAACCGCACTTAAAACTAACTCATCACCTGACTTCGCGCCCGACCGAATTATCACCGCAATTTTCAGGCAACTATTTTCAACCGCCCTAATATTGACTGATTTCTCTCGGTATGGGTAATTCCAGTATTCTAACCTTTCTGCCGGCTCAAAAATTCAGACCAAAAACGAAAAAACGAAAGCGAGGTTTGTCCCTAAAAAGATTCGGTACCCACCCACTAAACCCATTTGGCAATAGTACTAAACCCAATGTAGCTCTTTCACTATACTGCATACTTACTACTAACTTCCCACGCCCAGCTCTTCGTGTAATCCTCTATTCACACTCAAACTTCACTTCCTTTACAAGACAACTCCTACTACTACTAACTTCCCACGCCCAGCTCTTCGTGCAATTTTCCAAACACACTCAAACGTCACTCCCTTTACAAGATAACTCCATCAATCCACCATGGAAGCCATCAGCGCAGACCAAATCAAGAACGCAATAGCTCGCGCTGTGAACAATCGCAGCCGGGCTTACAACTTCTCTTACGCGCTGAGTATTCGATGGGAGCGAGACAACACGAATGCCGCTGCAGACACCGATAATTTCCAGACGATCCTGAGCACACTTAATCTCGACCAAGCTCAAGTTGAGATCTTGGCCGAACAGGAACGGACTCCGGGCTGGACATTGAATGACGCAATTCGGTCCATTTTCCGACGCGCAACAGAGGCACCCGGCAAATCCATCGTGCTTATTCACTATGCCGGGCACGGAGAGGTTAGAGGTGAAAAGCTCTGGGCTGTCGAAGGCCCATCCCGCCGAAGCATATGCCTCCAAGATTACATCGATACTGTGGCGGAAGGACATGTCCAGTACTTCGACATCGCAGATACAGACGCTGTCTTCGTCCTAGATTGCTGTTACTCGCATGTGGCAACGCGAACGTCAAATCCCGCGACTCGCGTTGTCGAAGTTCTTTCTGCGAGCGATGAGTATACTCCAGTGGCCCTTCAACCACCACGCAATACCTTAACTGGAAAGTTACGGGGCGAGATTGCTCGGCGTAAGCGAGACGGTCACTACTTTGTGACACTTTCGGACGTAATGGCGACTATTCGAGAGAATAGCTCGGTTGTTAAGCCAACACATCATGTCAAGTTAGGGGTATCTATCTGCTTCCCTTTCACTGGCGTCACACGCATTGACCCGAACACGATTGCCCCTACGCTGCGTGCAGTCTTTTCGGTTCGCATTGCCGAAACTATGACCCGGGAAACGCTGGACAGATTTCTCACTTGGATTGAGACCCTCCCGCCTGGGTTCGCTATTGAACTCGACGGGATCTACGCCACATCCTCGACTCTCCTGATATTCCAGAGCGCATATGCGCTGTTCACAAATCTTGCTAGGTATCACGGTGTCAACTTTATCTCGGATGTGACAAGCGCGAACCGCCGCAAACATCTCGGCCAAGAGCAGCGACAGGAGGCTCCTTCATCTACTTTGAAAGAGAACATCCCATTCTCTAAACGCCCCAAGCCATGAATTTATCCAGGAAGTACTTGCTGTTGTGGGATTTTTCGGATGCACTGGAGTTTTGATTCGTTATAAGTTAGCCCTGTGGCGGTTGAAAGTCAGGTGACGGATTAGCTTTTATTGGGATTGCAGTTTTTGTATTTCTTAGGTTATCATCCTTCCTGTTTGCTGTCTTTTGAGTTCGATTCTATTGCCCGCAATTAAATCCAAATTGAATCCAATCCCCAATTGCCACAATCACATCATTTTGAGTTCCCCGTTCAGGAGTTTGTCAGCGGTATGAAAGGCGGTGAGAGACATGTAACAGCAGCACGTGAATAAGGCCGATGCTCTTAGTAACTCATCTCCCAATCAAAATTTTACCTCAAACCTTCTGTGCTATAAGTGTATTGTCATCGTATTTCCTCGTAGTCTGTGGATTGCATCGTATTTATGCTTCAAGAGCAGACCAAGAAGTGTGTTATGTGTGTTTTGCGTCAATTAATTAGACTATCCTTCTTTAACCAACCACTACACGTGCAATACACTCCTCGAGCTCTCCCAGGAAATTCTTCTTTGGTGACATATTTTAAGCGTGAGAAAATTTATAGCAGACCGAGGAAAGGGCTCTTAGCTGTTGGTTTATATGTTTTTCTAAACCTAGGCAAGGTCGGTGTACTAGGCGGGGTCGATCACCCCCGTTCTCACCTCTATCCCCCAGTCTGCAAAGTTCTCACCTATATCACCCACACTCACCTAGCGTAAGTCTGTCGCCGCTCTAATCTACCGGGGCTTTAGAGACAATTGACCATGCGGATATAGTGTGGCTTAAGTACGGCTGAGCGGACGGGAAGCCCTGTTCTCCACACCCTATGGTCGTATGTGCTGGATTAACAATTCAAGCAATATATATCATCAGAGAGCAGGAAGTGTGCGAGTGCGCTATTTACCACCGAAGGTAGGGACCCGAGTGGAAAAACAGTAGGGATAGGGTCGATCGGGAGGAAATTATGGGATCTGGACATACGTTTATGGATTGCCCGAAACAAATCTCTCAAATTGAGATCAAGGTATGCATTAGCAGACGCCATTGTCGTCATTGGCACCCAAAAGTTGCAAGAATGTGTAGCAATCATTACAAGGTGTCCTTTCAAGTCCATATCAATTTGTAAAAGTCATTTAAATCTCATCCATTAAGATATATTGAAGACTCCCTAGAAAGGTAAGAAAAGACCGCAAGTACATAAACCGTCCCACCGATGACCTGGTAGTTGGCTCCTACTAGCCACTAGCATGCTCAACATGACAAAGGTCGCAGCTTGACAAACACGTGGCCTTTGTTTACATATACATTGCGATTCAATTTAGCGGGATGAAGTAATCAACTTTTAAACCATGCGGTGACATTGAATTGTGGGATTCATTCCGCCCCTATACCTAATGGCTCTTGAAAGTCGGCATGAGGTCTCTTGGCGACGTCTGCTACCTAGCAAGAGATGGATGGACTTCAATGTCACACATCTGGGGCGAAACCGCTGCAACTTAAGATGGTGAAGGCCCCATAGACGTTCTTGCTATGATGGTACCAAGGGTCTGAAGGGCAGGATTGGATCGTGTATCATGGCGGCTTTCGTTATATGGATCAAATCTTCGTTTCCCAGAAAAGAGTCCATGGAGCATTTGGCGGCAAACCCCCACAATTAAATATAAAAGTCGTTCTATTCAACACCCTGGAGTATCTTACCATGAATAGGCGCGAGATCATCGATTATGTTTGCAAATGGAGGTCCGGTACCTGCTTCTTGAAAATGCGGTGCGCGATGAAAATCCTGTAGCATTGGAACTAGCATGTCGTTGATTACGGCTACCGCCTGGCTGAGCGGGTTGAGCGTCCGTTATTTGTCGCCTTCCACCATTGGGGTGCTCTTTCTGTTTCTTGATTGCTCCAGAGCTGTCCTGACCTCTTAGAGCCTCCTTTGATCTTTTACAGTGTCGCTGATAACCTACTTAGGCACAAGGAACACCTGCTACAAGACCTGATCGACAAAGGATTTGACGAGTACACACAAGTTACTGCAAATCTTACGAGCAAGCTCATGTTCCGGCACCTGCTGAAGATGGTGTTATTGATTCAGACCAGTGCGGATAAAGCTGGAATATATATTTTGAACAAGAGCCAAGAATTTTGATTGGCAAGTTTGTAGGAATGTTAGGATACATCAGTCAATATACTTGTTCTGGGACGGCCTTACGTGTACCCGAAACGTAAGTCATCAGTGGGCGTCAAAGTAAAGTTGGATTTGCTGTCAAGGCAAGCGGGATTATTGAAGAATCTTGGGATCGGAGGGGGCTTGCTGGGTGATATACTGAATTCAAAAGGGGTCCAGCAGCAGAGGCATGAAAGGCTATGGCCTAAGACGTAGGGCGGGCGTGGAAAAGGACAGACGTTACTCTAAGCTACTGATATGGTTAGTTAGCTCAGTCGCATAATAAAATTAGAAACGCGGGTGACTTGCACCTCGAACATCAAGACTTACCAAATTCATCGATAATCTTAAAATGGTCAACCCAAGGTCAGATTGATCATGGAATTACCAAGATGACTACATCTACGAACGTGCGAGATAGAACGTGCGTATCAGAATGATATAAACAGTGAGTCTGAGTCTATCTAGAGAGAGAGGATATAGGTACTGCGGTCACCTAACCTAACACTATATAAGGGGGGCCCAAAGGGTTAATCTAAGAACTCTCATGACGTGCATCTCCCCAAAAATGGCCGCGCGCGCATACCTACGGTTTACTACGATTAGAGGCGTGAAGTGAATCAAAAGAGCACCTAAGCCAAAGTAAGAACATGTTAGTCGCTGGTTCACATTTTATTATTATTATGACAAGTCCTACTCTAACGGAACCTTGGAACATGATTCCCGTCCTTTGCTTCCTCAGCAGACCTGATCAATGATATCAACTATGGAACAGCCCGGAGGAGTCCGTCCTTTCATGGCTTGACCGGCTTCGATTTCGTCTCAATAGATACTCGCATTCCTTTACGCCTTGGGGCAGGCATTGGTGCGAAAAAGTCGCCATACGCATCCCAATCCTCGAGTTCAGTTTCGAAAAGCTTCATTTCGAAACCGCAATCGGGACCAAACAGCCGTGCGATCGACAAGTATAGGTCATGATATGCCAATTCCATGCCTAAGCAAAGTCGTGCACCACGACCCCAAGGTTGTAGATATTTCAGAAGCTGCTTGTGGTCAGACTCTCTTAGCCAGCGATCAGGGAGAAACGCTTCAGGGTCGGTGAATATTGACGAATCCTTGTGGGTGTCGTTCAGGTTGATCGATATGTATGTCTACTCCAGGTTTAGCAAGCTGTTATACATTGAAGAATATTTGATCCGATGAGCACAAACCCCACGAGGTAAAAAGTACTGCTGGTAATGAAGGTCTACGACCTCCGAGAATCGAGTCAGCCGTCCAGATACGGCGTTGCTTGTGCGCAATGCCTCATTTATCACAGCCGTAAGATAAGGCAGGTATCGGATATCCTGGTATTCTAACTTAGCTCCTTTTGCGTTGCGGGCTTCTGTGAGTTCTTTGAGGAGTCTGGAAAGGATTTCCGGATTAGAAAGAGCGTGATATGTGACAGACGTCAAAACGGTAGCAGTTGTTTCCTGTCCAGCAAGGATTATACTTCGGCACTCTGCCAAAATACGAGGAAAGCTCTTTTGTTCTAGCGAAAGATCTGCCTTGATCATACTCTGCACCATGTCCTGCGCCGCATCAAGCGATGAAGGGCGCTTCTTCATGGAGTATTCGGCACATTCGCTGACCATCTTTCAAAAGTTTAAAAGGTCAGGTCTCATTGACAAAGAAAGCAGGGGCCTAGCCGCAGGAAAATGACTTACCGCCATAAAAGTCCCAACTGCAGGGTTGAGCTTCCTTGAGATGAATTGCGGCAGCGACTGCAAGAGCTTGAATGGGAGCCCGAAAAGATATCTGTTAAATATACCGGTCCGGCCGTAGTCCCTGACAGCCATATTGAAATCCTCGCTGAAATGGGCGTCATCCAAATTACCAAATGCCTTCTGGAAAGCGAAACCTGTTGCCACGTCAATCGCAAGGCATCGATAGACATCGCCCAAGTTGACAATTTTGCCAGAGGAAGCAAGAAGGCGGTCATGAAGCCTATCGATCGTGGCCTGAACATTGGGTTCGCTTTGGGTAATGTTTTGCGTAGAGAACCAAGTTGTCAGCGCCTGACGGTAAATACGGTGGAGTTGGTCGGACTCTGTAGTGTTGGTGCTGAGAGTGCTGCCGAAACTCCTATAATACCACTTAGGCTTGCACGCCTTTGACGACAACTTATAGATGTCGTTCCAGTCGGGGTCCTTAATGTGAACTTCCCATGGGTTGATTCGCACGATTGGGCCTGCATAGCTGATAAGCAAATTGCGTTACCACCAAGAACTCGATGTTTATGACGTATCGACTGACCATATACCTCGTGCAGTCGTGCTACTTCGACCCAATACCGACCCCCGCCTTCTTTTGCCAGCTGAAAATAGGCCTCATACGCTCCTGTGGCGGCAGCAAGGAAAGGCCCTGGGACTCGTGCGAGCGGGTGAAGTGTCAGGCGGTAAGCTACAAGGAACAATAAGGCCACCAATCCAATCACCAAGAGCAATGCTTGAATCTGAAACATTCCGTATATCAGACTCCCGAAAGACATCATTTCAAAGTTGCAGTGATGCACTATGCTGTTGAAGCCCTATGACTGTTTAGGCGTTAACATATAAGCTCATTATGCGTGTCGCTTTGATATTTGAGGCCGTGAAATGGCTAGCGCAAAGGGCACCTACCCCGCTTCAACTTGTCAACAAAGCGAGTTTGCGACGAGTTCGCTTTATTTGACCTGGCATTGAAATCGCTGGTATCAGACAAAAGTCTTGCAATCTATCCATTTGACTCTCGGGGTGTCCAGCTCCATATTTGTGATAGCAGGCGCAAGCTTCGGCATGCATACGGCATTCCCTTGTTATTTTTTTCTAATCTTAGTATTCACGCGTGAAACCACGTGACTCGGTACGCGCAGTTTGCTCCGGGAGCAGTATCCGGAGATCTTTTGTGGTCGGCTTTATTTGCTCAAGAGTCTTGCAAATTCAAGGTGGTGTAATAATTGGGCCTTAGGATCTTTTATCCTAAGGTGTAAAGATGAACTCTGCTTAAGGTGTGGAGGCCCTCAACACGTTGGGTAGGATCGTCATCTCATCTCCCTGGCCTATATCACCCTCGAGCATCCTAAAATAAATTCAATCACTGTTCAATCACTGCTTAAAGCAATGTTCATATCGAATGCTCCTAGAGAATCAGCCGAAATTATTATGTGAGTGCCGTAGGCTGAGCGGGCGGGAAGGCCTTTGCTCCACACCCTATGGTCGTATGTACTGGATTAAAGTGTATAATGAATAATATTATAACACTCTGAATTTCCCTTTGCTTTGGCTTAGATTGAGATTTACACATCCATGATGAACCTATCATTTTATGTTTCAATTTCACTAAAGTAGTTCGGTATTATTGCCAGGATCTTCCAGTACTCACGCTATTTAATGAGGAAGCTCACTAGTAAACGATAGACTGAGCTATACGTTGTCTTCAATGCGCAGGTTTTGGCCTTCACTCCTTTTGTTCCATCCCTTCTCCTTTTTCGTACATGAACCATCCTGATACTGGCTGGATGGAATCAATTACAGCCTCTTCACCCGGAGGATGCGAACTACCATCATTCTGATCTTTTGTACCATCCGACAAGGATACACTTAGTGTTGCCTGAATTCCGATAAGTCCAGCGACCATCATTGTGCTGTATTCGACTCCATTGTCGTTGACAGTAACCGGAACCGAGGCGAAGCCAGATGGGATATCATCAATATCAATTCGACGCGACAATGTTTGATCTAATCCAAATTCAGTGCTTTGTTTCTCAAACTCGGGACTCGACTTATGATTTATTGTCTCTCGGTGCGTCCTTTGTCCATCTTCATTCCAGAAACAGAAGACTGAAAGCCAACCAGACAAATAGGACGGCCCACTGCCCATAGACTCTTTGTGGGCACATCTGCTCCAGAAGTCTAACCCAATCTCTGGGCTGTCGAAGCACTTAACAAAATTATTAAGAATTGGACGAAGAAGTTGAGCAAACCGTGCAGGTTCGTCTCCGAGCTGATGTAGCTTCTCGAGCTTCTTCACGAGGACTATCCAATCCTCACGCTCGCCTAACAGAGTGACGGACGGGATACCACACATAAGGAATATCTTATACGCAAAGTACTTCTGCAAAGAGCCCATCATTAAAATGGCCGCGACCACTTTATCGGATTCGGTTGTTGTGGTAAAGTTTGGCATAACCCAGGATCGTAACTCTTCATCCACCACGTTCTTTTCGATCTCCTCGGTCATACGCGAGGCCAAAGCACCGAAGTCCACGGTCGCAATTGACCCTATACCGCGTACTTGCAGCTCTTTTTGGCCTTCATGTGCAACAAAAGAAGATCGCATTTCTTCCGCATGTGCGTTAATGAAGAAGTTGAGCTGAGTAAGGATAGAGAACCACACATCTTCAGGTCGTATAGTCAAGTGGTGATGATAGCTGTATGCGTGGAACACGGCCCAAACGAACCCATGGTGAGAGGCGGTGATATGATTCGCATGAAAAATATCGTTTGAAAAGGATTGTTGTATCAGTCCCCGGCTACACTGATAATCCTTTGGACATGAGTGTTGGAACAGCTCTTCAGCAGTCGAGGCCTTCGGCTGTTTCCATTTCCGAGCTGTATGACTGGCGGTGGTGATAGTGATAGGCATTTTTTCGGAACCTTGTGCAAACGTGCAGAGTACAGAGGGATCGATGTACCAGCGAGATTGAAAATTGAAATGATGTTGCGTTGAGAAGGGAGTAATGAAGATATGGGGAGCGAACAAGATGTGGGGTAAGAGAGGAAGTATTTCAGGAACAGGATGTAGTTGATTTCAGGAAGCGGTTGGGGGCCGCCACACTTGGCCCAAAACGTGATCAAAACTTTCCTAATCTGGCTTAGCCAAGTGTGACGGCCTCCACTTCTCCTCAAATATTTGCATCATTTGACTGTATATTATTGAAACTTTTAAACATACAAGGCGGGACCTTGCCAAGACTAGGGCTTGCTCTCTCCCACCAATAGAAATGCTAGTAAGATGGGGTAGAAAAGGGCAAATGAGTGGCTGGGGGACGTCCCATAGACGTCTATGAGACATCTCTCTGATTCTCACTAGAAAAAGGAATAAGATATTCTCTGAGATTGGCAGGGCGACTGGTTACCAATCTCAGGGAATTAGATCAGATGATCAAGGCAATGTGGTCAAGCTGAACTAATTCAGGGTCTTCTCAGGAAATTCTCAGGATAGAAAGTGGAGAAGAAATTGGCATGAGATTCAAACTATTCTGCCGAAATACGAGAACTAAATACCTGAGATTTAGAAAAGAAATCAAACAGAACAAACCAAATAAGGAAAATAACGTTATCACATGGCATGACATAAGCGAAACACCGGAGAATTCCGGTAAAAAATGAAGGATAAAGTGCGAACTCAGAGAACACGTAAGGACTCCATTCTCTGACAGATATATATTATAGTGTGTAGAATATAAAAAATTATAAAGAAAAAATATAACTAAGGAGAGTAGTTAATTAGGAGATGTCTACTAAGCAGTAATCAAACCAGTAGGGTTCCACTGAGAACTCAGTAGGTTGTGGGCCTAGGTTCTAAGGCATAAGCTACTGTAAAATATTAGATAAGCAGTGTTTTCATCCTTACATTCCTGAAATGCTTGGCGTAGCCCTTGGTAACCCTTGGTAAATTACTAGTATTTATTTACAATCCCATCTACAATTCATCAAATATTTATCCACAGTGGCTTCAGACAGAAACCCCTATCAATCAACCTGGTAGCAGTACCAAAATATTGCTATCAGGAGGCTAATTGATACTACACCTCTCTTAATCAGCCAGGATATTGATATAGAACCTGGTCTTCAGCTACCTCAGAATGATCAAGAGGAGCGTTTGGTAGATGTTACGCGGTGCTAACTGGTCACAGTGAGTATCGCTCATAGTGGTGATATACGTACGTCGAGGCTCGTCCTCAAGTCTCAGTCGCAATCGTACCGTTGCCATTAGGCCTTACACGGGCTCGGATCTATAGAGTAGACTCTTGTTGGGCAGTGCCAGATAGTAGCGCCTAGTCAAGCTATGCTTAGGATCTGCGTCAAGTGACGAGAGACTAAGTATAACTCTCCTAGTTAACATTATGGGAGGGGAGAATCCTACTGAGAGCAGGGTGGTGACTGACAGTCCTACTGACGTCAGTGGGCTTAGGCTTGTGTGACAATGGGCGTAATGGGCATGAGCGATCAAGGCTCATGCAGTTGACATGTCAGCTGTCACCTGGTAGGTTGGGGAAACATCTCCCGAGCCCTGTTACCTAGCTTACACTCCTTTGCCTCTCAATATCATTGACTGGGGTAACCCGCTGCCTGCAGAAGGGGCCGCCACATTTCGAGCTATGATAGCTTGTGTAACTTGAGATGCATCCGAGGTGGAATGTTGGCCCAGATCGACAGCGCTGTAAGCGCCACTTAAGTTCCCCGCCTAGGTATGCCCTGTTGCAACCCCGCTCAAATTGGCTATATGTAACCTTGAAATAATTGGTATTCTCTCAAGTAGTCTTCGAGGCTGTCAACTTGCAACTCCTGCCAAACTACTCACACCTTTGTGACAAACTTTTATCTAAAATAACATTGAAACCTTGCAATTATGCTAGATCTCAATACCTTTACAGGACAGATTACAGGGCTTCTTTATGTTTCTGCAGCGATTTTGCCCCTGTGGTATTTGGCATCGTACCTAATTTCTCCCCTGGGCCAGTTTCCTGGCCCATTTCTTGCCGGTAAGCTAGCGCGTACCTACTTGGATAAATGTCTTTTAATGCCGCTCAGAGTTTTTTGTCTGACACCTCTTCTTCTCTAGGATGGACCAATCTGTGGCGAATGTATCATGTTCGGCGAGGAAATTATCATCTGGTAATCCAAAAGCTACACAAAAAGCATGGTCCTGTGGTGCGGATAGCGCCCAACGTCTTAGATCTAGATATTCCTGAGTTGATCAAGACTATTTATAACACCAAAGAGAACTATCTCAAAGTAAGTATATCTTACTTCGGTGAATGATTTTATCTCAAATCTCTTTTATAAATATAGCTAATATTCTTTTGCTAGACCGAGTTTTACCATGGTAGCAGTGCTGTGAATAACGGAAAGATTATTTATAATCTATTCAGCGAATGCAAGCCAGAAGTCCATTCAGCACAGAAAAGACCCGTCTCTAAGTACTTCTCTCTGAATGGGATTCTCACGCTTGAGCCTCATATCGACAACATGATTGAGTATTTTTGCCAACGCTTAGATGAGGAGTTTGTGGACGGATCTAATTCTTCCCAAATATGCGACCTTGGAGAATGGATTACTTACTGTAAGTCGACTCTGACAATTCAATACTACGACGAGGCCAAGGTTTATTGAAGTTTAACACGTCTAGATACGTGGGACGTCGTTGGCCAAGCTACATTTAGTCAACCGATCGGATATCTAGAAAAAGGCTACGACTTTGACAACACTCTCAATACAGCCAATGTTGCTATGGATTATTTCACCATGGTTGGACAGATGCCAATACTCGATCACCTACTTGACAAAAATCCAATTATTAAGCTTGGGCCACCCTCTTTCGGTACCATCACCAATATCTCGATCCAGCATCTAGTGGACCGTCTCCAGGGTAGTGACGCTGGATACCATGACTCGGGGAAGCCGGACTTCTTAGACAAATTTATTGAGGCAAAAGGAAATTTCCCAGACTTTGTCGATGACACGCTGATTATTTCTTGGTTGATGGTCATTATGATTGCTGGAGCGGACACGACGGCTATCACCCTTAACGCGGCTTTATATTACTCGTTAAAACAACCAAGTGTCTGGCAGCGCCTTAGGTCAGAAATCCCTGCCCACGATCCTAATTCATCATTTTCGGCGACTTCCTACAAGGATTCCAGGGATTTTCCATACCTGAATGCAGTTGTCCGTGAGGCATTAAGGTGCCACCCCGGCGTTGCCATGCTTCTTGAACGATACGTACCTAAAGGAGGTCTTAATCTCCCCGATGGACGTCATGTTTCAGCCGGCTGTGTGGTTGGAATGAATCCTTATGTTGTCGGGCGAAATAAGTCAGTCTATGGCGAAGATGCTGACACATTCCGCCCTGAGCGATGGCTTCGTGATGAGAGCCTGGAGACCGAAGAAGAGTTTCAGGATCGCCTTCGCCTTATGAATAATACGGACCTATCGTTTGGAGGCGGGAGTCGTATCTGCATCGGCAAGCATTTAGGTCTTGTTGAGGTGTATAAGGTTCTTGCTACCCTTATTTCTCGCTACGATATTAGCTTTGTCGATCCAACTAAGGAATGGTCAACCCACAACAGCTTCTTTGTGCGACAAAGTGGCATCGAAGTGAAGCTATCTAGTCGTACATAAGTCATTCTGGTCGATCAGCACTGATACTGTTTGTGTTTAGCCTCACGCCCTTACGGCAATTGACACACATGCTACCTACCTATTCTTTTGCTTATTTTCCTCGGAATATGATATACTGTCTTATCTTTTGCACCTCTTCCCTATATATCTATACATAGTTTATGGGCCCCCTTGTTCCGAGTCAGGGCAATTCAACAGGGCTGCTTCTCTAAACCCAATCGCCCTAAAGGAATGATATAATCCGATACGGGCACTCACGTCGAGTGCAGTTTTACGCCGACACTCCATAATTCTCCGATCCTGAGAGGTCAGGTGATGCTCTCTGTTGCCTAGATCAGTGCTTGTCTCTTATTTCTTCTTTTTTTCAATTGCTTTAGTTTTTTTTCTGCCAACCATTACTGGTGCGCTTCTTCCCTTTCCTTCGGCTCAAGCGAGTCTCCTCTGATATTTCTCCATCGTTTCACGCTGATACCTGATATTGTTCACCACTCTATTCCACGATAGAAGATTTTACAACATCTTATTATACTGATATTTCCAGGTACGTCACTTGTCTGCAACTACCTTTCGCACAACATTTAGTCTTTTGAGATCCACTTGTAACCGGACCAACAACATGCAGCATCTAGCATAAGAACCAGTACATTGTTGCATATACAGGTCATGTATACATTATACTCGCGACATGCAATTCAATATGAGAGTTGCTATTTATACCTGGATTCTGCTAATTGTACCTCGATTCTACTAAATGTACCTCTGTTTTACTAATTGTATCTCGATTTTGCTAAAAGTACCCTCCCACAGAATGGCCATCCAGTTTGAGTTGTGGCTCCGCCTAGAATAATTCTGTCCCCTTCACCAAATTTTATTTCAACCCCCTGTAAAATCATATTCCTTGACTACATTCCCGTAACATCCCTCGAACTTAAATCTTTTGTTTTAAGAAAAAGAAAAGGCTGGTGGATCAGGAAGAAGAAAATGGTTATTCTTTCCAAGTATTAGAGCGATGTCATAGTAATGTAGACAGAGCATACGACTTGAAAGGGGGATAACAATCGGTAAGGGGGGAAGAATTGTTCCATGCGGAGCCACAACTCAAACTACATAGCATTTTGTGGGAGGGCACGATTAGCAAAATCGAGATACCTATAGCAACTTTTTTCAAAACGACCAACTAAGCTATATGACTAATCTATGGTATTTGCCTTCATCCTAGTGCCATTACGAATTAGCCTACTTTCCCAGACGAAGCTGAAGTCTACCCTATATTAAAGTGGAAAAATAACCACCCTTACAATAATTATCTCTTAAATGACAGAAGAGGCAAAAACACACAGTTGATAATCTTATCACAGTCTAATTAGCTGATAACTCGGTTCTTACAAACATTACCATTCTATGGTCGGCGCCAAATCCTAATATTGGAGAAGATTTATCAATACTAGGTGCCGCGGCTCTTTTTTCCAATGCGAATGTAGATGCGACCTTTTAGTTTAACTAAAAACAAATTTACTTAGGCTGAATTGCTTAGTGGGTGTAATTGCGATATTAAGAAAATAGAAACACATTTCCAACAGGCTTCCACTTTCGTGCTTACCTCTTGTCTTTCTCGCGACAATCAACTTGTATCCAAGAGTCGAGAGCTATGCAGCTTATCAAACTATCAATTATGAGAATGCTTTGACGGCAGCACACACGATGATATACGAGTCAATTCAGCAAGACGAAAACACCTGTGACACAAACCAGTGCAGGTGATAAAAGAGATTAGGGGCAACTGCCTGAGGGGCCAGATCAGAGATAGGATATGAGGTATCTATACTTTATATGAATATTGTCAGTTAATGCTTCTGGGAGAATATTTCCAATGCAACTATCGCCAAGGTTTAACTAAATATGATGAGAGACTAGATAAGGGAAATATCTTGACTTATGAGCCAGTTCCCACACCCCAGTCATTAACTAATGATACTATGACATGTGACCAATGACGATGAAATATGTGGTTCTATATATCGCTGTTACGCTACTCATTGCAATACACATACAACTATTTAACTGGCATGCCATGCCATAACGTTGAATTACGTCGGCCTGCATGCCTAGAGTCGCACACCGCTTTTTACACCATTCCTGATGACGTAGATAAATGTACGTTAGCCATTAAATCTTGGTTCAAGAAGCTGCATAGACTGCGTCTCCTACCATTAGAGTCGGTGTAAAATGGCAAGATATGCTCAGGATATGATATTCTAAACAGGGATCTTGATGTAAGAATTGGATGAAGGGAGTATAAAAGGAAACAATTTGTTGCATATAAAAACCCTCCACAAGGTCAAACAATCACTTTGAAACAAAGGCGGCTCACTAATGAGACACATTAGTCTGTTAAAAAAGAAATCGATAGCTCAATCTGCTCAGCATGATTTCCGACGTTAGTTGATTATTTAACATGCGATTCTAAGCTAATGGCTCAATTCAGCGCTATCTGAGACCTATTCTATATGGCTACGACCCTTGCAAGAGTGAGGAACCGGTGCCTGATGTGGGTAGCTATCCTTTTTTTCGAATATGTGAATACTGCAGATTCTGTCTTTTTCGATCCGAAAGACCGAAACGTGCCGTGGCCAAGCATGTTACCAGGCTGTCGACAATCTAGACACTGGTGTGTGAGGGAAAGGGCCATGAGAATATTTTTAGAGGGTACAAGAAACACAGTCAGCCAACAAAGGGAGGAATCTACAGGAGTTGGCCGTTCGGTTCTCAAAGAAGGAGCATGAGCTCATGGACGCCTCACTTTCATCCAGCATCTATGCTTTTCTAGAAGGAAATAGCAAAATGTGCGGATTGATGGCAACATTATTACTAATGGCGTTTCTCCATGATGGTAATTATTCGCCAAGTCCATGAGAAGTGATCAAATGCTGAAGCCACAAAGATATAATTGAGCTATTCCCTGATGAAGTTAGTGATATTGACTTGATTAGAAATGGAGTGATGGAAATATTTACGATGACTTTCCTAGGATATGACTGTCATAGATGGCGGAGTGAAGAGCTGGCCTGGGAGCACAGTCGATCACCAAGAGTGCCAAACCCATCGATTAAGCATATTCGGTACAATTGCGAGCGACGTCCTCCAAGAAGACGCTATCCTTGGACAGGAAGTTTTGACGGCATTTTCGGTGTGGATGGAGCATACGCATACTTATAAGAACAACTCGCCTATTCCATTCGCATCAATGGATGATTATCATATTTATCGCTTCAAAGATGTGGCCATTCAGTTCGTACTCTTTGATCTTGATAGAAATCAACTAACTTTCCACAGGTTCATCATTGCGCTGGTGAAGTTCAGCAGCAATGCCCATGTACCGACGCCAGAGACATACTTGCTGAGCAATCTTATCCGTCTATTTCATCGACATATCTGCCTGATAAATGACCTCTATTCCTATGATAAAGAAGTCCTCGAAGCACAGGTGGATGGCACGATCATTGTGAATGCAGTCGATGTTCTGCAAAATATTGAATCATGCAACTTAGTTCACGCGAAATTGTCAATACGTCAAAAAATCTGGGGGCTAGAGCATGAGATGCTTGATGAATGCAGGTCACTCGACACCGTGGGTATACTGAGCCCCGATCAGCTTAAGCTGGCTCGCGGACTGCTAGAGTGCGCTGCAGGGAACATATTCTATTGTGCTACACAAAAAAGATATGGTGGTGACTCAGCACTTTTGACCGTTGATTAGACTGAGCCATATTCAAAAGCTTTCAGTATTACGGCAAAACCTTATGCACATCACTTCGCCAAGACTATACTCAATTAGCGTACCTAATACGCTACTTCTCCATCATTATCCTTATCCTTTACCTTCCTTAGACCTCAGACCTAATCTCACCCATTATTCTAACGTCAAGGGGTGCTAAATCTTAGACTGAGATGACTCGATTGGCTGTTGTATAATATCTTATTTCAAAAATTCCTCTCATCCATCGGGCACCATGGAATTAGCAAAGGATGAGCCATGTAGAGTCTCGGACCTTTAGGTATCAAGCTCAAGATAAAGCTATTAACTTGACAGATACAAGTAGATGTAGATTTCTTGCTTTATTATGATTAATTTTGTATTACAGCAAGAATGCCAATGCAAAGAAGCTCAAACCCAACCATCCACCACGCCCAGTTGCTTTGATCGCAGTATTGTACATCGTGGAAGTAGTAGCCGGAGTAGAGACAGAGCCAGAGGACGATGATGAAGCAGTGGAGGCCCTATCAGTGCTAGATGACACCGGAGTTGGCACCTGACCAAAAGAGCCTTCAGTGCCAGAGGACGTGGTCACTACGCTAGACGGAGAGGACGCCGTGACAGGGAAGCTAGTCTCCGGACTGGAAGAAGTGGACTTAGTAGATACCGACATCGTGGTGGTGGTGGTATCAGTGGCAGAAACTACGCTGGAAGTAGTCTCTGGCTGTGTCATCGCAACCGTTGTAGTCGCCGGCACTAGACCTCCAGCGAGCGGAGACACGGCATATGGTGGATCGAACAGCCCGAAATTACCACATGCGTTGCAAGGTGAAGCCCAAGATTTGACGGGCTCCGGAGCCACAAGGATAGGGTCACAGCGACCGTTGGGCGCCGCCGTCGCGATCACTGAAGGATCTTCTGACTGAGGACAGTCGGTACCGAGGTCGTTCAGTGTGAGTTGTTGCGTAGCCGAATTGACGATATCTATGGTTGAGACTTGATTCAAGTCGAGGGGGAACACTACACTGGTACCTGAGGGCCCAGTGCGACCGGCAGTGTTGTAGCCATAGATGGTGTTGACAACCATGTAGACAGATGGCGAGGTACTGTATGTGGCGGCAATTATTAGTTCAATAAATAGGGACGAATGGTGAATAGAAAGATCTCTCACAAGGTGTAATCGAGATGCGAGTCAACATAAGTGGACGGATAAATGCGGTCTGGCTGATTTGTTGGCCAGTAGAACAGGTTCACGGTTCCCACGGACCTTTCGAGACAGCGTTAGCAAACGTTTCGACATAGGTCAATTCGCGAGACCCGAATACTTACATGCTACAAGTGGTCGGACATGGATTTGGAGCTGCTGTAATGGTTGTTGGCACGATAATCGTATCTGTTGACGTGTCTATCGTCGTGACAGTAGCTGTATCCGTGGTAGTATCCGTGGTAGTATCCGTCGTAATATCCGTGGTAATATCTGTAGTAGTATCCGTGATAGTATCCGTGACAATATCCGTGATAGTATCCGTGACAGTATCTGTGACTGTGTCTGTGACTGTGTCTGTGATAGTGTCTGTGATAGTGTCTGTGATAGTGTCTGTGATAGTGTCCGTGATAGTATCCATGATTATGTCCGTAGTCGTAGTAGTACTTGTGGTAGTGGAAATCTCTGTTGAGACTATTGACATTATGATGGTAGTGGTGACAGTACTATCGAAGCATGCAGTGGATACGATCGAGGTGTTCCTTGGCGGGGGCGCTGGAAATGCAGTAGTGCTGTCGATTGTAGTGTCACTATAATAGATGGAAGAAGTGTGAAAAGTGTTGATGTTTTCCGAAGTACAGGGCGTCATCTGGCTGCTTGATGGATCGTGGCTAGGGGAATATGGGGTGTGAATAGCTTCACTATGTCAGCGGCGACGCAATGGCTTTTGTTTTGGTTGATAACTAACCAGGGCCTCTAATGCCTTCTGCCCAAGTGGCTAGCAGCCCGAGTGCCGCCCATAGTCGCAAAATAAAAAACATGGCGACAGACTTTTCCACAAGCACAGAAATTAGGGCTGATACTATGCAGACACGCAACTGAGATTCAGCGACAAGCAACAAGAAAGCAAGAGTCAGGCGCCTCTTAGTGGGATAAAGTAGCAGAATGAATTATGAAGGCGGCGTAAACAATGATCCTAAGAACAACACTAGCAACCTTGGCAGCTCGTCGTGTCAATGGGCTATTACCACTTGATGCAGTCATTGTGCCCAACACCGATCGGCGTAGTAACCTAGAGAGGTGAAGACATGCGGTCTGCTGGCCAAAAAAGGCAATGATGTTGAGGAACACCGACCGTTGATCTCTACATAAAACCCGAGAACGAGCATATACGAGAACGCTGGTTCCTGAATTCGGGTGGAGCAGGTTTTTGGCAGATGCTTGAGCCGGTTTTGCGTCACCGTCCGTGCGTGGGCCCTGTCCGTGCGGCGGATTCAACTCGTCAGGGTCACCCGTTGGTCCTGCTAGCTCCAATTAACAATGTCGATCTCAATGAATCAATGAAACCATTGGCTCGGAGGTCTTCAACTGGGCAGTGATGTGGCAGTTCAGACAAGAGCCTGCCGGTTCCTGTTGCCACACCAGCCACGCGGGACTTGATTTCTATTATTGCTGTACCCCAGGCAGTAGCTGGAAACTGCATTATTCTCTTCAGGGCTAATGTGATGCCTCAGCTCCTGAAGATGCATTCGGTCAGTCTGCTCTTAGAGCTAATCTTAATGATCTCTTGGTCGTTGGAATGTTTCGCGACTCGCATAGCCGAACGTTCCTCATCCGCCCTTGTTATCTCGCCCAGCGAATATTTGTAACTCTCCACCGAGGTCCATTGGATTGATGCTATACCGTATGCTGATTGTGGAGCTTAGTGATGGTAACGATGGTCCTTGGAGCAGCTTCTACCTCCAAGTTGGGACTCCGGAACAGTCCGTCCGAGTGCTTGTCTCGACAGCTTCCCCCGAGTCATTGGTTGTTTTGTCGGACTATGGTTGTTCGGACTCCGTGTTTCCCAACGCACCATCTGACTGCGCAGTCTCCAGGGGGACCTTGTTTAATATGAACCAATCTTCTACCTGGGACGAATTGGGTGTTTTCGGTATCAACCAGGATGGGGTAGGTCTCGAGGCCAACCTTGGATATTATCAAAGAGGGGAATTTGCCCTAGATACGATAAGTATTGGACTCACTGGACCAACTCTGAAGAATCAGACTGTGGCCGGAATTGCAACCCCCGAGCCTTTTTATCTGTAAAGACCGCAATGATTTCTCCGTTTCTGTCCATAGTTTACTGACCGGAGAACTAACAGTGGAACATTTGGCTTGAACTCTCAACCCGTGAACTTTACATCCTTGGGAAACTTCTCTTCATCCTCATTTATCACAACTCTTAAAGACGAAGGCACTATCCCAAGTCTTAGCTGGAGCTACACGGCTGGTGCCAAGTATCGTAAGTTTCCTCGTCAGAACAAAACACAATCACAGCGGATCTTGTCTCTAATCTCAGCTTCGCGCCGACATAGGCTTAAAGCAAGTTTATGGCCAACTCGTCTTCTCCGGTTATGACGCATCTCGGTTCACTGCGAACTCGGTGTCGTTCACCATGGCCGATGACGTCACCCGGGACCTGGTTGTCTATCTTCAGTCCATCAGCTATAGCGGATCAAGTTCCGCCACGTTATTGTCCGACCCAATTTTGATCTTCATTGACTCCACTGACCCCAACCTCTGGCTCCCGGAGAGTGTTTGCGAGGCGTTCGAAAAGGCCTTTGGTCTCACACTTGACAGTGATAGCGATCTATATCTTGTGAATGACACCCACAACACTGAATTGCTCAACTCGAATGCGCAGGTGACATTTCGGCTGTCCGATGTGGATCACGGTGGAGATGCTGTGACGATAACTCTTCCATATGATGCTTTTGCCCTGACTGCAAAGGCTCCGTTGGTCGACAATAGCAGCTACTATTTCCCGCTGAAACGCGCAGCCAACTCTACCCAGTATACATTGGGCCGAGCATTCTTGCAAGAGGCGTGAGTGCAGCATGTCTGATTTGAATGTATATGCTGACCTCCTCAGGTATCTCTCGGCCGATTACGAGCGAGGTGTCTTCAATGTGTCGGCATGCGCTTGGGATGAAAATGCCGAGGAAGACATCGTCACAATCACGTCTAAAGACTCAGACTCCTCCACTTGCTCTGGAAGCACATGCACGTCCAGTGTTAGTAGCTCTAATAGCTCAGATAACTCTTCGTCACTGAGCCGCGGCGCTGTAGCTGGCATCGCAATTGCGGCGCTGGTCGGAGTAGCCATTCTCGCGGCAGTCCTCTTCTTTTTCATTCGCCGTCAACACCAAAAGACAGCATACAGAGCGACGTCACCGAAGCCCGGTATATCTGAATATTTTGGTCCGATACACAATGACCCTTCTCTCGGCCCATCAATGCCATCTGACCCATCCGACCCATCTGCCGCACAAGCAACATTTTGGTCACCAGACGTGATATTTGGTGGTGTAAGTGACAGTAATAATGGCGCGAGTAGCAGCAGTGGTGGGAATCATGAGCAAAGCGTTGAAGAGAATCATATGGAATTAGACGGGCACGGTACACAAATTCAGCCAGTCTATCATGAGCTGGCCGGCAGTGAAGTCGAGAAAACAAGACCAGGGCTACAGGAGCAAGTGCCACGAATGCCTTACGCATAATTTCAAATGGGATAGCTTATCATTCTATCTTTTCTTCACGATGGATATCGCCATGCCTTTCCGGTACTATAGAAGGGCTGACCGCTAATGGGATAATGCAGCTTATTTGTGTTCAGGAAGTATAATATCTAGGCAAGAAGAGGAGAATGATAGTATTGGGTAAAATATTCCAAGACTAATTCTTGGAAAAGAAAAGAGGAGAACCTATCCTCTTTCTCTTTTAAGTATGGAACGTAGGCGATTCGCATACGAATCCGCTGGTAGGGCCTACATGCAGCAATACCCTATTCCATGCCTCAACAATATAACACCCCTTATTTCCCGTAACAGAAATTCCCTTCAGACAAGGTTAGTGCGTACTAGGCGGGGCTAAACATGCCTAGTGTAAGAATCTTCCCCCCGTTCTCACTTCTATCACCCAGTCTACAATGTTCTCACCCATGTCAAGCACACTTACCTAGCGTGGACCCGTCGCCGCTCTAGTGTAAAAGCACTTTAGAAAGGATTGACCATGCGGATATAGTATGGCTTAGGTACCGCTGAGCGGACGGGAAGCCCTGTTCTCCACACTCTGTGGTCGTATGTACTCGATGGGGTTCCAAAGGTACTCATGCTCCTCATTGAATTTAAAGGCTAGCAGCTGCCAATATGAGCATGGAAACCCCCAGTAAAGAGGTCAATTAAGAATAGAAGAGCGTCCAAATGTGTCAAGGCATCTGTAAATCGATAGTACAAGACTTGAAATGCAAGATCCCTTGATTCCGCGCACACTCGAGGTGATCAGTTCGCCCCGGCTGATTTCTTCAGTCTTGCACTTACCCACTCGAACTCTCTGGCGCCCCAGAAGAGCAACAGGACTATGGCAGGGCTTGTTCAAGGGGTGAGTATCGCGCCGCACAGTAACACCGTCGTCTCCGTCCACTCGTTTGCGCGAACTCGTCGGAGATCCCAGTAGGAAAGCACAGCGAAAGAAGTGATGGCCAGATTCAAGCAGAGAATACGCGTATCCTCAACGGACAAATCGATCGCTTGTCTAGCTTGGAGGAATATGGAAAAATGCGAATGCAGGCTTCGTCCAAGTAAGTACAGCCACCTAGAGGCCTTCCGCCTGTAAAGATGAAGCTAGCATGATGAATATTCTGAGAGACTGCACGTGGGTTTCTTTGCGACCACCTCGATAGTTGGCTCAATGGCTATAATGCGTTTTAGGAGATATATCACAATAAGAAAGACAAAGTGGGCGGTTTCCGTGGGCGGTTTCCGTGGGCGGTTTCCCATGCGCCTAGCCCGATCGATGCCGGCACAATCTCAGACCCTGCCTGCCAGGAAAGAATGTAAAATAGAGGAAAGTAGTAAGGAATAGAAGTTTCCATCCGTCGGTGGCGATTTTGGTTCTTGCTTGTGGAAATAAATTTGTCTTATCTCGAGACGGAATCAAGGTCTCGCGAAAATGTACAGGCAGATTCCTCAGTGTCAACAACGATGCATGCGTCCCGGCGCTTGGCAATTCTCAGCCGGCGCAATAATCATCATCCGAATATCGTTAATTTCATGGATGCTGCGACCGCTTTCCTTTATGGATTTTACATACGGTGCGCCTAGTGGCATAAGGAAGTCAACAGCTGAGAATTTGATATAGAGCAGCGTCAGAAGATCAATCACAACAGACATTATCATCCATGGAAGTAATTCTGCTTAAGAAAAGGTAAATTGGCGGAATCAATTTATGGCACCCAAGAATTATTGCAATAATTGTAATGTCAGATCTCCACGGATTTTCGCCTTCAGTTCAATCTCAACATCAAGGTTCAAATCCAATCTTAGCTTCAACTGATCGTTGCTTTTTGTATTTGTCACTGCTTCGGTGGTCTCTATCACTTGACCAGTTCTTGAATTCGCCTCATTTCGAGGAAGCTCTGCTTGTTGTCCCGCATTGTGGGGATCCGGAGCTCGAACAATCTCTTTATCCTTGACCTCAGGACTAAGCATCCGTCGGACGCGTGTTTCTCGTCTGTTTGCTTCTGGACTATTTGATCTTTGTTCGCGTTCGATGATTTCAACTTGATCTGGTTCGGCGGCTGTGACCGACTCACGTCGGATACTCGTTCGTTGGTGTATTTGCGGGTCGTCGGAATATTGCTCTTGGCTTGGAGAATTCAAACTGTCTTGGCTTTGGTCTTTGGTGATACCGGTTGGAAATCCCGATGGAACATTTGATTCTGATCTCTCCGATCCTGCGGTGTATCTCTGCGGGCTTCCTTCACTTTGCCTGTCTGACGGAGTTGTCCGCTTCGAAAGCTTAGAAGGTCTGAGTTTTGGTGGGCGCCGCTTTTGTGAGGAAGGGACTCCATTTGCGCTGGTGCTACTTATTCCGTCCTGCGCATCCTCTCCCGGCGTTTTCATTGTGACGAATTGATGAGATAGAGAAACCTTGACTACAGCGCATGTACTGCCATGTGTTTCGTGACTGGGAGCTAGCGATATTGTCTCGACTTGAACTATCTTCCAGCACCTGAGCATATGTGTGATAATTCGCCTCATGACGTCATTTACATAGATTGACTGTAGCTGGAAATGATGTCCGCAGAGTAAGTCTATTACGGCTGAGTGTTCTACACTTGGTAGAAGAATGCGTCATGAGTGTGGATACTTGTCCAAAAGTGAAAACTGTAAAACAGGACTGGAAACACACTTAGGCAAATATGACCGTCTCACTAAGTAGGATCCGGGGGACCTCACATCCCGAGAACCATAAACTTGCCCTTTATTGTATTTAAAAGTGGCTGGAAGGTTGGGCTAGTAAAGCAAAATTTGGAGCTCTTATTTCCTCTTATTAACCTTGCTTTAAAGTGAGAAATCATTTGAATCGTTTTATTGTCAAGATTCCGCACATTCCTTGAGGAAACTACAGTAGAATGGCCCCAGGACAAAATCTCGCTGACAGAAGCAACCGTTCTAAAGACTCCAGGCGGGATGAATACGATAATAACGAACCAAATCTTTCCTCGATATCTGAGATCACATCACACGACTATGATAACTCAAGTGTGGTCTCTGGTCAATATGATCAGGACTCCAGCACTGAAGACCTGCCCCGCGGGGAACTCGATCATAAAGTCACTGTCGAACGTGCACCGCGAAATGAAGGGATTAAATTTGATCGGCTTCATCCGAAATCTCCATTAAACCGCGCAGTTGTTCCAGGACAAGGCCTTCGTGGTGAAGTCCGAAGACAAGGTATTGAACCAATCCAACCGGTTCAAAGTTCACAAAAGCCGGCGAATACGGCATTGAGTCTGAGATTAGACCTCAACCTTGACGTTGAAGTCGATTTAAAAGCTAGCATACGTGGAGATCTAACCCTTTCTCTCTTGTAAGTTAATCACGTTTTGCATTTGGCTATCCTAACTGAAGCTTACACCTTGAAGGACTTGATCAGAGAAATAATGGGAGCGTGACAGATTTATATATCGGCCTGATAGCATAGTTCGTTTCAATTTTGTTGTTGTCGAAAACAACAGCATTCTCGTTACAACAGTCCACAATCAAAATCAGATAACATTTGCCGGTTTCTTGCCCCACTTTGAATGGCTAGTTTTCTGTAGCCGAATATGATAGCTCTGGGGCAGTACCGCATGAGCCACAAATAAGCCACCTAGACCAAGCAATTATGAAATGTGCTCTGACGAGTTTTGAACTAACCGGCAGATTAAAACCAGCTCGCATCTCAATGTTTAAGATGCAAGGGTGTCGTGGCATCCGAATTGCCAAGACATTCCAGCCACTCTACGGAATTTTGATCCGTGGTAGCTTGATGGCGGGAATGACGACAAGACAGACCTCTAGCCAGATTTCGAAATGTTTACCGAGCAAGTTTTCCATCACTTCAACGGAACTATGATTGGACTGATTTGCTATCATCATGGCATCGGGGCTTCTCTTAGTAACTTCAGCGCATTTGGTGATACGTCCGTGGCTGTGGTCTATGGCGTGTCCTGTGGCCTGTATTCGAAAGTACAAACCCGCAAAGGATACCCAGGCGCAATAGTCAACTGCCCAAAAGAAGTTCCCAAGTCTCAAATATGTCTTTGAAGATTTTCCGCTAATCTGAGAACAATACCACATCAAAAAACACCAGAAGCCAGAACTACTATACCAGGGCCAAAGGGCCTGGACGTACCTGGCAACCCATTAAAGAGGATGAAACCTTCTACAGGTGCTGCACACGATCAGAGAAAGCCGGGCTTGCCCAAAATCTCAACCCCTTTACAACGGCCGACTAACAGGGTTTTTACAAAGCCCTCCAAACATGCAGGTTCGAAGAAATTACGTTCGGCGCAAAACCCAATGTCATTCGATAAGGCAAGAAGAGAAAACGATTCTCCAAAGCCTCCAAAAGCCAGCCGAAAAACTTCCAATCTCACAAGAGCCCGAGGCAGACGGCGGGGTAAAAATTGAAGTCGTAGACATCGCAACAGAGTCTATCGAGAGGGATGAAGGCCCTTCTGGTTTGCTAGAAAATACACCCATTTCAATAGAAGAGAGAGCAAAAGAGGAACAGCGCGAGGGCGCCGCGAAGGAGCCACCTCAGGCTTCTGGGTCAACAGGGACATCGTATATCCAACGCGGCAAAGACGCCACATCTGGTCTTGCAGGATTTACAACCAAGGCCAGTAAGCTCCACGCTCAGCTTCCTGGCTCTATTAAGAAAGACGCTGAAAGTCGTCTGCAGACGGGCAGGCAGTGCATCACGACGACGGTCCAACCCGCGGCTGATGGAGCAAAAGGCAAAGTCGAGGAGATAACGCAAAACACTTCAAACATTCCGACCAACCTCTCTTCCTTGTCTGGGCTTATCGTTGGTGATGATGGAATGATCTTAGATTATGACGGCAATTACATCGGCCGACTGGTTGAGGGCGAAACAGAAGATCTTGCTGGTCAAATTGTCGGCGAAGGTGGAGAGATTCTCGATGAAGACGGTGATATGGTCGGGTGCGTGGAGCTTCTCAGTGGTGATTTAGCAGACGAGTCAGAGGCACCCGCTGACCAAGATGCCCTGGGCTTTAAAGACCTGGCAAATTCACCTCTCGGGGAAGATGGGACAATCAAAGATCGGTATGATCGAGTATTGGGAAAGCTCGTCGAAGGCAACGTGAATGATTTGGTTGGTTGGCCGGTAGATGAAAATGGCGAGATACTAGATGAGGACGGTAATTTAGTGGGCCGCGTTGAGCTTCTTGCTTCTGATAACGTTGGTGAAAGTCCTGAGCAGCTAAGCCACTCGCTGCTAGGCCCTTCACTCCTTAAGGGCAAGCCCATCAATGAAGAGGGGAAAATACTGTATGAGAACGGCAACCTGCTTGGCCGAATCAAAGGAAATCAAGAAGCGGAGACCATGGTTGGTAAATTCGCGAACGAAAAAGGTGAAATTATCAATAATTTTGGGCAGATTATAGGAGAGGTTGAGCTGGTTGCTGGAGGGGTTGCTAGCAAGGCGATGGCAGAGCAGCAAGGAGCGGTTCGAAAGGCCGAGAATGATATATCAATGTTAGATGGTCTTCAGGTGAACGAGGAAGGATTGATCACTGGCACCAATAGCTCCGTCATCGGGGAGCTGGACAGTGGCGATCTATCCGAAGCTGTTCGCATGACCGTGAACGAAAAAGGCCTTGAATTAGACGATAATGGCAACATCATAGGCAAAGCACGGTCAGGTGCCAAGGATGCTATCGAAAAGACCGAAAAAACCACCGAAGATTTCGTCCAGGGGTTGCCATCGCTTTCCACACCGGAAGATCTGAAGTGCAACAGACTCGGGAATATTGACAATGAGGATGGGATGCCTGTTGGTGAACGTGTCGAAGGTGGCCCCAAAGAGGTTAGTGGAGATGGTACGGAGCTTGACGGTCAGGCTCAGTTATGGGACAACAGGGGCAAAATAAATGGCAAAGCCCAATCTTTCTCCATCGATGGTGAGCAAAATGAAGGGCCATTTGCGGATCTAGATGAGCCTTTTGTGACTGAGGGAGGGTGGGTCCATGATGCCAATGGGAACAAAGTTGGACAAATTGTTGAGGGAGAAATTAGGAAAGTTCTTGGACGGGCCGTCGATGATGATGGTGACATCCTAGACAAGCGCGGGAATCTCCTAGGACGAGCAGAGCCATGGCAAGAGCCCGACATAGAGCCAGAAGACGTCGATATTACAGAATTAGAAGGCCTCACATTTCATAAGATTGGGAACGTTATAGGCCCAGACGGAGTTTCCATTGCTCGGGTCAGCGAGGGAAACCCGAAATTATTCGCTGGAAGAAAGATCAACGCTCAAGGCCTGGTATGGAGTGACGTTGGTGAAGTCATCGGAAATGTCATGTTGATCCCGTTGAAGGAACGAGAAGCCATGACACTCTTTGGAGGAATTGGGGATCTTGTGGTCCGGAAAACCGGGTATGTCGAGGACGAAACTGGTTGTATTGTCGGCAAAATCGTCGAAAGCGATCCTCAGAAATTGCAAGGCCTCCTTGTGGATGACGACGGAGACATACTTGACAAGCGAGGCAATTTAAAGGGACGGGCCGAGCCATATAATCTGCCAGAGGAAGAGGAAGAAGAAATGGAAGAGGATATATCCGTTCTTGAAGGGATGAAGGTCAACAAGTTTAGAAACGTCGTAGATCAAAATGGCTCTGTGTAAGGACGCCTCATCTATGGCAACGCCAAGAAGCTGGCTGATAAGCAAATCGATGCGGAAGGTCAAATATGGAGCGACGATGGAAACTTTCTCGGCTCCGTGGGACTGATTCCTTCGTCCGAGAGAGAGCAGGGGGGTGGAATCTTCTATGGACTTGAGGGCCTAGTGGTCACCAAAGGTGGAACCATCACAGACCTCATTAGCTACATCGTCGGAAGGCTTGTTGAGGGAGATATGCTTCGACTGAATGGTCGTGCCGTCGACGAGGATGGGGAAATCATCGACAAAGTTGGAAATGTCATTGGTCGTGCAGAACGTTGGATCGCAGAGGAAACGCCTCGCAATGGCTATCCAATGAGTGACCGAAAGATCAATCAGGAGGGTGAAGTGCGCAAAGGAGATGGAAATCTCATAAGTCAACTCATGGACGGCAATCTCAATTCCCTATCTGGCAAAGCAGTTGAGGAGAACGGCTACATCGTCGATAAAGATGGCGATAGAATCGGCGAGTGCACATTCTTGGCACATTTAGCCGAGTCTGAGCTCGAGCTATCGCAGGAGGAAGTAGAGCAGAAGGAAAAGGAGTAACATTCTCGAGGACTAGCGAATAATATCTCTTCAATCATACAACAGACATGTGACTCTGTTGAGCCTTTTTGTAAACAGATCACCGAGGTAATGGATTTCCCTTCATCCCTTATCTATGTCACTAACAGCATGACCAGCATATTGAGAGAGCCGATCGCACACCCCGAGACGAGCTCGATGAGGAACAGCTAGTCAAGACAGTGAAGCCTATCATCGAAGAAGCTGGCAACATACTGCAAGAATGTAAAGGGATATTGCGCGCCTTGGATCCCGATGGCCAAATTGCAGCGTCTGCCAAAGCCAGGAGTGTATCGCACGAAGTGACATCGGAAGAGTACCAGCTGGCCGATCTTCTCAGGCAACTTTCGCAGACAATCTCTACCACGATTGAGAATGGCTGTCGACGAATAGCTAATATGCTTTGAGCGAAAAAGAAGATTCATGCACTATGGTCTGTTCTTTCTGAGCCCCTTTTCCAAATCATTGCAGTCGTTGGCTTACTCTTAAATGGAGTTGTGGGGCTGCTCGGTAATCTCCTAAATGGGCTTGGTCTTGGAGACCTTATTCAGGAGCTTCTTGGTGGACTGGGAATTGATAGCCTTGTTAGTGGCCTTGGTCTACGAAACATTGGTGAGAAGATGGGTATGTCAGGTTGAGAATTATGATGCGCAAAATAGGCGTCAAGGCCACTCTCACTTAGGCTGCTTAGAATCTTCATATCTGTTGCGAGTGGAGTGACCCCTCCAGGTAGATAGACCAGCGCTTCTCTCTCTTCTTCCCTTCTTCCCTGCTCCTTCCTTCTCCCACCGCCAACCCCCCTCACAATACAAGGTCTTGATTCGTCTGTCTTGTCCTTTCTGCATAAGAGTACAAAGTATGAGTGGGCTAGAGAGAGAAGACAGACAAATCAATATGCTGTATTTTGAAGGAGTGGGAAGAAGAATGGAAGAAGGAAGAAGAGAGAGAAGCGCTGATCTACCTGATGGAGGTGTCACTTGAACTCGTAACAATATCCGTGTCACTTCACAAATAGGAACAAATAAGGAGGGGCAAAAACCGAGAAGTTTCTATTCGTACCTTAATTCTTTACTAATTGTACCTTGTCAGAAAGAACGCCATTCAGTGTCACTTTATTTCCTTCACACTGCTTCGTGCCACTATTCTGCGATTTTGTCCAATCGGGCGTCTAGTGATTGTAGCTGGCAAGTACTTCTGTCTACTTTTATATCCATCTACCACAATACCTCGCTTGTCGAATAGCATGTGTACCTCCTACGCTCGAAGCACGCCCCTGCTTACGTCGCCACATTCCATTCCCTGCTTAATCTTCTAATACTCGCTATGCGCTTATCTTAATACTTAATTAAATCAAGGCCTCTTCTCCCATTCAAGCCCCTTCCTCGCATAACCTCAACTTCATAAAGTTGGTACTATCTACCTAACTTCTCTACCCCTTTAAACCCTCCAGCTTCAGCCTCAGCAATCTCCTCTCGCAAGTTTTCCTCCTCGGTCAATTCCCGCTCTCCCCCAACACAGCATTGAATTACTTCCCTCGAGAACACGACAACCTCGGATTTCTCAATCGCCTTCGCAAATGCCTTTTTCACCCTCGGGTAATGCGACCCATCTTCCGGTGGGTAGAAATGACCGCCCCGGGCATCGGGGTAAGACTCGCAGGGAGGGACATATGCAGACCAGTAGACGCGCGTTTGACCGAAGCGACCGAAGTAGAGGTCGGGATTCTGTACCAGGGTCGTTAATAGATGGCCCATTTTAAGGGTTTCTCTTAGTTTGATCTTGGGAGTTGTTTTGGGTGTCTGTTGCTGTTAGTGGCGTGTTTCTTTCTGTCATTTTCCCCTTTTGATGATGACGAGGTGGGTGGGTAGGAAGGGAGGATAGAGGGACGAGCCTTATAACATTTATACGAATCCCCTCCCATCACATGGTACATTTTGAAGATGGTGACGCTTCCGTATACAGGCGGCTGGCGGAGGAGCATCTTTCGCCAGCTGGCTTCCTTTCTCATGTAGGCAGATTTCTTTTGGGGGGATGAAAGCATGTCGAGGGTTTTGAAGGAGAAGGTGTTCTTCTTTTTCTCCTTCCCTTCATGTTCAGTTTCAGTTACCTTTCCTTCGTTGTCGTGGATGAAGGGGTATTCATGGACTGATGGGAAGAAGGGTCGGAAGGCCTGTACTAAGAGAGGATTATATATGGGGCGTGTGTGTGAAATTTTGCATTCATTTATGCTTCCTTGGTCTAATTTTGTGTCTTTCTTGAAGGGCGATGGAAGGACATAATTCCAGATTGATTCTGCGTGCCATTTATCCTTTTTAGGTTTTGGAGTGAATGGTCGGAAGAAGAGCGCTTGTTGAATTGCGGGCGAGCTCTGGATTAGGGCTGTCCAGGTTTGGCATACCCGCTGGGCCGAGACGAGGAGTGTTCGGGTGTCTAGGTGAAGGAGGATGATCTCGAGAAGTTCAGGTGTGGTGAGAACTTTAATTTGGGGTTGCTCTTGCTCTGGCATTTTGGTTTCTTATACTACTTGTGAGTATTCTTTGGTTCTGTAGTTGTTGTTTTGGATAAGTCGATGGGTCCGCGTTAGGTTGATTGAATGGAGTAGCGGGTCGTCGATTGGTACTGATAAGGAACCCATGGAGACACGTGGGCCGTGGCCGCAAGGTGTCATGTGATTTCCCGTGTAATCGCTCCGGCCCCCTTTGGTCAGCTTTTCCATGTTCTGCATTCGTTTGCCATCAATAAGAAAGACCGGCCATGTCATACCTGGGGTCCTAGGTATGCTATGTCATTGACCAGTTTTTTACAATTACCGTTCTCATCATACATGTTAGAATATGTAAATTTATTTTAGCCTCGGGCTCTCTAGAATCGAGCGATATATATATACTGTATATAAAAAACACTTAGATTGATAACGACATGCATCACCTTTGACATGAATATAGTCTATATATGGGGGGTTTAAAATAAGACACAACAAGGGAGAGGATGAGGGAAAATCAAATCAAGACTTAGTCTATCTCAGAGTAATCGACTGCTACTGGAGTTCGAGACATGCTTCCATCACATTAAAAGTCGTCATCTCCGTCAGTGCCCTCCTCATTCGCAGGCAGATTTATCATTTCTCCGAGCTCTTCCGAGGTAACGAATGTCTCATACACACCGTCGTCACAACTATCATGGTCAAAGATCCGGAAGTTCTTCTCCTCTGGGTCAACATCACGGAACTTTACTTTCTCCACTGGCTCCTGCTTCAATGCGCGTGACTGAGGCAATATAGCCGCCAGCCTGCGATATTTGAAATACAAACCCCCGCAAAACACCACCTTGCTTTCACCAGGCTCGGTCGCCTCCGTAGAAACCCACCCAGCCTCCTCATGGGAGGTGTACCAGGTAGACGAAGGCGCAATTTCACCGATTCCAACGACACCCCCGCGAAATCCGACCGAAATCTCCTTCCCCTTTTGTGCCCAGGCATTCAACATCGCCAACCTGGTCCTATAAGTGGAAGTAACAATGACAAGACCATATTCTCGGACATCTGGCCATTTCCGCAAAATTGTCTCCGAGTTTTCTTTGCACCAGAGCCGGAAAGTCGTCGTACCGTAAACCAGATCTTTGATCACCGGAGTTTCTGTCATGAGAATTGCCCCAAAGCCATCGTCGTTGCTGTATCGGTACAAGGCCCCAATGTCTACGGGGATCCCAGATGGAATGAGTGCTGAAGCACTGGTTTCCAGATCAACCTTTCTTTGGATCACATGCCCGCTCAATTTTGGGCCCCAGGATCGTTCATCGGATGGCGCTGGGTGGAAATGCTCAAATCTCGTTAAGCCATTTTGAGTGAGACTCAATGAGTCGCCAAGGCTTATTATTTTCTGATCTATTCCAAGTAGTGGGGTCCACTGCCCTAGCTCTGTGAAGTATCCGCAATAGCCAGGCTGCAGGACTTTTGATGATTCCGGCTCGTAGAGGGCATAGCCATATGGGTGCTTCAGCATCGACTGCTGATAGAGTTTCCCCAGAGTTGGCATCGCAGTGGTGAGTTTTGGTAAGTATTTAAAAGAAAGGAAAAACAGCAAAGTATCAATCAAGCACAAATAACCGAAAAGGTGAGACGTGTCGTATAATTGGCTTGGCGTTGCTGCCTTGGAATACGAACCTGGGCATCTGGGCATGTTTACCCCTCTGCTGATTTAATCCCACACCAGAGATCAGCTGAACCAGCCTGTGAAAAGGAGTCACTTTTTCGAATTAATTATTCTCCCCCTTCGTCGGTCTTGTTGCTTATAACCATAGCAATGGCTGATGAACTTGCCAAAGAAGAAATCCACCCCTCTGTAATTGACGCTGCCAAGGCGTCTTTTGGTCGGGATCGGCCAATGACGGATGATGTCCGACCAGGAGATTTCTTCGATGACCCAGACTACCTAGAGACATTGCCCCACGAGGCGAAAGCCCTGATATGCGCTGTGCAAGAGGCAGGAGACCATCCCGACCGGCCTGGGCTGTGCCATATTCAATCTGAGCTTGCCTTTACACGATACCAACAGAGTCAGAGTGAAGACGATCTTTCTATGGCACTTGCTCTCGAGGCCTTGTCTCTCCGCTATGTACCAGCTCAACACCCTGGTCGAGGGAAGTCCAACCACCATATGGGCGACTTGTATGTACGAAAATGGAAAACACATAAAAATGATGTGACTCTGGATGAGGCTATCAGGCATTACAAGTTAGCTCTTCTTTTTGCCCAGGAGAAAGACGAGGTACTTTGCGAGTGGGCTTGCGACCTTGCGGTGGTGCAACTGGAGCGCTATAAGAAGACCAAGCAGGTCAGCGACAAAAAGGAAGCACATCGGTATTTTGATAGGGCTATTGAGCTTGCCGGACAGCTACCTGTACGAGCACGACATATTTCCAACAAAGGCCACTTCTTGTACTTGGTTGTATCTGGCAGCGACATAGAGAGAGAGGCGCAATTAACAGAGTCGATCGCAGTCCATCAGGAGGCAATCCAATTTTGCGACAATAATCCGGGTCTTTCGTCCCCGCCCCAACTCCCATATGGCATGATTTATCGCAATGCGGGCCTTGCTTACATAGCACGGTTCTCCATAGCCAAAGGAGGCAATGACGGCAAAAGAGGGTCGTCATTAATCGAAACGGCACTGAGCTACGAAAAGGCAGGCGATGGCCACTGGGAAGACTTTACAAATGAGCTTGCCAATGCCCAAAAGCTAATCGCGCAGGCTTCGGGAGATTTAGACCCGGATGAAATAGCATGCGATGTATGGCGAAGAGCCATTGAAATCAGTCCAACTGCCATTACCCCCAGAATACATTTGGCAAGATCCTATCACGAAAGGGCAGGGAATTTGGTTGATCAAAGTCTTGCACAAGAACTTCTGCAGCGAGCTAGAGGCCTTGCTGAAGACACCATTCGAAGGCTGCCACCCGGGCACCGAAATACCGGACTGGCTTTTAGCTGCTGCGCTTTAGTGCACTATTCTTTGTATGATGTGCGGGGTGAGGTGACCGATATCGATGCAGCCATCGAGTGTGCTAAGAAAGCCGTCCGCGATGAGAATGACGTGAACCTATGGGACCGGTACCGCCTGCTTGCTCAAGTGCTTATTTTGAGATATGAACGCTTGAACAATGGAATTGATATGCTAGATGCCAGTGCTGCAGCTATGATGGGCCTCTCCAAATGCCCACCAGAAGATATTCAAAGCAAAGCAGAGTGCATATGGGTAGCCGCTAAAATAAGTCGGGCGAATTATGACCAAACTCGAGATCTGGATGTGCTTAAGAAAACTTGCGATGGACTTTCTGGAATAAGCCGGCTTATGTCGAAAGGCTCTACATCAAGGGCATTGCTCTTGAATGATTTGGGTAATGCATACACCCAGCTCTTCAGCCATGAGGCATTGCCTTCGCAGCTAGAGCAGGCAATCGATGCATACGGAGAAGCATTGTCAGAGTTGAAGAGTCTCCATGGGAATGAACAACACCCCAATATTTTCATGCTTAACGCTGCTCTTGGGAATGTCATGACTCAAAGATTTCTCCATTGGAAGGCCACTGCCGACATTGAATCAGCAATTAAGTACTATCAGAGAAGTCTTTCGAAGATTGACAGACGCAACCCAAGATATTCTATTCGTGTGGTAAACCTCTGTTACGCGTTACAGCTCCGCTTTGACGTCAAAAGAGATCTCAAAGATTTAAAAGAGGCCCAAAAAGTACTACACTTGGCTCTAGAGGAGGCAGCGCCACTAAGCGTTGAGACAAAGAAAGGGCTATCTATGCACTTGGGGAATGTCTATCAGTTCACATTCAAAGTTACCGGCCAGCGGGCTGACTTGGAGAACGCCATAGATCAGTACAACAAGGCTTTAGTGATAGATGGTGCATCTTCCGCTTCAACACATGGAATGACCTTACTCAACAAAGCCGTTGCACTCCAACAACTTGCTCTGATGACTGGTAGTATTTCCGACTTTAAAGCCAGTGAAAAGACGTTTGAAAATGTCGAAAAACTGTTTAGTGAAGACGATCCAAATTTTTGGAAGGCTGTCTTGAACCACGCCAATCTAATCAAAGCCAGGTATGAGCGAAAGTTGGGAGCAAATGTCGAAGAGGACGCGTTCCAGGCGCTAGAGAAGTATGAGAATCTTGCACGCATGGCAATCATTCCGGCATCGGTACGCATTAGTGTAGCATCTATAGCAGCCAAGCTTGCTACCGATGAGCTGAATGATCCGCTAAGAGCTCGAGACAACATTCTTATAAGTCTCAAGTTGCTTCCAGAAGCTATTCTAATGCACGAGAGTCGATTGAAACAGTTGGAGTTTATCAGAGAATACCAGCTCATTCCAGGGGCTGTCGCTTCTTTGTCACTCAGCGCTGGAGACCCCCCGAGTACCGTGATTCACCGTCTTGAGGCTGCTCGTGCCTTCATCTGGGATCGCATCCAAGATCGACCAACTCGAATTGATGATCTGTTAGTTGAGCAGCCGGAACTAGCTGAACGGTTCCGCACATTGCAGCAACGAATGTTTCATCAAACTCGCAACTTTGAACGGTCAAATACTACTGATCTGACATCTGTCGGTTTGGACGATGTAGACAGAATGCATAAGCACCACAATACGGACTCCTACCGCGAGGTAATTGAGCAGATTAGAGCACTTCCCGGCTTTAGCTCTTTCTTGAAGATTCCGGATAGTTCTGCTGACATCCAATCGTACGCTCATGATGCCCCCATTGTCTTTATCAACGTCACTGCATATCGGAGCGATGCTATAGTGATCTCAAGAGATGATGTTCACCAGTTGGCTCTCCCCGATTTCAATATGGAACAAGTAAAGGCATACTTTATGCGGTTTGCGATAGCACTGCATCATCTCGGTAACGCGCAGAATCAGGTGGAGGCACTATCCGAGTACCAGGAAGTGATGAAGTGGCTCTGGGAATCAGCAGCGAAGCCAGTGTTGGGCATCATAAACTGGGGCAAATACGATCTAGGACCATTTGGAAAGCCTCGAATCATATGGGCGTCCATCGGATGGCTTAGCGTCCTTCCGATCCATGCCGCAGGAGACTTCGAAACTCCAACATCATCTGATAGCAACGAGCCAAGATGCGTCCATGATGTTGTTGTATCTTCATACACAAACTCTTTGAAGGCTCTAGACTTTACCAGACATATCACTAAGCAACGCAAAGACAAATCACGGTCAAGCAACAGTCCACAGGCCCTCATTGCAGCTATGGCAACAACCCCAGGCTTTGGCCCAGAAGCCGATCTAACTGTCGAGCCAGAGATCAGTGCAATAAGAAATATTATGCTTCCATTAGTCAATGTCGAAGTTCTCATGCAGCCCAGTTCCGCCACAATCAAGGCAAAAATCACTCCTGAAACAGCCATCCTACACTTTGCCTGCCACGCTCGGGCTGACGACAAAGATCCATCACGAAGTGCCATCCTGTTGCAGGATCACCAGACTAAGCCATCCCCCTTCTCAGTGAGAACTATTCTAAACCTTGATTTGAAAGCATGTGAGCTGGTTTATCTATCTGCATGCGAGTCAGGACTAAGTAAAGTTCTATCCTTGCGGGACGAAGGGATTCACATTGCAGGCGCATTCCATATAGCTGGGGTGTCGCATGTAATCTCTACGCTGTGGAAGGTATCTGATACTGTTTCTGCGGAGCTTGCTGAATTGTTTTATCTAAATTTGAAGGGGCCTTCATGTGACTGTTTGGATTCTGAGAGGGCACCGTATGCTCTTCATGAGGCAATCGGGGAAATGAGACAAAAAGGGGTACACCCTATTTTTTGGGCCGCTTTCGTTCATTCTGGCCCTTGAAGATTTTTGCATTTGATTGTTGCTTGTTATGTAAAATTTTCTTGAATGTATTGCGTCGACGGTACCCGCTCTATCATATGTGAATCAACACTATTGTGCTGTCGCATCCTAGCCCCCAGGGGTAAGACATTTATATTAGCCCGGACATTCCATACGTACAAATTCACTTGTAGTATCTGAAAGTCGAACACCCAAAAGAAGACCTACTGGTGCCTCAACGCGCTCTGGGCATGTACGTAACCACAAATTCCAGATATCGGAGATCTCACACCGCGATCGGCGGGAAGGTTAATGAAGCTGTGAAGCGAACCACAGGGGTAAAATACAAAAATATCTCGCTACTAGATAAATTCTGACAATCCTTCTTGAGATCGGAGTTTTTCGGATTTTACGAGCAATACAAACATGTTGAAGAAGAAGATGCACTTCAACAGAAGGGGTAGAATACGTTGGTTTTGGAACGATGCTTGATTTGTCACTATATGTATATTATATAGTGTTTTTCTTTGCAGTTAGCCAAGGTTTAGCGGGCCCCAAGTAACCGCCTGTTTAGATCAAATGGTTTGTTATTTGACTTGTCGTACATCCTAAACAACTCCGAGGTTTTCCGGAGCTCCGAACTCCTATGTCCGAATGACAACGGTTTCAATCGGCAAGGGTGACGAATTTCTGTCGTGTGCCTGTTCCACATCAAAATACGCCCTTCATAATTTGAACAGCTCAAGTTGATATTTGATAAACATTGATACTCCAGAATATCTAAGCCTCGGTCACTTCATCCTCAGCCATGGTTGACTTTGACAAAGTGGGAACGACCGTCACGTCACCGGTCAAGCTTGCCCACGTGGTGCTGCGAACCAAGCCAGAAAACTTCGTGCAAATGACCTCTTTCTACAAGACATTCCTAGGTGGTCATGCATCTCATGAAAACGATTTTCTCTCATTCATTACCTATGATGACGAACACCATCGGATTGCCATTGCTGCTATTCCGGGGTTAGGAGATCATGACGCAAGAACCTGCGGGTTGGAGGTTAGTCGCCCATGAATGACATTTCAAACCACCAAAAAGAAACACATGACTCAGAACTCGATCGCTAATGTTTTCCGGAAATGTAAAGCACATTGCGTTCACATTTGCCAAATTGGAGGACCTCCTTCTGGCCTACCGTCAGCGGCAGGCACAAGGCATTAAGCCGGTCTGGGCAGTGAACCATGGGATCACCATCAGTATATATTATCGCGATCCCGATGGTAATCAAATCGAAACGCAAGTTGACGGCTTCAATACTGTGGAAGAGGCCAACGAATATATGAAGAAGAAAGAATTTAGCGAGAATCCCATTGGTGTGGACTTTGATCCGGATGAATATATCCAGAAACTGAAGGATGGGGCATCACCAAATGAGCTACTGGTGAGACCTGATATCGGTCCCAGAGGCTTAGATACTGTCCCTATCATGCAGATTTAAGACATCAACTCCGAAGATACTGAAATGCGATAGGTGTCGTTAAGCAGGTGACATAATGGATCGATTCTCTCTCAATAACACATTTACTGCTCTCAAATTTTTTGCAGGAAAAAGGAAGGAAATAATTTTATCAAGGTGCCACCACAGAGGAATAAACAAGGTTGACTCCCAGCGCCATGATATCCTAAACCAAGTCGAACAATGATAACGTTAGTAATATTTATCGCCACCAGGCCGTGCCGCTCAATGTGCAGCTATTTTGAATTTGAAAAATCTTGAAACATTCAGACATGGGGTAACGGAGCATAAGGTTTTGGTAAGCAAGCCCCGCGTCTAAGCGAGGCCGTCAAATGCACATAGTGAGTGCGATCAAATACTACTTAGTGCCTTAAAGACTGACTTCAATGCGCCATTAAGCTTGTAAAAGATTGATAATATGTCTTAAGGGATGTTTACCCGCTTTTTGGAATCTAAAAACTACCAAGGTTGTTACACATTAGTGGTTCAAATGCCCAGGTGGGCAGATTCACGGGTTAGGAGATACGAAGGAAAGTTTACTACGGCGTTCCATCCGCACCTCGCTTATCGAATCTGTTATTAGTTTGTGCAGCGCCTCGACACGAACCGTGCTAAACCCACCAACCAACTTACCAGACGCCCCACATTGTATCGAGGCGAAGTAGATTGAAGTGGAGATCCAAGGACTACCACGTGATCCACTGACATCGTTAGTGGGGCCTATGTCCCGGGATCGCTGGAACTCTTGATCGAGATTCCCAGTGAAACACGGCAAATCCATAAAATAGCCGGTGGCTTTCGGCTTTCAGTGCTGACTGGGGGCACTTAGTGGTTTAGCCAAGGAAACAGTTCGTGATTCAAGATGCCCCAAGATCCACAGGGGATGGCTCTGCCCAATCAGATAATATTTGCTACTGGTCTAGCCACACTAAATACTACACCGAAGCGAACCGAAGGAAGAGGCTTTAAAAACCCCCTCTCTTCAGTCGAATGTCCCTTGTCAGGTGACAGGTGCCCCCACTCCTCCTTTGCCAGATGACCACATTTTGGCGTTTCTGCGACAATGGCCTCGTTTCAGAAAAAGAATAAATGGCATCAAGTGGACTCCTCACGCAGAGGATATGAATTTGATCGTCAAATGTGACATGTCATTAAACTTGTCCCTGCTTGATAGCTCTCCATGTAAAGGGATTCTAATTCGATCTTTAAAAAGAACTCGTTTGTAGGCGCATCAGTATCATGGATCTAGCTCATGAAGTCTTAATCTGGCCAAATCATACACGTCCGGTCCTCAGCTGCATTCCAAAACATTCGGGTACAGCCGACGCGCATGAGTTTTTTCTTTACAGGAAGGGTCGCTTCCCAGTTCCTGGGAATCGCTAATTCTTGCTGCAATTAGCGCTCCTGTCGGAACATACCGAATTCATCTCCTTGGCAACAAAAGATACTGATCTCGGTGGAGATCTTTCACGCAAGATTCTAGAAGAGAATAGATCAACCAATCAGCAAGGACAGCTAAAGTCGCTTCATTTGAGCCGCCTTCACTAAATCGAGTAATTTCAAGGACAATCGCGTTGACGGGACCCGGTAGCTCCGCAATGGTCCACCGAGCCCCGTTCTGTTTCGCGCCTGCAATAGTGATTAGCCAGATTACCTAGTGTCACGCTTCGACAAGATGAGATTAAGTGAAATTTGTCCGATGAGCTGACTTTTGAATCTAACTAAAGCTTTTACATCTAGTCTGGTTAGGCAGCCCCGTGGGTCCTCGGCAAAATTGACTAGAATCTTGTACTATGGCCCTTGGCATCCAGCCACATCGTGATACGTTCCTAGCTGCATTTCAGCGGGCCGAATTTTGCATCTAATGAGCACTTCTGGGCAATATAATTAGCGAAGACCCTGTTATCTCCATTCTAATTGATATGATAGATCTGTGCAGAATGTTCACTGGTGTGCGAAGGGTCGTGCTCGGCTTCGTCTGTACTAGCGATCCCTAAATCTTTCTGTCTTTTTCTCTACCCTTCTATCTCTGTCTCTCGTTCTCTTATTCCCTACGTGTAAAACTTCCTCTCCAAGCCTGGTAAGGTTTCAAAGATCTTATTGAGGTGAATAGTTCCTCACGCCCCTGATTACAGCAGAAGTCTCGAATGCCATATCCATTCGCTTGTCATCCATATTGCAACCAGCGTGAACCGGTGGCTCTCTAGCCTCATTTTCAGATTACTTCACCAAGCGCTCGTTGCATAGTGGCTATCTGCTGCCGACGACTTTTGCATCACACTCTCATTTCTTTTCGGCAACTCATTCGTTTCTTTCTTCGTGGATACACTTCCATGTTATGAAAAAGTCCATGCCGTCATACCAATTGTTGCTTTCCAATTTGAGGTCATAGAAAGCCTTAAATTACTTCCAACCCGAAATGGAGGCTGAGTCACCCATTACTAGGCCAGGGCCCATCAAAGTCTCTTCATCCGACGGGCAGATGTTCGTGAAGGGACCTGAAGAACATTTTGAGAATAATGTGCATCTACCACAGCATATCTCACCACCGAGACCTCTTCCATTGAGGGCTTTGCATTATATAGCTCAGCAGCCACTTGAAGATTCGGGTCCTCTGCGAAATCCAATCAGCCACCACCCCAGATACCTCATACCACGCAGTCATCTGACAATCGGAACCCAGCGTCCGAGCGAGAAGTCTTTGTCGTCAGTCGACTCTAAAACTAGCGGAAGTACTTCAGATACTACCCTGTCTCTACCGATACCGCCGCCCGGTTCGTTTCCGCCGTATGCAGCGCCGCCAACACAGCCCTCTTCAATATACGGATCCTGCGCGAGTCCCACCAGCACAATTGACTTGACATCGCGTACATCAATCGCAACCGAGCTCCTTTTCAGGCAATCTACATCCTCTTCATCGGTTATTCGCCTTTCTGATATCCCCCCATTCCCGCCGCCATGGTACCCGCCGCCATCGCAAGATCCCCCACTGCCCCAGAATGATCCACGCCTGCAAGCTGTAGGTCTTACATCGCCACTCAAGACCAGCCAAGCTCAGAACTCAGATGTACAACCCGTCTTTGCCATCCCAGAGAATGTCCCTAATCCCCGCCTCACTCGAGTATCCCTGGCCTCAAGTCAGGCTATTCCGTCCAGCTGGGGTTACGGGCCGACCGAACCAGTGAGCATCGGAGCCTGCTTGGATGCCGAATCAGGAGAAGGGCGACCCATTTCCCATCACCACAGAGCATGGCTTAACGCCACCAGTGTTGAGAAGAAAGACAAGCCGACAATACCCACGATTGCCAAGTCCCATTCTACCTCAATGGTCTCGAATCTGGACAGCCCACCACTCCCCCTGGGAAAATCAACATTCGTTCGTGAAAACATAAATTCCTCGTCACTTCTTCACTCTCAAGGGACTTTTAAGAAGGGGTTCGTTTGCACGCCATTCAACCAGTCTGACCAGTATATGAAATCTAAAAAGCCGCCCATCTCACGGGAACAAACCTTCGAGCAACACAATGACACTTGGATGTCCAAGCCTTCCGATCAAAAGGTTTATGCTATGCCCAATGCTATGCCCAATGCTGCGCCGACTTTAAATGACAAAAAGCTCACTAGCCTCAATTCTTTCCATCGGGAGACAAACGCTGTGCGTGATGCTGAGGCCCGTAGCACCACTCCTTTGAGTTTGATCGATCTGATTCGAAGTGCCACTGGGATGTCTTCGAGCTCAGAGGATGGGAAAACTGCCAGTCGGACTGACCTTACTGACAAGCGCCAAGATTTTGACCTATGGAACGCAAGTGAGTTTGTGCTCTTTCCTTTTTTCTTGTCATCTTAGAAGCGAAACATAACAGTTGATATCAGGTAGATGCCACCGCGACTCTGGCTCCTTTTCTGATATTCTGGCTGAGTTCCCCCCACCGGGCGTACCATTGTTCAAAGGCCGTGGGTTTTTGCCTATTTCTATTTGGCGCTCCAAACGACGCAATATTGAAGCGATCGAGTGGGAGAAGCATCACGACACGGGTAATACTCCCTCCAAGAGACCTTTTCATGGCCTGTCCCGGAGACAGCTCATCATGATCTGCATCGTTGTTTTGAGTACGATTGTCCTGGCAATTCTGCTTCCTGTTCTTCTCGTCACCCGATCCAACTCCAACAGCTCTACATCGTGCGAGAAGAATATGAGCTGCCAGAACGGAGGAGTCAGTGTGTCGAGTGGTAATGGGTGTTCGTGTATTTGTGCTAATGGCTACACCGGGACTCAGTGCACCACCATTGGGGATAGCAGCTGTGTAACGTCGGATGTCACATCGTCAAGAAACGCGACGATGGGTAGTTCCTTGCCTCGTCTCTTCGATGATTCGCTGTATAAATTCGGCATTGCTCTCAATGGAGACACCATCATGGCCCTATTCAGCGCGAAGAACATATCATGCAACGCTGAGAATACCTTCGTCTCCTTCAGCGGTGCAAGTTATGGCAGTGACACAAGCAAGACTCGCCGATCCTATAGGACGTTCATCAGCGAAGTTGAAGCTGAAATAGACCCTATATCTGTCTCCCTATCCGGTTCTAGTATAACTACTCCTCGGGCCCTAGCTACCATGAACGGCATCCTATATGACGACTCGACCACCAGCGAGGCCGCAACTACAGATTCTACGGAGATGGAGTTCATGAGCAGTACAGCCATTGCCTTATTCGAGGTAGTGGAATTCTCCCAGGTAGCTGTGCTCTACATCGTGGAAGAGACACGCTCGTTTGAATCCGCCGTCAGTACGAAGGAAACCATTCAATCGTACCTACTTCAGTCCTTCAAAAGCACAGCCCACCCATCGCTCCGGGTGTTGGGTGCGTATGACCTCGACTTTGAGAATAAGACCATCACGCTACCCGATGGTACGACGATAGGAGGGCGAATTTGAGTCATGGTTCATATCGAAGAAGGGGAAGAACATGAAGGAAATTACGTATGCATCCCATGGCTTGTATGATTAATTGATGAAATTATTACACTTACCGTAAAACATTCCTTCCCGCCGCTGAACAGCAAATTGCCATTTGCTGTTAAGAATTCTCGCACGGCTCTATTCATTTATCATGACACCCACATTCAGGTATTGGCCTCCAGTGAGCTGGTCATCGTGGCCCTCCGTGGCAAAGTACTCACTGCACGGCCCCGGGAACATCAGAAGGTCACATATTTGCTCTCGCAGTTCGGATATCGATGATTCGTATGCCTGGTTCAGTTTCATAGCAGTCATTTTCATGATGTGTGTACCGATCAAGACTCATGACGTGCTGTTTAGTATAGCCGGCGATTGTGGTGCAATATGGGCCGGCACTTCCTCTGTTCAGTGGCATTCAATTTCCGATGGATGACTATTTTCAAAATATCCCTTGCGTGGGAGTGGTACCATGAATCCCCCTTTTCTTTTTATTATTGGACTTGCATCCTGCCTTTCTCCAACCAGCCAAACTGGACCCTAGAGCTCTTGTAGATCTTCAATCGTCAGGGACAGTTAAAAGTCTCTTTCTTCGGATCCTGGCTGTAGGCGATGTTTTCCTAGGACCCAAGCGGATCCACTAACAAAATTATTCAAACGCGCCAATTTTTTAACGCAGAGTAAGTATCCAAGCCCAACAACAATCTTATCCATTTGCTGTTTCCATACATTAGAGTAGAATCGGCAAACACTTGAGCCCAGAAATGACGAGAGACCAAGCGGTTTGACTGTGCTTAAAAGATGTAAAAGTCCCAGCGTGTTCTGCATCAGAGAGTCCTCTAATGAAGGGTCATCAAAGAGCATTCACATTAACTCCCAATGAACACTTCTGACATTCGAGCCACATTCGATATGTGGATCATCAACATCTCTGGGTAAAAAACGCTGTTTCAGTTCATCCCGCGATATATGGACGGCATTTGCAACATCCGGGCGGGATGCTGTTTGAAACAAAATCATTATTGAGTCTCCGCAGAACCCTCTCGATTTGAGACGATTTATGGGATCTCTAGCTCTTCGTAGTATATTCACACATTCTTCTTAAACAAAATACGATATCAATGTGTGCAGTTGATCAAGTTATTTCGAATACTGACAGGTTGGCAATACATAGCATTATAAAAGTATCGAAATTATTACCTTTGTCAAGAATTAGTTTCAAACTTGTTCGTTCATGTCTCGGATCCCGGCTAGAGGAACATCGGTCTTTGGTACAGAGTCTCCAGTCCCCACACGGGGCTTGCGGAGCCGACGGGCCCCATTTTGCTCTGACATACATTGTCTTGCCTCTGCTTGAAAAAGTCCCGAGGCGAGTGGGACCTTAAGTATTCATTTGTTTTTCCATTCTTCATTTCCCTTTCTCATTTTTTTCTTTCAACAGTACGTTGACAAACAAGCGTAGATCATTTGGCAGCTTTGCAATGGCGACAATTGAATGGTTCGGTCGGGAGGCCAAGTGACCCCTCCGTTGTGTAGATCAGCTCCACTCTCTCTTCTCTCTTCTTCCTTCTTTCCTCCTTTTTCCCCCGGCAGCCAATTGTTCTATAATAAACAAATTTATCTATATGTGTTGTCTATCCCGCATAACTAATTTTCGTACTCGTACACTCCTTTGTCCCTATCTCTCCTCTGACCACTTCGAACAGCACATGACGTGCTGATAGGTTCGGTAGGAACTTCACATCACAACTTGGCTAACTCCTGGGCACTCTATGAAATTTCTTGGAAACAAGCACGTCCACTTTGACGAGTATTCTCGATTTGCAACGTATATAATTATTGAAAATTAAAGCAGGACGTAGGGAATCTCAAGGCTACTCTCACGTTCTCCCCCGAAATAGAGTACCTGCCGTCCTTTATTTCCAGTGACAAACCCGCCTCTTAGAGGCTCGAATTCAGCCAATGTCATATGATGGCCAGCAATCTTTAGTACAAGTTGTTCATCAGGCTCAAACTGAATAGCTGCTGGCCATAGGCTAATTTCCAACTTGACAATTTGACCCGGTGGGATCAGATCAAGCTTGCTATGATCGTGTGCTGGCCAGTGCGGCTTGCTCAAAATGGGATCCAGGGCTCTATGGCTAGCCCTTAGGATGCCAGTGGGTCCAAGGTACTTGAGTGTATTGACAGTCTGAACTTCTTCTTCAGAGTGTACACCCAGCTCTCCCAATGGTATGTTTACATTGCGGAGGATCTTACCATACCTGTCAGCTTTCCGGATTTGAACAAAAACGTCAAAGTCATCATGATCTGGGCAAGAGAGCCATAGTGTGGCTTTGGATGTCCCAATAAGTCTGGTCTTTTCTTTGAAGGTATGGCGGAACAAGATCTCCTCGTAGTCGTCATCGGTTTGTTGGCCAACTATATCTCCCTGATAAGAAGCATTTCCTTGTTCAACCGCAGATTGATTCACTGATAGAAGACCATTCGAAGATAGGTAGAACTTTTGGTACTCTGCCTCCTGAATAGGCCATTGGGAATATGGTATGTTCCTTAGCGGGGGCTATAATATCTTCCAGTCAGGAACGCGATGATTTGTATCGACAGGGCTGTGTATTATTTCCACGACTCACTTACCTGATTGAATCGTAGAACAGAGATACGAACACGCGGCGTCTGCTCCCACCCGTTCAGAATGCCTTTAGTATAGAAGTCGAGAAACAATTTCATATCTGCGATGCTATCTTCTTGGTAAAGATCGTGCCACTCCTGTGTGGGATGTATTCGCAGCCTATAAATATTTTAGTGGGTCTCAAACTTTCTGCCATTTGGCTGGATTTGACAAAGGAATCTCTATACCATTTCTGTTCATGGGGGATATCTTCGAACGATCGAAGTGAACCAATGGTGTGCAGTGCACTTGACATACTTGCAAGCACATAAGCAGGGGCTTTGATTAGATGGGCCTTTGCTCTTTTATCTTGCCAATAATCATTCATCAGTGGATAACGATCAATCATGGCAATAACGTCCTCTTGGTAGTTGTCTCCTGCTTCGTTGATTAATGATTGGTCAGATGAGTATGCAGAGTACCAGAGATTGATTACCAAAGAAAGTGCCCATTAAGAAGGACCAAAATGGTTTGTACGGGACTCCTCCTCGGCACAAAGACTCTCTGTAAACGTCGCTCAATCCTTCAAGTGGTAGCATGCAAGATAGATGTGGAGGTTGTTCAGCTGCAATGAACCATTGAGATGATGCGAGCCATGAATTCCCCATCAGTGCGATGCGCCCATTTGTCCATGGAAGGGATGCGATGAACTCTATAGCATCGTAGCCGTCTCGACCTTCTGATGTTCCATGCCACCTAAAAGTTCTGAGAACAAAGTTTTCCAAATTCAAGCGAGCTACCCACCTATGGTCACCAGTGGAGCCCAATATTCCCCTCGCATTCACATTCACTACCGCATATCCATAGGGGACCCATTCAGCCGGGTCGGGAGCCTCGAAGCTTTCGAATCCAGAGAGACGGTCTTTCGAAATTCCCACACGGCCCTCAGTAACGTCAAGGGAAAGGATTCCTAGAGGCAGCTCATTCATTAGCCAAGAGGAAATCAAAGGAAGTTGAATTGCTATACCAGTGCCTGTCTTGCCATAAGGAGACCAAACCAGGATTACTGGAATATTCTCTTCGCCAAATGGGCGGAAGACATCAGCAAGGAGAATAGACCCATCTCGCAGTGGGACCTCTATATCCCTCTCCCAAACGGTAGGTGTCTGGAAAGAACGACACTTCTCTTCTCGTTGAAAATCTGGTTGCAACACCGTTTCCTTTGGGAACTGCGCCCCCGATGAGCGTTTCGCGGCTGCATTATCACTGCTCGTAATTTTTCGCTGAAGAACCTCGATATTCCCAACGATGTAGGTCATTTTGACTTATGAAATTATTCAGTCCCTCAAGAACCCTTTCATGCAAGGTTCTTGTTCTCTTTTAGGCCAAAGCAAAAGTATTAGCGTATGAATGAAGCGATCCTACACCACGTACAGAAGGACATTTATACACGGCCTCCCCCACTAGTGAGTCAGTATGATTTGTTTCTTATTTTACCATACCCCGCATGCTGGGAATCACAAATTAGAGAGGCATTCCGGCTGCTGATGGGAACTAGGGATAATGAGGGGCCGACGGGGGCGGAGAACCGAACACTAGCATATGTCCGTGGAGCAGCAACAAGTAAAATTCCATCGCCCCTTCGCTCCCTGAACTTGTTTGTGAATGCGTGCCCCGCGCCCCGCTCAGGAAACAGACTTGCGAGTAATCCAAGGAAATTCAATACATTTTCACAAGGCCCTTATAATTGTACAAGCTCGGATAGTGAGCGCAATAGAAATCAAAGAACACATATTTACAGTTGCTGAGAGGGTCGGGGAAGGAAGAGCAGAAATTATAACACATGAAACTTAAGGAGTGACGTGAAAGAACATAGTAATTCTACACACACTTCCAACGATGAGTCAAATATTGTTACCGACCCATCAATCAGCTCAATGTTTTATCAGTTGGCCTTTCTGCTGGCCTGACCGCGCAGTATTCTACATACCATTTATTCTGTACCTAGGTGCATTCATACTGGTAGTAAATCATGTCACGCTCCCCGTTTGTGTCTTTCGATCAGTGCTTTCCCGCGCTTGTGCTGGAGAAGGATCAAAGGAGACTCGCCAGGGGCGAAGAATAAGGTAAACTAGGACGAGGTACACCAAGTAGTGGTCAGTGGGAAACAACGGGGCGAATATAAAATATTTGCTTATGTTGATGAGGGAGGAGGGGAGAAAAAGCAAAAGAAAAGCACTGATCCAAAGAACCAGGATGACGTCTTTTGATCTTGAACAAGTTCTTTATTTTCTTCGTTTCCTCTTCTTCTCGCTCGTCCCACAAGACAATTCTTTTTATGTTCATTCCCATTCTGCGGCCCACCACCACTGATATGATCACTGCTTACCTCCTCCTGTCTCATCCCTGACAACTCTCCTTTGATTCTCTTCAGCTTGTTGCGCTGACAGTAGTGCTATGAAGAATTTGAAATATAGTGATTTTTGTAAGTATTCTCACCAAAGCATATACAATGAATCATATAGTGCTGTCAGATCATGTCTAAACTTTTTCTCGAGTGTGCCGACTTTCTTAATCAAAATTTGATTCCTCGGTGATGAAGCCTAAACAAGCACCCTACGCCGAGGCCCTCACCGTCATCCATCATGGCCTAAGAAGAGTAGCTTATGAAGCGCTGAATTTATAAAGGCTCTCACGGCTCAGACATTTAGGAAGCAGGAGAGTTCCAAATGATGATGCCATATACAATGCCTTTTTGAAGCAAGAAAACGCACAACAAAAACCACTAAAAACTACACGAGCATCCGTAAAATCAGGCAAGGTAAGTCCCAGAAGCACTTTCATAATGATAATATAGTATATCATAGACAGGATTTCTTTAAAGGGAGACTTGACTAAACATGAAGCCAATCTGATCCAAAGAAGTATAACAAGACAGCAAAGATCGGTAAGTTAGTGCACGCGCTCTGAAATTATGTAGACAGGTTAGTGAAGAGAGCAACACTCGATGACAGTGCACTGAATGCTGTACGTGTCAATACAGTAGCACAGAGCGGCAACACAAGCCGATGCATGTCATACAGAAGATCAGAGCAGCGGCTCGTAGAGGTCAAATGAGAGAGGTGTAGAAGTTCTTTTTTCAGTGCGATGTTGCAATGCCGGTTATAGATATGCTGCCTATAATAAGAAAGACTGGTCATAATACTCTAGCATGGCACGTCCTCCAAACCCCCAAGCGCTAGTCTCATGTAACAGGGGGTTCCTTACTGATTAAGATGGTTTCCCACAGCTTTACTGGTGATGGTAGACTATCCAGAATATTAGTCCTAACATATACTTGTTTATGGAAGATCTGTTTTGTAAATATATATAGCATATCACTTTCTCGGTGGCAACGGATCGAAAGTGGAATGAAAGAGCTAGTATCCCGGTAGCTGGCCTCGGACTTACTGTCCTGATCTAGCCCCACCGGAGCGCCTCGGGCGGGGCACCTCTGGACAAAGCCTCCTCTTCACAATGGGAGACAGGTTTCAAGGTTTCACCGCAGTCGAATGACTATGGAAAATCTCACCTTGCATTCCAAAGGTCTTAGCACATTAGCTGCATGATGCATGCGGAAGGTTTGCCTGAAGCTCTGATATCCTGTTTAGGACAGGCTATTCTATGAATATTCTCTGTCTAGGTGTGCTTCTACTTTTGAGAATGATACGAGTATTGGCAGTAGTTATGGAATTATTTATTTATGAGGTTCACGATCCATCATCGGATCATATTATATCAATAAGCCTCTTAGTCTATTTCGTGTATTTATAGATGTGGCAATTCCTGGACCCTATCCCGCGCATTGCATAAGGTAGATCATGCATGCATCAGCAGGGGCCACTTCTGATCAAGAATCGTGAAAAGGTCGCACCACTCACACTCTGACCACTGGATCAACATTTCATTCTTTAGGGCTCTTAATAATGGCATAATTCAGTGGTCGGTAATTCTTTTCCATTATATGCGCCGATGTATTGCAGAGAAAAGCTGAAATGATCAGCCTCGATAAGAGCGCCATTAAAATTTCATTCTTTTATTACCTGTTTTGAGACAGAGCTCGTATTCTATCACCCCTTTGCTCTATCCATTCTCTGTATGAACTTATGACTTCCTTTTAAGACCTTGATGGATGTTTCTACTACTATGCACGCGACTTGCTGATGATTAGTTTCACCGTAGACGGAACTGATATTTTAGATATGAAAACTGAAATTACTTTGCCGACATCACTCATAGGAAAATATAGCCAGACGCCGCAAAGACGAGTATTGCCACAGCTTTGCGAATCGGGGGTGTAGGACAAACGTCATATTGAAACTAGTGTGTGAGGGACCTCAAGTGCAAAATGACTGTGTGGGCATAGATAATGAAGCTTTAATTACCCATTAAACCCTGGAAGATATTACTATCCAATGCCCTTTATCGATGGGTTATTGTGACACAAATTTCAAAGTAAACAGGTCATAGCGATGCTTATGATGTTGAATACGATGCGATCTATTGGTTTGGCTTCACTAGGGATGATATGCAATAAGACATCCAAACACCATGAAAATCCAGTTTTTAACGTAGTGCTGTGCAACCTTAATATCGAGCCATACAGCAGAGTTTTGGGTTAGGTCTATGATCTCCTCTGCATGAGCACCCGGCCGCATTCACCACTTACGTAACGCAGCGGCCCGCGCGTTCTCCGCAATATAGCAACCGTCCATCTTTACCCCTTACATCGATTTATTACATAGTAGGTCTACAAGCAGCAAGAGAGCGGGGATTGCCTTGCGGGCTAAAGGTACTATTTCTAGGACAAAGCTTTCCCTTTAATGGTATATCTATTTCGGAAAAGGTCTAGCAAGTAAGATGCTCGGAGAAGCTAGCGTAATCTTTAATCAGTATCGATTAACCCGATCAGCCACATCATGATGAATCATCACTTAGTGACTCCTTGCATTTTAGTTTCAGGGTTGGATTTTCGGCCCGTTCCACAAAGTTTCGGCTGCTTAGGTCACCACAATTATGGGACATCAAAATGGCGGAATTGTGAGGCAGGCGCAAGAATATCAAGTAACGAGGCGAAGCCACAAAACCTAGCTGCAAGGATATCATGTAGATCAGCGGAGAGCCAAAAATACACGGATATCTCCAAATAGACAGCCGATGATGAACATGGGCAATGCAGTGAAATGCATGATACGAACCATGAACAAGATATCCTTTATTAATGCATCACAATAATGATTTCAATAAATATAAGGTATAAGTATTAATGTTTACCGATTAAGAGAAAAACTTGTTTTAATAAGTTTAATACGGTATCTCGAACATTGAAGTTTCCTCTTACCTAGCCGGCCATATCGACGTGTAATTCTATCATCATAAGGGTTGAGGCTTCTTGTGCATGGAAATGAATAATTTGCACATAGGTATTTTCAATTGAATGAGAAACAAATTGATCGGCATTGATTGTGTACGCGTCCTTCTCTAACAAGATGTCCTAAATGACTCAAAAGCAACTCTGATTGCATATCTAGATATAGCGACGCTATGAGATAGACACCACAGTCTAGCTAATACCTGAATAGTTATTTTATGATGTCAATTGCCGACTATCATCTGCAATTAAAAAAAGCAACCATGTTCGCATCAGAACGTGCCCAAGGTTCCTCCAATGAAAGGTCAAGGGAAGGTCGAAATACTTGGAAAGAGCCCTTGAGTGCATCATTTGACCCTAAGCAAGTTACAAACCATTGAAACAGCGGTCAGATAACATCATAGGGGAGACTACTGAAACAGAACCTATAAAGACCTCGAGGAAAGCCGTGCAAAACTCCTTTTTCATACTTCAACAACAACAACAACAACAACAACAACAACAACAACAACAACAGCAACAACAACAACAACAGCGACAAATCTTGTCTCTTCCTTCAAAAGAAACACCTTCACCCCTTCATTCTACAAATTTCCAGATATAAATACTTCGACCAACACAATGAAGCTTTCTGCCATTACCGTGATGTTTGTTGCTGCTACTGCTGTTGCCGCAGAGGGCTCCAAGAAGATTTTCGAGGTCGAGGGTCTCGACACCTGGAATGAACAAGAAGCGAAGGATCTCTTGCAATGCAGCGTCACCACCCTCAATGCCTTCGACCGCGGCGTTACTGGAAATAAAGCTTCCTGTAACATGTTCCGATGCCTTCAGAACTATGCGGATACCTATAACCGAGGTGGCGTTTTCCAGAAGCTATCGCAGATTCTCGATATTGTTTGCGTGCTGCGTAAGTTTCCCTTCTCCTCATTTCTGAATTGCCTTCGCTCTTCTATATACGCCGAAACACAAACATGAAAAATCAAAGATAATCGCTGACTTTTGCTTGATTCTCATTACCAGCATTTTAAACACATGATCCACATTCATGATAACGGTCTGACGTCTCTTTATGAGTGCTCCCTTTATTGAATGCCCCTGGATTTTTCGGTTAGACCTCGATATGGGTTTTTTGCCTGTCATGCTGCTTTTTCATCGCAAGGCAGTTTTTTCCCATGTCCTCGTGTGAATGCAGAGGCTATGCTTGATATAATTTTGATAGATAAATGTTGATGTTAATGTTGATGGGTTATGATATGAAATGGAATAAGATGACGAATTGAGCAATATCCACAAAATAACATACGTAAGGTTATCTCAATGGAAGCTAGTCTAGTCTGATGAGGATGATGAGATAATAAATCATTAAAGCCGAGATTTGAAATCAGCATTTTAATAAAGTGAGAGGCCATTTGTAAGTTACCACAACCGCATATATGCTCAAATTCAGGCAGTCAGTCTAGTGGAACCTGCACACAATGACTCAACCTTAGTTGTACGTCGCCTTCGGTCCATGAAAGATTTCCCACTTGATTTCATAATGGAAAAAGCCTAATTCCTAATTTAAAAAGTCAAAAAGGTCAAGCAAAGAAAAAACCATTCATCGCACTTATTCATGGACCTGGCTTCACCCTATGGCTCTAGAAAACCTCGGGACGACCATTATATAATTCTCACTACACCCGGTGGAAAGGCGTTGCAGGACCGCACCACATATTGGTGATAGGAATGACGCGGACCAATAGAAGGTATACTCATTGTCGCTTCAAAACATGATTAACTTGTCTAATACGATGTCTGAGGGATAGCTAGATTTTTTCCAAATTTTCTTCCTGTACAAGCCGTTGAGTGGCTGTTTCGGTCATGTGGAATCTCCAAGGTTTTATCTTTCGCTCAAACAGCTCATCTAATTCAGCTGCAGATCGCCTAGGGAAGATTAAAATTAGTCAAACAACATCTAACATCGATGGATATCTGAATAACTTACCCAGCAGTCTCAGGAATCAGTAACCACATGCCAATAACAAATGGAAGGCCAACGCCAGCATAGAACCACCCTGTCTTGTAGCCCCAGTTCCATTTGCTGCTATTTGTCATGTATGGGACGAGGACATTCATCACAACACCAGCTACACAGGTCACAGCCGCACCAAAGCCAGCAGTATATGGCCTGAGGCGCTGTGATGAGATTTCTCCAATATATCCCCATCCAGTTGCGCCGTTTGTGGCCAATCCACAGTCTAAGAATTTCTCGTTATTCGCTGCTCTCTCAAATAGGGGAAGATTTCTTACTCCATAGGCAAGCGAAAAGGATAAAAAGGTAAGTAGATGCCTTTACTTGAGGACAAACCCCGATAATCCCGATCGCGACGCAAGACACCCAACACAGTGTCGTTCCTGAACAAGCAAGCAATCTTCTCCCCAAGCGATCGGCGACAATGACCACAACAATCACTGTTCCAATTTGAATGGAAGTGGTGATGACCTTAATTCTGAAAGGATCGTCTAGTCCAGCTTGTTGAAAGAAATAGGTTCCAAATGTCCCAAAGAGGCTGAGACCAATCAACTGTTGGGTGAGGTTGGTCCAGAAAGAGATAACAGTGCGAAGACCATTAACGCCCTGGAAAATCCCGTACCACTTCTCTCGACGTTGCTCGACTGCAACAGCGCGCTCATGCTCAACAGCAAGAGCTAATACTTGGAATTGTCGTTCTAGATCGTAGTTGGGCACTCGGCCATTGAGCTTGAGAAGTTCCTTCTTCGCTCTGTCATCCTTGCCAGCATTCACACACCAAGCAGGTGATTCTGGCACTAAAATGTAGATGATGAACATGATTCCTATTTGAGCCCACTGGGTATAGATTGGTGTCAGATAGTCGGTTGCGTCATTGCTTGCCAAATGTTGAAGAGCGACTTGAGCAAAGAATGAGCCTAATGTCCACCAAAAGCTGTAGCACATCAAAAGGCCTCCACGAATTCGAGTGGGTGCCACCTCTGATATATATGTTGGCACAGTCGACTGCAAACAGCCCACTCCAATTCCTGCCAGGAGCTTCGCTACCAGCCAGCTCTGCCATGATCTCGCCAGACACTCAGTAAGGACGCTTCCCACTAGGATTACCCAATATGTGAACATTGCAACCTTTCTACCGTATCTGCTCGAAAGGAATGGCAAGGTTATCATTCCGATGATCTGGCCGCAGGACATTATCGAGCTCCATCCACTGAGTATTGGCGATGCGAGAGCAGGTTTTCCGGTCTTAGCAACTGTTGTAGCAAAGCGAGAGACAAATCCAGTATTTGCAATGATACTAGCATTTATTCTGGAAAAGGATTGAAGTCAGCAGTCCTTAGAGATGTCCAAGTAAAATGCATCGGATCAACGTACCCAATCTGGTACCCATCGGTTGCCGCGCTGAATGCCATTGCAAAACACACGAGAGTGCAGATTTTGAAGGTTTTGATTGTCTCAAGAGCGCTTAAGTTTTCATATCCAGTGGTTACCTGACCCCTCATCACAGCATCAAAGGCCGGGTCAGACGTTTTGAATCCTTCATCGTCCATAACCTCCAAGTGCTGGGTGGCGGTTGACATTTCAGTGGTAACTTTGGGTTCTGATTGCATTTTGGGGTCATATATCACAAAGTGTGCAACTTATAGTATGAAATTCAAATCGAGCAGGGGGTTTCATTTGAATTTAAAACATTGGGCGTCTGGCGTAAATAGACAAGGAACTCTTGCCCAGTGTGTAACCGCATGATCTAAACAAAGAACCTCAGTTCCATTTCCCACTCGGTCCTGATTACCCCGAACCTGCTTACTTCAATTATGTATTCAGAACACGAGGCAATTCTTTCAAATGATAGGGATGGTCGTTATGCTCGTGAAAAACCCCGGACCCCACAATCTAACCCCGGATTTAGGGACCATAAAGTTTGTGGATCCTGTCTAACTTCACTGGGATCCAGGTAAACCCCGCATCCTCGGCTACTTAGGTGTGAGAATATCATTTTACACTCGTAAAACTCTAGATCACATAGTATATTTCAAATGCCGATGGCGGCACTTCCGTGTTCCGAGAACTATACCCAGGGAGGTATAGTTTACGGGCCTTGGCATCTTCGAATGGTCTGTGGCGCCACCAAGTTGGGTTTTGTTTTCACTGATGTTGCTATGAACTATAAGGGCTTTTCAATTCAGGTCTTCCGAAATTTGGGAGTCAAGCATGTGAAGTCTTTGTTGAGATTATCGTAATTGTAACACTAAGGTTTCATCTTCTAAAAGCTGCCTAGGCACTTTTCTAAGTACTGACTACTGACTGTTTAAGCAGAAACGTGTAAAAACAATACAATGTCATTGCCAATACTAATTACGCAGCTGGCGACGCTCGTTGAAGGTCTTCTTCAAGTAGTGGGCGGACTGTTTGGGGGTCCTCACAAGCGTGTCATAGTCAACATGAGTGATACCATAGCGCGGGCCATATCCAGCCGACCATTCTGGGGATGCCTATCAGCGAATGAAGAAAGATAACAAGCAGAAAGAGGAACGTACCAAAATTGTCCATGAGACTCCAGGCACAGTAGCCTCGTACAGGAATACCATCTTTGTAAATGGCCTCGGAAATGGCATCTAAATAGAGACCGAAATACCGTACACGAAAGGTGTCGTTGACTGCTTGTTCTAGGATCATTTGGCTTTCGCCTGGACATGGGCAACCATTCTCCGTGATTATTATTGGCAGATGGTAACGATCCCATACCCAATTCATAAGTTTCCGAAATCCATGGGGGGCAACGCGAAGCCATGACATGCCAGAAATGGGTCCGAGCATTTTTCCTTCACTATTTGTGGCCACTTCCTCTACATTTCCGGTACAGTCATCCTCGGCTGGTGGATCAGGAAGAGCGCGGGCAAATTTAGTAGAGTAATGGTTCATTCCGTAAAATGCATTGATCGGGGCTGTCTCCTGGAGAAGCATCATCTCTTCGTGGGTGAATTCTGGCAACCGAGACTGGAGCTGGGCGCGCATTTGGGCCGGGTAGTCTTTGCCCAGGAATATGGGATCAGCAAACCAGCCAATGTAGAATTCAAGCCTGCGTTGTGCGGCAGCCTTGTGCTCCTCGCTTTTTGAGTCCCACGGTTCATAAAAGTGGCCGTTCAGCACGATCGAGATAATACCATTCTGAGGACGTTGGAACTCTGTCGCGTAGATTTTCACAACCTTTGCGTGGGATAGAATAATTGTATGACCGACGCGCCATGGCTCCTTGCGTGTGTCATTCCCAGCCGCAGAATTGTGACCAGGGGCAAGCACACCGCTATGGTGTCCAAAGATAGAGATGATGTATGGTTCATTATAAGTGGCCCATTTCTTCACACGATCGCCAAAGCGAGAGAAACAAAGCCGGCAGTATCTCTCGAAGTCTTTCGTGAATTTATCTGTGTTCAAGAAGGCACCATAGCGGATATATAACTCCTGTGGTACATCCCAGTGATAGAGAGTCACAAATGGCTCGATTTTGTGTTCCAAAAGACAATCAATGAGCCTATCGTAGAATGCGATCCCATCTTCATTGATCAGGTCATCATGACCGCCCAGAGGAATAATGCGAGACCAGGCGATGGAAAATCGATATGTATCCACCCCGTACGAGGCCATAAGCTTCACGTCTTCGATCATGAGATTATAGTGATCACAGGCCACATCGCCACTGTCCCCATTCGTACGTGAGGGATTGAGATGGCTGAAAACATCCCAAATGGATTGTCCTTTGCCATCCTGGGATGCTGCGCCTTCAATCTGGTATGCAGCCGTGGCAGTCCCCCAGAAGAAATCGGAGGGGAGAGGTAGCTCTTGCACGGTTTGAGGTTCGATGACCCATTCTTCGTTGTCGGGCTGGAGAACATTATCCCCAGCCTGGAACATATTAACGTTCATTTTGGGATCAAAAACACTGGATCATGGGATCTCGAGATACGTGGCGCAAATGGAGGCCCGTGTCTTTGTCGGGGAACAAATCGCTTAAGAACAATGATATGGTGGAATAGGATCGTCGGCCTTTGAAAGAGGAATGCGGCATTTGAAGTGCTTCATTAACTCTACCTTCGGGTTAATTCGCGCTCCCAATGTCACATTTCCGCTCCTGAATCCCTCTGACTCGGTTCATTATTGCCCCGAGAAAGCCATCTACAGGCATTTTCTGTGTTCCCGCAAAGGTTCCTCGTAATCATTGCAAGCCACCGTCCAGGCAGCTGTTAGGAGATGTACGCGGAGAACTCGGCATTGTCGCAATGAACAAATCTGCAGATCTTGAGAGCCACGGCTTGGTACCCACCGAAACATCAGGCCAGACTGGGCAAATGGCAATTCTCTGCTGTGATCGAATTGCTGCTCCCTGGGGCCCCACTACGGCTGGGACAGATACAGAATGGCTTTTTCGAAAGGAGTTCGAGGTGAAGCCTGGCGCATCTGGCACACTATTCATTACTGCTCAGGGAGTCTATGAAGCAGAAATCAATGGTCAACGCGTGGGAGACCATTTCATGGCCCCAGGATGGACAGCCTATAGCTACAGAATACCCTACCAAACATACGATATTACACCCTGGTTAACTACAGGGAGAAATTGTATCGGTGTTCGTGTTGCTGAAGGCTGGTTCTGTGGACGCATTGGCTTTGAAGGCGGCCATCGAAACATTTGGGGACCTCATCCGGCTCTCATGTGCCAGCTCGAAATCCAAGCCCCAGATATCGTCATTGAGACTGTATCTACGGACAATACTTGGTTAGTGACAAGAGGGCCTATTCAACGCGCCGAGATCTACAATGGCGAAAAGTACGATGCAACTCAAGAGGTTCCGTACTGGTCCACGATTGCCCCTTGCGAATTCACCGATATTTTCAATCATTGGTTACCCGTGTTGTGCATGCCTCCACTGCCAAAGGAAATTGTGCTCACGGCACACGGAGAACCTGTGAGACGAATTGAGACAATCAAACCACTTCAACATATTATGTCCCCATCTGGCAAATCGATCATCGACTTTGGTCAGAATCTGGTTGGATACGTCAGGTTGAAGAACATCAAAGGTCCTCGTGGTCACAAGATCATCTCATCACATGCCGAGGTCTTGGAAAAACAAGAGATTTGCACAAGAACACTTCGCATTTGTGATTCTATCGATGAATACATTCTGAAAGGTGATAAGAATAGCGAGACCTATGAGCCGCGGTTTACCTTCCACGGATTTCGGTATGCGCAGATTGAAGGATGGTCTAGCGACATCAGTTTGATGGATTCGGTCGAGGCAGTTGTATGTCACACAGACATGAAGGAAATCGGCTCCTTTTCATGTTCCAATAAATTGCTCAATCAGCTATATCAAAATGTCCGCTGGGGAATGAAGGGTAATTTCTTTGGGGTGCCGACGGACTGTCCTCAGCGCGATGAGCGATTAGGCTGGTCTGGTGATCTCGCTCTCTTTGCACCTACAGCGGTTCTAATATTCGATTGCTACGAATTTCTCAGAAACTGGCTTGTCGATGTTTGGTATGACCAGAAGGACCTAGATGGTGTCCCGGCAATGGTCACCCCTAACGCAACACTTCCAGACCCCGTCTGGTGTCGCAGGAAGCCCTGCGCTATCTGGCATGATGTCACCATTCTTGCGCCTTGGGCACTTTACGAAGAGACTGGAAAAATCGAGGTCCTAGAGCAACAGTACGAGAGTATGCAGACATGGGTAAACAAGATACCCAGAAGAAAAGAGGGTTCTAGTCATCTCTGGGATACTACCATTTTCCAGCTTGGGGTAAAGTCCTGGGTTAAGACTCATGATTCTCATTTTCTAAGTGCTGACTGACGTTGAATTTAGGATTGGCTAGATCCAGATGCTCCTCCGGATGCACCTTGGAAGGGCAAAACCGACGCACAACTCGTGGCGAATGCATTTTTGATTCATAGCCTTGGACTCATGGTTCACATCGCCCATCTTCTTCACAGAGAAAAAGATATGTTGAATTTTAAGAAGGATGCTGAAGCGACCCGAGAAGAATTCCATAAGGAGTATGTCACCGCGAACGGTCGCCTGGTATCTGATAGCCAGGCAGCCTATTCCATCGCGATTTGCTTTGGTCTCTTGACACCACTGCAGCAAGAGCGAGCGGGGGAACGCCTTGTCTACCTTGTGAGGAGTAACAATTTTCGAATCGGAACAGGTTTTGCTGGAACCCCATTCCTGTGCGAAGCTCTTGCCTTGACGGGCAATATTCAAGTTGCGTATGCAATGCTTCTTGAGCAGAGTTGTCCTTCTTGGTTATATCCGGTGACCATGGGGGCTACTACAATGTGGGAACGATGGGATAGTATGTTACCGGATGGGTCTATCAACCCTGGGGAAATGACTTCTTTCAATCATTATGCATTTGGGTCCATCGCCAAGTTCTTGTATGAAAGAGTCGCAGGCTTGCAAAGACTGGATCCTGGATGGAAGAAGTTCCGCTTTGCACCAAGCATAGGGGCTGATATTCAACATGTTTCAGCTACCCATGATACCCCAGACGGTCGCATTTCTTGTTCTTGGAGGACAACTACTAGATTCGACAAGCAAACTCGCCTAGAGACAATGGTCACCGTTCCAAACGGTATGGTATGCGAGGTTATTTTGCCCAATGGGTGCCAAGACTTGCGGAAGACTGTTGCGCATGGAGAGTGGAAATTCGAAACTACCTTTGTTCGAGTCTACGAGTGGCCCCTCAAGCCTTTGCCTGCTAAGTCATGAGCTTTTTGACATTCCAGGAGCGCCTATTTGATATTGTAATATAAAATAATCTGATTTTCATACACTCAGACCATAGTTCTACACTTCGGTATGATAGGCTTTGGAAAAATGGAGACTTTTAGAGCAACACCACAACTGTCGTATGGAAGAACCACACATAGCTTACTTCCAGGTACCAGGGAGACCTGTGTTGAGCTGATAGAATGTGATACCACTTTATTTGTCTCAGAATAGATTTGGGGCGATGTTCGTGATATGGGAAGTCTGGTTCTTATTCCATAGTACCTCAAAGAAATACGAATTACAGTAGTGACTGATGCTATCTCTACTCAAAAAGTCCAAGCCTCCGACAAGACAAAGTAGAACTTCATTTTATCACGCATCATTAATTGGCTGGTGATAGGTCACACCATCGATAGTGGTACTCAGTGTTCCATTGGCCTCAAAGATGTTCTTGATGGCATCAATTGACAAATAAAATCCGCCAGGTCCTGTCTTCTTGGTTGCATTGACGGCACCGGTTTGTACAATGTCCGAAGTCCAATATAGTTGACTGAGCCAAGGATCTGTTGCCGTCAATGTCAACGTTACCGACTCGTAGCCATTGATGTAGTGCTCTGCATCATCTGAGTAGTTGGTATAATTCACAGAGACGGTTTTTATGGAGCCAAAAATAGGGTCCTGTGTGAGAGTGGCATTTGCGAAGCCACAGGCTTGGCCGTAAAGAGTGTAATTACCTGGCGGCACGGAGTATGAAGTCGGGAGACTAGATCCTGGTGGAAATGATGTCGCCCAAGGAATCTTATCCGGCGCAGGGAAAATAGTGGCTGGGCTTGTGGGTTTGCGGCTTGAACGTCGAGCGAGCATCAGCCGATAGGTGCGTCCCCCTTGGACGGTAGATTCTGGGCAGGGTAACGGGTTGTCGCCACCACAAGCGGGCGATATGACCAGACCCTGCCAGAATACAATCTGAGTGCCGTCCGGAGAAAATGCTGGATCTGCTCTGCCATTCCAATTGGGATCGTTTACACTGCCGCTACTGCCATCGCCTTCGTAATTGACACGTTGACCGAAATAGTCACCCCGGTCGCCATATCGATCGATCAAAATCGGCTGGAAGAAACGGCGTGCACCGTTATTTCGAGTAGATGAGGCAGCTGTCACCGTGACAATATCGATGAGAGGTGGGATGTACCGCTCACCAGCCATCCACATTTGGCGGTTTGAGCCACGAGTGTCCATTGTGACAAACCACTCATTGTCATGTGAGAATGCAATGGGATCTGCGTATTCAGGGTGGCTAGTAAGACGTCGAACGACCCCAGTTATGATGTGTACGGCAAAAATATCAATGTTGTTTGCCTCGCGTGTCGATCCAATGTAAAGAATCTCATCACCTGCACCGCTGAACCCGCGTAATTCGCCAACTGTAATAGCATCGTGGTGTATTTTGAGCTCGGAGCCCTGAGCCAAGATAGGCACAGTACCATTGGGCTTAGCAAGTAGGTTGACATCGACTAGATCATATCGAGGGGCAAGCAGTGTGCCGTCAGTAGGTTGTTTGTTGAACTGCAGCCGGCCGTAAAATGAATTTTCGCCCGAAGTTGTAAATGAACTCCAACCCATATGAGTATCGTCGGGGTGCATGCGCATTTCTCGTGGGGTCCCGGAGCTGTTGGCTCCTGCAGGCCAGTATATAGGATAAATATGTGTCTTGGTTGGCGTACACAGGTCACTTGTCAGAACAATGCCGCTGCAATCTAGGATGTTGTGTCCCCAAAGGGCCTGCTTAGCATTTCTAGCGACATGCGGATAGTCTCGTGTTGGATCTAGAGAGCGCGCGTTTTGCGACAGGACGCCGCAGCTCAGACATTTCCACGGGTCACCATTGGTGAATTTTGTGCCATCGGTTTTGACAAGAATGAGCTGTACGCCGGTGTATATATGACCCGGGTCTGGAGCTACAGGAGCGCCGACGAATTCCACTGTGACCACCACATGCTTTCCGTCAGGTGCAAAATCGCCTGCCTGAAAGGATTCGGATACTTGGCCGATACAACCGGTCCGACGAGGGTTGATTGTATGTTTGCATGCCCCCGTGAGGTTACTCGAGATGACCGGGGGCAGTGGGAGTTCAATGACTTCGATTTTTTCAGGCTTGGGGGGTGCATTCACCTTTGATGCTACACCGAGAGCAACTGTGCTCGCAACGGCTAAAATTTCCCAACGCATGTTCAGCGTAGGGGAATAGGGTAGGTGGATTGGATGGATGATCAATGAAAAGTGAATGAGGATGGATACTTGTTTTGACGAACAGACACAACCTATTTATGAACAAAAGTGCAAGCTTTCCCGGACAGGCTCCAGAAATTTGACCTCGGATACGATTACGACTCTGCAGAAGTGAGATCTGCGGTTTCGATCTACGGTTCGAACTGGTGCCACTAATCTATCTCTAGCAACAAACTGCGGGGAACAATGTACAGCAATGTAGGCGGGGAACCTCAGCAACGTACATTTTGGCGTCGCTATTCTGCAGAAGTAGCTGCTGCCTTCGGAGTCAATTGTGCCGAACGCTTATTTCGGCATTTGAAGAGATATTTTGGGATCAGGAGAAATATACCGCATTGCTCTGGTGCTCGTAAGTTTGTGCTTGTCGTTCTCCACTTAGTCCGTCATAGCTTCGAAAACTATTCCTAAAGTGGTAAGGGTTACGATGACCCTGCATCTTTAGGAGCTTGTTAAAAGGACCTAAATAATTATTAGTCGAACCCGCGCTAGCTTCATTAGTACTAGCTTTGTAATTGTAATTCAGAGGAATTCTACCTGGTAATTCAAATCCCAGTAAGTACACTAGCATACGTTACACCACCTGCTCGATTACATAATATTTTGCCAAAAATTTCCATTTGCTTGAACTTCGCATTGTCTTATAGATGTTTGGTAGAAAGGCACTAGTCTATGATTCATGATAGTAGCATATTACCTATCTCTTTATTCTCGAATTTAATAGTACTTATGTTAATTATAAGCGTATTCAAAAGCGGTTACCTAATATAAGTAGGCGGCACCAGAAGGCGGTCCATTTAATGCTTTTAACCTAACGTAACCGGTAAGCGAGCTGCGCATGTAAGCCAGCTGCGTAGCTGGAACACCATAGTACAGTGACACGACAAAAGTATTTGCACCCCCCCTAAAGACCCACTTTCTCACCGCCTATACCGCCTTTCTAATTCGCGTACTAGAAATCACGCTAAATTAGTCGTGTATATACAGTATTCACGCGTTTGATTTTATTATTATTCTAGCCCCTATTCTTATCTCATTCATTATATCTATATCTATTCTCATCTACTGATATTAATCAATATGGCTCGTTCAATAGAGCTTACACCCGCTATACGTGAGCGTATATGTGAGCTTCACGCTATCTAATGGGGGTATAAACGTATTCAAAAGCGTTATCCCTTTATACCGCTATCGATAATTCGATAATACAATTAAGAAAGAGCACGAGAGACGGGAAGGTGTCTCTAAGGCACGCTCTGGTCGTCTAAAAAAGCTCTCGGAGGTAGAGAAAGACCGAATTCTTGAGTCTATCCACGGCAATCCAAGAAATACATAAGAAGACCTACTCGCTTCGGTTGACCATAAGGTCAAAATACGCTCAATTTAACGTCTTTTAAACGCTGAGAATCTACGAAAGTGGCGCTGTAGCTGGCGGCTATATCTAACCGAGGAAAATGCTAGAAAAAGACTTCGATGGGCCTATCGATATCGACACTTTACACCTGAGGATTGGGCCCGAGTTTTTTGGTCTGATGAGTGTATGGTTGAACGAGGGATTGGTGTTCGCCGAGAGTGGACTTTTACTTGTCCAAAAGACTAACCAAAAGAGGGCCAAGTCCAAGGGTTACCTCAACGTGGAAAGCAAGTTAAACAGATGTTTTGGGCAGCATTTTCAGGGGCTGTCCGGCGCACTGGATTGATCCCACTATTTGGCGATCCAGCTTCTGAGCGTGGAGGTGTGAACCGGTTTGTTATCGAGGAATTATATCGCCGAATTCTTCCTACTTTAATAGTAAATGAAGATGGTATATTCTAGCAAGATAACGCACTAACACATATCGCTCACGTTGTATGGGATGCCCTACAAGAGATGAATATTGAGGTTATGGAGTGGCCACCGCATTCGCCTGATCTTAATCCCATTGAGAACCTATGGGCATTACTTAAAGCGTCAATCTATAAGCTTCGACCTGATTTAATTGATATGAGAAATAACGACGAGACTAAGGCTATTCTAGTGGAAACAGCTCAGCAGGCTTGGGATGAGCTCAATTTACGTCATTTTAGCCATCTTTCGGAGACTATGCCGCACCGTGTAGAGGCAATTATTGAGTCTCAGGGGTGGTATACACCATATTAGATAGTAATTCATGAGGTTTTTGACCGGCAGAATATTATATAATCAGGGGGGTGTGGGGCCCTAGGGTGCAAATACTTTTGTCGTGTCACTGTAAATGCGATAAATTACAACTTCATATCTCATCACCCACGAGCCTTTTTTATTTGATTATGTATAGGCTGTCTTTAATAAGGCTACTCGACATAATGTATTGATTTCAAGGAGATTCAAAAGCTCCATTATCCTGATTTCAAAAATTACGTTAATTACAATCCTCCATCTATACATCTTTGGTATTTACCACCTAGATAAGGTATGATAATTCTTAAATACCCTTAATTAGCTTAACATGGCATGAAAATCATTGTATCTCAAGGAAAAGTTATTTCATATATTCGTTGTCGAGATACTGAGTTGTAATTTTTCGCATTTACTATGGTGTTCCAGCTGCGCAGCTGGCTTACATGCGCAGCTCGCTTACCGGTTACGTTATAACGTACCCTGTTACGTACGGCATTACATTCAACATAGTACTATGAGCGACTTCTGTGTTGAGATAACTTCTATGAGTCCTTAGTATCTACGCCTATGGGTCATAATTAGAGCCTAAGTCTTTCTTTCATATCATTTGTTGAGTTGAAACAACCTAGAAGAGAGATACATGTTCTTTAATACCGAAGAAAGCGGATAAGATTCGTCTGAATTACATTTACTAGGCTAGTACTAATGCGGCTAGCGCGGGTCCAACTAGTAATTCTTTGGGTGCTTTCAACAAGCTCCCATTTTTAATAATCAATAACGGCCAATGGCCAGGCAATCGCCGACCGTGAACTCTCATCTAAACACCTCGCGGCAAGATTGACCAAAAACTTCCCCCAACCCTCCATCCACCAAGCCTTGGTCATCACATGTATAACTGCTCCGTAGTGAGCCAGTGTCACTAAAGAACCACGTTCTGCTTCAAGCAGGAGGTCCAAGAATCCCGAATCTACTATTGCAGGCCATGCTAAAATTGAACTTTGGTTATCACTCGCAATGCAAGAGTCAAAAACGTCCTGTAGATGCTTGATGGCTTCCAGTACGGCGGGTCGGGCACCGCTCTCAGACATTGAAGTGGCTTCATCTTCATGTTGTTGAAACAGCACTTCTAAGTGAGCGTTCACCTCATAGGAATGCTTTGATTTTGGAATCTGTTGGGCACAACGAGTGAATTTCAACAGAAGCCTCATATCACCCTGCTCAATCCACGAGCGGGCCTTTTCCACAATAGACGCTGTCCCACGAACTAGTTTGAAGACCTCTATTACATCTCTGACACCCATGGGAGCAGAATCCATACTCAAGCTTCGAGAAGCAAAGGTAAAACTGGCAATAAGAAGAGAGCAAGCGAAAAGCGCGTCGCAATTTTCTGGCGTAACTTTAGTTAAGAGCGGCGTACACAGAGACAGTGCGAGGCTGTGATGTTTTGTTGCTATTTCAGTGTACATTCGACGACGGGAATCAATAACTTCATGAGAAAGATGTAGTGCCGAGATACCAAGTATAGCGTGCATTAGAAACGGGTAGCCAAGCCCCTGTCGGGGAGCATATGTTTGGAAAACATCACTCAAAGCCTCGTTCTGCGCTAGGGATGAAGCTGTCACCGTATGCCAGTGATGAAATAACTCGAGTTCAGCGAGGGGCAGCCCGGCTACGTTTCCGCTTTCCTTTCCAGAGTAGTCCAACGCAAAGCCCTGAAGCTGAGATTGGCCCGAGTACGAGGTGTTCAATGAGCATGGGAGGCTTTTTTTCTGGCATGATCCACAATATGGTCGATTCTCATCGCATTTTATCCGGCGTCCCTTGCATTGTGCGCAGCCGTGGTGAGACTTTGCATGTGACCGACGTAATGGCATGGCTGTTGAAACTTGACACTTGAGCACAGGTGTCAAGAGAGGGGTCAGAAGTCGACAATGTGGAGCGGAATGACTCAGCATGACCCTGAAATTCTTGGTGCTTACCCACAAGCTAAGTCAAGGTCGGAGGTTCGGTGATCTATGGCTGTCCATCCAAAGCTCATATGCTGAGTAAAGGCGAGTTAAGCCCAGGTTAGTTTTGCCCCACTCTTCAGGGTCTTCTAGACAGCAAATAGTGTGGTGGGGAAACCTTTCGTACATATAGCCTGACGAAATATGTTGCCCCCTTCGAGACGTCATTCTCTGTCTAAGGGACAAAATGGAATATAAATAAAAGCAAACATATACGACTGTTCGGATTTGCATCCACAAAATCTACCGATGTTCCTATCGGCGTAGCTGCCAATGTCAGAAAGAATCAAACCGAGTATATTAAAAATTATTATGGGAAAACAAAAACATACAGCAGTAAGTCTAAGGTGGTGGTCCTTTAGCGCCCACGGCTCGGGCATCAGGAGCGCGGCTCGCCGCTTTATTCAGGGCACTCAGGGATATATTCACCGACCTGAATATTGCTCGCCCTTATATTCAGCCCATACAGCAAGATGTAAATTTCCCATCATAATCTACTTTGAATTGCTTCCAGCTGCATCTCCACTATCAAGTATTCTTGACCTGATGCCGCGTAGTTATTCGCGCCTTGAATTGTGAGCGCGGAATTCCCCAATCTTTCTAGTAAAGCATCGGACAGTCGTGCATCGAACAATAGTGGCCCTACGCGCACTTCGATTTAGCAACAACCTATCTTCAGTAACCGGTAATGTTTGGGTAGATACTTCTCTAAACCTCCATTTCCTGGCTCAGCTGTACCGCGAGCGAAATCAATAGTCCATTCTTCGCAATTCCCATCCGCCTCGTTATAAGGCTCCTGTGCACCGGTCAAAGCACCTAGGAGCTTGCTGAAGGAAGTGATAATAGCCGTCCCTTCGGTCAGAGCTTCGCTGATGGTGGGGAGGTGGCCGGTAAGATTTTTCAAAAGCTCATTCAACCTGGCGCCTCTCTTGGTGACCTCAACCTCGTTCGATAATGGTACCGGCGATGCAAATGTATGAATCCAGAGAAGGGCCAAAAGCACCAGTTGGAGGTGATGTTCTTCGGACGAGTTACAGAAGGTACAGAATTCTCCGACGTTAGGCCGTAATTTGTCGCAGGGACGATTTGAATAGGGGAAGGTATATAGATCGAGGATACTACTGTACCATAACCTTGCGTTTGTCATAATTAGGCAACAGATCTGCTACTAATTAATTGTGTTTCATTATAGTCCTTTATTTGCGGTATATCGCGCATCATGGACCTGACCACTATGACAGAATGAATCTCATAATGTTCGTCCCCGTCTGGATCCATTCTGGCGTTAATACTTGCTCGATATCGAGAGGGGTTGTGAAAAGAGAGGGGACTTTGGGGCTGCCGCTTTCAGTCGCGACTCGTCACCGTGACTAATATCTAGCCAAATGTATATATACTATTACATAGTAAGATTATATTGGTAAGATTGTTGAGAATATTCTTAATATCAAGGATACTCATATTTCACATTAGGTAGATAAACCAAATTTTCTAATATCTACGTACGTAATTTATTCTAATCGCGAAATTTTCGTGCCAGCGAATGGAGTCCTTATGTGTTCTCTAAGTTCGCACTTGATCCTTCATTTTTACCGGCGCTCTCCGCTATCTTTGCTTATGTAACATCATGTGAAGTTTTCCTTATTTTCATAGTAGAGTTCAGAAACCAGCTCGAATATTAGGCCAGCGCCACCTTATTATTGCACAACCATGGTTGAGGACTTTGAGCTGTTTACCTTTCTTTCCCGACTCCTTGAAACCTCGAATCCGAGAATGAAACCATTGTAACTGAAATTCAACTAAAACAGCTGTTGCCAATGGAGTGACCGGACGCAGACCACTATTTTACCTCTTCTTGGCCGTGGCCATAATCTTAAAGATGTCCACCTGGAACGCCACCAATATTGTCAATACCACTGTGAAAGCAACATTATATATACCTACGCTAGTGTACTTCCCGGTGGTACTCGGAGTCAAGATAGACCTACCACTGAAGAGGCATAAGGGCTTGTAGAGGTGAAGCAGACCGTATCCATGGACCACATGCTCATGATCACAAAGTAAATGTCACCATCCATAAATAGGGAGCTTTCTGTGGATGCTGGAATATCCATCATGAGAGACCTCGACATTCTTCTTGTTGTTTTTATATTCTACGTTAGTCAAAAATGTAGAGGAACTTAGCTAGACACAGAGACAGGCATGAGTTTATGCCAACAATGAATGTGCCTCAACTAAAAGGCACTCACAGATTGATAGTGAAGAATTCTAGGCAACCAGGACAAAAGCAAAAAGTGACAAAAGCGAAAAACACGGACTTCGACAAAATACACTATGATAAGGTTAATATAGAATTGCATTAACACCAGTGAGGTGTGCAGAACGGTCTACATTTCTCATACCAAATAATGTCGACGATTAAACTAGACGCATATTAGAGTAGTGCACGTGGGAGGCAAAAGGACAATTCCAAGTGCAGTAGTGTCAGCCAGTTCTAGTATTGCCGTATGACCACTGCCATATTGCTGTTAAACTTCTGGCCCTTATGAAATGAATTGGCCGATATCAAGGATCGGAACAATAAGCGAGCAACCAATCAAGCGTGGTGTCAATAAGCTCAAATTTGCTCACCAAGAAAGCGCTACACCGGATTGGTGAGTGGCTGATCGTTTCCGTTGTTTTGGGCGGGTCAAGCCGCCACTTCCGTTAAAGTATGCCGAATCGCAAAGGACTTCGTATAGCCCCCGACGGGGCAAGCTCTGCTTTGTGAAGAAATCCCCAAGCCAAGTACGGCAGAATGACCAATTATAGCTAGAGATTTTTATCCAGTGCCTTGCGAATACTGAGGGACTTCACTTGCTCAACTCATTGTGCAACTCGCTCAAAATTTTCGAGTGACTGTAAAATATCATCTTCATATCAAAATGGCCGCAAGTTGGCTCACCTCCCCTATCCAACTGACAGGGAGTCGCGAGTTCACTTGTGATGGCTTCACAACGGAACAATGCGACTACTACATGCATCGATGGCATTTTTGGTGAGTCTTTCCTTTCGATCGCATCCTGTCCATCTTTTGACCAAATATTACAAAATAGGTATATTGCAGACCACGTCTACGCGCTGCCGACCGTAGCTTTTTTCATGTGTTCACTTGGGATCTTCGTCATTGGCCACTTCGTATCATCGCTGGGTTATCGAAAGTCTCGCGGTTCTCCGTTATGGCGGAGATTGATCGCCGTGATCCGATATCTGTCTTACCGCGGCTTCCATGTCCAGACACTACGATGGAACTCGGCGCCACTAGGCATTTTACTTCTAGGTGCTGCAGGAGCCATTTTTTTCTTTTGTAAGCTGCAGGATATACTGGGTCAACAACGTCCCCCGAGCTGATAGCTGAACTCCTAGGCATGGACCTCATTCCCCAGCCCTACTACTGGCCAAGTCTAGACTTTGGTGGTTCACCGCCACTGGGAACCAGATCAGGTTGGATGGCCCTGGCATGCATGCCATTCGTTTTGTAGGTCTCCTTGGCGGCTAAAATATTGCTCAGAAAGCTGATGCTGTACAGCGCGACGGCCACGAAGACCAGTTGGATCACATTCGTCACGGGTGTTTCACATGAGAAGCTCCAAGTTTTCCACCGATGGATATCTTACGCCTTTTTTGTTCTTGCACTAATGCACACATTTCCGTTCATTGTGTATCATATCAGATTCCATGATATGGTCATGCAAGTGGAGATGAGTCTCATCTTTTACTGGACAGGCATTGTCGCGATCATCTTTCAGGCCTGGCTTACCTTTGCATCTCACAGTGTAATCCGGTAAGTGAAAACTGGGCAGAGCCACTACGCATGATCTACAGTCCAATATCTAATGCAAGCATATCACATAGCAAACACGGTTACGAGTTTTTCAAAGCAACACACTTTTTCGCTGCTGCCATGTTCGTTCTGATATTCTTTTGGCATTGCGATTATACCCTCACATCTTGGTCAGTGCAAGCACTCGCCCCGAAGTTCTTGCATGGCAATCGCTGACTCCTTCACAGGCACTACTTCATCGCGACGGCAGCCGTATACGTTCCTTGCTTTGCCCATTCCTGGTTACGGACGTGTTTCGAGTACGGAATCCGACAAAGAGCTCAGTTCTATGTGGAAGAGAATGGTTTTACTCGCATCACAGTTCCGGTCAACTTCACATGGCGCCCTGGACAGCACTGCTTCCTGCGCTTTACAAGCTTCGGTCTTTTGGGGGCTCTCTCGGCTCACCCTTTCACCATATGCTCCCTTCCATCAAGAAAACCAGGTGTAGAGTCACAACTCGTCTTTTACATTCGCCATCAGGGCGGTTTTACTGCCCAGATATACGAATTCGCCAAGAAGCACCCCAATGCTACGGTACCTGTACTCATTGATGGACCGTATGGAGGTATTAATATGCAGCAATATTTCAACAGTGACCATCTCCTTGTGATTGCAGGCGGCTCGGGAGTTGGCTGGACCTTGCCTTTCATCGAGCAATTTATCACGTGCCGTTCGACACCTGTCGACGAAGAATCTCGCCGACCTGAAGAAGTTAACAGCACAGAGATAGCGAGTGATAAGGAGCCCCGCCATGCTTATAAATTTTCCATGCCCAGCTCATTGCGACTCATACTAGCGACAAGAGACATTAGCAGCCGAAGTTGGTATGTTCAAGCGGTCAGCAATTTGTTAGCAGAGCACTCGAGGACGAATCCACTGCCCAACCTTCATATTCAGGTCCATCTGACTGGTGAGGCCATACAACACATGAGTTCTACAAATGCCCAAGAGCATCTGGAATCTTCAGATGGGCAGCCCTCGCTGCCAGAGAAAGACAGCGCTGAAAGGAATCCGGCAGAAATCTCTACATTAGTGGAGGAGTGCGAAGGCCGGCCAAAGCTACCTGTGATCATTCAAGAAGCGGCGAGAAGAGCAGAAGCAAATGAGTCGCTTGGAGTTTATGTCTGCGGGCCAACCACGATGCAAAATGATGTTCGCAATGCAGTTGCAGATGTGAACCTGAATATTCTTAAAGGTTCGACTTCCGGGGGAGCTTATCTACATTGTGAACATTTCTCTTGGGCATAGTGTCAATATTCCAAACCTTTTGCCGCTGCCTGCATATAGATCACACGTTTATTATGCGTGCGACCTTCTTTAATAACAAGCAATTTTTTAACGCCCCCACGGTGAGCCTTGGCATCGTCCAACGACCCATTCACGATTACACCTTCCATGAAACCTATATATACGGCGAGTAGTTGTGTATTTTTGAAAACTTTGCCTTTTGTGAACCTACGGGCTTACCAATTAGACAAGTTTGACAAAGAGTCACATGGCGAAAATGGACCGCCTAAAAGCTTCGAATATAATGCCTTTCGAACTTACATCCCATTACTGAGCTTTTTTGGTACCCAGAGTGGAAATATGCATACAAAGGTCATTTTTAATAATAGGGCAGTGTCACTAGGACTCAATAGGTCGGGACCCCTATCGTTCCCTGAGACCCTTGATTGCACCACGATGATATACTCGCCGAATGGTTTTGTCATTAGCTAAGCCACCCAAGCTGACGCCACATTGCACCGGATCCTAGTCAGCTTGGCGTAATTGATCTGCACCCTATTTAATGCACAGTATTAGCAGTGCCTTTTCCACTCAGACTTATGTTCTTACTCCCTTATCGTCACTCCTAATGACAAAGCCCAAACTCATCACTAATGTCTGAACTCTCAAGGAGGAAGAAATATTGTAATGGCTCTGCTAAAACCTGTCGAATTGCGCCAAAGCGAAGATACGATGTGTCAGACACAAGGAAAGTGGGGGCTGCGACCGGTGAGTTATGCCTATTGTATTCGCCTATGATGCTGATTCTGGGTTCAGGTGTGACCGCCTAGGAAAAATATGCCAGTATGCTGGGGACAGAAGCAGTTTTGTTGAAACAAACCGCGGGAACAGTAAGGATCGGTAGGTTTCTAGATCCCCATGTCATTTCTCCTGCTGACTGGCAAACTGACTCTGATCAGCAAGATCTAGCGCAAACTGGTGTCAATATCATGATTGCTGGCTTGGCAAGCCAAGTTGCGTCCCTCGCCCTCTTTATGGCTCTTTGTCTCCAACATGCATGGTGTGTGCATCAAAATCCGGGTGCACTTCATAAGGCGGAAAACATGAGCGAACTTCCAAAAAGCCTTAGGTGGAAAGCATTCCTGGCTGGTAAGTTTGTCTCAATTCTTCCGCTGAGCAAGTGCTGATCGTGGGTGCAGGCCTGGCTTTGGCAACCGTTGCCATTTTTGTGCGGTCCGTATCCCGAGTTGCAGAGTTAAAGGATGGATTCCACAGTTCTCTGGCAAACAATGAAGTCCTATTCATGATCTTGGAGGGAGCCATGATTTCGATCGCCATTCTATGCTTGACAATCCTACATCCCGGTGTCTGTTTTCTTGGTCATTGGAATGAGACAAAGTGGAAATTCCGCCCGTCAATTGATAGCGAGATGGAGCTCATTTCTTCCAATGTAGATTTGCCAGGGAAGCCTCGAGACGCTCAGAAAACAGGGGCGTTACCTCATGTATACAGCGCACCTTCTTGATCATTTTAGTTGTGGTTGTTGTAAGTCGTGGGCAAGATTTCATAGATAGTAAATATATTCTGACAAGAATACGAATATATTGATAGACAATCATCAAACTCAAAAATTGCTCAACTGAGCATTGTCTAGTAAAATAGGTGTACAGGCAGAGGGGGTAATATTTAATATTACGCAGTCTCTATTTGTTCGTCCGAATGTGAAAATGGCCGTGATTAGCATTTCGGAACTCTCATGTTCGTGCACAAACGAAAATGATGGTCTAGTCAATTTTCAAAGCAGATGATGGAAATTCACTTTCAACTTAGATACATTCACTAGCCATAAGGGTATGTCTGTCTATCATAACTATCATCCTCGTTGCAGACTCACATTACTAAGTGGCCCCTCCGCAAGTGCCAGCATAGCAGTCGCTGTAACCATTGAATCCTCCATTCCAGGTGTATTGAAGCGCTCCCGTCCATGAGTAGGTCCCGCTCTCTTGGTCGCACAGACAAGTGCGCCACCACTGGCTGTTCTGTGTGTCGCTAGATAGCTCACTGGCGAGATGCCAAGCACCGTTGGTATCAGGGTATTGACCTCCGACGTCGGCATCGTACTCCTCCCATTCGGACTCTGTTCCGTAGAAATCCATCCCGTAGTACACGCCGGTAATACCATCCTCTGAGTCGGTGCCATCTCCTCCACATACTACCGTGTTGTCGGTATAGATGTTACCACTGTCATTACCAAATCCGTCACAGTTCCCGTCATCACGCTTGTGAGACTTCTTAGCTCCACCAAAGGTATGGAGAGAACCGAGACCCGCTGAACTCCCGGTGCCATTCACAAAGAACATAGAAACAGGTGCACCGAGCAAAGTTCCATTTATGGAGCGCTGCACGAGGATAGGGTTCGAATCGGTACTGTTGAGCACGTGGGCCATCGTGATGATTGTATAGTTGCGACCCACATCATGCATGATGCTCTCATTCCCATAGGTGAGACTTCTGATCGTCTTTCTTGCCAGGTGAGGATGAAGAACGGCCCAATTGTAGTAGCCAGATTCATAGCCGCGTTCAACGACGGGTAGTCCGCGACCAACATTGTTCACGACGTTGCCATAGTCATCATAGAAGGGCAATAACTGCAGGCTTTCCAGGTTGCCCTGATAAGAGCCTTCGTTTTTCCAATCTTTCCATGCAGTGGCAAGATCGGCACGGCCGTCCCAGACAGAGAACATGGTCGAGATGATTCCAAACGAATTGCAGGTATATGTCACCCACGAGGGAGCACTACTCCACCACCCAATGGCTTGACAAGCCAGGTCAGCGAGTTGAATACCAGCTGTCCAAGACATCGGGTTGATGAAAACCTTGGTGGCTGCCCAGACGAATGACCATAGTCCTCGACGATCGATGTGATTTTCGAATTCTGTAATTGAGACATCTAAGTCTGTGTTGTAGGTGCCCCGCACGATATTTTCTCCTTCACGCCCATGCACTGGGAGATAGCTATGCAGATGTACGTGGAGTCCTTGCGGCAAGCCGAATTCACCACTCGACATTGCCTTGATCGGCTGGTCTAGTGGCTGAATAGAATGTGCGTAGGCCCCATTGTAGTTGAAGGCATATAGCCACAAGATCGAGCACGCCAATCGCATAGCACGCATTTTGTATGGCGCCTTCAGATGTGTGTGCTCGATTAAAAAGAAGGGCGACGGTAATGAAATTTATAGCAAATGCAAGAAGATGGAGGAGTACTACGCGTACTCTACGATCTGCTAACAAATCGACTTTCACTGGCATCCAAAATGAACAGCAGTTTGTAAGGGAAGTGCAGATGTCGAATGATCAATTTGAAGCTGCCCAAGGATTGACTCTTGCAGAGAAGATGTATTTGAGAATGAAATGAGTTGCAGCTACATGTCTCCTTTTATATATCTTCCCTCGGAATCACCAGCTAACCGTATCTTGCCAAGTCGGCCATTTCATCTCCACATTTGCTTGCCATGATATTTTCCCGCCCTCACAGACAACTTAGAAGACTGATATTTAGATACATCCAGTAAGACACAGTAAGCGAGTGGAAGGGGGGGGAAGGCAAGTTTAGTTAGTTATTAGGACGAATCTTTTGACCAAGTGCTAAAAAAAGAGGCTAATAAAGCCGATGTTATGATGCATGAATGGCCATGAAGCAATCGCCCCACACTCGCAAAATTGGGGCTAACGGTTCTTGTATTATGTCTTACAGGTAAAAGCATCATTGCTGCATTTAGGCCTAATGGGTGTTTGGTGGCAATTCCAAGGCTTTGTGTGGTCTATAGGACACACTTGAACCTCATTAGCGATTTTTACTAAATTTCCCCTTGAATACTTAATTTTGAGAGCTACAAATGTTCTATCTGAGCTCAGCTGAGGAATCAGTGTGGCGATTGTGTCGACTTGCAGGATTTTCATCGGGTTCCCACCCCAATTATCACCTTTCCTATCGCGCACTAACCTTGCTCAACACTAACGAGCACGATTCGCGCGACATTAAACTGGCGCGCACCCATTTTCACCTCACCGACTATTAACCGAATTCAAGCCACATTCCTGTGAGTAGTATGGCAGGTGACCACATGCAATCTTGAATGTTAGTCTATCTTGTTCACGACCGGTCAGCGTATGATTCATGGTGGGTCCTGTTGCAGGAAGAAAAAGTTCTGCAAGATTGCTTGCAAGCGCAAATATCATTCCTTCCAATAAGCACGACTATTCTGCTATTCTGGAGTTTCCCAAAAGGAGAATCAGATAATCATTCACTAGGTAATTATCTCAGCTACAACTCGACAATGTCCAAGGGCCGACCGAAAAAGATTGAAACTAGTCACGGAGTCACTGTTACGACTGTATTGACAGGTCCAGGAGTTCCAAGGGTCCAAGGGTCCAAGGGTCCAGATTCTACGGAATTTAGTAGCCGAGCTGCCGGGTCTCTTACATATTGCATTTATGCGAACGGCGTGTCCACCTGATAAGCACTAGAAGATAAACTAAGCTCATCTTGGCAAGCTTGGAAGATAGTTTGATCTGAACTCTCCGAGTCTCCCGAGTTTTTTTCGAGTCTTTTTCGCCTCGCTTGCATAAATTTCTTTCGAGTTCGGGATGCTAATATGTAATAAACTAACCGATCTCTAGCTGAAGTGCGGCTAAGCGGACGGGACGCCCCGTTCTCCACCTGTAGCCGAATGCACAATCTAAGGTGAAAGATTACCGAGATATCTCGTTCAAGAGACTGGAAAGTGCATTTCAAATCACGCATACCGCTCGATGGCCTTGAGTATAGATCATCCCTCATCGGTTCCGAATGTACTTACTGATAGTATCAATCTTAAATTGCGAAACATAATTCAATGAGCAGAACCAATCATCCGCCAATATCTGACTTCACTGTGGATTTCAAACCCCAATTGCCTCTACGAGATGTTCAAAATTAGAATCAGTAGTCCTGTCATGCATGAAGCTCAATTCGTAGGTAGTGGCCTTGGCATAATCGCTTTTTGCCGGGCGGCTTACAATCCTTCTCGTATTTGCCCCGCCCGGTGGATATTGACAACAGCAACCTTCAGATCTCCATTTCATGTAAGCTATCAATGTGAAAGACTGGGTCCGTTTTGCAACAGGAGCCAGAACAGAAAAATGGCCAATGGGCCTTGTCAGGTGCTCGGCAAAGACGCCTTCACCGTGGGATGGATTTGTGCTCTTCCGATCGAGCTGACCACGTCCGAGGGGATGCTTGACGATGTTTACCCGGCCCTTGAGCAGGTGCAAGGCGATGAGAATATTTACACTCTAGGCCGTATTGGGCAACACAATATTGTTATCGCTTGGCTCTCCGCTGGCAGTACAGGGATCGCACCTGCTGCGAAAGTCGCCAAGGACATGCTTCGTAGCTTTCCTCGAATCCGATTCGGGCTGATGGTCGGTATCGGCGGTGGGGCTCCTAGTGTGAACGCAGACATTAGGCTTGGCGATGTTGTTGTTGGTGTACCAGATGGGGAACTCGGTGAGAAGCTAAGATATATTGCTGCAAGGCAACTTACTCACACAATGCGCAGGTGGCGTGGTGAAATTTGATCGCGGGAAGACTGTGCAAAGTGGGACTTTCGAGCATACGGGGGTGCTCAATATGCCTCCTGCGCAGGTCAGGAATGGTGTGAACAAATTACGTGCAAAGCATGAGGCTCACAAAAGTCTGGTTGCCCGATATGTATCGGAGATGATTCAGAAGGCTCTGCAGTCAGAAGAAGGAAACGCGCAATTCGAAGATCTTTATTCTTACCAAGGGGCACAATATGATCAGCTATACGACTCATCGTACGAGCATGAAGATTTCGAATCGCAATCTCATCACTTTATGGATAATTTGGTAAGAATCTTCATGGCCATCTGTGTCACCATTGCTGGAAGCATCGCGATCACCTGGAGTGGCTCTCTTGCGTTATCCGTGATTATTTCTTTTATGATATCACTGTTTGTTTTGAGGGTCTACGCGAAACGACAACAGGGAGTCCGGAGTACTGAGTTACAGGATATGAAGCAGCCTTGTCCAGGTTGCAATCAGTTACGTTTGATTCCAAGACAGCCCCGAGCCACGACAGATCCAGTTATTCATTACGGAACCATCGGCTCTGCAGATCAGGTCATGAGACATGGCATCACGCGTGATGCCATGAGAAAGAAACACCAGATTTTATGTTTTGAGATGGAAGCAGCAGGTCTTATGAACGATTTTCCTTGCCTAGTCATTCGAGGCATTTGTGATTATTCTGATACTCATAAACACAAACTTTGGCAGCGCTATGCCGCAGCAACGGCTGCTGCATATGCCAAGGAGCTTCTTGGAGTCATTCCTCCAACCGAAGTTACGAAAATGAAGGCTGCGGCTGAGATCTCCGAGACATGTAAGTCAGCATTCTAGATCTCGATTCTAAGATAAACTCATAAAAACCGGCAAAAGTACGAAATGAGATTGCTGGAGTAAATGCTAAGCTCAATCCTCTTATTTTTGGTAAGTTCCACGACACTTGCGATCAATGCAAGGCATTTGCTCATCTAGGACTGCAACAGGGCATGAGCTAAAGAGACGCCGTGATATTCTTTCTTGGCTGGCTTCCTCTACACATGAGGCCGAACAGGCGGACGTATTCAACAAGCACCAATCTGGCACTTGCCAAGGGTTTCTGAGCTCAAGTAAATTCCTGGGCTGGATTAATGAAGAAAGCCCGACCCTATTATGCCCCGGAATTCCGGGTGCTGGGAAGACCGTTCTATCCTCCGTGGTAATTGATTATTTACAGCGTGAGCATGGTGAAGAATCACATATCGCTTATCTCTACTGCACATACGGAAAGCGAAAAGATCAAACAGCTTACAATCTTTTGAGGACTATATTGAGACAATTTTCGGAGCAATCAACACCAATCCCTAAATCTGTCGATTTACTTTATGCATTTCACACGAGTAGGCATTCTAGGCCTACTTACGACGAAATTGCTGCCACACTGCTAACGGTCTGCCGTGGGCTGAGCAAATCTTTTCTGGTGGTCGATGCGCTAGATGAATGCTCTGATGAGACCTCGCAGGACTTGCTGAAAGAAGTCCAAATGTTGCAAGCGCGGACGAAATTAAGCTTTATGGTAACATCGCGCAAATCTCTACAACAAGAGTTTGACAATGCTTTGGTCTTAGAAATCCGAGCGCAAGGAACGGATATCGAACGTTATTTAGACAGTCGATTGGGAAAGTTGTCCAGTTGTGTCACCAAAGACGATAGATTGAGACAGGATATCAAAGCGCAAATCATTCAGAGTTCTGATGGGATGTAAGTCTCAGATAGACTGACCTCCCTCTTATGTGTTGGCCTTTTTGGATTCTGATTTGTGGATAGGTTTCTTCTGGCGACTCTCCATTTTGAGTCACTGAAAGACAAGAAAACAAAGAATGAGTTTCGAGATGCCTTGAAGAACCTTCCGAGGGGATTGCATGCCCTGCATATGGCATATGATAGTGCCATGGAGAGAATAAACCAGCAAAGGAACAATGATCGCCGCTGGGCTCAGCGCGTTCTCTCGTGGGTTGTACAAGCAGTGCGACCTTTGCGGCCAGAGGAGCTCCGACACGCCCTTGCTGTCATTGAGGGCAACTACCAACTTGAGGATGACAATATTCCGGTTTTAGATGAAGTCATTTCTTTATGTGCAGGGCTTGTCTTGGTAAACCAAGACAGTAATACCATCCAGCTGGTCCATTTCACGACTTACGAATATTTTAGCAACTACGACATCAACTGGAGACAAGCGGCGCGAGATCTTGTAGCTACAACGTGTACTACATATCTTCGGTTTAATGTCTTTAAATCAGGCTTCTGTCGGAGCCGCAGCGACTTCAACGCAAAAATGATAGCAAATCCTCTCTATGAGTATGCTACTTCTAATTGGGGGTACCATGTTCATTCTTCTACATTACAGGAGACGGACTTGATCACGGAATTCCTTGAGCAAGAAGGAAACACTTCCGCATGCGCCCAGGTACTGATGATCAAGAGAAAGCAATCACATGGGTTCTACGGTTGGCCCCAGCGGGTATCTGGAATTCACCTCGCGGCATATTTTGGTCTTGACAAAGCACTTCAAATTCTGCTGAGAAGGCACCATATAAAAAACCTTCTTGATAGTAACGAACAAACACCATTATGCTGGGCCGCTCGTGGTGGACAAGAAGCAACAACAAAAATATTGCTCCATCATGGCGCTGATCCAAATCTTGCAACTCAAAGCACCGATGAACTGAGATCTTCGTATGTGGGCCCTCCAACACCAATTGGATGGGCTGTCAGAATTGGAAGTGAGATAATAGTCGACCTTCTGCTGTACCATGGTGCCAATCCCGAGCCTCGTTTTGAAGGCGGATACTCGCCCCTTTGGACAGCAGTACAAAGTGGAAATGCCGAAATTGCCAGGCTATTACTTGAACATCAAGCCAATCCCAACCTGGGCCGTCACAGCCCCTCTCCTCTTTGGTGGGCCACCCACGTGACAGATTTAGTGACGGTCAAACTGTTACTGAAACACGGAGCGAATCCGGATCTGTGCCATCCAGATGGAAGCTCCCCTCTTTGGTGGGCTGCACGTACTCCGAATGCGGAGATGGTCAAATTATTACTGAGCTACCATGCTGACCCGAATCTTTGTCATTATGATGGAAGCTCCCCTCTCTGGTGGGCTGCACGAGAGGATAATGTCGAAATTGTCAAAGTGTTGCTTGGATGCAAGGCGAATCCAGACCTACATCGCAAAGATAGGCACACTCCTCTTTTTTGGGCACAAAGGAATGGTAACTCGGAAATCATCCAGCTACTGAATGAGCATAATGCAATTTCGTTCTAAAAATCAAGGTGTTCTCATACAATTTCCCCAGATTAGGTTCCGGGCCTACCCCATCAATTATAAATATTCACTTTGGAAACAATTCCACGCATCACCATATAATTACGCATACTTACCAATACCCATCTAACGCATAGAACTATAACTCAATATTCTATAAAATTATACACTAAGCTTTCTAACCATTACTAATTATCTCGTCACCCTTTATATGATCACATCAATTTTTACATATGGTATTACTCACCATAATTGTACTACAGTACATACCCCTGAAGGTACTATTAAATAATGTTATATCTTCCTCTATAGATAGGTTTTAGATACAATTTAAGAAATGTTTATTTAATAACATGTAGATAATTTTAAAGGCTTTCAAATTGCTCTATCGTCAACCAAAGCTAATGGATCTTCGAATTATCTTCTCAAAATACTTCCCTACGGTCATGGATTAAACCAAGACTTTTTAGAAGCAAGCCTTCTTCATACTGAGTGGTATATGCCTTCCCAAAAGTTGGTTGTTGGGCTGACCCTACCGGACCCGCACTTGGGGAAACACTTACGGTATTGTAGGTTAGAAATGGAAGGGAAGGCATGCTTACGGGATTTTGACGCTTCCTTATAGCACAAGAAGTTAATCTCTTCATAACACCCTATTTGCAACTCTCAAACTCACACGGCTTTAAAGACAGCGCCAATAGGTACAGGCTGGACGTCTGGGATGGAACTCAATGTTCCTTTACAGACAGCTGATCCATCGGAAATATTCGATTGCGGATTGAGGACAACAAATCGGTCACCATCTGCGCCTGGCTCCAACAATTTGGGAGTGCGATATCTGATCGCCACCCGGTATCGGATCATTAAGATAATGGCCTGCAATGTGACAGCTGTCTTCCATGACCACTCAGGGTTGGGTCGGTTGGACTTGGGAATATACCACAGCCACCATGTCACCAAACGTACAGGAAAGGAGATCAAGGTATATGCAGCGAACAAAGTGGAAGCTACCATGATCAACCGATAATCGTGTGAAATGGTAGTGGGAAGAGGAAACCTTGAGGCCTGAAGCTGGCTGGGGGAGAACTGAATAATATCTTCGGTATTCGGGAGCTCGGTGGCTATATGATGGCTTTTGGTCACCGTTAAAGTGGGACCGGGGGAGAGGCTACTCAGCGCATGGGTCTTTGCAGTCTCAAACACACATATGAGATCGAGGAATGAGCGACGTCACTTCCGTGTGATTGCGCAGGTGTGTCTGTTGAAAAACACCCAATAAAACCAAGGTTTGCAAAATCACCCCCAAGTCCAAGCGCCAGAGATCCAACCACCACATGCAACAGCCCACGGTTGAGATTCATTCCAGACATAGCGTCGTGATCGGCATACAGACTAGCTGTTTTAGGGCTGCTGGACCCATATCCAGGTCTAGGGGCCAGAAGGTGAACCGGAAGATCCCTGTGAGATTCTTGAAATTGCCTTCCGATCTTCGAAATGCGGCCTATAGTATATCTCTGCCTTCTTGTGAGGTCGCACAGCCTCCCATTTCGAGGTGCGTCTGCCTTAACCAGCATCCTCACATAAACCGAGAAGTATGCGGTGGGTTCCCCTGCGTTCTCTCTGATATGGCTAGATTACGTCTTGACAGGGAGTGTTGTGAGGAACGATGACAACTAGTTGCTTATCAAGGTAGAATGACTAGGACTTCAGAGACCTGCGCTATTTCCCGCGCTGGCCGCACCCAAGTACAACTACCTTGCCTCGCGTTCTCGCAATAGGTTCCTGCAGACTACAAGCAAGCGAAAGAGATTCTTTTATTATTTGAATAGGTAAACCATGGTTTCCCGTGCACAAAAATTGGGTTTCATTCTGAGAATCGTTGGCTGATTCTCAAAGCTTGCAGATAAAGAGAAATTGCCTTCACCGCTGAAGGATCGCGTGAATAGGTTGCAGACTCCGAGTGGGTAATACTTATGTTCTTTCTATTTCCCCATCGCTCTTTCCACCTCATATAGTGCTGCAAGAACCTTTTCATCGTGGTGTCTGCGTCCAACGATCTGTAAATTGATTGGGCAACCATCGTACAGATCCGGTTCGTACAAGTCATATACGAATTGATCTTCCTCATTCTTTGGCTGATAGTCTAGGTCCTTGCTGTCTTTCTCTCTGTCAACTTTTGTGACAGGGAAAACAACACCAGGGTAATCCAACAAGTTCCAGATCGAGGTATATCCCCAGTAGCGCGACTGCTCGTGGGGGGTAGCAGCACCGAAGGAAGGAGGACAAAGAATGATGTCGACTTCTTGGCCATCTTGTTTGCCAGTGCTAGTCCAGTGACGTGCATAGGAAGTACGATAAGCTTCTCGCTCGGCGCATAGCTGTCAATAAAGAAACGAAAAGCGTCAGAACACATGGCCGGGATATCCAGAAATTTAGGCCCACTTGACATACCTTGAACAACTCAGGGACAGTCAGCTCTTTAACAGCTGGCTGGTCCTTGATTATAAAATTCGTCAATGGCAAGATGGGCTCTCCAGCCGACTCTAACAAACCAAGGACCTCCTTTCCGCCGTCTGGGAAATACAAACCGGATAGTATCTCCCATCCTTTTTTGTGGTCTAAGGACTCACATTCCCAGTCCACAACGGTCATGCCAGCCTTCTCACAAGCGTCGGAGACTTCGCGAAGTGCGCGGATCATGGGCGGGTGGGGCTTCACAACACCATCCCACCACTGCACAGCAATCTTCAATGGCCGAGTGAATCCGTATGGGATCCAAGGAGCCACTCTGATTGATGGCTCAAGTTTCCAAGGCTCTGCATCCAACATCACTTTCATGAATAACTCCAGAGAATCCCGATCAGCTGACATAGGCCCATTAGTGGAAAGAATAGCTTCTCTTCCAGCCATATGACCAGTTCCTCCCGCGATTGGTAATCTGTGAGCTGAAGGCCTGGTGTGACTCATTAGCGTTCATGCTGCTCAGCGTCGGGGTTGGATACCTACTTGAAACCATAAATTCCACAGTGAGCAGCTGGGCATCGGATGCTGCCTCCAATGTCACCACCTACACCCTATTGCCAGGTTAGCTAGCAGCTTCCAGGAACCAAAAGTATATACTTACCAAGACACTCCCTCTCATACCGATTAAGGCACTTTCTCCACCGCTACTTCCTCCCGATGTCAATAACCTGTTGTATGGGTTCACCGTCCGACCATAAATGTTGCTCTCTGTCTCGAGGTGCATGATTGTTTGAGGCTGCGTTGTCCGGGCAAAGAATACGCAGCCTGCATCCCAGAGAATATCGAGGGACACGGTAGATCCTTGGAACTTCCCAATATACGCAACGTAAGATGCATTGGCCGTTTCATTGCCCCCTTTCGCGCCATGGTGTTCCTTTGTGGAGATGGGTAGGCCATGGAGGGGTCCTAGTGGAGCGGGAAGGGAATCGAGGTATCGTGCTCTTTCGATCGCATTATCCCAGAGCAGGTCTGTCAGGCAATTGGTCGCCTTCTGCGCAATGGCGGCTCGGCGGAGAAAAGCTCTCGTGAGCTCCTCGGACGAGAGTTCCCTGCTGTGAAGTTTGGCAAGCAGCTCAGTCACGGTGTAATTTTCTGTAAGATCGAATTCTCTAGGTGTGAGAAGCTGTTTTGGAAGGCCCCGAGAGCTTTGCGGCAAAGATTCAGGAAGTTCAGTCAAAGGAGGGGTCACTTTGGCCAGGGAAGCATCACGAATTGCCCTCGGAATTGCTGCTTTGGTTTCCCAGCTCTCCGGGTGTTTTTGTGGAATGGTCATTATGACAGTGGGTTGATCGTGAAAAGTATGAGTGTAAAAAAAACTTTGAGCCTGTGGTATATTAAATATGGCTCAGAGAGTGACAAGCTAGCATTTTTAACAGCGGCACGGCTGTCTTATATGCTCTCGTTTCCATACCTACTGCTATCTACCCCGCCTCAGGAACGGGAATTCTCACGAGGAAACATACCACCTGAACCCAAGGTGGATGAAATAAGCCCAATCTCACCAACCACACAATGGTTTACTATGGATATGCATGTAATAGCTCGAGTGAAAATGTACGTAGCAGAACCATGCTATCGCTGCCCCCTGTCCACTTGGATCGTCCCAATTCCGGTTTACCGATCAGCACGGCCTTGGCAGATTACAGTTGAACATAAGGCCTCGGCGGATAAGCCGGAGTAACAGCGTCAATCCGAGATAAACAGTGGAGTCGATCCAATCACAGGTGGTTGTGCCAATATTTTGCTCCACTGACTGGGTGCATCGGCTCCCTCTTATCAACATAGCACATAGTGGGGTGATAAGCAATCTTCCCGCTGAGGATCATCACATACAAAGTGATCGAAGACCTTACTTTCCATTATTAAATTATCACATTTGACTCCACCGTCATGCCCATTTCAGGTGAGTGATTTCGAACCTAAAAAGTTCTAGTTACCGGGGACTCCCCTTAGTGTCGGCATATACATTGCCTGCAATGATAGTACTCACCAATAAAACGCCATATTCAAGCATGTTCCTGGATTTGCAAGCATCTGCTTCTTAGTTATGGCTGTAACTTTCGCTTGAGATAGGCAAGTACTGGGTTCTTGTGCACTTTTGAGCGAACCATAGTTTGTATATTCTTGTCAAGCTGTAGGACTTTCTAAGAGCCTCAGAGTGTCTTTCCTCTGAACTGTAGACCTCTTTTCCTTCTCACCGTTCGTACCAATACTACCACTGTCCATGACTATTTCCCCTGTTCTCTTTGCAACTCATATGAGCTGGGTGCAGAGCTGGCCGTTATTTCTTACCCGATAAGTCGGGGTCCGCGTCTTCGACCTCGCTGTCTTTCGGCTGTTCTTATGGCACATTCTGAATAGCGTCGTTTTGACACCGTTTATCCAATTCTCGCCATCGATTCCTCAACTTTCGCTTGGAGATGACCCGTAGGGTCACCAGCAACTTCGCGCAATTGCAAAAGCTTGTTCCTCGTCAATGCTTCCGATATTCGCATTCATTCGCGATGGCCTTTACCCTTGCCCTTTCCGATTACGATGCCTTCGCCAACCGCGACCACATAACACTCTTCGACGCGCTTACACCGCTCAAACTTTCAAAGGAAGTTGGTTGGGAGACCTGGAATGACTCCCTTCGGCAAGGTCTGAAAGCCATTGACAGGCGTCTTTGGCCCATTCTCCAAGGCTCTCTCGGCCAACCTCATGAGCACATGAACGATGAGGAGATTGCTACTATTATCTCTCTCACCAACGGTCATCCTCGATGCTACCCCACACAAGAACTCATTGACAAGGGCAGGAAGGATATCGAGGAGCACGCCAGTGACTATGACCATCTTTGCAGGGTTGGGAATGGGCTCATTCGCAGAACGCTGGGCCCTACGGCGCTTACTATGGTGGCTCATACAGTGAGCTTCAAGGATACTTATTCCAAACTGGAGCAGATCTACAATAGCAACAGCTTCCGCAGGACAATGCGATTGTACAAGAAATGGACCGAAGTAACCTTCGGCAATGATGAAACAGCTCATGACTTTCTAATTCGCTTCCAGTCTGCACTTGGTTTCCTTGAGAAGGGCATTCGGCCTCGAAGTCCGTATACTGTGTTCCGCCAGTTTATGAAAGCCATCTACCATCATCGGGACAGTTCTCGATTCATGGAAACGTTCGAGGTTAGGATATTCGACAAGAACACTATGGAAGATGTTTACTCTTACTTCGAGGACTTCTTTGGCGATAATTGTGTGATTGTGTTCAACGCAGCCAATACCGCCCAACGTTGAAAGAAGGCTTTCTTAGATAGCTTTGTCCAGGCAATGGATTGTACCCACGCATACAAAGTCTGAAATTTGTGAGGAGGTCATAGACTTTGCGAGAGCAAGCTGGACAAAAATGTGATCATCGTTCTATGAATGCATCATGTACCAGGTGATGAGGCTGTCATAACTTCTGAAAAAGCCAACCAGAGTGGGAATGAACATTCATATCTTATTTACAGCTCAATACTCATCATGAAGACTAAATCTATTCATCCCATTACCAACCTCTTGTCGACCCATCGGCGTCATATCCAACAGATGATACGTCGACAAAATACTTTCCAGTCCCCGATCCGAAGTATCATAAGTATGAAAGACACGATCGCCATCTTTCCGGAAAATACAGAGACCGAAATACCCATTTCCAGGCTTCCACGTCACAGTCTCCCCATTTCCTTCAACCTTCTTCCATGTCTGATGAGTCTTGGCAGAACTGTAAAACGGGAACTTCCATCCCATCCTATTTTGATAGCTAGTGATCTCAGACAACGGCGCAGTAGCGACAGCAACAAAAGAAGTATTTCGGCTCCGCAAATGTCCGAGATTTGGAATGTGATCCATGCAAAAAGAGCACCCCACACACCCTTTATGCTCGCCAGGACCGAGCATGAAGTGGTAGACGATCAATTGGTCGAGGCCATCGAAGAGATCTACTAGGCTTTTCTCTCCTTCGGGCGTGTCAAATTTGAATTGATCTGGGTTGGAGATTTCTACCATGGGGAGTTCTCGGCGTTTGGCTGCTAGTCTTTGCAGTAACTGGGTAGCCTCTTTTTCTTGCTTGAGAAGGTCCGCCCGAGCTTTTTGGTACTCGTCTACATCGACGATCCTTTTCTTGCGGGATGTTAATGGGGTCCTTGAGATATATTCAATGTCACCTACGGTTTTTTCATTCGAATCCATTTTGGAACAATTTGTCTGACTCATTCTTGTTATGTTTTTGGGAAAGATTAATTCCTTCGCTAACCCGACATCGACGGTTGTCGTTGGACTCTGGAGATCGTATTGTGTTACTCAGCAAATGTAGAGCTTTTGATTGGTTACAAGGCGGATGACATCATTTTCGTTTTACAAGAGCCGCTCCCTACTAGTAGTAACACTATAAACCCCGACCGCCTAAAATGTTGCCTATGATCTTCCAATTCTCTCCACCTGTGTACAGATAATTAGTAGTTTGGTAATAGAATGTGCTCTTCCAGATACTGGTCCAATGTTGTATAGAGTCATGTTGTTATGTTCTCATGCCCAGGATGTCAGCAGCCCATCATAATAGGTCCATTAATCCATATGACAGAGATCACTATAGCAAGCCCGCCATGAAAAAAAACCAAACCATTTCCTCTGGTCAAATCGCGTCCTCTATTCCCAATTAGGCCACTCCCATCATTCACTACTTCGTTTCCCAATGAGGTTACTCCCATCATTCACTGTTTCTCTCCAGAATACAAATACCCTCAACTTTTCCCTCTACTCCTCTCTTTCTCTCTTCTTTATTCTTCAACCTTCCCTTTGCCTCGATCTTTTCTTGACCCCCTCCTTCTTTACTTTCTATGCAACCTTTCCCTACTCCTCAATTGTTTATCTTTCCTCTCGCTCTCATCTTTTTCTCTGCGCTACCCTTTCCTTGGCGTCGCTCATAACATCTTCTTCTCCTCTTTTACTCTTGTTTCCCTTTCTTGATTACTACTCTTTCCTGTCACCGTCCTTCTCTCTTATACGAAGACTGAGTCTTTTTCATCTTTATGGCTACGACACACCCGAATGCCGCGTGCAGTCCTGCACGATCACCCTTCCTCTTCCGCTGTGCTGTTGGCTCCTTTGTTCCGTTGGCTTCTTTTCTGGCACAAAATGATGACAGTTTACTTCGTCTCTGATTGGCCTTCGGGCCCCGGGCTTGAGATTCTTTCACAAGTCTGATTGTGCCTGACAGATGTTCCCTTTGTACTTAGTGTCAATGAAATGTGTTTATCGCATTCAACCTTCTAATTCCTCCATTCAATAAAATTCAACGTTGTAACCTGTCTACACCGATCTACCAATCAACCATACTTGAGACAAATTAAATAATGAAAAAAGATATTTGAATTGAAGTTCGAAGAGAAAATATACAAACGAAGGACACGCCTTCGAAGAAGAAAGTATTCACCAATCCATCACAACTATGTTCCACATGCCCCTTTTATATCGGCGACTTAACAGCCCTTAAACACACTGGTAGTAGTAGGGGTTCTGCACCTTGCAGGTGTAGGGAGACTCGCAAGTGGTGCCACCGGTCCAGTTGATTCCGCCGCACTGGTAGTAGTGAGCGACGAGAGCTCCAGTCGAGGAAGGAGCGACGGTAGCCGACTGAGTGGAGGACGGGGCGATGGCAAAGGTGGTCGCGGAGGAGGGAGCAGGAGGAACGTAGACGGAGACGGTAGACAGGGTGGTAGGCTCGCTGACGGGGGCGACGGAGGCAACAGAGCTGGGAGCGGCGGTGGTGACAGCGTCAACTGAGGGGCTGGGGACCTGGACCTCGCTGTTAGGGGTGGTGGTAACCTCCACAGCGGCGGAGGTCGAAGAGGAGCTAGACAAGGTGGAAGTGGCGGAGGAGGTAGACTTCGACGAGGAAGAAGAGGTCGAAGCAGCGGCTACAGCAGTGGTGGAGGCAGAAGCAGTGCCACTGACAAAGTACTTCTCCAGGATGGGAAGGTAAGTCGAGTAAGCGGTACCATCAGTGGGCTCCAAGCTGTACATGTAAGTTCCCCACCAGGGACCGGCAGACCACCACTCAGCACCCATCCAGACGTCGCTGTTCTCGCTCATGTAAGCGAGCATGCCCTCGACGGCAGTCTCACAGACAGAGTTGACACCACCGGCGAACTCGCCAATGAAACCCTTCTTGCCGTTAGACTTGAGCCATGCGGTGGCCGACTCCAGGCGCTCCTTGCCGATGGTGCTGCTGACGCAGGTCTCGGAGGTACCGGAGCTGTCTGAGTCGAGGTACTGGTGCATCTCGTAGACGAGCTTGTCCGCGCTATCCGTGAGGCCGCTCAGGTTGTCGTTGTTGTCAGTCCACGACCAGGCACCGGAGTAGGCGTTGCCCTCGGCGAAGATGTACTGAGTGGTAGCGCCGGCGGCACGGATACCGTCGATGGCGGCCTGGTTCAGGTCCAGGACGAGAGTCTGGTCCATATCGTGGTACTCGTTGTCTAAAGAGGATTTATTAGTCTTTGCAAGAGTATGTGCATTGGAGAAGGCTTACTGGTATCGAAAATGACCAGGTCATTGTCGGCAAACTCAGCAGCGACGGTCTTCCAGAAGGCCTTGAAGTTGGCGGTCGACTCAATGATACTTCCAGAGCTAGGATGGAGTCAGTATATAGACAAACAATCACCTTTGGCACGTCAACCTACTATCTTCCGTAGTTGTGGGGATCAAGAACCGCATAAGCACCGCTGTCGGTGATGAACTTCACCGTCTATATCACCTTGTATTAGAGACTGGAGGATGATTTGAAGCATAGTAGCGTGGGGATTACTTACAGACTTGAGATCAGCCAAGTATGTGGTAGCCGGGGTACCGGTCATGCTGTCGGGCACCAGACGCTCCATCAAGAAGGGAACGCGGAAGATGTTCATACCAGCATCCCGAAGGTCCTGGATCTTGGATGTGGTGGGCCAAGTATAGTCCGTACCCAAGGTTCCAGGAATAGCGGAACCAAACTCCGCACCGGACTCGCTAACACCAACCCCTACATGTAATCAGTTGATGCATTCCTGCAGTCGTGCGCTTGTCTAACTTACAGGTGAAGCCAGAAGAGCGCTTCTTCACATCGTTGTTGCGCTTGGGAAGAACCTCCCTTGAGCGAGGGTAGGCAGAGGCCAGACCGGCGGCACTGGCGGCCAGGATCAAGTTGGTGAGTCTCATTTTGATTGAGAAAATAGAAGAGAATGACTGTTGAGCTTGTCGAACGAAAGAATGGATAGAAAAAGAATGACAAATCGAGAAACCAGTCTCGAAATTGGACAGAAAAGAATGTATACAACAAGAAACAAAAGTTAAATCGAGTATGTGCACTGGGCCATGTTATATACCCGTTGGCCTTACTGTCAGGGGCATCAATTCAAGCCTTCTATTGGACTGGGTCCAGGCTACCACAACATCTGATACAAGTGGACTCCACGTTCGAGACCACTCCTCAGGATTCACCGACCCCATTGACAGACCTGTCACGGTAGGTCTTCCGACGGAGATTGAGCCAGGAAGTAGACCAGTATATTTTCTGCGGGGCGAGGGACCCAATGTCTGAGCTAGAAGCGCCCTGGAATGAGATTCGGGCCATAGGATTTAACACGAACGGCCCGAAAGGGTTTGCTGACTATAGTTTAATTTAATTTCCTTGATCATGTCAGTTTCTAGCGAGGGAGAAGGAAGTGGAAGACTTAGGCGTGAAGCCGCGGAGTGGGGTGGAATTTGACATTAGGGTCCACAGGGGTTCAGGGTCATTTCGGTCATTCTACGGCGCGCGATCGGAAGCAATGTGTATGGGTGGAAAATCAGCCAAAGTCAGCATTGTAAATTATTCCGGGACAAGAGTGGGCTTGACCATTCCGTGTTGGGTCGATGCCCGAACTGAAAAGCCCCAAGTAGATGAGCGCCGCTCAAGATGAAACAGGGCGGAGCTGCTACTCCGTACAATGATCGCTTAGCCTATACTAAGACAAAACAATATGAACTCATCGATAATGTATGTAAATCGGGACATGACCCCAGTTACAATTAAACAGGGAAGAAAAATTTCAGGCATGGCCAAAGTCGAGCTCGGTCGGTGTGAATATCGTCAACCCCCTTGCCATGCAATGTCGTCATATCATAGCACACTCGATCTACGAGTCAATTTGAATCATGACACGTACTATTATTCGATATGAAACTCGAAAGATCGATCGCCTTGTCCAGCGGGTACAGCCCTCACATTCCTGTCCCATAATGTCCGCTCGAAGTATCGTACCCGCCCATCAGGTTTAGCGAGGAGGACAGTCTGCTTCTGAGTTCCATATGGTCCGCTGTTATAGTCTAGCCCAAGTGCTCCGTTGGTTGGTGTCTTGTTTACTTCATCTTCGACCTGCGCTGCAGCAGTCTCTTCTGCAGGTCGGTTGATATCTTCTTTCGTTCCAATGAGGGGAATAAAAATACTCTTCCGTAGGTGCTGGATGTAAGTGTCAATGCTGTTGGGCTCGTCCTCTGGTAACCGAGGTAAAGTATCAGTGCTGAGCACCTGGAGTAGTCGTTCGATCAGAGTGTCCTCATCTTCTTGAGATTGCGCATGGGCCTGAATCGCCGAGTCCATGAGCTTTTCGCCTTTAAGGATCTTCGGCCATGATCGATCATCAAAGGTCGTGTTGCTGAGACCTCTTGTTTGGTTCTTTTCCGCCGCCACCCAGGCGATCTGGTCCATGTCGGAGGAACGATTGGAGACAATGGCCAACGGCTCATTAATATGGCCACATACTAGGCTGAATCCACCCACTTGCTTCGCCTCTTCACTTGCTACCATGGACTGCACAAAGCTATGCGTGGTTTGCTCGTTCGGCGGACTGGTTAGCCAGTTGTTCACAATCACACCGCGACTATATTGCCCGATGGCTTGACAGGCTTTGTCTTCGCGATAGTTGGTCAGGACGGCCAATTTTCCTTCTCTTGTCACTCCCATCCATGTACCGTGGGTTGACCTTGCTAGATCGCGTGATCCGAGCACATTTGAGAATGGCTCCGGCCACCAATCTGGCTCTGAAGTTGGGCGGTGGAGAAACTCCTAAAGCTAGTTAGTATGCATGTCATTGCTTCAGTGGGCCAACGTACATCTCTATTATCGATGACGATCAATGAATAGTCCGGGTGGGCGGTGGAGATCAAGGCGATACACATGGCCGAGTTGCCGAGGTGCCCCAGCTGAGATCCAGAGATTGGAGATCGGGTGCAGGATGCAGAGTGCAGGTTGAACCACAGGTGACCTTCACGATTCAAGATGCGGTGAAGGGGATTGTAAGATATAGCGGGGGAAGAGCGCCCCTTGCTCGGGAGTCATCCAAACCTTGGGCATCGGATGATTGGGCCGATCGGATCTCCACTGGTCTGGTCGGTTTCTAGATCTCAAGAAGAACACATGAGAAGAAGGCAAGTGATACAAGACAACTGCATTGATCATACAAGAAGTCCATAGATAAACCTGACTTCAATAGCAGAGTTCTTGAGCTCTAGGTCTCATGTTTTGCTCGTGACGTCAAGACGAACAGTTGACTTTTTTAGCCGTTGCGGGTCATGCTTCAGCTGATATGGATGCCTACGTAGTGGACACTTTTCTTCTTCTTTCATCTCACACTCCACACACCTCGCCTTTGATTCTTGCTCCTCCCCAGTGAGGTTATTTGACTTCCTATCCACTGGGTGAAGTTTGCTTTTTGCTTATAGCCCTTCAGCCTGTGGTTGGAGGGGAAAGCTACTCGATTGATCTCCGCTTATCGACCCCTCGTGACTTTTGATCGCCCGGAAGCTCACACGCCACCATGTTTGGAATCTTTGCGGACTTGTTGTCGTGAGTATTGGTTCAGGAGCTCACGGGGCTCTAAATTCTATTTTTCAGCGTTGCTTACCTATCCGATAGCTCCGTCATCACTATCCTCTTCCCCGTATTTGCATCGTATAAGGCTCTCCGCTCCTCCGATCCCTCGCAACTTGCGCCATGGCTGATGTATTGGGTGGTTCTCTCTGTGATTCTGCTGGCAGAATCTTGGACAGTCTTCATTATTGGATGGTATGCTCTGGCATCAGTTTCCTATAGCTTCATGCGCTGACACATCGCAGGTTCCCATTCTACAGTTGGATCCGATTGTTTTTCATGTGTTATCTCGTCCTCCCACAAACCCAAGGCGCCCGTCTCTTATACCAAGACTACGTTGATCCATTTCTGACCCACCACGAGCACGAAATTGAGGAGCTCATCGGTCGCAGCCATGAGCGAGCCAAGGCACTCGGCCTGCAATACTTCTACCAGGCTATGGATCTCATCCGGACAAAGGTGCTAGGTCTTCCCCCACAGCAGGAAGCCCCACCGCCCCCATCAGGACCAGCCGCATACGCGCAGTCCCTGCTGTCACGGTTCAATCTTCCCACTGCAGCAGCAGCCACAAATACAGGAGATTGGTATTCCGCTCTCAGCTCCGCACTCGGCTCGGTGACATCTCCTGGCAAATCGCGTGAGGTCCACCAGGAGGAACTTTCAGCTAGTGGTACTCTGCTCCAGCGCCAGATTCGATCCATGACCGGCGTGGATAAGGCGCAGTACATCTCCCACCAGCGAGAGGTATTGGACTATCTGCGCTCGACGCTGGCCCGTGAGGAGCAAGCGATCCATCATGATGATGGTGAGAATGACGATCTTGCGTACGGTGCTCCGCTACGAAAGAACAAAAGTGACAACTCCTTTGATGTGGTAGACGATGAAGATCTGGGGTCTCGCGCGACACGTCGCACCAGTGGTAAATGGACCTCTGGCTGGTTGGGTCCTGAGAATGACTCCTCGGGATCCTCGGACTATGCGTCCCGAACCACCGGATATGACCGATACAACTGATCGCAGCTCACACTTGGGGGAAGGCCTGGTGCAAAAGCTTCAACATTCCAGGGAGAAACTTTGGACATAGAAGGTAGAGCCTTTGTTTTTATTTTTGCTGTGAATGGATCCCCATGGGGAATGGTGTTAGTTATACGGTTTTGCTTTGAATGAAAAGCTCGGAGGCTCCTGTGATACCTCCCATTTTCTTTTGCACTTCCCCACTAGTTCCGTACACTTATTTTGTCTAGCCGAGGATGGAGAGTATGGCCGAGCCAATCCAGTCGGAAGAATTAGGCCTGCAGGTGGAGGAAAAGGCTACGCAGCTGCAAGGTGCGGAAGTCGGGATGAAAGTCGATCCTAGGAATGCATCTACCCCTTCGGTACCTTATCCCTAGGAGTCATTTCTGACAAAGACTATGACTCAAAAGCATCCGTGTCACAGAATGGCCTATTTTGGTTAGTATGGATATAGCCTCATATCCGGTTAAGTCCAGTAAGTCCAGTAAGTCCAGTGGCGAGGGGCCTCTGTACGGGGATTACCACCAACCGATAAAGATCCACTTGATTGTCTGGACTCTCAGTATTGTCGCTTGTAGTGAATGGTGAATGATATCAGACATTAGCCATAGGCAATGATCAGTTAGCGTGAACACCATGCAATGAACAATGCAGCGAACATCGAATCGTACTTCTGTATGGGCCCAGGGCTATAGATTACATCGCAGATGTCATGGTGGCGGAGTTTGTAGATGCGCATAATAACTTCCCCTCCAGATTCTTTCCTCTTTTTTTCTCCTTGTGTTCGTCGATAGGATTCTCCCGTAAATCCTTCATCTTTATTTCCTTCTCTTTCAAAAGGTGAGTTGAGATTCAAAGAGGTTTGTGTTCGTCCACAAAGCCCGAACCACATATTTTTTTTTTTCCCACCGAAACAACTTTTTTCCTTTTGGATTTTTTCTCCTTCCCACACCCACACAATTTGTGTTGAACAATCCAAACCCAACCTTTGTGGACCACACGTTGCTTTGTTTTTTAAGCTGCGTTCTTTTGTGGTCGTCATTTCACTCGGTTGATTTGACTTTTTTTTCTATTTGAAAACAAATCTTAATACGTTCGCCCCAGGTTTGGATGCGGCCTTGACGAAGCCTCTTTCACACCTTGACATCACCGTCACCTTACGACTTCTCCCTTCGACCTCATCGCGTGATTTAACGTGACCACCAACCTGTCTAATGAGCTCGATCCCTTCTCAGTCGGGCGTTCAACAAGGACAGAGCACCGCTACCACCTCTCCCAAGCCCGCCGCAACCCCCCTGGCTGCGACTGCCCCGGCGCCAACTAGGTCCTACGCCAACGCTACAAAGAAGTCTGCGACGGATTCCTCCGCCGCTCCCGTCACTGTGGGTGGCTCAGCGCAACATGGGAAGTCGACTTCCGTATCTCCTGTGAACGGCAAACCCATGCAAACCCAACCCGCTCAGCAGGCTGCCTCGGGTGTGACCATCGTCAATGGCGCCCCAACGGCTCCTGCTTCTCAAGGTGATCACTCCCGAAAGCCTTCGGTGACCATCACCTCTGCCGGCACTTCCGGATACATGCCCAACGGCGGCCCTGCCAGCCGGCCCAACAGCCTTCAGTTCGGTTTCGCCAACCAGCAGAGCTCTCCTAACATGGGCAATCCTGCCGTTCTCGCTTCCAACCAGTCGCAGTCTGGCCTGGGTGCCCCGTCGACAAACCCACGTGTGACCTCACCGCAGACTTCTCCGTCCCCCATCCCACAGCCCGCCTCCAGCGGTGGTCGTCCCCCATCCACTTACCAGGCACAAGGAAACGTTCCCAACTTTGGAAGCTTCGGAGAGAGCGGCGATAACAACGTAAGTCGACATCCTCCCTGACCTTTCCCCAATATTGAGGGAGAGAGAGGAGAGAGAGAGAGGAAGAAGGATAATTTCCGATGCATGCGATGCGCATGCAAACGTGATTGCGCTCATATCTTCGGCTTCCCTTTCCCCAAATCCCCCCGCGTTTTAACCCAGATACTTACATAGTTGCGCCCAACTTCACAGGCTCCTCTCGGTCCCGGTCCCCAACATTTGCGTCGCGAATCTTCTCAGTCCACCCACAGTGATATGAGCAACCACATGGGTGGTGGTCCTGGACGCGGTGGCTACCCTCAGGGTGGCCGCGGTCGTGGATACTCCCAGTCCGGATACCAGGGACAGATGCCCTATTCACCAGGCCCGAACTTCCGCCAACCTCACAACCAGCCCCGTGGCGGTCCTAACATGGGCCCTCAGTTCCATGGCCCCAACCAAGGCCGTCCCCTCGCGGCCCCCTTCCCGAACTCGCCGCACCAAGCCAACCGCAGCCCGGCGCTAGCTAACGCCCACCCGACCACTCCTCAAATGAACCAGGTTCCAATGGCCCACCCGCAGATGCCGCCCCAGCCCTACGGCTATGGACAGCACATGGGTCCCCAAACTGTGAGAAACCCACCCTTTCGTCATTCTAAAAACTCCGCCCGGCGTGGCAGTGGCAGTTACAAACATAATCGGGGTGGGCGAGAGACTGTCCCGAGTTCTCGCCCACCCCCTCTGGATCTCGCGCCTCAAAGTGGCAATTTTGAACGCTTTCTGACATTACATCACACTCGACAGGCCTACCCTCCCTACGACCCCAACTATGGCTATTACAACCCCGCCTATGGTATGGGAGGACAAATGCAATACATGACTCCCCCGTCGCCCCAACCCCGTCCTGGCATGCCCTACAACCCCCAGGCTCCCGGCTACATGCAGGGCCAGTACCCTGTTCAACCCCCACCGCAGTCTACTCCCCTCTCGCGCACTCCCTCCCAAATGTCTACTGACCGACCCGGCTCGAGTCTGGGCCAGCCGGCCCCTGCTGGTACTCCGGCTGCTGCTCACACTCACACTGGCAGCAGATCTTCTAACAGCCCCGCTCCTGCGAAGCCCAACTTTATCATCCCTTCCGCCAAGAAGAGCCCCATCGTCATCAAGGACCCCGGTAGCGGTGTTGTGAAGACTTTCGGTTCCCCTGCTTCCCCCGCTCGTGCTACTCCTTCTCCAGTGAAGGTTGCCACTCCTACAGCAACCCCGCCACCCCGAACTGCCAGCGCCTCTGACCATGCTCGGACTGACAGCAAGGCTGGTGCCAAGACTGATGAGGAGAAGAAGCAGGAATTGAAGGATGCTGTTCGCCAGAAGATTCAGGAGGATGAGGCCGCTCAGAAGCGTCAGGCCGAGGAGGCCACTCGCAAGACCACCGAGGAGCCCAAGAAGGACGAGGAGAAGAAGGTTGCTGATGCCGATTCTGCTGCCGCTGCCCTGCAGGACTTGAGCTTGAAGGACAAGGCTGCTCCTGCCGCTGCCGCTGCTGCTGCTGCACCTGCTACTGAAGCCCCTGCTCCTGCGGCTGAGGAGCCCAAGAAGGCACCCGCCCCTGCTCCGCCTGCGGATGATGATGAGCCCGACTTTGACGCCATTGAGCGTGAGATGGCTGAGATTGAGGCCAAGGAGCGTGCCGCTGAGGAGGACTACTACCGCAAGAAGCAGGAGAAGAAGGAGGCTGACGAGCGTAAGGAGCGTGAGGATCGTGAGGCTTACGAGGCCAACATGAAGAAGGCCGAGGCTGAGGCTGAGGAGCGCGAGCTTGCTCGTGAGAATGCCCGCGCCAAGGGTGAGGCCACTAGCAGCGATGACCTCTTTGCCTCTCTTAAGAAGGGTGGTTTGGCCGCCACCGAGTCGTCAACCCCTGCTGACAGCGGCGCCGCTACTCCTGTTTCGTCTGACATGTCCATGGGACCTCCTGGTAAGCCCGCCAGTGCTACTGCCAAGAAGCCTGCTGGCCTGAAGCTGGATACTCCCAAGCCTACCGAACCTACCGAGCCCAGCGCCGCTATGAAGTCTTTGCAGAACGCCAAGTTCATCGAAGACTTGGCCAAGGTTGTCTACCCATCCTCTGTCACGGGCCCCAACCTTGCCCTGAACTCGGACAGCCGCCGATTCCACTACGAGCGTGATTTCCTGCTCCAATTCCAGGCTGCCTACAAGGACAAGCCGTCCGTCGACTGGGACAGCCGTATTCGTGAGACCGTTGGCGACCCTACTCAGTCCGCTCGCACTCCCATGACCAGCCGCCAACCCTCTCGCAATGCCAGCAACCAGGGATTCCAAATGGGATCTGGCATGATTAACCCTGTTGGTCGCGGTAGCATGCCTGGAAATGCTCCTGGCCGTCAATTCCAACAATTCCCTCCCCGCATGGGTAGCGGCATTGGTGCCAATATGATGCGCCAACACTCCAGCTCCATGCCTATGTCCCCTGGTGGTCGTGGTTCCAGCAAGGGTGGTCGCGTGGATAGCAGCAAGCGTGGTGGCAAGAACCCCAAGAAGGAGGGAGAGAACGACAAGTCCATGCCTCTTACTGCTGGTATGAAGCTGGAAGCTATTCAAACTTCTGCCACTGGATGGAAGCCTCGCAGCGTTGGACAGGCTTCCGCTGGCCCCACCCCTGGAGGTCAGGCTGGTTACATGGCTCCTGATGTTGTGCAGCGTAAGGTCAAGTCTGCTCTCAACAAGATGACCCCTGAGAACTTTGATCGTATCTCTGTCCAAATTCTCGATATTGTTTCACAGTCCAAGGATGAGTCCGATGGCCGCACTCTCCGCCAAGTCATTCAGCTTACATTCGAGAAGGCTACTGATGAAGCTCACTGGGCTCCTATGTACGCTAAGTTCGCCAAGGCCATGCTCGAGAGCATGAGTGCCGATATTAAGGATGAGAACATCCGGGATAAGAACGGCAATGTCGTTGCTGGTGGCAGTCTCTTCCGCAAGTACCTGCTCAACCGCTGTCAAGAGGAGTTCGAGCGTGGCTGGAAGGTCAACCTTCCTGAGAAGCCCGAGGGCTCCTCAGAGGAGGCTCAGATGCTTTCTGATGAGTACTACATTGCCGCGGCTGCCAAGCGTCGTGGTCTTGGTCTCGTGAAGTTCATTGGTGAGCTGTACAAGCTTGGCATGTTGACTGAGCGTATCATGCACGAGTGTGTGAAGAAGCTTGTTGATTACGACGGTATGCCTGATGAGGCTGAGGTGGAGAGCTTGACCAGTCTCCTGCGCACCATCGGTGCCAGTCTGGATGCTTCTGAGAAGGGCCCTGCCATGATGGATGCTTACTTCGCTCGCATTAACATGATGGTTGAGACACCCAACCTGCCCAGCCGTCTGCGTTTCATGCTTATGGTATGCTTTTACTATTTTGTTCATTTTAGAATTGCAATCAAGCTAACCAAGTCCCCAGGATATTATTGATCTGCGTGCTAAGCGCTGGAACTCCAAGGATGCCGATAAGGGTCCTAAGACCATCCAGCAGATTCGTGAGGAGGTACGTTATACAGCAATTTTCTCTCATTCCATTTGATCCCCGATCCTAATTAAAACACAGGCTGCTCGTGCCCAGCAAGCCGCTGAGCAAGAGAAGATGCGCCAGCAAGCCAACCGCGGTGGCGGTGGTGGTCGCCCCCAGATGGGCCGTGGTGATGCCCGCGGCTTCGGATACGGCCAGCAAGCTCCCCCTCCCGACTACGCCTCCAGCAAGGTTGGCAGTGACGACCTGCGCCGTCTGCGCACCACTCGCAACCCCAACCAGCCCATGTCCTTCGGTCCCTCAAGCATGCTCGGCTCTCGAAGCAGCAGCGGCCGCAAGAACCTGGGCCCGGGTGGCAACCTCGTTCGCGGCAGTGATGACAGTGCCGCAAGCAGCCGTACTGGTACTCCTCCTGCCGGCAAGAAGGAGGACAAGGAGGCCGCCTCTTCCATCAACGCTTTCAGTGCCCTCGCCGCCCTGGAAGATAAGGATAATCTGGCCACTTCGCCCCCATCCGCCCACAACTCCCCCGTCCTCACCAAGTCGCAGCCCGCGGCCGAGCGCCGACCCTCAAAAACCCCATCGAAGGATGGCGAGAACGCAGCATAGATTCCTTAGGAGTAATGATCAACGTTTTCCTTTTTCAGGCCCAACAAAAGATTTCCCTGTTTCCCTTTTTTCCCAATGAGATCCTTATGCTCCTCATGCTCATGTTCCCCTTTGCTCCCCATCTGCGTGGCTATAAAAGCATCGCAGTCTTTCGAATCTCACCTTGCATGTTCCGACTGGGTCGGTTTTTCTCTTTTTTCCTTTTCAGGTGCGAATTCGAACCTCTTCATAGTGTACAATTTTCACACCCTTTACTATTTCTTTCCTCCTTTTTTTCTTTTTGCTTGGTAGCTGGTGATGTGTATCGAAGCAGTAGGCTTTGATTTCATTGGTATTGATATCAGTAAGGAGAGAAAGTTGGGGTCAAGAGATGTCTGACTAGGGTAGTTGCTTGAATCTCCTGTATTCAGGTTCTGCTTGGTAGGGTTCTCTGGTTACTCTGGCTTAGGTAAATCCATTAGATGTGGAAGTGCCTGATTCTTTGATGTTTGTGGGATGAAATTCTTCTCTTCTATACTATGTGATTAATAACAAGTCTTTTTCCACTTCTAACATCTTTTACTGAGACGTACAGAGGAATTTGTTGCGTGTAGTCAGGCTAGGATATCTTACCATATAGTCTAATAGGTATGGTATGATAACGATAGCTATGAACGAATAAAGATAGGGGATGAGTGTATGTAGAGCAGAGACAGAACAGGACAGAAAAGCCGGAAATGGGTATTTGCACGCTGAAGGGTATAATCAGGTCGGAATAGTATGGACCTGGCACATTGTACACTAAGTTCAAGTTGCTTTGCATGATGGACGAAAAGTATGCCGCATCTTTGTGAAAATGAGACAGACAGAGAATGGGATGAGTATGGTGAGGCGATGCATGAGTAAATGCGGTTTACTCCGTGGTTGGTGAAGTGTCTGGTTCGTGGTTGTCGGACACTTCAATGACGGGAATTGAGACTCGGGGATTGAACTCTGGTGATTCACCAGCTGTGGTGTCGGTTGTTGGGAACCCCTTCTCTGTCTCCGTCGAAGGGGGTTCGTCTGATGAACTTGAACTCTGATCCTGGTCGGGGCTAGGGGAAGGTGTTTCACCTCGTGGATAAGGTGAGGGCGATCTCTTCGTCTCCTCGGTAGCAACAACACTCTCCTCCGAGCTAGCGGGGCTTCCGTTCACGGGGCTCTTCATAATGACAGAGTCAAGAGAATATGGAACCGGCGATGGGTCAGGATCTTCATGACTGAGACTGCTACGGTCAGAGACGGACAGAGAGCTTCGCGAGTTACCGTGAGAATAAGTCGCAGGAAGACCTAGTGCCTCTGCAACAGCAGCCTCCTCATCAGGCAGCCTCGAGGCACTGCTCTCCGTGCTAGAACTGGTATCGAAGATGCGGCCTCCTCGCTGCTCGCTCATTTCCAGGATATGATTATAGCTTCGACGGGTGGGGTCTGCGCGGCGTTTCTTCTTTTTCTTCTCGCGCTTCGGTGATGGGCGCACGACAATGACCGGGATTGGCGACTGCTGAAGACAGTACTTGGATACGGATCCGGGAAGTAGACTGTGAACGCCCTTCAAGTTGCGACCGCGAGTTCCAACAACCAGCATAGCAGGCTCATATATGCGGATCTTTGACATGTCAGAATTGTCATAAAGTAGTACTGAGATCAGAACTCACCATCCTCTGAATGATATCTTCCACTTTACCCACAGCCAGTTCCAGAACCAAACTGATCGCCTTCTCGTCCTGGCTATTCTTCTGAATAACTTGCTCGAACAGTCGCTCGGCTTCCTGGTGGTAGTTTCTAGCCTCAATGGCCGCATCGCTCGCCATGCGCGAATCCTTTTCCACGGCACGAAGACAGACAATCTCGTCCCCATCATCGACCAGCTCATCCAGTAGCCATTCTAGCGCAAACTCAGAATAATCATTTTGATCAGTTCCGCACAAAAATGTCCGGCTCCGTCGTGTACTTTGGTACCCTTTATGCTTGTAATTCATAGTCAACGAGAAATCCGCCGCATCCCGGTTATCAAAGGTATCAAACGAGACACCGCGCTCATAAGTCCTGTTCATGAGAGTTAGCCCACTCGCCCAAAGCCACCCGACAGGGTCAAACGGGGAAGATGGAGGGAGGTGTGAAGAGGAAAAGATAAGAAAAAAGAATTGGAAACATTGAAAACATACTTCGGCGGCGGCGGAGATAACCCCCGACTAACAGACAACGGCCTCTGTTCCCTCTCCACTCCAGTATCTCTGATCGGCACACCATCACCCTGCGATCGTCGCTTATCCTTAAAACTCAACGATCGAGAAGGAAGTTGCGCCTCCGCCGCACCAACATTGAACTGTATCGATTTTCGACGCGGACTGCGCGCCCGCGGCTGCTCTCCGAATGAAATTCCGCTGGGGCTCTGGGTAACCGATGAATGGCCCATGCTTGCCCGAGAATCGGGACGGTCATCGGACTCAAAGGAGGGCTTCGGTGATGGAGGGGCCGACATCGTGCGGGGGGGAGGGGAATAATAGGTCGGTTTCTATGGACGTGTTGGGAATCGGTCCGATGATCCAAGTGGATAGGGGTCTCGGGTATGGACCAGGTGGTTGATTGAGTGGACTGTTTCTTGTTTTCTGAGAATTAAGCTTTTCTTCTCTGTTTCCCTTTATTTGGTATCGTGTGATCGGATGGACAGGGATGGGTTTTGAATTGCCGGTATGTCTCGGTTGAGCACGGTTTGAGATCTTGCGGTCAGGTCATATGATGCGGGGGGACCTGTCAGGGGGATGAGGAATGAGGATGAGCTGCATCTCAGCCACGAGGTTTGTTTTCGGGGGAGCTCCTAGGATGGAAAGTAGTATGGAGTGACGCTTGCAGCGAGGGGCTTGGCCTCGATGTAGTAGGCGGTGAGCACTTATCGATAGCATCTTGTGCCTTAGGCGCCAAGTAAACATCAACATGTGATTGTGATTAATTCATTGAGTTATAGGGACGTTGGCGATAGACCTCTAGAGCCATCTAGGCACGGCAAGCTGTGAGCCTCCAGGGCTGTCAGGGCATTTTGAGATCTGCTCCACAGATAGCTATTCATGTCAAGTACCATTGACACAATTGGCTCGTGGACATGCCATAGTAAATATAGTTCAATTTAAACTTGGCAGCTCCCACAAGTACCTTGATAGGAAAGACCACCGAGAGCGTAGTACACTATACAATACGCTCTTTAACCTTGGAGGAAAACAGCCAAATAAATCTACGCAGGCGCCCAGGTGCACCCCAGGTGGTACTCCTCAAACCCTATCTCCGCGGGGTCCAAAACACCCGAACCCATGCGGGTAAAACGGAATGCAAGCAAGATGCACGAAGTCCGGTGATGTGAGTCAAATACTCCACCGGACTGAGCAAGTTTATTCAGCGTTACAGGAGGGCCATGGGACACGCTGACTGGGAAAGAACGCTAGATAAGGAACCCTAACGACCGAAAAATCAGTATGCAGATCCCGAATCTCTCCTCCCGGAGTCTGTGCGGGTCCTATTCTTCCCGGAATTTTACTTTGGACATAGATAGAGTAATCTTGGAAGTAGACTATTGATGCCAATCTGACACGTCATTAAGAATTCTTCTCCCCTCAATTGAATTCCATTCTACAGTACGGAGTACCATTTAAAAGAAAAAACGAGGACAGAACGGTCCTGCATGACCCCACCAATAATTCGCCCTAGACAAACCCTTCACGACACTAGTAGCCGTAGCGGACCGACTATGCCGACTTAGCCGCGCTGATCGGAGACTATCGTCCCTTGGCGTTGATCTATCCAGCGGTGAGGCTGCGCTCAGGCCGATCGACGGGTCACATGCACCGTATAGCCTGTGTGGTTGGTACAAGTGGAGTTCCAGGTACTATGCTGTGTAGTTCAGGCTTTCTACGTTAGAATTACTGTACTAGGAAAGATAAGTCCAGTTTGAATCTTGGATTTGTGTACGGAGAATTAACCCCGTCTATGTACGTCTGGTTGGGATCACAATTTTTGTATCCTGGTCCCCACTTGGGTAGTCTCAACCTGTTGAACATAGGGAGAGCTGCCCAATGGTCCTTCCATGCCAAAAGGAAAAAGAAAAAGTAAAAAAAAAAAAAAATAGAAAAAGGTAAAGATGTGGGAGACATGAGGCTACTCATGGTAGCAGAGATGAGATATGTATATGCGTCCGTATAAAATCCAAAACGCCGTAAATGGTAAATTAATAGATTATCGCTTCAAATGGCCAGCCCGGTCGTTGAACAAGCATCAGGGTATCACAGAAATCAAGGCATATGGTATACAAGAAAAAGACATGGCAAGACCGAAAACAAATCAGTATGCCTCAATGATGGTCTGATCTTGTGAAACGTAATACCCTGTCTCGAACAGATGGGGCTGGTCGTCACCCGCCAGCGGGATCGCAGTGGTAGTGGCCCCCTTCTCATCGAATGCCTCCAAGGTAGGTTGAGGCGGGGAAGGGGGGAGGACCTCTTCTTCGGACTCGCCATCCGAGTCCGCGAGAAGCTCCGGTGGAGACTGGCGCGAAGGCGACCGAGTCAAGCTGAGCTCATCCAAGTCCTCAACATCATCGTATTCAAAGTCGCTGTCTGTGTCGTCGTCCTCGTCCTCCATGAGTGTGGGCTCAATGGCGACGGGTGTAGGTGTACGACGACGAACGGGGACGTTAATGGCAAAGCCGGCCTCCTCGAAGTCAGCGTCCTCCTCGTCGCTGTCACTGATATCGGAATCCAAATCGGAGACGTCTTCCGCTTCCCAATCCTCCTCGGGCTCTTCGACCACGGTCGAAGCCCATTGAATGTGTCGAGATTCTTCTTGAGCCTTGGTGGCACCGCTGACAGTCTGGTTGAACCAACGTTCTTGTTCCCGCTCGGCGTCGGCAAGGTCTAGCATAAGAGAGTCGAGGAGGTTGGCATGGCCGACCAGCAATCGGAGATCATGGTCCGCCCGGGAAGCTTCACGAGTGAGCTTCTTACGGGCGGTATGAGCGAGGTAGTATGTTTGAGTAATGCTCATCTTCTTTTGTTGGCGGCGGCGGAAGAGAGAAGTGAAGTAGGGGGAGGCGGCGGAGGCAAGAGAAGTATCCTTGTTGGGGTTAAGAGAGGAACCCATGGTGGGCAGCAGAAGTATTAAGAGCTGTAAAGGGTATGACTCGTTCTGCCAAGGTAGTGACTCAATCGTGTGTTCATCCAGTCACAGGCGGTGATCGGAGCAGGCGGTGTGGTAGTGCAGGTTAAAGTGTCAATCACGTAAATCAGATCAGTGGTGTGGATAAGGATTCGTAGATAGGCTGGTGGTGATCGATAGCATTAAACCCCGACTTAAATTTCTGGAGTAAGGATGATTTTTTTTCACGTTGATGTTAGATGTAGATCAATATTTTTTTTTTCCCAGCTGGGGATTGAGTGACTTTTTAAAATCCAACCTGTGCTTATAATTTTTTTTCTTTCCCGTGTATCCGTTCTGCTAAAGTCCGGGACCCGATCGGAGGGCGATCTCCACTCATGTTTATGCGCAGGTGGATCCGAGGCCGAGCATTATTCAGCGGGGATTTTTTTTGTTTTGTCAACGGATTACGAATTACACCATGCAGGTGAGGAGCTCAGGTGCTCAGATACTCTCTGCGCTCACCGCTATATTCAATGAGTCAATTGACACTCATACTGAATCTACCTTTGATTTCCCATGATTATGCTAGTAAAAAAATTGAGCGCGCAGTTAAGACGGATCCAAACCTGACTCATCGGTTAAGTCCGTCTCGCAATTTTTTCATCTTCCCGCGAAACCCGTTCACTGTAGACCCTGGACCCACCCCTCGGATGACCAATACTTCAGCTCCGGTCCACGGGACAATCGCGGACAGTTAACACCGATACTGTTATTTCCGATTATTCATGACTTCTATGCAATTCCTGGGTATGATTTCCAATCACTCATTATTAACCACACCTTATTGACAACCTTTTCCAAGGGTTCTCCAAGCTCTAATCTGTCAATCAATATGACTGCTTTGGACATTACGCCATTTACTCAATACAGACACCGTACATCACACGGACCATGACTCCGTATGATCCATGCGGCTGTGAAGACCAGCATTCCCCAGGAAACCAGGACGCCTAGCAATTATTGGCAGTTAGGGGGGCTGTGATTTACGCGGGGGCCAGTCACAACTCTCCCTCTATCCCCCTGTCATTTTCGCAGATCTTGGCTATCTTGGCCATTCCTACCTGTCTGCCTTGTCTACCCCGAGCCACGTCGTGCTCCTTGCAGGGCGCAGAGAGGGGCAAAAGGGATGATGTAGAACTACATAATGAACTCATCATTCTACGGTGCAGCTCGCCATAACTTGCCTGCCAAGATGTTCTTGACATTCTATAACCGACGTGTCTCACCATGGAATGCCTACTGTAATTTACTGCCTCAGCCAAGCCTTGAGGGCTTGGCTGAGTGACCGCCTAGCAAATAGTCAACGGCGATCGCAAATCATGGTTCGCAGTGGATTGGTGTCTCGCAGTGGAATCCATTTTCAGCCCAATTTCCTAATCCGTTTAGAGCCCGCGCTCCATTTTTCCTTTTTCCCTTCCATTGCGTCTATTTTCGCCCAAATTTGTCTCCACTCCAGCGTTAGGCAGCCTCTGTAAGGAGAACCCACGTAGATAAAACGAACAATCTTATATTTTATATCCACTAGTCAAACGAGTACGATGCTCCTCGTATCCTTCCCCCCCCCAACTAGGTAAAATTATATTATATAATTGAGCCATTGTGGATTCGTGATTCATGAAACCCGCCCCCTACCTACATCTTGCATTAAGAAGGCAAATACCTTCATTTAATAAATTCGTATTATGGTAATCACTGATCTAATCATCAAAATCCCATCGACAGGTCCAGATGCAGCCATGAGTAGCTCGATCTTGGATTCCCTGGTATATCCGGTGCCGCTGACGATGGTCCCGGATGTTCGGCGCAATTATCGATCCATGCGGCTCTCGCTCGGCGTTTACTTCGATTGATTCCGAACCCCGACCCACTTCCTGACAGGTCATGACATCAACCACCGCCGCTCGGCCAAGTGGTCCTGATGACCAAGACTAGGTAAACATGGATGGAGAGAAAATAATGGTCTACTAATAGTATACTCGTATAGGTCATCGCAGGCCTAGAGCTGTGAGCTCTCTTGGGAGATTAGGAAATTTGGGTGCATCCCAATTTCCCAATCCAGATAACCAGCTCTCGTGTATGATGATAGCATACCGAGATGATAAGTATGTTGATCAGTAATCAGCCTTGGACTTCTGGTATCTACGAGAACCTCTTTGAAACCTGAAGAAATCACCATTACCTAAGCGGACTTTCACATGACTAGTCAACTTACACGATACAACATTGAAACAGCCTGAGCGTTATGCTTATCCCTATCCCTTATCTCCACGCGGCAAAGGTGCACAGATTATTGCTTAAAGCAGAGACATTTTTTACTGAAATCAAGCTTATCTCCTCGTTCGGGCATTCACAGTTCACCGAAGGTAACACCGAGGCCCAACCACCTTGTGACTCAAGTCAAATTCAATGTGGGGCAAACGGCATAACGGCACTCCGATTCCGAGTCGAAGAAATTTTCCGTTCGAGGATCCGCGATCCGTGGGTCGGAGGTTGTCGTGCACATTTTTATGCTCAGCCTTACTGTACTGATCGACGGTTCACGTGCGGATCGTGGATCTCGACATAATTTTCTACATGCGCGATATACTTGTCCGCGATCCGTTACTTACCGTGAGTCATTTAGTGACATGAGCAGCCCCGGGCATGTTGAATCAATTATGCTACCTGTTGACCTTGATGCCGTTTTCGGATCTCGGTGTTAGGGTAGATGGTATTGCTGCTCAGTAGATCTGGTGATACATACAGTATCTTGCATCCTTCCCGAGCTCGTGCATGTCCACACGCGGCATATTCACATGTCTTATAGGATTTATGCAATGGACTATGCTGAGCCTAGACAATTCCAGTCCATGATCTATTTAGTTGATAATGTGCGTCAGTCATCAAGGCGAATTGCTTTTCTTCACTCCTTATGGCCAAATTGACGACGAAGATGTAGGTACGGTATAAGTGGGTACGATATTGTAGCACTGACTTCTTATATTCTGAATATAGGATATGACGGACTAACGTGAATAATCAAAATAAACTGAAGGCCAATTGAAAACAGAATAAGATAGTATTCTTTGAAGTAGACCTCATGTTCAACAAAATGTTAGTGGATTGATGTAGTGTGTGCTACTTAATCAAATCCGTGGTTATATTGAGGGCTACATACAAAATTGGCATCAGGCCGTGCTTCGGAAAGCGGCCCGAATTACCTTCCACGCACCTATTCACCAAAGCATATTATCACAGCCTCATAAACATATTGCTTTTGAACAATTCATTACAAACCTTTGATTCTGATATATTTATATGAGACATTACTAATGATACACGTTCTCAGTTCTTTGAAGAGTAGTTACTCTCTCATGATCATAATGACTCAAGCTGTCAAGACTGTCTCTTCGAAATGTTTCTCTGCGTTATTCTTTCTATTTACGTTAGCTTTCAAGCTTGTCTATTTATCTCATGTGATAATAATATTATGTTATTAGGTAGGGGTGTTTGGCGACATGTCAACGGATGGTGAAGTTGAAGTCGAAGCACCTATATCATTATGTCTCTATAGACTTTACTTTCTTCTACGCCCCCGCTCCTTGCCAAGGGCTTCTTATGATCTTTGACTTTATAGATTCTGGGCGAGTGCTCTTTTCTCTCATTAATTTTTGTCCGTGAGCTCTCTTGGCTCTCTTGATTCGACTAGCATCTTGCTTCTAATCTAAACCCCGCTGTTGGGTTTTTGGACAAGGTTCTTCGAAGAAGGATAGACCAAGATCGATATGTGGTTAATTGACTTGGCTTTATCATTGCTATGGAATAATTGTTTTATACCACTTTTTCCCACGTACATGGACACAGTAAGGTGTAACGAAAGTGGCCAATAGGGCTATGGCTCGGGAACTTCTAACACCCGAATACATCCCCTTTCACTGATAGTCGGGGATTACTAACCCCCGAAAGAACAAACACCGACCATACAAAGGTTTGCAGTTCAGGGCTATTTCAAACGCCTTGAAAGCCGAGTAGCTCGAGTAGGAAACCGAAATCATATATAAAGACATTGTTCCCCAGGTCCCAGGTCCAATGATTCCCATATATTTTTGGATTTTACAAGCAGACACAAGTATAGCTTCTTCCTCCGAACTTCAACTCACCAGTGAAGCCTGCATCAGACAAGCAAGCGCATCTTCAACGTACTCCCCTCCATTCATAAACCATCAAGAGCATTCCACACCACAATGACAACCTCCTCCAAACCAGCTCCAATAGCCATAATAGGCGGTGGACCCTGCGGCCTCACACTCGCACGACTCTTCGAACGCGCCGGAACAGACTATACAGTCTTCGAACGCGATCAAGGCCCAGACCCGACAACCCGTTTCCAAGGCGGGACACTAGACTTGACAGTCGAAGGCGGCCAAGCAGTCCTAAAAATGGCGGGTCTATCTGCCGACTTTGAGAAACTGGCTCGTCGGGACGCAACGACGATCCTGATGCAGGATTCGCAGGGAAAACATTGTTTTTCTGCTGGTGATGGGAATGATCGCCCGGAGATTGATCGGTTGCAGTTGCGGAGACTTTTGTTGGGTTCTATTCCTACGCATCGGGTGAGATGGGGTAAGGTGCTTGGTGGTATTGAACGTGGAGGGGATGGACCCGCTTCGGCGGCGGATTGGATACTTCGTTTCAACGATGGGTCGACTGAGAGTGGGTTCAGGCTTATCGTTGGTTCTGACGGGGCATGGAGTAAGGTGCGACAGTTGGTGAGTTTGTAGTCCCGTTGACTCAACTTGGTGGATGCAGCTGACGATTTCTGTAGATCACACCTGCGAAGCCCCAATATTCGGGCAAGATGTTCATCGAGGGCCGAATATCACAGGATAACCCACAATACGGTGCTGCGCTCGAGATGGTCGGTGCCGGGAACTCCATTGCGATGGGCGCTGGGCTAGCATTGTGTATTCAGCAAATGTCTGACCGATCTTACCGCGTGTATATGGGCGTTGAGGCATCCGAGACATTCACTAAGCCTGGTGGCAAGGCTGATGTAAATGACATGACCAAGGCACGAGAAACGATGAACAGGCTATTTGCGAACTGGGCTCCGAATCTTCGTGCGTTTGTGGCAGAAGCTGAAGGACCATGGCGTCCTTGGCCTCTTTATCGACTCGACAAGGAACTCTTTTTGCCTGGTGCATTGAGAGATGATGGAGAGATGGGGGAGAAGTTCTGGACTCGCACGCCGGGGGTTGTGGTACTCGGTGATGCGGCGCATGTGACAACACCGAACGGGGAAGGTGTTAACCATGCTATGATGGATGCTATGATGTTTTTTGAGCACATGATGGCTGAGCTCGGTAGTGGTGATGGGTATAATGCACAGGATGATGCTACGGCATTGGAACGCGCCATTGTTGCTTATGAAGCTGGTATGCGCCCTCGGGCGTATGCAAGTATCCTGGATAGTTTGAACATGGAGAACGTGATGTATAGGGAGGATGGCGTGCTGCAGATGATGAAGATGTTCGGGGAGGGAAAGGAGTGAACGGGAATGCATAGAGCCTTTGCTCGTGGCCAATTAGTTTATATCGGGTGGCCAAATGATGTACTATACTTCTAATTTGAGACATAAAAAGGAATGGACAGAAACTGCGACTAAGTAATCATGACAAGCAAGTATCAGAAGAGCCTTCCACTGGTCCGTATAGTATTTTCGGTCAGCGTCCTTAACGGTTTGGCTTCCATTAAAGGGCTCGGGGGGTTGTTTGGTTCCTGTTTATAACCCATAAGCTACTATAGGCATGTGTTTGCCCAAGCACACATAAATGTCCATATAAACCCCATCTATTCCATAAATTAACAAACTTCTATCAACTACCCATCCTCAAACAAACAACCACCCATCCACCATCACTTCTAATCAACCATGTCCTCAATGGAAGCAACAGACTCGCGCCTCCAAAATGAAACCATCGAAAAAGGAATCGACAAAATCCAAACCTCAATCCAAAGCCTCAACATCAAAATCCTCCGCGAAACCGAAGATCTCGACCGCTACAAGATCCGCAAAAAGAGGCGCATACACAAATTCCACACCAGAATAGCACTGAAACGCAGCCTGATCTCCGCTCTAGCATCTCCAAATAAAACGTCACCGTTCTCATCAACCTCAGCTTCTACAGACTCTACAACCCTCGCCAACGAAAAAGGGAAAGAGAAAGAAAATGACAAAGAAAAGCTTGAAGCCGAAGACGAATACTCTTCCCTCCTCACCCCCCCAAACTGGGATACCCGCGATCCCAAAAAATTAGTGACATGGCAATTAGAACGCCACATAAACTGGGCAATCACAAATCCACCCTGGAATAGTCCTGCCTCTCTCCACAGCATCCTGGATCTACGGACCGCAGCCGAGCTCCAAGAGGGACAGCAACCGGGTCAAGGGAACAAGATGCTAGAACGAAAATACTGTCGTCTTGATCCGGGGGAGGATGTGTGGGGGAAACCGGCTGCGGCTTTACTTGTTCATGCGAAGGGGTTTTACAAAGATCCTGATGGGTGAATGTTGGAGGAGGGGCCGCGGATGTTGTTGATTAAGATGGAGAAGTGGTTTTTTGGGTTGAGTGAGAGGGAGAGGGAAGAGTTGGGCAGCAATGCTAATGATTGGTGTAATACGCCGGATGAGGTTATTTCTTTGTGGAATAAGGCTTTTGCGGTTGGAAAGTTTCTTTGGGAATAGGTTTTATGTTGGGCTTGAGGCTATAGGGGAAGAGATTGTGAGATCGTGATGATACTGGGTTCGTCTTGATATCTTTATGGTCTATGATTTTAGACTATAATGTTATGAACTCATTCAACGCTTAATGTCGGTTACCTAGTTCATGGCGGAAGAAATCGTAATTAACTTCCTAGGCTAGTCCATATAAGCAACTATCTACCGACGACTACTGCTACTGCAAATCTAATGCAGATCCAAGTATATAGAAAATATGTAAATTTTAATCATAAACAAGAAAGCTATCATCATCATAACCAGATATCTCTTTTTGTGTTGAAATCCCGAAATACCGTACAGACACCTCTACCCATTAGAAAACTCTAGTGGTGGAACAGACGGATGCCCTGCTCGACAAAGGTAATGCCCAGCTTCTCAGCAGTCTCGAAGACGGGGGTATCGTTCTGGCTACCAGTAGGGGCGGCAATGTACTTGACACCGGAGCGGGCAGCGCGGAAGACGTTGTCAATGAAGGGGAACTGTATTAATGCGTAAGTACGATTCAGGACAGGAAATGGACAGTGTGAATGGGAACTTACGAAAGCGTCGGAAGAGACGGCAACCTCACCCAGCTTCTGCAGCCAGGCCTCACGCTCCTCCTGGGTGAAGGGAGCGGGAACCTCCTCAAAGACACGCTCATACTCGGCGGTCTCGGCCTCGGTGCGGGGAGTCTGGCCGGAGCAGAGCAGGTCAATGGCGTTGCTCTTGTCGGCACGCTTGGTGCCCTGCTTCCACTTGATACCGATGACGCGGTCGTGGAAGCGCATCCACCAGTTGTCGGCCTTGTCACCAGCAAGACGGGTGCAGTGGATACGGCTCTGCTGGCCAGCACCGAGACCGATGATCTGGCCATTCAGGGCGTAGCAGACGGAGTTCGACTGGGTGTACTTGAGGGCAATGGTGGCGACGGTCAAGTCGCGGAGAGCGGCCTCGGGAAGGTCCTTGGTCTCCTTGGGGGTGATGATGTTGTTGAAGGTCTTGCTGGGCGAGATAACGACGTCGTTGCGGTGCTGGGTCAGCTGCACTCCGTACAGGGTACGGGTCTCCTCGGGGGAGGGGGTGTAGTTCTCATCCATCTGGAGGACGAGGTACTTGCCACCCTTCTTCTTGGAGAGGATGGCGAGGGCCTCGGGCTCGTAGCCGGCGGCGATAACACCGTCGGACACCTCGCGGGAGATGATCTTGGCAGTGGGGGTGTCGACAATGTCGCTCAGGGCGAGGATATCACCGAAGCTGGACATGCGGTCGGCACCACGGGCACGGGCGTAGGCCTGGGCAAGGCCGGAGGTCTCGATGTCCTTGATGTCGTCGACCATGTACACCTTGCGCTCCTTCTCGGTGAGGGGAACACCGATGGCAGCACCGGCGGGGGAAACGTGCTTGAAGCTAGCGGCGGCAGGATATCCAAGAGCCTGCTTCAGCTCCTTAACCAGGGGCCAGGCGTTGAGGGCATCCAAAAGGTTGACGTAGCCGGGGGAACCGTTCAGCACCTTGAAGGGCAGCTTGCCCTGGGGCATGAAGGCGGAGGCGGGCTTCTGGTGGGGGTTGGTACCGTAGCGCAGAGACAGCTGCTGCACACCGTTGCCGGCATACTCCTTGCGGAAGAAGGCAGAGATGGCAGAGTCGTAGTCGGCAGTCTGCTCGAAGGCCTTCAGGGCGTACTGCTTGCGGCTAGCCTCGTTGATCTGGCCGGCAGCAAGCTCCTGGAGGAATCCGGAGTAGTCATTGGGGTCGGACAGGATGGTAACACGCTTGTGGTTCTTGGCCGCAGCGCGGAGCAAAGTCACACCACCGATATCAATCTCCTCAACGGCCTCGTCAATGGTGACATTGACCTTGGCGACGGTCTCCTTGAAGGGGTACAGGTTGCACACAACAAAGTCGACCTTGGAGATCTTCTGCTCGGCAAGGTCCTTCTCGTCGGATTCGATGTCACGGGCAAGGATACCGCCGTGGACAGCCGGGTGGAGGGTCTTGACACGGCCACCGAGCATTTCGGGGGCGTGAGTGATGGCGGAGACATCCCTGTGGAAAGTTGTTAGTATTGAGCCATGCAACCATACTGATTTGCTCATCTTCGAGCATCTCTGGACGAACTCACTCGACGGGGAATCCGGCCTCACGGATCATCTTCGCGGTACCGCCAGACGCAAGAAGACGGACATTCTGCTGGTTCAGACCCTTGGCAAGGTCAAGCAGTCCAGTCTTGTCATAGACGGAGATAATAGCTATACCAAAGCGCAATTGAAAAAATCAGCCAACTGTACCCTCAATCCGGGGAATGTATCAGGCCAAACGCCTACCGGACTTCTGAGACATGATGTCGACACTAGAAAAGAAAGGTCAGCAAACATGAGTCAAAATCAAATCAGGCTTCAATGAAGCTTCCAATCCAATCCAGTCTATCAAGGACGGTATTCCCACATACCTAAATCCAAGCGTACAGGTGTATAATAGCTCGAACGAGGGTGGAAAAAAAGAAACAATTTGTCCCGCCGCGGGGTCTTTTTTCATGGCCGCAATCGGACGGCGATTTACAGTACCGCCGTATAGATACGTAATTTACGCCATAACAGCTCCAGAACTATACGGAGTGACAGCCAATCAGAGAATATGCTGAGTCAATGTGTTCGTCCCTCACGTGACCCGCGGGCACTTCAAAAGCAAATTTTGCGCGCGCGCTTTCCCCTTCTTTTTCTTTTCTTCTTCATGAACAACGCAAAAAATCAACGTTCTTTCAAAAGCGTTCCTACGAGGATTCGTCTCATGAAGTATGGAAATCGTATAAAGAATGGAGACCGAGTGTACGCACAGTGTCGATCTTGGGTGCAGTGCCTGCCTGACCTACGGGTCTAATGGAAGGAACTGCAATGATTGACTCTACAAATCTCTCAACGCTCTTGACCTTTTTTTATTGTTTTTGAGGTCGTAAAATATCTGTTTAAATGTTACTCAGATTGTTGATTGAGTGGAATACATTATTTCTCGAGTTATTTTCTATTACAATTCTATTTGCCTTGGTGCCAAACGAAGAAAATTTCTGTATAAGCATTTCCACGTAGCAAGTATTTCCTTGATATAAACTTTGTTCAGCAGACCAAAGCTATCAAATGTCAACAAAGTTCTGATCTGCTTCACGACTTGAAGACCTCTCTGCCAGTGGCTCCAATCGCGAGCTGGCGGCCAATGTTGCCAAAACACATGCAGGCGCAGAAAATCACACTAGCAATCCAGGTGCGCACAGCAATGCTCTCCTGTGTGATGCCTGCTCCCAGCGAATTCTCCCATCCAGTTCCGTTGAGGAAAGTAGTGCCCACCGATGGGCCAGTGGATGCTGGGATGAGTTCGGGCTTCAGGCTTAAGACGGCGCTCATGCCAGCGATGCCGACGGTAGTAGCCAGCACGAAACCAGTCTGGGTCCGATCAATTAGGTACCACAGGACAGGATTTGCGAGGGCGAGGGTGAGCGAGGCTTGGGTCGTAGATTCCCAGGGGAGACGTCGCTAAATGAAAAAAAAATTAATATCTCCGCTTTAAAAAAAAAATGAAGAAAAAAAAAATTACAAGTCACACCGGCGCAAGTACTTACCATGGCAAAAGCAATTCCAACAAATGCACCAACACTGCGAGCAACAGCCACCCACGAAGGAGTGCGATCGTCGCTCTCATCACTCCGAGCACGCTTCGACTGCTCCTCGCGCACCGACTTGGTGTCCCGCCAGCTATCCAGCCAGGGAAGGACATTGCCCAGCGCAATTCCCGCCAACCCCCAGAAACCCAAGTACTGCCACGAGTCGTAATAATGGATGTTCTCCAGCTTGACAGGCGTAATCCAGTGATTGTCATGCAAATGCACCGTAATAACCCCGTACACAATCCCGAATCCGAACAGCAGTGCACTGCTCATCGCCTGCGGCAAGATAACACCCCGGAACAGCCCCTGACTGAGTCGCGAGCGTGTGCGCCGCAGAGCAAACGGGCGAGGCTCAATGGCTGATTTCAAAGCTTCGCTCTGTGACGGCTCAGGCGGGTACTCGGCGGCCGGGGAATTGGCCTCGGTGCCCCAGGGGCTGGACTCATCGCGGAGACTGTCAAATGCGGTGGGCTGGTAGATACCGTAGAGGGTGGAGGATGTCAAGTTCAGGATTGAGCCGGTGCGGCTTACGCTCGTTGATTGTGACTCCTGAAAGTTGGGGTTGCCGCTGAAGTTAGGATTCAGCAGGTCGGGGTTGGAGGCCTCGGCGGGTGTAGGGGGGCCGGAGGAGTCATTTGAAGGGACTTCGAATGCGCGACGAGGGCGCGGCCGCAGAATGCGAGGTTGGTCCACCATCGTGTACTGGTGGTTGGAGTTCGTGTTCGATGACGGGAAAGGACGGGGGTAAATTGGTAAACTCTAAGTTCCTGTGGAATCAGAGCCTCCGATCGTCGGAAGGGTTGCACTTGAGTTCCGTATGCAGCTTTTCAGCGTTGAAATGGGGAATTCTTCGGGGAGAGATGATGGAATGACTGAAAATTGAGTGGTGCGACGCGTCTGGAGAAGTATTAGCGAAATTTCTCGATGGCGACTCCACTGCAGAGACCAGTTGCCCCAGAGGTGCATACCAAAGTGTTTAATCGTATTAGAGATCTTAAGGAACAATGGGACGGCGTGCAATAACGATAAAGTGTTGGGATACGTCAGAAGATCTTCGGACCCTTAAGTCTTTAAGCCTTGAAACCTTAGGAATCCACTCGACGCCGTTGGTTAGAAACCGCCGTATACGACTTTCCTGCAGCTTAGATCTGATTTGCTTTTTCAAGTGGGGATTTCACTCGGCTGAATCCGATGGCCTTGTCAATGACGTTGGATTCAAGTAATAGACTGTATACAGAGAGCAATGAGAAAGAAAAGAGTAGAGTTCAGGACAGCGCCGAGTACAAGAGGGGAATGTTGAAAAGAGGGGCCATCACATGTGTGGCAAGCTCCCCACACCCGGAGCTTCTCCAGTGTTTACGACGGTTACGAGGTCATGCAATGGCAACACAGACCCTCTGCATATGTGGGCGCGTCGTAAAACATGGGATTTTCCGCTGCAATACTACACCACGGACACCACTCAAACATCTCGCTACGAAGCGCCTGAAATCACTCGAAGATATCTCCTTACATCAGTCACTCCACCAACGGTGGGTCGTGAGTAAAACTGCTGGAGTTGTTGAGGTCATACTGGGTACTTCTTCAGTGGAGGCTGACAGCCGTGGGGCAAACATCTGGAGCGTGTTGGCGATCATTCCCGCCAATACTGACGTGGCGAGATACACCATTTGTGCATCAGAGCCTGGTACCTACTGTACTGTAGGTAAATACGCTGAGCCATTCCAGGTTTCAGTATGCCCAGGTATATATATCTATACTTTCAATGGGCCCGAGTATGTATGCACTTGAGCAGGGTATATCCAGAAGGCAACACGACCTCGGTGGATATATATAGACCTATGGGATATGTCTCACAACATACACACCCATACTGGTTGTACAACCTACTCCCAAGATATTTGAATCCATGTCCACTTGAAGTCAATGCATGGTTCTTCACTAACGTTTTCACTGAGAAAAAGGGCTGTGGAAATAGGGTTCCAGATCCGCCACCCGCTTTGGCATCGGTGTAGGCCCGATAGGTCGTAGTGCGTCGATGACAACGGGTACTTAATACGGACTATGCTACTTAATCATCAGTCTCAATGGGATCACCCTTGGAAGTCCGTTGCACTTTTCATGCTCTGCCAAAAGTCCTCTTCGAACAAGGATCAAAACCGCCAAGTCCCAAATGTAACTTGACTGCCTCGGAGGTGGGCGCCTCAAGGTCCCAAGTTCCTGAGATCAGTGACATTGTCGTCGAGGGTAGTGAGTACGATCCGATATAGCAAACAATATACGAAGTCCGTGGTGGTTGAAGGAATGCGGCTTTGTATTGTTGCGTGAAAACGTAAATCACCGAGAAAGCCTCCTAATTATAGCAGTTGTAGCTTCTTTCTCCCATCGCTTCATCTTACAGACTTGAAGTCCTAGCAATTTGATAGTGGCTGACTGAGCAAGAGTTTGTGGCAATGTCCAGCTGTCGGCTTGGAAATACAAGTTCCGACTTTTGTGTGAGACACTCAAAGAATAAATCGCTGGGCTCGTAGCCGTTTTCAAGTCCTGTAACATCTGCTATTTTTTTCTAAAGACAAGATGATATAGATGTGCCACAACCACGTGTCGACTGTTGCAGGACCCAGAGCTTATGCAAACGACTTTGCATGAAATAGAACAGCCCAAGTGGTTCGGCTCTTCTTGCCATTATCACCATATAGTGACGCGGCGTATTGAGAAGGAAAGGTCGATTGGAAAGGATAAAGGAGTTTCAAGATTAGGATGGATGTATAGTGAACGCCTAATATATATATGCTCAGAACCACCCATGGATAGAAATGTGCGGACAACCAGAAGGTTTAATGAGTAACAATCCTTTTGATGTATTGGGGCTCTCTGGCCCAAGTGTACAGTGCAGGGGATCAAGTACAGCACAAAAACAAGCCCTATATTAACCAGAATAATCACAGTTGACCCCGAAGTAAATCCCAAAACATTGAAAACACGAGAAAGTCATAACACAGATGAATTTAATATCCAAATCCCCTTAATCTTCCATGGCATCCCCACGTGGTTCGCCAGTTCCCGGAACGGGGGACGAACTGTGGTGTCGTGCATAGCCATTGGGGCCGTCATAAGCAGATGAGATCTCATCGCCATCAACCGCATCATCGTCATCCCCGGAGTCATCCGAGGAATCTCCGTCAGCGGGAGAGCCGATTCGTTGCGGTCCATCCTCCTCGCCAGAGCCTTCTCCCAGCAGCTCCCGGTCGAGGTCGTCTAGTTCTCCATCAACCTCCTCGTCACCACCAACATACTCGCCGGCAAGGCCACTGCCAACACCCTTGGGGCGTGCAGCAGGCTTTTTAGCGGTGCCGGGGGTAGATGTGGGACCAGTGGACTTGCGTTTCGCGGCGGCACCACCGCGGGAAGGACGGGGACGAGACCGATTGCTGGCGGCCCGGAGATCAGCCTCAAGAGCGGCCTTAGTCCGCTGTCGGTCCTCACGCTCCTTTTGACGGTCTTTCTTTGGTCCGTTGGCGTCCTCATAATCCCATCGATCAAGACGTCGAGTGGCCTTGCGAACGACAGAGAGGAAGAAATTTGCGCACTCGCCATAGTCATCCTCGGCCTGGGGATTCGGCAGCAGACCCCCCTTGCCCCACGACCCCTCTTCATCCTCTGTGTCGTAACCTTCCGGTAAGCTCTGGAGAAGACGGCCATATCGAGCAAATGGAATTTCGCTGTTGCGCTTGGCACTCAGCACACGATATGCATTGCTTCGCCGTTTGGCAAGCAAATATTCAATCCGCTGTCGACGATTTTGCTCCACAGCAATTTGATGCTGCGTCAATGGACGCGGTCGACGGCTGGTGGACTGTGTTAGCAAGGGCTCGGGAATGAAGCGGTCCATGAGTCCAGAGCCAGAAGGAGCAGGGGAAGCATTGGGTGTATGTTCCATCCTTGTTTTCAAAATAAGGCGTTGATGACCCAAAGCTTGGTTAACGGCCGTTTCTCGTTTCACTTGCTTGGTGCGTGGTCGAGATGACCCGGGGGTTAATTCTTCTTCGTCGTCATCCAAGCTTCGCTTAGCAGATGGATGAAGGGGTGTAGACATGGCTGAATTACGACCTCCCAAGCCAGAGTAGTCTCCCGCAAAAGATTCTTCGTCGAAACCGTACTCTGTAGTGTGGATGTCACAAATGATTAGAACTCCACGAATGAATGTAGCACAAGGGTGACCAAAGTAACATACCTTTCTTTGGGCGTTTCACAACCCTGGGAAGAGGCTCATCTTCTTCAAGAATGCCTTTGAACGCTGTCAGTATACCTGAGTAAACCGGGAAAGATAAAAAATACTCACGTTTGCGCTCTAGTCTCTTCGTCTCTCCATATTCCAACTCCTCCGGTGTATCGACGTTCTCCTCGTTGGCCTGCTCTTCCGTCAAACTGTCGAATACGGGCACTTTCAAAGGCAAGCCCTCAGCTCCTTCGCCTTCCAGCCCGGGACCAAACGGATTGTTCAAAGCAGCCTCACGGCTGAAATCACTCTCCAAGTACCACCACATCAGCCACAAGAATGCTTTGGCTCGGCTTTTACTGCTCAATGTGGACCGCATCACCAAATCGAAGAAGTCACGTGGAGGGAAGAAATGCGTCTCGGACACCCTGGGTGCATACTGTGCCAAAACGAAGATGAGGTTCACAGGGTTCGTTCGGGGGACAGCCATGCGCTTGATCTTTTCCAAAGTATTCGGTTGATCGACATCCTCCGAGGCGCCCTTCAGGATGGACTTCAGGCGCGGAGCGTCCTGCAGCTGTTTATAAGCGTTGGTGTCCTGATGAGCCTGCAGCGAAGGAATGGAGTGGTACGTTCGTAGCTGAGCACGCATTTCGGGGAAGACTAGAAACAGGGAGATGGAACCATCAGTTTTGCGACCAAGCTGCAATGTTCCATAAGGAGAGCTTACAGTTGAGGGTGGTGTTCATGCGACCAAAATTGACCAACAAACAGACCATCGCCATACTAATGGCTGCCGGCTTATCATTCTGCAGCTTATCCTTGAGGATTTTGCTCGTCTTGCTGCTCCTCGCCATGGCGTCGATGTAGATGTCGGCAAAGTCCAGGTTCTTCTCGCCGTCGGGGTACCGCGTGAACACGGGTGTCTTATCTTCGAAGACGAGCTTGAGGAACTGGTATTGGATGTCTTTGCGCCACAGTGGGATACCATCTTCTTTCTTCAGATGTCGGATCTTATTGCCCGAGTACACGGAGCCGATCGTGCCATTCGCCTGGCGTCTTGTGCCGACCGTTGCGCTGGCCGTTATACCATGGGACTGGTCGTCCGCCGTTTCGGACGGCGCGAGGGATTCATCCATTGTGGGGGTTTCGACGTCGGCCATCTTGGGACGATGATTGCGATCAAGGATGGCGCCTTGTGCGAACTGTCCTAGGTGCGAAGGATCGAGGGTCCTGTGATAAAGTCGGCCCCCCTAGGAGGCGCGAGTAGATTAAAGAAGATGCGGAGTAGAGAAGAAATTAATCCGGGGGTGGAAACACAGATAGGATTGAAGAAAGGGAAGACAAAGGAAAGAGCGTAAAGAAGGTGTGGACAGGAGGAAAGAAACGGGAAGGGACGAATGAAGTATCTAGTGAAGTGTGATAACTACCCGCATCCAGGATCCGCGTAACATGGCCGTGTACGGATTACACGCCGTGCCGAGATTTCCATATGATCATAGCATCAAATTTTTTTATATTTGAAGACGATATACTCAACTTATTGCCCATTTTCAGTTCCGTCTCCTGGACTCTATTTAGGAGATAATTAGAGTCCGGGAACACCGATATGCACCCAATATAGAAGTCTACTCTACGATAGTACAATACAAAGTCTAGAGACTACAAACATTGAACATCGAAATACTTTTCAAATAGCATTGAACTAAGAGGGCTTTCCTTCTCGCGGTATCGAGATCTAAGGCCCCTCTGCTTTTCGTCACTTGAAACCATGCGAGAACCATTCATCCAGCGCCGACAGCGTCCCATCCCCGGATCCGAGAAAAATGACAAGAAAGGAAAACAAGAAATTTTGTTTTGGAAATCAGCCTCCACGGAACCCAGAGGACATGCACAGTGGCAGGTCAGAACGCCATACAGAATGCAAAGAATCCCCATGCGAAACCCACCTGGCACGTACACCGATACAACACAAATAACCAGCCGTCTGAGTGTACAACCATTCCATTAGCCCGGACAGAGAAACGCGGGTTCTGAGTATTGGAAAAGACGAAAGTGACCGCAGAGGAAGACGCGGAAGGAGCAAAAAGATACGCAAAGAACTGTCCGCCATAAGATACCGACGCTGTCAAGACGTCTATGCTGCACATTCCGAAAATGCAGCCATAACAGCGCCGAGGTGATGCAGATATAGGAAAAAGCACTTTTTCGAAGAGATGAAGAAGGTAACTCTTCGCTCGGCGCGAACGCGTCATTCGAACGTAGTCCCCACGATTGGGAACGTTCGAACATAAGGGGTATCTGATGAGAGCGGACAAGAAAAAGACAACGCATTCTATCAGGTTCATGCAATGCTGACCACCGGTTGCTCCAAACAAAGGTCAAACTCAGAGCAACAAAGGAGATCGGAGATCAGGACTGCTCGAACGCCCCATGTCTAAACAAGGCCAGAGTGAGAGCCCAGAAGAAATGGGAAGCAGATAAAAGATACAGGACAAATAATAAAACCGTAAAACGTAGCAGGCGCAAAAGCGAAAAATGGACAAAATGAACAGGCAAAATAATAGGTAAGAATCGGCATCAAAAAATCTAAAGCCACGCATAGGAGAGTCGTCGCAGTCATGACAAAGCCGTCCCTGAGAAACAGCTAAGAAAAAAAGAACCCAGGGTTCGTTCTGATCGTACCCGTCAACGAGAGACAATAAAGAGATAAGGAAACTGGGGATCAATCAGACCCGACGGCCTCGTCATCAGACCACGACAGGTTTACCACCAGGAAGAGGGGCCGGTAGGGCCGGAGGGGTTGCCGTAGCTACCGCCGCCACCACCACCACCGTAGGCACCGCCGCCGTAGCTACCACCACCGCCGCCGTAGGAGGGGGCACCACCACCGTAGCCGCTGCTGCCACCGTAGGAGGAACCGCCGCCGCCGTAGGCACTGCTGAAGTTGGCAGAAGGACCAGCACCGGCCATGCCACCGCCGAAGCGACGCACGTCACGGGTAGCGTTGGAAGAGCCGCGTCCACGGCCACCACCACGGCCACCACGGCCGCCGAAGCCAGAACCCTCACGGGCAATGCTCTCCAGGAATGCAGGAACCTCCTGGTGAGCCTCCTTCAAGAGATCGAGCAGGTCACGGACGACACCACGGTTGCCACGGTTGAAGAAAGCGGTGGCGATACCGGTGTTACCGGCACGACCGGTACGACCAATACGGTGGACGTAGTCGTCAATGTCGGTGGGAAGATCGTAGTTGATGACGTGGGTAACGTTGGGGATATCGAGACCACGAGCAGCAACGGCAGTAGCGACCAGGATGGGGCAGCGAGCGTTACGGAACATCTCCAGGGCACGCTCGCGCTCGCGCTGGGTGCGGTCACCGTGAATGGCAGTGGCAGGGAAACGCTGGTTGATAAGGAAGTCGGAGAGAGAGTCGGCCATGCGCTTGGTCTCGACGAAGATCAGGGTAAGACCGCTGGTACCATGGGTGTGGAGGATATCAAGCAGGACGGAGCGCTTGTCAGCGTCCTCGACGTACTCAACCTTCTGGGTGATGTTCTCAGAGGTGGAACCGACACGGCCAACAGAGAGGAAAATGTAGTCCTTCAAGAAGTCACGAGCAAGCATCTGGATGTCACGGGGGAAGGTGGCCGAGAACATGAGAGTCTGGCGGTCCTCAACGCGGGGCATGTCCTCACCCTCAACGATACGGCGAATTTGGGGCTCGAAACCCATGTCCAACATGCGATCAGCCTCGTCAAGAACAAGGTACTTGATGTTGATGAGGGAGATACGGCCACGCTCGATCAAGTCGACCAAACGACCGGGAGTGGCAACGAGAAGATCGCAGCCGCGCTCGATCTGGCGCAGCTGGGAGCCAATGTCGGCACCACCGTACACAACACAAGGGCGGACCCACGAACGGTAGGCGAACTTGCGGGCCTCATCGAAGATCTGAGAGACCAACTCACGGGTAGGAGCAAGGATGAGGGATGTGGGGTAGGCCTTGCGCTGGCGGCCGTAGCTGAACTGGCCAGAAGCCTGAGCAGGGACGGCGGAGGGACCGTTCTGGAAGGCCTGGGAAAGGATGGGGAACAAGAAACCACCAGTCTTTCCGGAACCGGTTTGAGCACAGGCCATCAAATCACGGCCGTTCATGACAATGGGCACAGAGTACTTCTGCACAGGGGTAGGGGTGACATAGCTAGCCAGCTTGATGTTAGAGATAAGGTGGTCGTCAAGAGGGGGGTTGGTGAAGGTGTTGACGGGCTCAGGCACATCGTTACCCGAGGCCTCAACGGGGATATCGTCGTAGTTGGCGAAGTTGATTCCAGTTTGCTGCTTGGAGGGGTCGTTGGGAACACCGAAAAGCTCGCGCTCAACACGGGCATTGGCAGGGCCGGGGATGTGCTTGCCATCGCGCCATTGACCATCTCCCGAACCACGGGGAGCGCTGCCGCCACCGCCGCTGTAGTTACCGCCACCGCCGCTGTAGCCTTGTCCTGAGTATTCGTAAGCATGGGATTTGAAAGATCGGATTTCTCCTTGGGGGATGCAGTTGCGATTACCGTTTGCGGGACCGCGAGGGCTGAAATCAGGAGCGTTGGCGTTAGCCCAGTTACCACCACGGGGACCATTGCTAGAAAAGCAACTTGTGTTAGAGTGAGGAATGGGGAATTGTATATAGTTTGGGAGTCCATACCGAGGGCCACCGAAGCCAGGGCCGGGGGCAGCACCGGCGTCAGCCGCAGGAGCGTTACCGCCTCGCGAGCGCAGGTGGGGAGGGATGTAGGCAGCGCGGCCAGGGGGGTTGCTGGGCCCCTGGGGTGCGTGCTGAGAATCGTTAATGGAAAGGTTTCCCATCTGGAGACCGTCGGCCATGTTTGCGGTTTTTTAAAGTAGTCTATAAGGCAAGAAGCGATTTCGAGTCAGTAAACGGCGATTTTTTTTTTCTCTCGGTATATGGAGCAGTGTAGAATTCGCAGAGGTATGCGCAAAGCTTTTTCTTTAGCTTCACGAAAAGAATTTTCGCTTCGATATTGCGGGAAAACAAAAGTTGAAAGAGATATTGTACCTTTAGAGAGAGATAGAGGTGTAGAAGATAGAACTGTTGCTCTCAGCTTTTTATTTTTTGCCTTCCCACTTGATAGGAAGAAAAAAAAAGATCGTGTAAACGACTGAGAATTAGACACACAGAGAGAGAAAGACAAAAAAAATGCAAATCTCCCACTTCTAAGAACTTTAACAGCACCAAGAAATGAAAAAAAAGAGGGGGATGAGTGGAGTGAAGAAAAAGGGATGATGGATGGATTAGAAGAGAAGAAAGTGAGGGCAGGTTTTGCGTCTGTGGGAAGGAGGCAAATCATCTACTTCCAGGGTACCGGGTCTTCCCACCTTAATTGGCCTGTGGGCTCAGGTACTTTTTAGGTACTGATGTTCGGTATTGTCACCTGAGACTGAATTACAAGACAGCGCCGCACGATTATGAAGTCATGTTTGGTCATAATACAGTAACGACGTCCTAATTAGAAATTTTAAATTTTCTTACGGATTTTCACTTGCCAGTTGGTGACTCGGTCTGGACTTTCTGACTAAGATGAGAGAGTTGCATGCTGACTGGCTGCTTACATCTACATACATAAAGTAACTATTGTACAGCTTATATCTATATCCAACTAATTCTTTATTAGGGCACGTGCAGATCTATACATCGTCGTTATCTGAATTAGTCCAAGTCTAAATACCAATCACTGATACCTCCTTGATATGTACCCCTATTGTCTTACTTGTATTACTTTGCAGACGAATCCTACATCCCACGTCGGATAAACATTATTGCCATCCTATCTAACCTACTCCGGAGTCGCAAAGCAGTTACAGCAAGTGTATCCATTGACAGCCACTTAGTTCCGTCAAAATGGTAAAGCCACCTCTTGCCATAGAAGCTCTCAACTTTAAACTAACAGGCACCCTATAGGTTTTCATCCTGGGCGTCAATTTCCCCGAGCGGAATCTATTAAAGGTAACTAACCTGCACCGCACCGCACAGCCGAACCTAGAACTAACATGACCAACAGAAATGCCTGGGCTCTTTCTTCGGAATTGGAGACAATACCTCGTCTCGCCTTCTCGCTCGCTTTAACATCCACCCAACCTGCCGTGTCGGCGAGCTAGCCAATAAGCAAGTCCTCGATTTAACCGCCGTGCTATCGGATATGAAAATCGAGAATGACTTGCGCCGAGAGGTGCTAAATGATATTAAGCGTTTGAAGGAGACGGGAACTTACCGTGGTCGTCGCCATGCGCTGGGCCTACCTGTGCGAGGACAGCGAACGCGCACGCAGGTAGGGCTTTTCTTTATGATTTTCGGTTGTCTGCGGAGTTGGGGATCATCAATTGGCATATGAAGCATATGGGCTGACAGAATAATCATAGATTAAAACCCCTGTTCGACTGAACCGCATGGAGCGTCGTCTTTAAAGTGGATGGCCCCCTTGCATGACCTCCAACAACCCCCTGGCACCACTCATGGGCGTACTCCGGTATCCTCAGAGACCCCGCGGAGCATGGCCCATGAGCCCCGGACACGCCCCTGTATATTGAATTAATGGGAAGGAAGATCGCGTTTCTTGCGACAGGCATAGGATTGGCGTTTGGTTCTGATACTGGCGCTAGCATATTTGTGAATACTTTCCACCTGTATCAGTGTATTATAGATTAGATGTGAGTTGCAATGTAGTCTCCTACTCATTTCTGTAACGAAAAAGAAACCTAGTAAATAAAGTTTTGTGATGAACTCGATATCTACCTATCCACTTTCATAGAGTGGAAGGAACATGGCTAGAAATCTTAGATAAAACAAAACTAGAACAGAACTTTTGAACAGATATAACCACATCTAAAACGCCAAACCCATATGTGCAATCTACTGGGAGGACAGAACACCCTCGCCGCGGTTGATCTGGATACGCTTATCCTCACCCGCACTGACGATGCCTACCGTAGGGTCCCAGCAGACACTGAACACCTTGACACCTTCACCACCGACACGCTTGCTCTCCGCCTTGCCCTCCTCCTCAAGGCTCTTGCGAGTGATCGAGTAAACGCTCTCACCAACAACACCATCCTTATCGGTCTTGGTCGACCGGATATCCCAGATTCGACACGTGCCGTCGTGGCTACCACTGATGAGACCGTATGCGCTGTGCGGGTCGCGAGCCAAGCTCACGACAGCATTAGTATGGCCGCGAAGAGTCATGGCCGCGACAGTGGTGGCAGAAGCACGAGGATCAATAAGAGTAATGTGGCGGGCAGCAGTTCCAGCAGCGAGCAAGTTGTGCTCGGGGAGGTGCTCGAGGGAGAGAAGCGAGTGGGAGGTGGTGCGGGTATCGACCAAAGCAGCAGTAACCAAATCCCAGGTGCGAAGGGAGTGATCCCAAGAAGCGGAGTATCCAACGGTAGAATCCTTTCCGTCGAAGATGGCGGCAGAGACGGTTCCTGTGTGTCCTGACATAAGAGCCAAAGGTCCGCGCTGCGGTGTGCTGACGGAGATGGTCGCATTGAGCTTGCGGCGCTTGACATTACGGGCACTGCTGGACGGGAGCAAGCTTTCGGGGGCGGCGGGGGCATCGGCCTTCTTTGTGGACCAGAAACCAACATTGTTATCGGAGGAACCAGTCAGAAGACGGTTGGACGAGGCGTGCACAGCCAATGACTCAATGCCGGACTTGTGTCCGTATAGCTCCAGCTGTGGAGTGATCTTGCCAGTGAAATCGCTGGCATCTTCAGTGTACTTCCACAGTCTAACTGTACGGTCGAGACCGGCCGAGGCAATCTGGTTTGGCGAGACAAATTTGGCGGCCTTGATGGATGAAGTGTGTCCTCCGTCAGTGGGGCCAATCGAGGTCGCAATAATCTCAGATGACATGTTCCATATCCGGAGCAGACCGTCATAACTTCCAGACAAAATTCTCTCCTGGCCCTTAGAGAACTTGGCGCCCGAAGCCCAGGAAGCAGCAGGTGAGGCCTCAGAGAGCACATCGGTAGCACTGACCCAGTCGTCGTGCTCGAAAGACGCAATGTGCAGTGGGGGAATCAAAGCTCGGACATATTCAATCTCAAGGGTGGTCTCGGAGGAGATGCCATTGGCAGTCAGGTACTCATCAATGGAGGTTCGTAAGAACGTGCCGTTGATCAAAAACTCGAACGGGATCGGCTTCTCGCTCGACAGAAGGTTGTTCACCAATGTTGACAGCGCATAACGACGCAGACCTGTAAGAAATACAGCATGAGTATTCTCAAAGCCATTTCAACTGTCTTTAGATAAGAATGGCGCAGTCTATACATACCGGTGGGAACGAGAATGGGACCAGTGTTCTCAGGCAGAGCAATATCCTCCTGTTTGCTCATGAGCTGCACACGAACCTGTCTCTGCGTAGCCTCGACGACGGATGGGGTTTGTTCGTCACTCATGATGGGCAAAATTTAGTCCAGAATTGGTGTCGGGGACTCAAATCTGGTGGCTGTCGCAAATTGAGCAAGTCCGCGAAATGTGAGAAAAAATTACGGTAGCCGGTGCGGCACATTAGCGCAAAGCGCGGAGATCAGATAAGTTCTACATGTGTTTACAAGAACCACACCCAGATTTCCAAAGATAATGAATATACATATGCAGTAGTATTTGGAACTTTCATTGACTTCGTTTTATAAGCTCATCCCCGAGGTGCTCGTCGAATATCTGCGATGGCCCGTCGGCGATAGTCAGACTCTGCAAACAGTGCGACAATCAAGTCGATCACCTCGTCCATGGAGAATTCTAGACCCAGTTCGCCTTCTACCCACAAGAACTTGATGTCTGCCAATGAGCTCTCTAGAATGTTGATCAGGTACTGGAACCGAAGCCAATTCGGGACATAGATAGCGGTGACAGGGACCGCTTCTGAATCAGCTGCAGTTTCAGGCATGAAAAGATCCTCCAATTTAGACACTTGATTGCAGAACGAGACCAGTTGTTTGGACTGGTCTTCAGAGATGTCACCGAGATCCTCAACATCCATGATAATCTTACCAATTACCGTCGACAAGAGAGATCCAATAGACTGGAGCAGTGCGGAATGCGATAGGATGGGTTGCCATTCCTTGTAGACATCACGAATTCGATCAGCCGTTGCACTGACGGCATTTTCACACTCTGATTTGTAAGGCTGATCGGAGCATTGTCCAAAACCTTGAGTACCATCGAGGAGGTCGCTAACAATGGTGCTTTGGGTTTGCATCTCCTTGCTATAAGCTAGTTTTCCAAATTTCTCCAGGGCTTCAACGTCGGGATTGAGCCTAGAAAGCTCATACTCCTCTATAAGCTCTCGAACACGACCAGCCAGGTACAGGCTATCATTGTAAAGATACATCTGCCCCGAATTAAGCTTCAATGAGTAAAAGGCCGATGAAGTGGCCTTGAACATGGCCAAGATCAACGTAGGCAGTGCAAGTAGACCAGCACCAGATGAAGCCACGCGAGATTTGGAATGCCTAGAATTGATTAGCTAAATGGACCCGAAAGAAGTGGGAGAACTGAAAACTCACGGAGGTTGGGTAATATCTTTGGAATCGAAGATCTGCTGGAGCACAATATCAAGAATAGAATCGGGAATATCGGTGACCGTGTAAACTTCTCGAAGAACGACTTCCTTCGAAGACGAAGACTTGGCCGGTTTTTGTCCGCCTGTGGGCTTCTTTTCTGTGATAACCGGAGGCTTCTTGTTCTCGTTGCCCTTCTCCTCTTCGTCATCATCGCCCCAGCCCCAGGCATCATCGGCATCATCTTCTTCAGGTGCGTCAGGCACATCTGGCTTGGTTGGCACTTCATTGTCATCCTCGTCAAGGCCCCAAGCACTGACATCTTCTTCGTCCTCTTCGGGCTGGGCGGCCGACGAGGCAGCGGGGACTTCTTCCTTCTCGTCATCCCAGTCCGCATCCCAATCATCGATTGTGGCATTCTCCAGAAGAGCCTCATCAGCCTGAGAAACCTTCTCCTTTTCGATTCTCTCAACTTGCTTGGTTGTACCCTTGCTCGCAGCAATTGCTTTTCGCACGCTATCAAGCGAATCAACCCGGCGCCGGGTCAACCACAACCGAGGCGCTTGAGTTACCCAGGAGACTAGTTCTTCCTGGCCACTCCACTCCCAGGACTGGATTGTTTTGGTGAAATGCAGAACACAATCCAATGTGTTTTCAAATTCCTCCAAGCCATCCAGGGTGGTTGGGATTGCTGAGGACAGCCATCCTGCTATCGCCTTCGAAGCGACAGCGGGGATCAAGGATTGTGGAAGGGTAACTAACATTGAAGATGGAAGCTTTTGCCTTAGGTAGTTAAGAATATCCGTAATGCGACTGAGTGTGTCTGCGACAGTTGTCCTGGAAAACGCAGACTCGATGCGGATACCTGTTTCTGTCACTTCGATAGCACGACTACTACCGTCTGCACGAGGCAGCAAGATCGGGTCGATGACTGCCGTGGTAAGGTCATTCAGGAATTTCTCGTTCACGGATGAGAAAATGCCCAGTTGTGAGAGCGATGCAATGGTCTCATCCAAGGAATCCGTGCCGTCGGCGATGCGGAACTCGCCCTTTCCACGATCAATCTTGACTTGGTTGCTCCAGCGCCGTCGCAGTGCTTCCTCAATCTCCTCCCGGAATCGTGTTACCTCGCCAGAAAGTATACCCATCACATTGGTGTTTGAAAATGGACTGTCTGCTTCGATAGCTGTCTTGGTTGACTCCAGCTGTTCAATGGCGGCAGTAATGTTGCCAGTCGCCAAAGTTGAATGTCCAGACTCCAGCTGCTGGCATAGTCGCTGCACCTCCTCCAGTGTTTCTGCAACGGTCTGGTTAAAGGCGATTTCGGTCTCAATCAAAGCCACTTTCGCGCTGGCATCCTCAACTTTTTCTCGGAGCGGACTAGTCTGTTCATGTTGGGAGACAATTTCCCGCGCGGTGACTCTCGAGCGCTCGATATCCGCGTGCAACTGCTTCGCTTGGATGATCCAATCGTCGGCATCGAAGGTGTTCTCACGGCTGAGGGAGCTGATCTCGTTCTATTGAGTTGGAGCTTGTTAGTACATTCCATGATAAGACGCGTGTACCGTCACTCACCTCTACTTGCTCTCGGGCTTGTGAGATGAGCTCCAACTCTTTCGCCAGAGCTGCGGCCGGGAATTCGGCGGCCACCACCTTCTCCTCGGGGTAGGCGCCTTCAGTGACGAATCCTAGGACCGCCTGGCATATTTCACCCTCGGAGGCTTGCGGCATAATGGACAATCGAAAGGATTGGCGGAACACAAAAATGGTTTGTGCTTTCGTACTTGCTAAGGTCAAATCAAGAGAAGCGGCGAGCTGTCAACAACCGCGTGACTTTGGGCGTCACCGCCCCACGTAGCTAGCTGCATCTCTGCGTTGGAGAAGAGAACCAAAAGACTAAAAGACTGAAAAAGCAGAGAATCAGACCCAAATTTTCCCAAGATCATCACAGAATCTCCATAATAATCAAAAAACTACGAGCTGATTCGTCAGTAATGACCGGCTGCCAATAAAATAACCCTGGTATATATACACCAGACAGCCCGTCGCTTTGTAAGGAACGGGACCCAAACTTCCCTCCAGCACTCAAAAACCAAGCTTCAAACCCACCGTGTCTTGGTCGTGCCTGCGTGGATTGAGTCGGGCGCAAACTACTCGATCCCTGTAAGTTCTTTCCTGAATCCTTTGACATGACTTCAATTCTTCAAATTCTGTCTGCCCCGCCCATGTTACACATCCCGCGGCTAGATGGCCCTTCGAATGCGTGTTCGTGGACCTCGCTGGCCAGTGTGCTCTTGGCTTCTTGCCTTACTTCCATAAAATCCTTTTTTTGCTGTGGCCTCAGTGCATATGGCCCCTAAATCTCCTTGTCATAGCTACTCTGGAGCTCTTTCGTCCCACAAACACCCCGCGATGGGGGTGATGGTCATGGGCTGTAGTGGGACAATAGTCACCGCCGCTTCAGGGATTCATAATTTACATACGTCGATAAGACCTTGCTAACGTAAAGCTAGATTGACAAGTTTTCGAAGACATACTTGCACTGGGCTAGCCCCATTGATCAACATGTCTCACTTCAAATTGCTGCAGCAGTTCAAACCTGACTACTCGCCGAGCGAATTCGCAGAATATGAGTCGCAACGAACTGGCATGAGAGTTGTCGTTATCGACCAGAAAGGCCCCAAAGTGAACGGTTACTTTGTGCTTGCTACCGAGATCCACGATGACTCGGGCGCCCCTCACACTCTGGAACATCTCTGTTTTATGGGATCCCGCAACTACCGCTATAAGGGTTTCCTGGATAAACTAGCGACCCGTGTATACTCCAGTACCAATGCCTGGACGGCCACTGATCATACAGCGTATACTCTCGACACCGCAGGCTGGGAGGGCTTTGCACGGATCCTGCCTGTTTACCTGGAGCACGTCATTGCTCCGACCCTGACCGACGAGGGCTGCTACACTGAAGTGCACCACGTCGATGGAACCGGAAATGACGCTGGTGTAGTTTACTCCGAGATGCAAGGTGTTCAGAACAACGCAGCCGAGTTGATTGACCTAGCGGCCAAACGATTGACATATCCACCCGGTATTGGATTCCGGTATGAAACCGGTGGTATGATGGAGCAGCTCCGTGTTTTGAGTGCAGAGCGAATTCGAGAGTTTCATCGTGAAATGTACCAACCTAAAAACCTTTGCTTGGTTATCACTGGTGAAGTGGACCAGAAAAACATGCTGGATATTTTGGATAAATTTGAAGATACCATCTTGGACGTGATCCCGAGTCCGACTGCTCCTTTCACGAGACCCTGGGTGGATTCCAAGCAGACCCCAGCTTTGGAGAAGTCTGTCATCCAAAGGGTCGAATTTCCCGAAGAGGACGAGTCATTTGGTGAAATTGAAATTCGATTCTTGGGACCAGATTGTAATGATTCAGTCCAATCTGGTGCTCTTAATGTCGTCCTTCTCTACCTGGCTGGATCATCTGCCTCTCTGCTGGAAAACGCAATCGTTGAGAAAGAGCAGCTTGCCAGTGCGGTTTACTACGCAACAGAGGAGCACCCCAGCATTGAAATCCGCTTCACCATGACCAGCGTTGAGACCGAAAAGCTCGAACAGGTAGAGAAGCGATTCTTCGAAATTCTCAAAGAGGCAATGGACAAGGACCTCGACATGAAATACTTAAAGGAATGCATTGACCGCCAGCGCCGAACCTGGAAGTTTGCCACGGAGAGCTCTGCGTCGTCTTTCGCCGAGTACGTTATTACCGACTTCTTGTTCGGAAAGCGAGATGGTTCGACCATGCGGGATGTTGCATCATTGAAAGAATATGATGTGCTCGAGACGTGGTCGCAAGATGAATGGCGTGGGTTCATCAAGAAGTGGATTTCGGACGCGAACCACGTTACCGTCTTGGGTGTTCCATCTCAGAAATTGTCTGACAAATTCAAGAATGATGAAGAGGCACGAGTCGCTGCTCAGAAAGAGCGCCTTGGCGAGAAAGGACTCCAGGAGCTTGCAGACAAGCTCGAGAAGGCAAAGGCAGAGAACGACAAGGAAATCCCAACGAAAATGCTGGCCGACTTTGAAATCCCTTCCACTGAGTCTATCCACTTCATGGATACTGTCACCGCACGGTCAGGTGCTGCCCTGAAGGCTGGCCGTCCTGACAACGCTCTTCAGAAGGTCATCGATATTGATGCCAACAAGGCGGGTCTCCCCCTTTACATGCACTTTGAACATATTCCCAGCAGCTTCGTGCAGCTCTCCGTTCTTCTTTCCGCACAGTCCGTCCCTATCCAACTGCGCCCATTGCTCTCCATCTTCACCGAGGCTTTCTTCAACATCCCTCTTCAACGTGATGGCCAGACAATCGACTTCGAGCAGGTGGTTGTCGAGCTGGAGAAGGACACTGTCGGCTATTCGATGGAAAACGCCCGGGCCCTTGGAAACTCTGAGATGCTGCGCGTTTCATTCCAGGTCGAACTTGAGAAGTATGAAACCGCCATCGCCTGGGTCCAGGAGTTGTCCTGGAACACCATCTTTGACGTTGAGAGACTGCGGGCTATTACTTCCCGGCTTCTCGCCGACGTGCCCGACTCCAAGCGCAGTGGTGACGACATGCTCGCTGCGGTGCATGTGATGGTTCATTATGCTGAGGAATCTATCACCCGCGCGCGGTCCACCTTGGTCAAGGCGCGCTACCTTAAGCGCGTTAAGAAGCTGCTTGCCGATAAGCCCGAGGAAATCGTCAGCCGTATGGAGGAGATCCGCAAGTCTCTGTTCCAGCCTGAGAACGTCCGCGTTGTCGTCATTGCAGATCTAGAGAAGCTCACCAACCCCGTCTCTGCTTGGAAACCATTTGCCGAGCGCCTAGGAACCAGCACTGAGCTCAAGCCCATCACCAACCGCCGCGAATTGCTGAGCGATGCTGGAAAGACACTTGGTGGCAAGTCCTTCATTGTACCCATGCCCACCGTCGACTCATCGTTCGCCTACGCTACCGCCCGCGGCCTTGATTCCTATGATCACCCCAAGCTGCCTTCTCTGTTGGTTGCCACCGCCTACATGAACGCTGTCGAGGGTCCCCTTTGGGTCGCAGTCCGCGGCAAGGGCCTGGCCTACGGCACCAACTTCGCTCACAACATCGACACGGGCTTTGTCAACTTCGATGTGTACCGCTCCCCCAACGCACACAAGGCCTTCGAGTCCAGCAAGCAGATTGTTGAAGACCACCTGTCTGGTGCGACACCCTTTGATCCGTTGATGCTGGAAGGTGCCATCAGCAGCATTGTCGTCAGCTTCGCCAACGAGCAAATGACTGCTGCCAGCGCCGCTCAGGGCAGTTTCATCCGCCAGGTCGTGCGCAACCTGCCCCTTGACTACAAGGAGAAAATGCTCAAGAAGGTTCGCGATATCAGCGTCGACGAGGTCAAGGATGCTCTTCGCGATATCATCCTGCCGCTGTTTGATCCCAAGAAGGCTAACCTGGTGGTTACTTGTGGTACTGTTCTTGAAGAAGTAAGCTTTGTTTCTCCTGTGGTATGATTCATATTACTAACATTTATACCAGCCCATCAAATCAGGCTTCGAGTCTGTCGGCTTCACGCCCACTGTCCAACCCCTGAAGGAATTCGAGGATGACTATGGTTTCAAGCTTGGTGCTGAGGAGGAAGATGAGGATGACGATGACGATGAAGATGATGATGACGAGGATGACGAGTCCGGATCCGAAGAGGAGAGTGACGAAGATGATGAATGAACGCTTTCCGTGAGCAAGTAGATCTAAGGCAGCATAGAAACCTTAGAAGACATACAATTGCAACGCGATTTGCTACACAAGTGCCAAAGAACCTATGTGGATCACTTGTAGAGCCAACTTTAGATACTCGCAACAAGTACCCAGGAAACACGCTGAACATCTTGGATCCTCCATCCCCATGCAGGTGTCCGAAAAGATATTATGACTGCTTCCTGATGTGCAAAACAATTATATATCAATAGCCCGTAAAGCAAGATGGAATATCAATGCGCACAACAAATTTAAATGAAGAATCAACTGCTTAATTGAACAGAAATATACTCTCCCACAACCTATAACTAGGAGGAAAGATGAAAAAAGTAGTTATGATACAATTGAAGGTCTAATGCGACCTAAGTCAGTCCCAAGGACTAACACCCATCTATCTCAACGACCTGGACATCCAAAAGCCGCACCACAATCCAAAGACTCCAGATCTAGTCTGGAGCGCAACATCCGAAAAACAATCTACCAACTAACATTCTTCCGTCCCTTCAAACGGCGATGATTAATAGTCTGACGACCCTTCTGTGTCTTATTCCGCGACAGGAACCCATGACGCCGCTTCTGAACACGTCGCGACGGCCGGAAAGTCACGCGGCGCACGCCGAGGGAAGCAGACGCAGAGAACGAGCGGGTCTGGCTCTGACCGAGGGACTGCTGGGCGAGAAGGGACGTAATGGAGGGAGTGGCAGTGGTCATTGTAGTGGGGGTAGCAGGCGTAGTCGGGAACGAGCGCTGCATTGGTTGGAAGGTGCGGGTTGGGGTGGTGAGGAGGGAGGAGAATGATCTGGATGTTGGTTGTTGTGTGAATTGGGAGATTCTGAATAGGTAGCAAGAACATCGATTAGTTTATATGAATTCATTCCTTGTATTCGTGTAGCCGGAGTCGGCTTTTGGGGGGAATTGAGTGGTATTGCTGTCAGCTTGGATTTGTTCTGGGTCTGCGTTACCTGTTCATTGTGCTGGACACGGGAGTCCGGAGTGAGGGCATGACCCTTGAACGAAGACAGAACATGGTGAGAAGCCGGAGTCGAGGGTCTGATCTGTGACTTCGGCGGGAGGTGTGGTTGGGAGGAGGTTCGAGGTCTTGCTTGATGCTCGCGCGATGTTCGGAAGTCGAAGAAAATTAAGCGCGGAGCCGCAGGCACGGACCCGCCAGAGAGAGACAATAGGAGCAAACAGAGTTATAAAATATATTATATTGAATATGAAGTAAGCTATGAATTTTTCGAGACATGAAATGAATTTTTTACTAATTTTAAGTCCATTAATCACAAGAATTGGCCGAGATATAAACAAGAACAAGGAATTGGAGACTCTAGAAGATACCCGTTCGGGACTAGTGCCACCGAAATTCTTTCCGCGATTAACGATCAAGAAAAAAAAAGTATAGAGCTCTGATCCTCCACCACACCACCAGCCTACATATACGCAATAAGGCACACCCAATATCCCCAAAGTCCACATCTACATATTTTCGTGCGACAAAATCCATACAATTGGCCAAAATGAACAACCCAGGCCCCTCTGCCCTCCCACCAACCACCATCCACAGCACGCAGAGCATCAGCCAATCTGCCGCACACGACTTCCTCGCTGCATACCTCACCCGCGCAGCCACAGACCCAGCCCTGCAGCCCAATGCCAACATCAGCGAGCACGGCCCCGTCTCGCGCACGACCGCCGCCGCGCCAAACCTGATTCTCCACAACCTCAAGCGCGTGCAGGCCGGTCTGGCAGGCGAAGTCCTCGGTCAGGATCTGACATTTGCCAAGCAGAACCCTGGCGAGGAGTATCTGGATGCAGGACTTTCGGGTGGAAAGGGTGAAGAGGCGGAGGCTGGAGATGATTTGGAGATGACGGAGCCTGCTTTTGAAATGGAGGCAGAGGCTTATCAGGAGCAGGAGGGTGAACAGGCTACTATTGATAAGGAGGAGAGGAAGAGATTGAAGAAGGAGAGACGGAATGCAGAGAAGAAGGCAAAGGCGCAGAAAGAGTCGGAGTAATCTGCGTTTCCTCTTGTTTGTCTTTGATTTCAGCTGTCAGGCGTTGTCGCATTGGGTCGGAGTTCTTTCATGTGTTTGGTATATATAGTATTCTGGATCCGAATCTGTGAATCTCGCATGTAATTCATATCTGGGCAAAAAGTGTCTTAATGAATCTCAACATAGAGTTTATAAAGTGGTATTCACGATGTACCAAGCGTCCATGGCCATGTGGTGAGGCACAAACCACTAGGCCAGCTAGGCGGTTGTTAAAATAGTTCCATATCTTATACTGTATTCTAAAGAACAGTGGCTAACCCTTCCTCTTCCTTTCTGTCTTTTATTTTTCTTTCCGGGGTCTACGCACGCTCTATACTGCCTTCAAGATCCAATTTTAGCATTCATGGAAATACGTCTCATTGCACATTTTTATTATTCTGATCTTTAACCCTTTTGTATTTCCACCGCACTGGCATAAATATTCAAAAATTGCATCAAAATTGTGAAAAGGCCGAAAATTAGCAATATGCCGCATGAGATGGAAAGGTAGGCGTAGCCTTCTACAGCTCACGGTCAGCAGCCTTGACAGGCTTTTCACTGTCCTCGGCCTTGAGGTCGGTGACCTTGCCACCCTTCCAGCCCAGCGCAGCAAGACGCTCGGTGAGGATAGGGTGCGAGTAGTGGTAGCTAGCATACATCCAGTCAGCGTCCATGGTGCTCAGGTTCTGGATCTGCAGCTTGAGGAGCGAGGAGGCAAGCTCATTGGAGAATCCAAGACCTTGGGCGAACTCATCTATTATAGTATTAGTATCGATGCAAAATATGCTACACGGGGTTTAGAGGGTGACATACCAGCTTCAAACTCAAATTTCCGGCTCAAGATGTTCATCAGAAGCTTCACAACGGCATCCATGGGGGCCAGGGCATCCGAGAACAGAAGGAAGCCGATCATGATAGGCTGCTCCTTGACGAAACCGAAGGACTGGTATAGAGACTTGTTGTTGACGAAGACAGAGAAGAGTGCGAAGATGTAGAACATGTGGAACTGCGCAATACCGAAAAGCTTGGTGGTGTGGCTCAGGCTCCAGTGGCCAAGCTCGTGGCTCAAAACGGCAACAACCTCTTCCGGCTCACTCTTCTCAAGCAGGGTGTCGTAGATGACAATGTGCTTCTTCCAGGGAAGACCGTAGAAGTAGGCATTGCTGTGGGCGCTGCGCTTGCTACCGTCAATGACATGCAGCTCAGAAAGAGGGAACTTCAGCTTCTTAGCCAGGTTTTCGACGCCAGTCTTGATGGTACCGGGCTCCAGAGGAGACAGCTTGTTGAACAGCGGCAGGATGACAATGGGGTAGATGGTGATCGCGAAGACCTGGACAAAGACTCCAAAGAGCCACAGGTAGTAGAAGAACGAGTTTCCGGTATTCTGGACGATCTTGAGAATAGCGCTGATGATGGGAGTTCCAAGAACAATTCCGAGCATCTGGCCCTTGAGCATGTCCGTCACCCACAGGCCAAGAGTCTGCTTGTTGAACCCGAACTTCTCCTCGAGCACAAAGGTGTTGTAGTACGAGGTAGGAAGCGACAGAATAGTAGAGATAATGTTGAAACCAAAGATGAAGAGAAGCGTTTGAGTAATCTCGCCCTGGAATTGACCGGGGAGGTACCGTGCCAGGATGAAGCCGCTGAGACTCCAGAGCTTAGGAAGGACATCACCGTAGACGAAAGCGATATTCTGAATTTGACCGTAGAGACCTGAGATGAAACCGAACTTTGACTTGGCGCGACCGTATGCCTAGATTGAATAAGCGTCATGTAAGCATACCTGTTTATCCTTCGGCGTTGCACAATCTCATACCTGACTTTGGTCATAGACCTTTTGAGAAACCTCACCCGCGAGAACCTTGGGAGGGGTCTTCTGCTGCAAAACCTTGTACTGACGGAAGGATAGAACACCCTCGAGGAGGAACTGACCCAGGGAGAACCCCACAAGGACGTTCTTCCATGGGAAGAGCGGCCTATCGAGGATACGCGCGAGTTGCTAGCATATCTGTCAGCAAATAAATTCTCTGCCGATGAGACGCATAGGAGAATATAAAGAATGTCTGTTTTCATTGGAGACTTACCTCAAGAATCCACATGGTGCAGACGCGTGTGGTAAGAGGAAGGAGGGTCAAAGAAAGCTACAGGTGTTATTGTCGGGGCTGCCTTAGTCAGAAGTCGGATCGACAAGGGGCCACAATCAACAAGGTACAGTAACTCGGGGTCGCCAGCCAATACGGATTTTTTTAAGCGATATTTATTATAAGTATATAATATGGTAATATATACAGATGAATAGTACGACCTAGGTATCTAGAAACTTTGCGCTCTAATATAATTACAAAGTTATTCTAGTCTACTTTTTCTCATACGTACTTGAGCCTCCCACCCCAGGTCTAGTCTAGTAGATTACGGGTACCCCTACTAGTTAAGGCAGGTTTGAATTTCCTTAGTAGATGTATTCGGATTTTGGTCCACTGTTGAGCCTCAATTAGGGTATTCTATTCGAAGCTTGAGCGATACTAAGAAAGAAATTATTTCGATTCATTAAAGTACCTATTTAACAACGCTAGTTAAGAGGATCACAAGGAAAATAGATAGTAAATAAACTGCTAGAGCTCGTGCGAACAACGCCATGATGGCTTTATGATTGGGTGTATTTCTTGGAGGGATTGGATCTTTAGAATTCTATTCAATCTCCTCATCGGAATAGTAGGATTGAATCAATGAGACAAATGTCAAAATCATGACTTTCAGACATCGCGGTTTTCTCGATGCTGGCACCAATTACTGTCCCAAAGGAGCTCTTCGTGTCCGTGAAGGGGCGTACATTTTCCATGCAATTATGTAGTGACATGACATGTTAATTACGGTGAGTTTCTGGGGATTTCTCCCGAGAAAATTTCTTTCTATAGGACTTGAGTGTCACGCGACTCACGCCTGAGGACAGGTCATGGACTTATTGTTTGATTCACCAGGATAAGATGTTCTCCCTCTATTATACGGCTGAGTAACTTTGATTTATTGATATAGGATCGTCTATACATCTCCAGGCTTAGGACAATGAAATATACCTTGTATCTGTAAGGATAGTATTATGATAGATAGGTCGTAAGATATCCATAGTTTATTACGACCTATAGTTCCAAAGTTCGTGAAAACCTGAATATGTCTCTGTTCTTCCAAGAGTTCTTTACAATACCCGGGGCCCATTGAAAGATTTGTGTCAGGTCCAAATATCAACAGGTAAGTACTCTTTTCCTTCTACATTTTTGACCATAACCTATAGCAATTTACATAGGGCTTGTCCATGCAGACGCAAAATCGATGAAACAAAAAAAAAACCTCTTCAAATACAACTCCCTAGAACACAAGAAAAAGAAGCACCTCTTCTCTTCATCGTGACTCGTATCCTGACCCTTCGTACATCCTCTAGGCCAGATTCGTCCTACCTGCCCGATAGGCACTCATGGCATCATGGCATCTCAAAACAGGGTGGGGCGAATACTGGACCAGGGAGACGGGGCAGGGTTATGAAAACCTCCTCTCTATTTAAGCCGGGGATATCTGTAAATGTCATACTTTCACTTTTCCGACTCGTCGTGACCGTAAAAACTTTTCTGTGATGAAGTACATCGCGAATCGTAAGCCTAGGACCCAGCAGGCCGGAATTTAGCCCGCAAAGAGTGATGCAAAGCTTCCTTTGCTCATTTCTCTTTATGTAGCGGCAAGACTCCTATGCCTGCTGATATCCTAAGGACTGGACGCCGTTTAAAATGCACAGCTTACTGCTGAACGGGCTCCAGGATGTTACCGCTATACCAGATGTCAGTTCATAGTCTCCAGGCAGGCAACTTTCGGTCAGCAACTTACGCAACGATGTTAGCCCATCCAATCAGACGCCAGTGCTTGTCGATTCTTCGGCTAATGGCGATCTTCTCGCCGATTTCTGTGCATGCGGGGCTAGTCAGGGCAAGTTTGGCGGCATCAGCCTTGACACCGAGGACACTAGAATAAAAAGCATTAGTTCACCACAAATTTCGATGGTCAGATCTCGTGTCTTTAAGGTGGCTTACCGAGCTCCGGCGGCCGAAGAACCAATGTTAACCATCAGCACCTCGTTCTTAGCAAGCTTGGCAACCTTGGCCTGTAGAAATCGTTAGCAAAAACTTCCTCAATATCAAGAACTCGGGGAAGGGAAAACTCGCCTGCTTGCCATCGGCAGTCTTGACACCCAGCAGACGACGGAGCAAGAAGTAGTTGACTTCAATCTCAGTGTAGATAGAAGGCAATTGACCACGGTGACCCAGGACGAAACCAACGAGACGATCAGCACGGCACAGAGTGGGGTCGATGAGGGTTCCAACACCGATAAGACCACCAGGAACGGCGAGCTTGAGAGGGTTCTGCTCGGCGAAGAGAGACTCGATGCGAGAGTAGATGGGACGGCACTGAACCTTTCCATCCGCATCCTTGGTAACGAGACCAGGACGAATTTCAATCTCGTCTTGCAGCTTGATGACTCCGTTCAAGATCGAACCACCAGCAACACCTCCCTTGAGCTCATCGATCTCGGCACCGGGCTTGTTCACGTCGAAAGAACGAATGACCTATATTATGAAGAAAAAAAGTTATTAGTCACACGATCTCTCCAATCCTTTTGTAGGGAAATTGGTTCTTACCATCATGTGGGGCTGAGCAGTAAAGTCGCGCACGGGAACGGGGATGCGGGAGATTAGGGCCTCGCAGACGGCATCGACGTTGTACTTTAACTGGGCAGAAATGGGAATGATAGGCGAGCCATCGGCGACAGTACCACGGATGAACTTCAGAATAGACTGGTAGTGCTGCAGAGCACCCTCCTCGCGCATCAAATCGACCTTGTTCTGCAGAATAACGATGTGGTTGAGCTTCATGATCTCAATAGCAGCCAAGTGCTCGGAGGTTTGCGGCTGGGGGCAGGTTTCGTTTCCGGCAATCAGAAGCAGAGCAGCGTCCATGACGGCGGCACCAGACAACATGGTAGACATGAGAATATCGTGACCAGGGCAGTCAACGAAAGACACATGGCGCTCCAATCTGTAACGGCCCTCGCAACCCTCGCGCTCGCAAGGCGGGTCAACCTCCTTCTCACTACCGTAACTCCTGTAGCAGGTTGGCCGGGGGCAAGCAGGGTTGTCACACTTGTAGACCTTGGCGTTGGCGTAACCGAGCTTGATGGTAATGTTCCGCTCCAATTCGTTCTTGAATCTGACAGTCTGCACAGTTGACAGGGCCTTGACAACTGTACTCTTTCCGTGGGCGACGTGACCGATTGTACCGATGTTGATGGTGGCTTGGCGAGCAATGATTTCAGGCGACAGAGGAGTCAATTTTGACAGGTCCAGGGCGCTGGGTTCGGGCTGCTCGGGCAGCTCAGGGCGCTGCTTCTGGGGCGCAGCCTCGGTCTTCTTCATGGAAGACTTGACGGGCTTGTCGAGGGGCTCTTGGTCGTCGAAGTCTTGGGCATTGTTGCCGTCCAAAATGGGCGAGCCGGGCTGGCTCTCGTCGGAGAAATCTCCATTCGTAGCCATATTTGCAGATTTTTCAAGTCGCAAACGTTAGAGAACGGTCTTTTCCGGCTCGAGGCGAAGCGTAGGGGGTGGAAGGTGGTGGGGAGTGGCGGAGAGTGGAGTGATGAAGAGCCGGGTGAAAATTGCAGGGCGATATGATAATGGAAGAATGTAATGGTGGGGGGTTTGTGCAGTGGAGAGCGAGCGGGCGGTGACTGACTGTTCCCCCTACAATCAATTATTTCTATGCAGCATACATGCTTTGATTTATTTAATTTAGAGAATATGTAGAATGCGATGAGATTGAGATTGATTTTGAATAATCTTAACATGGGGGACTCGGTAAATGACTTTCATGAGTCATTCGCACAGAGAAAACCCTTTGTCGGTGAAAGCCGCACCTTGAGTACTTGGAACAACACATCCAATATTAACCTTTAGGTCCACTTGTATGTACATATAAAGTTTCCAGGTATAGGTGAGAGCATCAGGGTCTTGAAATATGGTAAGATTTAGAATCACAATAGGTAGGTACAGTACAAACAAGCTATGTCCCTGTATTGTAAATATATTTGGCATTCAAGTTGAGTGCAAAACTTTTGATTTGTCCTTAAGATATATTTTGGTCTAACAGTACAGTGGGTATAAAGGGCAAACATGGACACAACCATTTACTCGTCATCACTCTCATCACTCGACTCTGGTTCCTCGTCCTCATCATCCTCAGAGTCAATCAGAGTATCTGGGTCTTCCGCCGGTAACATCACAAAGGCCGCCAAACACGTGATGCGGTTGCCAGTCTCATAAGTGCTCAACACACTGCCAACTTGGGGGATGCTCTCTTGAGCCTCCTTGGAGCTCTTAGACTTCTTGGAAAGAGTAAGATCTTTGCTGGTAGCTTTCCATACACGGACCACGCCATCGCTGTTACCGGCCACAACCAGAACACCATCACGGAGGTCCTTCGCTTGGTCCTCCAGACTCAGGACCTCGAAATCCTTGATGCGTCCTGGGAAACCGGCTTGCTTCCCACCAATCTGAGCAACCGGAGTTGCATGGGGAATGGTCGAGTCGGCATCCTCCTCTACCTCCTGTAGTTCCTGGGTCGAATAGAAGATGACACGGCCGTCTTCGGTGGAAATAGCTAACAAGTCATCTTTCTCATCGCCCTTGGTGGGTCGTGAAACATACTTCATCTGATGAATCTTGCTTCGTGGACTGGGGACAACTCGGCACTTGGGAGTCGAGTCAATTCCAAACACTACCGCACCCCATTCGAAAGCCACCGCAAACTCCTCACCAGCGGCGTTCCAAGCGATGCGCTGTCCCTCTCCTTTGCTGTACTTCCCCTCTTTCACACTCTGTAGTAGCTCCCGGTCGAAATTCAACACACCGGCCTTTCTACCAGTCACCAGATTCCAGAGTCGCATACATTTCTCTCCCTTGCCAACACTCAGCATCAGCTTCATACTAGGGTGCACAGCAAAATGGTTCACTCCGGCTGGAGCGGCGCCCTCTGGGGCTGTGTCACCACTGGGTCGGCCATAGACCTTCGGGCGTGGCGCTTTAATGGTCGAAACGACAGTCCAATCACGGGTTTTTGACACCGAGATAGTGTTATCCTCGCCAGCGGCGAGTAACTTACTTCGAGAGGGGAAGCTCAAGGCAGAGATGCTAGCGGTATGGTGCAACAGGGATCCCAGCTCGCGGTTTCTTGGGTTTTCGAGGATTTTGTTTCCGGCTAGGGTCGGCACAGAGGGGTAATCATCGTTCACGGCGGGCGGGGCAGCAGATATCGAATACAGATTGATACGCTCATCAGTGGAGCCACTGGCTAAAATGATCTTCTGTGCGTCGCCCTTGTCGGTAGGCTTGGGCAGAGGGGAAAGCGCAAGACAACGGATTGCGGACCCATGAGCTTCGAACAAGAAGGTATCGACACATTGAATACCGGTAGCAGAGTCTTTAGAGGCATCCTTCTTGGACTGCAGGGAAGATGCGGGGATGCCGGCAGTGAAACCATGCAGCACCCGCTCATAGGAGCCCGTGATCACTTGGACGGTCAAAGCTGCATCTGGAGCTTGCGATGGGGTAGCTGTAGATTTAACGGCCTTGGAAGGAGATTGCGCAGGTGCCTCCTCCTTGGGAGGATCATTTCTCTTTCTCTTGGCCATGTTTCAGGGTTTGTTTTGAGTATGTGAAGTGTTGGTAGTATGGGGATGGAAAAGCTGGAGCTGGTGGAGGTTTTTTTTTTCTTGGTTATCGATAGCAAGGTGGGTGCCTTGATACCTGAAGATACGATTGTTGCCTTGTTGCCTATATCCTCCTTTGTTCCGTTGTTGCCTTATTGCCTTAGCTGCAAACAGACCTCTTGTATGGAATGTGTATCAATACACAATACGCGTCTGACTCAGTGTCACAATTGTGCCAACACATCGAAAATAGAGAACGTAATCCTCATCCACTTGATCAAGGATCAGAATAATATACCTCGTACATCCGTTGTAAAGAACCTGTTATGCATTTTCTTCCTTCTTGGTTGTTGTTAACTTCTTTGTATCTGATCTTTTCCTCTATTAAAAAACATTCCTATAACTGAAAACCAACGGGCAAAACCCCCAGTAACCATGTTACGGTATCATTACTTTCAACCACACTGAACCTGCACTCGCCGACGTCTTCCCTTTTTTCCCGCGCCAACCCGTACTGAAAAGTCCTCCCTTCCCTGCCTTCCATCGCCATACGCGACAACCACGTCTTATTTCATCTCGATCAGCGATTTTTTCTATCTGAATGACCTTGGTCAATTCACTCCTATTTTTCCCGCGTTAATCGGATGCTGTGTTCCAAAGTTAGACCTCATGCTCCGCGACGAGCTTCTCCGGTCTAAGAATGATGAGATCGCGTAAGTTTTAATATTGAAAATTGCTCTTTGCCTGGGTCCGGGCCTTACAGACGCGTTTGGGGACTAATATCCCTTCAGAAACTGTTTGTTGTCGCGCAAGCGAAAACTGACCGAATTGTATTATGCGACCGTGGGTTTTGAGGGTGCGACCGCCGACTCTCACTATCATCAAAAAGAACAGGCCTTCCTCGACGCCAACGACCTGTCTAAGTAAGTCTCTTCCCATATTCTTATCTCTGTAATTTTACAGATACGTCTTTCAATTTTTATACATCTCAATGTATACTTCAATCGCACGTTACTTATCTGGTGCAGAGGCCGTTACTTTGATGAATCCACCTTACCGTCGCCTGCCCATGCGCGCACTAGAGATGCCACTAAAAAAGTGGTCGCGTCACCGGCAACAATTGCGGCAACATCTCAACAAGCTCCTGGTATCACCTCCCCGCCGACATTAGATGGTAACGCTCTTTCAATTCCGACCGATGCCAGTTCCCAGAGAACACCTGCTGTGGCTTCGCTAGCAACCGCAAAGCCCGTCGCATCTGTTCAGGAGGATTCAACAAGCTTTAACGAGTCTCCTATTCCTGCCACTAGCCCACAGGCATCCCAAGGACAGGGCGTCTCAATTTCTACCGCGCCACTCAATCACTCGGTTGAACCGTCAAGCGCATCCGTGCCAGAAACCCCCGTCAGCTCCCAAGGACAAAATGGCGCAGAGGTCAAATTCTCCCCAAATGCAGCGACGACTATCACCCCCTCACTGGAGATCCCACCTACCTCTCTCCCCAAAAAGAAACTCGATTCGCGACCTTCTCTCACAATAGGCCCCTCGAACCAAGATCAACCGCTCTCCCCCGCCTCCTCCATCGATCCATATTCTAATAATACGCCCGCGCCCGTCACTGCGTCTCCCGTCACCAGCCCTGGAGAGGAAGCTGCAGAAGCTGGGAAGAGCGACCACCCAAGTCCTCAACATGAACGACCCATGCAACCGCGTCGAAGCTTGGTTCCTTCGACTCCCGATGAGCAATTGCGAATGGAGGAAGCACAGTCAATGCAGATTGCGGAAGAATCAAAGACCGAGCATCCTTCATCGAATGTGGTGATTGAGGAGAGTGTGGGTCTCAATGCCGATAAGGATTCCATGGAGATTGATGAGGGATCTATCGAAAGAGTAGACCAGACAAAACTTCAAGACCAATCAACTGCGGCTGGAACTGAAGATCTGTTACCAACTGATCGCTCATCTGAAGGAATGGAACCTGTTAAGGATGCCGACGACGCATCGGCGAGCAAAAAGCTAAAAACCATTCCCCCAGCGCAGCCTGGTCTTTCACAACCCGAACGAATGACAACCCGAGTGTCATCAGGGGCTATTCGACACAAGTCTGTTTCGGAAATACTCGGAGAAACACCTCGAACTCCCCATACCGTCAGCGATCATGACGCTCCTGATAGTGTGGCCCGCATGCGGTTCAAGGATCGTAAAGACCGCGAGAAGGAGAGAACTCGGCTTGCGACTGTTGTTTTCCCCCACATGACTCCCCAGCAGGATAAGACAGATTCGATGGATCTTGTGCATGGAGACTCTGGTGATGCCATTGCCAAGCTGAACCAGGAGCAAGACTATCTCTTCACGTTGTTCTTGAATCGGGCATATGCGCCTCCTAGGGGAATGAACATGAGCACGCTTCTTGCATCTGCTCATAAAACCTTAAGCACTGACAACCATTCGTTGGAATACAAAGAGCAAATGAATTGCCGTACCTTGCGACGCATATACGCATTGCAGAACGCCAATCGGTGGCCCCTTCGGCAAATGAAGCGGACTCCTGAACCTTCTCGCCAGGGTACCCATTGGGATGTTGTCCTGGATCATATGAAGTGGATGCGAACAGATTTCCGCGAAGAGCGAAAATGGAAAATCGCAGCCGCTAAAAGTTGTGCTGACTGGTGCGCAGAATATGTAAACAGTGATGAGGAACACCGAACTCTACTTCGTGTGAATGTCAAGATCCCAACGCCAACTGCTTTAGTACAAGATAACTCAAAGACAGAGGGTGCTTCTCCTGAAGATGTGAGCGACGAAGCTGCAGCATTTCACCCAACTCCAGACCTTGTACCATCGGCTGAGGAAGAATCAGTCAGTGATGGCTTCAACGATGAGGCTCGACATGATCTTCGGGATACTGTTGCACCTGCTGCTATCTTCTCTCTTGGTTCGGATGAGTTCAACTTTTCTGTCGACATGACTCCGGCGGCAGAGAAGCTTCTTGATGAATTACCACTTTACGAACCGTTGCGATTTACTCAGGATACTCATTTGCTTGCTTTCAAGCAACCTCCTGATTCAGTCTGGAAAACTGAGCTTCTGCCGGTTTCTAAATTTGCTTCTACCAAAATCATATTTCGCGACGATGAACGACCTCGCAAGCGAAGTCGCTACGACTATTCGCAATATGGTTCTGATTTGGAATATCGTATTACTGATATTCCCCCGGAGCAGAATAACGTCGCCTTGTTCCGGCCCGAGAACAAACCCATACGTGATCGCATTCATCCTGGCCACTCTTTTAGACCACCAACTGAACATCCCATGCCGTCTGTGGGTTTCTTCGAGTCTCGACAATCTTCACAATGGACCATGTCTGAAGATGATGAACTTCGTCACTTGGTCAAGGAGTATTCCTACAATTGGTCGTTGATCTCCAGTTGCCTAACATCACCTTCATTGTTCACTTCTGGAGCCGAGAGACGAACCCCCTGGGAATGCTTCGAGCGCTGGGTAGGGTTGGAAGGTCTTCCAGCGGACATGTCCAAGACCCAGTACTTCCGAGCTTATCACCAGAGACTTGAGACAGCCCAGCGTACTGTGCTAGCCCAACAGCAAGCACAGCAGCAGCAGCAGGCACAACAGCAAGCCAACAATGGCCAAGTGCAGCCACCTGTTCGTCGTCGGACGACTCAACCTCTACGGGTAGATAGGAGAAGATCCTCTCGACACCTCGCGTTGTTGGATGGTATGCGCAAGCTGGCTAAGAAGCGGGAGACAATGATTCAGAAGCAACAGCATGCCTCTCATCTCGCTTCGCTAAGAAAGGCAAATGAAGCCAACCAGCCCAAGCCTCCAATCACTACTCCTGCGGAATTCAGTCGTCTAAAGTATGAACGGGAAATGAAGCTGCAAGAAAGACAGGAACAATATCGACAACAGATGATTGCTCAGCAAAGAGCCAGTCTCGCTGCTCAACGTGCTGGACAGTTGCCTAATCAGCAACAGCCTGCGATGAATGCTCAAGGACGACCACCCACCAGTATGCCACCCAATTCTGCCAATGCAGCCATGCCCAATGGGACACCGAATGGAGTTCCTGCTGGTATGCCTCCCGGTGCTGGCGTCAACCAAGGTCGAACCCAGCCGATGCAGGGATTGCCTGCTGCAACGACGCCAGTGAATGGCCAATTGCCTGCCAATGCGATGGCCATGAAAATGATGCCTCAGGGCCAAATGCAACAAACCGTGGGCGCAAGGCCCGGTATGGCGATGCAGACATCTCCGGATAATACACGTGTCATTCGAGAAGCCAATCGTCTGCAGGAACAGCAACGTCTGTTGCAATCTCGACAGGCCCAAGTTCCTCAACAGGGTCAGCCCCAGCAGGCACAGCCGCCATTCCATAACCAGCAGTTTGCGCCTCAGGGATCCCATTCGCCAAATCTTAACAATATGCCGAACGTTAACGGTGGTCCCAACAACCCTGCAATGATGGCAGCGATACAAGCCCAAGGAGGAATGCAAAGCCCCTCGTTCCACGCTGGCACACCTCAAGGTGTTTCAACACCTTCCCCTCGCATGGGCCAGCCTAATCCTCTCTCGAGTGGCGTTGTTCCAACCATCAGCACTTTCCAAAGTCAAATCCAACGTGCCAACCCCAATCTCTCTGCAGAGCAGATCAGCAAGATGGCTACGGATCGACTCAACCAGTATCAGCAGCAGCGCATGTCCCAGCAAGCGGCTATGAATGCTGCCGCCGGGGGCATGAATAATGTCCAAGCCAACTATCAAGTGCCGCATGATGGAAACTTCCAGACTCCTCAGCAGCCGGGCATGTCTAACGGTAACCCAGCAATGCAGGTCCCTCAGAACCAAGGTTTCTCTCCGATGATGCGTGTCCCTCAAACAAACCAGCAGAATCGGGTTGCTCCTACCAGTTCACCTGCTATGAATGGAGCTGTTCCTCAGACCAGTCGAAGCGCAACGCCTCAGACTCAGCGCAGTGGCAGCGCGCAGGCTGCCGCTGTGCAAGGCTCCAACAAGAGTCCACACCCACCTGCTCAGACAGCGAGCAGTTAAGTTCTTGCATGATCTTTTACACTCCTGTCATGACCTACTCACATCCTACTACATCCTACTTCACCTTCTCTACACTTTTATTCGACTGTACATATTTTATCCCCCCACCTCCTATTCTGATTTATTAACCCTTGATTATTATCTTTTCCTGCACTGGTGGTCCGGACGGCGGCGGCGCACCTTGGTTTTCTCTTTTTCTTTTTACTCCTTCAAAGCCCCTGATTCCGTTACCGTTTGCGAGCTATCCTATGTCCGAACCTTCTAGCGAGTTCATTAAATTAATGAACCTGATATGACACTGGCTCCCTATTACCAGTGATCATCCCCTTGAGCTTGGGCATGTATTATTTTGGGATGGCGAAAAACTCTGGGCTTAGGGTTAGAACCCAGGAATTGATGAATATGAATTGTATGATTAGTTTTGAACCTTTAGCAGTCATAGCCAGACCTTTGTCTGGTATTTGCGTAATTACCAGTATTTACTTAAAATGGAAATGCCCTGCAAAGACTTAAGATTCTTGTATCAATGAGTTTGAAGCGCCAATCTATCCAATTCTATGAATGGCCACTTTGGCTGACATTAACGATGCTACACCTCGCGACACCGCCTTTACCCTTAGCGCGCGCTTGATACCAGTTTTGCCACCGCCCTACCAGGAGCTTTCATATCATCGAACTCAACTTTGCCTCAACTGCTATACTCACAGAACAGTGCGACCCTATCAGGATGTCTTCATCAGGGGGCTCCGGAAACCGCAATAGCAGTTCCGCAAAACCATTCTCCCTTTCCTCGAGCTCCAACGGCGCCGCCAAGAAAACCGCCTTTAACTTTCAAGCAAGTCGCGGCCGTCCCACCGACTCTCCAGTAGGCAAGAGTCGCGCTCTCCCTCGCAGACCCCACCAACTTGGACATGGGGATGACTCCTCAGACGAAGATGAACGTGCTCCCACCCACGAGGAGGTGTCCGGTTTTGACACTCTTACGGGCGGCGCAATCACCGCCGACGGAGAAGCTGTCAAGAAGAAGGGCCCGCTGGTGATCCCGGTCACGAGCAAGAACAACTGGCGTGATCGCGCTGGTGTCAACGTGAAGAAAGGGAAGAATCTTCTACCAGCTGAAGTCCAGGCCATGCAAGAGGCCGAAAGGAATGGTCAAGCTCCTGGAAGCAACGTTGAAACCGAAGGCCCCAGTATGGCATATGGCCTTAGTTTTGCACAGAACGTTGAACAAAAGGGACAAGATGCTACTGGTGGAGATCATCCAATGGAAGAGGCGAAACCGAATTCGCCTCCCCCGCTGAGAAAAAGCCTCTCACGGACGACGAGATCGCTCTACAAGCTTTAATTCGAGAGACCAAGGGAGAGCCGGAGCGGACATCAGATCTGGTGATCGAGGCCTCGAAACCTCGAGACGAAGAGGAGGAACAAGCGCATTCTCGCTATGACGAAACCAGTCACTTCCGAACAGATGTCGATTCTCGTCCCGAATCTGCAACATTGGACCAGTACAATGCTATTCCAGTTGAGGAATTTGGCGCTGCTTTGTTACGAGGAATGGGATGGAAAGATGGCCAATCTATTGGACGGGGCAACTATGGTTCTGCTGCTCCTACAGAAAAAGAAAAGAAACCTCTTGTCCCAGCACGACGCCCTGGATTCCTGGGAATTGGAGCCAAAGATTCTGCAGGTGGGAAAGGCGCTGAAGCTGAGCTCGGAGCCTGGGGAAAATCGGCTATGCGCAAAGCGTCCCGAAAGCAGGGTGAAGAGAACGGGAATGCCAATGCCGAAGGTGTCTATATGCCTGTCACAATGCGCAACAAGAAGACTGGCGAATACATGACCGAAGAAGAGCTTGCCGAGCTAAAGAAGAAGGCTGCTGTTCCACCAGAAAAGGAGGACTGGCGTGAGAGACGGGATCGCAACCTAGAGAAGAGTGGACGAGACAAGGATCGCGACTACCGCAAGCGCGATTACGATGACGATGAATATCGCTCTGACCGGAGAACTGGATCTTCTCGTCGTGATCGAAGCCGTTCCAGCGGTCGCCAATCCTCCTCCAGACGCTCGCGGTACGACGATAATGATCGCAAGAAGGATGTTCGATCCTATCGGGATCGTGACCGTGACAGGGATAGTCGACGAGATCGGGATGATGATAAAGATTATCGCAGAGACCGAGACCGTGACCGAGACCGGCGGTCCCGTGATGATCGATACAGCAGCTCGCGGCATTCATCTTCTCGACACGACCGGGACCGAGATCGGGACCGCGACTCTCGCCGAAGTCGACGGGACGAATAACATTCAATGATATGACTGACTACATTGCAAAGCTCTTGTATATGACTACTGAACAGAGCCATGCCTCCTCCAAATTAGAGATACCCTGGACCAAACAATGTAATCTAGTGGGACAAGAAACGCATAAACGAAGAAGAATTTCAATTCTATGAGAAAGTAGATGGCTTTTATCTGATCCCACCCCAATGATACTCCCATAAAACAAAGCGCCCGTCATATACACAAGAGGTAAAATCACATTTAACCTTCCAACATAATCACATCCTTCTCTTGCTCCTCACCATTTGCATCAGCCATGTTCAAATCAAGACTCTTCAATCCACCAAGTCCAACACCGTCATCCATCTCGCTCAAAACCCACTCCACCAGATAAGAGTCATCAGTGAGCTCCTCAACGCGCTTGTAATGCCTCTCAGTGTACGCTGCCAGGGCAGCGAGAATATCCTTCAATCCAGCAGCAGCACGTCCATTCTTGCCACGGACGGACTGGGTCGCTAGCTCAACGAATGTAGAAGCAGGGTACGAACGGAACAGAGCGTAGAGAATGCGCTGGGAAACGCGCGAGGTACGCGCATTAGTGTTCCAGTCCCGCAGGCGAAGAAGCAAGGTGCGCAGATTCACAGCATCAAGCGACTGGAGAACCTCGTCAATAGACGGGTTGCCAGTCAAACTTTTTGCTGCGAGTGCGCGTTCTTCTTCGGGGAGACTAAGGTCATCGGCGGCGTTGATGGCGGTTGTGAAGAGCGAGAGCAGACGACCAGGGTGGTTTAACTGCAGTGCCAGGGTAATGGCTTCACGGTAAGCACCAGCGCGAATGTAGTTCTGCAGCTGCTGGTCTTGCTCGACGCGCTCGGAGTTGGCGTTCACGGCAGCTGTGTAGGTGGCGGAGGTGGTGTCGGACCACATGGTGACGGTTGCATCTGCGGCACCAGAGGCGAGGGCATAGGGGGATTTGAGTTTGGAGGAGGTGGGCTTGACATCGGCGCGTGAGCCGGACGGGGTGGGACTGGCAAGAGACCAGACTCTGTCTGTGTGGTTGTCCAGCACGGTCTCTTGTTCACCAGTGTACGGGCTCCAGATCTTGACCAAGCCGTCAGCGGCTGCTGAGGCGATAAGAGGCCTTGTTTGAATAGCGTTCTTAGCGGCCTTGTCCTCTTCCTCGTCGTTATCATCGTTGTGCTTGGAGATCTCTGGGGGTGGCAGCCAAATGGTCTTCAAGACACTTCCAGTGTGGCCTTCAAATGTAAGAAGACAGCTGTAGTCAGACAAAGACCATAGTTTGACGGTTTTATCACCCGAAGCTGTGGCAATCAGTCCTCGAGCTGTGCTGGTTCCGGCTTCAGAGTTGATAATGGGTGTGTCCTTAGGAGCGAATCTTACGGACCAAACACCTCGTTTGTGACCACGCAGAACACCAATCGCGGTACCCTCTTCAGCGTCCCAGATCTTTACGGTCCGATCCTGAGAGGCAGAGGCAAACAAGGTACCTGTTGAATCAATGTCCAGAGCATTGATATCCTTTTCGTGTGCTTTTCTAGTGTAAATTGCCTTGGGGGAATGTGTCTTGTCACTTCCGGCCTTAAGTGGGCTCAGCCTGCCGGTATCCCAACGCTTCAGGGTGCGATCCTGTGAACCAGTGATCATGAACGCGGGCGGGTGGCTAAGTGGGTCCTTATAAGCACCACTGCTAGTTTGTGGTGGTGTTCGTGGCAGGGCAACGGCTCCCAGGGATTCGGCGTGTCCAGTGAAGGTGGCAAAGCAGGTATATGATGAGTTTTTGGGGTCAAGACGCCAAAGTCGGGCAGTATTATCCTTCGCAGCTGTTGCGAGCCAGTGTCCAGACCAGTCTACATCGATGGCGATGATGATGTCTTCGTGGCCCTCAAGATGGGCGATATCGGCACCAAAGAACTGCTCACCCTCAGATGGTCTGTCTTCAGATGGAGAAACAGAAACAACGCGAATGCTCTCGGTGTTGGTGGCCAAAGCGAGCATTGACCGATCCGGCCCAACGAAAGCCAAGTCAATGATCTCGTCGTCATTTCCAGAGATGCGGCGGATGATTGTCAGAGCAGGCAAGTCTGATCCCGGCTTATAGTCTGACAGCGGCTCAATCGAATGCAGACGGATTGTCTGGTCTGCATGAACAGTCATCACAAAGGGTAGGCCAGGCAAGTACTGGATAGAGACGATGCTCTCATATTCCTCTCCCGCCTCTTGCTCCTCAGTGATTTCGCTACCACGGTTGCAGTCCCATACCCGCAGTTTACCATTTTCACCACCAATCACGCACAGACCGCTCTCTGCGATGAAAGACGCAGCCTCCACGCTCTCAAGAACAGGGATGATTCTGCGAGTTTTCCATGTACGAGCATCCCAGATGATAACTGTCTTGTCTCGGCTCGCAGACAGCAATGCGTTCTCTGAAGGCGAAAACGACAGGCTGCGCACCAGGGAGACGTGCGAGTCAAGCGATGCAACCGCCTTCCTCTTGTGCAAATCGAAGACCTTGACCTTGCCTTCGTCACTACCGCAGGCCAACCGGAATCCAGCCGTCGAATCTGTGGCATCATCCATGTCCTCATCTTCATCCTTGCGCTTGGACTTCTTCGAGGATTTGGTCTCGTCCGCAGAAGAGGAAACCTCGAAAAAGCAGAGTGCGGAGATAACTCCGCGGTCGTGGAAGGTGTGTGTAACAAAGCCACCCCGAATATCCCAGACCTTAATCGACCCATCGGCACCGCCAGTGGCTAGCAATGTGCCTGTCTGATCGATCGTAGTTGTGACCACTGGGGAAGGGTGGGGTTTGAGGGTTCGGAGAAGCTCTGCTTCAATTGACTTTGAGTCTTCGTCGAAAGGTGAAAGACGGTAAATACGCATAGACATAGACCGAGAGCAAACAATGGCATGCGATGCAGAGGGTGTGACTAGAGACTGCGTGAGTATTTCAACTCTGAAAATTGAGATTGAGACATACGGGCCAAGCTTGTGATGATTTCTCCATCCTGTAGAAAGCTTTTGGTCAGCAATGTCATACAGGCTTTTTAAATATCAGCAACACTTACGCCTTCCAGACTGGCGAGCTGGTCACCAGTCTCCAAGTCCACGATCAAGGCATCCTCGCCGATGCAAGACAGCAAAATGCGACCGCTGGCATCCAGCGCTGTACTGCCACCGGTGTAGATGGGACGGAGCGTCCGAGACGCCTCGAAGGTGGTTTTCACAACAGCCTTCGACATGATTGAAAATTGCGCCTGTGAGCTTTTTAACCCATGCGCTTTCTCTAGAAGTCGAGAATCGCAAAAAGCTCGGGCAACTTTTTTTTAGGTGTTTGCAATGTTTGCTCAGACGATAAGATAATATGCAGGTGGTCCGTGCACGAAGCGCCGCAGACGCGGTCACACGTGGGACTCTCACCTCACTCGTATCCTTCTTCATCTTTCATTTAATCCTCTGTATCGACAGAAGCACAAACAGACGGCTATTACGTTGAGGTGATGTGATCACCTCCGGCAATAGGTGTCCTTGCTCGTGATGGGCCGCCAGGCTTATTTGAACCGGCTCGCTTTGGTAAGCCCCCTTCACAATTGATCCTTTCTCAATTTGATATATGGTACACTGTCTCCGTTGTAATTCTCCATGGTACAATATGAATGTTTCAACTTCCCTGTCTTGGTTATCAGTGTTTTTCGGTGGGTTTCACGAATCATGTTTGATATTGTACCCGATATCTACTTGTGATATGATGATTCTCTTCCTCAATGTAAAGCACACTTCACAAAACCCATGCTTCTCTTTGGCCTGTTTTTCTATAGCTCCCTGCTTTGCTTCTCATGACTCGGAATAATTAACAGTTTACAAGGGTCGGTCACCATATGAACCTCCAGAAACGGCGACAGTCGACCCTTCAAATCCAGTGCGAAGGGTGTCTAACATACATTCTGACAATTACATGCAACAATATGATGCACGAGGGCATCAAGTCAATCCCGAGTCCAAAGCTCTGGGCCGAGAGCTTCGTAGGGCAAAAAATGACATCCTCTCTACCATGGGAATCGTTGTCAGTGGCGAGGATCGGAATGCCAACACATCTAATGAAGAGCAGAGGATGAACCAAATCGCAACTGAGAATGATTTCGGCTTGGTAATAACTACTCTGGATCAGCTATTCGTATTTTTCAGCACCTGGTGGTCATCCTCCCTTACAGGACGGATTCTGGTAAGATCCGCACATAACATCACCTGTGATCCACTGGTATCTAACGTTGGCTTAATAGACATTCAAGCACTATGCCCACGCACCATTACTGGATGTAATACGCTCCGAGCGTGAAACCACGGGAATTCTTGGGTTTTATTGTGCTGGTATTCCTGGGTGGGCAATATCTAGCACATTAGCAATTGCTCGTGAAAACCCCCTGAGGCGCTTTCTTCTCACAATCCGGGACTATGTCTTGGGCTTCACCGACAGTGGTGGCCTGACATTAAGCATTCGTGCCTTCTTTGCTATCGGATACCACGTGTAGGTTGTTTCCATACTACCAATTAGACACCGGATGCTGACAATGGCCGTAGGACAAAGCATTCAGTTCTCGTCTTGTCCCTCGAGGCATACATGTATTCGGTACTCCAAACACTCTCACTCGTACCCTCGAATTCTATCCCCAGCCTTCGAATGTTGGTCCCCTTTGGCGAGGCTTCTTTATTCCGACTTCCGCCTCTCCCTGCGGACTTTTCCATCCCATCCATTGGGGGCTTTGTGATGCAACTTTTGACATCCCCTGGAGTCTTGACATTTGTTTACGCATTCTATCTGCGCCCAGAGTTAGAGGAGCGCATTTATAGACTGATCCGACGCCAAATTCCCAAACCTACCGTCGCAGATGAGCTTTCGATTCGAGTTGCCTATGAAGAAAATCTCCTTGAATGGGTCGCACCGACCTTGGGACGCAGAGCGGAAGAAGAAACTCGCCGTGCGAAACTTTCATTAGCGCAAGATATCAAACAAGAGCTTGTCGCTTTGGGAGGTTGGGTATTCTCTCTATTTGGGCTTTTGTCCAGTAAGACCTCCTCGGATCAACTCCGAATCGATGGCCAAGATCGTGAGAGCATTGAGAACAACCTCAGACAATCCATTGAGTCATTACAACAAGAACTTGAAGAAGTTCAGCTTCGTACTAACCTCGCTGGAATCGAGGCTCGTGATGTTTTAGCTAGACCTTTGGAGACCATCGCTCGTGGTGATGCCGACATTGCGTCGTCGGATTCGCTGCCCGTTGCGTTTTCAAGTCAAATACCTGAAATCGAGCTGGGCCCAGATATGAACCAAGTGCTCACAAATGAAAACCGCATGTCTCAATCTCCCGGTGAGATGAGCAATGATTTCTTTTCAGAAATAGCTACCGTTGGACGAACAAGTGCACCCTCAAATGCCTCACGTTCACAGAGCCAAGCAAGCCATGTCCAACAAGGTGAGCCCTCAGCAAGACCTCGTCAGAACTCGCGCTCCAACACCCTATTCTCCCGACCATCGTCCCCAGAAACATCGCCACCTACCTCACCTCGCGTTAGAGCTTCTTTAATTCATCAGAGTTCCGACATCATCACAATGCAGCTGGAACTTTTGGGTAACCGCAATCGCAATCCTCAAGCCGAGACGACGGCCCAGCGGAATCCTCCTTTCTTTGGTCGTAATAATCCAGCAACTGCCATGGACCGCAGGTCTATAGCCGATTTCCTCGAGGCGTTGATCCTGAGCCAAGCACAGCAGCAAGCTACGCAGCAATTGCCACTAGCTGAAAACGATGATGTATCAGGGGTCACTGCCGGAGCCAACTTTGCTACAGGTCAGGACATCCCTGCCGAGGAAAGCCAGCCCCCAAATATTGTGCAAGAGGCCATGGCTGATCACCATGTGGACCCTGCACCCACTGAAGAAGCCCCAGCTTCCACCATGCCAAGCATTCTCCCAGACGGCGTCGAAGAGCCTAATGATGAAGAACACGTGAGCTTCCAACCATTGGAGACAGGCGAAATTGGCGACATTCCTCCCGGTTCTGGCCTCCAACCCATGTCGCATGTACCCGGTGTACCCGTCATTTCCCACAGAGTGACGCTCCTATCCGCTCACCCAGTTGACTCTCTTGCATCACATCTCGCGGCAATCATAAGCAACATCATCCTGTCGCCGATCGAATCACTTTATGTCCGCTCTCTGGCTCACTCATATCTTGCTCTGCACCCTTCTTCTACGGTTCAAGTCTCGGACCTACACCCTATAGGTCTGTGGGGTGGCGGACGGACCTGGTCTGATGCCTTTGCTTACTGTGGTAGGCTAGTTCTTATGAGAGGTATGCAGGCTGCGCTAAGAGCAGGTGTGTGGGGCTTCCTAGTCGGTTCGACAATGCGTATCGGGCGGAAGTTTTGTGGATGGGGGACTCTATAAGTGAAATAAAATATTTCTCTTTCCAAGGTCCTCTGTCAGATTGAAATTAGCCTAGTAAATGTGTAAAAGAGGCATTTTTGGAGGATTCAAGTATCCTGCAAGGGCATATTTGCTCAACTGAGGATAGTCCTGGTCTACAATAAGACGGAAAAAGATTATCTGTGTAGAAGATCGAATTTATAAAATCCCTCGCCAACCCAAACTCCCCAAAATTTCAATCGTAAATAATACATTTTCAAGTTTCGATGGATACACATTTATTTGGCACCCTTGCCCTTCTTACCAGGAACCTTCCTGCGCTCCCAAACCATCAGGTATCCTTCACGGGTAAAGAGAGTCTCACTTTCAGCACGCTTAACAAATAAGTCCTGAATCTCAAGCCACTCAGGGCCACGCTGTTCCGCAGCACCGCCATTTTGGTGACGGGAGTTGTCGGCCGACATAGCCTTATCGTGGAGCTGAACAAGCCAGGAGACCTTTTCGCTGCCGCCGCCAGCTCCGGAGGATGAGCCAGAAGCAGCGTTAACGCCCTTGTCAGCTGCATCTTCGGTAGCACCGGGGGCGGCGATTGAGGGGTCCAGAATGATGTTCGCTACAAGGTCGTACAGGATTGGTTCTGATGGGGGCCAGATCTCCGGGTTTGGCTCAACATATGGTGACATGTCGAGGGAGCGGGGGCTAGGGTGAGTGACAATGGTGGGGTTTCGCTCGGATACGAAGCGGTTTTTGTTGAAGCGTTTGATATGGAAGAGGAGGTAAGGGGGGAGAGGGTGAAGAAGACGATGTCTGACACGGTGAGCCATCTTCTCGGATGCAGTGAGGCCATTGTATTTATTGAGGAGGGTGGTGAGAGGCACTTGTGGGATAATAGATTCCCGGTTTGCCGATTGGAAGAGAGGAGTTGGAGGTAGGTCCAATGTGAGAATAAGGAATGGAGTGACCTGGCTGTTGATATCTCCAGATTCCGTGAAGACCAAACGTGCGTTCTGGGTGTCGGAGTGGGCCGTAATAGCCTGCGATTCAATCCGAACACGACCCTGGAAGGCCGCATGCACTACACTGGTAGGTGTCTTTGATGGCTTTTTGGAGCCACCCAGAGACAAATGAAGGTTGTTAAGAAACCATGACAAGAACTCCACGGGGTCGGATTGTTGGCTAAGGGTGAAGCGCTTTGATGATCGTAGGGCAACCTCTTGTAACAGCTCGTGCGGAGACACATGAGATCGAAATGCTTTGGGATTCCATAGCTTGCGTACAAGTGTACTGAAGCGTAGAACGAGCTGCGGGGTGTCCAGTTGTGGGAACTCGTGGAGAAGGAAAAAGTTGCGAATGGGGAGGACGTGCGCCAGAAGCTGAACCACGACATTCATATAGTCGTTGGCCTTGATGTTGTTCATGCCAACAAACCCTGTGATACCATTAGCTTTCGGAAGCTCTCCCTATCTAGCGGGATGTCTCACCTGGCCTGTACCTGGCACCATGGAGATCCCAGGCGCCGTGAACTTCTTTATCCATCTTGATAACTTCGTTCTTCGAATAGTGCGGATCCACCACATATTTGATATCGTCCAAACTGTTACTTTTGACTTCGTACCCCTCTGGCAATACATAGACTTTCTTGGTACCCATGTTGACAAATACATGATGTCCGACCTCGAGCGCATGAAAATACGCATGCGATTTGGGACCGCGACCCTGGAAATATTTGCCACAGACGAGACAGGCATACACGTTGATATTCGAGAGACTGATGGAGCACAGCTTCTCGAAGTCGAAGTCCAATACTCCCCTATTGACCGTGTCGAGGTAGAGGTCGCCGTAGCCCTCCATCGGCTGGTTTTGTCGTTTGGGAGCACTGAGGGCGGAAACCTCTTCGTCAATATCCGAGAGTCCTGAATCATCGTGCGCAGGTTCTTCCAGTTCCGCTCCTTCTTTATCAGCTGCTGCTAGGGTATTGGTGCCATTGCGATCGTCTTGCTGCTCTTCGGCTGGTTGCGCGGGTACTGCGCCGTCTTGGGTGTCTTCGTCAACCCCGTCCTCCACGCGCGCCTTTTTCGAGGCCGGGGGCCCTGGGAAATTCTCCCCAAGAGGGAGCTCTGCTAATCTTTTTGGCATTGTGATCGGAGTGTTGCGGTGGTGGAGAACGAAAGGAGCTCTGAAGTTCTTCAGTCCCGCGAGCTCTTGAAGATGGTGCAAACTCATCAAACATCCAACATCGTCATGTCTCTATATGATAGCTCTTCCAAGACAATCAGGTTTATTTACATAGTTTCCGATCCCAAAATAATACTAAGTCGTTGACTGGCATCCACTACAGTTACCAAATATTTGCCTAAAGACTACTAAGAAAATCTCGGAGGTTTTGCTGGTATCCCGTCAAAGCAATGTTAAAACGTCATAGGATATGATACAACAAACGCCCAGGCATGTTGACCATTACGCAGCCCGAGCGATCCTGTCGTTATCAAAGTCTACCTCTTTCACGCCATCCTTTGTCACCACCTTCACCAGGACCTATCAATTGTGAATTAGTATAGCAACATTGAATATGGAAATGACCCGAACGTACCCCCTTGTAGTCGATTGGTAGCCGACGCTTGAGCTCATCTGTGCACATTTCAAGAAGTTTCATGCCCTCTTCGAGAGAGATGTTGGGGTTGTGGTGTTTGTCGAGAAGAGAAAGGCAATAGTATCTGCGCTTGTTAGCAGTGCTCGGGATTTCCCGATATCGTTAGATATCCTGCTGGTCCAACATACTGGGCATAACCATGGGCGGCATATGGTACAGGGGCCAACGAAGCCAAGTAGTCGATCCAGTACAAGTGAGGCTTCTCTGTAGCAGGGTCCACACCACCCAACAACAGGTTGACTGTGTACGGGCTTCGTGATCGCAAGCTGCGGGCCAACTCTCCTCGGATGAAATTGCCTACAGCAGGAGTGCTGAGCTCGGTGTCATTGCGCATCGTATACAGTTGAACGTTTGCTTGAATGTAATCGGCGAATTGAACTGGGTGAAACAAGCCATTAGCGTCTAGAGTTCCATCACCAATTCGCTAGGTACTGACTGGTGTCTCCTGCCTCTCCAGAGAAAGCCATAAGGGTGTGCTTATTCAGGCTTCTGGTCTTGTCATCCTCTGCCTTGATGATAGTCGGGCCTCGCATTATAGCCTTTGATGCGGCAACAAGGACGAAGTCCTTGCCAGTAATACCCAAGAGAACGTCCCTAGCAAGCGCGGTCAGTCAAGGCGGGCAATTAATTTGTGGGGGTGATGACCGGGATACACATACATGTTGGCGGTATGTCAGGAAAATGAGAAATAAATCAAGACGAGGTTCAAAAAAGGCGATGAAGGGAAATGTGGTCGAGGTGATGACCGCGCGGTGAGCTTGACGCCTGGAGCTCTCAGCTACCTCGCTGAGTCAGCCGCCGCTTGGCCGCCTTTTTTTCCCCGAAAAAAAAGTTGAATCTAGCATCGGCCACCACCAAGTCACGTTTGTCGTCTGGGGTATTTCCACCCGCAAATTTGATTTAGGCTTGCTGTGGAACTACTAAATTGAAGACTCAACATGTCTTCTTTCTTCACCGTGCCTGCCTCGCAGCGCAAGCGCAAGAGAGACGACCGCACTGCACCCCCGGCAACTAAGAAACGAGGCGTGGATGCAAAGAACGATGGAGGAAAAGCCCAACGACCCCGCGAACGGGAGGAATCAATTTCAGGAAGCGATGTGGACGAAGATGAGATTGACTCGGTAATCTCTGGAGAAGACTCTGAATCGGACTCGGATGAAGGCGAAACGGCCGCAGACCGAAGATTGAAACTTGCGGAACGTTACTTGGACAATGTTAGAGAAGATGTCCAAGAAGTCGGATTCGATGCGGAAGAGATCGATCGAGACTTGATTGCGGAGCGATTGAAGGAGGATGTTGTATGTGGAACTTTTCTCCTCACAGATTGAGTCTGCGACTAATCGGAATCATATAGGACGAATTCAAAGGACGAGCTTTCCGACAAATTGCCGATAAACTCTCGTTTTCCACGGCTTCGCATTCTTTCTTCCGCGCAGATACCCAGTCTACTACTTCCATCGCTGTTCATTCGCCCTACGTTTACACCGTCTCAAAGGACAAAACCTTGATTAAGTGGGAACTGGCAACACCGAGTGGTCCTGAGGCATCTGTCCAGGATGCTTCTTCCAAACGACCCCCACGACCGCAACGAAGGAAGCCGAAGCAGGTGAAGTACGCTCGGGGTATGCGTAAGATTGCTGAAACTGGCGAGGAACACGGCCACACGGGAAGCATCTTGTCTGTTGCTGTCAGCCCCTCGGGAAGATTCGTGGCAACAGGTGGTGCAGACAAGAAACTTGTGATTTGGGATGCGGAGACTTTGACCCCAACCAGAACTTTCACCCAACACCGTGATTCTGTCAGCAGTGTCGCTTTTGCTCGCCATATTTCGACTATGAGCTCCGGAGAGCAGCTTTTTACTGGTAGTTACGATCGTACCATCAAAACCTGGTCTATTAGCGGAGCCGGCCATGCCTATGTTGAAACTCTCTTTGGTCACCAAGACCATGTGACTGGGGTGGCAGCTATGACAATTGACCAGGCTCTGAGCGTTGGTGCCAGAGATAGAACAGCCAGATTATGGAAGGTTGTCGAAGAGGCACAACTCGTGTTCCGTGGCGGTGCTTCAAAGAAGGCACCCTACAAGGAGAGCAACATTGACTGCATTGCCGCTCTCCCGCCAGCACATTTCGTCACTGGTTCCGACTGCGGATCAATCTGTCTGTGGTCGATGCATAAGAAGAAGCCTCTTTACACAGTTCCCTTGGCACACGGTCTGGACCCTATCCCGCCTTTGGAAGAATTATCTCAAGAAGTCGACAGCGAGACTGCTGCCAATAATACCCGGCATATGCGCCCCATGCCTCGCTGGATTACCGCTCTGACCACTCTTCCCGGTACCGATATCGTCCTGAGTGGTAGCTGGGACGGTTCTATCCGCGCATGGCGCATCCCAGAAGATAAGAAGAGTATCATTCCATTAGGCCCAGTTGGTCTTGGTTCTTCTGGCCTGTCAACTCCCGATACACCTTCCCAGCAGCTCAACCAATCACTCGCCAGTGGCACCCCCGGTGATGACATGGAGATTGATGGAATCTCCCAGCAAAATGCGGAGCCTTTAATCAAGGGTGTGATTAATGATATCGCCGTTTTCGAGCGTCGCCCCGAATCAGACCAGCCTGAGTCAAAGGGATCCAAATCGCAGATCAACACTCAACCTCGTGGCCTGTGCATCGTCGCAGCAGTTGGCAAGGAGCACCGACTAGGCCGGTGGAAGTGCTTTGCCACCAACTACGACAAGGCTACTCCATCGGATGGTCGCAACGGTGCAGTTGTCTTCGAGGTCCCCTTCACATCTCTCGTTGATGCCGAGGCCGATGTATAAAAGTTTACGGATTTTAACTTGACCTTGCATCTCTTTCTGCAAGAAGTGGGGCAAGTTGTGGCGTGTCATTCGGGGTGTGGTGTCTTGGAGTCAATTTCTACATGTATTTTACCATCTAGATATCTTGCATACATAAGTACCGGATCTCGACCGGTTGAGTACCTTTCATATTGTGGTCCACTGGCCAACAGCCTCAGTAAAGGTGAACCTTTCATTAAATCCGGAGGGTGCACAAAATGTCGGTTTTCGCCAGTGAGATATTCTCTGTGGCCTAGGAGCAACTGCTCTCTCAAGGATTTAGTTTTTTATGCATCATTCGCAATCTCTGCATGCTCATCTGCCGGTTTCAAAGAGTCATCATCGTTAGCAACAGGAGTCCCACGCAGGAGTGCCTCGATGCGCTTGATACGCTTTTTCTCTTCGTGCGCAGCGGTGTCTCCGAAGATGAGGTCCATATCCTCAAGTGTCTGTGAAGATATCAGCATCTAAACGGAGAAATCAGGAGCAAAAGCCTAGGGTGAGCACACCTTTCCTCGTGTCTCAGGAATACAGAAAAACACAAATCCCAGCGCCAGAAGACAGAAAACGGCGAAAAAGATGTAAGTCCCATATGTGATTGAATCAAGCATGTCCGGGGTTACAAGTCCAATGATACTGTTTATAACTTATGAGAAAAATTCAAGTGGATTTCCAAGAGTGATCAAACGCACAAGTTGCACATCCAAGTCGCAGATGTTGTGATAGACATGGCTTTAGCCCGAATAGAGAGATTAAATATCTCCGAAGGTAGTACCCAACCAATTGGAGCTAGTGAAATCTAGATCAGCATGTGCTCAGTCATAGCTAGTAGCTTAAGAAAGCCAGACTCACCAAAGGAGTACGAGAAGTTGATATCGTAGATGTAGATGAACGCAATACCAACCCATCCAGCAGACTTATGATCCGGCAAGCTGGACCCGTAACTTCCCAGGATACCACCCACAATAGCCAGCGAGATACAAGTCCCCGTGGCACCAGCCATGAGTAGAACACGGCGTCCAACCTTATCGATTAGAAGCAGAGCTGGGAGTGTACTCAGACAATTCACGATACCGTATACGCCCGTTGCGAGGAGAGATGACGTGTTACCGCTTAGGCCGAGCTGAGCAAAGATTGTAGGTGCATAGTAGATTATTGCTGGATTAATTAGCAAGATATTTAACTGGGACAAGAAAGTCACCTACCATTACAGCCCATAAACTGCTGGAAGAACATCACGATGCAACCAATAGCTAATCTTCGGAATCGGGCCCAATTGGTCAACATTGACATGTACTACAGCAGGTATGTTAGTAGTCTCTCAGCGGAAAGTGCAACTAGAACCACAAACCTGAGCAGCATGAAGTTTGAAGCCCGATAGATTGGGAAAGTTTTCCTTAGCGAACGAGTTTTCCAGCATAATAGATGCACGAATCTCTAGATATTCATTCTGAAGAGCGATATTATCGCGAGGCTGGCGACGCAGCCGTGAGAGCGCAGCAAGTGAGTCATCGTCTCGCTCTTTCATTAACAACCATCGCGGTGAGTCTGGAAAGAATAACATTCCGATGCCCAAGATTATTGCTGGAGCAATCTGAAGAGCTAGCGGGAAACGCCAAGAAGCTTCAGACTGGCCGGTACAGCCACCAGAAGGTACATCCTGATACGGATCGAAGGAGGGGGAGGAAGCCGTTCCTCCGGTATAGGGGATATTCGGGGCACAGCGAGTACCACCGATGTAGTTGGTGCCATAATCAATCCAGTAGCTGACCAGAATGCCAATGGTAACCGATACTAAGAGAGTTTAGCAAGGTTCATCGGAAAGCAATGTTTCAAGAAACTAACATTGTTGTATCACAACAAGACTGCCTCGGATCTCTGGAATGGAAACCTGAAGACATGTAAGCTTTTGTGGTAACGAAATAGCGGACTCTGTATACCTCAGAGATGTAAAGCGGCACCACCATGGTAAGCATCCCGATTGCTAATCCTGCAATTGCTCGACCGACAAAAAGCATTGGGATGTCCACCGCTGCGCATTGAATAGCAGAGCCAATCACAAAAACAATCACGGCTAAGTTTATAGAAACCTTCCGTCCAACCCGATCAGACAGAGGTCCATTAATCAGAGATCCAAGCCAGGCGGCTGGGTAGATGTTAGCTCGCACTCGAAGATCATCTAGAAAGAACTTACCAAGTAGAAGCGTCGAAACAAACCATCCCTTGAACCCACTATCAGAAAATACACGTGGGAAGCGAGCCCCAAATGACTCCATGGTATTAACACCGCTGACAACGCCTTGGTCATAGCCGAACAGCAAGCCGCCTAGAGTAGAGAACTATCGCAAGGTCAATATGGGATCTTTGGAAGGTTGTCGAGCTCAAGTTCAATGCTTACCGACGCCACGCCGCATAAGTAGGGATTCTGCAAAACGAGCGACAATCCGCTCTTTGATGGGCTATCAACGGTTGAGTCCATAGTGGCACGAATCAGTTAATATGTGAAATGCTCCCCGTCAACGTAGTGATTGAGTGAAAAGAGCCTCATATGATCCGCTGAGTCCGCTTTATACTTCACACGGAAGGAAAGCCGAGGGTCACAGTCGCAGCGTATGATAGGAAGACAGTACTCCGGAAATGCAAGCTCGATCATAGGGAACTCAGACATCGAACGGAGTGGTGCGGTCCGAGTCAACTCTAGCAAGTTTGTTAAGTTTGGAGACTGGGGAAGATCGTCGCCCGCCTTGGTCAAATGCGGGGGAATGTCGGAGTATATCCACCCCTGGACCTAAAACTAGATCAGGCAAGTTGGCGCGTTGTTTACTGTTAGCTCGTACTTTTTGTAAGTGAGCTGTGAATTATTTGCCATGATTTTTTCAAGGGTTGATATTAAACTCTTATCCGTTACTTTTAATTCGACATCGAGTTTTTAGTTACAGTTTGCAGCCCAATGTCCTAGGCAGTAGTTGTCAAATATCGCTTCCACCACTCTTCCTTTCGAGTCAACGACTGCAAAATAGCCTTCTGGCCAACCCATCCATGTCCCTCGCCCTCAAATTCGACAACCTCCGCGACCCGTCCATGAGCCCGCATAGCATCAGCCATCATTCTTGCCTGCGCAACAGGAACAACCATATCAATAGTTCCTTGCAAGAGCAGCAACGACCCTTGAATTTTATCAGCAAAGTTGCACGGACTGCGTTTAGTAAGCTCAAGTTCTCTATCTTGGGGCGCAGTCTTGCTCAGCAGCAGCCGGTCCACATCTTGACTTTCAAACTTGTACGAGTCCGCTTGAAGAGCTCGCACATCGCTTATTCCATAAGAGCTGATTCCTGCAGCCCAGACATCGGGGTACATATGCAGTGCTCGCAGTGTCAAGTAACCACCGGCACTTCCACCGTAGATTCCGACGCGGGCTTTGTCGACTAATCCCTCACCCACGAGGTATTCCACCGCGCTGACGGCATCAGCGACATCGACTAGACCCCAGTATCCAGAGAGTCTTTCTCGGTATTCTCGTCCGAAACCGGTGGAGCCGGTGTAGTTGACGGCGCACACTGCGAAACCGCGCGTGGTCCAAGATTGGATTTCCAAGTCGAGGGCTGGGGTTGTAGATCCATTAGGACCTCCGTGGACATACACCAATAGAGGAGGAAGTCCATCGGCCTTGAATTCGGGGTTGCAAGGCGGGAAATAGAACATGTGAACGTGGCCGTCGGTCAATGGACCGTGTTTTTGAGGGGCTTGGAGCTCTTTTGCGACAGAGACATATTCGGAAGGCAGTTCGAATGTTGCCGTTGATGTGAGAATGGTCCTTTCTGCTTTGAGTGTTGGTGTGATAGTAATCAATGCTAGTTCCTCTGGAGAGGTGGTCGAAGTGCCCACCACAACGAAGGAAGTTGATGATACTCGACGGATTTCGTACACGTTCACGTATGGCAGATCAAGGTCCTGAACAGATAAGGTGGCTGTGTTAATTAGTATCAGCTTTGCCGTGGCATGGGTAATAGTCGTTGCCACTATGGTTTGCGCATCAAGAAAAATGTATGTAGAGCTAGGCAAACGTCAACCAATAGTTCGAAAAAAGACCAAGCATACTCAAACTTACCTTCCAAGTTCCCATTCATCAACACCGAAATCGGCCTTCTCAAATGTCTTCAATGGCAGCGCGGTCTGTTGCTGGTTCTTCACATCAAAGGAGTAAAGCTGCCAGAAGCCGGTGCGATCACTCGCAAAATACAATAGCCCATCTGGACTCCACTTTGGCTGAACAATGCTTTCTTCTTGTCCTTTACCAGCGATGCGGGTAACATTCTCCAAAGATCCACTATTCCACTGCGCATAATAAAGCACCGTGCCGGTCCAAGGCATGTCGGGATGCGACCACTGAATCCACGAGACATACTTGCCTGTGGGATCAAATTTAGGGTGCGAGTAGAAATCATCACCTTGAGCAATCGTCGTCTCAGTACCCAGTTCAATATTGATGGCTACCAATGTATTATGAACATGCGTCGCCTGCGTCTCGGGTGTAGCCTCTCTGTGATCCTCTTTGATAGCAAGGATCCACTCTGGGTTGAAGGGGTGGCTATGGAAATCCGCATACCGGATTCCCTCGACAGCGGGATGAACAATTTTAGTTTCACCCGATGCCGAATCCAGCAGGTAGACATTACGAGATTCTTCGTCTGCGAATAGGACCTGTCCATCATGTCGCATGTCGATAGAGCCACCACCGAGTTCTTGCACTGTTGCGTGGGCGCTTAGGTCTTTGGGTAGCACGTCTTGGCTTTTCCCGTTGAGATGCTGGACAATTGCATAGCGACCGTCTTCTGTTGGGTGACACTCAATAGAGTAGATGGCTCCCGTTGATTCCTGTGGTATGTTAGTTATGGTCGTAAATAAGGTGCTGGTTGTTCTGTACATTAACTGCTACCTCGTGGAGCGTGATACTATCTGTAGCGAGACGTTCCGCGGTGAGGGGGCTAATCCAGTGCCCGTAGGGCACGGTCTGAGGTGCCATTTTATGGAATAAGGAATAAATGAAGATAGAAAAAGTGTTTACCAGAGGTCAGAAAAAGACGTGGGGTGGTTGCATGGATGACTCATGTTCAACAAAGTTGCCGAGGCGAGCCCTTAGATAACCTTAGATAACCTGCTACAGAGCCATAGTTCCTTTGATTAGAAAGTGCCCATAATAAAGTGCCGTATCCTACACTTGGAGGCCAAGTATTTGCTCGATAAGTTTACTCTGAATTTCGAATACTGCTCCCTACCCACAGGATGTGTTGTAAATCCCTCCACAATGCCGCTCCTGAAACACATGTCAGATTCAGCCGTGGACCAATAATCAATAGCTCGTGTTTACCTCTGGCTCCCAGCTTACGCTTCTCAACTCAGCGATGATAGAACAAGACCTGACAAACAACCCGGTATTTCTACAACGCAGAAACAGTAATGTGGATTGCCGAAGCCATGCCAGACAGAACCCAACAACATACGATTTGCTTGTTTGGTGCTCTTATATACCGGGAATACGCATGAGATAACACAATTATCATCACGGGAGAATCTTATCAAAATGAAATAGCCGCGAAAACCACACAGCTCAGTCTACCATTTGATAAGATTCTTGGCCATCTTCCCTACCAGTCACTAGAGAAAGAGATCTTGATACTTGAGCAGGAGTCTAAAGCATTTGCTGGAGTTATCTAAAAACTCGAGTCCATGTGATTCCCTATCTCATCTACCTTGCCTTTTTAGTCTTGTGTCCATACCAGCACTAGATAATTATATCATTTGGTTCTGTAGGTATGATTACCAAGAAATGACAGCCAGCCAATCAAGGGGATAAATTTACATCCCCTTCCAATTTTGATTTCAGATCGCAAGGTTGCACAGCAGCATTGCTGAGCCATGATGAATAGGAACATAGTCCAAGCCTCCAACCAATCAAGAGGACAGTTCTATATCCCCCTCCCAAGATTTGCTTTCAGTTGTCAAGATTTATAGCATTGCTGAGCCATGATGATCAGGACATAGTAAAATCTTTCAACCAATCAGGATCCTTCGACAGAGCCCCTCCCATCTTTTTAGTTTCATTAATTTTTTTTATCCGGGTGCCCAGGTGAATGAGCTGGAATTGCTGAGCCATGATCCGTAGCCCTGGTATATAGAACATGGTCTTAGTTTTGGGCCAATCACGATGTTTCTAAAGAATTCCTTCTATTTTTTGGTTTCAAATCGACGGTGTTTGTTCACCTAAACGGGAAGAACCTGAGCCATGGTGAGAAGAACCTTAGATCTTCTCCTTATTTTCAGTCCAACTTCCGCACATCGGAACGCAACACCATTTCAATAGCATAATGAAAGGCGCAGTGTCTGATATGTAGAATCATAATATTGGTACATGCCAGGTACCTACTCAGTCGCAATAGACTCCCCTGAGATGCGAAGGTGATAACGGAGTGATCAAGCGCCTTTTCTGATCTTTTGTCGCAGCTCGAATGAGGCTTTATTTTACATGTTCACTTGATTGATTGAGATGATATGTATATTCCTTGATACGTGAGATAGTATTCTGACTGAGTACATTTACTGAGCTACTTTAGGTGCGGATAGTGAGGATGTAGAGGGCTTCCGCATATTCGGGCCCTTATTCCAAACCAATCAAAATGACCGAAGAGCATGGCATCCCCGTATCTAGTTTCATTCTGTGGCGGGTTTGCTGCAGGCAGTTAAAGCTGAGCCATAATAAGTCTCTGATTTTCCCCCAGTATCTAGAATAACAGGAGATTAGGTAGAGGTCGAAATAGGGAGAAATGAAGGGACGCATTATTCAAAAGCTATATCGGGGTTGAGTTGTTGAAGGAGGATATAAAGCTAGACAAGAAAAAGATATAGATCATTGCGCCAATCAAGGTTGAAGCCTGCAAATATCAGGCAAAGCTTTAAGCTAGGTATTTTTCTATCCCATCCGAAGCGCCACGCTATTGTAAACCATGCCTAGTATGCAGGTAGAAATGAAACAAGAGTTTAAATACTGGTGCCATGAAATAGTTGGCGAAATCAGTACGGGGAAAATCGGGCTCGTCTTCTCTGGCTAGCTCTTCGTACAGGGCCAACAGGTTCCTCCTCATCCGAATCATCAACGGCGATGGCGTTGTTAGCAGATGACCCTGTGTTCCTTGAAGGTCTGGTCCTGGGAGGCGAGCTAGAGCCATCTTCAATCTCATCATCGTCCGACGCGGGAATAACTGGTGGGAAATGGCTACGGCCAGCACTTAGATGAGGGCCCTCGGAATCGTCGGAATCAGAATCCTCTTCGAGGCCGCCGAGCATATCATCAGACCCATTGCCATCCGGTGTTTCGCCAGATTCTGCGTCAGAGTCATCACTGTCGACGACATATCTTCGTCTCGGCAGTCTCCCAGGGACTGACTCCTCGTCTTCGCTTTCCCAGTCGTAGTCCTCCGGCTCGGCTGCAGAAGAAGGGCCAAACACCTGAGGGTACTGTACGAAAGGCGGCCCCCGTGAAGAAGGTCGGTTACGAGCACGAGAACTACCAACCACTGTAGAATGATCGGATTCAGATCCTTCTCTTTCGCGCTGCGTATGTTCTTCGTCGTCAATGAAGGACTCTTCGTAATAGTCTTCGTCCTCTTCCTCTTCCTCTTCCCCTTCCCCATAGGGATCATAGGGAGCATTGCCATCAAAGTGATCCCGTGCTTGCCAAGGATGGTGCCCAGTGCCGGTTGGCCGAAGACCAGGGAAATAGAACGGATGTGTATGTAAGTCGGGGAAAATCGGACCGAAGCTTATAGATCTGTCGTATGCGTGGAATGGTGCGCCGACCCGGGATTGAATTGTCGGAGCGTCTGGATCGTCTATCCCATCCTCGTCCTCGTCCTCATCATCATCGTCTAAAATAGAATCGTAATCGCTTTCGCTGCTTAAGTCCGACCCACTGGAGTATGTACCCTCTGAATCTGGCCGATAGACGTAGCCACAACCTGCGCAGTTCTGGCCGTCTTCAAGTTCCCAAGAGCAATTCGGACAGCGCATGATACCATCATCTATATCGATGACAGGTTTCAGTTGAGGGGGTTTCGGTGTAAAAAGTCCACCAAATAGACCTCCGCTTTGCGGATCTGTGTTTGCCTTGTCGTTGTCAAGCTTTTCTATTTCCTCTTTATGGTTTTTTGAGTGTTCTGCGGTTGTCTCTTCTGCATCTAAAAGCTCTGCACGGGTGGTGAACATTTGAACGACAGCTCGAACCTAACAAAAAAAAAATTAGTACTAATTTCATAGAAGGAATTCAGTGGAGAGACTGACCAAGTAGGCCGGCGCAGGCTGTGTTTTGACGGGTGCTCGACAATCTGGACATGTCCTCTTCGACCGTCCACCAGCAAACCATGACGATAGACACTATTCGTTATCAGACAATTGGATCGTAAAGTGCGAATAGTAGATATAGGAAAAACTAACGGAGTAGCAAAAGGTGTGTCCACAGGCAAGGGTGAAAGGCTCGTATAATGGCCGTATGCAGATACCACACTGTATTAAGCTTCGGATATCATCCACATGGCCTTGAAGGGTATTGACAAGCTATAAACGCGTCAGTCTCAACTTTTTCCACATCCGCGCAGGAAGGTCGGAGCTTACCCCGGAGGACTCGGCCCCAGAACTACCTATGGCCGCCATGTTGACCTCCCGCGGTTTTCTGTGTGTTCCGTTCCTGCACTTAAAGCTTCGACGTTGTCGAGTTTGCGTTTTGGGTCGTTATCGAGCGGGGGCGCGAAGTCGTTAAGATGCGGTGGGGGTCAGAGGAAAAGTTCGATGGAAAGGCCCACGACCAGGCGTAGAGCTGAATTATGAAATGCAGCGCAGATGTAGTCGTATTGCGCGAATATATAGTAAATTAGTTGTATTAGAGGGCCACGATATTCCAAGGCTGGGAAAACCGTGGCGCTGAGAAGTGAAGGAACCCAGGGCAATCGTGTTGTTAGTGGCCTCAGGCATTAATTGAATAAGCCGTTCCTGCTGCTCCTCACGTGATTCCAAACCCAACTTAGTCATGGCGTGAGAACCATCATTCTTCTTTCACCATACCATCTCAGTGCCTTTTCTATTCCTCTTACAAGTGAGACAGTTCAAGGGGTGAATTACTTCCTCTTTGAGGATCCTCATCGGGCAATTCTTGATCTCGATCCCTGACTAAAACACAGCTACAGTATTCCGCCAGACTCCTTGCGCCGTTGGGTGGAGGGACCAATAGAATAAGACCTCAGACTCTCCAGCGCACACTAACTGCAGTGATGTGATAGGTATATCCACACCTGCGATTGCTGTAGATTAGCGCTCCGGGTCTCAAACCATGGCCTGCCGTGGCAATATGGAGATCAGTCTGACGGGTCGGCCCCTCCTGCGGGAAGGGAACTCCACTAATTTTCGGCCTTATAAGAGTCGGCACGTTGAATGTTAACATTTAGTGTAAATTTCCACAGTAAATACCAGCGATAATTAGTTGCACTCAACACCTGCTATGCTCATCCAGGGGATCAAGGTAATGGCAGCGTGTCGTTTGGGGTAGAGTCCCAGGACATCGCTTGTCGAAAGTTATCGCATTGACTAAAGACATGATGGGGTCCAGACTTTTGCCGTCTGGTCGTCGGCAAATATCGAACCTTGCTCAAGAACTACCTAGCTAGCGATTCGATAATTTCGAAGAAAAGAAAGCCCCTGCTAGTAAGCCATTCGGAAGCTTTGAAACGGGCCCAGCCAGTTCCATCACATTATCGATATTTAGTCTAGGCAAATATTGAGAAGACATTTGACCGAGCCAATGAGTCTTAGCTCTTATACATTCTGGTACAGATTTTAGCGCCTGGTATAAAACCCTGTATCCACTTTCTAAGGTGGACGTGTCATGGTAGCTCAAATCCAACAAGCAATGGCGCTCTGTGCGTAGGTTTGGGGGCAGGCCACCAAACCGATCGTGGATCGGACAAAGATGGAAAGAAGTAGGGTCCAAAGCCAGCCCCCTCCTCCCCGCCCCATGCCCTAGCGCTAAATGTGCATCGCAGGGCCACTCCACAGGTAATACTCCCGGGTTGCAGGCTTGACCAAGCTTGAACCATTGTTCATGGGCCGCTTTTTTCTTCTCTTTTTGCAATCAAGATAGTTCTTGTTTACACACAGTACTGAGTCTTCCTTGATCCCTGTCACGAATTATGTCCACGACAATAACGATACTTTTAGTTTTCCTAACAAAAGATGAGAAGCTATACTGTACTCCATACTCCGCAAAGCGATCGTCTCTGCGCCAAGACTATGGACCCGCAATTCTGCCCGGCAAAACGCTACAACCTCCTCCAATCAACCTCTAGCTCTTTCCAAACTCATCGTCGACAGCACGCCTCGGTATTCTTTTGTTGAGATCCTTTATGAAAAGTCCGTTCCTTTCTTCACATCGACACTTATGACGGAACCACCCCAGCCTGAGACTCACGACAAGGCGTGGGAGAAAGCCGAGCGGCAATTCTCCAAGTAAGTTCAATTCGTGCAGCTATACTGGTGACCAAGGGAAAACAACAGACTAGTGCTGTTGCAATATTCCGCTGGCTACTGGACTTTGTTCTTGTCGACTTATTTCTTCTGGACCTCTGTCCGTTCGCTAATTCGGCGATTGCAGTAAAACTGCAAGCCAGTTTTATGACCCTTGCCAGGACTTCGCGGATCGGAGTCTCAAATGTCTGAAGCGCAATGGTTATGATAGAGAGATGTGTGGCGATTACTTCCAGTATGCTACTTCTACCTCTTGATCCTGAGGGATCATAGAACCCCATTTTGGCCAGCCTTGCATGCCATGCTCGCGATTGGTCATGATTGAGAACCATTCTTTACTGACTCGGTATTTCCCAGGGCTTATCGGGATTGCAAGAAAAATTGGGTAGGTCTAACGCATACCGTCTCTACTCGTCTGCATGGGTACATATCATATCCGCCGATCTCTTCGGATGGTTCAGGTGGATATAGGCATCAATCACAATACTAACAACGATGATAGTTGAATCAAAAAAAGGCAGCACCTGGATCCTCTGATTCCAAATGATATACCCGACTGGCTTCTCTTCCCTGCCAGCTTGGCGTTTGATATTTGTCTTGTTTGTGAAATATTATTGCATGTATGCGATTTACCAGTTGACCACTATGTTTATTTAGTCAACAATCACAGCTACAAATATTTCCATGGAAGCTGTTTGGATCTTTGTTTCTTTGATGAATCTCTTAAATAATCAATTTACGGCGGAGGCGTATGTATGAAACTCACCACTTGAAGAATCAGTACACAATTGTTTGGAATGTATATATTTGCTTCGGCCCCCTGGGAAATCGACCATGTCTTTCAGTTTGCATAGGGAGCAAAGAACTGTGTTGAACTCAAAAAGAAGACCCGAATGAGTGACCTACAGACAGAGAAAACAGATCAAATAGACAATGCACCTTCCAATGGAAGATCCCTGGGAAGATCCAATAAATCCATAATGAGGCCCACATCTATTCATCTCACACGCGGACTTTCTCCTCACCGCCTCAACTTGCTTCCCCGCCAAAAAAGCAGCACTTATCCCACGCTCGTTCTCGAATTGCTAATAAGCTGTCTCAGCACAGGATACAGACTACCCTGTTAGCTGAGTGGGTTTAATAAAGCTCAAGCAAGAGCTCATCGCAATGGCGCCCTCCAACGATGCCGTGTTCCTCCGGCGCAACAACCAGATCCAAGATGCCATTGACGGGCAGAATTTGAAACAGGCCCTGCAATTGATCGAGAAGCGCATAAAGAAAGGTGAAGACACTCGTTTTCTGAAGGTGAGTCTACCCCTCCTGCCTACTCAATTGGCATCCATATGCTGTCTCTGAGACTTTCAAATGCCCGACTTCTGAGTTTCCCCGCTAACAACACTCGTAACACAGGCATGGAAGGCACACGTCCTTTTCCGCCATGCGGACGAAGCTCACCACCAGCGCGGTATTGCGGAAACCCTTGAGATCTGCAAGGCTGAGCCACCGACTACCGATCTTGAAACCCTTGACATCTTGTTCCAGACCCTGCAGAAGATGGACGGACATGCCGACACTCGGAATATGCTGTGGGAGAAGGCTGCGAAGGCAAAGCCCAGGGACCAGGCGCTGCAGATGAAATGGTTCTTATCCGCGTTCGAAGATGATGACTGGAAATCAGCGCAGAAGGTAAACTCTTGGCGGAGTCTCTGGCTCGGCAACCGGACTGTAAATGCTAACTACGCGCTATTTCTACGGCAGGCTACTATAAGTCTTCAAAAGAACTTCCCCCGGGAACGGACATACTATTTCTGGGCCATTTTTTGCACTCATATGCTTGCAAATGATGCAAAGAGCTCAGAAATGGACCGCAAGCTGTTTGGCACACTGGCGTACCGTATGATTGCCAAAGCGGCTGCCGATGTGCCCACTGACCCGGTAGGTATATTGTTTCGATATCTATGCTTTTGTGTAATGATCGATATGATTGGCAGCTACAAGCCCAGTCGGGCTGAACAGAGGCTAATTGATATACTCACAGGACCAACTATTGAGTCAGCCTCGAGCCATTCAAAAGTCAGAGGAAGTGATGTTGCTTGTCAAGATTTTCGAGTCTCAACAGCGGTTCGACGAAGTTGTGAAGATTTTGGGAAGCGAGAATGTGGGAATCAGCTCGCGCATCTTACAGAATGATAAGACTTTCCTCGGTAGCAAAGCCAAGAACCTGGGAGCCGCGAAGCTATGGGATGATGCGATCTCCTTTGTGAAAGAGCTCTACACCATCCCCGATGACGAAGAGAAGCAGAAGACCCTACCAGAGCTTGACGATTGGACAATCTGGAGTCTATTGGTCGAGGCCGTGAAGAATACAAATACTCCTGGGTATGTTTCACAGCACCGTCGTGGTATTTGCAATGAACTAACCCTACGCATAGAGTTGCTGCTGAAACCCAGAAATTTGTTGAGAGCTTCATGGAATTCCTACCCAAGTCTCGGAATGCAGCTCTGGCCCGTCTTGATATTATCACATCTGCTATTGAGAAAGGTGAAATGACTGTGGAAGACAACTTGCTTCCCGCCTGCAAGGAGTACATTGACAAGCACAAGGGCAAGCTGTATGCATTCAGCGACCTTCGACGGATTCTGGCCGGCAACAAAGATGCCATGGCAAAGATGCTCAAATACATGTCCGAGGGCAAGCATGAGGGCAAAGACGTTAGTTCTTCAGATTACTCTACATTCCATTACAACAGGCTCTAACTTACACACAGGCTGTCAATGCTACCATCAATACGCTCAAGCTGGAATATTGTTTGAACATTTCAGGTGCTGAAGGCAAACCTTCCCAGAAACTGGTTGAAGAGTTTGTCGCCCGCTGCCTGAATGAATACAAAGCTTCTGCCAGTGGTGAGGTAGAGAAAGCCGATGCTAATGGGTCGTCTTCCACGATTGAAAGCAAATCCACCGATGACTTGTGCATTCTTGCGGCCATGGCTATCCTAAAAGAAACTAACGAGCAATCGCTTGTTTCGCATGCTTCCATTCTCCGTGCTATCGCAATCCTTGAAGGCCTTCTCCGCGACTCACCCCACACCTACCAGGCTCTCCTGCTTGTGGTGCGCCTTTACCTTCTCTTTGGAGCGGGCTCACTTGCTTTTAGCAGCTTCAACAAGTTGTCCGTGAAGCAGATGCAGTATGAAAGTGTTGCTCACAATTTCTTCACCCGGCTTTCTACTGTCCACCCCCACTCAGCACCGCCCATTGAAGGCGTCGAGCGCAAGGAATTTGACCCCCAAGCAGCATTTGTTCAGGGTCTTAACTTCTTCCGCAATGCCGACAATACTACCATGAGATTCCGAACCCGCGGTCTGGAAGAAGGAAGCTACACAAATATAGAAGAGATCGTTGAGCTCCGACAGCGGCTGTCAAACAGTATTTGTCGCCGGATGATGGCCTTGGATGTGCGGCGGGCACAGAGGCTGGTGGGCGGAGATCCGATGACTCGGTTTGAAGAGCTCGGTAAGACCATTACCAAATTTGGTCGATTGTTCCATGGCGTGAGTACTCTTACTAATTGATTACTATTTCTAGCACTCAACGACGCCCCGATTCATGATCAGCGTGAATATACGGCATTTATGGACTGCGAGTTCCCTGGCAAGTCTAGCTTCGAGGAAAACGTGCGCGCGGGACCTATTCCAAAGGTGATTTATACCCTTATTATCCGCTCTCCCATTTACCAGCTTGCTAACCGTACTTTAGGCCAACTGGCTCGCCTCAGCTAGAATTACGGATCAACTCTTCAGTGTGCTGAAGGGTATTTCCATCCAGAAGCCGTTGACCCCGGAGACCAATATTCCCGACCTCAGTGCTTTATCCATCTCGGAAGCCACGGACCAGACCGAGGCCGAGAAGGAGAACTCGAAGATTCATTCCGAGCTACTCAAGGTGGCGACTTACATGGCCGGATCCAAGCTGACCACCGCTGAGCAAGCTGATAAAGCTCTTGGAGAAGTGGAAGACTGGCTGAACTCGAAGAAGATCAATTTGACTCTGAATGAGTCCCAAGTTTCTCCCCTTATCCTTTCCACATCAGTTTATCTTCAGGCTGATAACCCAACCGCCCCGACTTGGGAATACCTTCACAACATTTTCACCCTTCTCGAGACTCTCAAGGCCCTGTCTCAACTGGTTACCCTGGCTTCTCGCAAGGCCTCCAAGTCTGCCAAGCTGCCAAAGGAACGTGTTGAGAGGCTGTCTGACTTGGTGCCGCAAGTTTTTGAGCTTGTTCGATCTAATACTCGGGGCCTGAAGCAGCGCATCTCTCAATCTGGTGCCTTGAGTACAATGGTTGACGTTGTAGTTCAGGGACCTTCGTTCGCACCGCACAGCAAGGATCTTCAGGTGGCACTAGAGGCCACCTTAGACATGTCTGATCTTGAACTTTTCTGTGGTTCTTTGATGGAGAGTTGGGAGGAGGCCCTGGACGGTGTGATGAGTGTGAGACTCTGATGGTGATTCCCATTTAGGGGTACCATGAGATGTGATACGCGAAAAGGAAAAAGCGGGAAATATATATTGAAATAGAATTTAGCGACTGCATAGTTGATTATGGATTTCTAAAGGCTTCAAGGTTGGTATCCAGCTCTGATGTACTGTAGTAGAACGGCGACCAATGACAATTTGCGTTTATTTCATGGCGGCTCGTCTGAAGGCACCAAGGCATCAATAGCCAGGCACCCGGGAGCTAATCCAAATCAGGATTAGAGTCACAAGAGTGTCTTACATAATAGCCCTAGCCCTAGCCCTTCGCCTACACACATTCCCGTGCCAAGACCCGCAATTGTGCGGTTCCAAGGACACTAGGGGATTTCCACACGACTTTCTTCATTCCCTTCTTCGACAACCGCCGCCAACCCCTTCAGTCACCAACCGTCGAGATGGCTCAGGAACGTACCGGTATCATCGTCGGCGTTAACAGCGGCCGCGTACGTGTGCTCTGAATCCCCTACACGCAAATCCCCGAAGCTCGGATCTCTGTTTCTCTTATCGGTTTCTTCGAGTCGGTCGTGGTTCTCGAATAGTCATTGGGAAAAGGCCTGTGAACACCAGAATGGCAAACGTCAGCAAAAACACATTGGTAGAATCAAGAGAAGGAAAAGAGGACCCACCGCGATATGAGGGAAAGGACGTGTGGTGGAAATTTTCTGGCTTTTGAAGATCGACATGGACACAGGCCTTGACCCCGATGTGAACCCCGACTCGACCTACGACCGACTTGAAGAAAACGATATATCAGATGACAACGGAGGAAGAGCTTGCACGTCAATTATATTATCATGGACCAGACCAGCTGACTTGGTTATACAGAAAACCACCCCGCTGAACACCCCCAAGACCAAGATCAGCCGTTCCAAGGGCCAGTCTTCCCGCCGCACCCAGTTCGTCCGCGAGATCGCTCGTGAGGTCGTCGGTCTTGCCCCCTATGAGCGCCGTGTCATTGAGTTGTTGAGAAACGCTCAGGACAAGCGTGCCCGTAAGCTCGCTAAGAAGCGCGTACGTCTACCTGCCAAACCTTGTCTGGATCCTTGAACATCCGTTGCTTGTATTGGTATGATCTGGAGGTGGTACATGGAAATGGATCCGGGGAGACGTTATGAGTATTTCGCAAATTTGCCACCCGAGGAAGATTTCACATCAACCTTGCAACCGCATTTGCGCACTCATTCGCAATTCCCGAATTCAACCTGCACCCCCCACGATCTGCACTAGCAATCGGTGTCACCAGTTCCACAGAATCAAAGCTAACATCTTTTTCAGCTCGGCACATTCACCCGCGGTAAGCGGAAGGTCGAGGACATGCAGAAGGTCATTGCCGAGTCCCGCCGTACCCAGGGTCACTAAATGTCTCAATACCGTGAACCCTTTTTCTCTTTCGTTTAACGACTTGAATACCTGGCGCGCGCAACGAACGAAAAAAAAATTGAAACTACCCGAGTCTTGTTTCATCCTCACGCTGGCTGCTTTATCATTAAGGACTGCCGAATGGCGTATGGCTTCAGACCACGGGGGTTTTGTTTGTGACTACCGGTGAATGATGGGGATGGCAAAAGTGGGATCCCTTCCCCTCTAGGAAGAGAAACCATAATGAAAATATTGTTCCAATTCATGATTGTGCTAGTCTTTACGTATTTTGTAGGCCTTTCTAGATCTGCGTAGGTCGTGCTTGTCGATGTCCATCTTTTTACGGTGTACGCTGTATAACGAGGACTCAATACGGAGTCTTTGGTGTGCACCCCACAAGCTACATCTCCATAATTCCCAGGGTATTAAGGCAGATAAATTGTCGATCTGCCGACTTTATCTACTACATACATGCTCTAGACTTGAGGGTTGCTCTTGATGGCTTTCGTTAAATTCCATACGACGGATTGATTCTATCTTATGATGAGCTCTAACGGTACGCCAAAGCAATAGTAACAAGCCAATCGACTCTTTAATTCTGATCAAGCCATGGTATACTCATCCACGTCATATCGCTCATAGTCCATTCGTTCTATTCATTTCTTCCCCGGCATTTTAAACCACTTAGGCACACCGCCCTTTCGTGCTCCTCCAGCTTTACTTGCGTCCGCACTACCACTAGGCCCCGCCTGCACCGTCGTCTTAGAAGGCTCTTGTACGGGCTCTGGCACCTGCTCAACCTTGAGTTCCTGAGCCTGACTGCGGAGTTCCGGACGCAAAATATCCTTTCGTTGCAAATGCGTGGCCGAGCTTGCATTATCAGCCCAGGTAAAGTTAACTAAGACCCGTCCTTCCAGCTTGAGATCCTTGATCAGAAGTGTTTGGTCTTCCGGGATGACATTTGCATGTCCGGCACGTGCTGGTGTTGCACTGGCGAAAGCATTCAAGGCGAACTGTATGTCTGCGTATGTTGGCACCAGGCAGCTGCGCACGAAGTCATAGAGGGACTGGCCGGTATCTGACGGACCGAATTTGGCGACCACTTGACTCTGATCTGGGAACCGGATTTTCACGTCTACTTCGCGAATATCTGCACGTCGCTGTTCTTCTGCGGCGGCTTTGGCGGCAATCTCGGCGTCTGTTGGTAGACGCTTTGGGCGGGAGGATTGGTTAAGTTGCCGTTGATGGGCTGTGGCGTGTTCAATAGAGGGGATGTAGTCTTCTTCATTGTATGGTGTTTGTGCTGAAATTGGTGTGTCGGCGGATGGAGGAGAGAAGACAGTAATCGATCGAGTAGATGTGGGCACTGCTTGCTCAGGGGATGCCGCGGGTACAGGGTTCGAAGCAGTCGGTTCGCTAGTAGTTTCTTGTTCGGTTTGCGCGGTGTTGCTCTCAATAGCAGGGACTGGAGGAGATTGGTTTTGGGCTGGCACTGGTGCATCATCTCCAGTCGACTTGAAGTACTCGGCAATCTTCACCATTGCTTCCTCAAGCGGCTCCTCTGTTCGTCGGAAGCCGAGCCGAATCAACACGTTACCGTTGTTGAAGCCTAACTGGGCAAGGGACTTTTGGAGATCCGTAAAGCTTGACAGTTCGCGCTCCAAAATCCGGAGAACAGGGATCTCGTAATATAATCGCCCAGAGCCAGAGTTGCCGTCTGTCGTAGAAGGTACCCCGCGTGCTGTGAGGTTCCGCACTTGTCCGCTTCCTGCCACTCCAGCCTCAAACTTGCGCAAGACTAGCCAGAGTGTGGTTGTACTTGGGAACTTGTCTAGTATGCGTCCATTCGGTGCACCTTGAGCTTCGGATTCTGGCAGTTGGAGGCCAACAGTAACGACGGAGGGGGAGCGAGATGCTTGGACAAGCTCCAGTTTTGCACCAGAGCTGAGGCCAGAGAGGCGGAAAGAGAGGGACAAGTCCAGTTGTTTGCGATTGTGCCTAGCAATAGGTTAGCATCATTGCATCTCGGCGGGGTCAATGAAAACATACTTCAGACCATATTGGCTTGAGTTGTATCCAAGTTTTGAACACGCTTCTTGTAAAATATCTGTTAAATGTTTGCCTGGGGTTGTCTTGATTGTTGCCCGCTTGGCCGTAGCATCGATTACCACGACGTGAGCGCTCATGGTTGCGCGGGCGGGGAGACTAGTAGCGCGAGAGCTCGTGAAGATTTGGTCAGGAATATGAGAAAGATAAAAAATCTATGAAAATGAGAGAGCGACAATTTCAAGCACAAAGCGGAGCGAGAGGGCAAATATGTGTAGGTGGAGGAATGGGAAGAAAGTAGTCGAAGGTGAAGGGCACAGACGAAACAGGCAGCGGTGCGGCGGCGTCATCCGAGCTCGCGCACCTCACAGCTCCCCGTCATCAACACCTCTCCCCCATCACTCACCCTCTACACCCCTCCTCAGCCGTCTTCTTCCCTCACATTCTTTACTTGAGAGCTCCAGAAAACCTGTCTTGATCTACATTGAATAAAAGAAATCCGCAATAATGGTATGGAGATGGTCCCCTTGTCCCATCTGCTAGCCGCTGGACGTTGAAGCTAACCTCCTTCCCATCATCAGAGCTCTCCCTTCGACATCAGTACGATCAAACCTTTCCCGATGCCAGCCAATCCATCGATAAGCTAACACCCTTTTTAGATGGTGGTGCCTGTGTCGCCATGGTGGGCAAGGACTGCGTCGCCATCGCCTGCGACCTCCGCTTGGGCATGCAAGCCCTGACCATCTCCAACAACTTCCCCAAGGTCTTCAACTACGCCCCATCTATCTACCTCGGCCTAACTGGTCTCGCTACCGACGTCAACACTGTATCCGATCTTCTCCGTTACAAGGTCAACATGTACCGCCTGCGCGAGGAACGCAATATCGCACCCCAGACTCTGGCCAACCTGGTCAGCTCATCGTTGTATGAGAAGCGTTTCGGTCCTTTCTTCGTCAGCCCTGTGCTGGCTGGTATCAACGAGACAACTGGAAAGCCGTTCATCTGTGGATTTGACAGCATTGGATGTATCGATTTTGCCAAGGACTTCATTGTGAGCGGAACCGCTAGTGAACAGCTGTTTGGTACCTGTGAGGGTCTGTGGGAGCCGGATATGGTAGGTTGATTAAATTTGTCTGCCGCTCTTTTGAAATTGAGCTAATATTGTGACTAAAGGAGCCCGAGGATCTCTTTGAGACCATCTCGCAAGCCCTCTTGGCCGCCGTCGACCGAGATGCTTTATCAGGCTGGGGTGCGCAGGTCTGGATTATTGAGAAAGGAAAGGTCACCCAGAGGCTACTCAAGGGACGACAGGATTAAACGGGATCACGTATTTTCGAGCTGATTATTTTGGGCTTTCTGTCGGATTCAAGACAGGGTATGGCGTCTGCGGTTTTCTCTGGGTGACGGGGTGCCATGGACAGCCTGGATGGAATGCCACCCCAGTGACGTGAGACCAGTTGACATTCGAGTTGAAAGATAGCGTTTGTCGCGACTCTATACTTCTCTCCACGATAATACAAGCCCCGTCATCAATGTCAATGTCACAGCAGTATATCACGATAAATTCTTGAAATCTAAACCACGTTATATACCCGAAACCCAGAGAATCAATATCCATCTTTACCTTCTATAACAGCATAGGCCGGTCCATCCTTACCCAAAAACTCCTTCAAATCACCCGCAACCAACTCAGGCACTTCCCAAGCCGCAAAATGCCCTCCACGCTCAAACTCCGTCTCCTTAACCACATTCCCAATAGCCCGATACCAGGCCATAGGCCACTGGACAATCTCCCTCTTAAACTGTGCGACGGCAAACCGCACATTCTCCGGCGCCCGAGCATCAAACATTTGAGTCATACTCATCCACTTCGTCACCGTTTCCGGCTTCTGCGCGAGACTTTCATAATAGAGCCTAATTGAAGCCGTCGGCCCCGCCCGCGAAAAGTAATACACACTCACCCAGGTCAGAATCTCCTCGTCTGTCCACGGGTAGGCATCTGACCATGAATGCAACTTATCGTATATCCATGCCAGCAACGCAACAGGACTATCTTGAAGTCCGTAGCCTAGTGTCTGGGGCCTAGTTCCCTGTTGTAGCAGGTAGGCGCTACCTTTGGTCACGTACTCGATTGTGTTTTTAATGTTTCCCCGGTCTTTGGCTGAGAATGGGACGCTAATAAGGGATTTGAGGAAGTTGAGTGGGCTGCGCCAGGGATAAGGTGGCGATACGGGGATGGTGTTTAGGTGGATGGCTTGGATGTGCTCGGGATAGTAGACTGCCATTGTACGGGCGATAGCACTACCCCAATCTCCTCCTTGAATCACTGGTGCAGTTAGCGTGATAGTTCAAGGTGCTAAGGTCCATCAGGAAACTTCTGGGTAAAGAGAGCGTCGCATACCATATTGGTCATAGCCTAGGGCTATCATCAACTTGTGGGCGGTTTCAGCGAACTGGGCTAGACCAAATCCTTTCTAATATGGTTCAGCTACAACTCAACTCGGAATACTGTTCAATAAATACCTTCTGCACTCCCTGTGAGAACCCATAGTTAGGAAGTGAAGGCGCCACAACATCAAACGCGGGGCCGCCATCATCCTTCATGAGCAATGGAATCAATTTGGTGGCTTCGAGGAAGTTTCCAGGCCCTGTCGATATTCTTGGTTAGTTGATTTGGTCTTCGATCGCGAATAAAGACATACACCCATGCATAAACAATAACGGAATAGCACGCGGGTTCCCAGAACAATGATGCAAAACATGGATTTCCAAGTCCCCAAAATCATCCACGGAGACAGGAACGGTAAATTGTTTGAATTGCTCGTTGAGTTTCTTTTCCTGGGTGCGCCAGTCAAACTTCTCACGCCAGGTGGTGACCAGTCGCTTCATATCAGCGAGTGGAACACCCATGTCCCAGCCTGCGGCATCGAGTTCATCGGGGAATGTTGCTTGTTGGAGCTTTTGGTTCAGCTGGGTAATTTGCTCGTCTGGAACGGCTATCGTGAATGGAGTTATGGACATCTTTAGGCACTTTTTATCTTCCAAGTTGTCTTCAAGTTAAAAGAAAATGAAGTTATATTTGCATCGAAGTATAGGCACAGCTAAGGTTTCGGCTTGGATTGAGTTCCATGGTCCCCGCCCTGATCACCAGAACTGTGATTGGCGGGGTGACCTCGGTATCACGCATAGTTGTGTGCGGGGGTGAACAATAGGCGGGCCAAATTGATGCTCGAACTCTGGACAAAGTAGAATCTTGGAATACAGAGCTATCTGTATATTAAGCAAAGATGATGGCCCCGGGTTAGCTCGAATTGTCACAGGGGGTTGTCCTCGGTACAGTTAGACCTCGGGAACCTTCAAATGTTGGAGTAAGGTAGATATAGATCTCGGGTACTCCATACTGTAGTCACCTTGGAACTCCACAGGGAGCATGATTGATCAACAGCTTGTCGGGTAAATCATAAGTGGGCATCTTTCAACCCGTCTTGGTTCTAGACCGTCTGCCCCTTCGAATCTTCCAACGGGGCTTGACATCCATGGATATCTTCAGAATTAGTAAGAGAGAAGGAGAAAGATCTAAACAACCAGAATTCCACGCACTAATATATCAGATATTTTTCGGCAACTCTAATATATTTTAATCATCTCAAAAGTGGTATTTGAATATGTTGAGATGTAGATTGTTGATGAAAAGGGTGCTACTTCCCTTTAGTTTCGTGCTAAAGCTGACTTGATAGGATATGGTACCTGGCTCATCGTACCCTTTATCCTATTTCACGGTTCTTCCCTCTGTCAGCGGTTGCGGGGTTATGTCGCGTGCCCGCTGAGAACAAGCTTCGTCATTATTAACTACGATCCTTCAACCTCTGGGGCTCGGCTACCGTGGCTGAAGCCTTCGCTTGGGGACTCCAGAACTGCAATGGTAAAATCGGTGGCGTTATCGGCCCGCAGTTGTTCCAATCTGAGTGGCTGTACACCTAACACAAGATTAACTTTGACATTGCACAGGGGTCATCGCCGCCATCGCCAATATTTCCTATTCGGGGTCAAGCAAGGACTAGGAGGAAGAAACGCTGTGGTGCCAAGAGCAAAGAGCGTAAGATGACGACAGCTTAATGGCTTCGGAAACGTGCAGTAAGAACTTTGACTGTATTTTGCGTCGGTACATCGAGAGTCCACACGGTGGAGCACCTACATACGTCGTAGTGGGCCCTAAATGAATTGGCCAAACGCTGTTCAAGACGCTATACGGGTTGGATTTCCAGCCAATAGTCAACTTATCACCTGCCGCTTTCGCGGACTTGGCTTCGCTGGGGATCGATAATTGGACACCTCAATAACCACGTCTGGTGTCATGCAGGGATTGTAATTCAGGCAGTCTACAGTATTTGACTTCTCAGATGTTAAAGAACATGGAACGTTGATTCGAGTCAGCAGGGTAACGCTTCAGCTCGGGATGTACAAAGTACAGCATTTCAAGGAGGAAAAGGCGACTCTGTGTCACTCCCGAATGACCTGCACATTTCAGGGTAGCCTAGCGTGAATCACCTTGTAGGTAGTCACCTCTGCACTCGATAATGTTACGTACTCCGCATCTTGAATACTGAGCCTTACCCATTACCATTAGTGTGGTGTTCACCTAACCCCGTTCAATTACGATCCTCTAGCGTTGAGATATTGACTGGACCAGATCAGAAGCCCCGCAAGGTGATCGAAACAGGTGAGACAAAGTCATGTATGTACACACGGGAGGCCACGAGTCCACGCGCCCATGAGCCCCGGATATTAATTTAATTTCAGAGCCTTGCTCCATTACATCGATCAAGCAAGGGCTGGGGCGGCCCCTAGCGGAGTTTCTACGTCAAGAAAAAAAAAGTTGATCGATCCCCACCAATCTCGGGGAATTCAAGCCACCGAGTCCTGAGATTGGGTGAGATTGTTCTTTGGCGAGGGTGTTCATGCATCATTCGTACCCAGTACGAGCCCTTGGGCGCCCCATGCTTCGGTCGCACAGGTACCCGGTACCGGTGCACGGCGCTCGGTCTAGATCCGCCGATCGTGCAGGGCGGTTCTCCGTGCGTCTCCGCTGAGCGAAACAGAAGAGAGAAGGTCGTAGAGGGAAAAATATGATAGGACTCGTATGCCTTTGATATGTGCAACTTGGAACTAGGAGGACCAAGTACTGCAGTGGAATTGGGGGACTGTTTATAGTTTTCCCTTTGTCCCTGACCCACGAAAACCTCCTGTTTCAGCCCAAGCAACTACTGTTGTCTAGACCGCCCGGTGGCCCCAGTGCGAGTCGGAAAATCCCCTCCTGATCCCCCTCCCCTACACCAATTCTTGCTATTCGCTCTCACGACACCTGGAATTACATCGTGTCCTTGAGGGCCATGGTGTGTGTCCTACGTTAGAATTCGACCTTTCCCTCCCAAGAAAAAAAAAAAAAAAAAAAACAGAGACACACACCGAGAGCTTTGCAACCTTCTTCTCCAAAATCCCACATGGATCATGACCGACTCGCCCGAGCCAGATGCCCCTAACACCCTTCACTCTCGTCCCGCCATGCCATTTCCTTCCTGCAAGTCTGAATGCCTCAACGATGGACTCGCTATAGTACCGGAAGATGCGGACATACAATTTGACGCGTCTGGCCGAAACTGGCATGACGCCGACCAGTCCGCTGCCATAGAACACCTGGTCACGCTCAAGCAGGGTCTGAGGACATCCGACACCGAGCTGTTCTGGAAACGGCTGATGGAGGATCTCACATCGATTAGCAAAGCACAATATGGCTTCGTGGCTCGCCGGGTACATGGCGAGGAGCCCATGGCTGAATTGGGCGGGCGCCGGCCGTCGCTCTTCGGTGCGGTTTTCTACTACAACGACGGCTACCAGAACATCGGACTGCAGCGAAACCGGTATTTCGCAGGCGGAAACCCTCTGTTGCATATGGACCATGAACGGCCGTGCTTGATCCCCGAAAACCTGAAATCATTGATGTCCTTCGGTGACGATCAACTACCGTTCGCTGCTGAGGCGTATCTCGCTATTCCACTTTTCTCCGCTGGTAAATGCCTGGCGCATCTCGGCTTGATGTGGTCGACAGATGGTATCCGGAATCGAAATCTGTCATGGTCGTTTCTGGAGGTGGTTTTGCATTCGTTGGAGGATATGATCGTTCGGCAGCTGCTACAGGAGGACTTCTTCCCAGGGCAGGAGACCTCGGCGTTCCCGCCGATCCCTCTTGCTGTCCAAAATACAGCAACTGTCGCTCTTCCTGGGACCCCTGATTTCAACTCCCAGCCCCTCAAACCCTACGCTCGGAGCCTTTCCCACGAATTACGGACCCCGATGCAAGGTGTGGTAGGTATGCTTGATGTGATGCATGCTACAGTGCGCGAGGCCATGGAAAGCAAGACACCCGTCAAGTCTGGTGGAATTTTCCAGGCTCTCAAAGAAGGCATTGAGATGGTCCAGGATAGCGCACGGCGTGCGGTTGAAGCCGCTGATAATGTCGTTCACGCCTACGACCTCAACATGCAGGTGCCTAAAACCCCCACACCACAACGAGAGGAAGAGAATACTTTTTTTCCGAATGCACCGTCAGACCAGACCACTGAAAGCCGCCCAAGTATTTTCATCGAAGGAAACAACATCGCTGTGAATCCGTACAAAAGACGACGGAGTCTTCCTTTGGATATGGCTTCCTGCTCAACACGTCCGACCCGAAGGCAGAGAGTTCGTGCAGCGTCTTCACGGCAGGAACTGTCTCCCCGCAGCGAAGAAGTCAAGAACGCCGTTCACGAGAGTGACCAAATCGTCCACGCCACCCCAGCACGCCAAATTGAGGAAGTCATGGCCAGCATGGTAGATCCACAACCATCAATTGCGGTTCGACGATCTGCCCCGCATCTGCTCCTAGAAGGTATCAACATGAACCTCCGGGGCCCGGCCCTGCGCTTCACCAAATTGCGGGACCTTCTTCGTTTAGTCATCAACGAGTCTCTTCATGTTGGCGGTCGTCCTGATTCTGCCGAGAGCAAGACGACCGACTTCGGTGAGAAGATTGAAATCCGATCCCGATCCTCGAATGGTGAATTGCGTACCAAGACTGTGGACTGGTCTGTTGACCCGGCGCTGCCCGATACTCTACTAGCTGATGACCGAGACCTGGCTAAGCTGATTTCCTGCGTCTTTCTGAACGCTATCAAATTCACGAATAATGGCACGATCACTGTCTGTGCGACCATTGACTCCAAGAACAATGACGCCTTAATTCGTGTGCGTGACACTGGCCCAGGTATTCCGGAGGCATTCCTACCGAATCTTTTCAAGCCATTTGCACGTGAAGATGCCTCGACAACCCGGAGTAAAGATGGATTGGGGCTTGGTCTTCTTGTAGCCAAGGGCCTTGCTCGAAAGATGGGAGGTGACCTGATTTGTGTTCGTTCATCAACCACCGGTCCCGACCATGGCTCTGAATTCCAGATTCGGGTGCCTGTAAATCAACGCGAGGCGTTGTGTGGCCCCGGGACCCCTAACGATCGAATTATGACCCCACCATTCTTCACGGAACATACGCGGACCGGTAGTGGGAGCAGTTTCATCTGGGAACCTACGTTATCAAGCTCGCCCTCTCTATTGCAAAACCAGACGCTTCAGCAGCCAACTCCCAGTACCTCAGATGAAAAGTCACAGAGTCCAACTCCACCTCGCACTCTGACAAGACCTCAGCTTAACCCAAGCGCTATTTGTCGCGATTCATATGACAAGAAGCTCGGGGAGAAATACCCGTTACGCTTCCTTGTTGCAGAAGACAATCGGATCAACCGGCGTGTGTTGGTTAACATGCTGCGAAAGCTGGGCTATCGTGACGTTCTTGAAGCAGCTGATGGCCGAGAAGCTGTGCAAATCGTAAAGGAGATTCTCTCTGCATCCTCCCTGGCCAACAGCTCAAACCACGTGGACGTGGATGCACCCATCAAGCCTACAAAGCCAGATTCGCCAGAGATGAAACCCATTGACATCGTGCTCATGGATCTTTGGATGCCAGAAATGGACGGCTACGAGGCAACTTCCCGGATTCTTCAGATGGTTGATGATCACCAGAGCCAGTCCTCCGGTTCTAGCAACGCATCTCCAGAAACACCCAATAACTCTGACTCTATGGACGTGGATACGAACATGACCACATTGCGTATGCCACAGCCTCCTACTGTTCTTGCTGTGAGCGCGGATGTCACCGACGAGGCCTTGAACCGTGCCTCTCGGGTAGGCATCAAGGGCTACATGACAAAACCATACAAACTCTCCGACCTTGAACGACTGATCCTCGGATTCTGCGGTAGTCCTGGCGACCCAGTCCCGATGGTGACTACCTAAAAGCCGATTTTGACTAATTGGCACACGTCTTTTTACCTATCTTATGGCCCGCGCTCAGGGCTGTTATATACCCAGAGAACCTTTGTGTTCTTATTTCTTTTTGTGTGCGTGGCCCAAGTCGCCTCGCTTGCAGCTTTAGATGGTGCTTGACGCCATCTGGCGAGGGCAACGCTCCTCGCGTGTGTTTATCTGGCGTTTTCTGTTTCGGGCCAACCTTCATTTCTCTTCCCTGCCATATACCAGCATATTGGGCATTTGCATTATACTCCTTTTATTATCTTTTGCCCCTGGACATAATGAATGATGAACCCCACGTTTCTCAGGGGATGGGCCTTTCTGCATTGTCGTCATTTTTCCGAAAGCTTTCGTTTTCCTCGGACTTTAGCGTCCATGACATTTCATCAGGTTACCAAGTACATTAAAGAACAACATGAGAGAAATAAAGCTGTCATTACATCCATTATCAAAATCGACATCGCGCTGACCAGGCGGCCCCAGACACTCCCCGCTCCTTTTCATATGGAGGTGTAAACCAAATGTTGCCTCCGTAGAGATAGATGTATGACAAGCCATACTATCTCTGTGAACATCACTGGTACATATTGTCCGAAGGAAAACCAAATACCCAGATAAGAACAAGTAATCAACAATCCATGCAATTGAAATCGAGGGCGTATGTGGAAACCAAAATGCAAGGTTCAAGTTAGGAAAGGGCTGTAAAATTCAAATGGTAAATTTTCTTTTTCATCAGTCCAACCTAAGTCAACTTCTGCTTAATGAAGAACGACCGCAGGTGTGAGAGTTGCCAAGCGCACGCAACGGACAGAACACCCAACTGGATCAGAGTCCAGCGGACAACACGAGAGTTGGTAGTCTCGGACTGGTCACGGAACTCGGCCTCACGTTCCTAGAGATAATCATATTAGCGACTGTCTTGAATCGTCACTGCAAACAGCTGTGATGTAGATGCTTTTTGTTTCTTTTGCTGCCATTTGCATTCAAAGCAGTAGGGGATGGAGTATACTAACCCGCTGGTACACCTGCTCCCTCCGAATGTCATGCAAACGGGAGTTCAGGTCCTTCACGCGCTGCACAATATCCTTCATCTTGTCCTTGTCCTCGGTCTCGATCTTGCTGGTCTCGCCAATGGCCATGTCAAGGGACACCTTGACTGCGCCCTGAGCACTGGACAGCCAGCCGCTAGTCTGGGCATCGGTGTCAGCAGTGAAGCAGATCTTGTGCTGGCCAGCGTCGGCGGCGGTGAAAGTGAAGCGGCCAGAGTGGTGCTCGCGCTTGGAGACGACACGGTGGTCGTTGTCAAAGGTCTCGTCGACAGTAATCATGACGCGGAGGTTGTGGTCGATGGCGTACACGCCGGTTTGCGGGTTGACGACATAGGTAGCGAAGTTGCCTATAGAATAAGTGATGTTAGATGAGATATAATTGGTGATTGTGCAATTGCTTATTGCGACGTTGATGTCATAGGAAAGGAGGGGAATTCATACCTGCTACCAGGGTGTCCTTGGGCAGGTCCTCGTAGAAGCACTTTGTTTGGCGGCCATCAACGTAGAAGTACAAGGCATTCGCGGGGAGGAGAAGGGAGAGGAAAGAGAAGAGCGCCAGAGTGGCGGCAAACCATGACGAAGGAGTTGTGAAAGCCATGGCTGGAGAAGTGAGAGGATCTTAGACCTTATCCTTGGGGAACTCGCAACTCCCTAATTGTCTAGAATCAACAACCTGGCATCCACGCGGGCCCCACACCGCCTGCTGGTTTCGTCCGTCTCCCTTGTCCGTCGCGATGCGATTTTCATCTCGTCAACTTGTTCATCATCATCGTTTAATGCTGGTTCAGATTGTGATTACTTGATTTTGTTCCAATCTTACTCTTCGTTGCACCGGCTCTCTGCTTGATCTGAAATCATACGCGTCAATTAAACATGGCTGCCGCCGATGTGCGCGACATGCTGGACTTGCCCGCTGAGGTGGGCCAGCCTAGACCTCATAAGAAGCAGAAGGTGGTCGAAAAGCGACCAGGTTAGTTGAGTGATACGTTAATTTTTGGGTAAATTATTGACGATCCAATTTCCAGAGGGTATTACCCGTGAACTATACGCGCTACTAGGTGAACGAGCGCCGCCTATCGCGATCAACGAGAACAAGTACAAGGGGCGTCCAAAGTGGATGAACAAGTTGCGTGTGCGACCATGGTATGTATCTAGCGGTTTCCAATATGAAAAGAACTCAGCTTATACGTGATTCTATGCAGGCGCATGACACCCTTCACCAACAGTGCCCGCTCCGATGGCTTGGTTTTGAATCACTGGCAGCGGAAACACGAGTCGACTCGCCCACCTGTCCCCGAGGGAACCCAGATGGACTTGGACGAGAAAAAGGAGAATGAAGAGACTAAGGAAGAGGACAAGGACGAAGCTCCGAAACCACTGGACCAAGAATACACATTCGCCAAATACAACATCAAGGCACGAGTACCAAAGAAATACTCCGAAGAAGAATACAACCGGTCCCTGCAAAGCAACGACTGGGACCGAGAGGAAACAGACTATCTGATGGATTTGGCACACGAATACGATCTGCGCTGGGTGATTATTGCAGATCGCTATGACTATCAACCCAGGGTGAACTCTGAAGCCGACGGTAACGCACTCGTACCGGCTAAACACTACCGAACAATGGAGCAGATGAAAGCCCGCTACTACTTCGTCGCAGCTACAATCCTTGCAATCGAACACCCACCATCCGAGATGTCCGAAGCCGAATTCGAGCTGCACGAGCGGATGCTCAAGTTCGACCCAGACCGTGAACGGGACCGCAAGGAACTCGCCGCCCTACAAATAAACCGCACAGCCGACGAAGTTCGGGAAGAAGCCATGCTCCTCGAAGAGCTCAAGCGCATCACAAGCAACGAGCAGAACTTCATCACCGAACGCCGCGAGCTCTACTCCCGCCTGGAAGTACCCATCAGCGTCGGCAACACAGCAGCCTACCAATCAAGCTCAGGTCTCTCCCAGCTCCTGCAAACCCTCCTCCAAGCAGACAAGAGCAAGAAACGTCGCTCAATCCTCGGACCAGAGGGAGGCGCCATCGCCAGTCCAGCAGGCCAAACACCAACGCAAGCCAACAACGGCATCAGCCGTGGTGAAACACCAACCACAGCCTCGGCAGCAAACAAAAAGGGTGCCGTTCCAGCCCGCGAAACACAACCCATCCGCACACTTACACCAGCCGAAGAAGCTCGCTACGGCGTTCACCACCACGAACGCGTCACAGCAGGCGTGCAATTCCGCAGCGACCGCGCCCAGAAACTCACACAAGCCAAGTCCAACGTGCAGACCCTCAAACTGGCCGGTGCGCTCGCCGAACTCGAGATTCCCGTCCGCTTGTTCATGCCTACAGAGCGTGTCTGCAAGGAATTCGAACGTCTCATCCAAGCCGTCAATTTACTCCTGGACGCGCGTAAAGTGGCCGAGAAGGTCGACAGCGAAATCCGTGTTCTTGAAGCTGCGAAGGCGGAGCGGGAGAAAAAGTCTGCGCCTGAGAATGGTCATCCGGAGGTGAAGACTGAGGCTGAAGATGGGAATGGGATGCTTGATTCGACTGCTGATGCAGGGAATGATGAGAAGCAGAATGGTGATGCTGAGACTTCAAAGCGTGATGGGAATCATAAGCGGTCTGCTAGCGTTCTTAGTGCTGTCAGTGATAAGAGCTCGAAGCGGCAGCGACGGTAGATGTCATGCTACGATGATCGTCTTTTGATTTTCTGGGTATGGGAATCTACTTGCTACTATTACTGCTGTATAATAAACCTGGCGCTGGTCTGATACCTCTTGTACGATTAATGACATTCTCTGCTGGAGAACTAATACATCCATATCCGTAATCGAATTAACTCGTTGCTATGGGTTAACAATATTTGTGCTGCTCAATATAATCCGGCAGAACCCTGATATATAAGCTCGGTCTGGATTCCATGTTCCTGTTTCATAGCAGTCGACTGATTCGACTAGCCCAACGGCTCCCTTCAAAGGAACCAGGCATTTCAAAATGATCTGGGTCATCTGCCGTGTTACTTCTCGTAGAGGTAGCTCGTTTAAGGCTGATACTGGCCGAATCACAATCCTGATAAGCACCGGAAGAAGATTGTGAACGCTCTTGCTGGCGCACAGTTGGGGGCCGTCTGCTTTCTCTATATCTGGAGAATCTGTTTGCCCATCGTACCACTCGCGAGGTGTTAGTTTGAAGCTCGTGAGCTTGATCTACGCTCTCGTCATGATGTTCTGTGTCATGAAATTCCGGCTCAGTCTCATCTGAATGATCATAGAAAACAATCTCTTGTAGTCTTTCGGAATTGGTCACACCACCAAGCTCTGTCTTTTGGTCCTGAGATTGAGATTTCTTGTTTTTGGATCGGCTCAGTCGAGCCCATTGATTAATAAATGAGTCTCTGCCTTGTCTAAGGCTGGTATTATGGGCGCTCTGGGGGAGTTGACATAGCTCTGGCTGTACTATAGGGGTCAATTCTGGTGCACAAAGCACATTGGAGCTGCCTTCGTTCGAACCGGCAATCGTATTTTGCTCTTGACTCGAACGGCCCAGGATTGCCCAAAGGTTAGGCGGAGCGGCATATTCAGTGTTTGATTTTGACTTGACAGACCTGGGACCAGTGAGAGCCTCATACAAAGGGAGACGTGGATGGCTGGGGGATGGATTACCATATTGTCGAGGTAACAACTGTGCCATCTTTTCAAGTTGATGATGGTTTGGAGGTGAGCCATGTACCACATTTGTCGTAAATTCCGCCTTTGACCCGGGGATTTGACTCATCTGCGGAGGACTTTGATTGTCCTTTTTCGGGGAACCTCCCTCTTTACCTGGGACTGGATTATAGCCATAGCCAACGCGGCGGCCCCCAGACATCCAGCCGACACTGACTTTGCGTGGTGAAACTATGCCAGCAGGGTGATTCTGGAACTGAGGCGAGTCAGAGTTTCCAGAGTCACAATGCTCCTGAAATCGGCTCAGAATAGTGTTCCGGGGCGCTGGAACATTAACAGCTTCGTTGTCAGAGGTGAGTATGTCTTGCAAGGCTGGTTTTGGTTTTGGTTTTGGGTCAATGATTTTGCTAGTGAGCTTTTTGAACGATAGTCCGCCAATAGATAGACTCCCCGACGATGGACTGGCTTGCGAGTAACATGAAGATGCATCTCGCCGGTCGTTTGGATTTTTTGGTGTCTCGTTTCCAGAGATCACCGAGGCACCTGATTGGGAAAATTGGACATTCTCCTGCGAAAAATTCCCCATGGCCCCTCTTTTCTTGTAGAACAGCTCAGTACTTGATGGACTGCATGATCCTACTCGGGATGATTGGGAGAAGGACACAAGTCGATTCGATATACCCAACTCACTAAGATGTATCGCGCGGGGGTCACGAGGATCAGTGAAGGACCTAGCTGAATTGGAAGGCTGTCTTGTTTTGGACACCAAAAGATCTGCCGATGAAGTGGGAAGTGATCCAAATGATCCCGCTCCGTGTTGGTCCCGGCTCGTCTTCATGAACTGTTTCCAGTCGGACATGAGATCCCGGCCACTGGAGGTTTCCGGGACAATGAGAACGGGCGAGTGCTCGGAATGGGAAGCCCCAGGATCGTTGGTTGAAGACAAGGATGGAAGAGATCCCCCAAAGATCTTAGTCAAGACGGGACTTTTGTGAGTTCGCTCAGCCCTCAGAGGCGAAGGAGTCGTTGGCTGGTATTTGAATTCATCGGTATCACGGGCTGTGTGGAAAGTAGTCGGAGGACCCCTGAGAGTCCCTGGTGGTGTTGGGATAAAATGCATACCAAAGACAGATTCTTGAGAGTCAGTGGCCGTCGGGGCATTGGTCATAGCCCAGCGTTCAGCCTCGGAGCGCTCTTGGCTCTGTTCGATCAAATCGCTCAGCTCCATTTGGCGAAGACCTCGACTGGCAGGAGATCTCCCCAGGTCACGTCTTGGTGTTGTTATGTAATGTGCATCACTGTCGTACCCTCTCTCACTCATCAGACTATTTCCATACTCCGGGGCCATCAATTCATGCACTGGTTTAGGCCTTGACGGGGTGGATCTTGATGATTTCCGCGGGAAAGGAAACAGGAACTTTCTATATTCCCGGGCATCATTGTATTCTCGGGAAAATCGACTTCGAAGTCGGTGCGAGAAGCCTTCTGGTTGCTTTTCCTGTGGCTCGTTTATGAATGAAATCTCTGGCCCTGCAATCTTCATTAGCGCCGAGCCAGCAACTAGGTCCCAGAGACCATACCTTGACCGTGACGAGGAAACCGAACCTCCTGAACTTGTTCGTAGGAGCTAGCGCCTGACTGTGAAATAGGGTGCTCTCTTCGCCAAGGGCAAACGAGGAACGCCATGACTCATTTCCCTGAGAATGAATTGAGAAGATCATGTTGTGATCTGCGAATGAAATGTTTATTTTGTTTCCAGGCAGAAAGAGCGTCCCTGGCTCCTTCCTGGTTCGACTAAATGAGGTCCTTTTCCTCGGCGATGGTTCGTGGAGTACTGTAAGCTAACGACTCAATAGCAGGTCAAATGATTCTGTATAGCTCCAATATAGTCTCGGATCATCCTTGACCGCTACTCGTGATTTTATCTCAAATTTCAATACTGCATGATATTCGGGCGGGGTAGCATGTAGCTTGTCATGTATCATGTACCATGAACTCCGTACCTCACAGCTCTTCCTATTTCTCATGCCCTTTCTCATATTCCATTTCCTTCATCCTCGTAGTTACACGTATCTTATTCTCGCGGAGAATCTTCATCGGCATTACCAAACTCCGAATGCTTCCCGACAAACACCGAGTCGGAAGTTTTATGGCCCCCATCTCCTCAACCTGTGTCTTATTCCTGCGTGATACATGTCATCTGGGAGCTTTACCATTGGCCCGCTGATTCTGTAACATATCCTGCAGTCAGAACCCGAGGAATTATTCGGCGTCCGGAGCTGACAGCGGGGAGAATTGGCCCATCGTACTGTAGTGCCCCTGTGGCAAATTGGAATTCCACTTTGATCCATTGTATTCTCGTCAATTCCTGAATCCACTTGAGTATACAATATACGCTGTAAAGACCTTATCGAAGCTTATCACCCCGTGTAATGAGATGGCGTGATCTACGCCGATCACGGAGGCCGTCGTGCTAAGTTTGTAGTGGAGCCTATTGACCGAGTGTAATGACACTACATTACCCGTAACTTACCCACAATACCATTCCACACCCCCGGCCCCTTGCCTAATCTCCATGCAAATCCTAATCCCCTGTTTCGCTCCACGTATGGTCAGGAAAGCCACCTGCTGCCCCTCTATCCCGTTGGGGTTAGACCCGCTCTGATCCCCCTCCATTTTTCTTCTCGCCTTTTCCCTCGTTCTCTTCTTCTTTTTCTTTTAACTCTTCAAGGTTCCGGGATCTTTTTCTTTCTATCTTCCAGAGACCCCGTCTACCCTTTGCATTCCCTTTCTTTTCACACACATCCGTCAGAATGGTTCAATCGTACGTCTTTCACCCTCCATCATCAATTCCTTGATACTAACTATTCTCTCAGATCCGTTCTCGGTTTCCCCCGTATGGGTAAGCTCCGTGACCTGAAGAAGGCCACTGAAGCTTACTGGGGTGGCAAGATCTCCCGCGATGACCTCCTCGCTGAGGGCAAGCGTCTCCGTCTGGAGCACTGGAAGATCCAGAAGAACGCTGGTGTGGACGCCATCCCCTCCAACGACTTTGCTTTCTACGATCAGGTCCTCGACCACATCCAGCTCTTCGGTGTCATCCCCGAGCGCTACAGCAAGTACAACCTGGACCCCCTGGACACCTACTTTGCCATGGGTCGTGGTCTCCAGAAGGAGGGTGTTGATGTCCCTGCCCTTGAGATGGTCAAGTGGTTCGACTCCAACTACCACTACGTCAAGCCTGCTCTGGCCGACAACCAGGTCTTCAAGCTCGCTTCTGACCCCAAGCCCGTCCGCGAGTTCCTCGAGGCCAAGGCCGCTGGCATTGTCACCCGCCCTGTTGTCCTGGGTCCCGTTTCCTTCCTGGTCCTGGCCAAGGCCGACCGTGGTGCCAGTGTGAACCCTATCACCAAGCTGGCTGACCTCCTTCCCGCCTACGTTGAGCTCCTTAAGCAGCTCAAGGCTGCCGGTGCCGAGGATGTTCAGATTGACGAGCCCGTCCTCGTCTTCGACCTTTCTGCCGAGGCCAAGGCCGCTTTCAAGCCCGCCTACGAGCAGCTTGGCAGCCTGGGTGCCAGCGCTCCCCGTCTGACCCTTGCCACCTACTTCGGTGACATTGTCCACAACATCGAGGTCCTCTCTTCCCTCCAGAGCCTCCACGCCATCCACGTGGACCTTGTCCGGAACCCCGAGCAGCTTGACACCGTTGTCGCTGCCCTTGGCCCCAACCAGACCCTCTCTGCTGGTGTCGTTGACGGCCGTAACATCTGGAAGACCAACTTCAAGAACGCCATTGAGAAGGTTGAGGCTGCCATCCAGAAGCTCGGCAAGGACCGCGTCATTGTCGCTACTTCCAGCTCCCTCCTGCACGTCCCCCACACTCTCGACTCCGAGAAGAACCTCGATGCTGAGGTCCGTGACTGGTTCAGCTTCGCTGTCCAGAAGCTTGCTGAGGTTGTTGTCATTGCCAAGGCCGTCACTGAGGGCCCTGCTGCCGTTAGCGCTGAGCTCGAGGCCAACGCCAAGTCCATGCAGTCCCGTGCTACCTCCAAGCGCACCAACGACCCCGCTGTCAAGGCCCGCCAGGCTGCCGTCACCGCTGAGATGCACAACCGTATCTCTGCTTTCCCTACTCGCATTGCTGCTCAGACCAAGCACATCAAGCTTCCTCTCTTCCCCACCACCACCATCGGTTCCTTCCCCCAGACCCAGAACATCCGCCGTGTTCGCAACCAGTTCACCAAGGGTGAGATCACCCCTGAGGAGTACGAGAAGTTCATTGAGAACGAGATCAAGGATGTTGTCAAGATCCAGGAGGAGCTTGACCTTGACGTCTTCGTCCACGGTGAGCCCGAGCGTAACGACATGGTCCAGTACTTCGGTGAGCGCCTGACTGGTTACGTCTTCACCACCCACGCCTGGGTTCAGTCTTACGGCTCTCGCTGCGTTCGTCCTCCCATCATTGTTGGAGACGTCAGCCGCCCTGCCCCCATGACCGTCAAGGAGTCCAAGTACGCCGTTTCGATCTCCCAGAAGCCCATGAAGGGTATGCTCACTGGTCCCATCACCTGCTTGCGCTGGTCTTTCCCCCGTGACGATGTCCACCAGTCCGTCCAGGCCCAGCAGCTCGCCCTTGCTCTGCGTGACGAGGTTGTTGACCTCGAGGCTGCCGGTGTCAAGGTCATCCAGGTCGATGAGCCTGCTCTGCGTGAGGGTCTTCCCCTCCGCACCGGTACCGAGCGTGAGAAGTACATCCAGTGGGCCGTCCAGGCCTTCAAGCTCTCCACCGCCGGTGTTGCCGATACCACCCAGATTCACTCTCACTTCTGTTACTCTGAGTTCCAGGACTTCTTCCACGCCATTGCCGCGCTGGACACTGACGTCCTGTCCATCGAGAACAGCAAGTCTGATGCCAAGCTGCTCAAGGTCTTCGTTGACGAGAAGTTCGCTGCCCAGATCGGACCCGGTGTCTACGACATCCACTCTCCTCGTATCCCCAGCGAGCAGGAGATCAAGGACCGTGTCGAGGAGATGCTCGCCCACCTGTCTCCCGACCAGCTCTGGATCAACCCCGACTGTGGCTTGAAGACTCGTGCTTGGCCCGAGACCAAGGCTGCCCTGTCCAACATGGTTGCGGCCGCCAAGTACTTCCGCCAGAAGTACTCGCAGTAAATGCACCACACCATTTTCCTTTCCTTCCTATAATGTGTTAATTCATGGGGGCGGCAATCAACCTGCCGCCTCTGGCACGGGGAGTTTTCTTTTTTTTATGATGAGTTTATGACGATGATACCAAAAGTTCAACATACGGGTTTCAACGGGGTTTGCTGATTAGAGGGCACCAAAAGCGGGTTTACGGAGTTTCAACATGACTGACGATTTCAACATGGGTGCCACAATGCGCCGATTATTTCAACAATTTTTTCGGATCCCGTCCTTTGCATTTGCACTGGACCTGGAGACGAAAGTAGTTTCTACAGTTCCTACAACTGTAGATACGGAATGTGAATATTATGTATTCTTCCACATTTATAAACAAGTAACTGTATCGTCGTAGATGTAGGAGCTTCGAGTACCTTGACTCCACAGTTGACCTAGGTCTTACAGTATCATTCCCTATTCCTATTCGCCCAGCGGGCCGGAGTATGCCTCGGCCTCATCCCATTGGCTAGCCACTGTGGAATCTGTGACCGATTCGACCCCATCTCAGCCTCGTGTCAGCTTCGGCTGCATTCTTTATCTCACGTTGCCCCTGTCTTTATACTTACACGAACAAGGAGGACAGCATAGGCCTATCATATTCGAATGTACAGGTCGATACGGAGCAACCTTTTCACGCCAACCCACCTTTGCTGTCTAGCGATCAGGCTACAAATTATCGACAAACCAGTAGATACCAACCATTGAACGACTCACCACACATGTTTAACGCCTCAAAAGGCCTCAAATCAATCCATCACAATCTGAACTGTCAACCAAAATTTCATTAAGATTGTTCTACTCTATATTGGAGATTCCAAAAAATGGACAACGCTCAACATTTCAGGACATTTTCCCACCTTCCATCCGAACTAATACATATGATACAAGAGTATCTAGCACCGATCGATACAGCCTGTCTAGCATTATGCAACCATAATTTAGAGCATTATCTACAACCAGCTGCCCAACATCTCTCAAACGACTCCCATTTGCGAATGGAGTTCCTCACACGACTCTCACGAGACGTACCAGAATACTACATCTGCTTCATGTGTGCCCGTCTTCACCCCTGGCGAAAGATCGAGTCACCAAGTCCTACATTCAAGCTATTCGACTGTTCAAAGACCCTCCCACGCGAAAAATGGTATCTCAGATGGCCCATGTTTCGGGGCGTATACCCCTGCGGCGCATTCCACGATATTCATTTCGTACATCTCCAACTTGCCATGCGAAGATACTATTATGGAGCTGAATTTGGGATACCAATCGAATCGCTGTTTTATACTGAGGTTGCCACTTGGCCTCTTGGAGAGCATGGTCGAGTCTCGATAGCCTCGAAGCTTAAATCTACTTCTCCAGAGCTTCATCAGATGACGTCTTTGAAATCCGTTGAAGCCCGAATTTCCATTTCGGCTCCGGGTCCGGGGCTCTGTTTACGGACACAGGAGATGGCTATCGCAAGACGGGAAAATTTATCGAAGATATTCCCGCGTTCTGGCTCGGATTTTATGTATGTTTGTCGACATATTGGTGTATTCCCCTCCGCCTCATCCATGCTGGACCTCCGTGCCACCGGCTTAAAGGATTTAATAAGCTCTCTTATTGCGCAATATTCGGGCACCGGTTCTGATAAGCCGATACACTGGCAGCGCTGCCAATCATGCAATACGTCGTGGAAACTAGAGATTCGGGACTTGGGAAAGGATATTTGTCTTGTTTCGACGCGCTGGGTTGATCTGGGACCTGGTCTTACGCCTGATGATGCTAGATGGAGAATACACCACTATGATGGGCCTGGTATAATTTTGGAAGACCATGACCTGGTTGGGGATCCTCGGATCCGGTTTGAGGAGGATTCTATTCAGGCGGCCTCCTCTTTGACGGAAGATGAACTGTTTCAACGCAATATCTCGTTTGTGAAGGGGCAGACATATCAGACTAGGATGACGAGGTGGGGGCCTTCGAGGTGGTATCTTGTTGGTGAGAAATTTGAGAAAGATGAAGAGAAATCTAAGCCTGAGCCTTCCTACTGTATTGCTATGTGAGTACGGATGGGAATCTTTATATAGTATAAGTATGTGGAAGTGAACTGTGGAGGTACATGACGGCTGAAGCTATGTATATCTGTGCCACTGTTTACTAAAAGCCCTGTTTCGGCCCAAGATCCATGGGTGTATATGCACATATATAGACAAGATGATCGAGCAACGGAATACGCTGTCGTCACATGATCTCAGACGTAACTAACTAAACATTGGTATTCGCTACGGAGAGCTGGGTGATACTATGCATTCTGTCATTCGATGTCATTGCCTCTGCGACCCTGTTCGAGCTTGGTTGCTGTCATGTTGATGGGGCTTCTCCAGTGCTGCGTGCAATTCATCCAGACTGCCAATCTTGATCTGGATAGTGGAGGTGGGGATCACTTCACCGTGGTCACGACTCATTATCCTTCAGATTGCTTACAACTTAATAAATGAATGAATCGCTTAAGCCTTGGAGCGGGGGCTAGGTATCAGGAGATGCACGTGGTTTGGGGACTTTCGAGGAGTATGGTGAGCTATTTCTAATCAACAGACCTCAACAATGTGCTTGCTAGCGTGGGAAATTATGCGTTTGCTCAGCCATAGCAGCCACCGAATACGACCTTGTAAAGTGCGCTGTTCATGCTGTGCATTAGAGACGCAGATAGTGTCGAGCCCGACGAACTGTGACTGGTTGCTGGGCGGATGAAAATCTGGTTCACCCATTTCGTTCTCCTCAATTTTGATTGAATACTCGTCAGTGCCTGCAGGTTGAATGTGCTTGGTCATATGTAGATGGTGCGGGGAAGCCCACTGGTTCCCAACGGACCGAGCCATATCAAGAAGGCGGCTAATTCTATTGCTGAACTGGCTGAGAACATACTGCACACAGCGTGCACGGACCTGATGTTCGACCACCGATGTCGTGGTCCTGGCTGATTGGATGCCTCAGTAGTTTTGGTAGATTGCCAAGGTCTGGCACGTATGAAGAGCCTCATTCTCTTTAAAAAGCATTGCTTAAATACGGGCAAAGAGAATGCATTATTGACTTAGTATACGCAAGATATCATGGATTTGTTCAGTGGAGTAGTTTCAGTATTTGCGGTTTGCGATCAACTGGAAGCATGCATTAACAGCCTTCGTCAATTATACTATACTTTGAAGTTTGCCAAACGGGACGTACAACAGCTGATAGAGGAGGTTTATATTTGTCGAAATCTTTTTAATATCTTCGACAATGTCACACGCCCTCTGGGCAGCGGAGTGATGACGTTGGCTCGCGAGAAAAAGCTCGATGAAGCATTGCAGACGCAGGCCACTTCGGCTCTTGAGCAAATCAATCACATTATGACCAAATTCAAGCCGCTCATGAAGGATAGCAGTCCCAGCTCATTGGATGAGCTTCTAGCAAAGGTTCGGTGGCACTTTACGAAGCAGGAGATCCAAGCTTTGATGATCACATTTAGTACTGTGAAGCACAGTCTTGGCTTGCTTTCTTGTCTTTTGGCACTGGAAAGCTCTCTCGCGAGATTTTCACAACAGTCAACAGCGAATGACAACCATGATTTGCTGCTTGAACAGATGTGAGACTCCTTAGTTAAGTAGCTGATCTCGCATAGTATTATCATGACTAAAGCGCTTTTTCAATTTGCAGAACCACATTAAAAAAGATGGTTCATCGCCAGAACAAGTCTTTGAAGAAACTGGCCCAAAAAATGAAGGATACAATTCCAAACGTCCACGAGTCGCCGCTCATATCCAACACAGAATCGATGATCGTCATCATTAAAAAGATCCAGAAAGTGCCCGTCGCTGGGGCACGAGCAGTTATCGCTCGGGGAGAGCGAAATAATGCTTCACGTGTTATGGCCCCAACACCAAGGGCTCGCGATTCCACAAGTATACAAAATTCAAGCAACACAAGGCTAGGAAATGCGCGATTGCGTTCTGGTAGTCGTGTGCCTAGCGTGATAGCATCGCCACACAGCCAAGAAACTCCATGTCAGTCGGGTGAGACTGTGTCTCGTGAGCGTCGAAGGACGCGCGATTATGGAGACGGCAATAGAGAACATTATGAAGAGGGCTCATCTTCATCTTCCATCCGGAATGGCAGGTATAGCCACATATTATTCGTTCCCAATCCACCTTTCACTCAAGCGGACTGGGACAGCAGGAATCGAAAAAGGAGTGACTCCGGGGAGAGATTATAAGGCCATGCAGCAGGTATGTAGGCAGGTTAATATTATCGGTATAAAGCTTGACTGATCACTGAGCGAAATACAGACTTTCTACGATTATTGGTATCACTTTTGGATCCTAGACCTCTTCAAAACAAGCACAAAGCCTCATTGGTTTCCGCGTCAAAATTATCGCGCTGTGTACAAATTCCCAGGTGCGACGCTGCAAAGAAATATAGCTTACTCTGATGTTTGAAATGTTTATTGTGGATGCTGCAAATCTATCTATACAAACCCACACGAGTGGCATCAATACCAAGAACCAATCAAGCCAAAACAACACACTTCATCATAACAAGCACTTCATGATCAAAGTTCCAACTTAAAAGCTTACAGATCAGCATCAGAAGACCCCCACATTCCAGACCCTGAGAAAGCGGGGATGCACATGCACCCGCCAAGCTCAACATAAGTTCCGGAATGTGACTTCACACCTCAACCTCAATCTCCAATATACCACTGAATACCCCCAACCAGGCAACATCCAAAGTCAGGAATTCCCGAAAAATGGGTGAGAAACCCTGGATCGGCGACCGAGTCGTCGGCCCTTGGCACTTTTCGGAGACTCAGCCTGTCGCCGTTTCCGGCAATCCACCCCCCGTTCCTGACGGATGCTCGGAGAAATCCGGTCTAGCCGTGGTTCGGGGCATGGATGAGACCAGCTACTGGTCTGATCGAGATGTTGCTGCTCCACGTGCCGGGAAGCCTAACAGTGTAACCGTGAATGCGACTGCGACGCTATTGCGCCGTGAGATAAAAGGCCTCGCATGTCTCTGTCTGTGTCTTGGTTTGTGGATGGCTGGTATTCCGAATATGCTTGCTCAATTCTTAGGCCGGTCGATGCGAGATCAGATGGTATCTGTTCCGGATCGGACGCTGCGGTTGACGAAGGATGGCACGTTTCAGATAAGTGTGTTTGAAGATTTACATTTTGCTGAAGGTGAGAAGACCCAAGACATTGTAACTGTACCTACTAAATTGGTGTTAGATTCCAATAAGGATGTCCTTACCAACAAGGTCATGGATTATGTTCTCAACAAGGAGAAGCCACAACTTGTGGTTATAAATGGGGATCTGATCTCGGGTGAGGCTACCAAAGCCTCCAACTCCTCCGAATATCTCGACAAAGTTGTCTCTCCCTTGATGAACGGGGGATATCTATGGGCTTCGACCTACGGAAACCACGACAGCGAGGTAAATCTGGACCCGCGAAAGGATATATACGACAAAGAGAAACAATATCAGAACAGCCTTACGCAGAGCTTGGTCTCCGATTCGGCCGCTGGAGTTACAAACTACTATCTGCCGGTATTTTCGCATAATGGATCCGAAGGTGATACGCCTGTTCTTTTGCTGTGGTTCTTTGACTCAAAAGGTGGACACGAGCCAACCAACCGGGTATCGAAACGGGAATCAATCAAACGGGGCGACTGGGTCGATGAATCTGTAGGTCAATCCACCACTTCAACGAACACTACTGACTTGTCAGGTGGTCAATTGGTTTACGCAGACAAAATCCAATCTGAAGGATAAATATGGGAAAGTCATCCCGTCATTGGCCTTCTATCATATACCCGCAGATGCTATGCGAGTGTATCAAGACAATGGGGTAGATTCTCACAAATCTCCCGGTCTTAATGGGGAGACCGTGGTTCAGCAAGGATCTGGCGACAGTCCATACACTGGACAGGACACACCATTCATGCGAGCTCTATTGGATACGTCGGGACTTATGGCTACGTTCAGTGGTCATGACCATGACAACGACTGGTACGCGAACTGCTCTTACGTACTCTCTGCATGTGCTAAATTTTCACTAGGTGTTTCAAATGGGACGGTAAAACCATTGCTCAGGATCTATCTGGCAATGGAATTAATATGTGCTATGGTCGTCATACCGGGTATGGAGGATATGGCAATGCTGCTCGTGGTGGGAGGCAGATCCTCCTCAACAAGGATAGCATTGCAGATGAAGTGGAAACATGGATTCGGCTGGAGGATGGGACAATCTCCGCGCATGTCACCCTGAATTCAACATATGGAAAGGATCAATACTCGCCTGTGACTCGGCAGGTCACAGCGAGAATGACAGGTGGAAGTGTTAGCCTTCATCATTCATCATCTCTACTTTATATAACGTACTTGTGGTTTGCGATTCTGGTTTATCGGCAATGGAAAGGACAGTGATGTATTCCTCGATGTTTATAAGAACTAGTCTACGCCCGGAATCTGGGTATCGCTCGTTTCAGAAAATACAGATCTGCTATGCCGGTAATAAGTTCGTGTTGTGCTGCTTTTCGCACCGCTTGTTTTCCACTGAAGGATGAATATCTGGATAATGCAGCATGGAAGGATGAGCGGGGATGGGTCGTTTATGTTGAAGCGGAGACATCACTCTCGCTTCTCGCAAACACTGATAAACGGAGCGAATACTCCTCCTAGAAACAAACGACTTGACCGTGTATCTTGCACTGCAACCGTTGATGAAGGAAGCTTTTCGGCAAAGGAATCCTCCACAATCTTCAATACTTCCCACGTCCCACCAGGCTTCTTGATAGGACTAGCTAGCACAGTCGCCGGTGCAACAAAGTCGTGTGGATGATCCGCGGACTTAATAAACGCAAAGGAATCAGGTATAGCAGCAGCAATGAGGCTCCCATCTTCATCAAATGAGAGATTATCCACCGGATAGCCCATCGCAATGGTATCCACTTGCTTCAATTGATCATTTTCCAGTCTGTGAATGGTTACCAGCCCCGTCACAGAATGAGAGACATAGTAAAGACCATCCTTGCCCTTAGCAACGCCATTAGGAAAGCGGAATCCGCCCTTCGCTGCGATATTGCACTTGCCAGTATCAGAGCGACAATATGTGAGACTTCCAGTGCCATATAGCATTTCCAGATCACGAAAGCGCCCAGTCTTGCTCTTATGATCATTTGTGATTACAAATCCCACTCCATCAGCATCAACAGCCAAGTTGTTTGGCGAGATAATGGCATCACTATGGATAGTCCGAACATACTCCAGTGTATCTGTCTGTTTGTTCAAATTGAAGATTTCAACCGTTGAATTCGCACCATGAGTCCAGGGATCCAAAAGCTCTCCTGTAACCGAGTCGATCGGGGGCTTGTGATTAATCAACCAAAATCGCACCGTAGGTCCAATATGACGCACGTCAAAGCCATGAAGATCCAATTCGCCATCGTAGCCACCAATCTTCAACTGGCGGGGCACGGACAGGCCATCGGAATCCACTTCGTCAATGTCCAACACGGTGATATGATCGGTCAGAGCACGCGCTGAGAGATTGTACTTGTTCCCACCTGGGCTCCATCCCTGCCGGGATTCAATGGTCGAGCATGCGGCATATAGTCTCCGGTCGTGGTGATCTAGCCATATATCCTCACAGGCTTCCAGGAGAGGGTGATATTGCCTAGTGCATGTCCATGGGAACTCTTCGAGGGGCTGGATCTGACGACCGACACCCAGTGTTATGAACAAGATGTTCTGTACGTAGGTTCTGTAGAACATGGATAGTGCGAGTACGGAGATTGTCCAGTACAGGGACCGTGCCCAGAGGCTCTTGCGCTGAGGAGCTTGTTGTGGCATGATCTTGTGATCTTCTCTTGTCTCTAGCACTACTTAAGTGAGCCCGGGATTCAGCTGGTTTTTTTGGAGTTCCCTGGGTAATCAAATCCAGGAGGTTTGGAATTGGACTCTTCGCATGTCAGCATGGAGCGAGCTGTGTTTGACCTGCAGTCACATGACATCTATCATTCAGGCTTTCCAAGTCTTCCTACACATCAGATCCATAGATATTCATACCACTAGCATGCCGCATGCTCCTCGGCTGACCATATTGTTAGTGTTCGAGGTGGGAAAAATAGTCTGAAGTAATACATCTGAAGTGGTGCTTCATTGGCTGTCTTGAGATTTTTCACAACAAAGCGCAGTGCATCATACAGAAACCCAGCTATGATGGAACCATTATCGCTCTATATCCTTCTCTGTATGAAAAATAAAGGGAGTCTACGTACTATATCATTTACTGGGATGATCCTAGCGAGGCGATCCACTATATGGAATGGACATCACGACTACTTGTTGGATAACGTTATACAATGACTAATAAGTTTCCCTGAAATGTCCCACATAACAACTAATGGAGTAAAAACCACTTTTCGAAAGGTCTAAAGCGCGTTTGATAAAATGGCCGAGAAAGAATGGATGTAGAGCAGGAATAGCTACAGATGGAAAAGGTGGATCGGCCCGGCTCATCGGCAAGGGATTCTCGGGTATCATTGATAACTTACAACTTACCAGCTATGCTGTCCAATACATCCATCCGTCATGGCCTCATTTCGCAGTTTGAGGACTCAGTACAATTCCCTGTTGAAAAAGTTCATCGGGTCATCCCGGGACTTTGAAGTCCTCAGCACCATCCCCGCCGATGACTGCCCCGCACCAAAGATCCTATATGTGCTAGACTCATCATTCAATCCACCAACCCGAGCGCATCTCCGCATAGCTAGCTCTGCACTCCTAGAGCGACTAGACTCAAGCTCGCGGCTGCTGCTACTACTTGCCACTCAGAATGCAGACAAACCTTCAAAGCCGGCCTTGTTCGAGGACCGGCTCGCCATGATGGAGCTGTTCGCACACGATCTGCGTTCTCACCTGGCTACCAGTACCGCACCTCCAGGGCACACTCCATCTCTAGAGAACATCCCCGCCATTGACATTGGCGTCACCAAGAAGCCATATTTCATTGATAAGGCCTCCGCAATTGAGGCCTCGGGGACTTACGCCACTCCGCTTGAACAGGTCCATCTCACGGGCTATGATACATTGATCCGTATATTTGATCCGAAATACTACCCGCCAGAACATACGCTAGCGCCGCTAGCACCACTTTTCTCGCGGCATCGCTTGCGGGTAACATTAAGGCCTAGTGATGAATGGGGAAGTAAAGACGAACAGGAGGCTTTTCTCCTCGCTCTTGCCCGTGGAGATCGAGAGAGTGAAGGTGGACGGAGAGAATGGGCGCAAAGGATTCAGCTAGTTGAAGGGAGAAAACCAGGGCAACCGCCGGTTAGCTCGACAAGAGCCCGCGAGGCCATACAGTCTGCAAGTGATGATCTGGAGTGGCTTGTTCCGGAGAACGTGCGCCAGTTCTTACTGTCTGAAAAACCATACTCTACAGAAAGCAACCTGTAGCTTGGCTGTGCCTACTGTTCACATCACTGCAAATGAGGCATTGCACCTGTTGTTGACCTAATGTGGAGCCTTATCAATGCATGAAAACCATGATAATTTTCCAGGACACCTCAGAATATAGTACATTATTATCACATGAAAACCATGCTAATCTGAACGCCCAAAATCTCCGTCCAGAATCACCGACGCAGACCATCGTTTTTGTTATAGAACATATATCGTACACCTAGAGCCAAGCTTTCTTCGTAAACTCGTTTCCTCATGAGTCCTCCTCCTGCTCACGCTTTCCAAGTGTGTATGCAAGCCCCCCGCCGACCATATTCACCAAGCAGAGAGCCATTGTGCCACCGCGCACGATCCCGCGAGCTCCGAACTTCTGCCTCAGTGGTTGACGCCGCCGACTGGCGAGGAGCAGGTATAAACCCGACCAGGCAGCGCTGATACCAGCGGTATCAGTCTTGAAGCCTTGCAGGTTGGCATAGCTGGTGAAGAGGAGGACAGGAGTGAAGAGCATGGGGAAAACCTGGAATGGGCGGGCATGTTGCGCGGTGATGAGCGAGGCAAGCAGGGTAGGCGGGAATGAGTTTTCTAACAAAAAGATACGTTAGCAAGATTTAATTGTACATATAAAGGTCAATTGCGGGCAGAAAGGAAAGCTTGGAGATGTTTGAAACCGACAAATACTTACCACCCCATGCTCGGAAGCGTTGCACGAGCGTCTGCTTTGTTTCTTCGATGCTCGAATCCTTCGCCATGATGAATTTGGTGACTCAGATGAACTGCACACAGCCTTAATTGATGTTGACCGTTCTTTCTCCACAGGAGGCCCGTCCTGTGTTGAGATATGCGCGATAATATGGAGAAGATATGGGTTTGGTTGCTGTGGGGAGGTTTGTGTCTATCTAACGGATAAGCGCATGTCGTTCCCGCTTGGCAAAGACACCTAAGACTATACTTTTTCCGTTTCGCCCCCCTCCCCGAATCTTCATCGCGCACTTCACTCTGCCCCTACGAGTGCTCTGATCCACGGCCCCGAGTGCCTATACCCAGGCCTGACTTGTTTGTCTGCCTCTTGGGGGACCAGGCCCTTTTTCCGCGTCTTACGCCACCCATCGCACCCATCGCACCCCTCGCCGATTTGACCTCGATACGCGGATCACCAGATCCCACCCTTCCCCTTATCCATAATGCCTTCAGCCACAGCGTCTGGCTCTGATGCCAAAGGCAATGGCGCGCGGTCGCGCGAGAACCAGGGCAACCAGGGCCCCAAGTTTACACCCGAGCAGAAGAAGGCTATTGACCGGATTCGAAAATGCAACCCCAAGGCATTATACAAGATCCTTGCGTGCGAATCCAAGGCGTCAGATAACGAAATTAAGAAGGCCTACAGGTCACTGAGTTTGTTGACACACCCGGATAAGACCGGATGGGACGGCGCGGATGAAGCATTTAAGAGTACGTGAGAGATCAGGTCTACATGCCATTTAATTTCGCCGCTAATTTGTCTTTGGTAGTGCTATCGCATGCGAATAATATCCTCTCGGATCCTAAGAAGAGAGAAATGTATGATCTTGATGGAGGAGATGCATCGACCCGATTCAACCCCGGTTCTGGCGCCTCTGCTGGTGGTGGCTCACCGTTTGGCGGCGCCGGTGGATTTGGAGGTGGTGGGTTCCCTCGAGGGAGAGGCAACGGAGGTATCTCTGTAGAGGACCTGTTCGATCAGTTCTTCAATGGTATGTTATCGGGTCCTTGCATAAACGATCACCGTTCGACACCATACTGATACCATGATCTAGGACCCCAGTTCGGCGGCGCCCAGCCCGGCGCTCAATTTGGTTTCGGTGGTCCCCAATTTAGTTTTGGTGGCCCAAACATTCGTGTGCATCACTTCGGAGGCGCTGGACCGCAACGACGACCTCGCCCGACCAACTCAGGACAGCCACAGCCTGCTCCTGACGCATGGTCTATCCTTCGCCAACTCATGCCTCTCCTCATTCTTTTCGTCCTTCCTCTCCTCTCGTCTCTATTTTCTGGCTCTTCTTCTCCCACGGGTCCTTCGTACCGATATGATACAGCCAAGCCACCTCATACCATGGGTCGCACTACTCCCAAGCTTAATATCAACTACTTTGTCAACCCACTTGACGTGGAGGACTTAAGTCCTCGCAAACTCAGGCAATTAGACCAAAGAGTGGAGGTGGATTACGTATCAGCGCTACGGTATGAATGCGACGGCGAGGTGAATTTGCGAGACCGAAGGATTCAAGAGGCGCAGGGTTGGTTCTTCCCTGATGTGGACAAGATGAAGGAGGCCCGAGCAATGGAGTTAAAGAGCTGCCGCAAGTTGGAATCCCTTAGGGGGAAATTCTAAGATGGTGCGTCAGATTTGTGGTTTCTGCATTAGCCTTGAAGGAACAATAGCACATACGAGATGGGCGGCGTTCTAATGTTGGGTTTCTCTTTGGATTTCGTGTATATTTCCAAATGCATTCGGTTCTCTCGTGGACTTGAAAGCCAAGTTGACCGAGAATTGTTCTCATAGAAAGAATGTGCATCTACTTAGGTAAATATTAATATTTTCATTGATCACGACTACCAAAAACTGCACGGGATTGAATTTTATACCAACCACGTTAAGCGTGGTTTGACTGGTTGAAAATGTGTATGTGCTTAGTCAAGGGCATCATCCCCAGTGAAGAACATGTGAGGGAATCTCAGCGATCATGGCAGAACATCCAGTCTCGACCCCATCTCCCCGCACTTGAGACCGCTTATACCCCGATATTAGGAAAATTTAATCGCCTGCACTGGGCTCAGTGCTGGTCACCGGCGATCTCTGCATCTCTGAACTGGCCCCAAGGACAATTCCCTCCGCACACTTTGACTGTCCGCGATTACGCGATTTACACTTGCTCATACAGGGACAACAGCGTCCTCGGCTGATTTTTTCCAACCTGTGATATTACGAGAATTTAATCAGGGTTAGAATGTCGGACACACTTTCTGACGCGGACAAGGTTTGTCACCATTCCGAAGAGCCGTCATTTATCACTCCGCAGTCGCTAATGAACACTCCTCGCATACGATTTAGATCCGCAATAAGCGACTTGCCAAACTCTCAAACCCGGTACCCTCTTCTTCTGGCGAGGGATCATCCGATTCGCCCCCAAACTCTGCCATTTCCTCACCGTCACGGTCGCCAATCCGCCAAAATGCGTCCAGTGATTCCCGACCAGCCTCACCATCCGCCGCACAGACACCCCAGCGTTTTGAGGGAAAGCGGATCAAGATCACCCCCACAACTCCTGCCCCGGAGCGCCCACGCTCGACTGCACCATCCACTCCAGGGACCCCACCACCCGGAAGAATCGAGACTATTGAGACATTCGGAGATCGGACCTTGAGTGCTGTGTTCAAACTTACGTTGAAGGAGGAGGGCCACCGAGACCTACAGGGCCGCCGAGTGTTTCTTCCTGAATTGCGTAACGAGCTGCTGAGCCAAGAAAAAGAGTTGCTCATTGGGACGGAAATCTTGGACCAAGCGCTCTTAGAAGCCGCCTCTAAGGCTGAGAAAGGACGCCCACTGGACTACCTGCTGCCGTGTTGGAAGCGCATCACAAAGTTGCATAAGGGATTTCGACGGACAAGAGATGACGACCCCAAATTTCAAGTCCTCTGTGAGGCACGTCGACTTTGCATGAGTTATTGCATCTTTGCTATTACCATGCCAGAGATGTTTGGTTTTGATTCCCCAGAGACATCTACATTAGCGCCATACCTACTGGTAGACCCAGAGGATGAAAAGGGTGTTGATTTTGAATTCATTAGCGAGGCGGTTAAGCGTTTCGAGGAAGATGAGGGCGTCAAGCCCGCTTTCATTGCTGCCGTGGAGGAACTCAGCACGAATCTGTCCAGCATGGACATTAATGATGATTACAAGCCCTATTCTACGGTTTGTGCACATTATACTACACTCGATAAGATAAATTTGTTCTAACAGTCTTGACAGGCGTTGCGAAACCTAGTTCGCCATGCTTCTATTGCTGCTGCAATCACAGAATCAGCGACCTTCAACGATTCAAAGGACCCAGCAAATTTTGAGAAGGTCACTCTTTTGGGCCCTTGGTTCCGTCTTTCACCGCTGCAAGCCAACGTGACCATGTCATATTTCTCGAGCCCCAAGACTCGTGACCAAGCATATATTTTGAATGCTCAGCGATCCCTTCGCATGACACAGCAGCTGGTCAGCTCTGACCTCCTGGATGTCATCAATCACATGATCCGCGCCTCGAAAGAGGCCAGAGATCGGGTTCTTGACTGGTTTGCCGCTGCTTTGAACATCAACCATAAACGTCGGGCCATGCAGGTTGATCCTGAGAAGGTTTCATCAGACGGGTTCATGTTCAACCTCACAACATGTCTCGATCAGCTCTGCGAGCCGTTCATGGATGCCTCTTTTAGTAAGATTGATCGCATTGATGCTGAGTATCTTCACCGGGATTCCCGAGTGGACCTGAGTGATGAAACAAAGATCAACGCGGATCAGCATGAATCGGATGCCTTTTATTCCAAGAAGGCGGAGGGCACGTCTAACTTTATCACTGAGATCTTTTTCTTGACCGTGGCCGCACATCACTACGGCAGTGAATCTTTAACCTCGAAGCTTGAGCAACTTGAGAAGGACCTGCGGCATATGGAATCCACTATCACAAAGTTTGAACTTGAACGTCATCGGTGGTCTGGAAACCCCAGGCAGCTGCAAGTATTCGAGCAAGCACTAAAAAAGTACAAGGATAAGCTCGATCTTGGAATAGCTTTGAAGTACAGTCTACAGGGTGTGCTGTTTGATGATCAATGGCAAGCACGTTCAATGTTGTTTATGCGTTATGTGACAGTCTGGCTCCTGAGACTGGTTTCGGGCGTGAACTTCCCGAAAGAGAAAGTCACCTTGCCTCTGCCCGAGCAACAGCCCGAAATATTCAAATGCTTGCCTGAATACTTCTTGGATGATATTGTGAGCAACTTTAAGTTTATCATGTGGTGTTTGCCACATATCATCACTGCTACCCAGGGAGATGAATTAGTCATGCTATGCATTGCATTCTTGGAGAGCTCCAGCTACATTAAGAACCCGTACCTCAAGGCTGGTCTCGTTTCTATCTTGTTCCGTGGCACATGGAACCGCCCCGGTGGTGCCCGAGGTGTTCTGGTGGACCTTCTCAACTCGATGGAGTTTGCCAATGAAAACCTGCTTCACGCTGTTATGAAATTCTACATTGAAGCAGAGCATACTGGTACGCACACTCAGTTCTTTGACAAATTCAATATTCGATATGAGATTTTCCAGATCATCAAGTGCATCTGGCCCAACACCCTATACCGGGAGAAGCTGTCCATCCAGGCCAGCCAGAACCTGGACTTCTTTGTCCAATTCGTGAACCTGTTACTTAATGATGTGACTTACGTGCTTGATGAATCTTTTGGTGCCTTCAAGACCATCAACACAACCCAGCAGGAGTTGGCTCGAGAAGGCCACACGATGGATCAGACCACACGCCAGGAGCGAGAGGAGCACCTCGCGACTGCGCAGCGCAGTGCGAAATCATACATGCAGTTGACCAACGAGACAGTCTCCATGCTCAAGCTCTTTACTGATGCCCTGGCCGATTCATTCACCATGCCAGAAATTGTCCAGCGTTTAGCCGACATGCTGGACTACAACCTTGATGCTATGGTGGGGCCGAAGAGCTCTACCCTGCGTGTGGATAACCTTCAAGAATATGGATTCAATCCCCGCGCCCTCCTGAGTGAGATCATCGACGTGTATCTGAACTTGATGTCAAAGCAGAATTTTATCACCGCCGTTGCCCGTGATGGCCGGTCGTACAAGCCAGCGAACTTCGAAAAGGCGGCAGATATTTTGCGCAAGTGGTCGTTGAAATCTCCGGAAGAGTTGCGACGCTGGGGTCAACTGCAGAAGAAGGTAATGGAGGCCCGGGCAGCTGATGAACAAGCAGAGGAGGACCTGGGCGAGATCCCAGATGATTACCTAGGTATGTTTATCAAGAATACCATTATGAAATGCTTGCTGACCTTGCCAGATCCCCTCATGTACACTCTCATGGAAGACCCTGTTATTCTTCCCAGTTCCCGGATGTCGATCGACCGCGCTACTATTCGATCACATTTACTCAGTGACCCCAATGATCCTTTCAATCGTGTCCCCTTGACCATGGAGGACGTGATACCCGGTAAGACCTGTGACTGTTTCGTTTGCGCACAAATGACTAACTTCCATAGACATCGAGCTTAAAGCCAAGATTGAAGCGTTCAAGGCTGAAAGAACCGGGCGGAAGGCCCCGTCGGAGATGGATACCTCCGCTTAAATCTGAAATGAATACATAGCCTTACAATAGAGTTGAATGTTGTAGTCATCATGACCGCTTTCCTGTTTAGGACACTTACATCACCTTCCCTGCAACTTTAAATCCGGACTGAGTTTCTCCACTAGAGCTTAATACCCTTTTGATCCCCAAGGTTTTGTTTGTTCCACCTCACATAATCCCACCATGGGGGCCGCTCTCTCTACCAGCTGGGGTGCAATGCCATCCATTGAGGACTTTTCCCCTCCAACACCAGCAGCCTACACAGGGGTGCTAGCCGCATTCCAGTACTTCCCAGTCGTAAGTAAACAAGCCGCCAAGCTTACATGCGCCTAGCTCACAACATCCACAGTTCTCGGTCATCCAATGGTTCTTATCATGGCATCCAGCAGGCAAAACCTCCATGAAAAGCTCCATTTTCAACCTACCTGGCCGGCTAGCTTGGTGTATCATGGAAATCCCAGGCCCAGTGGTCCTGATCTACAACCTCTCTCAAGCCTCACCAAGCTTCTTTGAGCTACCAGCACCTAATCAGCTCGTCGCTGCGCTCTACTGCACTCACTACCTAAACCGTGCAATAATCTCACCCTTCTTCTCAGCGCCAAGCATGTCCCCCATTCACGTATTCATCATGCTTAGCGCCGTAGGCTTCAACTGGCTCAATGCTTCCTGTATCTCAGGCTGGCTAATCGGCTACGTCATCCCGATCCCAGGATTCAAGACAGACGGCGCTTCAGCTTTGAACCCGGCATCATTCGGTTTCACTCTCGTGCAGATCCTCCCTTTCATCGGAACGATCTTGTTCTCCTTGGGCATGGCAGGAAATATTTATTCCGAAACGGAGCTTTTCCGGCTTCGGAGAGAGTCAGCTGAGCAGCGCTCTTCTAAGAAATCGGATACCAACACTGTGATTGCGGACTCGACCGGGAAGGATGGTAACAAGTTCCACAAGGTGTACGTTATTCCCCCAGTTGAGGGGGTCTTCCGCACAATCTTGTACCCGCATTATGTTTTCGAGTGGCTTGAATGGGTTGGGTTTGCGCTTGTTGGGACGGCTGTCTTCCCGCTTTCTGGAATGAAGAATGTTGCTCCGCCTCTTCATGCTGCGCCGTGGGTTATCCCTGCGGCTTGGAGTGCGGATCTCCTGGGCATCCCACTTCCGTTGCCGGCTGTTCTGTTTGTCATCAATGCTGTTGCGAATATGCTGCCTCATGCCCGGTGGGGGCGTAGGTGGTATGTGGCAAAGTTTGGGGAGAAGGGAGTTGCTGGGCGTGGGGCCGTTGTTCCTAGGTGTGCATGGATGTAATCACATTCGGGGTCGCTTGGCGTAAGGATAGGTGCATTTTAAGTTTCTAATATTGAATCAGTGGCACTCATCATGTTCTACCTAATTTAACGTCCCTTCGGATCGATCAATTGCATGACTAGTACATTGGAAATAAAAATAACTGGGTATGCAGGAAGTCACATTGGGGTGTTTAGCAAGAATTTCCGAGTTAGTAATCTCTGAATAATGGGTATCTAAGCAAGCCACAGTCATATCTATTATCGGTATCTCCGAGGCGGGACTCAAGCATAGCACGCCTAAAAATAAGCCATATTTTGCCCACCTGGTCATTCGTTTTGTCAATTGCAACAGATTCCAGCACCAAAGCTGCAACTATATTCTATGGTCCTATTGAGATCTTGACACACGAAGGGTAGAAATAAGAGAGTCAACGAAGGTTTCCGGTTCCCCCATAGTATCGCCAGGGTCTGTACCCTTAACTTGGTGCCCAACCCATCTCATCTAAATTAAACTACTCTGTTCCGGCACGTTCCTTAACAGCCTGCCAAGAAAGTCCGCGTGTCTTGGCATAGGACCGGACCCGGAGAAATCTCGCTTATTGAGTAAGACCACCAGTTACATAGATGTTGTGAAGTGGAAGCGGTACATCGAGCATATTGGCTGACAGGAGTTCCTAAAATGGTAAATGGCTTTTGACATTTTTGTGATCCACTAGTGATTTACTAAGGATCCACTGTCAGTTTGATGTTCCTGGATCCCAGTCCAGTCAGACCATACAAACAAAATGCCACTGCCGCTGATACTTTACTCTTTTTTTTTAAAAAAAAAACTAAAACACCTCTTCCCTCAAAAGCTTCTATTTCCAACTTCATGCATCAGAGCTCTATAAATCACTTACTTTATTCCCTTCAAGCTTAATCCGATCTCCACGGGATACCGGTGTAGACCCTTCCATCCACGCCACCTTCAGTAAGCTGACTGAATAGATCATACAAGCCGAGAATCTAACTTCAACAGGCTAGTCATAGTGGATTTTGCCGACGCGAACTACTTTGGTTCTGCAAAATGGAGATCTCACTGCCGTAGCATACGTAAGTCCCAAGAACGCCACTGAAGAAAGCTTAACTAACTCGATTTTGGCTTAGGCTATACATGAGGCTAGTAGGAAGCGGTTAGAGCGTCGAAACACCTTCTAAGCTCACCATCTGATTATTTTTGGTATCTGGGGGCCAAAGTGATGTATAAAAGGGTGTAGATTTCCTTCTCAGGTAGAACAACACATCAATCCAGCAGACTATCTTCTCAAACATCTCTACCTTTGTTCAAATAAACTACCTACACAATGGTTTCCAAGGTACTATAAACAGATAATATCCTGATGCTATTACGTCCACTAACATCAAGTCTAGACTTTCGCCCTCATCGCCGCCATGGCCGTTGCCGCTACAGCCAACCCCACCATTGGCTACGCAGCCTACTACTACACCAACTGCACCATTCCCAGCATTGATGCCACCAATGCCTACGCTGGATCCTGTGTCAATGTCGAGAACTTCCCCATCAAGTCATTCACTGCCTATGTTGAGTCTAGCTCTTGTGCTGACGGTACCTCTGCCGTCCTCAACACCTACCTTGCTTCTGGATGTGATGATTCCGATTTGTTCGAGGCGGTTAGCGTGACTTCTGAGAAGCAGTGCTTTGCGGCTGATGCTACTCTTTACAGCATCAAGGCTGAGTGTGTTTGAAGCTTTGATTGTATGAAAGCGTCATGTTTAAATTAGAGTTTAAATTAGACGTTTAGAGAGATAATGTTATGGCGTGAGGTAAATTGCACTACATTTCATCTTAGAAACAAGCAGAAACTCTATCTTGGTATTCTGCGGTTATGGCGGTCGATGTAACAAATGTTGAAAGCTCGCAGGTATCTTGGGTGATCTATAGATAGAGTCTCCTCGGTCTTCTAAATCGAGCATTGATCTACCCTTCATACTCTCATTATCTATCCCGCTCACCAAGCTATGAAACTCTTTTTTTATCAGTGATATGCTTCCTGTTCCTGGACTCTTCTTCTCACTCAAAACCCGTGGACAGGAGTTGACGCATTATCTTTGTCTTCGTGATTCCAAAGTCTAGAACCAAACCATACTGACAAAAATCCATTCTATGCCTCGTCCAGCCTTCGTAGTCATTGAATTTTTCTAATAAACAATTCATTCAAGCCGATTCAAAAGGATACCAGTACGTCATCGACCGCTCTCACCTTCCATCTCGAACAACATAGAAAAGTTCTTTCAACCCCTAATTAGTATCCGGTTAATCTTGTATTTGAGGGTACGTGGGCAAAGAACAGCTACGAGTATCAGCAAAAAAATGCTTCTCATGGGCTATTGTATAACTTGCTATGTAAGAATCACATTGCACCGATTCGATTGATCTTCTACTCTTAGACACAAACATCGAAAAGATAAGCACATTTGGAGATTCCAGTTCATGCTAGAAATGTCTGTACCTCATGGTACTGCATGGTAGTGGCAGCCGCAGCCTGTGGGTCCTCCTTCAAGAACTTACTGAACTCCTCTTTTTTCTGCTCCTCGTTTTCAATCTGCCGAATTTGCACAAGCTTCTCCATCAGCCTTATTTTGGCAGATTCTTGCTGCTTCACATTTTCCTTCTCTGCCTCATCATCACTATCATCTATCCCAATCACTTTACACACGCTTTCTCCCGCATCCTCCTCCTCGCTGTCGGTTTCAGACTCCGCCGTCTTATCTTCCCCAGCTGTCTGCTCTATCAAGGTCCCATCTTTATTGATAGTTGTGTACTCCAGATTGGGTTTGGGAGCCTTTAGACTGATTGTCATCTGTGAGATTTCGACAGGCTGGATTGTTTCTGTCAGTTCATTTCCACAGCAAGCATCCCATAGGAAAAAGGCACATACCACGGTTCGTTTCTTCGCGAGAAATTTGAGAGAGTATTCCACGCCTGCAAACGAGACGACGTGGCCATTTTCGGCCTGCACGGTATTAACAATCGAGTCCCAATATTGATGGCGAGTTGCGAGAGGGAAACAGTCTTCAATTACCTGTTCTGGGGTGTATGTTCTCCAGTCTTCTCTTTTGAGCTTATCAAAAGCCCCAATACCGCCGCCTATCTTACCGATTCCCGTAGCTCCCAGGTCCAGCGACAAATCAACCTCGCTGTTTTTACCCGTAGTGAGTTTGACCGCACACTCATCGGTGACCCAAACAGCCATAATCACGAACAGCCCACGATCTCTGATTTCGTGACGTTGACGCCGGGACTTGATAAACTCTGCCGCATTCTCGTCCACCCAATCCATTATTTGAAACTTGAAGGGATCCTTTAGCTTGTAGTAACGCACCACAGAGCCGGTAATGAGGGCTGCACTGCCGGTCGACGAAGTTTTATGCTTCATCTGGGCAGACACATCGATTGGGGCAGCAGCCATCGCGCCAGAAGCTTCAGCAGTGGCCCGGGAGCTCCGTCCTACCTCGCTTTCGCCAGATTGCTTGTCCCAGTAACACTCCTGCACTTTATCCACTTCCAGGGGGTGACGGAACGGCTTGTACCCGTTTGCTTCTGGATTGCCTTTTTCCATCAGATTGACAAGTTCACACCAGTCTCCAGTCCTGTGGAAATAGCCGACTGACCCAAGGGGTATCCTATTAGCGTCTAGAGGCTTGTAGAGGAAGTGTCCATGAGGTTTATACCCCATGATATCAGCATATCGTTTGGCAGGATCGTCGGACATGGTGTGTAGCGGAAACGAAACTATATTGGGGGAGACAAGCGTGCGGTGATTTTTCAGAGATACTCAGAGTGCATGCGAAGTGATGAAGAGGGGCTTGCTGGGCTTAATGTATTTCCCTCAGGGAAGGAAAGTGCATTGGCGGACAGGCGTCATTGTCTATAATGGGTATAGATTCTCGGGTGGGTCGGCCAATGGATTCAAAATGAGAGCACGAGTAGATTTGATCATGATCCACCCACTCGCGTAGCACGAACCCACTCCATTTTCTCTGGGCACAATTCTTGCTGCAAACGCTTTCCTGGGGACCCGCCTGTGATCTTTGCAGGATAATGGCCGACAATCAGCGGGGACTGTGGATCCGACTTTCAGCTCGCCTTGACTCGCATCTCTCCGGCTCGAAAACATTGGATAGAAGCGGCTATCGATCGTTATTTGCGGTGTGGCCGTCCGAATTAACAACGCTCGGATGATGGGGCTGATTATGCTGCTACTGCCTGCAAGTGTGTCATTATATCTAGCGCGCCAAATTCCAGATCTGATAGCAAAAATGCTTTAAGTGGAGTCTTTCACCACCACCAGAGACGTATGAAAGAAGCTAAGCGATGTGGGGTAACGAGCTGAAAGCCGATCTACAAGGCTTGCAGCTGTAGATGAACATCCGAGATGACGGCATGTTATGGAGGGAGCATTCTTACTTCTGTGCAAGTCCACACAAGCCGAGAATGGAATTACTTGCTGTGGGACGAGTATAGACTCGCAGGGAAGGTAAAGTTGGCACAACACGCCTTCTTTCCGCCCATCAAGTATGATACTGAGCGGAATTGGCGCCGGGCGGATGGGCTAGTATCCTGCCCCACACCCATCCTCTACCCTTTCGGTTTCATTCAGTATGGTGGACCATGGGCTGTGGTCGGGCTCTCAATTGATCTAATGCAGGCATAATGACGGTGGGGTCTAAGAAGCGGCGAGAAGATTACCTGGCTCCGCCATAAATGACGTGTGGGACATGGAGTGATATGAAACATTTTGGTTAGTACTTCACAGCACCAGCACAAGGTCTATCTTGTGAAGGGTAAATGAAGTTGAAGACTACCAAGGAGGCTGAAGAAGTAGCTCCAGAACAGATTGTTTACAGCGACTCATATCTATATGAGCGTATCACATGATTAGGGTTTGAAACAATCTCTGTGTTTGCAACATGAGAGGCGACAGCAGTCGGCATTAAATTAGGAATGCGCCCATAAACTGTTCCAGTTTTTCGAATCATAAACCCTTCGAAGGTATTCATTCTCAGAAATATCATCCGTCCTCAATAATTGAAATTCTTTTTCCGTCAATCAACTATGTACCATATATGCGAGAGATCGAGCTAGATCAGTCTCCTACTCCTCTGAGGATCGACAGGGAAACAAGGGGAGGAAACATTGACCAGCAGAGAGTACCAAGATTACCAGAGACACTTGAGATTCCGGTGTAGAAAGAGAACCCAGACCAAGGATACTTCGAGAGCTCAGAAATTCAAGGATATAAAGGACACCGAGAGTCAGAGATCAAAGACTAAGAAGGATCTAAAGAATTATGGGGCTCGAGTGGATGATTAAAAGACTCGTACGAAATACAAACCTCTCAAGACTGAGGATAAGAAGGCCACTGCTTAAAGGCGGGATCGGACCCTCGGACAAAAGGCTTTCGTTGGACGTTGTAATCCCCGTGAAGTCGGACGACCGGAACGAGATGGGTCCATAAGGGGGCGCCCATCAACGACTTGATTATAGTTTCTCCAGAATGGTGTTGGAACATAACTGAACCGGATCTGGCTGAATAGTTAGCCTTGATACTGCAAACTGACGATGTTGTGAGTTTGAGGCATGGATTCAGCTGCGATGAACGAATCCAAGATGGAATCATGAATTTCCTAGCCGAAATAAAGAAGAAGCATTATGATGAAAGACTAGAACACTGACAATATTTCAATCAAGATACTGCACTATACTCGAATTGGTTAACCTCATTCAGGGGGAGAATGCTTAAATGCCCAGGCAGAGCTGGGAAATCGTGCAGCGTCTCGAGGGGCTGTACGAGTCCTTAGATTCGGTATTAGACAGGAGATCAGGACAAACATACCGGTAATGTCAAGTCACTTTTCAGATTTTACATGATGGCGAATTGGACTGGAGTCCCAGTCTATGACTTACTGGTCGCACACCTAGACATTAACTTTGCGAGCCAAAGCCGCATGACTGAGACGAACTGCTCAAGGTGAGCGATAGCATGACCGCTACGAAGGATTCTAGGTTAAAGGGTTAAATTTAATGAATTAGATAACTATAAGTAATAAAATGAGAGAATGCATAAAGTCCGGGCTCGTAAACGTTTCTATGGTTTAATAAAGCGGTCTAATGACATCGGTTGGTGATCTGCTAAGCTTGTTGTCCACGGTGCCTACTGCGCACTTTTGGGATCCTGACGACCGATCTGATCTAGACGAGTACGAACCGAAACCCGTCCCACTTAGTCTGATCGGTGGACTTATTAGTAGAGGTATGATTCGAATCTTTTTCGTAGACTTGTCCAACGCAAGTTTTCTTTTCGTTACATAACTCGGTTAGAGACGGAGGTATCCACTTTCTACATTTACGTAGCTAATACTACGTTGTTGATACACATTATTCTCTAAAGATTGAAGATTGAAGACATTTAAGCACTTGAAAGAAGCATTCAGTGTCCTCAACGCATCTTCAGGAGAAAGTGGAACAACAAGCAAATGCGGGGTTAAGCATGTGGGGCTTATAATTGTGGCCTTCGCCTGATCACATGCTCCAACTCCTTAACTCTCTTTCGGTCTCACCTCAACAATTGTCATAATTGGATTTGAAAAATCATCTTTTGATCTGATGGAGCCCGAAAGGTATCTCTCAGGGTAAGTACTCTCGTGTTCCTTCAGATTTCCTAAACTTCTCCAGATTCCCCTTGTTACGGAACCTGACGGAAATCCAGCGACCTCCCCGCTCCAGATAAAGTGTTTCTTGAAGCTTGCAACATCTATTTCAGGCATTGCCACAATAAGCCATTTGGATTTTTCAATGCCACCTTCTTTTACCAAAAGGTCCAACAAGACCGAGTCCCTCTACACCTAAAATTGGCCTTGATTGCCTCCGCCACGCGCTACTCGTCGCGCTCACAATGGATGGAAAGAAAACGAAGTACAATTGACAGCTATGCTCGGTGCTCATGGGAGTTGATCACGACATCCTCCAATCCATTGGATAAAGATGATGATGTGGATGTCATTCAGTCTCTGGTGATATTGGCGGCTATAGATTTGACCGGTGAGTAAACTTGCGATTGGAGCTCTCGAGAGTGGATTAGGGATACTGAGACGTGCTGAAGCGGGCCGGCGCCGAAATGCTTGGGTGAAGATTGGGATGTCGGTACGAATCGCTCAGGACTTGGATATGATGTTGGAACCACCATCCAATCTTCCTGAACTCGAGCGCGACGAGCGACGCAACCTTTTTTGGTCACTGTACTTGCTAGATCGATTTGTGTGCTGCTCTTTTCAACGACCACCCGCTATTCACGACTCGGATTTACACCTCAACCTGCCGACACATTATCGCTCTGAAAAACGATTACCCTCTATAACGCTAAGTGAGCTGTTTAACGAGAATATTCGAAACCTTTCACCTCGTTCGGGAATGTTCGGTATTAGTATTGGGTTCGTTGCTTGCTTGGGACGAACTACTAAATACATGATGAGCAAGCTGAGATGCCAGTCAACGCCCCCTTGGAAATCCGGCTCTGAGCATGCCATGATCCATCGGGATCTGGAGTATTTGAAGCAGCTTGCTCTACAAAATGGTCCCATTCCAGGGGCACCAAGTCAAACACAGCCCCAAGCCGAATCCTCCAAACCCGACCGTGAGCAGATCTCACATATGGTCCTCTCACATACATTATACCATTTATGCCTTTGCATTCTCAACCATCCCTTCTTAATCGGGTTGAAAATCGAATCCCGTTCACACTCCGATATGCCATTAATGTGGCTAGAAGATACTCGCAGGCGAAGTCTATCTCACGCTGGGTCTTTGATCACGGTCCTCCTTGAAGCAAAGGCTGCTGGATATATGCCAATTACCTCGGTCTACAGTTACAGCATGGTGCTGGCAAGCACAATCCATGGAATATTCATGCACTGTGATGATTCTTCTATCCGCCAAAGCTCAGCAGAGAATTTGAAACCAGCCTTTGAATACCTCTCCGAGATGTTTGATCTATGGGACAATGCAAATATTATGGTACGCAATATCTCCAAATGTTTATGATTCTGCTAATTCCTTGGTTCTAGGCAAATGCTTTGGAAAATTTTATCACCCATTGTCCAAGATACAGCAAAATACTTCTGCGCAACGAGCCATGCACGAGCGAATTCACCCCGACGGAGCTGACTATACTCAAATACGTTATTGATTACTGGGCAATGATGGATTCTCGGAATCCAGTCTTCCAGGAGGCCTTGACGACACAACCTGCAGAACCCCAAGTGACAAGTCCGGACTGCCTGACTCCTCCAACTTCGATTCCTATTGACACTAGTCCTGATGAGGAACACACAGCAAATGATCTAGACCCGGATATTTTAGTTGCATATCCACTTCCAGTCATGTCCCCGATTCCATCAAACGACGGCTCGCCAAAATGGGACTGGGATCAAGAACTAGATATGAGCCCTCCTACATGAATAGAGATTGCAAAATACACTGTACATTTTGAGCAAATGTTACCCCATATATTCACGTCCAAGCGCCTTTTTTTCTGTTACTTGTAAATGAAACATATTTTACTTCAAGAGTAATGTAAGTTTAGTAGGCAGTGACCCCAATGTGATCTTGGAAGCAGGGCAGACATAGAAGACAATGAGGTTGATATCGTATAAAGCTGAGAGCTCAAGTGTGTACCTACCCCAGGGCCGTCTACTCATTGATAATAAGAGGCTCTCATCACGAATGTCACAACCTAAGCTACTCCATATACACATATAGCATGGTGAGTCGGATGAGCTTTCTTCCATAGCTTTCTATTCTGCTCTTGTCTCTTAGTTATCTCCGCTCTTTCCTCTATCTTCTTCTTTCCATCGCTTTTCTCTCCCATCCACTCCTCTCTTCTCCTCTCCTCTCCTCTCCTCTTCGCCTCTTCATTCCGCTCTCACCCTTCCTCTCCGTTCCACCTCAACCATGGACCCCCGCTTCCCCATTCTTCCTCCCTCCATCTTTTCCCTATCATATTCTCCCGTCCTAATTCTATGAGCAGAGTCCGAATGGGCCGCCTTCAACTTCTGACCTCTTTTAAATAGGGTCCAAGCAGCAAAGTACTCGCGACAGTAGTCAAACTTCAGGGGAGAAGGGCCATATCGCATTCCATGCCCCCCTGAGTGCCGAGGAAATGAAACTGCTGCCCATACTGCGGCGCAGTGGAGGCTGCAAGTATAAGCGCGGTGCCACCATGCATGTTCAAGCCCATTCTCGATCTATCTGCTAGCCAAAATTGGGTAAGTACTACATATGCTACTCGAATACCAATATGTCAGTCAAATTGACCTTCCAGCTTACAGCCCAAAGTACGTTCGATAGGCGAGGGAAGCAATGGAGGCAAATTTCCAACTCTTTCTCTACGCAGATTGTGTCTTGCATGAGAGTTAGGGGGTGCTACAGGCTGGTTGAGCTTTACAACAGAAGCTTTGGGGCAAAACCCAGCGCAACCTCTGGTTTCGGCAAGGGGGGGAGGGGATGACGCCAATCAGAATATTACAGTTATTCAAGGCTGCAAACAAGATAAAACTAATATGTATAGAGATAAAACTGAAGATATAATCCGTTCCAAGGTTGACCAATTTTATCAGAATGTCTAGTCCCTCAAAAAGCTTAGATCGCCCTACGGAAATTAAGAAATAGCTTAGAGTTTCAAGAGTATAGTATTTAAACTTGGAACAAGGCTAATGCCATAAGCAACCGTACAGTACTAAATTGCGTACTTAGCCGATCGGTTAATATTGTGCACCCCTACTCAAACATAAATTACCTTCAACAACATTTGATTGGAGCGACGGAACACCCTAAGCCGACCATCTGTTCTGACGTCTAGATTCGGTGATGGGTCTGAGCACAGTCTTCGAAACACCCTTGTCAATACAGTCACATAGCGAACCAAAAGAGAACCATCATTCATTACAATTCCATTGCAAATTCTTCAAACCAGCGGGGTGGTGTGGTAAGTTGACCCCTAGTCGCTTAGTAGTGAAGCTCCCCGGTGTTTCAGGATGGAAACCTTCTCCGTGCGCGTAGATGGACCCTGTCAATGACGAAATGGCTCGAGTAAGTGACTCCGAGTAAAGCTCGTGTTTAGACGATCTGAATGAGCCAATATCCGAAAAGCAGGGATAGCGAAGAGTGGACGTCAATACTAAGATCCTGGAAGAGTTTAGATCAGCGTGAGTCGATATGTGGCTGGACCACAACTCGGTTCGCCGTAAACAACATAATCAAATCTGTCCCACCCAGCACGGCCCGTGTCTAGCTCAAGGGTAGGAATATCGTAGGTTCCAGAATCCAGCTCCGTGCCAAGTGTACCCCCACTCAGGTCGGGTCAGAGTAATTTTCTGGAACCTCATTTAGAGTCGTTTGGACAGGTCCAGAATTCCCCGACTATCCTCATATACTCATATTGCGAACGGGCTAGACGGGATAGGTATTAATCTCGGGGGGTAGGGGACCCTGGATAGAATTTCCAGTGGCGGGGTTTTTATGTGAAACACTCGGTAGATTAAGGTGTATGGTATTATACGGACCGATTACAGCCTGAAACACACGATCTTGTTATCATTTTCGAGTGGGTTTCCAATCCTGGTCCTCTTCCCCACTTTCAATTCAAATTTTCAGGCCGTGTCGCACTATCCCTAGGGAAGAAGAAGATTTTTGACCGTGGGGATTCTACTGGATATTTGGCTTTTTTTGATCTTCCGCTTTTGCGGTGATATCACAGCTAACAAGAGTTGACCACTAATCATTAAAGATTAGAATATGTCAACGGGCGCCACAGCGCCAGTGACGGGAGGCAGCAATCTCCGGTTATTTTATTAGACGAGTGAGAGATTAAAGGCCAAAGTCTAATGGTTTGATTGGTGCGGATCCACAAGTGTGTATCCTGTGGTCCACCAATCAGACGCCCGTGCCTGAGACGTGTGTGGGGCGATATAGATATCGTCGAGTACTGGATACGCCCATCTGTCATATTAGCAGTTCCAGCTCCACCTGTACATAGTACCACGTCCACGTTGGCCAACCGCTTGGCTGGGTAGAAATTGATATTTACTATGCCTAAAGTAGACCCACTCGGCTTGACCCGGTAATACCGATACTGCTCACTCCATTCATTAACCTCCGACTTCTTCTTCCTTTCCTTCTTCCTCTTCTTTAAGCTTGTAGCTCACTTTCTCTTCACACTCTCTGGTTCAGAGCTCATTCTTTCTGTCACTCTTTTTTTTACTGTGGATTGACTTCACAGCCTCACTTTCATTCATTACAAGCTTCTCTTCAATCACATTTTCAAACTTGACGACATTGACTGTCCAACTTGAACCATCACAATGTACACACTCAACACCCTTTCTCTTGCTGTGGTCGCTTCTCTGGCTGCTCTGGGCAGCGCAGAGATGCATGGCTTGCACGCCCGCCACCTGAACCACGCCCGTGGTATCAACGGCACTACTCCCTCTGGCTCGCTCCCCACTACCTACGAGACTGTTTACCCTACTCCCGCTCGCACTCCTCATTCTCCCTCTGGCAAGCCCGCCTACACCCCGTCTGGCAGCTTCTCCAATTCTCTGACCAGCTCTGTGCCTGTGCCCCTTGGCACTGGCTCCGTCGGCTCCAGCGTTGTGGTCTCCGCTTCTGCCTCCCAGTCTGGATCTGAGTCTCTTACTACTGATTTGACCACCACTGATGTCACTCTCACTTACACTCTCGGATCTGGAACCTCGACCAGCGTTGTCACCACTACCATCCAGAAGACCATCACTGATGTTCACACTGTCTCTGCCTACCCCGTTAGTTCAATCCCTCGCCCTTTACATGTTCTATCACTGACAGCCCACACAGACTCCGGCTTTCACTGCCCCCATTGAGAAGGGACACGGCCAGAAGCCCGAGGAGACTACCATTGTGCACGGAACCACGACCAAGACTTTGACCGTCGTCGAGGCTCCCACTGACACCGTCACCGCCAGCAATGGTGTCTGCAACCAAGCCACCGTGACTGTCACCGCCACCGAGACCGTGACCGTGGTATGTACCCAGCGCAATATCCAGATAAGACAAAGACTAATAATCTCAGACTCCTTCTCCCAGCTCCGCCCCTGAGAGCCAACAGCCCACCACCACTCCTGCCACCGAGATCGAGTCCGAGACCACTGCGCCCGCCCCTAGCGCCACTCTGACCACCAGCCGTCCCCCTTACGGCAACGGAACAGCCCCCTACCCTTTCACCAGCCTGACTCCCACTCCCTCCGGCTTCGCCAGCTCTATCCGTGTCCCCTCCGGCTCGCCCAGCATCAAGCCCGCCCCCAGCGGCCCTGCTTCTCCTAGCGGCCCGGTCTCTCCCTCCGGTACCCCCGGCGGCAACTTCCCCCACGGATTCCGCCGTCGCTACATCTAAGCGGTTGCGAGTTCCGAGACATGATGAGCTAGTCGATGATCGTGAGAGTTAGACTTTCGATTTGGTTACTGTTACTGTATTTTTCACTTATTCGTGCATCTGCATGCTGGGATTGTACCTATTTCATTCTTTCAGGTTAGGGGGGTCTTGGCCGCAGATCTGCCATTCATCCACGTGTGGACTTTTCTTGATTAATTTCGTCCATGGGCTTTCTTCCAATGATGTCGCTTGATCTCTTTTTGCTTCTTCAGGCTTGCGTGTATCATGACAAGTTTCAGAAATCCCGTGTCCTCTTTATATTTTTCTTCTTTTTCCCCTTCTAATGAGATATCCATTTGATACTCTCGTTCGGACTCGGATTATCTTTTTTTTGTATCGTGCAGCTGGATCTTGACTGATTTACGCGGTCAATTGTTTGATCTTCATTTTCATTGTTTCTCATTAGATGTGCGTGCTTATGCAAGGGTGCGTACAGCTTGTATAGTTTTTATAAAATTGCGATTTGCTATTACTTGAGATTACTGCTTTTGAACTTCGGGTACTAAATTGTATGACATTTACCCATTAACTCATATCGTACTTTGTACCTTATGATTATTTCTTCACGCAGAATATACTTTAGGCTGATGAGTGGACCTGTCGATCCGCCGATCTTGTGGAGACTGGAGAAACTTGAGGCTGGGGTGAGGCGGTGCTGCAGGGCAGAGTCGAGCCTTGGCCTAGTAAATACGCTTCCTGATGACACATCTTCCATGATTGAGTGTATTGCAAGTGTTGGCCTGGTTTGCATAGATGTTTGTTTGTCAAAGGCTCGATGTCTCCAAACAAGGAAGGCGCCATTTCCGAGTATCACCCCTCCCCCTCTCTTTTCGAATCCAATTCTTGTCTTCTTTACTTCCCCTCATTTTTTCTGATACGCAATCTTTACACTGGGACATCAATTCATGACAGTGTACAGCAGTATATACAAAAAGCTACTCCAAAGCCTTCATTCCCTCCCTAACAATCCGTTCCCTCATGACCTGCCACTCCAACCAAGTAACACCCTGTAGCAAACAATCCGCCAAATCATCCAACTTCCCAACATCTCCATTCTTCCTCCCCCCCTCTCTCCCCTCCACTTCCGCACATAAGCACCTGCGATCTCCCTCACACCACTATCCTCCCCAACGACAATCTTCCCATCGGAACTCCCATCCAGCGAACCCTCAACCCAACCCCCCACAATCCCAACTTTGGCTTTTTTAACTTCCCTCGCCGTAAGCCTTTTCCCATCAAAGCTCTTCATCCCGTCTACTGTTTCAATGCCAATGGCAGTGCCAGTGTTATTTCTCCCAATCTCATCCCAAAAGCCCACAACCCGCTTTGGCTCAACACCCTCAACGAAAATCCCATCTAAGCCCCGTTCTTGACGCAACGTGTGTAATATAGCATAGAGCATACCCTCAAAAACACCAACGCGCAAAGTCCATTCTTGAACGGCGCTGCTTCCGGCTGAGCGGAAGCGTTGACGTTCGATGAGAATGTGAGTTGGGTTGTGGGTTGATAAAAGGGTTGTTAGAAGTTTATAGGCAGTTGAGGCGTAGATAGCGGGGGAGTATGAATCTTTTGTGGCAGTGATAGAATCCGTTAATTCAGAATCGGACGTTGGGGCTGTGGATGTAGTTGAGAGGTCTGATAACCCATCTAAAACAGATAGACGTCTCCAAGCTTGTAACTCCGGTAAACCTGGCTCTGATTCGTTTATCCGTTCAAGCCCTTGATCTTGTCCATTTCCAGGATTGGTGCCGGCGCTAGAGCCAGAGCTGATCGAAAGAGGGCACGGAACAACCATAAAAGCAAAAGCCAGATTCCGAATTCCCATATCAATACTCAGAATCCGCCATTCTCGCGAAGATTTATCACGCGGTTGAGTCTCATGAGCAACTTGAACATTATTTCGTAATTCATCTCGGATTCGTTGTATTAAGACGCCCTTCGTCCCCGAGGATTGTATTCCCGTCGCGCGTGCAACACGCTGTAATTGCGTTGATTTAAGTGATGAGAGCCATGGCATGAACTCCGAGCTTGTGGATGTTGATGTTGATCCCAGAGGTTTTAACGCAGCCACAGGCCGGGACCGGGATCCCGCGAAGAGTGTGGCGGAGAGGCGCATTCTGTACGGAGGTCCCCTTCTGGGGATCGAGATTAAGATCAAGATCGGGTCCGTGGTTCGGAATGTGGATGGCGCTATTTTTATCTCAGTTTATTGGTTGTCTCCAGATTCGATCAATTGGAGATGGTGCGCGCCGGAATTGATGAAGTTGATGTTGATCTGCCGATCGATGCACGGACCGTTGCTGCACGCGTCGATTAGCTTATCTCACATTCTCCTTGTATTTCTACTCCGTACTTTCGAGGTAAAGCATAGTTTTGATTTATTTTGATTTGATTTTGATTGTATACAGTTCAGATTCAATGCATAGATCAAGTCGAATAGCGAAAATTGAAAACAAACCCGAAATCCATAGCCATAGCGCCTTCTATATCGCAGTAAAATGATAAATCAGTAACAAGCCCCCCCATATTTGTCCAGCGCCGATGTAATGCCACGGTGCCACGAGGAGAACGCCAATGAATCCAATGCAGGCGCTGAAGAGCAATGAAAAATAAAAAGTAAAACATAAAAAAACAATAGGGAAAATGAGCCAACTCCAGATTCAGCAATGTAATCAGACTGTAATTAGACGAATGCCGCCGGACCAGGATCCAGATCAGCAATCTCATCCCGGAGATAAAGCAGCGGAGCCCAAACACGCCAATGCAAAACACCTATGTGGGCAAGCCGCATTCCAATCCGCTCAATATCATACTCCGACGGCGTAGGAGTCTGCGCCAAACCCGTCGAACTAGCAGGATTCGTTGCAGCCGAAGACGCAGGGACAAGCGGCGCAGCAGGCGCAACAGCACGCTGCGACTCACAAATCGCCAACGGCGAAAGCGGCAAATACTTCTTCGTCGAAACGATTGTCGCAGACAAGATCTTTTCCCGGGTGGTATTTTGGAAATGGCGGAAGAGATCCGACTCGTTGGTCAAGTGCCACTCGAGCGCTGCCTCGATCGGCGTGATGACTTCGTCTTCGACGTCGTCCATGCCGCAGGCTAAGCAGGCGAACCGGGCGATTTCAAGCGCGATACTGCGCATATTTTGGTACCAGTGTGCGCCGCCCCGGAGGTCGGGGTCGTCATCTATTGCGCTGGGTATGTGGCCGTTTGGATCGAGGCCATCTTCCATGAGAGATAAGATGCGGGAGCGGAATGTGAGCAATATTTCTTCGCGGCCGCGGAGGTAGCGGTTTTTGGAGTGGACCCAGGATTCGAAGATGTACCAGGCTATTTCGAGGTTGATGAGATTTTGAATTGTGGCACGGAGTTGCCAGAGTCTGTCGGAGTCGAAGAGGAAGGTTTCGGGGAAGTCGGGTGGGGGTGTGAATTGGAGGAGTTGATCGGCTATTCCGCGTAAGAGGGCTTCGAGGGGCTTGAGACCGTCGTCGGATTGGATTGGGCTCTTGAGGGCGTCTTCTTGCTGGGCGCGGTTTCGGACGTCTAGGTACCAGAGACGGGCGGGTTCGACTTGAAAATTCCCGCGACTGATTTTACCCTCGAAGTATTCTTGTAGAAAAGGGACTGTGTCTTCGATGAGTAGCACGCGGAAGGTACGTATTTGGTGGTTCGCAACGTCCTATCGGGCTTGGTTAGCGATGCTTAAATTGTGGAGCCGGTGGAGTCCGTACCAATTTCATGGCCTCCAAGATCGCAAAGAGGGTCGTCAAGCCATTGACAATTTCCTTTGGGTCTTGCGACTGGGACCCTTGAGTGATCTGTTCAGCCATCCGATCCGCCCACTCATCCCGCATCGGTGCACAATGCGTCTTGAGCAAGGCCGCCATCCACGTCGCTAGCGCAACCATATCGAGGACACCCTTGCGGATCTGCTGCATCAGCAAGGGCACCTCCAAGTTCTGCATGACGCTGGGGTGATCTCGCTCCGGAACAAGGGTCTTGATTACTTCCTGCAGGGTCTCGAACATGGAGGGCAGCCGGGGCTCAAAGGTGCGTTGTGAGCTCCCTCGACTCGGCTCCTCGTCGGGGTGCGCGGCGTGGTACGCATAGATCGCAATCTCCGTCGCCATGGAGTCCCAGTACGCGGTCGCATCTTTTCGTTTTCGCTTTCCCTTCTCACCATCTAGGTCAGGCTTGAAATGTAGGTCGCGATCGAAGTTGGCATCCATACGAAGATTGATGTTGCTGATGATGCATGGCAGATCGAGTTCACTCAACGTTTTCTTGGTCACGGGTGGCTGTCGTCGAGCTTTGCATAATAATCGCTGATCCCGAGAACTTAATCCCAAGGCTTTAGGAATGACGATGGCCTCTGGAGACGGCGATGGCTCCCGGCGTGGCGTTGCGGGCGCTAGCGCAGATTGCTGACGAGTTCCGGGAGGATATGTGAAGGGCGACTGTCGACGAAGCGGGTGGTTGGAAGAATTATCATGGCCGTGAGAATCGCGCCCCTCGTTCTTGTGATACTCTTTGGAGCGGCCACCTCCACCATAGGCGTCCAACGGGCCGTCGGCACCCTCCTCTTGGGTCCGGGCCTCCTTAGTCCCCTGAAGATCCATAGAGAAGGGGAAAAAAAAAGAACAAAAGGACAAAAAGGGACGATCTCCCTAAGCTTCAGTTAGATAAGACAAATTATTATTTTTTTTTTTTTGAGTTAAGGTGGCGAACATCGCCCTGCGCCATCACCCCCCAACTTGCGAAGCAAAGTCGGTCTCAACTCGAACGCCCCTTATGCAACTCTTTTCGAACTTACCTTTTCTTTCGCCTTGTTTGCCTCAGGCAGGCAGCCAATCCGCGTTGCCGACAAAGTGATGCAAGTGAGCTGTCAATCGCGGTGGAGCCACCGAGGAAGCTTGGATCTGCGGGCGATCGGCCCTCGTGGTCCAGACTCCTATAGTTGGATGAAGAGATTTCAAGAAGAGAATTTTGCTGGATCTCTTCAGGTGAATATGTGGAATCACAATGTGGAACAAGTTCGGCCAACTCAAGACATCCGGGAGCTAGTTCTGCAATACCAGATTCCCGCGGCAAGATAGATCACGATAGTCACGTTAAGAAAGCAAAAAGACCAAAAGAAAAAGAGCAAAGATTGGGAAAGCGACCGGGTTGGCACTGATATAGTCGAACACAGAACGTTTTCAAGAAAACCAATGACGGATTCGGGTGGACGCAACCATCACATTCCACTGCTGCTACCCGGACCCAGAACCTCGATCATGCCCCTATTCTGCACCACTGAACATCACATCCAAGGAACCAAGGAAATAAAAAAGAAAACCCTATCGAAAGGGGAGTAGGGTTTCAAGGGGTTTTCCGAAGCCCGGATCATCCCAACGCCTCACTTTGGGGACGCATGGGCCACGTGAGGTCCCCCGAATGAATTGGTCGGGGGGCCACTCTGGTAAGTTGACCAGCGTGGTCGAATTGGCAATCCATTCGGGTACAGATCAATCGATCCATCAGGTCTGCTTGACTTGATCTGTCGTACGTTGAGATGCAGATTACGGTGGATTAGTCAGATCCTGGCGGTTGCGTTCGGTGATGTGGTGCCTTATACCTCGGGCATCCACTGTCGAGCTCACTATTCCGGAAACGATCGACACGAACCCTCACTCTACGGAGTATGGACTGCAACTTCGCAGAATCCCCCAAATGGAGACAGAATCATGCAATTTATATGGCCGAATGAGGTCACTAAGGCTCAGTTAATTCAATTCATCGGTTTCAACCTGAAACTCGCCATTTGGAATAAAGGTTCTTCCCAATCGGGGGTTCTATAGAACTAACTGCCCTGGTCTCTATTGACCTACAGATCGGGATCTTCAAAGAAGCCCACACTTCCAACCTTCTATAAACCCTTCACCATGGGGACAATTCAATGCAATTTCAAACTTCTATATATTCCTTCTGAAAATTATATATCTCAAATCTTGACTCTTCAAAAATTCAGTCCATTGCAGATCGAGATCATCGTAAATCGCGGTCAAGCCGTACAACACAGACGGGCTCCACCATGAATCTCGCCGCCTTCTACTACCTTTTCCAAGTACTGTGGGCAATTCCCACCCTCGTCCGATCTCATACTGCATCGTATTCTGTCTCTCCATTCCAAGTTTCCACCCTCCCTGATAGCCCCGCCCTACCAACCAGCTGGGCCGGCCGACTACCGGTTCCGGGAAGACAGGGCAACGAGATCTTCTTCTGGCTATTCGAAACAGAACAACCTGCATACGACGAGAACCTAATTAGTTTGCTTGATCCGATCTAGTTCTATACCAAAAATGCAACACTAATACTGATGATCTCATAGTCTGGCTGAATGGTGGTCCTGGCTGCTCCTCGCTCATAGGCCTCACGACGGGGAACGGACCCATTGCTTTTGCCGGAAACTCTACTCGCCTCGTTTCGAATCCATACTCGTGGACAAAGCTCGGTCATGTCCTATACGTGGATCAACCCGTCGGCACGGGCTTCTCGCTCGCCAGTTCTCTCGTGAGGACCAATGAACAGGCGACAGCGGATCTGGCACTATGGCTGCAGGCGCTCTTCAAGCAATTCCCTCATCTTCAGTCAAAAAAGGTGCATCTGATGGGCGAGTCATATGCAGGGATCTTCGTGCCCTACCTCGCATCCGCCTTGATGGAAGGCAACCATTCATTTCCAATCAATCTCCGCTCTATGTCGCTGGGTGACGGATCATGGGGTAACGCCGCAGCAATGTCCTCCGTCGCAATGGGCACATACATGCACTCCCATGCATCTCGCCTCGATTTACCAAAGAAGATCTTGAATGTATTTGCACTGGCAGATGAATTTTGCGGCTTCGACTCCGCCCTGGAAGCGGCCCACACATACCCTCCTGTCGGCAAGATCCAAATTCCAGGAAATCCCGAGTATGTCAACTATCGTCGACGACTCCGCCGCCGTGGCGATACAAACCTCGGTATCCTGGATGGATCATGCGACACTAATGTATCCACAGTACCAGAGATCTTGAATGCTATCCTGAATTCCTCCTGCTATGGGCCCTGCGCTACGTTCTCAACGGCTGAGAACTACATGTATGCCCGCTCAGCTGAGGGCTCAGGTCCAGCATGCTTCAGCATGTATGACCTCTCTCACAACTGCAACACCGTCGACCCAATCCCGCTGCTCGAAAAGTACTTCAGTCGCACAGACGTGCAAGCAGATCTACATATCCCGGATAGTGGTACATACACCGCGTGCAACAATACCATCCTTTCAACGCTTACGGGGACCGAATTCGTCGAGCCGCCCGAGTACGCTATCCTGCCTTCACTTGTTACATTGTACAATGTCTCATTGCATATTTACAATGGCGAGATGGATATGCTGATCAATCATGATGGAACCGAGTTATCGATTCAAAACATGACTTGGCGCGGTGAGCAGGGGTTCCAGAGCAGACCGACTCAACGGTTCTATGTTAATGATGCGGCGCCTACGGCTCGATCAAAACAAAAGATGGCGGGGACTTGGGCTTCGGAGAGAGGCGTTTCATATCACCTTTTCCGGGGGCTGGCCATAGTGTTTTTGCGACGAAGCGGAAGGAAATGTTCGCTTTTGTACGTGATGTTGTCGTTGGCGGGGGAGCAGATTGATTCTCTCGGGTTACTTGATCCGGTGGTTTGTTTATCGGACCATACTTGCGCAAAGGGTTGAGGGTCGGGTTTCGGTATCAATATCGATTGAACATGAATTATTAGTCAGGGTTGCAAATTGATGTTGTGCTTGCATATCAGGGTATCGGACGACGTCGACAGATGATACATCAAGTAGGGGATTCCAGATATCCTGATTCAGGATAGAATAGATACTTTCGTCATTTATGGAATGTTTGCATAGTATATGCTAGTTTAAGTTCATGCAAAAGTCTTGCTTTCATGTGTGACTGTCCGCAATCCCCTCTTTTCGGGTACATTCTTAAATTGATGCAATAATACATTGGTTCTACCTTTGACTATATACAAGTCACCTTTGCTTTGTATTGTTGTTTGCCTACTTTCACTGATAGGATGGTTTGAGATGAGGTGGAAAGACTCAGAATGGATAGAGCATGATCAAGAGAAGTAATTACTCATGATTACACTCCAACGCCAAGTGATGCTTAGGGCCTCAAATGGCTATTTTTGACGTCATTTTTAGCTTTCCATCTACTAGGATAAGGGTCTCACCGAACCTAGTGCTCAAACTTCATAGAAAGGTTGAATAACAAAGTACTGTGAAGTCAAATGGTGATAGTCGTCGTTGCCCACATGATACAAAAGCAGTGTCTGTAAGGTAGCGTCAGGCCACCAGGGGGCTATGCCGCCTGGCTTTTGTAGGTATATATTCACAATAAATGGCTTTCTATCTTTTCTCATACGTGATAGGTCCAGAAAATGAAAATTCGGGTCATTAGTGACCCCAATATGGCCAATCTCCGGTCGCAAGGCTAGGGTGGGGAGCCTTGGAAGTCGCAAGGCTCCCACCCGAGCCTTGGAACATGCCTTCCCCACCCGGGGCTTAGTTCCCTAAACATTCAACCAACTTTGAAGCACCATGTCTTCCCCTTCCGAGTCCGAGGCAAACGATGCCATCCTAGTCAGCTTGGAAGATGTGCGTGACTTCAACAAGGATAATTTGCTTCCGTTACCAGCCGAGGATATCATCAAGATCAGAAAATGGCTACGACCAACGCCCTACGACCAGGAAAAAAGCGAATTCTCCCGGCATCTCGCGTCTCATCTTGTGGGAACGGGCAAGTGGCTCATATCTACAGGAACCTACCAGCAGTGGCGCCAGAATGATGATAATGGAATCTTGTGGATCAAAGGCATCCCGGGTTCGGGCAAGTCCGTCATGGCTGCTTCTATAATTGACCAACTGCGAAAGGAAGAAGTTCCGGTACTTTATTTCTTCTTCCGCCAAATCATTGACGCAAACCACCAGCCTGTCGCTGTATTGCGGGATTGGCTTTGTCAAATCCTGACTTATAGCCCTGCTCTGCAGTTGAAGCTGATGGAGACAAAGGAAGATCGGTCCCTCGATAGTCTTTCCCTAGACGACCTCTGGAAAGATCTCAAATTCGCGTTGGCCTCTATTTCTAAGGTCTATTGTGTCACAGACGCCTTGGACGAGATGGACCAGGGAAATGATGACTTTCTTCACGCACTTGTCAACTTCAGCCAGTGGCGTCCAGCAAGTGTCAAAGTGCTTATCACTTCGCGCCCAGTAGTTACTGTGGAAAATCCCCTACGAAAATTTTCTATCCCATCTATTCGACTGGAAGAACGACTCGTCGACGTGGATATTTCCGCCTACGTACAATACAGGCTTCGAAGCTCGCCTATCCTGCCTGAATACAGAGAACTTATTGAGAAAGCCATTCCTGGTCGGGCAAACGGCCTATTCCTATATGCAAAACTTTCGATGGACGCCTTTCTAGAGCCGGGGGCTGACGCGCGCAATGTTCTTGATGCGCTACCAGCCGACTTGAGCGTGATGTATGATGATCTGTTGCGAGAGCATGCCAAGCGCTCAAACATCACTGAAGACCTCCAATTACTTGTCTTGCAATTCGTCATTTATGCTACACGCCCCCTTCGTCTGCTCCAAATTGCCGAAATGGTGAATACCGTCTATGTGCAAAGTGAAGACCAGAGTCTCAAGACTACCAAGGATTTGGTAAGGGCTACCTGTGGTCCATTATTAGAAATTCTGCCTGATGAAACGGTTTCTGTTATCCACCATTCATTTACCGAGTTCCTCAAAGGATTTACCCACCCAGTTGATAGCAGTTTCAGCTATCCGGTTCTCCGGTCCGGTCTAACAAATCAACGCCTCGCGATCACATGCCTAGACTACCTCAAAGCAATTGATCGCTATGATAATAATCCATATTATCTTCAGCGAGAGACAATCAAGGAAATCAAAGTGAGATACCCGTTTCTGGAATATGCAGCAGGCAGTTGGGATGTCCATACCCGTCGCGCTGTACTCGCAGGTGTAGACATGTCACTTTACTACGAGGCGCTTGACAATTTCTTTGCAAAGGATCATATACTTGAATCCTTGCTTTCTTTTACCCATGGGAACGTTGAGCGGGGCATCAGCCCTCTTCATATCGCCGCCTCGAGTGGCCTAGCTCAGTACTCTGCACACCTGTTCCAAAAAGGAGATGCCGGGGTTGAGGCAAAGACTTTGAGTGGCAAGACACCAATTTGGCTCGCTGTAGAATCTAATCACGCAGAAACTGTCCGAGTATTACTCGAATTTGGAGCCGATCCTGATGGGGAGGTTATCAATGGGCTAAAACCACTTCATAAAGCTGCCGAACGCAACAATGCTGAAGTGGTCAAAATCTTACTTGCTGCAGGAGTAAATCCGCTTACTCCCAAGACAAAAGAAACGCCCAACCCTGTCAGAAGAGGCAGAAGGATTTCACCTCCAACAGTAGGGGATACGCCATTCATGTATGCATGCAAAAGAGGCCATGTTGAGACAATAGCCGAGTTTCTGCCTTATCTGGACTCTATTGAAACCTTCAAGCAGGCACTTTCATGGGCAGCAGAATCAGGACATGCAGCACTTGTGGATCTTATCCTTCGGCATTCTGGAGTTGATGTGAATGAGCGAATCGGAGACGGCACTGCCATTTTCAAAGCTTGTAAATCCGGGGACTACAAGACAATCGAGGTTTTGTTACAGGCAGGTGCTGACCCAGACAAATATTCTTCCAATTCTGGGAAAGCTTTAGCCAACGTTGGATTCCCCGGAAGGAGCAGCATAAACGACAATTTCCGAGGACTGGGAAATTTTACAGCCTTACATGCCCTTTGTGGGTCTCGTCACGAGCAAAATGCCCAATGTATGCTAGGGAGCTTGCGGCTTTTGCTTAAAGCGGGATCTGATGTCAATTTGAGGGCTTTCGATGGATCAACAGCCTTGCATCTTGCTATTCAATGGAACATTGCGTTTATCAAACCATTGGTGGATGCAGGTGCTGATCCAAACATCGAGAATAACCTTGGAGCCACTATACTGCACACAGATGGAGCCACAGATAATGAGCTACTGCCCTTACTTGTGGAGACGGGTCGTGTTGACATCAACAAGGCGATGAAAGAGACTGGGACAAGGCCTTTACATTTTCGACTTTCCAGTCCTCGTCCAGAGTCACTCAACATTTTCTTAGCCTATAAACCTGATGTCAATGCCACGGATACCAAAGGCAATAGTGCGCTCCATATGGATATTCCTCATGAAGCCGTCTTTAAAGCTTTGCTAGCTGCGGGTGCCGACGTCAATTTGAAGAACAAAGATGGAGATGTACCATTACACGTTCATCGTGCCAGGCGTGAGAAGACATCCTGGCTGTTGAATGCAGGGGCAAACATTGAGGCCCGGAATAATAAAGGCCAAACACCGCTCTTCAGAAATGTCGCTAATGAGGAATATCTTCAGCTGATGGTCAATCATGGTGCCCGGATTGATACACGAGACTATAGGGGCCGAACTCTTCTGCATAGGTGCATTGAGTTGGGCGCTAATACCAAGCTCCTGGGCCATTTGGTAAATCTTGACCTAGATCCTGCCTCTGTAGATTACGAGGGCAACACTCTTTTATTCGAATTAGCCCCGAAAGGCTCCACCCTCAATATCGACACTTGGGACTATTTGTTGGATTTGGGCTTGGATATCGATCAAGCAAACAATGCCGGCAGAACCATGTTGCATATCCTATGTAATTACAAACATAGTCGAGACAAGTGGAGCTTAGAACGGCACCCTCTCGGCTATGCCCTTCAATTGTGTGAAAAATTGAATCCTCGTGATCATGATGGCATCCAACCTTTACATCTTGCTGCTTCGGTCTCTGAGATATACGTCTTCAAGCTTCTCGATGCCGGAGCAGATTTATTCGGCGCCACGAACGGAGGTATGACGGTACTCCATATTGCGGCTCGAGAATGCCAGCCTGGTGTCATTGGCATTGTTCTCTCTAAAATTGCAGACCTCGTAGAGGCGAAGCGCAAGGCGTTCATCAATCAGCAAACCCAAGATGGAAATGCAGCTCTCCACTATGCTTGCCGATCAGGTCGTCCTGAAAGCGTTAAAGTTTTGCTTGAAGCCGGTGCAGATCCCAATTTGCTAAACAAAGACGGCAAGTCTCCTTTTAGAGAATGTGCTCATTTCGATGCAGAGGAACACTGTTATTCGAAATTGGAGTATGAGGGTACAACTCGTCTAGAGGAGATATTTAACATGCTGATTCTCCATGGTGCCATTGTCAACGGCGATAATGGAACTCTTCAGAGCACATTCGACGCTGCTGTGTCATACCGACATGAGTACATTGTCGATTCCCTCTTGTCGCTATCCAATCGCATTCCTGGTGAGGAGCCCATCAAGCACTCGATGAGCGAGGACTATCTCCTGTGCTCTTACCGTCTGGGAGCAACAAAGCTAGCATTGAGAGAAAGCGGGAGATTTCCCAAAGATGACAGTCTCTCGGAGGATTCGCTTGCCAAAATGGATTTCGACTTTGTAGAAAAGCTGGTTGCTTTAAGACACTACAATCTGTTTGAAGAGAGAGTCTCGGAAGGATTTGATCTCGCCAAAGTCGACGAAAATGGGGAATCATTCTTGCATCGTCTTGTTAGCTTCGGTTATAAGGACCTTCTTGCCCGTTTTTGCTCTCGTGATGCTGCTTTGAAATTTGATGACCATGACCAGTGCCAAAAGCCAGAAAAGGATAAAGGAAATGCACCGAGTCACCCGAGTCGTCCTCGATTCTTCATCAAACCCTTGCTGTTTGCTGCATGCAAGGCTCAGCTGCCCAATATGGACGTTCTCAAATTTCTCGTCGAAGATATTGGCGTCAATATAAACGTGCAACACAGGGAACACAAAGGTCTGTGCGGCAGTGTTCTTCACAGCCTCGCTGCCGGGCATCATTGGTGGCATGTGGCCGAGGCTTTGCCCTATCTCATAAAGATGGGTGCTAATATAGAGCTGCGCGACCGAAAAGGAAGGACACCATTACACATTGCTTTGGACTTCTTCAAGAAAGGGCCCTTCTATAAGGAAGCCGCGAGGATCCTTGTTGAGAACGGAGCAGATGTCAACGCCGCAGACTCTCGCGGTAAAACATGTTTGTCAAAAGCCGGTAATGACCTGAAGATGACCAAACTGCTACTCAATCACGGTGCTGAGATAACTGCAGTGGCTATCCTTAAAGCAGTTAAATACAGGCAGATTGGGGTCTTGGAAGAATTGCTTTCCCGAGGTGACAATGCAAACTTGAGGATTGATGAGCCTGAGACAACCGAGGAACGCGAAAGAAGAGAAATGTCGAGAAAGGGAGAAGTAATGAATGACAATCAACTTTTCCCCTTGTTACAAGCCTCTTTGGGTGGCCCTAGGTTTGTCGTGGGGTCAGACAGAAATGTTGATCCGAGGCAAGTCATGGCGGTACTTCTCAAACATGGCGCAGACCCATATGCCACCTTCTTCAAATACCTCAAAGTCGAGGTAGCCGGAGAGAGGTCTGACAAACCCATGAGTAATTCTGACCCGCAGGAATGGGGCTTGACGTGGGAAAAAGAAACACACATTGTGATTCACGAAATTCTCGCACACGGAGAAGTAGTCGAGCCATTGTTCCACCTACCAAACTTGCAGCTTGAGCTTCGAGACCCTAAAGGTCGCACTTTGCTCCTTGCTGCTTTTGAGGGCAAGACACTGGGTCACACAATTGATGATGGGCAGGGATCCATGAAAACAGTATTTCAAGAGCTCCTAGACCGTGGGGCAGATGTAACAGCGCAAGACAATGACGGCAAGACAATCCTTCATCGCATCAAGGGCCTAGACTCTAGGACTGAAATCTTCAAGATTCTCAAGGCTCTCCTCAAAAAGACTCCAAGCCTCATCCACCTAGCTGACCGGGACGGTGAAACAGCCTTGCACCATGCACTTCAACAAACAAGCTTATCATATGTCGGCCCACCCTTCTCCTATGGTCAACGTCCTGGTGTATGCTTTGCGGACTACCAAGGTTTACTTCTGGATCACGGCGCCGATCCTCTCCTACCCGATAACGCGGGTAATACAGCGCTTCATTACCTAGCCCCGGTAATTACATTCCCAGGCGTCAAGGAGTTATTCCAGCGATTCCTGGATGCAGGCGTAGATATCAATGCCCGAAATAAGAGAGGTCTACCCATGCTCTTCTATTATGTTTTGAACTATGCTGCGAGTTCAAACTGGGTCCCCGGGGGCGGTAAAAATCCAAGTCAGGAATGGCACGATCCTTTCTTCGAATTGTTCAAAGACGCAGGGGCAGACTTCTTCGTGAGCAATGATGAGGGCACTACGTTGCTTCATCTACTGGCTACCATACAGACTCCATGGAGTGGGCCGTGCGAACCAAAGAATGTTGAAAATGCTGTTGTGGGACGCTTCAAGTATTTGATGGAGTTAGGGCTGGATCCTATGGCGGAGGATGCGCAGCAGAGAACCAGCTTGGATATTGCTGCGGCATATGGGAGTGAGCACATCATTAAATTGTTTAAGCAGAAACTAATGGAATAGGAACGCGGGATATGTAAAACCTCGGATAGAATAAGAAAATATTGACTGCTCAGGTGTACTGACTATGTTGATTGGACGACTACAATAAGTAACTCCGATCAGTAATCATGAAAGGTGTTGATATTGATATTTTAACCGAATATGACCGTACGCTATGATGAAAACAGAGGCCCTGCCATATGTTCCGTAGTTCCCAGAGTAAAAAGAGATACATATCATACTTCCGCTAATTTGAGACAAATCATGTGCACATGGAGTGATAGATGCAGACTTAAAGGGGTCTATCGGGAGTTGACGCGTGAAGAGATCATCATCATGAGGGGCGTACAAAAATCCCGCCAGGAGACTGGGCTAACGACGAGCATAATATGGACCTTGGTTTTGCATCGAAAGGAGCGAGTCAGCACGTTGGAAGACATCGCCTTCGAAGAACTTGTCGCTGTATGCACTAGCCGGGGTAGAAGGGACAGTAGCTTGTGCTGCGGGACCGAGGGCTGCACTGAGGGGGGTGGAAGGAACAGTGACGGAATGAGGGGACATGCCCGTGGCCGGGTAATGGGAGTGGGAGGCGAGAGCAGAGGTCGAGACGGAGGTTTGATGTTGGGCGTGTGGGGGTTGCAACGGCGGGCCGTAGAGGTTATTTGGCGCGTTGGTCGCTGGGTCTGCGAGGAAGGACCAGGGAGATGCTTCGATCAGACGACCGGCTTCCCGGCTAGCCTTTTGGACTGGTCGTAGGACGATGATGATATCCTGGGGGAGAAGGTTCATGCTGCGCACCTCTCGCATGTCTGTTATAAGGTCCACGAACGACTGCATGAAACTCTTGCACAGCTGCCAGAACTCGCGCTGGTTCCGTAGTCCGCCATTTGGCTCTTTGACTTTCATGGTGGAAAGGCGCATGCCCAGCGCTTCAGATACCTCGAAACAGCTTCGGCACCGGCGGATAAGGTTACTCCAAAGCATTTGAATCCCCTCGGCCTCTCGGGATTGTTCGGCCACTTCAAGGCATCGGGATAACTGCCGTCGCGCCAATGGGAGTGCTTGAAGTGCCGCACTGTATGCGGAGGTAAGCTGATAGAATATCTTCTCAAAGAGCCGTTCTTCCTCGATCTCATCCAATCCAGTTAGTGGGTTTATTCGAGGGCCATTGCCCATAGGCATGGGAGGGAATGACTCTCCAGAGCGAGGCGTAGCCAATGATGTAGGCATGGAAGTATTTATCAAGTTTGTCCTGCTGCTAGATCTACTGCGCGCGTAATTGAAGGCCGGTGTTGCAAAACCAGGTGAGCCAGTAGCTGCTGTCTGGTTCATGAGTGGAACAGGAACTTGAGGGTGTCGGATGGTGGTATCGCTGCGTAATCGTCGTGTAGGTGCTGCGGTATCTCGCGGGGGAGTGACCAAAGGACGCAATGGCCGGTCTGAAGCCAGAGGCCCTTTGCTTACTTCAGGGATGATTGGCTTGGGCGCCGAAGTCCGCCGTTTTTGAATCGGGCGGAGCGAAACATGGAGGCTGGCGCAGGCATTTCGCAACTCCACCAGCCCACCAAACATCATCAACATTAGTGAACGCACGTATCGTGAGTCACCATTGGAGACAATTTTGGCAGCACTATTTCGAAGCTGCGTGCCCACATGTGTGTATGCCATGATGCATGTTTCACACTCTCGCTTCACGCTGTCATTAAGTACCCGAGCCGAATCTGACTCATCAGTAGGAGATTTCTCTGCATTCTCAAGAGCTTCGTTGAGTCGTTCAACATGACTTGAAGCATTATAGAACACAAGTTCTAGGCTGTGACGTCGCGTGTCATCGCGCTGGATGACGTTGATCAGTGTAGATATGTGGGAATGCACTTGGAAAAGAGAGAACAAGATTCCCTTGGCGCTCTCGATAACTGGCTCGGTCGACGCTCTTTCTGCCTTGTGCTCGGGAAGACTCGACATGCGGTTAACCCAGCCATCTCGCGGGCGTCGATGGTCTCCAGGGCTGCTAGGGCTCGAGGAGCTACTATCACTTGCAGTGGTCGGTCCTGCCGGGCGTGTTCGAAGGACAGAGCCATGGCTGAGACCTCGCAAATGGCTGTTTCGGTAAGGCCGTGTCTCATCCAAGGTCCCCAAGTCCGTGTTCTTGCGAGTGATAACCCCCATGCGCTTGCTGCGAGCTGCGAAGGATGCCTGAATGATACCTTCACTGTTACTTCGTATGCGCTCACTAACAGCGTGGGGCGTCACGCCAGGTCTTCGGAGACTCTCCATATGGTATGTGCCACTTTGTTGGCCCGATGCCATGCGATAATGAGTTTTACCCGGCAGTCCTGGCCCCCGGGAGATGGATGGAGATCGGGAAGATGATGCTGAGCCATCACCAGTGCTTGGAATAACAGGAAATCGGCTGCTTAGTTTACGTTTGACTGGGGCCGGCCTTGGTGTTTCAAATGATAAGCTCTCGCTGATTACAATTAGCCTCATACCTTTGCAAGTAATGAATTCGACATACCCTGCATCTGCACCAAGCTCTGGCTCCGGAGTACTCGCTGACTGTCGGGTTTTGAGGAACCTTTTTAGCTCTGCGGTTATGGCAACCTCTTTCTCGTTATCGGACATTGCTGATGGGGCCATTTCCGCTTCCAATCCCTCCAGGACGCGTCGAAGCGGGGAGCGTAGAGGGTTTCCTGCAACTTTGAGAACCTGCAGCTTATTCATATCTGACAAACCCGCTGGCAGGTCGTCAAGCCGGTTCTGCATGACCGAAAGCACTCGTAATGATTTCAATTTGCCAATCTCGTCAGGTAACAAGCCGATTTTGTTTCGACTAAGATCAAGAATCTCTAGCAATGGTAATTTGTAAACCTGAAAAATGTCAGTATAAGCACACGTGAAGGAAGGGAAATTTGCACGCACTCCTTTGGGAAATTCACGGAAGTTATTAGCTCTGATGTTGAGGTACCGAAGATGACAACATTCGGCGAAGCGATAAGGAATGTGAAACAGATGGTTGTTGGAAAGAGAAAGTCTAAGCAAAGTCAGTCATATCACCTCAAGTACACACATAGGTCTGAAGCCATCCCAAGCAGATTACATGAAGCAACGTACCTTTCCACCTCGTCTTTGATTATATCCACTACAGGCTCTGGTATCCGCACAATATGTGAATGGCCCAGATCAATAGTCAACTTGGGCTTCACAACATCAGTGACAGCTTCGCTTCCTGCCAGCGACCGTTTTGTATCCTGGATCCCACTTTCCACTGCCTTTTTTGCCAACTCAATAGTGTCCTCATGTGTCAACGGTTTCGGGCCAGATGATTTCTCAGAACTACCAGGCGCGTCACCCATGGCTGTGCCTGGCCTTGATCCATCTCCTTCAAGTCGTGGAAAACCTTCATTGTAGGACAGCGGCGGTGGTACCAGGGAGTCATGTAGTCCTTTCTCATTTTCATCTTCCTCGGCCGGGTCTGGGTATGACCGGGGGCCACGGACCGTGTCTTCGGGTCGGGTCATTGTAGACATCATTGCTTGCTTGCGCTAGGGCGTGCACGCTTATAATGGCAAATGCGCCAAAGACCAAAGGATCCTCCTGTCTCGCAACCGTTACCAACAGGCAGCAAGCATGCTCCACCCAAGCATCGTCAACCGGGGGGTGGGCCTCGAGGGGTGGATATTATTGCGTCGGCTCAGGTTTCGGGGCAAGGCGACGCGACAGCGTGGGATTTCAGACGACAAATTATTTGAGTACAGTGAAGGAGTTCGGATAGTCGATCGGCAACGTCAAGTCTGTTAAGGCTGGAGAGAAGAACACCAAGGAGCGGGAATGGCGCAATGAAGCTCGGGGAAACTTTGGCTTGAATCATCCACGGTAGGGTCAAGAAGGACCTTGGAATGTGTCGCAAGAAACTTCAAGTTAATCAGATGCAAGGTATGTGTACACGGATTGTTTCTTGAATTCGAGACAGTGCTGGTGGTCCAGATTGAAGGGAAGTTGGAGAGGCTGGAAGAGCTATGATTGGACAAGAGGTGCCCGAGCTTTGCGATCAACGGTGTTTTTGTGTTTCACTTAACGGTTGCACGGCCCACTGGTTTGAACCAATTGGAAATGCACACTTACCATTTCATTTCAGCTATAAAACCTGTAAAACCTTTAGGGTATTTTTACTCTGTGCACTGGGCATGTCTAAGCTGTCAACTGGTGTGATGCTGGTCTGCTAACATAACAGAGCTTCTAAGGTTGGAACTCGAACAGTATATAGATGGTGGCGAAGCGCATTTGAATCAAGTAAAACCATCTTGTTTGGAGCTATGGGAATACATTTAACAGGCAAAAAATAAACTAAATAATGTACATGACCAGCTGGAGTATCAAGGGACAAAAGATATGCCAGATATGCAAATGACGAGCATCTATTGCTCCTCAGGCTGCCCAATATCAAGAGCCTGTGCCTCTGTGTCCTTCTCCGATACAAGTTCCGGGGCACCGGAGATGGCAGCTGATCGCTGACCGAGGACTTGAGCCTCCAATCTGGCCCAGTCCTTCCACTTCTCGTGCTGTTGGTTCTCCAGCTCCATACCAATCTCCAGGTAGGTCGGGCCAAACTGAGCACCAGTAGCCTCTGCCTCCTCCGCGGCAACTCGTCGCTCAATATCCTCTTGCAGGCGAAGCTTGTAGAATTCTTGGCGGGCAATATCGTACGCGCGACTCACGGTCATGTTAGGCGTGTTCTCCAGGAGATAAAGCTGTCGTTGAACCACACTGAGGGGAAACATCAGTATTTAGCGATTGGGGGTACAAGTGAATTTCCAAGCTCACCTTTCACCATCTAGCCTCCTTCCGGGCTGTCGAAGCTGGCTCCAATCGTAGCGTTCGTGGTCTTTACCAGTGGACTCGACAAGCACGCGAGGCCGGGCAAGCTCCCAAGGGTGGTCTTTGAAGAACTGCTTTCGCAGCTCGTCTTCCTCATATTTAAGCTCGACCGGCTGGAACAGGCGGCTAGGCTTCTTGGACTTCCGGCGCTTCTCTTGAACCTCGAACACGACTTGATTTTTGTTGTTGTCATCGGTCTTCACTCGTTGTCGGACCAACTGGTGTTGCTGAGGGACGGTACGGACTAAGACTTCCGAGGGAGGGATATCGCGAACTACATCAACCCATTTTGGTAGCTTGCTGATCTTTCCACTGGCGAATTGGTTGATTGCGGTCTGTCGCACCCGGAGGGCTGTGAGGTTGATTTTGCCCATGGCGGGAGGAACACACAGCCAGAGATAGCTGGGTGTCGACTATCCGAGGGAATAAAAAGGCCCGAAATATAGCCCGAGGGCAATTGAATAGGCAAATGCGGGCTGAGATCGTGAAGATGCAGAAGGGTGAGAGATGCCGAAGTTCGAAAAAGATGGGATTGTCAATGCCGAGCTCCGATTGGCCAGTGCGGCTCCGCTGCAAAGCCAGAAAGTCCGTTCATCAGAAAAACACCTTCTTCCACCCCGTTGCTCAACATACGTTCTCATACACTGCTGTTTCGCTTTTTGAGGCCGCGCAGTTAATTTGGCTCTCATGCCAGTGGCCTAGGCCTTTCTTTGCGACGCGCATGGCTAATCCAGTGCCACGATGTCTGTCATCTCATGCCTCATCCCAATAGGTTCCCCAGCTCACCGGGCCTGCGAGATCCCCCCAAGCAGGCCTTGGATGAGCTTCTCCTCTCCCGACCATATTCAATGTCTCATCCGAAACCTTCCCTCTCCCGCCCCTCTATTCGAAGCTTCTCTACTCGGCGCCCCCGACCTTCCGTCGCGTCGATAGCAGACCTTTTTGTTGGCTCCCTTGTCCTGGCAGGCTTCTGCCACGAGCACTCACCACGAGGTCGAGGCTTGTCTACACTACATTTCAGGACATCAGAATCTAATCTCCGGAGGTTCAGGGGCAAAGAGGGGGTGGATCGCGGTGAGAGCCCAGCACGGAGACGCTGGGAGTTCTCTGGATCTTCGGCCCAGCAATCGCGACAAAGATCATGGCTCTGCCATAGCCTGGAGCCAGTGGCGAAAGATGACCCAGAGAAACACAATTTGACATTTCAAGCAAGAGAGATAGCGGAGGAAAATAATGATCACGCGCTGCCCCGATTACCACAGGTTCCGGACAGCAAATCGCAACTGCACTTGGAGGAACATTTTTTTGACTCGATACCGGACGTTCCTCGATTAACCGTTTCCCCGAGGAAAGATATAATCAACGATAAACCTCCAGAGGTCGCAACAGAGGTTCATAAACCGAAGAATCCATCCCTCACGCGGGATGAAAGAGTGCGGAATGCCGTCTCTGACATATTCCAGCGGTTATTTGGAGATAAACACGATTGGGAAGACGCCGTGGAGGCTATACTACCCAAACAAACGTTTGTTCGAAAGGTGGACGACACACGCGATGCAATCGAAACTCCGTCGGTTGCAAGGCTTGTTGAAGCACTACCCAGCCAAGAACAGGCAACAACTCAGTTTCTTTTTCGATTGTACAGAGACCTTCCAGAGCCCGGGGTTGCACATTTATCTAAGGTCTCACGTGGCCGCCTTTTGAGGCGACTGGCATCGCCTCCGAACCGACGCTGGGCAGATGCGCGTCGTTATCTTGCCTTGGTGGACGATATGAATACCGCCGGACTTCCACTGTCACGCTCACTATGGTCCACCGCAATCCATATGGCTGGCCGAAGCAACAATGGCAGGGTATCAAAACGACGTTTAGTTCACGCAATTGGTCTTTGGCAGCAAATGGAGCATGTAGCTGGGATTCAGGCCGACGATGTGGTCTTTAATATTCTATTCGATGTCGCTATCAAAGCGAACCAGTTCATCGTGGCCGATCGTTTGGAAGATGAAATGAGGAAGAGAGGGGTTCGATTTTCACGTTCTGGGCTAGTCTCGAAAATATTTTCCTGTGGCATGCGGAAAGATCTGGAAGGGATTCGTGGCACATTTGATTACTTTGTCCAGTCAGGAGAGCTAGTCGATACTGTCGTGTTAAACTGTGTCATGGCCTCCTTTCTTCGAGCTGGTGATGTTGAGACTGCTGAGCAGCTGTATGGACGGATGCTCAACGCACAAGTTCAACACAAGAAGGGATCCTCAAGTTCAGGGATTTCTTCAGAAACCTCCCCCAGCCTTTCTCCAGAATTCACATTTTACCGAGCAAAGACTAGGGAGCTTGGTCGCCTATTAAAGAAGTCCAAGGCTCTCAAGAAAAGCCTACCTGCTTACCACCGTGCCCTTCAAGACTCGTTACCCATGACACCAGATACGCGGACCTTCTATATCTGGCTTCAGTTTTGCACGCGCATCACTGGTGATCTTGATATGTTCATGAACGTTCTGCGGGATATGGAAAACACATTTTCAGTTCCACCTCGTCACCTGATCTATCTTTACCTCTTTGAGGGCTTTGGCCTTCATGGGCGCCGAAGGAAGAACTGGTGGACAGCAGAGAAACTTCGATTGACCTGGCTTTCTTTTATACAAGCCGTACGGGACTCAAAAGCGAGACATTCGGGATTTCACCGCGATGCTCCTGCTATGGTCTGGGAAAACCCTTTAGAAGGCGTGGATGTTGAAGCTGAGATACCAGCTGTCGATACCTCTGCCAAGCCCGATGGGCTCTACATGAGCTTTGCATCCACAGACAAGGACACCTCCTCGATCACTCTAGAAGAAAAACCACAAGCCTCTGGGGGCCTTCCTGAAGATCACATTGACGAATTTTCTCGTGATGAGGATGATGTCGACGAAGAAGACGAATTCGAGCACGAGGACGTCTCTGAGATCCAACCCGATAACGACATTGCAAACTTGAACTTTGACGCGGAGAGCATTTTCACTTCTCGCCCATTATCTCTCGACCAAGAAGGTGATTTCAAACAAGAGAATCTTGAACACTTGTCCCACCGTCTCGAGAATGGTGTCTTCGTTGGACGACGCATGATTATACTTATTCTACGGGCCTTTGGCACCTGCTGTGGGCCCCAGGAGGTTATGGAAGCTTGGTTGCAACTCGAACAGCTATGGTCACCCAATAAGCGCAAGGCAATTGATGTACTTGCGGTGAAGGAGGTGATTGATGAGCAAATGTCGCGGAATCCACGATAAATGTAAAATAATATGGGGAGGGTTGGTTGTGATTTGATACTTGTAAATTATTATACACTATATACCGATTCAATTTAGCGCAAATTGTGTAAATTCAGGTCTTCACCGTGTCATAATAGTGACCATTTATTGCTTCTAGGTATGGTTGTCTCATATATCGTTCTATCAACAGAATTGTTTGTATAGGTGCTCTGTGGGCATGACTTTTCTCTCACCTATTTGGAGATCAATCTCCTCATGATGCCTATTGAAATTTACACCCCCATGGGCTCTTTAAATGTGAATACCAGTTCGTGACTACTTCATCTTCTCTAAGCAGGCCGGGAGTTTGATTTGAAGGCATTCTCCTGAGGTCTGTGCATGTCAAGGTGGGAGAGTGGACGCGCCTATCGTTCAATCACAAGTGCACATTACTATTCGTTCGCGAACGGGAAGGCTCGAGTAGCATGCCCTTCCATCGCATCTGGCATTGGACCCCCTTTCCAGTTCAAATAAGTAATTGCAAGTAGTAGGGAGAAGACCCGTGGCCCAGAGCTTACCAAGTAAACAAAGTCAACGCTAGTCAGCCATGGCTCACGGGCACTGCCGCTAGACCAGAGAACCAGAGTCAGTCCCTATACTCTTCTAGCTGGGGAGAGACACCAATCAACTTATATCACAAAAGCTAGCGTTTACTTGTGAAATTGTAGTCAAACCCTTCGTGAATATTACGAGGCCCGGGACAGGTCTTAGCCTTCAGCTCTTGATGCGGGAACCACTGGATCCAGAGCACACAGTAAATAATCACTGCGCACGATCACTCGAAATGAATCTATTTCAGCCTTTGAATAGTCACTTCAAGCCTGAGCGCCCTGACAAAGTGGCGACAGACATATCATAGTTGCATATATCCTAATTTGGAAACCGATTGGTGTCACGTGAGATCGCGTCGACGGGAAGCCATAGACGCGGTACGGTAACACAAGCAGCTCTAAGTAAAACCAGCCCGTCACATTTTATACTTTTAATCTCTCTGTGCCCTTGGTTTGCCGCCCGATGGTTGGTCAAGGGTCATTCACACGGCGTAGACCGGATCTCGAGTTCTATTTGAACCGTGTCTTTCGCAAAAAGTCATTTCGGTTGGTCAATCGACTCCTGTCAACTTGGCTTGATACTGACGACCCTCTAGCCCACTCCAGCGGGAGGTCATCACAGCAGTTGTCGAGGGTCATGATGTGTTCCTCCAAGCATCTACCTCTTTCGGAAAAAGTCTGTGCTTTCAGTTACCCGCGGTCATCAACAATGGGTGTAAGTATTATTTGCAATATCATCAAGTCGGTCCTAATCTATAAGTGCAGTAACTATTGTCATTTGTCCTCTCCTAGCTTTGATGGTAAGTAAAACGAATTCTTCTTTGGTCATATCTACTAACAATCGCAGATGGATCAAGTCAATGCTCTTCAGGCTATAGGAGTAGCAGTTTCGACTATCAACTCCAACACACCATTAGCAGAACGGCGTTTAATTCTAGATGATATGCTCTCAGGACACCCCCGTACACGCCTTGTTTACGTGACTCCTGAGCTATGTCAAACAGACAGCTTTCGAAGAAACCTCCAAGTGGTGCATCGACAAGGGCAACTTGCTCGTATTGCCATCGACGAGGCCCACTGTATCAGCGAATGGGGCCATGACTTTCGTCCAGCTTACCAGGAGCTGGGATGGTTCAAAAAGAACCTAGTCGACCCAGAAGTCCCTATCACAGCCCTGACAGCTACAGCCACGCCGAGGGTTCGCACAGATATCATCAACATGCTAAATCTCAATCCAACCCAACTCAAACTCTTCAACACCCCATCCGCCCGCCCAAATATCCACTACGAGGTCCGGTACCTTGAAGACTGTGGCGAAGACGGTGGCGATCAGGTAGAAAACTTACTTAAATATCTTCGTGCTATCAAGAAGAGGAGAGAAGCCCGTTTGGGTGCAGAAGAAGCGGCTCAGCTACCCCCAATTTCTGGCATTGTGTATGTCGGACTACGTGCCATATCCGAACACCTCGCAAGCTGTCTATCCCAAGATAAAAGCATTTCTGCCGTGGCATACCACGCAGGACTAGCGCCACAAGAACGAACACGCATCCAATCACTGTGGACCGCACCACCATCCCAGAAAACAAACAACGGTAAACCACCACCTACTTTCTCCATCATAGTCGCCACAAATGCATTCGGTATGGGAATTGATAACTCCTGCGTCCGATTCGTGGTCCATTGGACACCACCCCGCAGCTTCGAAGGCTTTGTTCAAGAATCAGGTCGAGCAGGTCGCGATGGCCGTGCAGCTGCGTCTCTTGTATACTATAACCTTCAAGAGCGAGATCGTATCTTTGACCGCATGAGCAGGGATACGGAGAACATGCGCAATCGCGGTGGACCTAAACATCTCGTTGCTAGTACGATGAAGAATCAGGAAGCTCGTCTGGATAGCTTTAAGAAAGTCGTTCGATACTGTGAAAGCGTGACGCGGTGTCGACATGATTTGATCAAGGATTTGTTCGGTGACTTTGAGTTGGAGGAGATGGGGTCTCAGCAGCCGCCGTCGTCGCAGGCGACTAAGGGAAATGGAGTTGGTATCCCGAGTTCAACGCCTTGTGACTACGCTTGTGATTTTTGCAAGGAGGGCCCTGTGGCTCTGGGGAAACGCAAGAGGAAGATGTTATCATCAACTACTTACATGATTGACGAAGGGTATGTCTGACCATCGTTGTGCATGTTTTGTATATCACTGTCGACGCTTCTATGCCTGTTCCATTACGGGGGCGGGGGGGGGAGTTCGTTACTTTACATATTGCATCTGGAGCATACGTTCATTGCATTTAGCATGACTCAGAGGGGCGTTTTCTATTTAAATAATGATGCCATGCATCGATACCAAGTTGAATCATCTGGATTCCAATTTGAATGAATATATTAGTTATCAATAGAAATCCGCATACCTAAATTCCTAGAAAGATGAGCACTTGAGTACAATCAACTTCCAAAAAATAGAGTGAGGCGTTCCAATAGTTTTCCAATGACAGCGAAAATAGTCCTAAGAAGAAGAGTTATATGTCGTCACCAGGCTGGTTGGCCGTGGGAAAACCTGTAGACTGTAAAGGGACACCGAGAGAAATTACAAGAAAAAGAGACTGCTATTTAGCAAAATATCACGACCCATGGAACTTGGACTAAACATCGAAATCGCTGTATCCTTTCTGCACTTTTCAAAAAAAGAATCAAGAACGAAACTTGCCAATTATTTTCAAATTGCCAGTGGCAAAGGTCATTGTCCAGCAGCACTACAGACCAGGTGGGGGAGGAACCTAAACGAATCTCATCAGCCACACGTTCCCTATCACGAGTTCGGGTTGAAATATTGGAGAATTCATACCGCACTATAGCTGCCTCCACCGGGAGGAGGTGGAGGAGATCCGGATCCGGGGGGAGGGGGAGGAGGAGCTTCGCCAGCTGGTGGAGGAGGCGGGGGAGCGGCCTCCGACTGCTGTTGCTGTTGAGCCGCAGCGGCTTGCTGGTAATACTGGTAGTATGCCACATAATTCTGGTACCCACCATAAGCAGCGTAGGGGTCAGCACCTTGTCCGTAGTACTGAGCGTATTGGGCGGCGTAATCGGCCATGCTGGTGGCACCCGCACCCGCACCACCCGCACCGGTCGGGCTGGCAGATGCGCCTGGGGACTGCTGCTGCTGTTGCTGGTAATCGTTACGACGGTTGTAGCCGCCGCCACCATACCCGCTACCACCCCTACTGCCTCCATCGCCGCCGCCGCCGCCTTGGTAGCGGTCACCACGGTAGCCACCATAGTTGTGCTGTGGCGGGTTATCCTTAAAGTTTTGGTATTGCTCCTTGACGTTAGCCAGGAGATCTATGCAAAGTTCTTTAGCAGCCTGGACATCATTTGCATCAGGTCCACTAGATACTTGGTCAGTTATGGTCATCGTTGTACAGGGTTTAAATATCACTCACGCAACATGTAGGAACATCGCCTCGTCACTCTCTCGACCAGTGCTGGATTCAAGGAATCCAGATCCGCGGCCCTTGATCTGGACACGGCAACGGGTCTTTTGCTGAATGTGTTTCACGTATGCACCACCTTGACCGACGACCTGGGCACGCAGATTAAATCCAGGAATGGGTTCGAGGTCAATCGGAATACGCTCGTCGGGCCATTTGCGCTGTGAATAATTAGCGTGGTGTCTTGAGTCTAATTTATCAGAACAAAATGCCATACACGGCCATACTCATCCCGTTCCACAGGCTCGGGCTCTCGTCGGCGGAATCGTCGCTCGTCGATCAGGTTAGGCAGCTCCTTCTGCATGAGATCATCAATGATTTGGATGGCCTTCTCGAGACCTTCCTTGGTGGTGCTTGTGACGTGGAGATACAGAGGAGGGTGCTATATTGACGTGATCAGCAAAATCGCAAAGAAAAGAACGGGATCTTCGTTGACCCGGACTCGGGGCCATCACTTACCGCGGCAGTCGCCATGTTCTTATCCGGGTAATAATTTCCTCGGGTTGTGACATCTTGTACAAAAGTAAGCAATGAGCGTCTTTACCAACATAAAACACAAGAAGGCGTACCGGCGCCAGTTTCATCTTTAATCTAGAAGTCACGCAGCGGAGGTCAGCAGATGCAGCAGAGGGGGTGTGAAATGCTATGCGTTTAGTTGGTCTTGAGTAAGCTTCGTCCAACCACACAATACACAAGATGATATAAAAGGGGCAATTTAGAGGGGATCGAGTTCAAGAGCAAAGCACACTGCTTGGCCTCGAGAGAAAGGCATGTCTGGAAGATCAGCGAGCTGACAATAGGAGTAATTTACCATCTGCTGAGTAGATCCCTTAGTCAGGGTGTAGCGATTGCGCAGATCATTGATCTCAATGTCTTTGATGTAGTCACCATCGGTGACATAAACGTCTTTTCCTGTACCGTCGCCGGCCTCGTCGGACTTCGCGCCCGGGCTATCAGTCTGTGAAAAAAAAAATTAGCCCAACTAATCACCGATATCATCAGACAATATATTTACCGAGCGAATCGGAGGCACATCGACATGCTGGATACCCTTTTTCGCCTGCAACTGGGCATTGATCTTTGCGGCGGCAGCGGCTATCAAGACCACATAGGTTAGCGTTGCCATGGAATTAAAGCGCAAGCCATTGTAGGCGCATTCCAAGCCATACCTGCTGCTGCTGCAGGGTCAGCCACGGCCGGCTTTGGTGTTCCATCACCAGCGGGACTGCGCGTTTCGCGACTCAAAGGGCTACGAGTACGTGTGGACTCTGATTGTCTTGCGGACGGGGATCGCGAACGGCGATCAAATCGGGAGCGACGGGGTTCGGGCTCAGTCTGATCAAAGCGGGATCGCTTGGCACGGCGCTCATCGTCGGCCATCTTGAAGTATGAAGGTGAGGTAGCGGTGAAGGATTGAATGGATGAGTAGGGAAAAAAAAAGTACCCGATAAATTGCGGGAAGGAGGTTGGGCCAGGAAACGGAGGTCTAGCACGATCAAGTCAAGTATGGGGTATTCCTGAGAACTACCACACTTCCCCGGGATGTGTAATTGAAGTGAGCAAGTGCGCAAAAAATGCCACCAACGAAAAAGAAGAACTAAACACCTGTGGATTTCCCAAGCCGATAATTGATACAAAAGCGCATCAAGAAAATCGTTATGGTCATGTGACCTAAGGGAGTACGGGTGGCTAGTCCAAAATGAGGCTAGCGTGTATGAGTCAGCGTTGGCCGAGGTCGGAGCTAGCAAAAAGAATCCGGAGAGTCTAGAAGTGATTCATCGCACAACCCTTGGTGTTCTCGAACTCCAAAGATGGCTTTCAGGCACTCACTGACGCTGACTTCAGCGTCAGCGTCGGCTCTATCGTCGGCTGCAGCTGCTGCTCGGTCTCGCACCGCTGCCGCTCTGCCCCGGTTCACCACCATCCGTGCCTCGTCCAGCTCGACTTCCGCCCTGGCCTACAAGGCATTGCACCGCCGGTCTCCTCTTCCTTTGCCAGTCAATGAGACTTCCTCCCAATGGGATGCCCCGACTGCCGTCTCGTCGATTCTGTACGAGACTCCCGTGCCGCCTACCAACCCTCCCAAGCGCCACGTCCTGAACTGCTTGGTCCAGAACGAGCCCGGTGTCCTGTCCCGCGTGTCCGGTATCCTGGCTGCCCGTGGCTTCAACATTGACAGTCTGGTCGTCTGCAACACTGAGGTCGAGGACCTGTCCCGCATGACTATTGTCCTGCAAGGCCAGAACGGTGTCGTTGAGCAGGCTCGCCGCCAGCTGGATGACCTTGTCCCTGTCTGGGCTGTCCTGGACTACACCGACTCGGCTCTGGTTCAGCGCGAGCTCCTCCTCGCCAAGGTCTCCGTCCTTGGTCCTGAGTTCTTCGAGGAGCTGCTGCAGCACCACCGTGAGATCACTACCCCCGGTGATCTGGAGAAGGGTCACGGTGACTCCGCTGCTGTGGAGTACCACCCCCGCAACCTGCCGCTCAGCCAGGGTCTGCGCCACAAGCACGAGCACTTGGATGCCATTACCCGCCTGACCCACCAGTTCGGCGGTAAGGTTCTGGATATTAGCACCAACAACTGCATTGTTGAACTGTACGTGTCTTCGACATTCCTTCTATGGGTCGTTGCTAATCAAATTTGAAATAGATCTGCTAAGCCCAGCCGTATCGACTCTTTCCTCAAGCTCATCGGTCCCTTCGGTATCCTTGAGTCCACTCGCACTGGTCTCATGGCCCTGCCCCGCTCTCCCCTGTCGGAGCAGAGCGAGGAGATCGAGAAGGATGCCGCTGATGTTGTCGATGCCAGCACCCTTCCCCCTGGTTAAATTGATTGTTTTCATCTGTCAATTCAAAAACTTACATACCCAATATGATGGTCTTCCGTTGCGCTTTGCTAGCTTGCTGCGGTTCTAGTTCTTCTTTCTTATCTCAATATTTTCTTTATCAATCTGTAAAATGCTATGTGTTCGATTATCCTTTCGGTTCTTACCTAGTAGACGCGAACTTACTTGCATTTTCTCGACGGCAATGGCGAATAACTTTGAATATATGAGTGGGTCAAGCTTAACGCACTTTCCGGGGTTGATAACGCCTTTATTTCAAGGCTGAAACTTGCCGCCCAATACAAGGTAATGGATTACTACATAGTCGTAGGAGGAATTCTTTTCACTAAAAAGCCGCTTAGGAGTCTCTGCATTAAAGATGTTAAGATACGCATATAGTCAAGCAGCATTTTCAATGCTAGGTGTGACGCCGATTCCCTGCCTCACGAACTTCTATATTTGCCCTGCCACCCGACCGATCAATCTCCTGCCTCCGCATACATGCAAATGTCTGCAGGACTTAATCTAACTACAGAGTATTACCAGATATGGCTTCAATGGCGGGCGTGATCTCGCCGCCGCTAATCGAGATACTGTAGCTACTAGATGAGTAGTTGGCCTGTGCCAACATATAAACCTGGTCTTAAGGTCAAAAAGGCGACTCAAATTCTAAATGATATAGATTCTACAAGCAATGGGAGAAGGAAAAGTACGCGCTCCCAAGTTTTGCAAGGTTGTTGCTCAGGTAAGTAGAAGGAAGGTTGCGCATCTGAACATAGGGTTCGGGAACTCTGAACTTGGATGTATATGTCTTGCCGTAGTCGGGTACATTTATTCAGGTGGACGTTGTCTTCACGCCCTATCATACATACTTTTACACTGAAAACTCATTTACGATGACCAAAAGACTTTTCCAATCAGAAAAAAAAAAAAAGAAATCAATAGATAAACCAGATACCGATCTGAAAATTCACAGTTCGAAAAGAGAGAGTGAAAAAAAGATATGGCGCTGCCCGGAATCGAACCGGGATCAACGCAGGTCGGGAGTTATGGGTACAAGCCACCATAGAAACCACAATGCGGTATTCTGCCATTAGACCACAGCACCATTTTATAATAATCGAGAATCAGACTAGTTATATAACTGACATAAACTCGCTCGTCAATGCACGAAAGTCTGGAATTTCGATTCATCAGTCACAGTATTAGTTGAGCAGTAAAATAGGGCCAGCCTTGAAGACATATTTACACTGTGAGTTAGAGCAAGCAAATGTCTAATACCCGAAATAAAACCCTGAATTTATACTATCTAATTTCATGAAAACATACTATCGACAGGGACATCTCCATCTGCAGGAATCCCCCGAACAGCAAATTGTCCCAAACCAGTTGAGACCTTTGCATCTACCTTGGCATCTACGTGCAAGATAACTTCATCATTCCCCCAAAGCATGTCCTGCACAAGGCGTGACAAGACCCCGTCATCTGTGACCTGCAATGGTGCGTCCTTGACGGCAAACTCTACGAGCATCGCCGGAGAGCCATCCGTGTCTTTCACCTGCGTCGAGTTGGAATCTTGCCATTTTTCAATGTTCAAATTTCCGAGCTCCTTCCCAATGTAGAAGACGTTTGTGAAGGCGCGAACATGAGGAACGTCCACGTGAAGGTTCATTTGCTCTGGGAGGGCCACTAGACACTTGACCAATGCAGAGACGGTGAGTTGCCCATCGGGGCTGTTTGGGTCTGCGAATGGGCTAGGAAGGGAGAAGTGTGTGTCCGCCATGGTGAAGTTCTTCACGAGATTGTCCAAGGCATGGTTGGTGAAGGGCAGGGGAATCGTGACGCTGCGCAAAAGATCTACCAACCAGCCCGGAGTTTGTGGAGATGGTGCGTCTGCCCCACGCACGTATATTGTAGTCTCGACGCCTTTGATATAACTGGACACCAACCAGTCCAGGGGAGAGCCTTTCTGTCCAGGACAGACGGAGGTCAACTCCTCGGGGAGACTATTGACCTGACCATGGACGCTCACATTGGTGAGTTGATTCGGCTCAACGTGGATTTCTCCACTCTGTGCATTGGCGGCTAGGATATACGGATCACCCGGCGCGCAGTTGGGTACAAGGATATCAAACCCAAGAGGAGGGATTGTGATGGCAACAGGCGAGTGGAGCTTGGCACCCAACAAGGCCTCAACCTCCATTGTTCCATTATTTCCATCATGTACATTCAACTGAACAAGGTTGATGTCAGGCAAGGCTGGAAAGTCTTTTTCTGCTCACCGGAGTTAGAGTGCGGAATTAAGAAATTGGGCTGTTACGAAATACCCACCTTCAAATGTAATGGTATCTGTCAACACTTGAGTTCCCAGGCGTATCAAGCCTGATTTCAGATGTAGAGACGCCTTGCCCTTCACTCTAAGATGAGCCAATCTACCCTCGATCCAATCCATAGCAATTGCATGTATACCCTTTAAGTCACCGGCTTTGAGGTCGGTCAAAAAGTCAAGCTTATTGTGGTGACCGTTGCGAATGTTCACTTTAATGTTCGGCACCACAGCGCTCCCAATCAAGACGTTCCCATACTCTGGTAGGTATACGTCAACATCTGAAGGGCCGGTCTCGACCTCCTTTGCAATCCAAGTCACAAATCGGCCAAAATTGCGGATTGTCTTGCTCTTCACACGGCTAGAGTCCATGACGAAGTCGCCTTGGATTCTGGCCCGGACCCCATCTGGAGTCGTCGAATCAATCTCGAGCGTGCTAGGTTCAAATACAGCAGCTTCTTGAGAATAATCTTTGACCACGGCTGGCGCCGCAAAGGCGAATACCAAGATCGCCAGGACTCCAGTAGTTAACAGTGTGAGAGATATAATTGTTGGCCATCGTACTCGACTCTTCTTGGTAGATCCGTCATCCGGCGATTCTTCTCCATGGGACGCTAAAGAGGATGGCCGGGATTGTCTGTGATCTGTTCCGTAGGTGGTAACCATATCATCACGGCGATGCAGAAGAGGCGTAGATTCGGACGACAATTCAAATGATCGATGCTGCTGATGTTGCTGATTCGGACGAGGGAGTTTGTCTGCAACCAGGTTGGATGAAGAAGACCTGGCCTGCCCATCCATAACCGACTCACTGGCCTCGCCAGCCATAGATGCCCGATGAGATGAAGACATAGATGTGGTATTGGACGAGAATCCAAATGATCGATTTTGCTCATCCGGATGAGCGGGCCTCTTTGCGACCAGGTCGGAAGAGGATCTGGCCTGCCCGTCCAACAATGACTCACTTGCCTCATTATCCAAAGTGGCATGGTGAGATGAAGATGCCGTCATGGTATTGGACGAGAATCCAAACGATCGATTTTGCTCATCCGGATGAGTGGGCCTCTTTGCGACCAGGTCGGAAGAGGATCTGGCCTGCCCGTCCAACAATGACTCACTTGCCTCATTATCCAAAGTGGCATGGTGAGATGAAGATGTCGTCATGGTGTTGGACGAATATCCAAACGATCGATGTTGCTGTTCCAGACGGGAGGAGCTGTTTGTGACCAGGTCGGAGGAGGACCTGGCCTGCCCGTCTAACAAAGGCCGATTTGCCTCGTCAGCCATAGCGGCCAGGCAGGATGGAGATGTTGCGATATTGAAAAAGTAAGCCGTCTGCTTGCTTAGAGAGTGATAGCGAGTTGAGAACAGGGTCGATGGCTGGGGATGACGAGATGACGAGATGACGATAAGCCAAGGCGATAACGGGATGTGGAGAGACTAGACTAGATTAGGAAGAAATTAATACCCTTAAATTAAGGCACCAAGGTATGATTTTATCTTTGGTGACCGCACATCGATCTTTGGGTTCTAGTTGTTGAGTCATTGGCCATTCCCTCCACAGTCCCTGGTTCCCTCTCCCGCTTCCCTCTCCCCAATTGCACCTATACTGTATACCCCAAACACCCATTTCCTTAACATTGCCCTCAGCCCATCATGGCTAGCGGTCTCAAAGCTGCCACCCGTTATGGCGCCCAAAGTGTAACTCAATTGGCCGGCTCCACCTCTTCCCTGCGTTCAACAGTTCAGGCTAATGGTCTCCGACGATTTGCCCACCAGACACAAACCTCTCCTACCTCCCTCGCACCCCGTCACCTTCTGTCCATTGCAGACCTGACCCCTGCCGAGTTCGCAACCCTGGTGCGCAATGCCAAATCGCATAAGCAGGCCATCAAGTCTGGAGCCATTCCGCAGAGCCTCCTCGGCTCTCTGTCTGGCAAGACCGTCGCCATGATGTTCAACAAGCGTAGTACCCGCACCCGTGTCTCAACAGAGGCTGCCACCGTCCAAATGGGCGGCCACCCCATGTTCCTGGGCAAGGAAGATATTCAGCTCGGTGTGAACGAGTCGCTATATGATACCTCCGTCGTTATCTCCTCAATGGTTTCCTGCATTGTTGCGCGAGTCGCCAAGCACTCCGACGTCGCTGATCTGGCCAAGCACTCCTCTGTTCCCGTGATTAATGCGCTCTGCGACTCATACCACCCCCTCCAGATTATCGCCGACTTTGTGACTATCTACGAGTCTTTCACCCCCAAGGCTCACGATGTTTCCAGTTTGGGCCTTGAGGGCCTTAAGATCGCCTGGGTTGGTGATGCCAACAACGTTCTCTTCGACCTGGCTATCGGTGCTACTAAGATGGGTGTCGATGTCTCTGTCGCTACACCCAAGGGCTACGAGATCCCCGCGGATATGCTGAAGGTCATCCAGAGTGCCGGCGAGGGTGTTCCTACCCCCGGAAAGCTCACTCAGACCAATGTCCCCGAGGAGGCCGTTAAGGATGCCGACATTCTGGTTACTGATACCTGGGTCTCTATGGGCCAGGAGGAGGAGTCCAAGAAGCGCATGAAGGCGTTCGAGGGCTTCCAGATCACCGCTGATCTGGCCAAGCGTGGAGGTGCCAAGGAGAACTGGAAGTTCATGCACTGCCTGCCCCGCCACCCCGAGGAGGTTGACGATGAGGTCTTCTACAGCTCGCGCTCCCTGGTATTCCCTGAGGCCGAAAACCGTCTGTGGGCGGCTATCTCGGCTCTTGAGGGCTTCGTGGTCAACAAGGGCAAAATTGTGGAGTAAATTTGTGCGCGGAAGGGGCTTGGATGTTTTCGGAATATACTCTGTCTTCGGATTGTAATTATTTCATACATAGCAACAGTTATTAAAATCCGTGACGCGATGACCTCAACAACCTAAGCCGTTTCACCCGGTATGTGGGATTAAGGGTATACTGGGTAAGCCAATAGGGAGCATGATGATTGGTTTAAAGTTCGGGAGACTCGGCATTCCATGTCTTGGGTGTTGCCTACGGTCTACGCTGATAAGATTGTGCCCATCCGATACATGGTGGGGCTTTCGGATGCTGCACATAATTGTGTAGCGCGGGGCTTCCGATCACATTAAAGCCAATATGGGAAATACGTTTTTATGACCATACATGAAGGTCATGTCTATAATATCCGAGGGGCAATTAATTTTGACAATCGAATCTTCTTATATGACGTATATTTGTACCAATACAGCGTGTTTTACCTGGGGTTGATTGGGTAGCCTCATAGGGTAGAAAATCTCCGACACTCGGGCCTTAACGGCTTGCATCGATTGATGTATGTTAAATGTGGTTACACAAAGAATGTAATTCTATAGTTCATCAAACTACTCCTCAGATCTACCGGTAAATCCACAGACCCAAACTACCAACTCGGAAGAGCCAGCCAGGCACCATCCCCACAATCTCTCCACGCTCCGAAATGGTACGTTTGGCTTGGTAGTTGATCGGATCCGTAATCCTGCTAGCGGGGAGAAGCCGACATCCCACCACATACTTATTACTCAAGCGGCGCTATCGTGTCTTTTCATACTCTCGCTATTGAATTGAAGAGATCCTCTGAATTTTTGTCACATATTATATCCGCCTTTGAAAAGTGCTTGACTGGGCCATATCGACACCTCCGCTTCAGCATGGGCTTTGAAAACAAGCGCGTCGCCATTGTCGGCGGCGGCCTCGGTGGCATGTCGTTCCTGAACGCTGCCTTGTACGCCGGACTTAAGAATGTGCAGCTTTACGAGCAAGCACCACAATTCGCCGAGGTCGGTGCCGGCGTCAATATTACATCTAACGCGAACCGTGTCCTTGATGCCTTCGGTCTGAAAGAGAGCATGACTCGCAAGTCCTCGCGTAAGCTGCCTTGCTACATGGAGTACCACAGCTACAAGAGCGGTGATTACCTGGGTCACATTGAAGAGTTCTCCACCCCCCGGCCCGTTTGTTACACCGTGCCCACTTGCTCGAGTCTCTCAAAGAGCGCGTTCCCCAGTCTAGTCTGAACCTGGGCAAGCACCTTGCCTCGATCGACCGAAACACCAGTGAGGGTGCCGCACCTTACACTCTGCATTTTGAAGATGGTAGCACTGCCGACGCCGATATCGTGATTGGATGTGATGGCATCAAGTCTAACGTTCGCCGGGATATGGGTCTGGGTGACTCGCCCAACTACTCGGGTCAGGTCGTTTACCGTGGCTTTGTCGACTACAAAGACCTGCCTGGAGACACCGCACAGCTGCTCCGCAAGACTGTCAACTTCCGCGGTCCTAACCGTCACGTCCTGATTCTGCCTATTGGTAACAAGGAGACGGAGACTGATCGCGCGGCCATCATTGGTTTTATGTCGGAGTCACTCGATTCCTGGGACTCAGAGAGCTGGATGTCCCGCTCTGATATTGATAGTCTGCAGGAGCATGTCCGTGACTGGTGCCCGCAGGTTCAAGACATCATTGCTGGACTCCGCAAAAGCTCACCTGACCAGAAGATGCTGAAGCAGGCGCTTTACGTACGTGATCCGATTAGCAAGTGGTATGAGATGAAGGAGGACCAAAAGGATGCTGGTATCATTCTTCTTGGTGACTCGGCTCACTCGACTCTTCCCCACCAAGGTACGTTTCTCTTTATATGCCCACGCTTTGACAGACCTTGACTCACAACCAAAAATAGGCCAGGGAACATGCATGGCTATCGAGTCGGGTATTGCACTCGCAACTGTCCTGCGTCACTGGAAGAATGATGATCTGCAGGGAGCTTTCCAATTCTACCAGGATCTGCGCAAGCCCCGGACAGACCGGGTCACACAAACTAGTTACGAAGCTGGCAAGCTTGCAAGCTCGGAGTCGCCAGACGAGATGACCGATAACTTCAACCCCACCGCTCTTGGGGAGCGCATGAAGTGGATTATGGAGTACAATGTACTGGAGGACTTGAAGGTCAAGGGAGCTGAGGTTCTGGATTTCCACGACTCTCGACTGTAAATAGCGATATTTTGATTTGAGATGTAAATATGGTAGCCTTGTACAAATTGATTTTTGCGATTCATACTAAACAAATATTCGATTGACGTCGATATCGCCGAATCCCGGGCCTGTGTTCATGTGGTGCCATCAACAGCCGAAGTACATTTTCACATGTCAATCGCACGTGCAGCACCTCCGCATTTCAACGTCAACTTTGTTCTTTTCATTCTCCAGATTTTCTTGAATTTCTTGAATTCCCCAGGTCCACCATGGAGGTAAGTCTACCCCGGAAATTGACTATATCCCCAGATATCCTGACCCGTATCCACAGTTCCACAACTCGGGCGGCTTTCCAAAGAGGCGTTCTTACCCCAACCTCCACCACATTTCCTTAGCTCCACTTACGCCCCGATTTCCTATCGACGACGACATAGAACCAACAGATTATTTCCACCAAGATGGAGAAGACTCACATTCCGGAACGGGAGTCAGAAACACAACCAGATCTTCGTCGTATCTATCCAGCGTCTCGGTACCGAGCACCCCACCAATTCTCTCCCATTCACGCAGCTCATCGCGAACCCGCCACCACACCCGAAGCAAGAGCTCAACCCGTGCCACTCCGCTAAGCGATACAAATCTACACAGCAAAAGCATCTCTTTCCCACTCCACCACAACTTAGGACCTCAAAGGAAACGTCCCAGCACACAGGACCACAATAACCATCCAACCACCAAGTCCGACGCGGAATGGATGCTCCGCGCTGGCATAGCTATCGCCTCCACTACCCGCGAAGAAAAAGGCCAAAGCTGGCTCTCCAAGCGCGAAAGCTCTACAAGCCTCGTCTCGGAAACGCCTTTCGATGATCCTGCCCTACCACCCCATCATCGACACCACCACCGCACTAGATCCGGTGCTTCATCCCGAAAGTCGCGCTCTGGCGCCTCAACTCCGGCCGCGTACTCGCGTCGTAGCTCGCGGTCGCGTGGTAACAGTCGCCATGGAAGTCGTGCTGGTCTTACTATGACCACCATCCCGCCTCTATCATCTGTCTCGGGGAAGATTCATAGCCCGACTACGACGGGGGCCGTGACGCCCGAGACTCGAGGGCGGAGTACTGAAGCGGGACTGGTTCCTGATTTTGTGGATGAGAGGATCCGGGCCGAGATGGAGTCTTTGCAGCAGGAGAATCGGGATCAGGATCAGGATCGTCGTCTGAATTCCCTCGATGATGTTTTGGGAGAGGAATGGGATAGGGAAGAGGATCTTGAATCGGTAGATGAGTTCTCCGATGAGTTTTCGGATGATAATGATGAGGAATTCGACGAAGCGGACTTGCAGCGTCTTACGCGGGAGCGTGGATTCGGGCTTGGAAGCTGGATTGATCGCTTGGTTGAGTGGACTTTGTTTGGAGTGGATGAGTTACCTGTGGTGCCTGTTTCTTCTGCTAGAATTGGTGGTGCTGCAACGACCACTACTGTTACATTTGAGGAACCGGCTGGCTCTTCTCATGCGGACCCAGCTGAGAACCATGATACCTTGTCCTCGGCCTCAGGGGAAGACCGCAGTTCTTTATCTGACGATGTAGATGCTTCCTCGCATACGGACGGCGAGTCTATCATTGAAGTTGAGAAGCCGGGTGCCCACGGTGGCTGGGAAGATGCAGGCTGGTTGTTCAGAGTCATGAAGCGTGCATTGGTATGATCTTTTAAAAGCGTTGTTTTGATTGCATATAATTTTATGAATGATTGAAGTTTGATCCGGTCATGGAGAATGATTAACCATGGGTTACACTGAGAAACATACAATACCTCTAGGGCTCTGTTCGCTAAATGTTTAGGACTTACGCGGAAATGTGTTATTTCAAGTAGACGTTTTCTTATTTCTGATACTGTAAGCTAAAAGGAACAACCATTTCTTCCCGCTATGGCAGTGAGACTGCAAGCACGATATCTTTGGCAAACACGAAAGTTCACAAATGAACCAGATTGGCAGCACGAGATGAGAAAGAAATGGCCGCCACGTATATCAGGCTATGCCTGGAACAGGAAACTATGCAAGATTCATGTGAACTTCGACAGGAACAGAAAAGGCAAGGCAAGAATGACATAAGGAGAAGAAGAAAAGGATGTACAGGACTCCGGTTATCGCCGAAAGAAGAAAGGGAAGCACACCACCCGAGATTGCAATGAGATAAAGATAAGGGAAAGACAAGGGAACGACGGGAGAATTATCAATCCATAAACGCACTTGATAGAACGGTAAGACGATTGAAAGGGGAAAACATGCATAAGGAAAGGGAAACGATCGAATAGAGGGCAGTGCTGGGCTCGAGTGAGATCATTAAAGAGTTGAAAACAGCCAAGGTTAACATTCATCTTCCAGAATACCAAGTTAAAAAAGGAAGTGAAAAGAAATAGGTTAATTGGTAATTCGCCTTTGCATAGTATAAACGCCAATCTGAGACCATGTGGGATTCTCTAAAGGTCATGCAGTAGGTATCGTGATCGTGGCATACGTTGAATTGTGCGGTTCAAAAGGTTGTGGGACCGCCGGGAGGCTCACGGTGGAGTCAATGCGAAGTTCTGGTTGTAGCGCGACGAGCGCAGTGGTATCGTTGTAGGGGGTCGACCTCCATAAGGTCGAGATGGGAAGATATTCGTTATGAGTCATCTGTTCACCAAGGTCCGACCTTGACGGGTGTGCCCATTCCATAAGTGCCTGAAAGAAGCTGATCTCGTATAGAGCCCATGTCATTGCCACCGGGGCCGTGGGACGGAGAGTCTGGTCCATTCATCCATCCCAAGCTCGAGCCGAGCTCGTTGACCACACCCTGCAGCTTGCCTCCCGAGGTTTGGTTGTGCTTGGCTAGCTTCTGGTCCCAACCGCCATACTGGAGTTGAATACCCCCGCCACGCTTGGCTGCCTCTCGGATCACCAGGACCCAGGCCTTGCCAATCTCGTCGTAGGCCGAGTCCCGCTCGATGTTGTTCTGTGGCGTGCTCCAACGAGGCAAGGCGTGAATGATATCGGTTGCCCCGTCAAGGTAGCTGAGTGATACCGACGGCTGAGTCTCATTCGGAGGAAGAAAATTGGGTGTAAAGTCACTCAGGGCCTCGAGGAGGTTGGTGAGTGGCTGCCGAACTCGATTGTAGGCGTAGTCGGACTCGGTGTTGCCACCCAGCGGGAATGAAGACTGCAGGGCCGCTTGGTAATTTCGGAGCACCTGGAGGGTGGAGGAGACACTGGGTCGAGGAGAGGTCTGGGCGACCTCATCGGCCAGCTGGGGGTGGCGTTCGCACATGGTACGCACGACCGTCCGCAAGGCATCGGTGTCGAGGGTCTCTAGCAAGCGAGGAAGAGAGAGAGGTCTGCCAGAGATGTTCGGTCGGGTCCGCTTGAAGTTTCTAAAGGAAGGGAGCTGGCGAGGAGTAAAGGCTGGCGAGTTGGTGGGAGAGGCGGACATCCGTCCGTCATGGTCGTTGCCATCATCATCGGCTTTCCGCTTTCGGCTGGTGTAGGAAGAAGAGGGGGTGGACACTACAGATTGAAATCGGTCAGCTATTTTGTTTCCTGGAGGATTTCAAAGAAGAACTGGAGAGGAGCGGATCAGGATAAGTCGTACTTATCAGGGAGGGAGAAAGCCGAGGGTTTTCGTAGAAATGAGGAGGAACGGGAGGCGTAGCCACCAGACTGTTCATGATGACAGCCGGATGGCAGCAGATATATTCGAAACAAATTCAAGGATAACGATGAGCGAAAGGGAGAAAAAAGTACGAGAAAAGCGTGCCCAAAAAGGGTGAGGTGGGGAGTAGAAGTGCAAAGAAGAGAGAAGCGGTGGAGAAAAAGACTCAAGGGTGTTGCGGGCGGCAACGCAGTCCCTCTGTGCAGCTTTCAAGGTCACTTTACAACGTTGCAGATGGCTAGTCCTTACGTCTAGAAAGAAAGAATGAGAAAAAATTGCGAAATTTCTGAGATCATATTTCTCGACCAAAAACTTATGTTTCAGCTCAGGTCAGCAAAATGAGTCTGGCAAATTATGGAAAAGATGACGAGTTCCATCGGGTGACCAAAGTCAAAGCCACTTAGTGATGCTGAGACAAGTACATAGCTCTTTCTACGATGCAATGAACTACAAAATTGCTGGATTTTTAATTTTTTTTTCCATTGCGTGCACTAAGCTTCCAAAAACTTCCAGGGATATCATATCTACAGGTACATCTACAGGTACAGGGACTGAGCAGCCACAATGTCACGACGCACTTTGCTGAGAGCATCCTCAAACTTGCTCTCCAGGTCCTCACTACCCATGGCCTTGGCAGCCTGTGCCATTTGTCGTAAACACTCCTCCAGACGTCGGAAAACACGGATCAAGCTACCTTCGTAGACATCGGTCATGTTGCTGTGGATGTTAGCCTGAATTCAAATATAATGCCAGATGTAGTACTTACCAGATTTCGCCAAAGGACTTGCCATGGGCCCAATCGTAAACCACCTCCATCAGCTCCCAGTGGAAGCTTGCGACGTACTCCTCTTCATTGACGGCCATCTTGGACTCCTGCGAAACCTTGGCGATAGTTCGAGCCATACTTTGGATTTCCTTGAGAGGCTTGGACAGCTCGTCCTTGGACAGAGCAGGTGCCTCTTTGACCTTCTCTTCGAAAACAAAGACACTAATCATAGCTGCAATCTGCTCTGGGGTCAGGTCGTTGAAGAAACCGTTGAATAGCAACTCGCTGAGCATGAGTTCGTCACCGGTGCTGATCTCACAAGCGACGCGAGCCTTCAACTGAACAACGCCAGCCTCGTTGATGAATCCGAGACGACGGAGAACTCGCTGACGATTCTTCAACTCATCAAGTTGGATGATCGCTTGAGCATCGGAGATCTTCTTCTTGACGGCCTTGATCTGCGTACCAAGATCAACCTTCGCTGCATACTGGTCGTACAGTTCTGCCAATCGAGGCGAATTGTGTAACGGGTTACTCAAAAGTCGAGATTCCAGAACCTCAATTTTGCGGAGCAGCTTCTTGAAAGAATCATCCTTAATATTCATGTTTTCGATGGGGTCAAGCACGGGGACACCATCAGGGAATCGGCGCTGAATCTCATCCAATGTTTTCTTCACCCCGGAACGTGTTGAAGCTTGTGAAATATCCTTGGGTATCGGGAATCGGACGTGGGAGATTGCTTTAACGCAAGTGAGCATCATCGGCACAACCTCCATGCGGGACTTATCGCCTTCCTTCACGGGCTGCACACCAGTTGGAAGATCCTGGAAAGTCTTGGTTCCAATAGCAGGTCCATCGGCAATGTTGATCAAGACGTCGATAATGTAGGATTGGTGGGGAGGGAACTCCTCGGAAGAGTTTTTCATGGGTCTTCGTTGCTTCTGACTGACCACGGCACCCCAGCCAAAGTCCTGGTCCTTGTGTTTGATGTGAACCAATCGACCAGCTTGAATGAAGGGAAGGATGTAATTCGGATGAGTGATAACGGCGCGAACATCCTCGGAGAATTGGTCCAGCTGTTTGCGCAGTTCATAGTATTCACGGATGGTTCCTTCATCTTCAATGTTCATGTTGGCCTTCTTCTCGTCCAGTTCCTTCAACTCAAGCTCCAAGCCTGTAACGCTGCCTGCACTTTGAAATTGCTTGAAACATTGCTGAAGCATGAATTCTGGAGAAATGCCTTCCACACGCATCAAATTGAGGACCATGTTGTAACCCAGGTGGAATGCCGAGTTGAGTCGGTCTTGCTCGCCACGCACAATCTCCTTGGCAACCGCAGGGTCCATCTCTTCACCAACCATCATGATGACAATACCACGCTCGTCGAGACCTCTTCGACCAGCACGACCCGACATCTGGATGAATTCAGAGGGAGTGACCCAACGCTGGCTTGTGCCATCAAACTTTCGAACGCTGGTGAATACCACAGTCTTGGCAGGCATGTTAAGACCGATGGAGAACGTTTCAGTAGCAAAGAGGACCTTAATCAGACCCTCCTGGAAAAGGATCTCAATGGTCTCCTTGAGGATAGGCAGTAAACCAGAGTGGTGAACACCAACACCCCTTCGAAGAAGAGGCAGAATGTTAGAAATCTGTGGCAATGCCCGATCTTCCGGAGAGAGCATCTCAAGGGCACTATCAAAGACCTTGGAAACCATTTCCTTCTCAGAGTCATCGTTGAAAGAAAGTTGTTTCAACTGAAGGGCGCCGCTTTCACATTCGCGCTTGCTGAAGCTGAAGATAATGACCGGATTCATGTTCTTCATCATAACCATTCGCACAATTTTGAAGAGATCGGATGGTCCCTTCTCGCCGCCCTTGTTGATTTTCTTATCTTTGCCCTTTCCTTTTAGGCTTGCATTAGGATTCGCGGGATCATCTCCCTTCTTGTCAGCAATTGCACTCATTGCCTTCTGGAAATTCTCTTCCTTGAAGTCACCATTTTCACCCACGACAAGATGCATTCCCTCGGAGCCAGCAGGGAAGAAATAGTGTTGAAGAGGGGTTGGACGGTAGTTGGTGTAGACGACGTGACAGGGTTGATTGTGCATCTTCACGATCCACTCGGCGAACTGCATGGCGTTGGGGATGGTGGCCGACAAGAAGACGTATCGCACCTTATCAGGTAACAAAATAATGGTCTCCTCCCAGACAACACCGCGATTAATGTCACGCAAGTAATGGATTTCATCGAAAATGACCCACTGGACTTCACGCATGATCTCCGAACCGCGATACAGCATAGAACGAAGAATCTCGGTGGTCATTACGAGACAGGTTGCGGTGGGGTTGATGGTCACGTCACCGGTCATCAATCCAACATCACCAAATTCTGCCGCAAATTCACGGTACTTCTGGTTGGATAGGGCTTTAATTGGACTTGTGTAGATGACTCTCTGATTGCGCTTGAGACTCTGCGCGATGGCGTATTCTGCAACCACCGTCTTTCCAGCACTGGTATGCGCTGACACCAATACGCTCTCCTCTCTTTGAATCGAATTGACCGCAATCTGTTGGAAAGGATCAAGGGTGAAGGAATAGATCTTTGCGGGGTCTTCCGGTTGCATGTGTTGCGAGATAGGCACGTAGGGGTAGTCTGGGGGAATCGAAACTTGGTGGCGCACTTGGTGTGACACAATCAGTGATGAGGCATTCTGGTTTGCTTGAAGGCCAGCAGAACCGGCAATCTCGACCGCTTGTTCGGCTTCGAAGGTATCGGCAACAACGGGTGTAGGTGCCTCTTCGATGCGGGGTCGTTTAGTTGCTGGCTGTGCTTTTTCGGAGGCGGCGAGTTCATCAGAATCTGTAGCTTTCGAATCCTCCATAACTTGGTCCTCCGGGCTATCCTCCCTTTTCGTTGTTGCCGTGTCTCCATTTCCCTTGACATCTCCGTTTGCTTGACGCTTCTTGAACTTGTCTTTCTTTTCCTTCTTGGGCCGCTTTGGAGCGCCAGCTGGGGGTGCTGGCGCCTGAGGCGGAGCCTCAAAGACGTCGAAAAGCTCATCCATCTCCAGTGGTCGAATGGAGGAAGGAACAAGCGCTGGGGAGAGCGTCTGGAACTTTTTTTCTCAGAGAAAATTGAGGGCGGTGAGGCGCAATCAAGAATCTTTATCGATCGACGCTAGTCCTCTCTAGTATATCACGTGATAACATCAAGGTGAATTGCATATACTGCATGGAGGTAACATCCGTTCAAAGTACATAAACGATGGATATTGTAACAGAGAAGAATGCACGACAGCTAAAGCACTAACTCACCGCATTAGGCAGAACTCCATAGTAATAATACTACCGATCATATACCCATAAGACCCTAAAAATATGAAGCTGATTAAACAGTGACACTTAGCCGGTGCATTTCCTTATCGATGGTTCAAAGTTGGAATTCATTTTGACCCAATGACCGATATGTTGCTGCATGTTTTGGAGCAAGTGAGGTCACATACTCTTCAAAACCTAGAAAATCAGATACAGTGACATTTTGTTCAAAGTGCGATTACGCGCTACACTGAGTATGATTAGAAGAGCTGTGAGCTATTTCCAGTGGCTCTCAGATATCGAATTTAAAGGATAGCTGATTCTTCGCCTGAAAATCTGTTGAAATAGGACATTTTCATATTGCTATGTAACTAGTGGACTCGGATATTCGAGCCTAAGGATAATGCTAGAGCTTTTTGGATCTTCAATCATTTCGAAATGAGCATTGGTTTGATGTGATTTGTTTTGCTTTACATTCCATAGTAATGGAACGCTTACAATGGTGGAATTGTAGAGTCCGTTTTCAAAGTGCCCGTGGCACTGGTATGTCTAGGCCATTTGTGTATTACATTTGTCTTCCCTACCCGACTTTGACTTTCAATTAGCATATCATAGCATGGTACATAAAAGAAAAAGCGGCGAATAGAAAAACAAGTCCGAAACAAAATTGGAACTAATCATCATGGATCATGATGATGGCACATTACTGACATTGGATTGAATGACAAGCAGGACAGTGGGCAGTATGAAGTTGGTGAGACCACACGCTACTACAGGAGAGGAAGTAGTATCTACCAAAATAGGAAACTAAAAAGAACTAAACGATGTAAAACAACTTCAAAGTCGCGTCAAGCATTGACAATCAAGGTACTTTTGAGTTCCTGGCCTCTGATTGGCTTATTTGGATCAAAGCCTGTGTAGAGTACACGTGACATTGGTCATGTGACCGTGATCGTCCCATTCCGCAACCTTGCGATGTCTATCCTGGCTCCGTCCAATTCCGATCGTTCATTCCCTCCCCTTTGTACCACAAGGTGGGTGATACTAAATCCTGCATTTCCATCCGTCGCAGCAGCAAGCTCACACCATCCCAGATGTACGCCTCCTCCGCTATCCGTGCCCGTCTGGCCACCGCCGCTGCCCGTCGTGGCTTCTCTACCACCCGCACTCAGTTCGGTAGCCCTTACCACTACGCTGAGGGACCTCGCACCAACATCCCCTTCAACCCCCTGACCAAGCACTTCTTCTGGCGCTACTGGGCCTTCATGAGTTTGTGACCCACAAACCCCCGATCACAGACCGCAGAATTAACGTAGATTCTTCTTAGCTGTCGGTTTCGGTTCCCCCTTCGCCATTGCCGGTAAGCTTCCAATGGTCCTGGAGATGCGTTTCATGGTACTAATGAGTTGTTCCTTATAGTCTGGCAAACCTACAAGACCAAATAAGCTCGCTTTCGTCTTTCTTACAAGGCAGCACGGACGGCTTGATGGTGTAAAACTTGAAATTGGCTCTCGAAGAAGATGGATATCATGTACAAAGTTAGAGAATAAGTTGGGGTTTTTATTACACGCTATATCTCCTCAATTGTAGTTGTGTAGAAGCTGTAAGGCGTAGCTGGGGCGACGTTGAAATATAAATGAAGTCATTGGCTGAGCGGGTGTGGAAAATCAAAAATCTTTGGTTCGGCGGTTGACTTTGTATCAGTCTCGGAGCCACAACCTTGTCACAAATACCACCACCCCAGGAAACTCTAGTTCGTGAGACTGATCTGTAATAACGACAGTCTTGGGGTCTTTTTGATCGCGTCTTTATATACTTACGATCTCACCGTCCCATGGCGGGGTAGACATTCGGGACCCGATACAAAAAAAAAGTTGAGACCCACCATCGAAGATGCGCAACCTCAAAAACGTGCGTCTTCAGGAGACGCGAGTCGAGGGTGATCTCCCCTTGACTGCTACTGCCTGGGACACTTCCTCGGATTCTATTGTGTGTACCTTTGGCCCTTCCCAGTACAGCCCAGTCATCGAGCTCAGAAGGAAGCGCCCCGAGGTCGTTTCCGCGGAGCCTTTGAATCCCAATGAATTTGAGTGCATTGCATCTTGGGATGCACCATGCCCATTGCCAGACTTGCCATGTGACCGAGTCCTCTCTCTGCACTACTTTGCAGATAACCTGACCGCCTGTCTGGTGCTGGAGGGTGGTGATATTATCATGGTGCGCGAGGAGCCTCTCGAAGGAGAGGATAAGATTGAAATTCTAGGATCAGTTGATGTGGGAATCTCAGCTGCGGCGTGGTCCCCAGATGAGGAGCTGTTGGCTATCACGACTCGAGCCAACACTTTCCTGTACATGACCAGGGAATTCGAAAATGTGGCTGAAATCACCTTCTCCCAGGCTGACATGCAGGCATCGCAGCATGTGTCTGTTGGATGGGGTAAAAGGGAGACTCAGTTCCAAGGTAAAAGGGCCAAGGCCATGCGGGACCCTACTGTTCCAGAGAAGGTAGACGAAGGCATTCTGAGCCCCTACGATGATGCCAGCACGACCATCAGCTGGCGTGGTGATGGGGCTTATGTTGCTGTGAATACCGTCGAAGAGGGTGCCCGTCGCGTTATCAGAGTGTACTCCAGAGAAGGCACTTTGGATAGCGTAAGTGAGCCGGTCGATGGTCTCGAGGGTGCTCTCAGCTGGCGTCCGTCAGGAAATCTTATTGCAGGAATCCAACGACTTGAAGGTAGAACTGATGTTGTCTTCTTTGAAAGAAACGGTCTTCGCCATGGCCAGTTTACTCTTCGCCTGACCGAAGAGGAACGCCAAACCTGGGCATCCCGCATTCTCTTGTCATGGAACATCGACTCTACGGTGCTTGCAGTCCGGTTCACAGACCGGGTTCAGCTCTGGACCACTGGAAATTACCACTACTATCTGAAGCAGGAGGTTCCCATTGTGGTTGATCCTCTCTCAATGATCCCATTTTCCTTTGAATGGCACCAAGAAAAAGCTTTGCGAGTAGTTGCTGGGTCATCTGGTATGGTGTTCTGAAATTGTCAATCAAGATCTGGAACTAACAATGTCTAGGTTCTATTTTGGACATGGACTATGTGTTCGATATCCACCATGGTTCTACTGTGATCCCCGATGACGTTGGTGCCGTGGCTGTTATCGATGGGAGTAAGTCTCATATATCTACCAATGGCATAATGCTTTTACAATGGAGTCTAACTTGGTGTTTACAGAAAATTTGAAACTTACTCCATTGAGACTGGCTGGTGTGCCACCTCCTATGGCCCACAATGAACTGAAATTAGACTCCAACGTTGTTGACATGGCGTTCAGCAAGTCGGGTAACCGAATTGCGGTGCTCATGCAATCAAGCTTCGCGATTTTCCTCTGGTCTCTCAAAAGCCGCCCAGTTCCCATGCCGATTCTCGAATCTAGCTATCCTTTATCCGATACTGCTGATAGCAGACCCCGACAAATTGCCTTCGTGGATGACAACGAGGTGTATGTGCTGAAGGACATTGCACCAAACACAAGTCATATTGAGCAGACCAGCTTGGAAACCCGGGAGACTCGTGTCGTATATCAGGCATCCGACTCCGAGCAACTATCGTCAATGTTTGCTGGAATTGGACACCGAGCTTTATGGTTCTCACACGCACGCCAGCCCAGTCATCCTGTTACCTACTCAAGTATCGAGCTGATTGAGGGTGGTGAGGTTGTCACTCCTTGGGTCGAGTGTCCTAACGTTGACACCCACTGGGCCAAGGCTGTTTCAATTTCAGACACCGAGGTAATGCTACCCGGAATTTGGGGACTGGAACACATTGCTGACAACATTAGCGAATCTTGATAACAATGACACGAAACGGTGGTCTGTACGCCAATAAGCGAGTTCTTGCCAAGAATTGCACCTCCTTCTTGGTGACCCCATCGCATCTCTTGTTCACCACATCTCAACATCTATTGAAGTTTGTTCATCTGAATCATGTGGACGGTATGTCGAATCTACCATAGTAACAAACTATGTGTTCTGGAAACTGATGAAATGGGCATAGATATGGAAGTCCCCGAAGATACCCCGGAAACGGACGAAAGATGCCGAAGCCTTGAGCGTGGATCAAAGCTCGTGTCTGTGATGCCATCTGTATTTGGTGTCGTCCTTCAGGCTCCTCGAGGTAACATTGAGACTATCTACCCCCGTGCGCTAGTCTTGGCAGGTATCCGTACCTTTATCGACCAGAAGAAATATCGCTCTGCATTCTTGGCTTGTCGTAGCCAAATGGTGGACTTGAACATCCTCCATGACTACGCCCCACAGCAATTCCTGGAGAACATTCAGCTTTTTGTTGAACAGGTCAAGAAGGTTGAATTCATCGATGACTTCCTTTCTCGCCTCAGGTAAGAAAACTACTGGGAGACAAGAAATATAAGCTAACATTCTTTTAGCGAGGAGGATGTCTCACAAACATTGTACAAAGATACACTTAAAATCTCCACGAATGAGTCCGCAGTTGTGGCTCAGCCAAATGCTCCCGCTGTACCTGCTGCTCTCAAACCCACCAGCAAAGAGGGCAAGATCAACACCATCTGCAATGCTTTCTTGGAGGTTCTGCAAAATCGCCTGGACACAAATTTGCAAAATCTGGTCACTGCCCATGTATGCAAGTCACCGCCCGATCTGGAAGCTGGCCTGGGGCTTGTCGCACGTCTACGGACCGAGAACCCAGAGCAAGCCGATGATGCTATTGAGCACATGTGTTTCTTGACGGATGCGAACCGTCTCTACTCTCACGCACTTGGAATCTATGACCTCGAACTTACCCTCCTGGTTGCCCAACAGGCCCAGATGGATCCCAGAGAATATCTTCCTTTCCTGCGCAAGCTGCAGCAATTGCCTGAGACTCGCCGGCAATTTGAGATTGACAACCATCTCTCCCGTTTCACTAAGGCCCTCAAGCATCTCTTCACTCTGGGAGCGCACGAAGAGATTCTTGGATATATCACCAAGCATGTCTTATACAAAGAGGCCCTTGAGATCTACAAATACCACCCAGAGCAGCAGAAAGAAATCACGCATCTCTATGCCGACTACCTCTCGGGCGAATCTAAACACAAGGATGCCGCAATTGCTTACGAATCACTTGAGGTGTATGACGAAGCCTACAAATCTTATCACCTGGCTCATATGTGGCGAGAGTCTCTGTATTGTGCCATGATGGCCTCACTGTCCGAGGAGGAGTTGATTTCGCATATCAACGATCTCATCCTGACCCTTGAGGAGGCTCGGGACTTTGTGTCCGCAGCGACAGTCCATGCGGATCACCTGCATGACATTGAAACGGCTGCACAGCTTCTGTGCCGGGGTTCGAAGTTCGCTGATGCTGCTCGTTTGCTGACGCTACACGGCAAAAAGGACCTCGTTGCAGGAATTGTCGACACCGGACTGGCAGAGGCAATGGGCTCAATGACCGATCTGCTCGCCGACTGTAAATCCCAGCTCAATGCCCAGGTGCCTCGTGTCCGCGAATTGCGTCTGCTTCGCGCCGCAGATCCCCTGGCCTTCTACGGAGGTGATCCCACTGGTGGTGAAGGCGGCGTCGATATTCCAGATAACGTTTCTTTGGCCCCCACGGAAGCGACAACACTAGCCGGACGCACCATGTTCACTCGCTACACCGGCAAGACGTCATCGTCTCGCCACACCTCTAAGACTCGCCGCCGCGAGGAGCGCAAGCGAGCCAAGGGTAAGAAGGGTACGGTCTACGAAGAGGAATATTTGGTCAACAGTATTCGACGACTCATGGAGCGTGTCAACTCCGCTGTCAACGAGGCAGAGGCGCTTGTGGATGCTCTCCTGCGTCGCGGCATGCGCGAACGTGCAGCTGCTGTCGAGAAAGCACTGGAAGATGTCCTGAAGATGTGCGCAGACTGCCGCGAGGATGTGTTTGAGATTGCGGCTGCGCCACCCAAGAAGGACGAGGACGAAGATGACGAGGGACCGGAAATCCAGATTACTTCCGGGTCTCGCGTACTTGAGGAAAGCATGGCAGCGATTGCCGCAGGTGGGGTTGCCCGGAAAGAGGCGCCTGTCGTGAAGGAGATTAAAAAGTCCTCCCTGCTTGCTTAGTGCGTAGGGTTGCTATCTGCATGGATTTATGTCGTACATGGTATATATGTTTTTCTTCTTGTCAATCAGGGCCATCGAGATACATATCTCGCGTAGTACACTGCTTTCTCATGGGATCTAATTCTAAAACACGGGGAAATAAGTCAATACCAGCTCAACCAGGTGCACATGTACATCGCTATCGCGGTTTATCGCCAGGAATTACCTCTGCAAGGGGCAACGAACAAACCCCGCTGGTAAACCGGGTATCTGAACATATTACCCGTCGGAGCTCCGCCCTTGCATAACTTAGAGTACACTAAGCTATTAGCGTCATTTCCCCTGCGATAACGATGTAAAAACCGTCCAACACTGCGGAGAAAATCCTGGTCTTGTCAGAGCGGGGTTGATAAGACCATGCCTACCTGGGTAATTTCACCTCTGCAGCTCGCTAACAAAGCCAATCTAGCCACATTGGAGGGCCAATTGCCGAAGCTTTTATCCCGCATCCTTATACTAACTCGGAGCTACGCGTGGGCATGTCGGTATGTCGATGTGTCTCAAACCCCATGCAGAGACCGTGCCACTATGGACCCAATCAGCCCACGAGGATGCCATGATACCCTGAAATTGGTTTATCCCGTCTCTTTGAGAGTGGGGACGCTTGTTTGTCGCTAGATATGCCGTGGTGATATGGCGGTACTGTTGCATTTTGCATATGAGGGCCCGGTTTCCTTCTCAGATGAGATTCCAGTGTGGACATTTTGGACTTGTCATTATGCTGGTGCGTCAAATTTGTGTCGCTTTGGCCATTGCGGCTCTGGCCGGGGCTGCACCCAGTACTGTTAAGCATGTTCTACACGAGAAGCGGGACCGACAGTCTTATGACTGGGTGAAGGGTGGTCGGGTTGAGAGTGATGCGGTCTTGCCTGTCCGTATTGGTCTGAGCCAGAATAACCTGGAAAATGGTTACGATCATCTGATGGAAGTGTGAGTGGCTGATATAGTCCATGCCTTTGGTTGCCTTTGTACTGACATTCAGAAAGGTCTCATCCAGACTCGCCCCGTTATGGAAAGTTCTGGTCTGCAGAGGAGGTGCATGATATGTTTGCTCCCTCTGAAGAAGCCGTGGCATCAGTTCGACAGTGGCTTGAAGCTAGCGGCATTCACCCGTCTCGGGTTGTTCATTCCGATAACAAAGGTTGGATTGCATTTGATGCCTATGCACATGAAGCGGAACGGTTGTTCAAGACCGAGTTTTATGAGCATGAGCATGTGGCTACTTCGAGCATGAAAGTTGGATGCGACGAGTAAGACGCCATTTGCCATTTTGGACGAATGATAAAGTTACTTACCAGATGAATCATAGATATCACGTTCCGCAGCACGTTCAGAGACACATTGACTACATTACGCCAGGAGTCAAGCTGACCCCAGTGCTTAAGAAGCTTACCAAGGCCAAGAGGGCTTCCCAATTGGTTGGTGTCAAGTCTAATCCAATGGCTGTGGACTCTGAAGAAAACTATTCGATCCCTGCCAAGGCTTTGTCTCTTAAGGAAGATCTTCAGGGTTGTGGGTACAATATGACCCCGACCTGCATCAAGGCCATGTACGATCTCCCGGACGCCAAGACAGCAGTTAAGGGGAACTCTCTTGGTTTATATGAACAGGGCGATTACTTTGCCAAGTCGGATATCGACCTCTTCTACAAGGCGTATGCCCCGTGGGTGCCACAGGGCACTTATCCAATCCCAGCTATGATTGATGGAGCCAATTACTCTGTGCCAGCCGACAGCTCGCTGAACACCGGTGAATCTGATATTGACATTGATATGGCGTGAGTAACAAATTTTAGGCATCATCAATATGTACTAACCAGATTTTAAGCTTCGCACTGATCTATCCTCAGACGGTGACTCTGTACCAGGTCGACGACCAAATTTACGAGCCAGAAGAGGTCGCGACTACCAACCTGTTCAACACTTTCCTTGATGCTCTCGATGGTGTATGTATCACGTCTGTCTTTTGCAACGACTATCGCTGATTATTTTAGTCTTACTGCACATACACGGCCTACGGAGAGACAGGTGATGATCCAGCTATTGACGCCGTCTACCCCGATCCAGCAGCTGGAGGTTACAAAGGCAAGCTTCAGTGCGGTGTCTACAAGCCCACCAATGTCATCAGCGCCTCCTACGGTCAGGCTGAAGCAGATCTTCCCGTTAGCTACACCAAGCGTCAGTGCAACGAGTTCATGAAGCTGGGACTCCAAGGCCATTCTATCCTTTTCGCATCCGGCGATTACGGCGTGGCCTCATTCGCAGGCGATGGCAATTCCAACGGCTGCCTCGGTCCAGACAGCAAAATCTTCAACCCCCAGTATCCCTCCAATTGTCCCTACGTCACTTCCGTCGGAGGAACCATGCTGTACACGGATCAAACCGTTGAGGACGCCGAGAGCGTCATGCACGCCAACCTCGGCGGCACAGCTGCCAACTTTAGTACTGCAGGCGGTTTCTCCAACTACTTCCCTCAGCCCGCATACCAGAAAGCCACTGTGGAGAAGTACTTCAAGAAGGCCGACCTGACTTACCCCTACTACTCGGAGTTTGAAGTCGATGTCAACACCACCGAGGGACTCTACAACCGTATCGGACGTGCTTACCCCGACGTCTCGGCCAACGGTGCCAGATTCCGTGCCTACACCGATGGATACGATTACTTCTACTATGGATCCAGTCTGGCATCGCCTCTCTTTGCCTCCGTCCTGACTCTGGTAAGTTGACTCCACAAAAGGATTTCTTGATATGACTGACAATATTGGTAGATCAACGAGGAGCGTATCGCCAAAGGCAAGGGGCCCGTTGGTTTCGTCAACCCAGTCCTGTATGCACACCCTGAGGTTCTGAATGATATTACCAACGGTACCAGTGCTGGATGTGATACCGATGGATTTGCTGCTATTGAAGGGTGAGTCGGACACAAACCGTTCTAGAGCTGTTAATTGCTAACTTCTTTTAGATGGGACCCTGCAACTGGTTTGGGAACTCCCAACTACCCCAAGATGAAGAAGTTATTCCTCTCACTTCCGTAAAGGATTATTGAATATGGTAAATGGATTATAGAGACTGACAGAAGTCTCTATGAAAATCGGGCTTAGCGACTCTACCAGTTTCTATGTAGAGGTATTAAGTTAATTACTTTTTCTCCTTCCCCCGGTAGTTATGGAGCGATTAAAATATGACCTTATAGCATAGGAGAACTTCAATGTTAAATTTGCAGGAAATCCATTTGGAATTGAAGGAGCTTTATCTTACTTTCCGTGAATGTAGCAATGGCTATTAAACCGGTGACTAAGAAGGATTCTGCCAGGTCATGTCAGGTTTCATAGACTACAGCTTTGAGCTATATTCAATGTCAAGCTTCATAGGTATAATAGAATCAATAGGTATAGATATTCCTATTCAAAAATGTAGATGCTTGAACTCGAACTTTGTTAACAGGAAACAAAGCACAATAAACATGGCAAAACAAAGACACAGAATATTAAGAGTGTGCAGAGTGTAAGGTATTAGGTACTTGCTGCCCTTTTCGGCCGTGGACGCCCATAGGTCGCTTATTGGCCTGGAGTCGAGTGTTAATTGAAGCGTTAGTACCTTTGGTAAGTTGCCCAGGAATCACACTTGACTGGATCAGTGTTAGCGGATAATAATCACACCAGTAAAGACACCAAGGCCATTGCATAATATCTCCGAGGTTCCACGCATCCTTATCGGAGAATTGAACTTTGACCCGTAAACATGAATGAAACTTGTATTTAGATTGCTTTCCCGCCAAACCCTCAATATCCGTATTCCATTCTACTCACAACATACTAATCCACTTACCAACGAAAGCCAACTCCAGAATGGATACTGATACCTTTCACTTATATTCATACTATTGCTCATCATGCTGCCAACGGATCATTATCGCCGCCCATCTCAAGGGTATCCCACTCGAGTTTACCTACATCGACCTCGGCGCTAAAGCGCACAAAACCGACAAATATAAACAATACAACCCGAGCGGTAGTGTGCCCACATTGGAAGTGACCAGCGCGAACGGCGAAAAGACCATTATTCGCCAATCGATGACCATTCTAGAATATTTCGAAGAGCGATTCCCAGATGTGTCTCCACTTTTCCCTCCCGCATTGCGGGATCGGGTGCGGGTGCGCGACCTAGTGAACATCATCGCTATCGATACGCAGCCCCCCACCAACTCCCGCATAACGCAGCGGGTGAAATCAATTCGCGGACAGCTCGATGACCAGGTCGATTTTGCCAGACAGGTCTTCACTGATGGATTCACGGCTTACGAGAGGCTGTTGATTGAGCATGCTGGAGCAGGGGATTACTGTTTTTCTTTTGGCGGCTCTGTCTCCATGGCGGATGTGGTTCTAGTCCCAGCCGTTGATCAGGCTTTGATGTATCGATTGGACTTGGATTTTGCGCCTAATGTCAAGCGAATTTATCTCGCTCTGAAGGAACTGGAGGCTTTCAAGGCTGCTGATTGGCGGAATCAGGGGGATACACCGGAGAAATTCCGCATTTAGGAGTCCTAGTTACTTTTAAATTGAATTGGTTATCGAGTTCCTGCGTTCTCTTTTGTCTGTGGGTTTCGTGTTCTTTAAGCAAGGGACGCATCTGCGGGTGGTCATCACTTAATTCATCCTGGAGCTACGTTTTAGGAATAGCGGCAAATACCGATCCAAAAGCCGACAAAATCCGCGAAGGCCGATCACTCGTCGTTCTGGGCTGATACTTCTGTTTCCCGGCTTTCGGACTTTGACGTAGAGCTATTTCACGTTCATATAAGAGTGTCTGGAGATCCTTCGCATGCTCTGTCTAACCAGAATAACTCATACCATACACCCAGCTTAATCGATTGCATTGAACAATGACGTCTAAACTATTTGGTTACCGCTTGGCCCAAGCTACTGGTATATCTGGTGCAGCCTGGTTGTCTGGTATGTATATCTGAGGAACGTCAAAGATCATGATCATGTCTAGCTCTGACCGTATTGTCTATTTGAGTTCATTCTGACTCAGTTTATAGGAAACATTGCTGCATTAAGCACAATTGCTACACCTGCACTGGTCCAATCCCAAACAGATGATCACAAATCTCCAAGCCTCCTAGCAAAACAATGGAAGGCCCTTTTCGATATTGGGAAAAGGAAGAATCCCCCCATTGCAGCTGCAGCTGCCACTTCCTTGGCCTACCTAGCATGGTCTGTTCGCCGAGGCAGTCCTTTATACAAGGCGACGACGTATAGTCGCAGTGGTCTCTATATTGCTGCTGCTGTCCTTACTGTTGGCATTGTTCCATACACACTAATACTGATGGATGGGACAAATCACGCCCTTTTGAAAAAGGCGCAGTCAACATCTGATGCCGACAAAGAAGTTTCAGCTTTGGTTGAGCGGTGGAATTCCTTGAATCTGGGCCGATCAATATTCCCTTTAGCTGGAGCTCTCTGCGCGGTGGTCGCAACAATTCTATGATTTATGGGTCTGTATATAGGAATACAGTGGAATCCTTATTCCGATTAGAGGCGGCCACCGTATCTAATCTATACTCAACTACTTTGATCTGATTGGAAGATCAAATTGTATTTATATTTTCTGAAGAAATGTCATTTTAGACCTTGGTTTCCAACTGAGCGAGGTCGATCCAACAACGCTTCTCCCAACTCTCCAGGGCCTTCTCGGCCAGCTGAAGACCCTTAGCCCCCTCCAATAGATTATACTGCCATGATTCATCCTTGACAACATGCAGGAGAAACAACGTCCACTGAGTCTTGAAGGCATTCTCAAGCATCTCACGATCAGGAACCTTGCTCCAGCCATCCTTATAGTCAACTGTACCCGCAACATCAGGATTCCAAGTCGGTCGCGGCGTCACACTATCATGCTGAACAACACAATCCCGCAGACCCGCGACGGCACTGCCCTTCGTACCATCCACCTGGATGGTCAGAAGATCATCTCGACGCACTCGAACGACCCAAGATGAATTGAACTGTACAACGATGCCATTCTTCAATTCGAATGTTGCATACGCGCTGTCGTCAGCAGTGCAGTCATATGCTTTGCCTTGCTCATCGCGACGTTTCTTAATATGGGTCGCACCGAGACAGGATACAGACTTGATCTCGCCAAAAAGGGAGTTGATAACATAGTGCCAATGACAAAACATATCGGAGATGATTCCGCCGCCCTCCTCCTTCCGGTAATTCCAACTGGGACGCTGGCAGACAACATTCTCCCCATCAAAAACCCAGTATCCAAATTCACCACGAACGGACAGAATCTCTCCAAAGAAGCCGCTGTCCACGAGACCCTTCAGCTTCACGAGTCCAGGCAACCAAAGCTTGTCCTGCACAACACCGTTCTTCACGCCCGCCTGCTCTGCGATCTGAGACAGCTCGAGCGCCTCAGCCGTCGTAACAGCAGTGGGCTTTTCACAGTAAATATGTTTGCCCGCCGCGACGGCCTTTTTGACTGCGTCCTGTCGTAAAGATGTGACCTGGGCATCGAAATAAACGGTGTTTTGTGAATCTGCTAATGCGGCATCCAGATCGGTTGTCACCCGCTCGAGTCCCTGTGCTTTCGCGAGAGCTTGAAGCTTTGCAAAGTTCCTGCCGACTAATATGGGGTTGGGCATGATGATTTCGCCATCGGTGGTGGTGATGCCGTCCTCGGCTCGGATGGCGCAGATAGATCGGATAAGGTGCTGGTTCGTCCCCATACGACCAGTAACGCCGTTCATAATGATGCCAACATTGTGGACTTTGACTGAAGATGAAGACATGATGTTGTCACCGTGATAACGAAATGCTCAGACTTCCAAGTTGAAAACGTTCTCACCGATACCCCAGTGAGAGCTTTGAGAGCTTGATTCGAGTACTGAGTCTTGGTTTCCCTTTATAGTGCCCCGGTTAAAAGAAACAAGCCAGTATTCGTCAAACTGTCAGATCTCGCAGCTATCGTAGTCCGAGTATATAATTCCGAAGCCGACAAGTCCGAGCAGTGAAGTGGAACCTTCATCGGAAGAACGCATTACCGCACCGCGGTTAAGACCAAGACTGGAGATCGTGGGGAAAACGAACTCCACTTGTCCCCGCCTCGTATTGTGTCCGGCGTTCTGGCCGACTCACTATAAATTATCCGCAATCTACTCCGAATTTGAATTTCTTTGCCAATTACAAACTAATATCTGTCGAATTATCATCATGCGTGACGGGAAAAAGACTGTTCTGGTCATTAATGGCCCAAACCTCAATCTCTTAGGGACTCGTGAGCCCGAAATCTACGGACACGAGACACTAGCAGATGTAGAGGCAGCCGGAAAAAAGCAAGGCAATGAGCAAAATGCCACTGTGGACTTTTTCCAGAGGTTTGTCTTATCAAAACTTACAATGGACCCCTCAATTACCATTGATTTTAATTGATTATAGTAACTGGGAGGGCGCGATTGTTGACCGAATCCAAGAGGCCCGAGCAGATGGAACGGATGGGATTGTCCTGAATCCTGGCGGATTTACCCACACCTCTGTTGCGATCCGGGATGCTTTGCTTGGTGTCTCTATTCCCTTTATTGAGTTGCATGTGTCGAACATTCATGCTAGAGAGGAATGGAGACATCACTCTTACTTCCAGGACAAGGCTAAAGCGATCATTGTATGTTCCACCCTCTACTGGATTAATATCGATACCTTTAGTCTTGTGGCTGACTTTATATTTTAGGCTGGATGTGGTGTGCAGGGATATGAGTATGCGATTGATCATGTTATAAAGAAATTTCCGGTGAAAGAGTAGATAGATGAATGTCTTGATCAAATATGGATACAGTGTTATTTCTTGAGACAAGAGGAAATGTAAATACGTGATTACATCTTAGAAGCTATAAAGTCCCGTATTCTACCAGATTTAGTCTTCCAAGGATCTTGATACTGGTCACAACCACATTTCAATCTCATAAATGATTACGGTTTTTGTCTCTTCTCTCTTCGAGTAATGGACTTTAAGGCTTATAGATTTTCGAAGTCTCAAGACGGCGACATCTACCACAATTCTCCTATCTCACATTCTCTCTATCCCGATGCGCTTATCGATGATATACTGTATAGGTACTAGGTGCAACGCTAAGTATCTCAGAAGCAATACACATAACCAAGAAGCATGTTCCACTCAACATGTTGAAATCCCCAAAATGCATTTCGAGTAGGACGCCCCTACTTACGAGTTTCATAATGCCTGTAACCTAATGCGACTTCCCACAGCTACCGAGAGCTAGTTACACAAAAGTGTCAAAACAATCCCATTGGTAAGGTTCTCTCTATTACCAGCACCGTAGTATCTCAACCTGGAAAATCTCTTCGGCTTGAATTGCTTGGTCTACTTACTGAGCCCAAAGGTTCCACGAATTGAGAATTAAAGTCGGATATTACCCGGCACACGTATGCCTTGCATTGCGGGGAATAGAACGATCACTTGTTTGAGCTTCTATAATCCTCTCAAACAAACAGATGAACGGAAATCCAACGAGAAGAGTTCATATAAGCCGAGCTGGTCCCTTTTCTCAAATCCGTAAGTCTGTACTTCCTGAATAAGTGGCATTGGAACGAAGTCTGCCACTGGATTATGCATCTGTCCATCTCTAGTGTCCTGGCTCTTTTCTTACTGGGCACTGCATTGTCCACTGAAGTCATCAAATGCAGCTGCAACGGAGGCTTCAGTATCTCTAAGCATGCATGTAAAAGGACCGGAGCGGTCTTTGGGCCAACCGAGTGTGGATTCGATGGATGCTGTGTTACGGCTGGACAAGAGCAGACAAAATTCATTGATACATGTCTTTCATTGGGGTATGGGTTTAGGCGATGCGATGATTGTGCAAGGTGTTGAGGTTTTTCCCTTTGCTCACTGAAGTTTCTGATCAGTGAAGGAATTTTAGGTTAAAATAAAATAATTGCTGGCTTCAATGTTATAAATATACCAGGCGTAAGTAACGTTTTAGAAAGTCCCGAAAAAAAAAATAGATACAATGAAAGACATTTGCATTATTATCGCAATGACCGGAGTATTGATTCCTTCACAGAAGGAAAGGGGGTATTATCCAAGTCGATTGTAGCAAGATTATTGTATCGTAATCTGATCGCTGATCTTCTTACTGGTTGACCATCTCGCCGGTCTCGGTCACAAGGTGATCATCGACGGAGACAGGGCCCTCGCCGACACCAGTCAAAATGACACGGCTGATGCCGTTCTTGAGGACATCCAAAACACGGGAGTCGGTCTTCTCCAGAGAAACACCGGAGGTGACATTGGCCAGGGGCTCGTAGAAAGGACCGTCCCAGCCGCCAGCGGTAGCGCCCAAGATGGACTTGATGGTACCGGCGACCAGCTCGGTATCCTTCTCCTCGTAGTAGATCACAGAGTTGGGACCAGCATCGTAGGTGTAAGCAGCAACAGTGCGGCCAACGGCGGTGTTGATGTCATGCACCAGGCGGACAGCAGCACGCGAAACATCGTTCATGTAGAAAATTGGGGGCCATGAGTCCAGGCAAGTGGCGTGGAAGGTGTTAGAGTCACGCATAGTGATCTCCGCGAACTTGGGGAAGTCCTTGTTCCGAATGGCCTCCTCAATGGCGGTCATGCGCTCAGGAACAACAGACGACACACGCTGAGCGAAAAGCTCGGAGGTAGCGACGGTGGTCTGCATACCCTCAGTGCTGGAAACATCCTTCTTCTCGGCGCTGACGACGAGAACAATGGCCCGCATCTCGGGCCAGTGGGATGCCGGGGCAACCTCCTCAGCCAAACTGTCACTTCCATCGGCGAGCTCGCCTGTGCGCCATGCGACATATCCGCCCATCAGGGAGCGACAGGCAGAACCCGAGCCCTGGCGAGCAATGCGGCTCAGCTCACGGGGAGACTGGGGCAGCTGGTACAGATCGGCGACGGCGCGAACTAGAGCAGCAAAACCAGCAGCAGAACTGGCCAGACCAGCCGCGGTGGGAAAGTTGTTCTCGGAGACAATCCGGAGAGGGAAAGAGGAGAGCTTGGGCAGCGAAGAATCCGCATCCTCCAGGGATTTACGGAGAGTACGGAGGCTAGAGATACAAGCAAGAGTGCGCTTGGAGGACTGGATCTCTTGTGGCTTGCCGTTCAAGTTGAGAGTATCCTCGGTGGGGTAGGAGGGAGAGCACGAGGCGGTGGTCAGGGTGCGAAGGGACTTTTGCGAGAGAGTCACCGAGAGAGAAGAATTAGTGGGAAGATTGAGAGTGGTATCGCGCTTGCCCCAGTACCTAGGTGTCTCATTATTAGTGTTATGTTTGGAATTTAGCTGAGGGGCATGAGGGGCACTGTGTAACTAACTTGATCACAGCAATGTTGACAGGGGCAGTGGTAGTGGCCCGGAAAACGGGCTGGCTGGATGGAGCGGCCATTGTAGATGTAGATTATTCCAGAGAAAACGAAATTGATCAAAATTCCCCGAGTCAATGATATCTAGAAAGTTTTAAGGGGGCTTGTTGGACTTAATTACTAGAACTAGTGGCTGTTGGGCGGTGAGAACAAAATTATTGATCACTAGTTCCTACAGTGCCGATCATCAATCTGCAATTTCCAATCATCCCCAATCCTGACATCCCGATTTCCAATAGCCACGCAATCATCACCATGGGGGCTGGCGCAAGTACTCCATCTGCACCTGCAGAGCCACCGGCAGCAACATGTCCTGTGGACCATAAGACTCGCGAGGTTTGGTTGCAACAACACGCCAATTCACCTCATCCTTCCTCCCCCGGTTCTGCTCCAGAAGCGGGTCAGACACCAGCCAAATTGCATAGACCGCTATCAACAGACCGAGAAGTCAGCGGTATACCACGCGCTGGTGAAGCTGCAGCGAAGGCATGTCCCGAAGGCAATAAACAAGTTCCGTCCGCATATGCCTCTTCCGCAAACGCCGCGTCGCATGGGTGCCCATCCAATGCCGAGTCCGAAACTGGCCGCGATGAAGCAACAGGCAATTGGATCTATCCATCTGAAAAACAGTTCTTTGAAGCCCTGATGCGCAAGGGTAATACCCCCAATTCGACCGCCACAGCTTCCGAATTAGCAACCTCAGTCGCTTCGATTATCCCCATCCACAACGCGGTTAACGAGCGCGCATGGAAACAGATCCAAGATTGGGAAAAGAAGGGCCCAATGTCGGATCCAGGAAGCACGAAATGTGGCGGGCCTAAATTATACTCATTCCGTGGACTTGGAGTTGATCCCGAGTTCCTAAGCCCCCGTGCACGGATTAATGGATGGCTTGGTTACCAACGTCCATTTGATCGACACGACTGGGTTGTCGAGCGTTGCAATGGAGAGCAGATCGAATATGTGATTGATTTCTACCAGGGGAAACCTTCAAGCAATGGCCAGGGCCTAACAGGAAGTACCGGACCAGAGAAGCTCAGCTTCTTTTTGGATGTGCGGCCAAAACTGAACTCTTATGAAGGATGGAGAATGAGATTCAACCGCTTTGTTGGCCTGTAACAACCGACCTCAGTTTTTATTATCCCGGGCAAAGTTGATGGCCCCCACTTATAGCAAGGCGAAAACGGAGCATGGGCATGGATGACCCCAAAGCATCAGATGTATAATTTATGTATAACCACACCATGTACAATACTGTATTAGAGGATCGAAGAGCAAGGAATTGATTTTCTCCATTCATTCATAAATGCCATTGATGAGACAGACAGGAAAAACGAAATTTGTATTCAACAAAGACCCACGGCAAACCGGGGCTATATCATGCATGAGGGATATCGTGTGTAGCCATAACAGAGGGATAAAAAGAGAGCGCCAAAATCACGTCAAACCAGGAGTTGGAGAAAATGGATTTATCCAAGAACAATTGCAAGCACAATGATAAGCAAGATTACTGCGAGGATAAAAAACAAGCAACAGGCCTTGTTGCGCGCATTCTTCTGGTATCGGCTGGCACCGCGCAATTCAACATTTGCGCCTCGCGTGTCCTGGGTGACATTCTGGACGTTTTCGCTAATGATATCGAGCTGCCCGCCTTGTTCACCGACAATGTGGGCAACGTCTCGGAATAATTCATTCAGTTCACCAACACTCTGTTCGATATTGCGAATCTCTTCCTCCCGCTCGATGATCAAAGTCTCTTGGAAATCCACCTCGCCTTGGTTGGCCAAGCGTGGCTGTTCCAGCAGTTGCTGTTCTTGGAGCTGAACATCGGCATCTCCGGATAGTTGCTCGCCGTCGTCGATGGCAGTACGGGCAGCTACGGCAGATGCGCGTTGTTTTTCTAATGCCCGACGCTGGACAATCTGGAATTCATCCAGGTTGGCTTTGAATTCAGACGATAGCTTTTGCTGAGTCCATTTCTGAGAAGGCTGTAGTCGATGGGTCAATACATTGAGATCAGTAAGTTCTTCAGCTTGAGACATACATTGACGTCCTCCCATGTTTGAATCTTCTTGAGACCTTCTCCGGCTTCCTTGAACCCCGCCCGGGTCTCTTCGAGGAGGTTATGGACTCGTTCGCGCACTCGCTCAGTGTCTCGCTTTGTGCCTAGGAGGGCGATCTGACTTGACAAACGAGTGGTGTTTGAGGTTAATGAGAAGATCTGGTCGGATAGCGACTCTGCCAGATGGTCGAAGCCAGGATCGTCGCGGTACTGCGGGTCTTCATCCCGGCGCATGGTGGTGGGCTGAGCCTCCAGCGAGCTTAAGCGATCAAAAGACATGCTGGTCAATGTTCAAGAAGAATAAAGAGTGACTAGCGACGAAGCCTCGCAGATCAAGTGAAGATGCCGCTGATTGTTCTGCCTGCTGCAACGGAAATGCAGGTCAACTCACATGACGTATCACTCTACGCTTGCCTTTATTGAGACTAGTGTGGTTATAGCTGAGCCACATTTGGGTTACATAATGCAATATCCGTCCTTCCCAAATGTGTTTGTGCCACTGCATCACCTGACCCGCATTGTGGCTGGTGTGTTTTGATGCCTCAAAATATTCGAGACCCGGCTCATGTTCGATCCCATCGTCTCGTCGCACCCTCGATTCTGCCTCGACCCCAGCTTTGTCGCAAGACCATCAACTTCCTATCACAGCTTCTCCAGCTTCTGGGATGGTTGCCCGGACCATGCTCTAAGTGCTGTCCCATCTTCTTTTCCGAGTAACATCCCACGCTAGCTTTCACATCATGGCCGCAACCCAACCTCGGCCGTATAGGCGCATTTTGACCTCATCGCTGCACCGACGTTTCGTTCATGCTTCTGCGCTCGCTTTATTGGTCTGCTATGGTATTGCAATTGCGATCGGTAACAAGACATCATGTAAGTCATGCGCCCGCCCGATCTCAAAACTTTCTTCAATTCCGTGATCTTGGATCTGACGCTGGCAATTGACACAGTCTTTTGGTCATGGTTCCCCATTGGCTCCTGTGGAGTCCGTACCGTCCTGCTGTTTATCTCCTCCCTCGTCATTTTCGTCCTCCGGGTTGGTCAAATGCATCTTGGATCGAGGACGACAACATCTTCGTTCGCAACCTTGAAATATCTTTTCCCTCTTCAAGTCGCGCAGACCTTCGCTTGGTATCTGTTTTCGGCATGGTGGTTTACCGAGATTTACATCTGGTCCTCTTCGACCGGAGCGCATCTGGAGATGGTGAATCGCGGCAGGTAAGTCACATGCCATGAGCAATCGCTGCATTGAACAAACACTGACCGCAGCCAGGCCACATGAGCGCCCGCATCTGAATGAGCGACCTATTTACATCCACAGCTTCCACTTGATTCTGGCGTGTGTACAGGCAGTGATCCATCTTTATTACGACTACGACAGCGTCCCAATCCCGGTTGTTAAGCGAGCGCCGAAATCAGACGATCAGCGGACACATCTCGTTCCCCCGACTTCCAAGCATATCCAGAATTTGTTGCCCCAGATTATCATCACTGGTCTCACAAGAACCGCCACTGTGGCCGCTGTCACTCCAGTAGTGTACCGACTTTTCCTTCGACGCAGTGCGTGGAGCTGGTCTTTATATTTTGCCAAGCTCTTTTGGAACTTTCCTCGGTCTGCCTCGGAGCCTGAATCATTCTTTCCCCCGGGTTTCCTGCTCTTGGTTCTCCGTTCTTGGTTCTCAGGATCCCTCCTGGTCTTGTGCTGGCAATGCACCAATCTCTTCTTTTCGGTATTCATCGGGAAAGAGCCTCTGAAGCGTGGCCAGCCGCTTACAAGCGAAGCTAAAGATCCCAACGGCAGTCTGATTAACGGTTTGAAGGCAAAGAAATCAGTGGTGAAAGCCTTCGCGCTTTGGGAGCTCGGCCTCATCAGCCAACGGCAGCCCGACCGCCGTAAGGCGATTTTCAACGAAATTGACCGTGACAATGGCACGACTTGGTCTCAAACCTTGGAATGCCTGATGGATGTCATTAAGGGAATTAATGTGCGGATAGATGCTAGCAAGACCCCTGCCTCTGGTCCTCAGCCATCAGCACAAACAACAGCCTTCCAGCCTACTCTCCAGACATTGCCTCGACTCACAGACGCCCCGAAGACCGAGAATGTTTTCGCTGCTTCACCGAAGGGTACTTCGCGCCAGGAGCAGTTTGGCGATGCCTTCTCCGCAGCCGCGAAATCTTACGGTCAATCACCGGACTGGACACCCCAGGCGCGAGCCCGTGCTCGTCAGGTGTTCGACCGGGCTTCATCGGCTGTTCTCAGCCCGGAACGCAAAAAGAGAATCATGGCGTCGTCCGAGGAGCTAAAGCTGCTCACTGGAAGTCCTTCCGCCACATATAAACCTGAAAATGTTCATCCAGTGCTCGCACAGTTCCTCCGCTCTTCCATTGGACATTTTTTCCGACAGTCATATGCACAACGTGCATCGAACATTGTTCTTGGGGGGCCCGAGTCCTCTCTGAGCTCCATTGTGGATGCAGTTGATTGCTTGACCCGGCTTTTGATCGCCAGTCTGGCAGAGGATCAGTATGGCAAGGTCCAAGCTGACGTCCCGTCTGTAATTCATTTGCTGACAAGCACAATCGTATCTTTGGAGGCGTTTATCCACCAGGGCGGCTTGGATGCTCACTGGACAGATGTTAATTTCCCTCCGTCAAGTCAGCCAGAGGCTCAAGCAGAAGCCCGCCGGGTTCCTGATGTGGATCTCGTGCTGGATACACTGAAGAGCGGTCTTGGTGAACTGCTGACTTCCTTCAAGCCCTACCTAAGGGATATCGGGCTTGCAGGCAAGGAGCTCAGGCTAGCGAAGGAGGCCGCTGGTATCGACACCGAGGAGTCATGATCTACGATGGTACTTATTGGAGCTTCAAAGCTTCCAATCAATCTTATGTGTATTAGTAGCGATTGTTGTCATAGGCTGATCGCTCAAGTTATGTTCTGCACTCCTACAGGAGTTGGTTCCTAGTGGACAAATGCATGGTCGGGCGTTTTGTTTTGTTTGTTTTCTTTAATGAACAATGTCATTGTAGCAAATCTCAAAATTCATTGCTGTTCTTGAATCAATTTAGAAATCTAAACTGCCCCGCAAAGCTTTAACCAATGCAGGCCTGCCGGGCATTGAAGCTTTGTACGTATATTCGTAGCCTCACGACGGTCACATGACTCCCTCCACAACAACTTGCAACTTCATTCCAATCCACGTACCTACTCCCATTTGTTCAGCCAGGATTTAATTAGACTCCCTGAAAAGCTTCGTCTCGAAGCGACTACTTTGTGGCATTACCAATATGTCCCTAACTAACGTGTACCACCTGCGACGGGTCGCAGACACGTCCGCCAAATCATGTCTAATCTGCTACAAGCCATCAACGAGCGTGTTGATCACGCCGGACAACAAGGTAAGTATATGGCTCAGATATACAGTGCCTTTGAATATAGAACACATAATTCCCATCTGGGACCGGACTCTCTGTCTATGAACATGACCACTGACTGTCGCTCAGGATTTCTTCTACGTGTGCCCCGCACACCTGCAAGACCGCCACTTCTGCTCCCCTATCGTCGACACAGAGGGTGACGCAAAGCGCCAAAAAGAAGAGGCGATGGCTAAAGAAATAGAAAAAGTTAAGCAAGAGTACGAAGAGAAACAAAAACGAAAGAAAGAGAAAGCCAAAGAGTCTAGCAAGGACGAGAGAGACAAGGAAAAGGACAACTCTAAAGATAAAGATAAAGATGATTCGGACTCAAAAGCAAAAGACGAGAAAGAACGAGATGAAAAGGTGCGTGGTGAATATTGCATAACCATGAGATGCATTTGCTAATTGTATCACGCCAGATTGAATCGATTAAAAATGGTGGCACTGATACGAAGACGGACAATGGGCCTCGGGTCTTTGCTTTGCATAAGTTCGTTTTTTCCGGGATCTATTGAAGTCGTGTTGCTCATCAATTCGTAGGACTTTCTACCAGATGCGCATCGACCGGCTGCGTGGCATCGAAAGGGCCAAAAGAAACCAAGAAAGGATGAAAAATCCATCTTTGTTCCCATCGGTTCCGACTCGTGATCTCTAGTCTCCTATCACAAATCTTAAACTATCATAAGCGCGCTACGTGCTATGATACTGCGAGGTACCAGCTACGAGGTACCACTGCATGGTGTCCAGATTGATTGTGCCGAGTACACATGCGAACTTCATCCTTCGCATGCACCAAGCTCAACAAGGGAGCTTTGGGCCGGGGCCCCCATCCTTTGTACAGTGCGTTATTGAGAACTAGCCGCCTTTTGCAGATCAATGCATTGAATAGAGCGGACCAAAGCCCGAAACCCCTCATTTTCAAATTGGATCCTGCCTTGGTGACCAAGAAATTCGCACAAGGCTGCTTTCCTTGGACGATCGTCATCTTAGCGGGGAAAGGCAGCTAGTGAAAATTGGGCCGATACCGCAAATCCAAGTCACCCACAGAATCTCGCATACCGAGCACGCGCCCTTCACATACGCGCATATCGAATGGCGCACAGCCCATTTTGCAAGAAGGTACGGGGTCCTGAATCCTGCAGGATGTATCTCTTTAACATTCGGCATCTACGGCGGGAATGCCGAGCTTCCCCTTTCCAGCGTGCATATGCAGCAAATATTTATCCAATGCAAGGCCTTCCAGTCAAGGCCGTTTCTTCTATAAAGTATTAGCGGCACGCCCCTGCTACTTTAGCTCAACTCGGGCCATGCTTATTCCCTTAAAAGACAAATGGATCTAACGGCTAGCCTGGTCGGGGATAAAGGCCCCATGGACTCCGTCGGTAAGAACTGCATGCGTGCATGTGCATGGGTGGAATGAAGGGAAGAATAAGCACTAGAGCACGTTGAGGCGGAGCTCGTGAAACCCCTCTTCTAGAATTGATTCCCATCAGCCCTAGTGGGCTATAGCATAACCTACCGCATTTTCGGTAGATCGAACGCCCCGTTTCCTAGAGTTCTAGGATTATGAGACATGTATGCGCGGAGGGGTAGAAGCGGGACGCCTGGTCTGTCATGTCGGATCTTATCGTGGAGGCTAGCATAGCCTGATCTTGAAAGAACCTTATCACGCTAGGCTAGGCTTGTGAGGGTAACGTCTTGATTTTCTAGACTTTTTACCACGGGCCGTCGTATATTACTGCCCTCTTATTACGTGATTGTCCTTTTTCATAAGGCAGCCTTCCTATTGACGACTAAGTCCAGCGTGCATAATGTACCGGCTAAGATATCAACAGCGTCTGCCTAGACCTCCAAATATAGATTAAGTATGAACTGGAATCTTGGAAGGATCCCGACTGAACGTCATGCACAAACATCTTTGGTCAAATTACCCAGGTGCCTAGCAATGCCTCGTCAAACTCCTCAACAACCCCACTTTCCAAGTTGAACTATACAGATTTGGGGCCCAAGCCTCTTCGAACAGTCACAAATTAGTCCACTTCAATTGGTTAGTGTAGTCAATAGCACGCATAGTAAATGCCGCAACAATCATGAAAATTAATATATATCGTCTTACAGAGTATTTCCAACCGAGTAGGACACGTAATGGTCACATCTTGGCACGATATACTTCAGGACTAAGTATCAATCAAGCAATCAACCCAGAACCAGCCTACACAACACTCAAATCGATACAACCAAGTAAGCAGCCCAAAAAGAATGACATGCATGATCCTATGATCCTCAAATGAAAAGAGAATTCGTGGCACAGACAATAAGCCCAATGCAAAAAAGCGGTCGAGTGACGCAGCGCAGCCACTCAATTATCAGACGCAGCCTACCGCAAATGCCGACTCCGAATCCGAATCCACTTCTGCGGAACTATCAATCAAGATCCGCCTAAACTTGAAACTGTCACAGATACATGCAAGGCGATCACAAATACCCCTAGCGGGAAAAGGGGTCCATAAGGGCGGAAGTTTATTATAGCGTTGGCGCGAAAGGGGAACTATGATATCAGTGCCAGATGCCTTTGCCTTGTGAATCGACTCACTAGAATGTGACTCCACTGCTAGCTGGGAGCTTCCCCTGCAAGGCGAGTGCACTGCCCCACCCCCACCAGGATACTGGGGCCTGCCAATGAGAGGGCGTGGTTGAGCGGTTATGTTGGAGCTTGTTGACATTCCACAGGTACCGAGGATTTGGATACAGCTTTTAATAGACTGACTGCTGAGAAACTATGTGCAAGTTATGCTGAAGCATCAAAGTATCACTTCAACGTTCAATTCGGTATGTATTATCCTCTCAGATACGGACGCAGCATGCCCAGAGCGCAGACCGTATGTAATTACGGTCTCAAACCGGTAATACACATACAGACGTCGCAGAAAGTGGGGCCAATCGGGAGACCCAGGAAGAGGACCCACTTTTGCACAGCCTCCTTCTGCTTCACCAACCTTGGAAAGTCTTCCACCCAGGAGAGGAAATTAATCACCGCCCCGGTCAAGCCCAGCGTCATTGGCGTCTGGATGTTGCTGATCCTTTTAAGGATGAAACATCATTGCATTGGGAGCGCAACCCAGACAGCGCGCGTCTCTGGTGTGGGGCTATTTAATGAACTTAACGAAAGCCCTCGTGGGGAACAAGGGCAAGGGGTACACTACAGACAGGGCAGTAGAGTGGAGCAGAGCAAAACCAACGAACAGTGCTCCACCGCTCCGTACTGTTCGAGATGCGGCCTCGCGAACCAGTTGACTCACTATGTTTGCTTGGCGCGCGACTACAGTAGATGCTCCGGTGGGATTGTGTGACGCAGGAAAAGGGAGTCATTGTGAGAATGGAGGGAATGTGAACCCCGTCAGCCACGGGCTTATTTTGGTGTCTGCAGTATGCAGCCCTAAGCTCGCCTGGTCAGGCACTCAATAGGTCTTGGAATTCGGCGTTATTGGCTGGTGACTAGGCTAGGCGGTCACACATCGCCGATTCTGTATCACTTGTATTTTGGCAAGCTTGTACAAGGCTCGAATGCTGTGTGAATAGTGGACAGCACGGAGTAAATTTCTATTGGAGGGGATCTAAATGATTGGCGCAACGAGTATCAGTGCAGCCAGCCCTGTTGAGATTAGGCTGACACCCTGAAATTCCTGTCAGCTGTGCCATCTTTCCTGAATGAGGATCTGGTTCGTTGATTGTTGTAAGGTCAGCAAGAGCCGCTAGTGTTGCCTAGTGTGCATCGGCTACCTTCGTATCTCCAATGACAGGTCTCAGATAGGAGGCTCATCGGAGAATTTGGTCCTTGAGCCGTTAGGCAGGGCTGGAACAGGATTCTGATGCCTACAGTACTCCTTGTTCTGGCGGAGCTGTGGCGGAGATCGAGTCTCACGGAGCTCCTTGCTCCTGGTTCAGAATTGCATGGGTTAGCTGAATGTGATGTGAGGAGTACATAATGACTTGCCGCCTCCACTGACGCAAGTGGCCATCCAGATAGAGTAGAATCGATCATGAACGTCTTTTACTGAATGCATCGGTTTGAGTGGCTTGACATATGGATCAATAGAAATTCGTGGCTGATCAGTGGGGTCTGCTGATCGTCGCACTTACTCGGCCCTAGACATCGAGACATATGACATACGACATACTATACGAATGACCGAGTATACACACCCGTGGTCTGTAAGAAACTTGTTCAATAAAAGTTGGAGTACAAATTGTTATTAGATCCACTTTAGAACCCGCCAATCCGATGTGTGTGCATGCTTATGTCCATAGGGCGTTAAAACGTCATCTCACAGAGCGTTATGCACTACATAGGGGTCATGATCTCGGTGAGTCGCATCAAGAAAGGCGACCGTTTCGTGCTCGCTCGTGTTTAATTTATCGATTGAAACATGGTACGAGCTTTAATAAGCCAGGCACAGGTACCAAGTCATCGAGGCACGCCCTATCATGCAAGTTCACAGTTTGAATTTTTACTTTAACCCTGTTTCGGAAAGGGATACGAACCTGCACTGACGATACTTAATCTCCACTTCAGGGCGGCCATGGATCTGTACAACGTCGGGGCACTGGTCTTCTGGCGCACTGGCCGCTTTTGGGGCACGGCCACACGCAAACTTTCTCAACTCCTGATGATACATCTATATTCGATACACGAGCTTTCTGTGACATCATTTAGGTTCCATTCTGTGGTGTGATTTCAACTACGTATCACATGGACATCATTGAGAACAAAGCTTAAGCATGTCCGATCTTCGGCGCTTCCCAAGACATCCTGCGGTGCAGTGTACTGCCTTGCTGTGTAAGGAACAAATAAGCAATATAGATCGCGTCGGATCCGAGCTTGCCCACGGCACGGAGAAGCAAACTTAACCCCCACCTATTTAACTATCAGATATACGACGACGCGAACCAAGCGCGGTATGTGGTTCGCAAAAAAGAAACGATAGAGCGAAAGTAAAATCGATAAAGGTACCAATAACCAGTCGTTAGTAGCGAAAGTTTTCGGGACTAATCAACGCCATCGGCATCTGAGGCGAATAAACTTTATCCGGGAAACTAAGTTATTCAATACATCGCATATCAATAACAGTAATACAGTAATTAATTTATGATATCAGAGGATAGCGTTGCCCGGAAGGGAATGTCTTAGACTTGGCATAGAGCGCTGGAAACAGGAGTGACATTTGCTCTTTTGAGAGCTACGCCCGGGGAGTACGAGACGGAAGAAGTTTAATTATGCATCAACGGGATCGTTGACCACGTGGTTCAAGCCATCAGGGGAACCTTTCTTCTCCTATTCCCGTCTGGAATAACTTACTTTGCGCCCAGGAGAGGAGCCTGCCAAACCCAAATGCGTACTGTAGGGTAAGGGTAGACGGCACCAGGTGATATTGGTGCCTCAGGCGACAAAATATACAGAGAGTCTTTAGTCTTCCCCACGCGCTAAACTTCGAACAGTCAAGACACGAAATCCACTCTCTCGGTACTGACAATCTCACTACCAACTAGCCGGGATCATACTACTGTAAGATGAGATTCATGTCAACCAATCCTAACCGGCGGTTCTAAGGTTCTGACACGAGCAATCCGAGTGATGTGGATTGAGCCATTGTACCGGATTATCCACCAGCCACTCACTCCGCATTCCACGGGATTAGATGAGACTTGCGGGACACCTCAACGCCGCGAGTACACTACAGGGGAACCGACGGTCCTCAGTTACGCGACATCATTGGCCCAATCGATGTCATTCAGCGCCCCCAACGGGCGATCACGCTCCATGGAAATGCAAACCCCCCAAGTCTCACATCCTTGGACAAATCCGCCACCCCGGGTAATGGCTGACGGAAGTTCAAGAAATCTCGGTGTGTGCTCTGTAGCAGACAAGGTCTAGCCGAGCGGTCCACGCCGCGTGAGTGGGGCGGCACCCTTGACAAACCCCAAACTTGCACACCGATTCGCTCTGCAGGATGCAAGGAGTGGAGTAATGGTTCAAAATGCAACTTACCGCGAGTAAAATCTGGGCGCAGGAACGACAATGTATAGACACTGCAATGCTACTATAGAGTGAGGCTGACGCGGATGTCGCATCTCTTTACCCCAAAGAGAAAAGAGGCGCCCTGACGCACACACTACTCGCCACTGAGCTGCAGCCTTCTAAGGCTTAGGCGGACGCCTTACCAGGAGCAGCTGGAAACTCGGTTGTGCATGGATGTTGTTCTGACGTTTCCTGCTGGACCCGACAATCATTGCCTAAATTGAAAGTGCAGAAACCACTGATAGCGCGTATATTGGCTTTTCCCGGTTGCCACATAGTATACAGTACGGAGTGCAGTACTACAGTAAGTGTAGCGTCAGTTCGTACGCTTGGAACAGGGCTTAAGTGCGACGATCGGGGATTATTGTGGAAACCCCTGCGACTAGTTCCCACCTGGAGATGGAACTGCCCGGTAGTCGCAGCCACACTTTTAGCCAGAGCGTTGACTAGCCAAGACTTTGCCTTCGCTACCATTGACTGCGTCAACTACTGTAGGTCACTTTGCCGTGTCACCGTACACGAGGCCATTGAGAACAAAAGCACCTGAGTCAATGTCTTTGAGGCGACGTCAGACGACCCAATAATACAGACCCATCTCCTGCACTATTGACTTTCGTGTCCTGGTAGGGCTACCCCTCTCATAGGCCGAGGTAAATCCGTGAGGTAAATCGCCTCAGGTTTGGTAGCTTCTCAGGGGTTAGTTTACCTGTAACCCTCGTCTACTGTATTGACCGAACTAGGATTTCATTCCAAGAAGGGTAGACTTGACCCGGAGTCCTGTGCAGGCGTTTCACTATATACCCATAGTTTCACATGAGTTTTTTTTTTTCTTTGCAAAATCCAGACCTTGGAGACCACGGAATCAAATCTTTAAGCTGGTGTGGGGCTCAGGATGACTCAGCACATGTCAACATCATTCACAATCTGATCTAATCTTTACGGTCTCCGGTCTTCTGATCGTCCTTGTCTTACTTTGACTTTGCATTTAGACATTTAGCAAGGATTATCAAGGATTATCACCATAATCCTGGTGAAAAATTCCCTTACGATCCCAAATGACAGCGGACCATCAGTGTGGCAGTGCATGCATGACTGGGCCCCAAGTGGGTCACGCTAGGAAATCAGTGGATCCGCACCAACGACTCAGGATTGACCCTTCATGTGGAGGCAATGAAAAAGAATGTTCTGTCTGCTTTGAATGCTCCTGTCCAGTCGTTGAGCATAATTGGCGCTAGATTGAGGAATCCGAATTCTCTCCGAAAAAAAAGTATCAACGTTCCACTTCTAACACTTTCTTGTGTCTCTGTCCTCGCATTCAAGTACGACCATGACGAAAATTCTTTTTCAACGACCATCTCGGCAGATATAAGCCTCTTGCCAAGACTTTCCCAAGACTCTCCGGTGCATATTGTCACTGGCTCGTAAGGATTTATTACTGTATGTACTCAATACTCTACCAATCACTGGTTTGCCTTGTGTCTCCGTTATGCCCGCCGTTCTCCGGCCTTGTGAATGTCAGCAACGTGGTCACCTAACCACGGTTCCTCCAGCATGCACCCTTCGTTCTAGATAGGCCGTATTTGATACGTATCTTGACAATAGTGCATGTTACATGCGACAATCCCGGCGAGAAGTATGGTCGTGTGAAGGATGCAAAACCATCGATCCTCAAGATGGCATCGGATCATCGTGAGGCGTCCAGTGTATACGAGAGATTCCAGGGCACACTTTCCCCACTCTACTGTCGCGTCGAAGCTCACCGCGTAGGAAGGTGGTTTTGTATTTGAATTTTGTTTTTTATTTTTCTATTCATGAAGCCTTGTGGTGCCACTGTCAGACGGGAATACTGTAGGAAAGTGAGAATTGTGGATTGACATCCTATTTGTTGAATTGAAACCACGCCTAGAATCTTTATCGTCATGACAGTTTCTGGAAGACCTCTTCCCTAGGTTCCGAGAACGCGAACCACGGGTGATGAAGCTAGGGCTGCAGAGTGTACCATTAAAATACGGGCAGCCGAACACTCCGCTGAGGCTGGGGAATTTTACTCCCCAAGCCTGTTCCAGCCTTACGTTTGGTTCCAAACGTGGTCCGCCCACGTTTGTAATCTAGATCTGACCATACATGTAATTCATACCCTCTTGACTACATTGGGCCATGGCGTATTGGTATGTAAGATGCTTCCCATGTACATACATATACCCGTACCAGACCCCATTTTGCCTCTTTAAACACGTCAGACCCCCCCGAACTGCAGGTAAAGTCCGGCCTAAAAGACCCATTAATTCATGGTTCTATATTTTTTTCTCTTTTTGCCGGGTTTTTGTAGGTTCCAGAATCTCTTTCCCTCTAACCACCCCTGGCTCCAGGCTCAGCTTTCGATGAGATCACCACAATTGCCTCTCATTCGATCTTAACTTCCCCCCCCCCCTTCCTTTCATCCAATCATTCATTCCCTGCACCGCCCCGACTTTCTACTGCTTGACTTCCCGCAAATCCTTTACATTACCCTTATTACCCTTGTCTGGACTAGTGTTTGTGTTCTGGGGGATTTTCAGCCTTTCATACCCATTCCTGTGTTTGTGTGTTCAGCCGAATACTGTTCAGCTAGTGGCGGGGCCCCATTAGACTGCTTTATACTCGCGACTCGATTACCTCTAGTCGCAATAACTTTCTCGCTTTTATTTTCTGCTTTTATCTTTTTTTTATCTTTTATTTTTACACTTTCCAAGGATCCAGAAAAGAGCATGTGTGGTACCAGTCCCGCAACTTGCCATTGATTGGTGTCTATGGGACGGCTTTTTCCACAGGGCTGTGCGTGTCACTACTGCAACGGACGTTTCATATTCCATGAGGCGAATCGCCTCGAAGGTAAGGACATTCTTTCTTCAGCCCTACTATTCCCTGCGCGATATCAGCTCACCCGCGCTCGCCTGGTTCCACCAGTCTGACTTCCAACTAGTACAAGTCGCATGACATTTCGCGACTACTAGCCCCGTCGCCACCAGAAAATCATTCGCTTTCGCGCTTACTTTACAAGCTGGACCTTCTAACATCGGGGGCGGAGGCTGGTCAACGGTCCGCTTAGGAATCCAAGCTGGTTTCACGACCGACGTTTGCGCTCAACTGGATTGGGTTATTGCTGCGACGGATCTTGATTCAATCCGCCTAACCTTCCGATAACACGGAGCTTGTCTTATTTTTTTGTGCTAAAAAAAGGGAGAGAGGATCTCTCTCCCGCGCGACGCCACCCCGGTCCTTTAGCTCGTTCATGTGAGATCGCGTCGGTTGCTATCACCTTAACGTTCTAGTACTAGAATGGACCCGAGACATACGTCTGCGCCGAGCTTTCATGATCACAAGGAACACTACCAACCGCCCGAGAGATTTCCACACGCAATGCCCGACTCGCGATTCTCATCACACGGTCCGTTACCTATACCTTCTCGACCTGTCATGGATACTGCGCCCCCTCCACTACCTCCACCACCGAGGATTCGGGATTTGGAAAATGGTTATGATGCTGGCTGGCTCCATGCGAACTGTGAAAGACCTTCCACTGCGCTTCCACCGATAAATCCGAATTCAAGCCTGTTTGGCGGTCAACGACGAAGTGATTCGACACCACGAAGTGATCCTATGGCCGTGGATGAGCTAGAAGGAAGACAAAGTGGTTTCCCGGTGTCTCGCAGTCCGGAAGCCCATATCAAGATAGAGCCGCCTCCACCAACAAATGATGGATTTCCCAATTCCATGTCTGTCACTTCTCCTTCAGGTCCTATGTGAGTAAATTGCGGGGGAATTGCTGCAAGTTTTTCGATTCGCGGCTTGATGCATTCAACCAATGGATTTCTGAGAATTGCACTAATCGTCCCTCAGATTAAAAGGAGAGCGAGATTTCTCTTTAAGAAGCGTCAAAGATTCATCCAATGCATATGATCAACATTTATTGTCAAAGATTGGAAATTCATTATCCCCTCGAGGCTCAATCAGTCATGGATCCGATCACCGGGGTTCGATATCATCACTTACAGTTCCGTCCCGGTCACCTAGCAATCTTCCCTCGCCAGGGCCGTCAGAGGGTTCTACGCTCGATGTGAAATGGTCTTACAGTCCTACATCAGGAGGGGTATCCCCGAGGTCTAGCATTGGCTGGCGAGAGTATATCGATGGAGGCCGCAGCCCAAGCGTGGAAAGTACCGCACCTTCATCAGCGTTAGAATACGACTATATGCGCGATGTGGGCCGAAGACGTCATCATAAAACTACACCCTCGCGAGAAGACAGTATCAGTCTACCGAGTCGATCAAACCGCGGAAGTTACGACCAGGGTGTCTTTTCTGATATCGAAGGAGAATTTGGATCAGACGATCCAGTTCCTCCAAGGCCATACATGGACGAGCCTATGCCCCCAAGCCACTTTGTTCTTCGAGAGCCCACTCCACCATATCCTGAGGGCAGGCAGGGTATGAAACGGAGGGCTTCTTCTCCTCCTCGAGAACCGCTGACAGATGATCGTCATACCTTACATGTGGCTACCAGTAACGGAGATTTGTCGCAACGGAGAACGAGTGGACAGCCGTTTACGAATAACTTGACGGTTAACAGTAGTTATGCCCCAAGCCAACGAACTTTGTCCGCAGCTTCATCCTTGAGTATTAGAACTTCTGGATCTTACTCATCGACTCTTTCTATTGGGGGTAGTAGCATGACAAGTCTCTCTCCGTATGACCGGCCATCTCCGGGAGGACTTTCGCCCAGCTCAGATCTCGATACATTCCATGAAAAGTCAATTCTGAACCCCAGCTCCCCGGTTCAACTTGTCCAACCAATGCCCAGGGTTGTAACAGGTTCCACCCTCGAACCACCCGCCACAGATGCCACAGGCAAAGTTCCAATGCCAACAGCCTTAAACACACCAAAACCCCAAACCTCAAAAATCAGTGGACTATTCATCTGTGATTGCTGCCCAAAGAAACCAAAGAAATTCGGCAATCCAGAAGATCTCCGGTAAGAAAAGCCCATTATCCAAACGACCAAAAAATCAAAAACCAAAAACTGATCTCCCAACAGAGCCCACGAAATGGAAAAACAATACTCATGCCAATACTGCAACAACCGCTTCAAAAATAAAAACGAAGCAGAACGCCACCAAAACTCCCTCCATCTCCGCCGCCACTCCTGGTCCTGCGCCGCCCTCCCAAGCTTCCAAGCCGCCTTCCACGGCTCAGCAGCGCCATCCCATCAAACAAACGCCGGCCCTTCGCATGACACATGCGGCTACTGCGGCGAGGAATTCCCGAACTTCCCACGCCCAGACTGGGATTCCAGATTCGACCATCTAACCACCGTACACAAATTCGGCGAATGCAACAATGCGAAGAAATTCTTTCGTGCGGATCATTTCCGTCAGCATTTGAAGCATTCCCATGCTGGTACCAGTGGGAAATGGACGAACATCCTGGAAAATGCTTGCATGAAGGATGAGATTCCGCCTGAGCCTAGAGACAAGAATGGGTTGGCGAGTAACACTATTGAGGAGGTCCTTGAGCAGTGACCATGAGTCATTGATTTTATATTGTTCATACGAGCAACTCTTCTCTCCTCTTCTCTTATATTTTGGCGCAATTGGTGTCCAATCGCCACAATCGACATCCTCGTACACCACTCGCATTGAACCTACAGCATACACACGAACGCATCAACATGAAAATACAAAAGTGCTCTTCAAAAGTTCATGAAGGCTGCATATTAACGCGACACGATCTTTCTCATTTCATTTTCCGGCGATTGTTTGGGGAAAGGAGAGTTTGGCGGGAGTTTTCCTTGGGTTTGGATTTGGATTTGGATTTAGGTAGAGCCATTATGTGTATACTGGTGCATTACCTGGGTGGAAACTTTCATCTTTCTCCATGAGTCGGAGTCGACCCTTGTTTTCATTGGTGGAGTTTTTCTTTAGGAATCCTTGGATTCCTGTTTGACCTTCTTATATATATCTTGAGTGTATATACTTGTGAGGAATTAGAACGGAATGGATTTGTCCGCTATCGAAGTTTCATAAGTTCTAGACATAAGGCTGTAAGGATTTACGAAGAGAACAAAGTGTATACAGAACATTGCAGCTTTTGTTGACAGATTTATATACATAACAACGCCCAGGAATAATTACGAGAATGAACATAGCATCTACTCAGTAACACTATCCTTGATGCTCCGCAAAGCACTAGTCTTATGCGCCGGATCAATAGCCGCAGCATTAAGCGCCCTCCTTCTGGCATCAGTCCAAAGCATGAACTCCCCATAACTCTTCGGCATAACATTGATATCCTTCTCAACCAAGAAGGTATAATTGAACATACCAGTCGACTTCTTAGTACCATGCTCCACATCACGCACCTTGGTGTCAACACGAACCTGCACCTTCGTGTACTTACTGCTATCACCCTCACGCTCTTCAGGCTCGGTGTACGCCACTGTCGCACGGAGGTACAGCACACTTCCAACTGGGACGGGGTTCTCGAAAGTACTAGGATCCAGCGCCAAGAAGTTGGGCCTGGCGTGAGCGAATGAGGCAGCGCAGCAGAATGCTAGCTCAAAAGACTGTTTCAAGAGGAAACCACCGAAGATCATGAAGTTGTGTCTGTTTCTGTCCTGGGGTTGCATAATCATTGCTGATTTGAGAACGGTATCGCTCATGAAGACTGAGTTCTTGGGGCGGGCAATTGGGGTTTCGGGGTCTGGTTTATTTATTAGTAACGTGGTGCGTGAAAAGTTTGTCTACTGGCGTACGTACTTAAGTAGGACATCTCCTTGGTCCACATCGAGTGAATGAGGTTACTCTCCTCATCGTCGGGTGCTTTCTCGAGCAGACTGCGTGTTCGGAGAGCTTTCTTGGCTTTGGAGTTCTCTGCACCCTTTTGGAAGAGGCGCTTCTCTTCCTCAGTCTCAACTAGGAGAGGAGCAACAGGAGCCGGCCTGGGGGCGTTGTTAGCATTGAACTTCTAGGAAATGATAGTAGACATACTTCTTAGTCGCAGGATCTAATGAGACCATGGTAAAGGCACAGGTGATCAAGACATCTTCAGGCATCGGTGTCTGTCCTTCCGGTAGAACCTTGACAACCTGACAAGATACCTCCATACTTGATCGGCCTGTAGCATAGGTGACCTGGCCACTGAGCTCGAGATCACAGATCTCCATCAATGGGTTCTCAATGGTGATCCGATCCACGGCAGCAGTAACAGTAGTAACACCGTCTCCGGTATGGCGGTACGCAATAACTCCAGCCAATGCATCAAGGTCCATGAGAAGTGAACCAAGCCTAGCGAACGATTAGCTCGGTGATTCTTAGAAATCCCAGGTGAACGCACCGAATATGGCCAGAGGCATTGAGATAAGTATCCAGAAGCCATTTATCCTGAGCCAATGGCAGAATCTAATGAAAACCAGTCAGTCTCAGAACTCTAAACATCAGAAATGAAACATGCATACAGCACTATAGCGACCATCTGACATCTTCTTCGGTGTCAAATCCGGCTTAACAAGCGGTGGCGCCTCGACACCCTCCTTAACATCACGCGCAGCCTTCCGGCTCTGCGTCAAGGCATCAATCCAAGGAGTCTTAACGCGCATGGGCATCCATGTCGGCCGGAACGCGGCATTCGTCGGCGTTGAGTGAAAGTCTCGGTTGGTATTGGACGGCTGTGCGACCGCAACAGCGCGTGCTGGGATAGCGCGAGCAGTTAAGCATTTTGACTGCGCAATTGCGCTTCTTTTCCCTGCGAGGCTGAACATGGTGTATAGGTTGTTCTGGGTATTCGTGGGATGAGAGAAGAAGGATTACTATGCGCAATGACGCTGTTGGTCCGAGGGAGCGGCCCGATCGGGCTTAGCGTTCGGCTGAGAAACCGGGCCGGGGAAGAGTACGGGGAAACTCGGGAGTTGTGACTAAAAAGTGCCGAGTCGGCGAGAGACGCCGAGTTCGTGAAGATCGGTAGATCTGAGTTGTGGCTGGTGTAGGGGTTGCAGAGCATCTTTGGGAAATTGCCATAAGCCTGAGGATCAAGGTGTCAAATTAGTGGCATGCACTAAGATCGAGTATGCCACAGCCATTACATTACTTTATTCTCAGCTTACATTCTTTCATTTACGTATGAAGATATAAGCCAAATTATTGCGCACTGCTTACCACTGCTTCGCTAGTCTTCATTCAAGATCTTCATTGCAATCATTGAACAGAGTTCCTAAGGCCTAGGAGAAACCCAGCATGTGCGACTCGTGCCCCCCAAAGTCCGTGTTTATCCCAACAATATGTTTGCCGCATAATGTATAGTCCTGCTTTCACTACTGAAACTAGCCGAGGATTCAAATCTCCATGCCCTGTTCTTGATTTGAAATACGTGACAACGTATGTGTGGAGTTATCCATGTTGCGACGTTGAATTATACGTCTTTGGGGGGGGGGTTGCTAATCTTGTTCTATCGGATGCAGTATTCAGAGAGCTTCATCATGAGTCCGGTATTGCTGTAGTGTGAATTGTGCCCTGGTATCGGCTAAATAGACTAATTGATGGCTAGTTTCTGACCGTGGGTGATTCCTCCTTGTGAGTCCGTTTGTAAGTCCAAGTTCACGACTCAATTTCTAGATGGAGTCGGTACGCAAGTTGGTTCGTGAGTCTGCTTCTCAAAGTTATTTCGGGGAGTCATGTAAACCTTATACAATTAAGTAGGAAGCACGAAACTTATAGTTCGCAGAGTACAGAGTGCTAAATACTGGTTTCAGAGTGTAGAGTGTAAGTGCTGCTTCGTAGATTGCAGAGTGCAGAGTAGCGTGGTCTAGGTGCTTCCTAAATGATTCTTCAAATAAGGGTAAACCTTAGTTGAAGAATCATTTAGGAAGCACTGATAGCCTTAGAATAAACAGTTTCAATGGACACTTCGATTGAAAGGGGGCTGTCAACCATGAATAAAACCTAATTGACCACCTCAACGACAAAAAACTCGAAGTACCTATCTTTCTTAGCCTTGTGCCAATAATAAGAAGGTTCTGAGGGAATGTCATGCAAGACCAATCCTCTTCGTCAACAAGATTGACTAGGTTTCCAAAGCTATCAAGATTGCCAGAATGAGTGAGGGAGGAAAAGCTTGTTAAGTTAGGAATTACCAAGCTGGAAGGCTTGTCTACCAAGGCACCCACTGGCGTTGACTTAGCGTCTGGTCCAATTTTGTATATATGCACCCCAGAAAAGACGAGAACAAGAAGGCTAATGATGAGGATTCAGGGTGGTGATGTTTCCACCGTCAAATTGTGTTGTGTCCTATTGTACATTGATGAGAAAGAGCGACGAAACTGGGGAATGTTCAATGTCCCAGCAAACATGAAAAAGAAATGCGACTCTAGGTGCAAAAGCGAAGGTAATTGCATCGCCCAAATTAAGAACGAATAGTATGTGCAAAGGGGATATCAACGAGGTAAAAAACAGATCCGCAAATATGAGCAGATGGACCGGGAAAGGTATGCGCGGGACCCGTATATGAACAAATTGACGCCTTGAAATGGGTGGGTAAATGCACGAAAGGCCGGTGTAGATGAATGATACAAGCGTTGGGATTGTGGTTGTCATAATCCGAACATGGGGATTAGAGAGAATGGGTTGCACTTTTAAAGAAGGATGGCGGCAAAGATGACGACAAGCGAAGGCACAACAGTGAACGAAAAGCGGGATCCGGCGCTGAGAACTGCGACAGACGAGGTTTCCGATGCTGAAGTTTCAGTGCTAGCTGCGGTACTAGTTGCGGTGACGACAGAGCCTGCAATTGTAGTGACAGCTGGGGTCGTAGAAGTTCCATTTCCTGTGGCAGTTGAATTGTTCAATGTTCCAAAGCCGATCTGACCGTTATCGAAGTCGAAGACGGAATAGACGTTCTTCAGGAAAACATCGCCAACAAGCCACTGGTCAGCTCCGGAGGATTGGTAGCCCACAATAGTGGACACGCAGCCGTCTGTACTAGAGGCCCCAATATAATCCTCCGGCGAAATGGAATATTTGATACCGGAGAATTCAAACTCAATGGTCGTGGTCGAGTCGCATGGAATGATGTAGTTGTCACCAGACTTCTTGGATGAGGGAACCATAGCGAAGAGTGTTGCCGCATCATCTGGTGGGATCAGGATGTACGTGGTCCCAGTGTCGATGGTGGCGGATTTGCCCGAAAAGCCGCAGGCTGAGCCATTCACATAAACATCATCCAGGGGAATGGACCAAATATCCGAGTTGGTGGTAGTGTAGCTAATGTTGCCGTTGAATTTGGTGGTATCAACCTGACCAAAGTTCACCTCACCAGTTTTCGCATCGTCTGCAGCACGCGAAAGGTGGAATCCAACGATATTGGACGTGAGATAACCATCCTGGGCGACAGCATCCATGAAGGAGGGGATCGTCCACCCCGCAGTACCTGATCGGCCCAGACCAAGGATTCCGTCTATGGGATAGCTTGCGAAAGCCGATGTCGCTGAGGTGGCTTGTCCAAATGTAAGGGTGACGTCCATGTCCGCGATCGACAATGTATCTTGGCCTAGGCTTCCCTTGATGGTACCGCTTCCATATCCAACTGTAATAGTAGAGCTGTTCGAGTAGTAGGTGGTTGAATTGTCTGTGTCGAAAACATTATGGCTTGTGCAGACTGAGGATGTGCAGTCGGAACCGAACACCCAGGTACTAGGCGATCCAGTGTCGAGAACCAACCACATTTGTTCCTTCTGCGACCCAACTTCCACCATTGAGAAATAAGAGTAATCATTACCATCTTGATCCAGTGGGGCACTGGTAGGTAAAGTCGGGGTGTTGGCTTCGACAATGGTATAACTATTATCACGGCGGACAGGGAACTTTTTGATGCCGAGGGTCAATGGCTTGGCGTTTGTGTTTTCTTCTTCGGATGTGTCCGGCAGCAGAGTCCAGGGCATGAAACGACGTTGAACTTTCTTCAAGGTTGAGATACTTGGTGTCGAGTCTATCTTGATCTCAAATGGATAAAAGGCGTTCACACCCATTGACAAGCCCGCAACGACGAGGCATGATGAGAGACGCATGATCCAACAAAGGGATCTAGTGACGAATATACCAAGTCGTCATTTGTTGCAACAGAATGAGTGAGCAGCCTTCAATCCGAGCAATTCCAATTGGCAGTAATCTGGGGGTTCTCAGGGTGGAGTGGTGGAGACGTAATCGGCAGGGTTCGTCAGGGTCAGGAGCCGAAAAAAAAGCCGAGATGAAGCAATTACCAATAGCGAGTGTATATGTTTAACGAGGTCGACTGTAAAAAAGAAGAATAGCAAACAGCAGAACAGAAGCAATTAAAACAGCATAAGGAATGACGATAAAACACAAGGAGCAAGAGGTTGGAGAAAAAGCAGTGAGGGGGCAAAGAGAAGGTGGCGGGTCCACCCAAGAACCACTGACCGAACCACTGATGAAAATCCTCCCCTGACAAGACCTGCTAAACCACGCTGGGAGTTAAGGATCCACCTTTGTGCTGTTCCAGGTTGTGATCGACCTATCCCCAAGAAGCTAACCAAGCGCTAGCCCAAGCTTCGTGCGTTCAGTGGTCAATGGAAATTGGGTTTCCTAGTTTTGTGTGAGACTAGAAAACAAGGAATGAGAATGAGGTTGGACAGTCGATTTTAAACTACGGATTATATTCGCTTTCAGAATGGGTCGTATAAACTTTCAGGATAGGGGTAAAGTGAACGGGTGTTCTTGAGCGCACGGAGCGCGTATTGGCTTGGCGGGTCGACCTGACTGGTCATTTCATGCAATTGAGCGTTATCAACGGTCTAGATCTGATGTCGAGTCTAATTCATGTCATCCGAGGTTCTGCGCCAACGCCAAGTCCTTGCCTTCTCAATGCTACATAACGCGGTCCTCGCCTGGTGCGCCCCCGAACTTAAAGTGCACTGCTCATAAGTGTAGAAATTCCTCAATAATTATGCAGGCAGGTTTTCCCCGAAGTTTCATTGAGAAAAGCCTCCTGAGTCTAGGATTTAGCTGGAGATGTTTTCTCATATGAAGTTGTTGGAGGGAGATCTCCATAACGAAGACTTCTGGGTTTCATCACCACCGGTCAGCAACTGGCGAAAGTCCGCGCTGTCTTTGATCGGCTTTGAGCAGAGACCTGAAATCAAAACTCGGTCGGAATTTGAGCAATTGAAGTTTGTCGTCTTCAATATGGTCTTCAATAATTTGTTGCCTATTCCCCAGGGTATCCCCTAGCACCTTAAGGCGGGGTAGTACAAAAAGCCCGAATACTACATTGCGTCTGATTAAAAGCTTAAACTAGGATGTACTCGGTATGCAGGGTCCACACATTTAAAGCCTCACGTCAACAGTCAAGAACTAGTGTTCAAATAGTTTAAGGTTGAAAACACACTGAAGCCCTAACCCTCATGATCTTCTCGGGGGAGACCGGAGAATTACCCCGGAAAGACGAAAAGGCACTCCATTAGTGGTGATGACTTCATTGAGGTCTTCACGATGATCAATGGCATGAAAAACAGTCTTCGACTACAAGATGATGTATTAATTTGGTACAAGGCGCCTTTGGGATCTCTGATGTCCGGGTCGTTGTATAGATAGCCAACCTGATAATGACCAGTCTCAATTCCATGAACCAACAACCATCTCTCGATTCACAAACAACTTTGCCTCATAACTGCCTAGGATTCTTTTCGGTAATACCAATCCCGAATAACCCTCATAGCCGACCAACCCGGGAAAACGGAGCGGAACAGAATTGAAGCTCAACACCGGAGCACAGTACTCCCCGTAAAACCCACACCTCGGGAACAGTGGATAAATGCAGCCCCGGGTAAGAGCAAAGGTGACGAAATGCAGAGATCTAATCTCGGAAACCTAAAAAAGGACGTTGTAGAAAGTAGTTCAGGCGGAAAAATTAATCGCGTGTGGATCCTGCGTCACGCCATTGTCCCTTAACCGAGTTCCTCCGCGGTATGGGGTTTAGTTCAACGAAATTGAACGAAAGACCCGATGGCATAGAATTTTCACCCGATCTCATGGCCTCGGGCTCGGGATTGCAGTTAAGTGAGGCAATGTTCGTTGTGAATTGTTGGAACGGAGCGTTAAGTCCGGGCATGTGTAGATCCTCCATAGATTGGTCGATCAGGTGGGTAGACCTCGGTAAAACGAAAACTAAATCGGAGTTACTACAGTATAGGATCGGACTTAGGATCTAATACGTGGGTTAGATGAGTCATAGTAAATCAATGGATTCAATTCAATTCAATTCAATTCATTTCAATTGATCTGTATATGAAAAATCACAAAAGAAAAATAGATCCTTAGAACCAGTCAAGGAGAGCACTTCCCCAAAGACAACAATATCAATATTACAATCACAACGCTAGTCTCAAACAATCCGGATATTCATCACGGAAACAAAAAAGAATAAAAATAAGAATAGAACAAACTTGAGCCAAGCACCAAGAAAATTCGTTTAATAAGGCATCCTCAGGAAAGAAGTTCAATGGGAACAGAGTAATCCAGAACCTAGTTCCTGACAGTAGACTGTTTAGGACCAAGGACATCATCCAAGAACCCAGCCCACAACTCCTTAACAACGCCAGGCTGACCAGCGCCAGAGCCGTTAGCCTGACGCTGCAGTATCTCGCCAGTTCTTGAGCGGTCAACGGCCTCAGTCAGTGAGAACGGATCCAAGTCCACAGCGTGATTATCGACGACCTCACTCATAGCGCTGGCTGAGACGTCAGCGCCGGCACCGGCGACAGTGTAGATCTGGGGCTTCATGGGTGGGGCGGATGTGGACTGAGATGCTTGGTGAGAAGACAGGTCGGGAAGGACCGGGACACGGGGTGAAGAGAGTCGGAAAGAGCCCGCTTCAAGATCGGCCATGGAGGGCATGTAGACGAAGTCAACGGTGGACGCATCACCGTTAGCTTTGGAGGCGCGGGAGGTGTTGAATTGACGGGAGGAGCTGGAGTATGTTAGATATGAACAAGATAAATTGGATAGAGTCCAGGACTTACTCAGAGAAAGCGTTGCTGTTGATGCGGCGCATGGCCATTGCGAATGCTCGGGACTGAAGGACGTCATGGTTGGAGATACGCTCCTTGTCGGCAGAACCGACCGGCTGGGCAGACTGGACGCCGGTGATGTGAAGGCCACGACGGGCGATAGGAGCAGCGGAGTGCTGGTTGGAGATCTGGCGCAGAGCACGCAGGGAAGTGGAACGAGGAGCGGCCATTGTGATATGGAAGGTTGGGAGTATACCAAGCTAGGTAGGGTGGGAAGGTAGATATAAAGCGTGAAAGGCAGAAAGCAGAAGTCCAGGAGATAAGGACCAGAGTCAGGTACGTATGACAAGAAAAGAGAGTTTACAAATGGGAACCTTGGAAGAGGAACAACAGCAGCGCCCTTTATAGAATAACCCTGGACAGCTCACGGAATCGTTGGGGAGAGCTATGAATCCACTTTCTTGGCGGTCTGGACCCGTTATCGATAGTGGGATCCACGTTCCAATAATTTGGTCTCCAAGTCTTGACGTTCACTACTTTCAGGGGTGATAGATAGCGTAGTAATTTATTTTCATGAAAAGATAGGAGAGAATTAGCTTGTTATATCGAGAAAAAACGATTTCACTGAGGGGAAACAAAGTTCCTTGACGGGGGGGGGGGGGGGGGGGCCTGTGTCCCCCCAATTCACCACAGTTGGTCGGAGATCTACGGCGGTAGACTGATCATTGTACCCGGTACTTAACGATCGGGTCTGGAGTGTACCCCGTACTCCCCGTCCCCACCAGAATGTGTCCAGCTGACCTGTACTCTGTACCTCGCAAATGGCATCATCGGATGATCACTTCCCCCGAATTGCTTGTCGTAGATCCATTACTGGGCGTTTTCCCGTCTCTGCATGATGGGGTAATAATAATTCTCCTTTGGACGGGCAGCGCCCCGAGTACAGGGGACCTGACCCAGGATCCCCAATCACTCGAACCTGAGTGGCTTCTTCCCCGCTGGCAACTCTGCACACGCTCCCGCGTAAGCATTTCGAGAAGTTTGGAAAGCGAATCAGAGCTCCACTTAAAAATGGACCTGCCTCGTCTCAGATTGTTGAGGGGATTCATCCCATGATTACGGAGAGCGGTGAGGCGTGTGCCTCAATCTACAGCGTAGGAGAGAATGGGACGATCTGTTCTGATTGTTAATCTTCTATTTCCCCGAGGATGCTTACCACGGTCGGAGCCGGTGAATCAACTCGCGGATGCCTCGGAATTCAAAAACTTCCATATCAATGATCAGCAGACCCAGTAGTGTGGCGCAATCTTTCCTGCACATTTCTGCCGTGGCTACATAAATGTAAGGGTCGGGTTGTGCCAATCCTGGCCTTGGCGGGAATTCTCAAAAGATTATTTTCTAGCCCCCTAGATAACGAAGATTGTGTTGGGCCAATATGAATCATTCTAGGTATGTTATGGGGACATTGTTTCAAATCGGCCCCTTTATGTGGCAATGCGTCCGGCCTCACCTACTCCGTACAGCGTTTGTGAGAACCTGCACATGTCCATACGCCTTTAGCTATGGTCCAAGCGTTACGGGAACGGGCGGTCGGAACCAAAAGACCATATCCTTGGTTGCAGAGAGCAGAAGTTCCTGGATTATCTGGTAGGCAACGCTTCATAGTAGGCAATCAACAATGACCCACCCCCCTGCAATCATGGCACGTACTGAGGAAGACGATTGAATGCCGGCGCAAGGAAATCTGTTGAACGAAGATTTGATGCATGTTTAACAGTGTAGAAGAAATACCATCGGGGAAAATGACTAAAAAAAAATAGCGGCCTCAATATATGACTGCTTTGCATTCCAGACGAACCTAGTGGTCGCAACTGGCTCCACTGCCTAGGTCTCCCCGGATCTTCCCCCACACTGCTAGCTTCAAGCCACACCACCATCCCCATGGGTCAGCCCTACTAAATTGCTTCTTCGGTACCCCATTTGCAGTACTGCATATGATGTGGTAGCGCATCTTTATGTGCACATACTCTTTCAGGTCTCGATTTAGGCGACAGCTTGAAGCAAGTGGACCAGACTGCTAAGCATCAGGCTTGGCCCTAGATGTGGAATATGAGGATAAAGCACTCGGTTGGGACAACGCGAAGAGCTCAAACTGTATTTTTGACTCTGTCAAGGCTGTAATTATACAAATTCACATGGTCACTAGTGCGCGCAAAAACATAAAGTAAATCCATCAAGTCCTGCTTGCCCCATGTGGAGCCATCTATCCAATGTCGCAATCGAATAAGAGCATGTCGGTATCCGTGTGTGGAGTATAAACAGCCTCGGAGAGGGGAAGGCTGTCAAGTGTTGTTTGAGTGGATTCGCATAGATCCTGAAAGCTGGACTCACCGCTACTTCCGAGGAGGGGACCATCTGATTCATCGAAGTCGGTGTACATCATTTGCGGGGGATCGTCGAAGGTTTCTTCGTCTCCGGTATCCAAGTCCCATTCATCGTCAAGATCGAGGTTAACTTCCTTGCTGAAGACGTCATCCATAAAGGAAGCCGTAGTTGCGGAATCGCCATTGATCTGGGATTCGTTTATTGTTGAGCGATGAGAAAGAAAGGATCCGCATTTCTTTGGGGTCTTCAGCTGGAGAAGATGAGCTTGGCCCATGCGCCATAAGCCGTTCGCAATCCACCTTTTCCGATCCAAGGATATGATAGGAACTTCTTCCTGTATGATTGGGTTCGAGGTATTGGCCAACATCGAGTTGACCGCTTTGGCAATGATAGGACATGAAATGGCTCGCTCGTTCATTGCCTGTCTCTGTTAGTCAAAAAGATATGTGGAAAATGGACACTCGTGTCGTACTTCACGATATTTTGGATTGAAAATCACCGGAGCCAGCTTGCAGAGGGATTGGAGATTGTTCTCGATGACATGGATGTCAGAACATTTAGTCGCAGCAGACAGCAGCAACTTCTGGAGGCCAAAATCCACGAGTGCGAGCAATGCTTGAGATGACTGGTCGATGTCATCTCCCTTGGGCATAGAGTCGCTCTCCGCGAATGTAGTATAGCCAACAGATAAGCCCAATGTGAAATCTGTCGACGGGTCGAGACGTGGTGCGAAGAAGTGTGTTGAGTACTGAGCTTCTGTTTCTGTGCCAGCTATGGATAACAGCTCCTGTGACTGTTCATTTTGGTGAAAAAAGTAGCCACACTTCAAAGATATCTCAATGGTGGCCAAAGATACGATCAGTACCTCTGGTGGAGGTTGAGCATCGGGTGGATTCTGCAGGACGGCAGGTAAGGATCGCCTCTTTGTGGTGAATGGCCCGGTTATCCCTCTGCAAAGCCCAAGTACAAGATAATGTTCGCCAGGACGGTCGGTGTTCATGGAAATGCCATGACTTTTGGGTGTGATGGTGAATCCGAGTTCCAGCCAAACCTATTGAACGAACGTCAGCCAAGCAACATCATCTGGAAACGAACAAACCATCATGGTCTACCTTTGAGTAGCACAACATCTTCTCTAATATTGATATCAAATGAGGCCCGATGAGCCCCAGCCCCGGACCAAGACGAACAAAAAAACGCAGCTCGAGCTCTGGGGCTGCTTTGATCCATGCCGACACTGGATCTGGCCATTGAGAGGATAGCTTTGCTTCACCTGAAAAGTCGGTTAGACAATTCAAGCTTGCCGTCGCTGCAAAAAGTAGTTGTAGCTGCGATTCTGTGGCCTGAAGAAGACATTGACCCAAGTCAACAGTGCGCCTCATAGTGTAAGCATCTCACCCGAAATTTATCAACATAAATCTTGTCACAATTCTTTGAACTGCGTCTAGGCATTCTAAAGAGCCCGTATAGTTCTGAAGAGCCACCAGCTAGATTGTAGATGAAGGAGCTTGGGTGGTGAGGGGACATGGCATCGAGAGCTTTTCAAATTAAATTGGACACCTGCGGCCATAGTCAGAAAGCACATGATTCCTGTCACGGCAGCGTGTCATTGAACTCGCCATTGGAGACTATAAACCTTCAAATAATAGAGCATTTATTTGATAAGGTCAATCGATTATTGTGTACGTTTATGCTTCTCGTGGAATATGTCAAGGTTTCCTGTTGTCTTGGTTTTATGTATATCTCTAGAGGCACCGGCCACTGCGGCCAGATAATGGAAGTGCAAGTCAATAGTGTGGAACCTCTTGAAACACAAACTTTGCAGTCATCTGTAATCCATCTGTAAAGCAATTAAGCAACTTTCGACACCTGGAGATCCACGGATTAACTTCTGCCAAAACCCCGGTTCCCCACAGTTTGACCAGTCGTACCACCTTTGTGCATCGATCGGCGGGTCCTGACGCGTGGAGCGGCCGTTATCACCGGTGAACCTCTTATCGATAAGCATCACGTGCAAACCACCATAAGCTGGCCTCAAAGGAACTCCCACGTTCCTTCGACTTTCACGGTGCAACAATGCCCGGGGATGAGGGACACAATGACCCTTTCAGTGGTCGGAATGACCCAGAAGAGCTTGAAGCTCAGCCCCTAATGTCTCCGTCCAACAAGGAGCCCGACGACCTCATAGTCCACAATGGTGCCACTTCGCCCCTAGGGCCTGCGCCCAACACAAGACCTCACGCGAAGCGCCAATCTTCAATATCCCAGCCGACACCTGATGGACAACGGCGTACACCGCGTACTTTGAATCGTGTGCGATTTGACCTGCACGAGGAATCTGAGGGAGATAACCACCACGGGAATGAAGAAGAACACGAAGAGAACGGACGCGCCCACAGCCCTGATGACGCCCTATGGCTAGACGAGGAGGATTACGAACTTGGAGACCGAGGAGCGTCTGGGACACGTCACGGGGGACAGTCTGTGCCCCTTTTGACCGATATCGAGGCCCCGAGTGTGACCCTTGCTACCTCGGATGACTTCTTTCCCGAGGAACACCTGGAGAGCGCGCGCCCACGGAGCGGAATGAAGATGGCATTCATGAATATGGCGAACAGCATTATCGGGGCCGGAATCATTGGCCAGCCTTACGCACTACGTCAAGCAGGCATGACAACAGGAATCCTTCTACTGGCGGCATTGACAGTCACGGTGGACTGGACCATTCGCCTGATCGTGATCAACTCGAAGTTGAGCGGAGCAGACTCATTTCAAGCCACCATGCAGTATTGTTTTGGGAAGAGCGGACTTGTGGCAATCTCGGTTGCGCAGTGGGCCTTCGCTTTCGGTGGCATGGTTGCTTTTTGCATCATTGTCGGGGACACAATTCCGCATGTCATGGGAGCCTTGTTTCCATCCCTACGTGAGATGTCTTTCCTTTGGCTTCTAACAGACCGACGAGCAGTGATTGTTCTTTTTGTGCTGTGCATCTCATATCCGTTGTCACTTTACAGAGATATTGCCAAGGTGAGCTCCAATTTACTGTACGACAAAGGTCCTGAAGCTAATGGTCGAACAGTTAGCGAAAGCATCTGCACTGGCTTTTGTCAGTATGATAATCATCGTGATCACTGTCATTACACAAGGTTTTCGTGTCCCAGCAGAATCACGGGGCGAAATCAAGAGTCACCTCATTGTCAACTCGGGATTTTTCCAGGCAGTTGGTGTCATCTCTTTTGGTATGTTGTTCTATTGAGTCCCTTTTTAGACGTGTCGCTAATATGAAGTAGCATTTGTTTGCCGTATGTTAATTTGATTCGAAGGCAATATTGATACTAACCACCCTGCTAGACCACAACAGCCTTCTGATCTATGGATCCTTGAAGAGACCCACACTCGACCGGTTTGCTACCGTCACTCATTACTCAACAGGAGTGTCTTTGTTCATGTGCCTTGCCATGGGCATAGCGGGATTCCTCTCCTTTGGTTCCAAGACGCAGGGCAACGTACTGAACAACTTTCCATCTGACAACATCTTGGTCAATATTGCTCGATTGTAAGATTTAGCGCTTGTCGATATTTGGTTATTACATCTAACGTGTCCCAGCTGCTTTGGCTTGAATATGTTAACTACCTTGCCCCTGGAGGCTTTCGTTTGCCGATCCGTCATGACAACTTACTACTTCCCGGATGAGCCATTCAACCCCCACCGACACTTGATCTTCACCACTGCCTTGGTCGTGACATCCATGGTGCTGGCATTGATAACGTGCGATCTTGGCAGTGTCTTTGAACTGATTGGAGCGACTAGTGCAGCGTCTCTGGCCTACATATTTCCTCCCCTCTGCTACATCAAACTCAGCAGCGCTAGCCGCCGGGAAAAAATCCCCGCCTATCTTTGTGTTGCCTTTGGACTGGTTGTCATGGGCGTGAGTGTGGTGCAAGCTGGTGCCAAACTTATTCAGAGTATGTCTTTCAAGCCCTATCTCTAGGCCACTTCTGACTTGTATTAGACGACGGCGAAGGCCATTCTTGTGCAGCTTCTTAGGCAGGATATCTTGTTCTAACCCGTAGGTTCTAGTTGTATCTCGTCCAATACACTGTACATACATAAAATGTACATATACCACAAGATTGAACAACAAAACATTATCTCACATGAAAACTCTGAATATAACGTCCTGAGAGATGATGATATTCGACTCAGCCTACCATCATACCAATTGGGAATAAAGAAAAACCAAGGCTAGGAGCTACCGAGTCTCGAATTGGAAACATGTCCACCAACAAGAATAAGACATCCGTTGCATTTGTGCTGTTTGTCCGTATATGCCACTTAAGCCCGTCCTTTAACCCCCCGTATTCAATTCTCATAACCGCGGCGATTCCTCTCTTCTTTACTCGGGATTCATCAATCTCCCACTCTGACGGATTCCTTGATTTATTAATTCCTTGTGACCCGAACGTTTGCTAATAAAAGCAAACCTTGGAACGCCCATCGCTTAACAAAGCTTTATTGCTTGCTACAATTCCATCAGGCCTTGTCACTAATCTCCTCCAGAGAGGTTGTTGTGATTGCCTTTGTTTTGTCTTGATCACGTCCACTTCCTCCTCATCTTCATCCTCACTCCCTTCCTTGCCATCCTCTTTGGATCATCGTTGTGCCCAAATCCTCCTTCTTCATCGCTCAAGCTTCGCTTTCACCAGGATTCAACTCTCCAAACTCTTTCAAAAAGACACCCCTCAACAAGGCAGGCAGGCAGTCTGAGTGTCTAATTTTTCTGAAGCCTTTCACCCTTCTTTTTGCATCAGCTGTGAAAGCATCTTTCCTCTTAACTCTCCTCACTCTCCCTAATTACCGCCCTCCCTGTTTATCATATTTCCTCACAAAATGGACTCAGACTCAGCAAGGATCGAGCGCCTCAAAGCTGTTCAAATGGTACGACAGTGTTGGAGTATTCGTAGCTTCCCAGATATGCATTGCTAACTGCGTCTAGGCGGACCTCGGTACCGCGCGTCGGGAGTTCATTTCGACTGCAGACAACCGCTCCAACTTTCCGCACATTGGATTGGAGGAGCTCGAGGCTCGTCGTGAATCAAACATCCCCGGAACCGAAGCCTTCAAAAAGGCCAAAGTCGATAAGGCTGACCTAGACAGATGGCAAAGTAATTGATACCAGAGCATCCTCTATCTGATGTTGTGCTGACATTACTCTTAGACTTGCACAAAACTGTTTGTGATGAAGGCAGCATTAATACACAGCTTGAAGGAATGATGCATGGGCAGAGTCACCGTGCACAGCTTAATGAGAATATGCGTCAGCGACAGCATCCTCCACACACCATATTTCAATTCGGCGTGTCACAGCCGGTACCGCCGAATAACTTCTCCAATTTCGCAAATCTGCCAGTCGCCAATCATCCATATCCCGCCACGTACCGTGGCCGCGGAGGAGGTGCCATTGGTAAAAAGGGTCATAGCATTTTTACATCTACAGTGTAAGTATGGACCTAGCTACTCTACTCGACTCTCTCGCTAATAAGGAAATCCTATCTAGACCAACTGGCTTCCCAGCTCAGTCCGCACCCATGCCCTCTAGATTGGATCCTGCCCTGGACAGCAATAATATCACTGCTGCTTTACGTGGTGCCGGAATCTATAAAAGCAGAAAGCCTGCCTTTCCCTTGTTTGCGAAGAGGGGATCATCATCGAATCGTGGTGGGTTCAAAAAGCATGTTAAACCCACTACACAAGAATTTGACAGTATCAAATTTACCAGCGGCCCGCCCATGATGGCAACAAAGCCAATACCGCCGGTGTAAGTGATTGAATCGTTGCAAGAGTTTCCAATCACTAATAGTGTGTGCAGGGCGAGCTTTAAAATCGCATCGCCGCAAGAATTTCTGGCGCAAGCCCGGCCATCGTCTTATGCATCGGAATCTGCTACCGCACCTTCCAAGGTGCCTTCCCCCTTGAACTCCTCCGCACAGCCACGCAAGACAACTGGAACAGCCACGGCACTTGATGTGAGGAACAAGGCTAAGAAGGCAGATTTACACCTTGTCTCCCAGGCAGATACCCCGACACCTTCTCCCCGTGCTCCAACCCAGAAAAACATCGTACCACGCCCAAAGCGTGTGGAGACCCTGGCCAGGAAAGTGGAGGCAATGGCGAGGGAAGCCATGCCACTGCCGAAGAAGGTAGAAGTGACATCTCCCATGCTTCCAATCAAAATCTCCGTGAAAGCCAATCTGCAAGACAGTGACAGCAAAAAGAAAGAGAGTCAGAGCACGGCTGGGGTTCTCCTCGACCTTGTCTCCACAGCTACAGCAACAGAAGAAGATTCCCCGGCAACATTCTCAAGCCCTAGCATGACAGAATTATCAGGAATTGAGTTTCCGAAAGAGATCCTTGATGCAAATGTTGGGCCACCAAGTCCCAGTCCCGTTGGCCGGTCGGCAAATGTTAAGACCATTGCAACGATGGTAGATAATGCTCTCTATGCAAAGAGATTGGGTGAGCTGCAGAAGAAAATTGACAAGACAATTTCAGAAATGCAGAAAGAACTGCAGAAAGAAATTGACGAGTCTGTTTCAGAGATGCAGAAAGAACTTGCCGAAAAGCTTGGATTTGGTGGAAAGTTTCAAGCTGGTTCCATTTCACTTCAGAGCATTTCCGTTCTGCCATCTATCCCCAAAGATAAAGCCGCTGAAACACTCCTCGAAGTCAGCTCTTCCCACGCTGCAAAGATCCATGTTGCCTCCCCTTTGACCAACGTTGCTTTTCCTCTGCCTAATGTTGCGCCTTCTTCGCTCAATGATGTCTCTCTACCCAGTATTGCATCTTTCTCCAATCTTGCTACTGCCAATGAGCCGACTACTCCTCCTGGGAAGAACTTCTCGGAGTATCGCTCTCCTCCGCCAACATCCTCCTCAGAAGAGTCCAAGGAAAGATTCTACGATGCCGCTGAGATGAATCAGTCGCCACGAAAATCCGTTGGCACCGAGGGAATCAAAGGATTTGAGACGCTGAAGGTCTCTGAGACTTCTGCTCGGGTAGTTTACCGTGGACCAGTCCCGATTTTCAAAGTTCCTGCGGTCTCGCAGAGTTCCTCTCAGTCCGCTCCCCCGAGAACACTGTCGGGAGGCGTGGAAAGTTCGATCTACGCAAAGCCAAAGATAGTTGGTCCTCTTCCTATGGTCTTTGAAAAGCCTACGGGGGGACTGTCGTATGAGCCCGTGGTTCTCCGTGACCTGAACCCTATCAACATGACGACGAAGCCCGTCGCCCCAACTGGGCTTCCGCAATCCCGACTTGGCGCCAGTTCCTCCGCCAATGTCCCCAAAGCGGTCTTTCCGCCGGCTAAGCCTGTTGCCACGGTTGTTCCTGCGCCTAAGATCTGTGAAAAGCCTGCGAGAGGACTATGGTATGAGCCCGTGGCGAAGCCACACCCGCAATTTCAACTGGCCTCCAGCTCCACCGCTAATAAACCCACGATGCTCTTCCCACCGGCCAAGCCCGTTGCCACAATTGGGCCGGCGCCATACCAGGCCAGCGCCGGTGCCTCCGCCAATGCCCCCAAGGAAGTCACTCTGCCGAAGACAGCGGAGCCTATTTCCCGGGTGAAAATCCTGGGCCCGGCACCATATCAGCCGAAGCGAAAATAAGTATCTGTATGATGTAGCGCGACCAACAGCGCATGAGGAATGAGAGCATTACCTGTATTTATTATCCTGCATGTTTTAGGCCCCGAATTTGTGTAATTGTGACCGGAAAACAGAAAGTTTTAACAATCACAAAATATTCCAGAAGCTGCGATCTTGCCCCAAGGTTTCCACCTCGTAACATACACCATCTTTGGAATGGGCGTCGATCAGTGGTTCGGGGAATAAAGATCGTCGGGCCGGCTCGTGCCTGTATCCGCTGTGTGTTGACTAACCCAAATCAGCTTCCTGAGATCCATCATTCGAATGCCACGCGGACGGTGGAAATGAGCTTGGCAGGTTTATTGATTATGATCCGTCATAAAATGCAAAGGTGGCGACCGAGTGATGTAGTGGATGTCCTTGGTCTATGTTGTGTCCTATTTTCTGCTGACTTCATGAGTCATGACCGTTTCTCGTAACGCCGATCATTGAGTGCCGCCGGCAGCGCATGGTATGTTTCACATATGCAGATCGCCCAGTTCATCTTGAATGTTCCCTTGTGCGTGGATACATCAAGTCCCCACTGCTCGACATGTCGATGACATATCTCCAGCCACGAGACACAAATTGGGGCCCCATGACTACAGCGAACTTGTTACCGGACATTATGTTTGGACTACGGAAATTACCCTCAGGGCCATATGTAGGTAAAAGGGGCTCTAGGCATGATTGGGGGCGGAGAAAATCTCCTTGCCAACGCATCACTCTGCGCTAAGATCCCCTGTAAATCCCACAGAAAGCAAAACAAGGTACGAAGATACCCGTCGAGACCCCGGGAGTTCGTGAGCTTCCCCATTTGGTGTAATTGCGTTAATAAAGAGCGAGTTTCCTATTCGCTAGGTGTGCAGTGTGGATCGGCTCTAATTGAAATTTTCCATGCCCCTGCGCATCAGATCGTCAGCTCGCTTATATGTACATGTGCGGAAGCGTTACCCTAAAATGACCAGGCTAGAGGAAGCACGAGACTGAAATTGCTCGAATGTGTAATGAGATAACTGGTCTTGGGGCCTGCCAGAGGACACGAGGTTGCTTGATTCCATCCATGCAAGCCTGAATGTTCTTCTTATTAATTTCGCCACCACAGGAAAAAAGGAAAATAAGATGAAACGGTCTGCCAAATGACCTGCAGGAGTTAGCTGGCCAATAGTACTGCCGTTCACTTATTATTAAGTCTTCAGTAATTTCTTTTTGTCGTCATCGCTTTTGAAAGCCGTTGTAGATCTTTAGGATTACACATGGACTTTCGGACCACTGATAACCACCGCGGAGCTCTGCCGGGCTGTACGCCAAATGCACGTAATTTACGCAATACAGCTAAGATAGATTGAGTCACGGTAGGATCAGCCCGTTCATTGGATAACATTACGCATAGTTCGTCTTTTTCTCCCAGCAACCGACGTGTCGGTTCTAAGATCGTCCACTTGGCTACGCGTTTAATTTCCTCTTTCCTCTTCGATGTGCAGTGGAAATATATCGCGGCATTCAATAACATGACTAGAAGCTCCACGTGATTTTCAATTACTGAGGTCAGTGACGCGCACTTTCCAATATTGGGGGGGTGGTCTATGTACCTGGGTATTGGATTGATGAAATTACCATTTTGTGTTTTCATAAGTGCGCATTACCTAATAATATTAGTGTGGTGCTCGATCAGAGCGCTAATCCCGAGGCCCATCGCGGGCGCGTATCAGTGGGTCTCGGGAGGATTCCTCTGGGATTTTGCAGTCCATGCGTTGCTCATGGGGGAGATACAAACTATCCTGTTATGTCCCCTACGCAGCTTATCTCCCCTAGGCAGCATATGTCCCCTGGGTAGCCCACTGCTCGTTGGGCCAGGGTGATTCTCCGAAGCACTAGTGGAGTTGTTGGTAGGGTAACGACAGGGGCTTAGACGACTTTGACCAGGGCTGTCCAACAAAGAAATCTTGTACATTACGTCACAAAAAATAATGAATTGTGGAAGAAAGAACGACGCAAACTTGAAGAAACAGGTAATTTACGGACTTTCTCAACCTTAGGGTCTACACTACCAATGGCGAGCCAGAAGTGGGCTGCCTCACCATTGCTATCTGTGCCCGCTGGTTTTCCCCGAGTACCTTTCAGAATTTGACTTTACCCCCTTCTCGATTTGGAATAGTGAACCTGGGAAAAGAGATTGCGGAGTAATGAAGAGTCGGTCTAGGGCCCGGGACCTGCCTGCCAGGCTTTTCTGCATGTCGAGTTGGAAAAAGAAAAGATCGGACGGTCCCTGCGAGACTAAACGGTATTCGGGCATTCGTATGGTTAAGGGCACAGTAATAGTACAGTAGACGGTGGCCTCTCCCGAGCTCATTGATTGGCTATAGTCGTAGTCACCCGAGAAGGTCAATGGAGAAAAGTCGATTTTATATTAGTTCGCCGAAGAAAAAGAGAGGATATGATGCTCACTGGGCCGGTCTGAGTAGTCCACGTATGAGGATGTGATAATACTCATCTTACCCCTTTTTTTCCTCGGGCTAAGATGTGCACCTGGATCAGAAAGACCGAGGATTTGTTTCTCCCAAATGTATATTACGCTAAACCTAAGTTGAACAACTTTGGAACCACTTTTCTTTACACTACAATCTAGGACCAGATGATACGCTTGTACCTGAAGTACCTGAACCAGCTGGATCTCCTTCCCCACTATCGCCATTTTGTGTGTGATGCCTACAACAATCCCTGCTCCTTGACCTTCACAGCCTTTTCAAGCGGTAATTCAGACATAGACTGCGACCGATGAGTAACAAAATCTGGACCAATAAGACCATGTAATTGTCTCAAACATCGTCCTTATAACGGTACGGCCGACGTCTTCGGAGTCCACTTGCGTTGGGTTCCTAGAGTGGGAAGAGACGACATTCAGCAAACAAAGTCAACAAAAGATGCTAACAAGCCTAATACACACCTCACGAGTGGCTTTGGGTGTAGAGTACGTTGGTGGCTGCGGAGTTTCAGGTTCAGGTTCAGGTTCAGGTTCAGGTCCCGGTTTCTTAATGAACCAGTAGATGGCGACAGCAATGATGAGCCCCAAGAGCCCCAAGACTATGCTGACCACGGTGTACATTGCTGTCTTCAATACTTTAGGCGCAAGCTCCCAAATATAAACAGCAGCAGGAGTTGAATAGTCTTCGACCGTGTGGATGGGAAATTTCCGAGTCGAGCCCTGGAGGTCGGGGGAGTCCAGATTTATAGATTTTTGCTCTGTGCGATCAAAAAATGATACATGTTTAATTTCGAAAAATGATTCTATTTGGTTATTTTTATTTTTTATTTTTTATTTTTTTTTCCATTCGGGGGAGCCAGTCACCGGCAAGAAAAGATAATGTACACGTCTAGAAAAGCTCAGTCGCGCTGTAGGGCTCTGGACCTGCTGTACCAGAAGTGGTTGGTTTAGTCCCCTGATCGGCCAAAATGTCACATAACGTATCGTGGAAGTCCATTCGAGGCAAAGCACACTTCTGTGCCTCCACCGTTTCCCTCCGTCTTCCCTCCATCTTCCCTGCACCGTTTCCCTCCACCTTCCCTCCATCGTTTCCCTCAATATCCACTTTTCTCCACAAGAGAAGGGGTATCGGGGATGCGGAAGCCCAGGCAGTCACTACTATGTCTTTGTAGCCGGAAAACACAAAGAAATCGTGAAACCAAGCTTTGCCCTAACAAGGGGTGCCTTCAAATTTTGTCTATGTCCCGAATCGGGAAGGTCCACTTGCCAAGCTCCGACATCCAGTCGGGACCTGCATTGACTCGTGGTGTCTCGCGCATGTTGCAAGGATGATTAGAGAAGCCAAAACCCATAGATCCCGCAACATGTGTTTGCCGAAAGTATGCTACCACTGTGCCCCACTCGCGGCACTGTTGATGCACGTTCTGACTGCTCACTTGATGTATCAAATCATAATAAAATAATTTCAGGCAGCTGCGGCTCCGCGCCATTAAAAGTCAGACCTCCGGTAGCGTGGGAATACCGATCATGAACTCTGTGTGATCTATTACATCCTAGATGAATTACCGCGTGCTCTACTACGCTTTGACACCCAAGCGGAAACTGTGAGGAAACCGATTTAGAGGCCTCGACGATTGAAGTGAGAGCAACAGGCTGTAGAGTACCCTGGCAAGTAAAGCACATTCCGACGGATCCTCATAGTGGAGACAGTGAGACGGGGAGTGCGGGTTGTGGGTTTGCACCCCAGATAGCATCTACACCGACTCTTTTTTGCTTTTCCTTTCTCATCCCATCTCATGCCATTAAAAAAAAAAAAAAAGACAAAGAGACAAAAAGACAAAAAGACCATTTGATGAAGGACGCACCTCGTTGATCGCCTACTATTCCGGTGGGAATGCCATAAATGTGGTTGACAGTTTCATGAAGGGAATCACCCCATTTGGACCCTAATCCCGAAATCCATTTATCTCCAAACTTCTAATTACTACATCATAATTCGAACATATGGAGAAGTTAATCCGCTAATTGAAGCTTATCTCAGAGGGTGTCCTAATTTTGACTTCCTTTATCCACTAGTAGCTTCGATGGAGATCATGGCCGATACCTCGGGACGCGGATGCGGGTACCTAGGTATACTTCCAAATCGGCAATTTCATTTCACCCCTGAAATTCGGAACTTGGGCCAAATGACTGAGCGTGGCAGCTTCAAGATCATAACCTTGGGGAGATAAGTTGGCTGGGGGATGTATCGGCCGCAAGTGGGGCGTATCGGCTGCAGTGACTTCGCCCCGATTAACAGCCAGGTTGGTCCGCACTGGCGCGTACAATTAAACAGGATTTATCGACGCCCGGGTGACGAATGAATCCCGAAGAACACTTGGCGTTATTGTTGGGACAGAAGTACGTAAAGTGTACACTTTGGCCCCTTCCTACACTGAAAGACACCCCTGTCACCCGACCCACTGCGACGATATAGGCAACAACAAGGGTACATCAGGTGTGGTCGGCGCTCGAGGACACAAGGGAAAAGAGAGAGAAAAAAGGGGGAGGGGGGGAATAGCATTCTTAGGACTAGCTAGCGTGCGTGGTTGGCTACCAAGAACGAGTCGAACAGAGACAGCGTATGGTGTTGTGTGAGGGAGAGAGGCAGGATAAAAACAGTGGGGAACACTGATCTAATGGGATCTTTCGTCAACATGAATTTTGGCGGCTACTTATCACTTTTGACGAAGAACATTGTGGAAATTAGCGGAAGACCCTGGTCAAGATTCTGGACCCCTAGTTGGAGGCTCTTTCAAGCCCGTGAAAATTACCGTACACGCCTAAGATCCCGAACCTGATCTTCCTTTCCGTTCTTCATGGGCTCCTTTTTCACACCTTGCCAGCTTACTGTGGCCGAATATCATCAGTTATCACGGAATGACTTTGACTATTCACGAGGATCGAGGCCAGTTTGGACGTCATTCCGTTTCGCTCTTTTTATGCCCTGTTCGGCCGGCTTGTATTCTGAAGAACTTTTTCTCCGGTCGGCACGATACGTCCAGCACTACGTTTCTTCATTTCATTGTCAAGACTCTGGAAACTCAGATAGGAAGGTGTGGGCTTTTTGTACGACTACTTCTCCTACCATGGAATTTCCAACGTGCAACAGAACACTGGACAGCTTGCTAAATTAACCTTGAGACAGATATTACGTCCAGTTTTCATATCACTCTACCGGTAGCCATGCCTCCCTAATCACCTGAACGAATCCGAGAGTTCAAGGGTCGTTCGACATTGTTGAAACGGAGTTCCTAGTGCGTTGCTTGCTCATCGAGGAACAAGATTAACCAGGGAAATGAAAGACGCCTTTTGTTTCTAATGGTGTCCAGCTATTAGATCTTCGCTTGAGATGTGGCTCCTGCTCTAGGAAGACCCTCAGCGTGGCACGTTAACAGGCAATACCTTTCGGCTTTGAGACTACCGGTCCCAATTTCCGACCGACAAGAATAAGACGTTCCATCCAACTCCATGATTGCAGCTATTATTATCCAGTCAAGCAAACCTGTGGTAAGATGAAGCCACGGCATTTATAGCCTTCTGCGTGACACATTGAAGGACAATACTGGACAATACTGACGGAGGCTACAGCGAAACCTGATCACCGGCCACCATGAACGAAACTCGAACCGCAATTCTACAATGACATCAAGCATTATTGGCTCAAATACCGTAAAGTAATGATCGGAAACGTCCCAGACCTACGCTTTCAACTCGGAAGTTTGACAAATTAGTTACAAACAACAACGGAGTGAATGCCCTGACATGAAGATTTCCATAGATCAGCAAAAACTTACCCCGGACGTTGCCGCCCAAGGCTACAAACCCCGAAGGGTTTAGGAAACTTCGCTGGCAGAGGATTGGCTCTTGCTTTTTCCCACCCTCTCCCGAGAGGCAGGTGCGTTGCTTCCATAGCTCGAGAGCTACAACCGCGGACTCGCTTGAATGCAGCAATGGACGACCGAGGTCAGACCACTACGCCACTCACCCTTGGTTAGCATATTAACCCCCGATTTTTACATGACCGAACCACATGAATCTTCTAGGTCGGTGGATCACCACAGTGGAGTCGCCCCACCATACTAAAACTAAGTTGTGGATTTCGGCAGCTCTGATTCAACCTCTGCCCTTTTTCTCGGTAATTTTTTCGTTAACTAGGGCGCTTTGTAGGCCGAAAAGGGAGTTGGCGATGCAGCTTGGTTGTGAAGCTATTCCCGCGGAGGTTGCGCGACCGGGGTCGACACTGAAAATCAAGCTGCGACGGGTCAATGCAAATGGTACTGGGAGTCCAGATTGAAGAAAACCATTCATTTGCATCTGGGGAGTGTGTAACTATTCCCTTTTGCCCTTTTCTCCAATTACTTGACGTTTCATTAGCGTATTACCTTAGTCGGTGCTTTTGGCAATTAAGGCTCACGGAACGCGCTCGCGGGTTCCCCGATAGAATCACCCGTTCAAGCGCTAGAGTTACTAAATACCGAGTCTCCACCCCCAGAGCTAAATGCTCGAACTTCTAGCCGATCAAACGGTGTCCTTTTGCTGACAGTACTTGTGTTGGAATGGATAGATCACATTTCATCAGCCGTCATCGTACTTCTGGCGCAAATCCTGTCGTTGCAAATAGCTTGAAGTCGCTCAAATTCGAACCTCATCTACACATACCTCTTCTGTCTCTGCTCCGCAATTTTGCCGTACAGAAATGTCGCGAAAGTGGTCTCAAAAGCTCGTGGACATCTAAAGCACTAAGAACTGCGAAAAGAAATCAAATCAACGAACTGCCCGGGCTTCGATCGCGGGATATCTCGATTTCTTGTTTAATTTCTTCGTGAGGCAATTACCTATTTCAAAATAATCGTCCTGGGAGACGGATCTGAACCATGGGTCCACTGTTTACAGTTCTCGGGCTCGGCCCGTGACTCAGCTCAGCCCTAATCGGAGACCACGAGTACTTCAGCGATCGTGTTCCGGGGGACTTAAGACCGGGATGGTGCATGATCGCAACCGCAATCCTTTGCATAAAGGGGTTTTCGGAAAAAGACAGTTCCAATGTCTCTAAACCGGATTTTCTGGATCGCACGTCTCGATTTGTCCTAGCATTTTTGATGGTGCAGGAAAAGTACCTTGACCTTAAGTTCTCTCACAACGTACGTGCATACTGGGTGTGCTACCCCTCTCCAAACTCGAAAGATTCCAATCAAGCCTGCATTGTGCAGAAAGCTGACATATGCCATACCGTCCCGTTGGTTTTGTATATTCTGTAAATCTTTTTCAAGCTTAGCATTAACACAAAAGTACTTTGCGTGGAGCTGGTTTTTGTATAACTCTTTAATGATCTCTAAAACGGGGAATCGGACTGTATGTCAATCAAATGGTCGTGGTCTCCTCCTGAGCGAATGAGCTCCTGGGTCTTTGCCATTTCTTTCAGGACACAAAGCGGAGTGACGTGTCTGCCCCCGTAAATTTGTCATACTATCAACGTTTGCCAAAAGTCCTAGTCCTTATTACTACTCAGCTGGACTTTGCTTTTTGCGTCTGTTGAATCAGCATGCTGTGGATACTTTAGTAAACAGCCGATACTTCCATTAGCAATCATTGTTAAAGGATTTATCTCCCATGTTAGCGGTCGCAATAAGAATTCAGAAGGCCCATCCCTTATAGAAATCTCGAGCTGGAATGTTCAAGTACTTGAGACCCACTTTGACCTATCCAAAGTTAGGGTAAGCTTTGTGTCGGCATAATACTGGCTCTTGGCGTTACGAAGTTTGAGGCAAAACCAACGCCATCTGGTTAATTGATTTAAAACACCCGAGGGACGAAGGTTCTCAATGCTTGTATCTCGTGGGGGAACTGGACGGAGCATTGAGTTTGATTGAAATGTGGACGAGTGGCGTAGCTTTCGTCAAATTCCCTCTAGATTATTTGGCAAAACAAAATTACGATAACACGAGATTTTACATCATTCAAGCCCAATTGAATGAGAACACAGTAAAAAAAAATTTGATTGCAAAGACTAATTGATATCAAAGGGTAAAGATCCAAGAGACTCTAAGACCTCCGGCTGCCACCACTCCACCTTGTGACATGAAACCTAATGCCAGGTCGAATGTGACGCAGAAGAAAGGAAGCACCGGGTCCAGCTCCATTGCCGGGTCCAACAGCCGAAATACGGGCTCTGAGAACCGCGTATCCAACGTCACCATACCAATCTAGCCTCACATAGTGAAAAACAGCCGTCATCTTCAAAGTAGCAACACGACGCAACTCAGCAAGAGACGCCCGATTTCCATCTGTCGTCAATGGTGCAAGGGACATCAAAAGGTGATAATTCCAGTTGTACCAATCGAGCACCCAATGTGCCAGGTCTTCCATTGCTAAATTGTAAGTACCCATATAACTCATGACATGTGCTTGGAAGGACGGCATCCCGATGATATGGTGCAAACATGTGGCGGACTCGACGCTTGTCTTGGCAAGGGCCAATAGAAATTCAGAAAGGTGATTGGGATAGTTGAACCACACATTCGGGGGATGATAGTTGGCAAATTTTTCAACGAGTTCTGGACAGTCCGCCGCGATTGCGTCCCACATTGGCGTTTCATTTGTCACCATGCATCGCAAATTTGGGAAAGCAAGCGCAGCAAACGGTGTAACAGCCTGGCTAACGAAATAGTCAAACAACTGTATTCCTGCTGGATTCCTCGCGAGTGCATGCCAGCTATTTTTGGCGAGTCTACCCGGCCAAGGACCTGGCGCGATGGAATATCCGCCGGCAAGACCAACACCATGGCGCCTTAACCAGTGCGCAATATGGATTGAGGCATGATCAGCAAGAGAAAAAAGTAGGCTAGGGGCCATTGCTGGGATCATATTAGGGTCAGGAATAGCCAAGGAGCCGTCTTCATGCCATTCCGATATCCTTTCCACTGATTTTGTTGGAAGGAGGACAGTGTGTTGGAGAAGGTACCACGCACTCAAGGGCGTCATTATCGGGGCAGCAGCGGGTATACCAGCAAGCGTGCGGTAGCTACGGAGCCACAGTTGCGATCCCGGCCCATTCGTCCACGTAAGAACATCAATCACCTTATTGCATTCATCTTCAGAGATGTGACCCCACACATAGTGTAACATTGCAATCAGGATTAGACTACATCCACATTCATTGAAAGCCGCATGTCCGTTCGCAGGGTCCAGTGGCAGAATGCCTATGTCGACCAATGCAGAAAGACAATCATGACACCCGGCAGCAATTGCACCCGAAACCATGTCTATAGAGTGAGGGGGAGCCGATTTTCCAACAGGGTCGGCCGGGACAACGGCGTTTGGTGCCCATGCTATGGCGAATGCTGGTTGCGCGGGCACTGGAACTCCAGGAACTGCAGGAACTGTCAAGTTGCGAAGTGTGGCTTCACATCCATGCATGCGAAGAGACATCAAGAACAACCCCTTGGTGTATGCCAGTCCCAGCCATACCCGGAGTTCTGCAGCGAGATTTGGATACATCGCGCGAATCCGTCGTGGGTTGGCAAGGAGGTGCGCCCGAAAATCACAGAAATCCTCATGTGAAGGATCAACGACAGCAGGCCCTTGGGCCCAGAAGAGAGTGTTCTCCAGCTCCGCGTGAATTGCTGCCGGAGCAAGTCCGTCGAGGTGGCGAAGATAGGCTGGTGTCCAGATTATGGTTTCCATATTTGAAAACTTTATACGCTAAGGTATTCGATATCAAATTGCAAATGTTTGCAAAGCTTTTTATCTCCAGTCCTTGTCCTTCTATATGAGATGGAACTACTGAAGTCCATTGAGCCCAGGAAGATCTCTACGATGGGACTTGGATGAAAGGAACAGGCCGATGAAAGACAAATTTTAATTTAGAAAGGCATAAATCGTGATCGTGATAATGAGATGGGTAAAGACCAAACCACGGCAAAGAAAGTGAAAAGCATCAATATTGATCATAGATAGCCTGGAAATGGAAAGCCTGAAAGGAAGACAAAGAAAAATTCGAAACCAGGACTTGTGTCTGTCTTTCACAGTCCCAATTTAGCTCTGACCCTTTGTTCACCAGCATCATCCTCGACTTCCCATGCAATCAGCTCCTCCTGCATCGAATCATTCTTGATGAAGTACGAAATTCGAATCTCATTTGTGCCCAGATCCGGACAAATGGCACAACGAGTAGTAGTCCAGCTCCAGTTCGTAGAAGGGGCATTTGGAAGAGCCAGGGCCACCTCAAGGATCACGACACGATAAGCCTTGAGTACCTCATTCCCACAATGAAAAACGCTATACCCGAAGGAGATATCTGCATTGGACAGATTCTCAATATGTTGCATCACTCCAGTAGATATCAAAACGGTAGTATTATATCCCCTCCCAAGGAATCGAGGCATAGGAAAACCGACTGGAGAGCTTAGTAGCGCCGGGATGTCACTCGCTTGGGGTTGAGTACCAAACTCCACTCCGTAGAATTGATCCTTCGGGATCCCCGGTGGCTTGATAGCGAGAGAAAACTGGACATAATGTTAGAGTGCATTCATCGCCAATTAGAACAAAGCAAGATATACCTGTGCCGGAAATGGCGGGGTCACAGAGAATTCCCGAAGAGGTATCGGACCCGCGTAGTCAGACTATCACTGTCAGATGAAGTACCAGAGAAAAACATTCCAAGTCTATTGCTTACACCCTCAATCCAAAGACCGCCATATCCAACCGCTCGCCGCTGAAGCTGCAGACACGCATTCCAGCTAAAAGGCCCCGGAACGTCGCCCACAGGAGTCCCCTGAATCCAGAACGACACAGGTCCAGGCGTCCAAAGTAGTCTGTCCATTCCGTCTCGCTTATAAGCCGATATAATCGCTTTGACATTGCTCAGTTGGGGGTCATTGTTGGACTCGAGTTCTTCTTGGATTACTCGGAGGCATTCGAGGCGTCGCACCACGTTCCAGCCGAGAATTTTGTATGGTGAGGTGGCTAGAATTCGGGCTTTGTCTTGGATTGCCTTTGCGACTTGGGCGGCATAGGATGGCTGTGGGTAACGGGCATCCATCAGCAAATCGAGAATAGTGGGCCCTTGATCACTTGGAGTGGACATCTTGGGATACTGGAATGTATGATATGGCGTTAAGTGAAGTCCAGTCGAAGAGAAAAGATCGGTAGAGTTGATATAAGTAAAATGTCTGAAGGCAAATCGTTGATTCTTATTCAATTTTTCAAGGGAAGAGCCTGGAAGGTTTCCGTTTCCTTTGTTTGACAAGCATGAGCTATACTCGAGATTGGGTCAGGTATCTGCGTCTAGACTTTGAGCGTTCTTTGAGTATTGGAAGTCATTCCTTTGTCTCGGTAGCGATAGCCTCCCACGGGCCTGCGAGTTTTGTTGGGGTTAACTCCTATAGCCAAAACCCTGTTAATCATCAGTATTGACATTGAAACCCTCAAACAGTAGGCATGTTGTTTTCATGGCATTTGGTCAGTATTATTGGCCGAGCAGAGATATGATCATATCCCGTTGTTACCCTTGGCCTCATAATCATTCTTGACCAGATAATACACCGTGAACAATAGACTGTCCACTTGAACTAATAACATTCACAAAATCCAATAATATAAAGTCCCTTCCACAAGGTTGCAGTATATGCCCGCTTTCGTTATGTGCGTTTAATAGCAATATTGAGAATCTGTTACATCTCAGACTCTTACGATTTAGAAGTCAAGGAATCAATTCGTATACTAATATCTCTCTTCAGCTCTCAGCTCTGTAAGTGGGGCAGAATTATGATCGCTATCGCCGTAACAAAATCGATAAGCTTTCTTCGTACTGTACTGCGCCATGGAATATCCTACAACCGCTTGGTAGTGCTCACGACCTGCTAAACTCACCCGTTCATTTTGGCTCAGGTTTAGCGCGAAAGCGGCGTAGGTGCGACAGCATGACCCGTCGAAAGAAGAAAGCATTACTGACCGCGTACGCGAATGCCCAGGCGGTGGGCTACCTACGCAGACAAATCGGTATCCTGGAGACGCATACGATCATGCCAAAATCCAGAGAAAGTTATACATGGGAGAGCAGCGGTATTTGGAGAAGTGCATGTGCAAAAATGATAGCATTCATCTATTGATATCAATTTTCTCGCAATGGCCTTTATTATATTTCGGTGCTTTCATAGCTTTCAGCCGAATGAAAAGCTATTGATATTGTGGGCTTCAAATTAAGGGAAGGACGGTGTCGTAAGCGTCAATAGCATCTTGCAGGGTCTTGTCCAGAGACTTCTTGGTATTCTTCAAGCTGTCACCGCAGCTGGGAAGGAGATCTTTGATGAGGGTGGAGCCGATTTCCTATGAAGAATATAAGTAAATGAGGCAGTCTTGACAGATTCGTGCAGGAACATACATCAGTGACACTCTCCACACTTCGCAGCGTCGCTGCCATCTGGTGGGTAAGGCCAGTGGCCTCTATGATTTCATGTTTACCGACGGTAGTCTTAAGAGTTGTGGTCAAGACCGATGCGAACTAAAAGTCGTTAGTTTCATCTGGCTTTTCTACTGAGTTGAGTGAATGACTTACGTTGGTGTAAGAGTTGCAAGCTGCCTGCTGCTCGTCGGTAGGAACCGAGCCACCCTTAAACTCCTGGTAGCCCTTGTTCTCGGCCTTGTCTAGTTTGTAGTAAGCATTGATTGTTTGCTGGTTTGGGTTAGCACATGTTGTTCGAGATAATGAATATTGCTTGATGTGGTGTTCCTCACTGGTCCGGTCTCATAGCTATCGATAAATTGGATTTTCTGCGCAGTGGTGTCGACATCCTTGGCTAGGGCGCTGTAGCCGTCGAGGGATGTGGCAACATTCACGGTGAGAGCGGTGTTTGCGACGACAAAGAGGCCGAACACGTTGCTGAGTTTGAATTGCATCTTGATTGATATGTGTGGGAGGCTGTCGGAGAGATTGACTGACAATTAGAATAATCGGTGGCAGGGGCTTTCTTTTAAAGCCTGAAGAGGAAGGCGGATGAATGTTTACCGATACTCCAGATTTGTAAACACGCGATGAACAGGAGAAAGATCTTCCTACTAAGTTCAATAATGGAGAGTTGTATGGAACGCGGGCTCCATACCCACAAGGAATTTGTCGATCATTCTTGATATTCGATGGGTCGGCTTCTGTAGAAACCTGTCTAGTCCGTGACGTATCGTGCTTATTGTACTGTAGATAATTCCCAGAGACAGGTGGAGAGCCAAAATTACGATCATCTCTGCTCGTGACAATGGTTAACTGATCGATCGATAGACCCTATAGGTTAGGTTAAAGTGGGCCCCGAGTTCGTCCGTTCTTCAGCGCGAAGATCTATGAACAATTCTAGTTAGGGCTTAGGGAGTAGGGTCCATGGATGGTTCCTATATAGGGCTAAGTGGAGAGACAAGCCACAGGATTGTCATCATCTCTGCCTGTCACAATGATTGACTGGTTGATCGATCGGTTCCTTGCCAAGTCTAGATTATAGTGGACCCCGAGTTCGTCTGTTCTCCAATGCGATGCTCAATTGACGATTCTAGTTAGGGCTTGGTGGATATAGTCCACTTTGTATTGAATTTGGAATCCACCTTTGAGAAATCGCCGACCGCCTCTCTTCTTGTCCCGAGGTCTTTCGACTCAGCTGAGCTCTGTAATAGTCTAGGCCTGTCAAGTGCGCTCTATTCGCTTACTCGATCTTACGGGGTTACGGGAGGTGGTAGATCCTCCCGGTATTTGAGTGACGGGTATGTACACTCCGGAGAGCGGAGCACCATTAGTCAATCAATATCCGAGGAAAACTTGTATTGGTCGTTTGGTAGGATGTCGTTTTCGCTGTCGACTGTATGGATACTGATAAGCCCGAAAGTAGAATGGAATGGTGATTGGATCACTAAGTCTGTCTTTGATATGAAGTTGTATCTATTTAATCCATAAGTCCACCAGTGGACGTCATGAAAGGAGATTTACAGTGACTGTTCATAACTAGACCTTTCGTTTTCCTTCCCGCAAGAAAACGCCCCTTTCTTTTACCAGCATGGTAGACATGTAATCAGCGCCGTACACGAAGATGAAGAACCCCCGGATATAAACCATATTGATAACCGCTAATGTAGCTTGATGTTTGATCAAATACTTGAAAACGAACTTAAAAATTTATTGTGGGGCCTGGGGTGCTTGTTGTTGTCCAGGAGCAATATCAGACACTCGAGGTCGCTTGGGGTCACTCTGGCCCATTGGAACAGGGGCAGCATTCGCATCAGGAGATGTAGTAGCGTTGGTAACATCATTTAAAGGGGGACGTTTCCCGTTCGTATTGTTTTGGGGAGGCACGCTTCCTCGGTTCATGGCGGCGGGGTTGTTCCTGGCATCCACGTTTGGGCGGGTTAAGGGACGGTATGATGATGTTGACGGGCCTCGAGATAGAGGACTACCCATGCCACCAGGTGGTCCACCTGGAGCACCGACCTTGCGCTGCAAATCGGTTGCAGGATTAATATAGTCCCGCGAGTTATTGGCTACTGGCGAGGCGGTTGAGAGCATTGGCCTGGATATGGGAACACTCTTGGTATGGTCAACACCGGCAGTTTTGCGAATAGACGGGCTTTCTGCGTGTGGATCAAATTGAGTTCCTGGAAGAGGGACCGCATTTGGGTTATCACGCAGAGTATCAGCCACTCTAGCAGAGTAGAATCCAACCGATTGAGAAGCAGGTGGCTGATTTGAGTCGTTGAAACCAGGACCAGGTTCTGACTTGATTGGCACCTGTGCGTTATTGTTTTGCATTTGGGGACCAGGACCGGACTGTGGTTTAGGCGGCATTCCGGGCTTTGCGGTGTGCACATTATTGAGCTGGCCGGGTCCAGGCATCGGACGTCTCTGGTCTTGCACGGTTGCTGGGTTCGGGCGCGCCATCGGTGGCATTGACTGCCTTATAGCTGGGTTTCCTCCATTCCATCTTTCTGGCTTTGAAGGTGTTACGGCATTTTGGTCGAACCGCCCTGCTGGTGGCCCTCGGGGAGGAATGGGGCGATTCATAGGCGTGGGTGGTTGTTGTTGGCGTGGCGGCTCTGGGTCTAATGATATTTCGTCGGGGTTTCCATTCGAGGCAGACACCACGAAATCGGCTTCATCGAATAAATCACCTAAAACCATTAGCCTAAGATATCAGCCAATTCTTTTGGATGATGCGTACTTCCGAACTCGCCGTCACCTTCAAAAATCGCATTGCTTGAGTTACTGCTTCTTGCGGGCGCGACGGTGGGCGGCGGAGGCAAATCATCATCTTCAGCTACCCGCTTTGGTTGAACAGGCTCTTTTTTGACAGGCGCAAAGTCACGGTGACGATGTAGCTCATTGACATCCCATTTATTCTGTATAATGATGAGCAAGTGATCTAGAAAGCCAAAGTCGCGACAATGTCTTACCGATGTGACTCTGATTTTAGTAACCTTGGAAAGGTAGTCCTTGTCATAGACGCAGTTGCCTAGAACATTGCCGAAAGTCCTCAGTGTACGCTTCAATGCATCTGTTGTCCCTTCTTTCTTGGCTTTCTCGAACGCTGCTGCTTTGCCCTTGCAGTTCTCGATGTGGCCGTAGCCAATATCCTAAGATTGTTAATGATTTGCGAATCCAGAAGATCGCGACTCGTTACCTCGTGAAATGTGCCGTCTCTCAGTATCACCCGGACGATAACTGATAGACCAAGGGTAATTTTGCCTGTGTTTTGGTTCTCCTCGATCTAGGCAAGATAGTTGTTAGTTGAGCCATTGGAACGCAGTCAAATGATTTGCAACGAACAAAATCAATGTCAATTTTTTGAATGGAGCTGGACCAGCCATTGAATCCAAAGACCTCATTGGCGAGATTGATGCATTTATCTGCCGATAGATAGTGCACTTTCTGCCCTCCAGCACCGGGTCGTGCTGAGATGTATTCTGGTCCCAACTGCCTATCAAGGCGTGATTGCAAGGTGGCGATTTCAGATGCTGTATATTCGCTTATCCGTCGCTGGGGCTCTTCAAAGGGGTTTGCCGTGGAGGCACTCGAATTGTTGGGCATCCCGATGATTGCGGGTCCGCCGCGATGCTGGTCGCCAACACTGGAGGGAAGAAGATCAGTCATCGTATATGCGGGTGTTCGTACGTCCGTGAGTTGATCGCTGGGGTTCTCTTACGCTGGCATAATATGGCGATGGGAAGTGTTGTTGTTTGACGTGGAGGGGGACGTGTAAAGCGCGTCTCATCAACACGCGGGCCTCACGCTATCACGTGGTGATAACGGCCTCACACCGATCAATGCTAGGATGCTCATTAACGAAAGAATTGTCGCGCTGAGGCAGCGGTTATTATGTACGTTACAATTACGGATGATTGATTTTATGGCCAGCCATTATAATAAATTATTCAATTCATGAATAAATCAGCCGCTTGCTCAGTTACAAAAGGTTGTGTATGAAGCCATGTCGTTTCTCATACTTGCAAAGCAATGTGCTCAGGGTCCTCGGCGGGGTTGAGACTGAATCATTGAACAACCAAGCTGGCACTTGGCGTAAGTCCTAGTTCCTTCAATGTCTCTCCAAAGAACTCGGCATTGTAAACCTTCCGGGGGAAGTTCTGAGTGAAGCTCTGAACCTCAATGCCGTCCTCCGATTTCAAAGCTGCAGCGACCTCGAACAGAGTCGTGGTGACAGGAAGGGTCTTCATAATGTTTCCGGCAGGAGTCTGGAAGCGCAGACGAGTCTCGGTGTAAGCAGATGCAGGCTTTGAAGTAGTCGGACCGGACGCTGTAGGCACTGGGGCAGCAGCAGGCTGCGGAGGCGGAGCCACGCCTGCACGTTCAGCGCGCTCACGCTCGGCCTTCAATCGTCGTTCCTCCTTGTCCGCCGCGATCTTCGCCCTGATGCGCTTCTTAGCTTCGATTTCCTCCGCCTTCTCTCTCTTGTTTGCAGCTGCGTCTTTCAATGCTTGTTTTCGCTTCAAGTCTTCTTTCGCATCTTGGCTCTCTTTGGTGCTCTTTCTCCGGATTTCCTGGGGAGGTATAGTCAGAAATTGGCTCACACAGATTAATAGCGGGATATGTACTTCATTTCGCTTTTGGTCTGCCTTATCCTGCAGTGTTTGCGCCGACCTTTTCTCTGCCAGTCTTTCCCTCAACTCATCGAGACGCTGCTTCTTCTGCTCCTCTGTTAATGGCGCGATCTCCTCGGTTGACTCGGAAAAGTCCACATGCTCAGACTTGGATGCGTGGAACTCGGCCTGCGCGTGGCTCCGGAACTTCTTGCCACACTCGTTGCAGACCAAGCTACGGGCCTCCTCGCCTGGCTTCAGCGCAGGGCCTTCCTCGTCCTCTGCTTCCTGTGATTGTGCCGCCTTGATCTCCTCTAAGGATTTGTCTTGATTTGTCTCGAGCCATTCCAGAGCACCTTGCACTGCCCAATGTGTTATTTAGGTTAACACAAAGATTTCAGGTGATGATGACTTACGGCCACCGCTCTTGGACACTGCTAGCTCTGCGCGTTCCTTGTCGAAGCCCATCTCAATGAGCTGATCGAGGTCCGACGCCATGATTGATGGCAGGGAAATACAAGGGCGGAAGAGTTACGATCGTGATGAAAGGCTCGGGTAATGAAGCACGGTGCGGTATTATGGAGCCGAACAGATGGTGGACGAGGGTGATAGGAAAGGTAATCGGTGAAGGTGGGAGCAGTTGAGCTTGCGGGTGACGTATCGTGAAGGCGGCGAGCGATAAGTGCGGGCCCACTCCAGTTGGCGATTTGGGGCCCAACTGTCATGTCAACCACCTCACATCTGCACAATTCACGAGATTGTGTCGTCCACATTCGAGTACCCAATATTCGACCGCATTGAACCTGTTCTAGTTCACAAAATTGAAGAACGACATTCTGGTGTATATGCTTCTTGATCTTAAGGTCGATGTCACTGTTGAACTGTAGACTGTAGTCTGTGCAACTGTGCAAGTCGATCAGGCATATATGTAACTGAACGAGTCTGGGAATTGAAGTTTAAGGCAGGTTGTAGCGACGTAATTGTCAAGGTGCTGATCTTCATACTATGTATATCTGGACTGGCCATCAAGGTCCACGGATTGATTGGTGGGTCCGTGCTGTAAATCAAGAAAGGAACAGGTCCACGCATCTTCATCTTGCTAAGCAAGCCAGTGCTTCCACATGGCTCTTCATGAGGATTTCCCCGTCTGAAATATAGGGTTTGCCCGGGATCTTCAGGTTGGTGATTTGATCTGCGTTCGAGGATTTCTTTTGGCAGTGAGATTAAGATGCCTTGTGATGAGCATCTTTTTCATACAAGTGGTGATAGTAAACCCAGTCCCGTGGGATACGATTCTGGCTTGAAGCTAGTCTCCAAGCGAATAATTCCTTATTTTGCATGTACATGGCTATATGACGTTTCTACGGCGAGAGGAAACGAGTGAGCTTCAATCCACTATGTGGAAGACCGGTGCTGATTTTGTGAAAGCTGAATGTTCCACATTTTTCTATTTACAAGGAACAAGCTCTATGTGCTATTTCTTTAGACTGTGCAGGCTCTCCTTTACAGACTCGCATTTTGCGCCCATCTGATTTTTCGGAATCTCGGAGCATACTAGAGCTCGTTACCGACAGCAAAACAAAACAAAAGAAAAAAACAAGAAGAGCAGCAAGAGGAAATGAGCCATGAGTTGGTGTTGGATTTAGATCTGGGAATAGTGGGGGAAAATAACAAGATCTTGTTGACGCTGCCTACTATCCTCGTGTTTGTGATATCATGGCGTTGTCTTCGTTTACGTTTGAAGATCATAGATCAGGAAAACGAGACCTTAATTCTTATCATCAATTGCTTTTCCTAACTGAGTATATATAAATTCACAATTCAGGCTACTTTAACTCATTTTTGTTCCATGTAATGGCAGATTTTGCCAATCGCCTTGAGGTAGGTATGAAAGAGTGGATATCGATCCGATAGTTCTGATAGTTTCTACTTTAAATGGCCCAACCCCACCACGTCACATGCACTTACGCCTTCATGACACCCGAGGAATCATGAACAATCCATTGGTGGCTCCCGCCGAGGCACCATGTCACACTTGTCAAAGGTTCTCTAGCAATTTAATTTCCTACATCTCAACATCTAGAACCCTGCTGCATACATGTTGATGTCATCGCCCATCACCTGATCCATTAGTCAGCGCATCCCGAATTAGACAATCGTCAACTCCTGAGGGCCCCGGCTCCCTGTCTTGATAACCTCCCCACGCCGTTTTCCGATCCAAGCGCACCCTTTTTGTGGGATTCCAAGCTGCCGCCCCCTTCAAAATCTCACATACTCTGCGCTGCTCACTGCCAAGCCACCATGTCCGTTGAAATCGATCCCCAGGAGCTTTCCTTCAAGCGTGAGTTCCCCAGCCGCTCGAGTCCGCAGATCGGAGGACATTCAGACTGATCGCAGTGTTTGTAATTGTTGTAAACAGGTCCTTTTAACCAGGAAGTATGCCAGGTCCTGCGTCTGGGCAATACCACTGCCGAGCCTTTGGTCTTCAAGGTATGCGCGCCTTCATCCCCTCGGGCATTGTTAGGCATGGACTCAGCTAACTGGTCTCTTTTGTGTGCGCTAGGTCAAGACTACCGCCCCCAAGCAGTATGTGTCTACTATCGTCGGCTGCGACTCTCGGCTTTTCGTCTATATATTCGAGATCTGACCCTTATCTAGCTATTGTGTGCGCCCCAACTCCGGCCGTGTGGAGCCAGGCAAACAGGTCGATGTTCAAGGTTCGAATCTTCTCTGCGGCCTCGATATAATGAACTCGAACTAATTTGCCCGAATTAGTTCTTCTGCAAGCTATGAAGGAGGAGCCGGCTGCCGATGCCAAGTGCAAGGACAAGTTCTTGGTTCAGTCTGTCGCAGTCACCAAGGACATGGAGTTCGCGAATGTGACGTCGATTGTTCGTTTTGCAAATCTCTCGAACCCCGGTACTCTTACTGACATTTCCGTTACAGTTTGAAAAGGCTTCCAAGTCCGCCGTGGTGGAGCGCAAGATTCGCGTCCTATGGCTGGCCCCAGACTCGGATGTGAAGCACGAGGTATGCCTTGAACTGCTCCTCTGCTTAAGCGCATAAACTAACCGCTACAATTAGCACGTCGACGACGAGCCTCCGTCCTATCCTTCTCCTGCGGCAAACTTTGAAACACCTGCCCCCAAGAAGACATCTGCCGACCAAGGATCTCCCATTCCTGCCCCCGAATTCTCCGAAAAGCCCAAGTCCGAATCTCCGCCTGTCGATAATGCTTTTACCAATACTAAGGCCGCTGCTGTTAACTCCCTTCCCTCGAGCGAGGACTTGAAGGCCCAGCTGTCCGATGCGAATGCGCAAATCCAAAGACTGAAGGACCGACTCGCAGACCAGGGCTTGCGGCAGCGGAAGAGTGGCGGCGAGAAAGCCGCCCCGGCAGCAATGCAACAGACACACACACAGGGCGCGACTGGTGTGCCACTGCAGGTCGTGGCTGCATTGTGCCTGATCAGTTTCTTGATTGCCTATTTCTTCTTCTAGGCTTGCTCTGTCGTGCTTACGCCTATCACGACTCGATGTCCCAATTCTCCCGAGTTCCTCTCTTCCACCCTTTTTCTTTCTTATTGACTTTTTGGAGTGTCTCTTGAAGAGCCAGCTTCTTTGATTCTAGCATCAGCATTTTTCTTGTGTCAACTTCGCTTCTCTATCCCCCTCGAGTTTCATATTTCTTTTATTCCACACCCTGTCTTGATTATCGGTTCCGGATTGAGAATCCCCCGTGTCTCCCGTTCTTTTCCCTCCTCTTTGCTTCCTTATCTTTCCTGTCTTGTCTAATATCACGTTATGATGAACGGACTGAGCGTCTGACTCTTCGCCTTTGTGAAATAAACCTTGGCTCGATCTGCAAGATAGAATTCATGTTCTTGCAATTAAGCTTATTCTCCGGCAGATGTTATTTCTAGATTATGGATATGCAAGTAGATTTCAAATAGATTGGTTAAGAATACATGTGGACAAGAGTTCTAGGCCTAAATCTAGACTACATTTGATGTTGATCTGGAACCTGCACATGAACAAATCATATGGAATTTCTAAAAATAAATCCTGGACAATTGCAATTGACCAATGCCGTGCATGATATTTACTCCGAGTAATCAAAAACACCGATCCCATGAACTATACGAACATAAGAAAAGCCTAAAATCTAACACTGAATCTCACTCTCCTTCCACCCATCACCTTCTTCGCCGTCCGGACCCGCAGACGCAGCAGAAATCCCCTCACCCCCACGTCCAGTGCCAGTCTTCTTCTCTCCGCCACCGCCAACAACACGGCCTCCCTGAGCACGCTTAACCCGGCACCAAAGACCAACATTCTCATCAAGAATGAACGTCCAAATAACCCAAACCCAGCTCCGATGACAAGGCAAAGGATCATAGAACTCCGATGCAATCTCCTTCAACTTATACAACCTCGTCCAAGGGATAGCCGGGAAATCATGGTGCTCATTATGCAATCCCACGTTATACGTAAGGATATTGAGCGGACCGTAGTACGAGTACGTCTCCGGAGGAGCAAGTTCATCCAACGGGTGAGGACTCTTGGTCTTCGTAGCCGGCTTAGTCTTTAACTCGGCCAGTGACTCTGTGCCGCCCGTCTTGACTTGTGAGAAGAAGTAGTGCTCGGCGATGAAGTGGCCTGCGCACGGGTGGAGTGATCCGGCTAGGAAGGCCGAGGCTAAGAAGTAGAAGACTGGTGTCCAGGAACCGCTGATCTGGGCCAGACAGTAGTCGAAGGAGAGCTGGATGACAAGGTTTATGAGGTGGATGTAGGTGAAGGGCGGACTGTAGATGAACATCGGGCGGACGGCGTAGAAGAGGATCTGGAAAGTGCAGAAGAAAGTCTTGCCTAGGACTGAGTTGAGGACGAAGGCTTCGAATGCAGTTGGAAGGTCTGTGTCGAGACCTGTTACGCCGAGAGATTTGTGGTGGGTTAGGTGGTAGGGCTGTCATGGAAGTTAGTTAATTGACTCTTTGGTTGTTTATTGCTGGCTATGCCGAGCAATTGGTCATGGGCAGGGACATACCCTGAATGCCGCACTGTAGGGCAATCCGATAGGGAGGTTCGCGAAGATGGCAAGCATGCGGTTGGCCATTGGGGACCGGAAAGCCAGGTTATGGGAGATCTCATGAATGGCGAGGAACAGGTTCTGGTTTGACGTGGCTCCGATCACGTAGGCTGTAGCCAGGAACTTCCAGTCAAGCATGGATGTATTCCGGAGGAGGTATGCGCAGGTGAGTTGTAGGGAGACGACGCCGAGGACGACATATTTTGTAAGAGGCTCAGGACCACAGAGCTTGGTAACCTAGTTAATGAAAGAGGTTAGCAAGTAATTCCAGGTAGTTCAGTGGCGTGCCCTGGCGGACAATGTAGCTTCGACTTCAACCGTGGCCCGGATTCCCGAATCCAGGAACCAGCGAACCAGCGGTCCTGCACCACAACACGAAATGGACGGTTCACATACCTCCGGATGGGCTTTGATAATTGCCTGTCGTCTTGACCGGTGAGGTTCTTCAGTGTAGGTCCAGAAGAACTTGTCCTCTACGGTGGAGTCGACCGGTGGTGGAATTCGTGGGGAGGCGGTCTGGCCTGCGGGTTGTGACTTCTTCGCCGACACCCGGAGGTGAGGCGTGGTTTCAACGACAGACATGTTGAAAAGTGTGTGAGTCGAGAAGTGTCGACATGGAAAGAAATGCGGATTAAAAAAGGCGGAAGTGGCTCGATTCCACGTGGGGCGACACGGGAGACCTGGATGGTCCATTACTTGATGAGGCTTGGCATGATATGATCTACAATGCATATTATTTGCTGAAGTCTTTTACATTGCTGTACTTCATTTACTATTTTGGGATTGCTTATAACATAACTTAGCAAATCAGTAGTCATCGCCACGGCTAATGACCTCCTTGACGTTCGGCCGGAGAAGGATAGTCTGTGATGGAGTCAGTTAAAGGTCAAATAATCCAGGTGTTGATAGAGAACTCACATGTTCAAATTGGGCGGTGTAGGAACCCTTGATATCGCAGAGAGGTGGGTAATCCTGCACAATTCCGGCCGAGACCAGGTTGTTCAACTAGAAATTTGTTAGCTTGACAGTATACTTCAATTGACAGTGAAAGACATACCCCGAGGAGATATTTATCCTGGCCTAATCGGTCCAAATAACGACGGCAGAAGGGCAGGGTGCCAAAGTTCTTGTTGATGACATTCAAGAGGTTCTTGGCCGACGAGAGACGGAGAGGAACGTTAGGGGCATCGGCTGCGAGAGCGTAGTGGGAGCATTCCATCTAGTGAAGTCAGTACTTGATGCAACTCAGGTCAACAGTAGTGATGAAAATACCTCTTCGCGGACGTAACCCTTTCCGGTACTGCCGAAAGTCTCAATGGCAAATGTCTCACCCTCCTCCATCTTAGTCTGGTCGGTACCCTTAACAATAGGCACGCTCTTGCCTCCGTGGATGACGTGCTGCTCAATGTTGTGGCCGTTCAGGTTGCGAATACACTTGACCGGGTACATGGTACCATTGAGCTCAACTTCGTAGCTTTCCATGGCTTCCTGAATGGCAGCACCAATGTCACTCATGCGGACATCAATACCAGCTTCCTATAAAACGAGTCAGTTTCGATCAGATGACTTTCTATGTGGACGAACGAACCCGAATACCAGTGTTGGTGGCGTCCTTGACAGCCTCCAAAAGTGGGTCATATACAGGGTCAAAGGTCATGGTGAAGGCACTGTCCACAATGCGACCATTGAGATGAGCGCCAAAATCAACCTTCATGACATCGCCCTGCTGGAGGACCATCTTGTTGCCCGCGTTGGGGGTATAGTGGGCAGCACAGTGGTTAATGCTCAAACCGCAAGGGAAACCCATACCACCCTTAAGGTTGTCACCTTCCTCGAGACCTGAATGACCGGTCAAGGCGCGAACAGAGTCTTCAATACCCTCCGCGATCTCTGTCAAGGTCTGGCCAGGTCTGATGTTCTTCTGCGCATATTGGCGAACTTGACGGTGAATCTCGGCACCTTGGCGGTACTCCTGGAGGAAGTCGTTGTTCATGCGATCGAGGTAGCGCTTCTCTTCGTTGGTGGTGCGGTAGGCATTGTCGTTCAGGTATTCGACAATCTCACCCTCGGGGAATTGGCCGTTGGGGAAGAGGTTTGCAACAGGTACACGGGGCGGCTCACTCTGGACCTTGGCACCGCCCTTCTTCTTCTTCTTGGACTTGCGCTTCTTCTTCTTTTTGGCGGCTGTACAGTGCATAGTCAGTAATGGTCATTTCCCAGCCATTGTCAAAGGCGGGCTATGAGACTAAGGAGCCATTTTTAAAATAATAGCACAGAGAAAACTAACCTCCAGCAGCTCCAGCCTCTGGGGCGCCTTCTTCTTGGTCGTCGTCAGAGTCGTCCTCCGCTTCGGCGGCTTGGCCGGCTGCGGGGGTATCGGCCGGGGTGCCGTTCTGGCCGTCCACTAAACTCTCGTTAGTTTCGAGGCTTCGGATTTGGCAAAAACCAAAACTTACGGGCCAGATCTTGCAGCTTTTCAGTCGCCTGAGCCGCCATGGTGATGTATAGAGAGGTGTGGTAGAGTGGAGGAAGAGAGGGGAACAAATTCGGAATTCGGGGAAGAATTTGCTACGATAAGATACGCTTGTATAAGAAGTGGCGGGTTTCCAAACAATGAAAATTCATTGGAGAACACGTTCCACGAAAGATTTAGTTCCCTTTCGCTCCGTTTAATTAAATGATCTGCCTTTTGATAAATGTAATACTTCGTCTATTCGCTCCCTCTCGTTGTAAACGGGTTTTCAAGTGCTCGTGTGCGCAAACCCACGTTGAACATCTAATCCGGTAGATGTTATAGATCGGATTTTCCAGGAACATCCACTTTGACTCGGTATTTGTAGATTGATTGCCTTTTTGTATTATTTTCTCATCATTAAAACATTGTACAACTATAATTGTCTGGGTTTGCGACAGGCAAGAGGGCTGCAATGTAGAATACTCATAATAGTAAATTATCACCGCACAGGTTCAGCTCCCCTTTCCTCCAACGCAGAAGTAGCTGCTAAATATAAGTCGCTTGTGAGATTAATTATCTAGGTGCCTATGTATCTCTAGGAGGTTAATCACTGCGTTACGGCGATTCTATCTTGCCAAAGATAGTGGTGTTTCGCGCTCGCTGTTCGTAGTGTTTGGGTTAACTCCACCTGTGGCGAGCAGTATCTTAACCGCTGTTTCATACAGAGTCGTGCTGCTCCTAAAATCAGCCATAGCCTATGCTATTGATAGCCTAAAATGACACCTGCTGTGATCAGAAGTTTGACCACCGACTTATCGCCTGACTCTGCTGCTAAACATGGCTGTGTGCCCTCGGAATGAGCGAAATTCAAATTCACCATTCGCACAGAGAAGAAGATTCACAAATACTTCATTACCGTTCCATGCCGCATATAAAAATGGTGTGTATCCCCGACAACCAAAGTTGACGTCGAGTCTACTGGTTAGAAGTAGTTGCCTGACCACCGCTTCGTATTCCCATTTTGCCGCACAAAGCAGTGGCTTTTCACCATCAGAGCTTCCTCATTTAGGTCAGCAGTGTCAAAATAAGCGAGACATACTTGAAGACTGCATCGTTACCATTTCCACCGCCAAACACAACGGCGTTTGAAGAGTAGTAGCCAAACTCGGATCCTGCTTGCAGTGATTTTCGAGCTGTATTCTCATTTCCGTGATCAGCCGCCCAAATTATTGCCAATGGTTGATAAGATGCGACATCGCGAATATAGGGAAAGGGGGTCAAGCAATTTGCAAAGGTCTGTGTTAGTTTGAATTAGAGCATTGAGATCACCGACTGACCTCAGGTTCCCGGCAAGCATCAGTATCAGTTCGTTTGATAGATGATATAGTGGCTCGTTCAATTGGCTTGGCTTTCAAAATGCTGTCCATGGGAGGGATAAGGGAGAAGAGGTAGAAAGCTGGAGGGGAGAGGGATAGACAACAGAGCTCCCAGCTTGGCTTCGCATAGCATAAATTCGATACCATAGCCTACACAACCTTTTGGCCTCTCCACCTTGGAAGGTACAAGGAAAACAAGCGTATAGCTAGTTGCTCAAATTCGGGTCGTACCGTATCAAGACTCTGCCTTGACAAGATAAAGATCACTTTGGAGCAAATAAAAAGCACTGTGAATCCGCTTCATCATCATGAGCCTTTGAGACAGTATATTACCTAGCAGAGTGTGCCGGCGATATGGCATCTCTCTAGTGATGCTCAGAGGTAGTGAAGCTAGGATCTTTCCGTACGTGAGGGGCTGGACAAGTGGGGGGAGGGGAACACGATGTCTATAGCGAAATGGACTGTTATCTAATCTGATCATCAGCTCACGAGTAACAGCTGCAAAGAAGTTCCCTAGTATACATGCTCTTTTCAATTAAACAGAATGATTAATAGAGAGAAGCAGTGAGGTGATTCCGGATTATTCCAGATTAATAGATATGCTTCCCTCATGATTTCGAAATGAACCCATGTAACAAACGTGCCGATGGTGCTCGGGATCAACCCTTGTCCCCGATGACGCCACCCGGCTTTCTCACCTCAACCTTCTTCCTCTCCACCTAACCTCTCCCAACTCCCCCGCGCTATTTTCCCTACCTTTGATGTAACCAACACCAACATCTCACATTAGCAGCAATGCCTCCCCCTCGATCAACAATCCTCCTTTTATCAACCCCCCACCCAAGCCGCGCATCTCCTCATCTCCGCACGCGCCATAGCAGCTCCGTATTCACGCACACGACCAAGCGCCCACAACCACAAAACCCCCACAAACTTCCACAAAGCAGAATAATCTTCCGCTTCTTCATCTCAACATCACCAACATACGCCCAAGAACAAAACCACTACGAAACCCTCGGCCTCCCAATAAGTGCCTCGGCAGCCGAGATCAAAAAGTAACCACCCTTCCAAACCAAGCTCAAACAACCACTAACGACCCTAGGAAATTCTACGCTCTATCCCTCAAACACCATCCGGACCGTAACCGCAAAGACCCAGAAGCAGGCCAACGCTTCGCCCGAATCTCAGCAGCCTACAACATCCTAGGCCACGCCTCCAAACGCGCAATCTACGACCGCGATAACGGCTTCCACGCACAACAGCATGGACATGGACATGGACATGGCGTGCCCCATGGAAGCCACAGCAGTCATACCTCACACCCAAACAAAGGCGGAAGTTATGCCGGCTCAAGACCCGCTAGCGGTCTAAGTAAACGACGTGGAACATTCCATGGTCCACCGCCTAGTTTCTACCAGCAGGGTGGTTATGGAGCTACGGGGCGAACGGGGAGCGAGGGGGCCTATACAGGTGGATCTGGGGATGAATTTGGGGGGAGGAAGAAGGAGGATGATCCTGAGGATCCGATGGGGTTTATTTATAGGAATCCTTTGGGTCATTTCAATGCGCGGGCGCATTTTAAGACGCAGAGTGCTGAGGATAAAAGGCGGGTTGAGCGGAGGAGGAAGGCCAGACAACAGGCTTTTAAGGAACATGGTGCTGTCATGGCTAGTGGGAACTTTCAGGCGAGTGAGTTCTTTATTGTTTGTGGGATCTTTGGGGTTTTGATTGCTATTGGGGGGTTCTTTTCGAATCCTTTGCCTATTCCGCCTACTTCTGCGCCTAGTGATGGGACGCGAAGGAAGGAGGGGAGAGGGTCTTGATTGGAAATGGATACTGGTATACACTGGTTGTATGATGTAGATGCATTCTCAAGTCCTCTTTATATCTATTGTCTCGAGAGAAGATCAAAAATCCATCAAACAAAAGGAATTTAAATTTGATATACAAAGTGTGAACAGAAAACAACTATTGCACACAGATTATCTGGAGGAAAAAGCCAACAGTTCATAGACCTTTGTTTCTCCACCACATAGCCTTTTGGGAAACATGATCAACAGAAACAAAGAATTACAAACTGGCCTGATAGCATGATACTCTCAGGTTAGGTTAGGGGTAGAACACTTAAGCCTCGAAAGTGAAGCTGGCGCCAACCTTGTGGGCAGCCTGGTTCAGGTTCTGGGTATCGAAAGAGGCACCGAGACCGAGGGTGACACCGGGGCGGAGCAGGACGTTGTAAGCCAGAGCGGCAACACCACGGTCGTTGATCTTGGCCTGTAACAGAAAGAAGTGGTAAGTTTGACATTGCACGGTTAAAATCAGAACCGGGAATATAACGTACCTTGGCGAAGGAAGAGGGGTCCAGGCGGTACTTGCTGGCAACCTCAAGGCCGACAGCGTTGCCGGAGTTGGAGTCCCAGGAAGCCTTGGCACCGGCCTCGACCTGAGCGTTGACGCGGTGGTAGTAGCTGGCGGAGAAGAGGGACAGGTTGTTGCTGGCAGTGATAGCAGCGGAGTACTGGGGAACGCTGTAACCGACGGCAGCGGAGTACTTGGTGATGGCAGCCTTGTTGACGTCGTAGCCACCCTCAGCACCGACGAGGAAGCCCTCGTGGCCGAGAACGGCGTCGAGGTTGGCAGTGGGGCCGTTCAGCAGGTCGAAGAAGGCACGGGCGTGCAGGTTGGGCTGCTTGAAGTACAGGTTGAGCTTGGCACCCTTGGACTGCTTAGCGGGCTGGTACTGGGTCAGGATCTCAGCCTTGAGGCCCTTGGCGATGTTGTTGTCCAGCTCGAGCTTGGTGTCGAGGGCGTTGGCGGTGGTCCAAGCCTGGGTGAGGGTGAGGCCTGGGCAGGGACGAATCATTAGCTTGATTGTGTGCTTGGCAGTGTTTGTTAAAATAAAAAAGAACACCCGGCGTGACGCGAGATTGCCCGATGAAGATATGTAAAACGTCATGGGCCGACCTTCGCGCACGCCGGAATCAGGTGGTTTGCGACGAGTGGGGGCTTTACCAGTAGGCGCATCGACATACTTGGCCTCAAGCTATAATGGAATCTGATGTTAGCAAGCTGTTGCTGCTTTTTGCAATAATTGGACCTTCTCCGCGGATAAGAAAAGGCCGGAAAAAACCTACCTGGCCAGCGATGGAACCCTCGTGGGCGGACTTGCCCTTAACGGTGAAGGTGACACCGTTGGGGGCCTTGGACTTAACCTCAAGGTTGGCTAGAAGCTTGTTAGTGGACGTTTTGTGGATGAAAAGGACCAGACGAACCCGGGCTGGCGTGGTAGAAGTCCTTGTTCAGGAGCTATTGGAGGTGGTATCAGCTATCCATTCTTTGCGGGAGGGAATATTTCAGTTCCATAAAGCATCGTACATCATTGGCCGCCTTGGCGATGTCAGAGAAAGCAGCGGGAGCAGACATGATGAATATGTGTGACGAGAGAAGTTACTCGGGGGATGAAGAAGAGGAAAGGGAGTTTGGCGGGTTGTGATGTGTTGGGAGAAGGGGCACCCGCTGAGCGTCCCGTGATTGATTGGTTGGTGCTCGGTTGCCGGGCGAATCCGCCGTGCTAGTGATTATGTAATAGCAGAGCTCCGATCATTGCACTTTACTCGATTTACGGGGGAAACGTAGGCCCTGAGGGTATATACATCCATTTCTATTTGGAATATCTAAATAGAGTCGTGGTTCGAAATCTTCACTTTTTATAAAAGAAAAAACTACTTTACGCAACGTGCGTGTACTTCTGGTTGTGGGTGCCAATTGCCCTATAGAGCGGATTAGTATTCAACCAGATCACATCATTTCTCCATGATTTCGACTTACCGGCCGGAGGGGTCAGTCTGCTTCGACCAGGTAGGGGTCCACCGCTCAACGGTACCCGCACAGTAGGGTGGGAACTGCTCATCGAACATGGTGCGGTACCAGTAACTATGAAAAAAATCATGTCAGTTGATTTTAATTTTGTGAGAACATGCGGGGCAACATACGCCTCCTTAGTGTCGGGAATGTCGGTACCCCACTCGGGCTTGGGGTTCTTCATCATCTCGTCGGTGACCATCAGCTCGGCAGTGTCCTTCAGGCCGTCAATCCACCCGTATCCAACACCGTCAGAGAACTGCTCCTTCTGGCGCCACAGAATCTTATCGGGAAGGTAGGGAGTGTTATCGGGCTCGTCGGTGGTATCAAAGGCCTTGCGCAGGATGTACTTCTCAATGTGGCCCGGGGTGATCATCTTGTCCTTGGGGTCCACAGCCATGCAGGTCTCCAGGAACTCCTTGTCAAGGAAGGGCACACGGGCCTCAAGACCCCAGGCAGAGGTGGACTTGTTAGCACGCAGGCAGTCAGCCAAGTGCAGGTTCTTCACACGGCGAACAGTCTCCTTGTGGAACTCCTCACGGTTAGGAGCAGCGTGGAAGTAGAGGTAACCACCGAAGATCTCGTCACTACCCTCACCACTCAGAACCATCTTGACGCCCATAGCCTTGATCTTGCGGGACAGCAAGTACATGGGGGTAGAGGCACGGATGGTGGTCACATCGTAGGTCTCGAGGTGGTAGATAACATCAGCAAGGGCGTTCAGGCCATCCTCAATGGTGAAAGTGAAGGCGTGGTGCTTGGTGCCGAGGAACTTGGCGACCTCCAGGGCGGCCTCGGTATCGGGAGCACCGGGCAAACCAATAGAGAAGGAGTGCAATTGCTGGAAAGTGGTGACAGTGGACAAATCGTTCTCGTCGTCAATACCGACCAGATCCGAAGATGCAGCCTCGGACTTGGCGGCAGCGCGGGCAGCCTCCTGCATGCGGAGAGTCTCACGCTGGGCAATGGCGGCAACCAGACTGGAGTCAAGACCACCGGACAGCAGGACACCGTAAGGGACCTCGGCCATCAGACGCTTGCGAACAGACTTCTCCAGAGTGTGGCGGATAGCCATCAGGTCAACGGGGGTGGAGGGGACGTTGGTGGGGTCCCACCACTTGGGCTCGAAGTAGCGAGTCATCTTATCGGTGCTGGAGTCATAGACATGACCGGGAGGGAAAGCGATGATGTCGTCGCAAACCGGGTGCAGACACTTAAGCTCGGAGGCGAAGTAGACAGCACCGGGGGTGGAGGAAGAGCGGCCGAGGTAGAAGCTGGTGATACCGATGGGGTCACGGGCAGCAATGACACGGTCAAGCTTCTTGTCCCAGAGAACCCAGGAGAACATGCCGTCGAGGTGCTTGGGGGCATCGAGACCGTGCTCCATATACTGAAGGTAGGGTTATCAGACATGATTCTTGCGTAACTAACGAGCTCCATAGTCACATACCAAGGGAATGATGACCTCACAGTCGGAGTGAGTCTTGAAGTTGTACTTGGTCTTCAGGGCTTTGCGCAGAATGCGGTGGTTGTAAATCTCACCGTTGACGGCGAGGGCAAGGGTCTCATCGTCGTTGACAAGGGGCTGAGCACCGGAGTCTGGGAGGAACATGAGAAAATGCATTGCGAGAAACAAGCTTGTCTTGATCTGAAAAAGATTGTGACATACCGACACCGACAATACTCAAACGTTCGTGAGCGAGGACTAGACGACAAGATTAGCGCCAACATTCATACCACCACGACAACTCGTTCAACGTGGATCGACTCACTGGTGCTCTGAGAGCAGAAGTTTCCGCCTGTCAAATAATATCCAGTCAATATCCTAAATCCCAATACGTATAATCGAGCTCCAATCCATCCGGTGACTCACTCCAATCGGGACCACGGTGGCGCACACTGAGGATTCGCGATTAGTGACAGGCCCTCAATTGAGCAACAAATGCAGAGAATGATAGAGTAACTTACGCCTTGGCCATGCGCAAGGCCTGCGGCTTGAACTTTTGCACATCGGGGTGGCTGTTGAGACTCAAGTTAGCAATGACTCAACCCACCATCGCGTGCCGGGGATCAAAAGACATAGTGGGGGTTAGGAAAGTGGGATGGGATTTAGAGTGATAACGCACTGGTGACACGCGAAGATTCCACACATGACGGGCAGATGATACTCTTGATGAGTGGAAGATCAATTGGAGTCAATGGGAGGAAGGAAGGAGAGATTGACTAATCCCGAAGTCTGGGGGAGATTGACCCGGTCAAGGCGATTTTTTTTCGTTTCCGGCGAGGGGCGATGTCGGCCAGGCTTTGAGTCACCGATAAGATAGTACCAGCCACTGACACCTGCGCCATTACTTGGCAGTTTTTTTTTCTCTTGTCTATAGTGTTTACTACAATATGATCTATAAATTAAGATTCTTTTTCAAATACCATAGGTTGATTCTGGCGTTGCTGCGCAAGGAATTCCTTTCTTCGCGGGGACTTCCGACTATTACCCACCCCGGTGAGTGTGCGCCATGAATAACAAGTATGACTGAATTTAGGATGAATAATGAGTAGATGGATTTAAGATGAAAGATCTTTGATATTCAATATAGATTCTTGCACTTCAAAGGAACATTTCCCGCATACAAATCACAGTTTCCATGCCATCATGTACTGCCAAAGCATCTATGCGTCCATGCATGATGAATGCCATACAAGCAGCTTACCTAATCCCATCGGCGGGGCGATTGGAGATCGCATCGTCGAGCTGCACGGCGCAAATAGCTTTATTTAACTCGCCACCTTTCTGCTTCTCTTCCGCTCTTGTTTCTTCTTGACCAGTCTATATTCCCAGATTCCACTGTCCTTGCTCTTATTCACCACTCCACCTCGCCGTTCATCCGCGCTAAACAAAATGTCGCTTTGCCAGAATCGTCTCCAAGAAGAGCGGTATGTGACATTCTCAGGCTTTCCCAGCGCAATACAACGTGAGCCCTATGTGTATGCTGACAAATTTTGCGATCCTCTAGCAAACAATGGCGCCGTGACCACCCCTTTGGGTTCGTCGCTAAGCCCCAGCGGACTGCGCAGGGAACGTTGGACCTTAAGCGCTGGGAATGCGCCGTACCCGGAAAGAAAGATACCCTCTGGGAAGGCGGAGTTTACAAGTTGGATGTGATCTTTCCTGATGGTGAGCTACTTTGCGCATCCCTTTTTGGTCCGTATACTGATTTTGACCTTTTCCGTTGCGACTAGAGTATCCTACCAAGCCTCCCAAGTGTACGTATTGCCACTCATATGATGACCCATTATGAAACCGCAAAGCTTCCCAGAATCCGATTAACCAAGTTCATGTACAGGCAAATTCACTCCGCCACTTTTCCACCCGAACGTCTACCCTTCCGGTACAGTCTGCCTTTCCATCCTGAATGAGGAAGAAGCCTGGCGTCCCGCTATCACAATCCGCCAGATCCTGCTGGGTATTCAGGATTTGCTGAATGATCCCAACCCCGAATCGCCCGCTCAGGCGGATGCCTACAACCTGTTTAAGAAGGACCGCCCTGCATACGAACGACGAGTCCGCCAGGTGGTGAAAGAGAACCCGCCGATGTAGGGGATTGTGGGAGTTGCGCATAGCGACCAACGGCGCTTTTTATTTGCGGTTACATTTGATTTGTCTTTTCTACAGCAATACGTCTAGATATTCTAATATCTGGCTTGCATTACATTCTTACCTCGGCGCAGGGAGCATTTTGCTTTTCTCAGCGACCGATCACCAGCGTGGCGTTTCTTGAGCAAATGGATGGCGTTTGCAGATCATTTGGAGTGTTTGGTCCCATTGTAAACAGATTGTAGGGTAGTGTGTAACCTAGTATGAGGTGCCCCATGGGTTCGGTCTTGCAAGGTACAATCGGGTTTGTGCTACGTTGTACATGTACGATCCCGAGTCCTTGTTCATTTCGAGTCCTTATGCTTTCAACCATGAGACACACAAAGAGCCTCTGTGTATAAAAGCGCATTCAACTACATGAAAGTCGACCCTGGCCTACCCCGCTCATGGACAACAGAGCCGCAGTATGGATCTCCCAACCAAAATAGTTCTCAAACACCGCCTACCCAACTCAAAGAAATTCCCTGCGATCAATCCATTATTCAGGACCATAGATAGCTAGCCGGAAATAAACTACTGTTTCCAAAGTCACAAAGCGTAAAATAAGCATCAAGTCTTTGACCTCGTCCACGAATCACACCTATAAAGACACCCAAACCCACCACAAACAGAAAACCAAGACTCCAAACACTCATCACACAAATCTACAAGAACAACCCTCATAACTCTTCCTTCATCCCCAAATCACTAATTCAGTCCCCAAAATGTGTCACGCTATAGTATGGTACCACGCCGTATGCCAACACAAAGATGAATCTCAAACCTTCACAATCCCCTGCTACTACGCCACAGCAACAGGATATAATTGTCTACCGCATTATCAGCTGGTCTTTGAACTACCCCTTTCAGGCGAATGTTGCACTTGCAAAGGCGAACGGAGGTGGCAGCAGCGGATACAACGAAAACATGCAGATAACCTGCCCGTAGTTGCAGACGTGGATGACATTGGAGAGTTTGATGTTGATGAAATTATAAAGACTGACATTGAAAGAGGTTTGGTGCCGAGCAGTCAATTGGCAAATGATGGGTATATGCATCTGTGGATTGGGGGTACTGATTCACTTGCTACAGGGTCTCAGGTGGATCATTCTGATTTGGATGGTGGGCTAGGGGGTAGTTGGTATGACTCCGATGGTGATGATGTTGACGATGAAGACGAAGTTGATCTAGAAGAACTCAAAGATCTTCTATTTTCGTCACCTTGTTCAGAGATGGAGTTTGGACGGGAGGGGTATGAGTCGGATGCAGGAGGTGATTTCCCCGATTCGCCTATACTAGGCTATTCCGGATCTTGGGATGTTGTGTTGCAGCGGAATCAAAGTAGGATGCCGAAGTCTAAGATTCCTGTTCCGGTGAGTCGGGATAAGCTGCTACAGCGTGTTTGGATGGCGCATGAGTTGGAGTTGTTTGATCAACTCACTTTCTGATTTTCTTTGTTATTATCATAGCATTGCTTTATTTATAAATGCATAGTGAATGCATTCGTTAGCGTTTATGTCTGCGGTACGTCTTGAAACTGGGGTCCCCATCTATACTCTTCAGTTGTTTCTCAAGGCCGGGGAATCCTCTAATTGAACACCACGAACTTAGTTCAACATCCTCACTTAGCGCATTCAAAGAAACACAGTAAATGTCATTCAAACGAATTATATCGCCGTTATTAAGCGACATCCCCATCACCTCGACTCTAATTATAGTGAACACGGGATACATAAAAGCTTCTTTCGAGCCGAGATGAAGATCAGAAAGAGCGGTGGTTCAGTGGGCATCACTCTTCAATAATCTTCGCAGCCTAGAACAGCCTATTATGAACTGTAGAACCGCGCTTAATTAATATCACCGCTACATCGGTGCTCAGCTGGGGGTCAATGACCTCAGGAGACTAGGATTATGACCCGGGGATGTGACCACCTAGGAATCACAATAGCTATATTAGCACACGTAATACTTTCTTCAATCAATCAGCTATGGCTAGGATCTTTTCTTTGACACCTGAGATATCACTTCCTGCTTGCAGGGTCATAGGTATATTAATCCACATAGATCCCCTCCTCAAATTTCTCTGTGTTGAAGAATCGGGCTGTGATCGCGTTGCCGTTGAAGATCCGTTCTTCGAGAGCGTTTACCGCCTATATATAACCCTCTGGTGAGTAAAGGGTATTTAAACCAAGTCTAAAGGATTGAACTTACCCGCAGAGCAGATAAAGGACTGGTAAATTTGACAAACACGGGAATTGGCGTGCCTGCATCACGAGCAATGTACACCCGTTCCACACTCCCATACTAAAAGCAATCAGTATCAGGATAGAGGTAGAAAATAACAGCAACGTACCTTTTCGTTGCACTCTTCACCAATCTCTTGCATCAACTCTCCACTTTCCAGCTCGGCTTCAAGATCCATGCCATCTAGCATTCCCCGGAGAATGATCACTTCGCTCATAGGTCCAAACTTGCCAGTATCCTCCCCGCCCTTCTTCTTGCCACCGATGATCGTGCCCCGTCCTCCGGGAGTGACAAAGCCCCCCTCCTTCAGCATCGGGCCGCTTCTTACGCTTCTCAACCTTGACCTGCAATGGCTTTGCGATACCTGACCCTGTAGCACCGAGTCCAGATCCCTTGGTCCAGCCATATTTTGAGAGTAGACGTTCTGCAAAGCCCTTTTGACCAGGACGGAGGGAACGTGGCGCATCCTGTGCGTCTTCGGCTTCGGCTTCGCCTTGTGTGTCTGCGGGCTGTTCCTTGGCGAATACTTCCTCCAGCTCTGCTTCGGATGCAGGGATATCTTCTGGAGGAGGAGGGAGAGTGTAGCGGACTGGTGCGCGGGAGATGGTCGCGGAAGTTGGTTGGAAGGCATCGAGGCGAGAAGGAGGCGGCGGGATCTGCCCTGGTGGAGGCTGGTGGGTTTGCTGAAGCCGGCGCATATATGCTTCGTCGCCGGTAGTGTCCGAGGGGAGAGCAGGTGGCTCTTCTGGTGGTGGAGGTGGTATTGATTGAGCATAGTCGGGCATGTCTACATCATTCTCGCGCTGGCTCATGCGTGCACGTTGGGTGAAAGCATCATCGCCGGACAAGTCGGAGCCAGATGGCGGGGGTGGAGGCGCATCATTAAGATTCGGCGGGGGAGCGAAGCTGCTTGGTGGTGCGAATTGACCTACAGATACACAATCAGCTTTGTCATTCTGTGATTTGATATCATGTGTGAAATGGGTCATACGATTCATAGGTCGGTCATAGTCATCGCTGTCCGAGTCCTTGCTCAGCGAGCGTCTCATCCGATGCGCATAAAGTCGGTCTTTCCATTCGCGAACTTCAAGTATCTTCTCGTCGCTATGTCGGTACTCCTCGTAGTTATTTGGTCGTGACGGATCATAGATGTCGTCCCAATTTTGTGGAATCTCGTGCGGCTCATGGTTCTTTTTGCGCTTCTTCCTTCCGCCGCGCTGTCGCTTCTCACCCACGTACCCATAATCGTCATCCTCCGCGGCCCAGTCAGCCAAGGTTGGTTTAACAGGTGCCGCGCCAGAAGTAGAGGGCTGGCCTGCACTAGGCTGCGGTGCCTTGGGTAACGCGGGTTTTGGTTTGGTCTTTTGCGCTGAAAGCTGTGGCCGTTTGGTAGGCTGGAATCGAAGAGAAGCTGTCCAATGGTAACGAAGGTGAGTAACTTTTGTCTTGGTGGAATCATTCAAAGAAGTTCAGGAAGTACCAGCATTCAGTTGCTGCTTCTTTGCAGTGGACTCATCGGATTGCGCGTCATCGCCTTGGTTGAATACGACAGGCGCGCGAGAGATAGTTCCCGGGGCAGAATCAGCGGATGGACCCAACAGATTTGCATAAAGCGACATCATGCCCCCGCCTTTAGCGGGGGTGGTAGAATCTGTAGGCATAGCGACTTGGTAGTACGTAGTTGTGAAGGTGTGGAGCTGGATGAGGTTCGATAAGCGCGTGATTGGCTTGGATCACCTAAGCAAACACTGGGACCAACGAGGTTCACCCTAACTCTTAATGAGATCGCATTCCTTAAATATATATATATGAGAAAAGAAGGGCTTAAAATGGCTCACTATGAAAACAATTTGCAGCTTAGATCGAATACTGGTTGGTATCGAAGATGTTGCCAAAGTGTAAGTGACCGATCCGGACCGCGTATACTGTACTCGCCTAGGGATCTTCCGGGAAATGTCCTAAAATCGTCCAGAATAAATCTTATCCGGGTAACTAATATAATTGGTCTGACCCCTTAGATTCTTTTCCCCTTCAATTCATCCCCACACGCCATGTATACTCTCACCCACGTCCTTCAGCGAACCCCCGCTTCCCCCCACGTTCGGCAGTTATTCCTCCGCGCTCCGTCCAAATCAATTCCGTCCTCGCCCCTCTACAGACCTGCCAATCCTTTCATTTCCAATTCTCTTCAGCTACGCACCATGTCTTCCGCTCCCGCTAAGCACGAGTTCCTCTGTATCCTGCCGGATTTCCCCGGCGCTCAGGAAAAGCGTCTGGCCGTCCGCCCGTGAGCTACCAAGTTACCCCTCGTATGATCCCAAGGGAGAGCTAATGATTTGTTCCAGTGATCACCTGGAGGGCGTCAAGCCCCTGGTTGCTGCTGGTTCCATTGTCGGCGGTGGTAAGTTTCATCAGTCATTGTTTATACCTCAGATTGGGATATGCCCTTCCTTTTGGATGTGGCCGCAAACTACTCAACTGCACAAACTTGAATCTGGAAATAACTTTCGGCTTATTGCTTTTTCCAATAGGTGCCATGCTTGAGTCTCACCCTGCCGAGGGCGAGGTTCCTTCCTTCAAGGGCAGCATGATGCTCGCCGTGGCCGAGAATGAGGCTGCCGTCCGCACTCTTTTGGAGAATGATATCTACGCTCGTTCTGGTGTGTGGGATCTGGAGAAGGCCCAGATTATCCCGGTACGTTGAAACTTTTCTGAGATTTACTTGAGATGTGTAGCTGACTGTCTCCTATAGTTCAAGTCTGCCGTGCGTACGCAGCTGTGATCTGAGTATCATAGATATAAAGTAAACTGCATTACATTCGCATCTTCATAATAAGAGCAAAATTACAGCGTCTTATTCTTGTCACGATTCCGTTATCATATACATTTGACGTAACAGCACCAGGCGGCCTAGTGGTGTCCGAGCATCTAACAAGATACGTTTCAAATAGCTAATAGATAAAAAAGCTATCGAACAAATGCAACATGCAGCATATTCAAATTAAATCATGCTTCTGCCTCTTACCAACACTAGAATCAGCATGCGATGTATTAAGTGGGCATCTCGGCCACTTAATCGCGTCGCTGGCTCACCTCATGGCTCAGCAGTGGGGGTTGTGCAGGGGGAGGGCGGCCATAAAAAAAACTAAAAATTGGCCGGGCACCATCAATTTATTTCTCATTGGTCCGAATATGCGGGGTGAGCCTCATGGCTCAGCAGTGGGGGTTGTGCAGGGGGAGGGCGGCCATAAAAAAAACTAAAAATTGGCCGGGCACCATCAATTTATTTCTCATTGGTCCGAATATGCGGGGTGAGCCTCATGGCTCAGTTTACGCTAGAGCAAAAATTGGAACCAAATAATGGGAAGTGCTGTGTTATGTGCTGCTATGGTTTTGATAGGATTAATCCATATCCCAGACACATTCGAGCCCAGCCCATAAGTCTTTGGTATTCATACAGGCGAGCTGGGTGAAACGATGGAATTAGAAACTGAGAAGAGATCTACGACTCTCATCAAGGGATCAGCTTATCATGCCTGAGGTGAATGGACTGACAATGATACCAGAGATGGGGATGCAATGCTCCTTGGTCTTGCCATTTGGTTAATCTGATTGATTTGAATGCAGACCCCGGATATGCGGAAGTCAAAACTATAGACTAGGAAATGAAAGGCTCTCATCATGGCTCAGCTCCCTGCGCGCCCATGTGTGGGCGCGGCCAAATGAATTTAAAAATGGGGAGACAGTGCTCTTAGGTCATTTTAACTGGTTTAAAATCAGGCCCATGTCCCAGACAAATCGAGGGCCTAGTCCGTAAAAACTATACTCGCCCGGGCGAGCTGGGCAAAAACGATGTTGGAATGAGAAACTGGGGGAATATTCAAATATCTTATCATGGCTTAGCTGCATGAGCCTGATACAGAATGGCGAAGAAAATGAAGAAAATGAAACCAAAGAGGGCGAGGCAATACCTCTTCCTTATGCTGATTGGTTTGGATATATGGCCCAGCTACACATTACGCCTGAGGAATCGAAAACGAGTTAGTGGCGGGAGCTAACGCTGCCATCATGGCTCAGCTATCTTTATATCCATACTGAAACCAAAAATAAGGGAGGTATTCTCTTTGAGCATCCTGATTGGCTTAGGGCCAAGTCCGTGTCCCAGGCATAATCGAGGGTCTCACCTGTAACTACTAGATGTTTGCCCGGCAGAAATAGATGAAAAAGATGTTAAAATGAGAAACTGAGGGAAGATCTGGGTCTCTCCCGTACCATGACTCAGCTCTCCTGTTGCAATTGGGCGCAGAATAAAATCTAACATGAAGAGGCAGCTAACGCTGCACCTGTCATCATGGCTCTACTAATGAGGCATTCTCTTGAAACCAGAGATACGAAACGAGTTGCCTCTAAATATATTGACTAGCTAAGACTATCCCCATGTCCAATACATCATGGCTCAGCAATGTGGCTGTTTAAGGTATGTTTTAGTGCCGGGATTACTCGCATTCGCGGTTTAAAACTAGAAACTTAGAGAGGCTCTATGTGCTTCCTCTTGATTGGTTGTTTGATCCTCCAAGGTTGATGATCATACCGTGGACCTGGGGTTAAAACCTAAACAACTACAATATGCTGATGTCTATACAATACTAGGTAAGCTAACCCGAGCATCACTCATCAATTTGGCTTGTATGATGGAAGCTATGTATATATCTGCGAAGGTAAAAATGTACATTGTCCTGATCTAGCTTGTCACAGAAATTGATACTCAAGATGTGGACAGTTGTTCATGTCGAGTTGCTGCGTCTGAGGCCATGTCATACCTAGTAGTATGTACACACGAAGGGCACTGATGCAACGGGTAGATACTGGATAGACTGGATACACACCCACGTACACGGGACTGTTCACTTCGTTTCCCGCATACGTTCACAAAAAAAAGGATGTAGAAGAGGAAAGAGATTAGAATAGACCTGCTCACAGGATCGAATGCATAGAAAACAACATGAAGATAACGGTCCGGTTCATTCCGGTCCCTATGGATTTAGTGTGCAACAAAAAAAGAAAAAGGAAAGGCGACATCTATCAGCCATGACATAGACATTTCTCCCGAAAGAAGAGAAGGAATCACCTCGCATAACGAAAATTCAGTATATCAAGGGTCTCAAGAACCGGCGAACTCTATGGACCTGCAGTTCCTGCCAAACAACGTTTTCCCCCGTAGCGCCAAGGTAACAAATACACACACTCCCTAGAACGCGGCACGAAGATAGTGGATTATGGAAATCATTAGGCCTTCGTCACTCGAAACGTCCCTCCATGTGAAAAGAAAACAGAGAAGAAAAGAAGCGAACATGTATCACAGTGGTATAAATTGATCGACGCGGACACGACGGGATGTCGTGCGCTCATAGTCGAGCAAATGGAGGGCTCGAATCGGAGACGAAAAGGGTTCAAAGATCAACTCTGTAGCCCACGTAGCCGGTCGGCTATCAAAAGGCGGGTATCACAACTTAGTACGCCTTGCGATCTCCTAGGTTACCGGGCTTTTCGTCGGTGTCGATGTGCCAGACTACGTAGTTGGGCAGACCGACGACTTGGTAGCCGGCGCGCTTGGCCATCTTGGCGAAACCTTCGGTCTCGGCCTGGTTCTCAAATGCGTATGCGGGGAAGTTGATGCCTGCAGAGGTTAGAAGTATGTCAAGTGGTAAGCTGGCAGTTGGGTGGCATACCTGAACGGTGGACATCAGCCTTGACGAGGATGTTCACGCCACCAATTCCGTCAAGCTCGACCTCCTCGTCCTTGTCCTTGCGCCAGTCACCCATGCTGACCATGTAAGTGCGGCCGGTATCGTATTCCTTGTAACCTTCGGCGAGAATGGTGTCCGGGTCCAGGGTTTGGCGCAAGCGGCGACCCTTATCAGATTCGATCCAGGAGTTGTAGTCAACTGTAATGAGTCAGCTAAATGAACAAATTGGTTAGACAGGGAGTTGACATACAGCGACCTTCAACATCACGGCCATCGCGGTAGCGGTGGAACCAAATGTCTGTAATCCCAAGTTAGCCCAGCTGAACATCACACTAAAAAGAATAGCCGAGTCGACATACTGGGAACCAGAATATCCTTGTCGTGAGCCATGAAGTCCTCCAGGATGCGCTCGGGGCAGTCCACGATATCCACGTCGCGCCAGTAGACCCAGGAGTGATCAGCCTTGAGCGCAGAGTAAAGCAGGTAGTTGCGAGCACGGCCAATCGCCTTACGGCGAGGACCCTGAGCAGCGAAACCGTGTCGCTCCTCGACGCTCATCTCAACATCAGCGCCAAAGTCCTTGCGGACAACGGTCGCACTGCGGAAGCGGATTTTTTCATCGGCGTGGTTCTGGATCCGATCGAGTTCTGAAGCCAGGTTGGCCAGGGTGTCATCCTTAGTGTCACCAACCAGGAAAGCGAGGTCGATCAGTTCGTGAGGGTAGGTCAACTTGTACAGGAGGTCGAAGTATTTCTCGAGGTAGGGGGCGGCGTCGCGGAGAGGGGTCAGGATGAGCACGCGCTCACGGTTAGAAACGGCCTGGACGGTCGAGGAGATAGGGTTCAGGTCGACCTCAGCGATGGAGGTGTTGTTTACTTCGTAGGGTTCGTGGTGGTTGAAGAGAACAGGAGTCT